ACAGCGGGCTAGCCCGACGACTGAACTTGCTGCCGTTCGTATGTATCAGTAGCATTTGACGAGAGACTTGACAGCAGCTTGGCACAAGATACCGAAGGGAAGCGCAGCACGACGTGTACGACTGGGCATGTGAATGAAGCGTATCGGCCTGAAAACCATATCGTCAAGCAATGAGCTACGACGCGGAAGCAGGAGAGGCTGCTTTGCGAGCGTCGGCCTCCCCAGAAATAAGCCCCTCCTCCTCCCTTGCCTTTGCGAGGGTAGGGTAGGCGTCGCAGCAAGCTGGGTTGTCGTCGTCGCAGCAGGTCAACTGTGAGAGCATGAGCGAAGAGGAAATCGTGTTCAGCGCTGCACAGTAGCGAAAGAGAGAAGGCAAAAGGGTCGATACGCACGGCGCCAAAGTTCGAGCAGCAGGTCGAAAGCGGCAACGTCTGCGCCTCAGCTGCCTCTGCGTGCGTCTTGACCTGGGTGGACCCCCCGACGTCCTCGCCGACAGACTCGATCATGGAGCCGGGGCGAATCCCCGACACAGGCAAAGATATCTCGCGAGGCTTGAGCGCGTCTTCCGTCTCGGGCTTGGGTTCCACACGAGAGAGTGTCTTGCCCTGCGTGAAGTCGATCTCCCTCTGCTCAGGCACTTGCACTTGCAGTGCCGAGCGCGGGCTGATGGACCCGGCGGACACGGCAGCAGCGGTGACCTCTGCCGAGCTCAAAAGAGCCAGGTAGGCGAAGACATTGGCGAGCACCTTGACCGAGAGCATTCCTTCTGCGTGAGTTGTAGAATGGGATGGCGAGTCAAGGACGACGCAAGGGTGTCCATGCCACAACAGCTTTGTCGGACATGGACTTGCGCCAGGCATGGTGGGTACGGTGCGGCGTGATTGATTTTGTCGTCATGACCAGCCGTGCCCTCCCACCTGGCCCTGAGAATCTGATGCGGCGTCTGCGCAAGCTCAATCTTCTACCATTTTGCGGTCAGCAAGCGCAATTGGCAGTACTGATTCCGCCGCGAGGATCTTGAGAGCAACGCGACAAGGCAGGCCAATCTGATGTTGCGATCCTGTAGTCTGAAGATGTCAAATCAAAGCTGAAGGTTTGCTTCGGCGTCGCAGCCTTAACTTCGTGAGAATGAGGGCTGATGGCAGGACTCGTCAAGTTGAATCTTGCCCGAGGGAGGGAGGAAGCTCGAACTAGGTCTAGGCGACGTCGGACTGGATCGCAATCGCAATTGCAACCCCGGCACCTTCACCTAGCCACTCTGGTGTGCCCTTTGACCGCGTGAACCCATTTCATCGGCGCAACAGCAAGCCCTTTCCTGCCCTACCCTTGCTCGCACTTGCAGCGCCTAAAGGACTGCTCACTTCCAACGACAAGCGGCAGGTACCGCAAGTTGTCCGGTAACTATTGATCGCGCGGGGCTGCGTGAGGCTGCAGTCAATGACGAGGACACGATCAGCCGTTGCTGCTGCTCTATATCGGCGGATGCCACGTTGCGTCGAGCGGGGTGAGAGTCGGATGGCAATGGAAAATTGAGGATTGGGAGCAAAGGCAAGAGCTCGGCCACATTCCTCCACTCGTCTTGGCATGTGCGTCCGTGCACAGACAAGCGGATCAGACGAACCAAGGGCGGGGCGCGGGGCGGGCAATTTTGCTCTCGCGAGAATGCTGTGGCTAGGCCTGGCTTACCTCGCATTTTGACATCGCATGGCAACATCCTTCTTCCCACGACCACGACAACCGGCACCTGAAGCCTTGCACGACTTCAAGACGGAGATCGGTGTCATGGCAAGCTGCACGTGGACGGAGAGATACTCGAGGCAAAAAGGGCAGGCGCAAGCAATGCGAGACTTTGGTTGCTTGCAGGATTGCGTGCAACAATCAGTCAGACTCTTTCGTTGCTGCTGCGTTGAGGAAGGTCAGCGCGAGTGCGCGGTAATGAGGTGTGAAGGGCGGATTGTATTCATGGCAGCGTCACGTATTATCGACGGCACGTAGAGGTCGTGGCAGAGTAGAAAAAAGCAGATTCAGGGAAGGGCCGACGACTGCAGTTGCGGCTTGTGTAGGCCACTGGGTGGCATCGATCAGACACGACGTACTCAGCATCCGTCCGGGATCCGAGGGTCGCAGGAGGGGTCGCCACGAGCCTCCTCGACGACGGCTCAACCAATGCAGCGGGGATTGTCGGGAGGACAGTCCTTATTAGCCCGGGGCTTCTTCTCCTCGTCATCACCGCGAGCGACTAGCGCCCCGCGGCCGTGGTGCTTGGGAGGCCCGTACCCGTTGCCTGGGTTGCCGGTCTTGCCCGTCTCCCTTTCTCCGAGCGCGACGCTCTCGGGCTTGGCGTGGTAGGATGTGCCCCTCTTGCTCTCGACAGGCTTGACCGCGACATCAAAGACATTGAGACGCGCCATGGTCACCATCTTGCTACGATGCCCGATTGCTGGCTTACCAAACACGTTGGGCGGCTCGCGAGTCTCAACCTCGCCCACCTCGACGACAGTGCTTGGGGACCTAGGCACGACTCTCAGTCCACCCTCACCTTCACCGTTTGCCTTGGTACCGGCACCGTAGTTCCCGCCCCTCTTGCGTTTACCGGGGTCGACGGGGCCCGGCGTCACCTTCGGAGGGCCAGAGATGACGATATCGCTGCGCGTCTCGGACTCGAGGTCGATCTGGTCACGAGGAGGGTGAGAAGGCCCTACGGTTGGCGTGAAGTGATTCGTCGTTTTTGCAAGCTTAAGACCAGGATCGTTTCCGCGAGTCTTGGTCTCGTCGCGAGTGTGATGAGGCCCGCCTTTATTGGGTGGGTGAACGTTCGTGGGAGGTGCCTTCTTGGGGGGGCCGCCGCTCCCCGAGGCGCTGCCACGAGGCTGCGTGTTGACACGCTTGACCTTGCCGCCCGCGTTCTTCGGAGGCCCTTTGTCGTTGCCGGTGTTGATCGTCCCGCGAGCCTCGACCTCGTCACGAGGCTCGTGCACTCCTTCGTTGGTCGAGGAGCCGTTCGTGGGCTTCTTGACCTTGGGCGGTCGATACCCGATCAGGCCGCGGCGCATGTCTCCGTGCTCGTAGTCACGACGGCGAGGAGGTTGCTTTTTCTTGGGCGGTTTTTCGTTCTCGGGCCCTTTGTTCTTCTCGGGAGGGGCCCAGGATTTAGCACGAGGTTGCAGTCCGCCTCCGTCTCCCTCTCCATCGAGGGCGTTGACGCTGCGCCGCTCGCCGGGCCATCCAGGCGATCCTTGATTACGAAGAGTCTCGTTGCCCTGCGCCGGATTGTTAGGCGGAGGAGGGCGAGTAGGCGCACCACGAGTCTCGACCTCGTCCTCGGACCCATCGCGTTCCATGTGCGTAGCAGAGCCGCTAGGAAGATCATCCGTGTGGGCGCTGCGAGGTTGCGCGACGGCCACGGTATCCTTGCCATGGTCGAAAATCTCGCGCTCCTCCTCGCTCGTTGGCGTGCGCTTGCGCCGTCCTCCTCCGCCGGAAGAAGGAGATCCTCCCCCTACCTTCGGATCGAGGTTAGTATTGCCGCCTGGTGGAGGGAGAACGGCCCCAGTGGTAGTGTTAGTGCCGCGCGTGGTGAGGCTTGTGCTGAAGAGGGTGCGGGCGAGGGCGTTGACCATGTTCTTGAGCATAGAGCGCCCTCCGGCGGAGGGCCTAGTGAGACGTGATTCGAGATTGTCGCTGTTGTAGCCGTGCCCGTAGCCGTGATCGTGATCGCGAGGCAGCACGTTGCGAGGGAGAGCCGGGAGGCCAGCGGCGTTAACGCAGACGCTGCTGAGCGTGAGGGCCAGTAAGCCCGTAGCGAGGGCGAGGGCGATTGGGAGGCGCATAGTCGTGTCAAGTCTGAGATGTTGTGAGGAGGAGAGGAGGAAAGATACCTGCTTTTGCTCTTGCTGGCTCCTTAAGCGCTGCACAGCCCTGCAGTCCTGTCCTCTCTCTCTCGGCTTGCACGCTCCGATCGGTGCTGGCCTGGTGACAAGATGTTGACGCAAGACCGCCATTTAATTCGCATTGGAGGGTCAAGGGTGGGCAAGCGGGTTTGCTCTTACCCACAGGGCAAGTTACCACGCCACGGTACCCCGCGACGGGAGAGAAGCGGCCGCAAATGGCAATGTCGCCGCGATGGAGCGATGACGCCGCGATGGAGCGGTGATGATCGTGGAGCGAGCGGCGCGAGCAGCAAGTCGATCAAGAGCTCGGGTCTCGTCCCTCGCTCCTTGCCCCTCGATCACACCACCTCGCCCAACCGCATGGTAACCACAATGTCGCACCGCTCGTACATCCCCGCCGACAACAAGGCCAAGCCCACTGTCACCGTCATACACGACGAAGCCGGGGGCTTCGTCATCACGGCGGAGAGCGGCAACACCTTCGAAGCGGTCCGTCTCGTCGAGCCTACATGGGGGGAGATCACGGCCTACTACGAGGTGGGCGACAAGACCAAGTACTTGCCCCCGGACAAGTACGTCGTAGAGGTCAAGGAGTCGACGATCATACCCAGCGGGGCGAAGCTAGTCGTGTTCCCCATCCCGGAGAGCATGGGCATGCCCAAGAAGCTGTGGACCCTCTACTTCCCGCCTGTGGTGCCCGGCACGAACGACGAGCACGCTCCTGGTACGCAGCCTGCTCCCGCTCTCCTCTTCACCAAGGACGAGAAAGACGCCGCCGTGGTCGAGAAGAGCAGCCTCGAGCCGATCCAGGTGCGCCCCAGGTTGATGCACCCCATCGGCGAAGAGACGCAGAAGGAGAGGGAGAGGGGGCGACGCACTTTCCCTGCTCTGGCGGACGAGAAGTTCGAGGAGATGTGGCAGGGATCGACCTTGGGAGGGCTGAAGGCCGGAGTGCCTCATTGGCAGGACGATGACGACGACGAGACGGTTGCGGCGGCGGCTGGCAAGGGGAGGGAGAAGAGCGAGTAGACGGGAGCGCGAGGCGAGGATGAGACAGGCTGAGCACCCATAGGCGGGCGCATAGAGGCGCTGTCATGTCATCAGAGCTTCTCCTCCAATCCAAACTTCGTGCGCATGCTGAGTGAAGTCGAAGAGAGTGTTGGCGGTGACGAGTAGTAACGTCTAGCAAATCTCAGACGAGATAAATACCCTCCCTGCTACACCGCGCACACCCCGCTACTGCGCATTGCAAACGACGGGCGACAGGCGTGCGTTGAAGAGCTCCCCGTGCGCCCTCACGTACGCCGATGCAAAATCGCTCGCACTAACAAAGGCGGCCTCGATCCATCCGCCCAAACGCGTGTACGAATCGCCCACCAGATGGACGTGCATCTCCTCCTCGCTCAAGCGCAGGTATCGCCTCGAGATGCGGGCGAAGACCTTCTCCTGGCCGGGGAGCATGAGCACGAATGCGCCGCGAGCAGAGGGGTCCTTATCCCAGTTGATGTAGTGGATCCTCTCGCTAGGAGCAGCGAGGATGTCATCAATCCACTCGTGCCACTTTCCCCCGCCGGCGCAGAGGTTGGCGCGCATCTGGCCCGCAATGTAGTCTCGCAAGGCTATCTTGTCCTCGTACTGCTCGGCCAGCTCGCCCGCCGCCTGACCCCACTGATAGGCGATCAGGTTCGTCACGACGCCAGATCCGCCGCGGCCACCGGCGTCCTCGAAAAGGTAGCTCTGGTTCGCTGGCGTGTCCGAGAGGAGGACGCGAGGAAAGCCCGGCTGGTCCATGTAGTGCTTGTGTTCCAGCTCTACGTAGAGCTTCACGGCGTTCATCGTGTCGAGGCTGTTGAGATCGAGGAGATCGCGGCGTGACATGAGCTTGCCGCTGCTGCGCGCGAGGACCGTCTTGGCCGCATTGGGCGGAATAGCAAGGACGACATCATCGTAAACCTCTCTCCCGGCGCCCTTGACGTTCAGCAACACCTTCTGTACCCCGTCCACGGGTGCGAGGCCCAGGCTCGTCACGCGCTGGCCGCAACGCACCTTCCCTCCCGCCTTGATCAGTCGTGCCGCCATCCGAGCCGGGAGGGCCTGCACGGGTGCGTGCTTGGACGTCCCGTCCTCTGCCTTGACACCAAAACTGGCCTGATTGACGAGCATCTGATTGATGATGAGCTCCAAAATAGCCACCATGCTGCGCTGGCTTACGGCGCCGAGCCCACCACTGCCGCGCCCGAGCGCCTTGTCTGCCTCGAAGTGGGCCTCGCTCCACACTACAGGGCCTACGCGGTCGTACTGCTTGCCGGAGAAGATGGAGCGCGTTCCTTGCTCGAGGGACTGGGATTGGAAGACGTCTACGTACGCCCTGTACTTTGCTGCGGCTGCGTTGATTACCTCCTTCTTTTTCGCGGCGAGCCCGTCAATAATATCCGCAATGGGCGCGAGCACTCGCTCTCCCTCCCTGCTTAACCCCTCCCGAATGAAGGCAGTCCACGCTGCGTCGATGTCCTCGAATATCCCTGGCGGCGGCGCATGAGGCTCCCACTCGGCGTACTCGCCCTCGAATGAAAGTCCCGTTCTTACCACGCCCGGGTCGGGAAACCCGCCTAGCAACTCAAAGCCATGCGCCTTGACAATCGCAGCACTGAGTGCATGAACGGGGAAACGCATAGCCCCCTGCTCTACCCATCCTCCTTCGTTGTGCGTGGGATCAGAGCGAGCGCGCCCACCGACGTGCGCCGCGCGCTCTAGGACCGTAACGTCGCAGCCTGCCCCGCGGAGCAACTGAGCGGTGAAAAGTCCGCCGACGCCTGCGCCTACGACGGCGACGTGCTTGCGAGTGGAGATTTTGCCGATGGGGTGGTGCACGCCGCCGTTGGAGGTATACCAGTCGATGTACGAGCAGTTCGAGGCGAAGCTGAAACGGTGTTGGAGTGGCGTGACGGGTAGCGGGAAGGGACCGCGGTAAGGAGCGGTGTCGGAGGCGGGGCCTTGGGCGATACTTGGCATGATTGATCGGGTAGGCGACAGAGTGAGGACCGGTGTAGAAGGTCACAGGTTGCGGCGAGAGAGGCCGTCTTGTAGGCTGCTTGCTTCAGTAGTTGTGAGAGCTGCAAGGTTCCGACTCCCCTTCGGCGGCGCGATGCCTGACGTTTGCATCCATCGCTTTCGCTTTCATGCTCACCCCTGAGAAGGGTTCACCCCCTCCCACCAATCTTCGATCGGGACGGTCTCCACACCAGACCCTTCCGCCCACGCCCCGCCCCCGCCCCACCTCGCCTCCCGTGGCTCAGCAGGCGCTCCGCGCTCAGCGCGCCGAGCCTGGCGTAGTTGAAGTCGAAGTTGTAGCGTCAACCAGCGTACGAGCGAGCGACCCCCTGGTCCACGTCTCGGGGCCGACGCCGAAATGCTTTGCCTTGCCTGCCAATTGCCTGTAGGACAGCAATAGCAACAGCAACGGTGAGATCGCCCGGAGTTGCTCTCCAGGTAGAAAGGACGAAAGTAGCTAAACCTTAATTTAGTCTCTCCTCAGACGGCTTCAAGCATTTTGCAGGCCTGCGTGGCCGAGAGGTTGAAGCTGAAGCTGGTGAGGAGCGGGGGCGGAGGATCGGTTGGAAGGTGAGGATGACCGCAGCCGTAGCGCTAGGGCGTGCCGCTCGAGAAGGGCTGACTGGGGGGGCGGATAGATCGATGCGTACCCGTGTACTATCGTTGGACTTGCATGCCTTGAGAGTCGCATCCACGCTGTCTTCATCCCAGGCCCGCGTTGGGCCGGGTCGTGCTTACAGGATTGCATTGCTTCGCCTTGCTTCACAGTGCGCTGCGCTGCCTCGTATTACAGTTCGTCTTTCCCCATTCCCCTCTCTATCGCCGCTGCCTTTCCCACACATATGCGCACACGCGTCTACTTCTTCGTCCCCTTCGCCTCTGCCTTTCCCTTCTCCGCCGCAACAACAGGCGTAGCCTTAAGACTCACGATCCTATTCAGTACCAACGCCCCTTCCGCATCGTCACCCTCCCTCTCCTCCCCGGTCTCAACGCTCATCCTCCCCAAACTCTCCCGATCAACCGCAAAGTACCCCACCCTCATAGCCTGAAACCTTACACACTCGAGCCCAACCAGTCCCTCAGCCTCATCTGCGTTAGGCGCCCCTTCCCCGCTACTCGTGAGGGGTGAGCAACCAGCAGGAGGGCGAATAACGTCGCCTCCCTCCTTGGTCAGACGAACCCGTTCCGCCTTGGCCTTCTCCGTCCGCTGACCCGCCTCACGATGCGCCGTCTTGAGGGCCTCCTTTGCCACTCCCCAGAATCCGGGCTCGATCAATGCCCCACTGTGCACCTCTAGTGAGTCTGGGTTTATGCACCCCAAAAAGTCGGGAGAGGCCGCAGGGTTCTCGACTGTGAAGAGTGGGTGGAAGATACGGGCCTCATCGATCTTCACTGGGGAGCGCGAAGGGGCGTGGGTGGAGACCCAGTGAATGTAGGCCAGCTTCTTCAGTGCTGAGCGGGGCATCGATTGGCCTCCCATCTCCGGGTCCTCGTAGCGGGCGCGAATCAGCACGGTCTGGCCTGTGGTTGGGTCCACCTCGTGGGAGAGACAGGTGATGGGGAATGGGGCTTGGAAGAGTCCCACGGACTTGCCCGGCGCAAGACGGAAGTAGTCTGGGTCGTCCTGCGTGCGGAAGTCGGATTGCTCGATGAAGACCTCGCGCGTGAGAGGGAGGACGTTCTTGCCCCACTCGGGCACCTTGGGGTGGAGGGGCTTCTCGATGTGGATCACCCAGCCCTCTGGTACGTTTTCGAGGATCACGCGCAGAGGCTGGAGGACCATCATGAGGCGTGGGGTGGAGGACTCGAGGTAGGAGCGGATCGACTGGTCGAAGCGAACCGCCGTGATTTGGGATACGGCCGTGCTGACGCCGAGGGCGGAGACGAACGATAGGATGGCGCCCGGAGGTACACCGCGACGCCGGATGGCAATGACCGTGAAGAGGCGCGGGTCGTCCCAGTCCTTTACATATCCTCCCTCTACCAACTTTCTAATCTTTCGCTTACTCGTAATGGTCCCCTCGAGGTTTAGCCTGCCGAACTCGTACTGCCTGGGCTTGTACACGGCCACGGCGTCGCAGAGCCACTCGTAGCTCTCCCTGCTCAGCACAAACTCGGTGGTGCAGAGAGAGTGGGAGATGTTCTCGATCGAATCGACGAGGCAGTGCGTGAAGTCGTAGGTTGGGTAGATGCACCAAGTGGACCCCGTGCGATGGTGCGGGGTGGAGAGGACGCGATACGCGATGAGATCCCACATTTGCGGATTGGGGTTGCCCAGAATGTCTTGTTTGAGCCGGAGAGTTGCTGTGCCCTTTGCGTACTTGCCCTAGCGAAGCGGGAGGACAGGAATGGGGTGTTAGCTTGAGGATACGAGTGAAATAGGACTGGGCGCTACTCACGGCACGCATAGCCTCGAACTCGCGGAGGTTCTCCTCGATGGGCCTATTACGCCATTTGCTCTCCTTACGCTCTCCACCCCTCTCCTTCCCACCCCTCTCCTCCTGAATCTCCTCTGCAGTCGAATGATCCACGTACGCCCCTCCCCTCTCGATGAGCTTAATCGCCAATTCATAGAGCTGCTGAAAGTAATCGCTCGAATACGTGATCGTCCACGGCTCGAACCCAAGCCATCTGACCGTCTCGAGGATAGACTGGAAGTACTTGCCCTCCTCTGCCTCAGGATTCGTATCGTCGAAGCGCAGGTAGCAGAGCCCGCCGTGATGGGCCGCATAGCCAAAGTCGATTGCGATTGCTTTGGTGTGGCCGATATGCAGGTAGCCATTGGGTTCGGGCGGGAAGCGGGTGAAGACTCGACCGCGAGTGGCGGAGAGGTGTTGTTCTTTGAGGGAGGAGGAGAGCTGAGGGTTCTCACCGGGAAGGTGGAGCTTGGAGAGGAAGCCCTCGGTGAACATGGTGGTTGGGTCTTCTGCTGAGGAGGAAGCAGGGGTGGGTACGGGCTGGGAGGTGGATCCGCCTGCTGCGGCTGCGGGTGCAGGCGTCGACGCGGCTGCCTTCTTTGCCTTCTTAGGTTGCGCAGCTTCCGCCTGCTTAGGCCAGAGGGCGTTGAGCTGCTCCTCTCCCGCATTCTTGATATCGAGCGTGTTGGCCCATCGCAGCGCCGGAATGCTCTTCAATGCCGCGAGCATGGAGCTCAAGTTGGGCCTAGCGCCGCCGTTCTTGGCATCCAGGTCTGCCTTGTTCTCGCTCACGTACTTGCGCGCCTCCTCCTTTACCTGGTCGGGGGTGACCACTACACCTACACCGCACGCCGCGTTGAATGCCTCATCGTCGATGGGTGCTGCCGGGTCGAGGGAAGCCAAGTACTTGATGGCAGTCTTGACTCGATCATCGCTATCCAGCTCGCCGCTCTTTGTCCTCTCGACCAAGTAGCTCCTCCTTCCCTCGCCCAGGGCTTCGCCACCAACAATGGCGCTCACGACAAGCTGTCCCTGCTTCGCATCTAATCCCGCCTCACCGAGCTTGTGGGAGCGGATGGCATCGCTGATCAGGGCGGCTTGGGCTGGCTTGCGTGCCGTCTCCTGGGCTTTGGCGCCGGTGAAGGAGATGGTTGCGAATAGGTCGCAGACTTCCTTTATCGCTGGGTCGTTGGCGTCTAGTTTCGGGGGCATGGCTTGCGAGAAGAAGGGAGGAAGGAAGGGGGAGCAAAGGGAGAGAAGCGAGATTACGCCGAGAGAAAGAGAGACACAAAGCGCGCCCACTCGCTCAGTCCGCCCTTGGCTCTGGCCGCCGCTGCAGCCACGCGAGCGACGGACGAGGCCCAACCAACACCACCACCCACGCTCGCACAGCACAGCACAGCACAGCGGGGCGGAGGCGCATACAACCACGCTCACTCGCGTCAATGAATGGTATCGTCACTTTCACATCACACGCCGCTCACTCGCCCTTGTGCAAGATCCCCCTACTCTCCAATTCCTCCCTACTCGGTCGTCCCTCCACACCCTCCTTAACCCTGTCCCCCAACTGAGCGCGTTTCAACTCCTCCTGCTTAGCCATCAACCCAGGCGCGACCCCTTGTCCCCCCTTGAGGATACCCCGTTCCTCCAGCTCCGTCCTCTCCGGTCTCTTCTCCAGCTCGCGCTCAAGCCTATCTTCGAGCTGAGCCTTGCGCAACTCCTCCTGCTTGGCCTGCAGACCGGGGGCAATAGAGGAAGAGCCCGATTTGAGGATGCCCAGTCGCTCTAGCTCAGCACGATCAGGACGATGCTCGATGCGGTCAGCCAGTCTATCTTCGAGTTGGGCCTTGCGCAGCTCTTCCTGCTTGGCGAGGAGGGAGGGGGCGGCGTTGGAGTTGGGAAGGATGTTTTTGTCCTGGTGGGAGGAGGGAGGGCAGAGCAAGGGGTGTTAGCTGGTGTGTGCGGGACAAGGAGGGGGGGAAAGGCGCGACACGCACCTGCAACTCCTTTGCCTCGGGCCTGTTCTTGAGTAGGGCGTCCAGGCGCGCCTTTTCCTCGTCGTGGCCGTGCGAGGGGGCGGTGACGGGTGCGGTTGCTTCAATCGGGTCTGCCATTGTGATGTGGTTGAGCAAGTGATGTCGTTGTGTGGATCAAAGTGAAAGTGAGGAGGAGCTGAGGTCGAGCCTCCTGAACTCTCTCTCTCTCCAGCGCAGCGAGGCGGGGCGGGGCGGCTGGATGTGGAGTCGAGTCGACATCTCACCTCGCGCCTGTCCACTCTCTCACTCTCTATCCGCCCACACTGCCAGGTCCGCTGCCTGCCGCTTGCCGCTTTCCGTCCCTTAATTCCTTGCCTCGTCACCACCACCACCAAGAATGAACAACAGCAACCCGCCGCCCTCCCGCCCTGCACGGCCAAAAGTCGTCCAACCCAAGCCGACGAACAAGCAGCTCGCCTCACCCTCAGCAGCACCACCGGCACAGCCAGTAGCCGGTCCCTCGACCTCCTCCTCCTCCACACTCCCCGCCCAACCACAACCACAACCAGGCGGGAGTGCTCCACGTCCCGCGCCCATCGCGCGTTCCACGGGACCAAAGATCCTAGCTCCCTCGGGTTCTTCCTCCTTGCTAGTCCAGAACACCCAGCGGTACGCACGCAACCTTGCCCTGCCTTGCCTTCTCTTGCCTGCCCCACACCTACTGACCCCTCCCCCATCTTCCCTTCGCACAGCGGCAACCCCCTACTTCGCACACTGCGCTCCATCCCGTGGGAATTCGCCGACATCCCCGCCGACTATCAGCTCAGCCCTTCAAGGGGTGCCCTCTTCCTCTCCCTGAAATACCACCGCCTCCACCCCGAATACGTGCACGACCGTATAGCCAAGTTGAGGGGGATTGGGAGGTATGAGCATCGTGAGTCGCGGCGGGCGCGGGCGCGTGCGCGGGCGTTAGGATCCGGGGAAGAAAAAGGGGGCTCTTCCTGACCCTCGTCCTCCTTCTCCTCCTCCCCTCATTCGCTCCCTCCCTCCCTCCCTCCCTCCCTCCCTCGCTCCCTCACTCGCGCAGGTCTCCTCCTAATCCAAGTAGACATCCCCCTCCCGCAAACCGCCCTAAAAGAGCTCACAAAAACCTCCCTAGTCAACGGTTTCACCCTCCTCCTCTCTTGGTCCCCCCAAGAAGTTGCCCGTTACCTCGAACAGTACAAGATCTACGAGACCAAAGGTCCCGAGCTGATAAGGGAACGAAGAGGCGAGGATCATCTAGGAGCTATGACATCTTGCCTTACGAGCGTGCCAAGGATCAACCGGACTGATGTGAGGAATTTGGTGGCAAAGTTCGGGTCGTTGAGGAGGTTGAGTAGGGCTAGTGCTGGTGATTTGGCAGATATGAGTGGGTTTGGGGAGATTAAGGTGAGGTTGTTGACCGAGGCTTTTAGGACGCCGTTTAGAGTTGGGGGAGGGGGAGGGGCGTGGAGGGTTGCGAGACGAAGGCGAGAGGAAGGGAAGAAGAGGAGCGGGGTTGGGGATGGTGATGAGATGGATGATATCGAGGAGATTGAGGACGACGACGATGACGAAGATGGTGCAGAGATGATGAGGGGCCAGGGGACGCATGTCGCGGGAGTGGCTGGAGCGTTACAGACTGCGGGAGCGGACGCGGATGGGGAGGCGGGGAGGGATGGGAGTGGCGCATCGAAGCGTCGTCGTATCGAGCTGCGCGTTGACGAGGAGGAGGAGCGGGACGCGGGCAATGGGGTGGTCAATCCGAAGCCTCCTGCTCAAGGCGATGTCCGAGGCGAGGCGGAGGATCATCTCCCACTCGACAATCTCAACGACGCAGACGATCTTGCCGCTCTGGCAGCTGAGGAGGGGAATCTTGGGTCTGGCAGCGGGAGTGACCCAATCGAGCGCCAAGGTCATGGTGCGGCGCAAGACGACGACGGCAACGACGATGAGTTCGGCTCCGACCTGAACCTGGACGAGCTGACTGCCGAAGAGCGCGAGGAGTTGCGCAGGGCGATGAGGATGAGCATGGCTTGAGAGCGAGAAGAGGTGAAAAATACATGTTGTTACAAAAAAGTGGAGAGAAAGGCGAGGCGAGGCGAGGCGAGGCGTGGCGTGGCGTGACGTGAGGTGACGTGAGAGAGTAGGGCGCGGCTAGGGCTAGGGCGGCATACTCCTCAGCTGGACGACGAGATCGTGTTGCTCGCGTACGGCGGCCACTTGCGAGGGGAGGCTCTGTGTACGGCAGGGAAGGAGGGATGGGGAACGGCGTTGTTCGTGTTGTTGGTCAGCGTTCTTCGCTCCTCTCTCTTGCTCTCCACCTATCCAACTCGCTCCACTCACCTCAGCAAGCAAATCCGCCTGTTCCAAACTGCGCTGCAATGTTTGCCCCACCTCTTCCCTTCTTTCCAAGTCCACCACCATTCCCTTGTCCTCTTCCGCATCCTGAAACCCAGCCTTTCTCTGCCTCTGCCTCCCTTCATCCTCCCTCTCCCTCAACGAGTCCACAACCTCCTCCCTAGCCCTAAGCGCCTCAGCTCGTCGCGTTGGCAGCTCTCGACGGGAGAGGACGGCGCTCTCCGTTAGCTCGTCGACGGTGCGTGTTAGGTTTGTGAGGCGAGTGAGGAGCTGGTGATCCAGAGGGGCGAGGGCTGTGCGCGTGCCAAGAAGTGAGAGGGGGGAGGGAGGGGATTGCTTAGCACAGCGTTGCAAGATGGGGGACGCGTCGGGATACTGGATTCACTCACCTTGCTCCTTCTCCTCCCACTCCCTCCAACTCACCCCCTCTACACTTAAATTCCCCCGCTTCAACCTCTCCCCCGCCTGTTCAACCCATTGCGCCAATACGCGACGACAGACTGCCTCCTCTTCTTCGCCTGTTAGGCCATCCCTTTCTAGCTGTTGGGGCAGGAGGGACGAGGAGGAATGACTGAGCAGGGTGGTGAGGACGTGGGAGAGGGAGGAAGGGGTGGGAAGGTCCAGCCGGGGAAAGGAGGCGGGCATGGTGCGTCGTGATGATGATGATGTGTGTGGAGAGGGATGGGTGGTGATGGTGATGATAAGGAGGGAAAGAGAGGAACGAGCGCATCGGACTGAGAATCAACACTTCACGCCAGGCCGGCAGGGCGGGACGCGGAAGCGCAGGCCGAGGGAGGCGAAGGGACGCGACTGGCGTGGCCTGTCTCGAATGCAAAAGGGAACTGGCCAGCCAGATCCCACTCTGAGCTTGAGCTGCCAAGGAATGATTTTGGTGGAAGCAAAGGGATTCGAGGGTGTGGGCACCGGCTCGACGGAGACGGAGGAGAGAGGAGTGGGATGGGGTGGGTAGTGGCAGCGGCAGCGGCAAGGGCGCCTCGTGTGGCTCATCCACCCTTTCCCGGCTGCTGAGTCATGTAAAAGGATAGTATGTTGCCATTCAGGCGTAAATGCTGGCTCATCTGCTCGTCCTCCAGCTGTGCATGCGGTTGCGATTGCGATTGCGATTACGGCCCCCTTGGGATGGACCCGGCAAGGCAAAGTCGCCTTGGCTCGCCTTGCATCCTTCCGCCCCCCGCACCGCCTGCCGCCTGGTGCCCGCCCTGCCGCTCCGACGCCTCGCATCTTTTGTCTTGCCAACCATCACCACGCTCCACGCTCCACACTCCACTCCACGCACTACGGCGTGATGGCCAAGCGACTTCTTCTTCTCCTCCTCCTCGCTGGGACAGCCCTGGCAGTAGGAACAGGAATAGTAGGAGCGGCTCCTCCTCAGTCTCCTCAACAGTCACGTCGTCATCAGCAGCAGCAGCAGATCCCCTTCTTGTCGTCTTATGACTCACCGGGAGTAAAGACACCCGCTCCAGCGCTGCATCGTGTATGCATCCCGTCCTCGCACCACCACGAGGAAGAATGGACCCGCGTCCTCTCCTCCCTCGCCAGCCTACAGGCACGATACCCCCGCTACGAGCTCGACATGTGGACCGATGCGCCTCGCCCTCGCCTCCGCCCGCGTTCGAGCTCCAACTCCACCCTGTACGGGCAAAGCAGCGAGGAGCGATCCTGTCTGGATTTCACCTATCCGGACGAGCAGGGCGCTATCAAGGTGTTGGACGAGGCGCTCAGCGAGAAGCGGGCGGGTATGGGCATGGAGTGGGAGGTATTGGCGGATAGCGCTCAATTGGCTGATAGGGTGGAGAGGGACAAAGAGGGCGGCGTCAATACCCCTGCCGAGGGTGCTGGGATGGGTGGGACGACGAGGGGAGTTGAGGACCATTTTCACAACGGGTACCATAATCTTGCGAAGTGAGCCCCAGCACAGCATAGCGCAGCCGGCCGCTATTCTCCTCCCTCTCTTCCTCGCTCACTCACTCACTCACATCCCCCGCCCCGCCCCCCTCGTCGTACTCGCGCTCGCCCAGCATAACCGCCTGGCTCTCATGGCAAGTCTTCCAGAACCCCTCCCTTGCCGAGCTGGTCGAGCTGGGCACCACGTACCAGGAGAAGGTGATTCAAGGGATCCGCATCGGGCGTGACGCCGGGCGTGGGAAACGCGAAGTAGTCATTGTGGGAGGGGCACATGGTCGAGAGGTACGTTGGCGTGATGTCAGGTTGTGTGATGCCAAGCAAAGGAATGGGGAAAAGCTGACGACTCTCCTCCTCCTCCTCCTGTAGTGGATCACAACTTCCACCTGCCTCTACCTCATCTCTCACCTCCTCTCTGCCTCCCCCTCCACGCCAGGCTCGGCCTCTCACCTCGACAAATTCTCCTTCCTAATCATCCCAGTCCTCAACCCAGACGGGTACGAACACACCTGGGGTCGCGGGTCGGATCGATTTTGGCGCAAAAACCTCCAACCGACAGGTTCGCACGATTGGCTAGGTAGGGAGTGCAAGGGGTTGGACGTAAGTCGCAATTTCCCTGTGCATTTCTCCGCCTCCTCGTCGCTCACGGGATCAGGATGTGATTCCACCTACCCGGGACAAGAAGCCTTGAGTAGTTCTGAGGCTCGGGCTCTTGCTTCTTACCTTTCGAGGAGCGGGGAGGAGGGCGAGGAGGTGCTGAGCTTTATTGACTTGCATAGCTACGGGCAGCTCATCCTCTACCCTTGGTTGAGCTGTGCCTCCGCTTCATCCGACGGCTACGCCAGCGACAACGCCACCGCTGCTACCACCACCACGGCGCCTCCCATCCCCGACGAGGAGGACATGGCCGAGCTGACCCTCGGAGCTGCGCGTGCCGCCAAGCTTGTGCACAACAAGGTCTACAGGGCCGGGAGGGGTTGTGAGGTCATGTACAGTCAGGAGGGGAGTGCGGTTGATTTCGCCTATACTGCGCGGCGAGGGTCTGCGCAAGGAGGCGACGGTGGGGCGGGGATCAAGTGGAGTTTCGAGGTAGAGCTGAGGGATGAGGGGTCTTGGGGGTTCTTACTGCCTCCTGGCCAGGTGAGGGATACAGGAGAGGAGATGGCTGCTTTGTTGGATTATTTGCTGGCTTTTGTGGCGGGAAAGGAGAGGTTGTAGCTGTGTGAAATGGGCTGGGGCTGTCATTGTAATTGTATGCCATGCGTGTGATCAAAGTGTGATTGAGGGATGTGACGGGCGGGCGTGCAGAGGGCACCCGTATTCGGCTGCCGGGCGTTGCGTTGCGTCGCGTTGCTATCTGCGCTTGGCCCTGCACCCTGCGCCGGCAATGACGTATAGATCAGTCGCGTGGCAGCTCTGCTCTTCTCCACCCAACACGCACAACGGAGCGCAGCGCCCACACCAAAGATGGCATCGTGGACTTTCTCCTCTCCGCAACACCACTATTTCTGATCTCGACACACCATGCTCACCCCAACCCTCCGCCTCCCGGCCATGACCATCAGGACCACCCCATCGCTGCGCCTCATGTCAACAACAAGCGCCCTCCGCGCGCAGGGCAAGGCACCCAAGCCCCCGCTCCAAGAGACGCGTACGGGGCCAATGAGCGAAAAGGACTTGCCTAACCATCCCGGGTACACGAGCTACGAGCAGGAGGCCACCTCTGCTCATCCGAAGGATATGAAGACTCCCAGTGGGGGAAGCGCGCCGAATAGGTAAGTCACGCTGCGGCTCCACTCCCGACCGCAATCCCACAATCCGGCTCACCTCCTTACCTGCAACCCTCGCCCTCGCTCGCCCTCGCTCGCAGCACGACGCCCAACGCCTCGACTCAAGCGGATCCCCCGCACCCTGCGTTGGAGAAGATGGTACACGGTGCGGAGCGTGAAGGATCTGATGCGACTGGACCGGAGGAGCGTACGCAGAAGGTGTGGGCCGCGAACGCGAGGGCTGCAGAGTTCAACCGCGAGGAGGGAAGACGTAACCCTGTTCTTGACGGAGGATCGCACGAAGGTGGTCTGCGAGAAGATGGAAAGGGTAGCAAGACGTAGAGAGGGCGGTACGGGTAGGGGACAATGGTAAACCGACCTGGCGCCCTTCTGCGAGAGACTGGACGTCTGGCAAATGCGAAGCACTTCGCGTTGTACGTCTGCAAGACACGATGACTCAATGATCATCGCTATGAAGTCGAGCTCAGATGGAAGTGCGAAGTTGACGCAGACGGCGTGGGGCCCTCGAGACTCAGGGCTGCGGGCCAGCGAGCCAGTGATTCGAGCGTCGGCTGGGCACCAGTGTCCCACGCTCTCCGACGCTTCGTCTCTTCTGCTCCTCAACAACGGCAGCGAGAGCAGACCCTTCAGACCGAGGAATTGACAGTCTGATGATTGCTTAGCGGGAACCAAAGTAGGCGCGTAAGGCGTGCAAAGGGTCAAGTACAGAACAGAAAGAGAGACAACAATGCAATTGTGGATCTCGCGTTCAGGATAGGTCCGACGAGGGGGCAGATGGCTTCGAGGCGCCCTTGCCTGGTGAGGGAAGCTCTCTCCCCATGCATGGCCTGCCTTGTAACGCGAGCGTGATGCTCTGCCTTCTCGAGTGCGACTCTGGCTGCATCGACAACCTCTGCACGGGCACCACTGATGGTGGCGGTCGAGAGAGTGAGCTGACAGTCCATGACCTGGGCCATCGCCGACACGTTGAGGGGAGAGCAGGCTCTTGTAGCGGTCGCTGGCAACGCCAAGGGCGCTCTGCGTCTCCTCATAGCCATCGTTGCCGGTGGCGCGGTTGCCGTTAATGCCGGTCACACCGGCGAGCTGAGGCAATCCGTACGCAGCGCGGGCAGCAAGCATCTTGCTGTCGAATTGGTACGCGCCGAAGAGACGGAGGATGAGCGACTCCCAGACGGACAAGATGTCGCTGATTGCCTTTGGGTCAGCGCTGTCGACGAAAAGGAATGGCAGCATGATGTTCTCCTCGTTCTGGCCAGCTTCCCGGTAGTGCACTGGCGGTCGCTCCAAGTCGCTGAGGCGGTACGCTGCCTGCGTTGCCTCGTGCTGTGCGTACCGTCGGGGGCCATGTATTGTCCTGCCGCCGTAGATGGTGCGCCAAGCGCTCTCACGGATGCCGACGCGGCCGTAAATGATGTTTTTGAGGTACTAGGGAGGCAAGCCGGTGCCGCCGTTGACAATGGCGGCGACGTGGCCGCTGAGCGAAGCGGCGGCTTCCATGCTCTGCCAGAAAGCACCAGTTGGCGTTTCGCTGCTGGAGTCGACGTGACGCAGGAAGGCTTCGAGGGGCGGGAGGAGATTAACCAGCTTGCTCTTGAGGCATTTGGCGATGCGCTGCCTGTCGTTGACCATCCACGAGGGAGGCGGCACATTGAAGTCAACCTTGCCTGTGTGGATAGAAGGGGAAACGTCTGATCAGCAGCCGCTCACCTGCGTCCACGGAGCATTCGCCCTACTCACGATCGATCCAGTCGAGGAACAAGCGCTTGGTAGCCTCAAAGGAGCCAAGACCCTGAGGTCGGGGGCGCGAAGCCGGTTTGCTCTTGAGGTCGTAATGGCGTGCGACATTAGACCCAAGGTAGTAACGACTTCCCTCAGCGACGACGCACGGGCAATGCTCTCCGTCGAACTTCTTTGTTGCGGGCGCGTTGACGTCTTTGCCCTCGCCATTCCCGTTGACGAGCTGCTTGACATTCTGCTCACTGCCGTCGAGACTCTCGGTGGTCTCTCGAAGGACCTTCTGGAGCTCGGCCAGCTCAGGAAGCTCGGTGAGGTGACACTACAGGCTTTCGAGGATGTCGGAGCGCGAGCAGTCCTGGATGCCGTAGAGGAAGGCCTTCGTCTTGGCCTGTCCACCCTCTTCTTCGTCCTCGACGTCCTCGAGGGTTGTCTTCTTGGAGGTGCGACGTTGCTCCTTGGCCTTTGGCTTGGCTTTGACATTGCTCTGTGCGCGCTTGCGCTTCTTGCTGTTGTCCTTCGGCTTCGACGAGGTGTTAGAAGTGGCATCGTCGTCGCTGGGCAAAGCGTCCGATGCAGACTCGGCGTCAGAGGCTACGTAGTCGCTGTTGCTGTTGCTCACGGGCCTCGAGATACGCTTCACTTCGGACTGCGTCGTTCTGCCCGCATTGACCCACGCAGCCTCAAGACTTGACACTAGTTGCTTGACTCGATGTTGGAGAGGCTGTCCATGCATCCCAGCAGCGAACTTCTTCAGAGTGCTGGGGCGGGGGCTGTACAGATCCATCAGGTTGTCGACGTTGGCGGGCGGGGGGGAGAGAGGCGCAGCGACGAGGCGAGCCTTTAGCACGGGGGTCGGCGCCTGCGGCTCGTCGCTTACGAGACGCAGTAGCTCCTCGTCGAGCTCTACGAGCGAGCTGATGATCTTCGCGCACGACTTCTTGAGGCCCAGGTACCAGGTTTCCAGGGGGAGGATGCCTTCGAGGCAGCGGATTATCATTGGCCGCGCCTCTGCGTCGGGGCTCAGCTGTGCTCCGCCGATCCTCAGCAGGAATGTGACGAGCTCTGAGCCCTTTCGCCGTTGCGCGTATGCCGGCACTTTATCCGTGCATCCCGGCGACGCGTGCCCAGTGAGCCTCCCGCGTTCGTCGAGATGACGCAGCAAATCCAAGCTGCGAAAGACGACATTGCGAGCCTGGATGCATCTTCTCGCGGGAGGGATCTGTGGTGCGGGGAAGGCGGCTGTATCAGCGGCTGCGACTGCGTCGAGGTAGTGATCACCGCCCTCCTGGGCAGGGATTGGATGTATTCACCTTGTCATCTGGCGGACGCATCTCCAGCATTTCCCTGGTAAGGCCGGGAATGGCACCGAGGAGGGCCTTCGGCCACTCTTCCTCGTAGGACCCAGCCTTGAGTGCGTCTTTGAATGATTCTTGGTCCAGCTCGATTGGCTCAAGAATGGTGTGTCGTATCGCTATCCTAGTGATGGCGTGGTCGCTACCGTCGACTGTCCCTCTTCCGACGCACAAGGTACAGCAAAAGGGCAAAGCCGGTAGTAATTACGCTAAAGTTTCTCTCTCCACCGTCCAGAGCGACACTCCCGCACGTAAAGGCACTCGACGTGCAGACCGGGTGAAGCGTGCTGCTCGAACGTGCCAGGCCGGAGATGAGGTCGAGAGCGCTGCGCCGTGCTGCGTTGCCTTCTGCTGCGATGGCTCCCGTAGACCAGGCCTCTCGCTCCCTCATCCCTCGCGATGTATGCAGTTGTGCATGGCGGGTGAGATCCCTTTTGCCGCCGTAGGAGGAAGGTGTGGCAGTCTTCCGGAGTGGTAGGAAGGTGTCGAGCTCGTGGGTGAGGCCTATGTTGAGTGTCCCTCGCCTTCGATCAAGGTCAAGGAGGAAAGACGTGGCCAACCCTACCATACTTTGCGAGGTGAAGTTGTGCAAACTTGGTCGTCTAGAGGAAGCTGAAGTTCGCCCGCGAGACGTGTGCGACTGAAAGCGTCGGTAGAGAGCCTCGTTGCTTGCGTGAGTCGTTTTGAGGAAATTACGTGGTGGGAAGGTCGCTGCTACTAGCGGGCGATGTTAACGAGTGAGGTGAGGTGCTGAGCGCGACGTGCCGTGGCGAGGCGAGGCGTGGCGAGGAAGGAGGAATGCGTAGCAAGCTGGCTTTCAGTCTGAGAGAGGAGGGAGAAGGTAGTCTAGCTTCATCCACCCCTCCCTCCCCCCGTTTGGTTCTGAGAAGAGGAGGCTCTAGGGTTTGCGACGGGCAAGTGACTGGGTGGGTACGGAAAGGTTGGGTGTGGTGGAGCGGGGGAGAAGAGGAGGCGATGGATGGATGGATGGAGCGAAGCCAACTTGATTAGACCAACCAGGCGCAGCACAGCACAGCACAGCACAACAGCGATTGCTCTCAGGCGAGGCGGTCAGCGGCGAGCGACGGGTGCCTGAGAGGCGGCGGTGAGGGTGAGCCTCGGCGAGCAGGAGCGGATAGAGCGACGACGCGTCTCATCTGCTGTGGGGCCACGTGGTCCTGCTGTCGCCCAGCTTCAATCCATCCTTCTCGGCCCACCACGCCTCATAATGCTCACTCTCGCAGCGACTTCTTTTGAGCTTATGAGAATGTGTGTGTGTGTATTGCTGATACAAGAGAGGGTCAGAGCTGATGTCGAGAAGAAACAGGGCAGAGCCGCCTGCCTGCCTGGCTAAGGGGCCAGACGCTAGACGACGTCGTGGCCACTGTCGTCTACGAACGGGGCTTCTCCTTGATACCACGGAACAGGGCAATGAGACCAACGCCCGAGACCTTGACGACCTTGAAGCGAACACCGGGAATATCACCCTTGGCCTTACCCTGTGAGCGTCAAGCGGGAGCGGAGCGAGAACGGAGCGCGAAGAGGAGGGAGTAGGAAGAGCAGGAGCAAAGGAGAGGGTCAGCGAGCCGTTCGAGGAGATTTCGCCGCAGTGATGGTGGTGATGATACGCGCCTTTCGTCCGAAGCCAGAAATGAGAACTGAGGCAGTAACGATGAGAAGGAGGCGAAGGAAAGGGGTAGTAGGTCAGCACCCTGTCCTCACTTCATCGCCACAGCCGTCTCGCTGCCTCTCGTGCAGACCAGATGCCGTATGACTCCTCTCCCGCGCGCGCGCCCAACTCACCCTCATCGTTCTCATCGACCGAGTTGAGACAACCGTCCATGGGGACGAAGGCTGCTACCTTCTTACCATTCTTGATCAGCTGGACACGAACGGCCTTACGAATGGCAGAGTTGGGCTGCTTAGCCTCAACGCCAATCTTCTCGAGGACGATGCCCTTGGCTGTGAGTGAGCGGAGCGAGCGGAGCGAGAGGAGCGAGCGGAGCGAGCGGAGCGAGAGGAGCGAGCGGAGCGAGAGGAGCGAGAGGGAGATGGGTGGGTCAGCACAGACGACAAGTGAAGACACGGGGGCTCTGGGGGGGGAGACGACGTACCCTGCGAGGAACCACCGGTAGGGGAGGACTTGTAGAAATTACCGAGCTCACGCTTGTTGTAGTGAGCGTCGGCCCATCGGTTGTCGCGACGGATGGAGCGGAGCTTGCGTGCCGTGTTGAGTCCACGAGGCTTTCCCATTGTGGCTGGGCAGGGCGTAAGCAGGGGGAGAGAGTGGGGTTAGTTTGGGTGTTCGTGGTGGTGGGATGGAGGAAGGGGAGGAAGGAGGAGAGGTGGGAAGATGATGACGACGACGACGACGACGGCTGGCGTGGGTGGTGGTGGTTCACGTCTCCTCGAGGAGAAATTCGACTCCAGCTGAGACTCGCCCTCGTCTCTCCTGCTTTTCCGCAGCAGCAGCAGCAGCAGCAGCTATGTCGTCCCTCTGTAAGGGCAGCTGCCTCTTCCACTTCAGCCGCGTATGCTTCTCTTCCTCCTCGCCTCATGACATCCATGTCACCCCACTTTGTTCTCCCAACCAGACCCGCCACACTGCGGCGTGCCCCCATCGACGTAGCCTTCCATTTCTTCGCCAGTCGCAATGCCGTCGTCGTCGTCGTGTTGTCATCGTCATCATTCTCATCGTCCCCTCGACCCATGAGCATTCGCCATGACGATGCTCACCTACTAAAAGAAGAGGAGGAGGGAGGGGAGTGTGGTGGTGGTAGTGAGGAGAAAGGCAGAATTCGGTGCGTCGTCCCGTGGCTGCTTGCTTGCTTGCTTGGTGCCAGGCCCAGCCAATCGAGTCTTGCCTGCCTGCTCTCCGCCCCGCCTGCTTGCCTGCCTGCCTGCCAGCCCCGCCAGGCTCACTGACCTGAGCGTCCAAGCTTGGTCGAGGGAGCGGCAGGAAGGGGGGCAGCGCGCGCAGTCTCCCGCCAAAAAAAGGTCGGGACGGAACCTTTCGCTCTGCCCTGCCCGCGGCCATGCGACTGTGAGGGAGGGAGCGGGGCGGCAGGCGGAAGACTTGGTTGGATCGACTCGCTCGCCGCTCGCTGCGAAGTGCGAAGTCGGACTCGCCTGGCCTGACTCGACTTTGACCTTCGCCGCCTCCTCACCATCATCACCACCACCACCCCCTTTCCCCCTTCTTCCTCCTCATCAACAAGACACAATGGCAGACGCAGCACCCCGTGGACGTGGTGGATTCGGCCGTGATCGCGGTGGACGTGGACGTGGACGTCGTGGACCTCGTCGTGGTGGGAATGACGAGAAGCAAGAGTGGGGTGAGCATCGCCGAGACCGAGATGTGCCATTGTGATTTTGCCATGCGTGGTTACTGACTGACTCGCTCCTACGTCGACAGTCCCCGTCACCGCCGTCGGCCGTCTCGTCAAGGACGGAAAGGTCAAGAGCATCGAGGAGCTTTACTTGTGGGTGTCTCAGGCGCCTCAGCCCGCACTCCGATCACCTTGTATGCTGACCGATCGACATGCCATGTCCCTTCTCTGCGCAGGTTCTCGCTCCCCATCAAGGAGTACCAGGTCATCGACCTCCTCCTCCCCAAGCTCAAGGTGCGTTGCGCTTGCCCCACCTTCCATTCCCTCCCATCCCCTTTGCTCACTTCTTTCCCCCCTCCCACTCCTCGACTCGCAGGACGAAGTCATGAAGATCATGCCCGTCCAGAAGCAGACCCGTGCCGGTCAGCGTACCCGTTTCAAGGCCTTCGTCGCCGTGGGCGACTTCGATGGTCACCTGGGTCTGGGTGTCAAGTGCGCCAAGGAAGTCGCGACGGCCATCCGAGCGGCCATTATCCTCGCCAAGCTGAGCGTCATCCCCGTTCGTCGTGGTTACTGGGGTAACGCTCTCGGTGAGCCGCACACTGTGCCTATGAAGGTGCGTCGAGAGTCTCCAATGGCCAGGCTGTACCCACACGTCCTCTTTACTGACCATCCTCCTCACTCTCACACTCACACTCACCACTCGACAGGTGTCCGGCAAGACGGCCTCGGTCATGTGCAGGCTGGTCCCCGCCCCCCGCGGTACGGGCATCGTTGCCGCTCCCGCCTCGAAGCGTATGCTCCAGCTCGCCGGTATCCAGGACTGCTACACGCAGAGTCAAGGTAGCACCAGCACCATGGGCAACTTCATCAAGGTGAGTCAAACGATTGCGCTAGCCACAGAGCGGGGCGAAACATCGTCTGACACTACCACCTCCTCTCCTCCCTTGCTCGCCACCCACGCAGGCCACTTTCGAGGCCGTCTCCAAGACGTACGCCATCCTTACTCCCAACCTCTGGCCGGAGATCCCCGCCCCCCCTCACCTCTTTGTCGAGCACGCTGCTCACCTTCAGCGCGCCGGCAAGAAGACTGTCGCTTGAGCGCAGGGTCGCGTGTGGTCTCTCTCTCTCCTCTCTCTCTCCTCTCTCGTTCGTGTACACTGTTCCCCCTTCCCCATTCCCCCCACCTATACATTCGTCAAGTCGACGTCAAATGCGATGTTCGATGAGCACCAGCGTTTGCGAGTGTGTGCTCGTGCGTGTACCTGAGCGCGGGCATGATCGAGGGGCCGTAGAGTGAGGGCAATGGGAAAATGTGTCGAGGGCTATCACCTGCGTGTATGCGATGTGCGTAGCCCGTAGAACAAGGCAGGGCAGCAGGAGTGAAGAAGCTCTCAACCTTGGTCTCCCGTCCGCGACCGCCACGTGGTGTCCGCGTGTCTCCTGCAGGGCGGGGCCACTGCAATCCACAGTCCGAGGGCGACGACGGCGGCGGCGGAGGCGCAACAGCCGCCCGGTGCCAATCAACAAGGCGACGACGCTCAGCCCGCAACGCAGCAACACAACGCAACACAACACCTTCACACATTCTCCTTCCTCCTCCTCTCTCTCTCTCCCACAACAACGCAACCACCCATCACCCATCATGAGCGCTCAAATCCTCTCCACCATGATGACCCTCCCTCAAACCCTCAAGGGAATCTTCACAAAAGAGCGTCTCTCCTCCCTTCGACCCATCGGGGAATTCTTCGACTATCAACGAATCTCCCGCCCCCAAGACCTCAATGAAGCTACGCAGAGAATCACTTATAACACGCGACACTTTTCTGCAAATTACCTCGTACTCATCGGTCTACTGGCCGTCTATGGTTTGCTGACAAGCCCGCTACTGCTCGTGGCTATAGCCTTTTTGGTGGGGTCTTTTGCGGCCGTCAATCGTTTTGCGCCGGAACCGCTGCAGGTGGGGGAGCATGTGGTTACGCAGAAGAGTCTCTACACTGGTGTTGTGGTGGTGGGAGTCATATTGCTTTGGTTCGCAAGTCCTTTTGGTCTGTGAGTGCTGCGAGCGAGAGGGGGGAAGCGTGGCATGGGGAGCGGAAGGCGAGGGGGGAGCAGGTTTGAGCTGACATCCCGTCTTTATCTCGTTTCGCGCGCGCGCGCTCGCATCGCAGCCTCTTCTGGCTCATTGGAAGCTCAGCATTCCTCGTTCTCGGGCATGCGGCCTTCATTGGTACGTGCGACGCCCTGCGCTGCGGATGCGCTTCGATCGTGCTGACCTTCTTCCTCCCCTTCCCGCCTTCGCGCAAACAGAACCGCCAGTCAGCTCAGAGTACACGGGAGTCGAGACGGTATAGATCGAGAGGGGAGAGAGGGGGGGAGGTCCGGGGGGAGAATGCAACGAGGAGAACGCAACAAGGAGTTGGGCAACGATATACTGTGGTGAAGCCAGGAGGAGGGAGGAGCAGATTCGAGGGCCGGACGCCCATTGAGCCCAACATATGTCACGCACACGCACACGCACGCCTCGATTGATCGAAGCAAGCTTTTCATTCATCCCACACTCACTCGTGTCGCGATTCATTGACTCTCGACTGGTGGCTTCAATTCGCTTCGATTCGCTACGTATGTGTTGTGATGATCTCGCTACACTTTTGCCCATCGCCCACCTCTCCCACAGCCTTTACGCCGCTCGATGCTCCCGGTCCCACTGCTCCTTATGCTTGGCATACTCGTCCTCACCTGCCCCTCCACCACCCACACCCAAGTTGGAAGGTCGCGCCTTCTTCACGCTGCCCGCCGAAGTAGAAGGACTCGCACCACCGCCCGACGAGCTCACCTTGCGCTTCATCGCACTTCCCGCGGCAGGCGCAGGCGCAGCAGCAGCGCCCTCTGCCTCCCTATTGATCCCATTCAACTTCTCGTAGATCCCCCTAATCTTACCTCCACGCACCCCATCCTTGCTAGGCCAGAAGAAGGTGACAAAATGCCACAAATGCCTCTCCAGCCTAGCTTTACGCTCCTCCTCTCCGCCGCGCGCCAACGGGTCCACAACCTCATCGATGCGCTGTCCAATGGCTGCCAAACACTCCTTGAGCGCGGCAAGCTTCGCGGGCCCTTTAAGGGACTCCGTATCGTTCTTGAGTCGCTTGAGCTGTTTCTTTGCTGGACGGAGGAGCTCCTTGCATTCACCCTCATCCATCGATTCGCCAGCACTGTCCGGATCTTCTGGCTCTGCTTCCTCTTCGTCCGACGAGCCGGAAGAGTAGTCGACGTCCGGTCGAACTCGTTTCGAGGGTGCAGGACTGGCCGTCGAGGGGCTGCGCTTCTTTGCCCTCTGGGCGGCGATTCGGCCAGCGGAGGAATTGGCTGCTACCGAGCGTGAAGGGCCCGCTTCGCCATTGCCCGCCGCATCGGCGTCGTTTGCCGCCTTCTTCTCGGGGTGCTTCCACTCGTCGAGGCACACAAGCAGGTAGTCGACGCGTCGCACAAGGTGAACGGCGTTGGGGATAGGCTTGGCCGCCTTGTTCGTCGCCGACCCCGCAGGGGGGCGCTTACGCCTCTGTTTCACCACCTGCCCATTCTCGTCGATCGTCGTAGGTGGAGGGCTGCGGTTCGCCAGGGCCTCGGCAGTCTGGGCTTGCTTGCCCTCTTCGAGGAAGAACTTGCCCGCGAACTGGAGGCGGGCGTCTGCTTCAATTTGCTCCCATTCTCCCAAGCCGTACAGGTAGACGCCGATGAGGAGGCGAACGTCGTCGTCCGTTGTCCAGTCGCAATGCCAGCCTAGGGTGCCTTTGGTCTCAAAGGGGATTTGGAAGTCAAAGGGGTCGGCGAGGGAGCGCATGTGCTCGACGAGGAGTCGGAGATTGTAATGACGATGCACGATGCTGGCGGGGCGACGAAAGGAGGGGAGAATGGTCAGCGTCACCGTGCCATTCTGCCGCGCTACGCCCGCCACTCACGTCTCTGCATTCAACCCCTTAATCTCCCTGCAATTGACAAGCACAGCCTTCTGCCTCCACGTGATAATCTCCTCTCCCCTCTCGATCCTGCCCCTAATGAACTCCTTGTGATCACTGATGGCCTTCTCGCTCAATTCGATGAGCTCATCCGACGCTTGAAGCAGGACGGCCCGGTTCTTGCGCTCTAGCTTCGTCTCGGCCACGATCTCCTCGTAGCGACAGCGCAAGTCTCCCCAACGCTGGATACTGCGGAAGAGGACGCGCAGGTCGCGCTCTGAGAGGGTGGCAGAGCGTTGCGCACTCGAACTCGCCGACCCACCACCACCACCGCTCTTCCTCTTGGACGACGACCCGCCAGCTTTGCCACCACCACCGTCCTCCCCATCACTCGGATCGCTCCCCGCGTCACCACCCGCTCCTCCCTTGCCGTTCGAAGCAAGCTTGTACGCATCAGCCGATACCTGCGCAGCCTTGCGTCGCGAATTTTGCGCCGCCAACGCATCCAGCACGGCCTGCTCCTGCGCGGCTGCCTCCTCTTGCTTAATGCGGGCAATCTCCTCCGGCCCCATGATATCGTCCCAGCTCATATCGTCGGCTTTGAAGTCCTGCACCTTCGCAAACTGCTTGAGGAAGTCTTCGCCACCCGATGCCGCGCCCACGCTGTCTCCCTGCGTCTCGTGTGCTTCGGCGTCCGCGAGAAGGGCGTCGATGTCCAGTCGCTCGAGCTTCTCCTGCTGCTGCTCCTCCCCCTCGGCACCCGAGGCGCCCTTGGTGAACATGCTCTTGGCCCCGAACTTGAGCGCAGCCTCGAGATCCTCCTTGCTTGGCCCCTGACCCGGCTTTTCCTTGCCACCGCGCGCATCCTTGGGGGCAAAGTTGGTACCGGACGTGTCCATCTGGTGGATGATGGCGTACTCGAGGACCATCTTGCGCTTGGCGCGCTCAATCACGTCCTCCTCGACCGTGTCCTTGGTGAGGAGGCGATACACGTTGACATGACGTTTCGAGTTGAGTCGATGGGCGCGGGCCATGGCCTGCAGGTCGTTCTGGGGATTCCAGTCAGAGTCGAAGATAATGACCGTATCCGCCGTCTCGAGGTTGATGCCCAGCCCTCCGGCGCGGGTGGACAGCAGAAAGGCAAAGTCAGGGGAACCCTCGGCATTGAAGCGCTCGATGGCTTTGCGACGATTGTCCGACGAGACCATACCGTCGAGTCGCTGGTGGATGTAACCCCTCATCCCCATGTAGTCGCTCAGCACGTCGAGCATGCGTACCATCTGTGAGAAGATGAGGACGCGATGCCCGTCCTTCTTGAGTCGCGTGAGCAGCTTATCGAGGAGGACCATCTTGCCGCTGTTCATGATGATGCCCTTCAAGACGTCGCTGCGATCCGTGTGAGCCGGCTCGGAGCCGTCGAAGAGGTACGGGTGATTGGACACCTTCTTGAGCTCAATGGCGATATTGAGCAAGCTTACTTGTGCGGCGCCTGCTGCGCTGAGCGTGGCATAGTTTCGGCTGAGGATGGCCTTGTACATCTTCTGTTGCATGGCGGACATTTCGACGCGGAGGATCTTCTCTGTCTTGCCAGGGAGCTCTTTGATGACCTGCGCGCGTGAGTGGAGAGGCGTTGGGAGGTAAGTCAGCTTGGTCCTGGGGCGGCCTCTGCTCGCCTGGCCTCCTGAGGCGCCCTACTCACGTCCTTCTTCAAGCGCCTGATCATGACATTGTCCAGCTTCTTGTGCAGCGCAGCAACCGCCTCAGGATCCGCCGTCGTGACATCAAAGTCCACATCGAGCGAGAACTGGTCTGGCCTCAAGAAGTGCATGAGCGCCATGAGCTCCTTGACGTTATTCTGCAGCGGCGTGCCCGTGATGAGCAGCTTGCCCGCGACGTGGAATCCCATCAAAACCTCGTACAGCTGCGCCTGTGAATTCTTCAGACGGTGCGCCTCATCCACGGCGAGGAACTGCCACTTGATGGCCTGCAGCGCGTCTGCATCCTTGAGGATGTACTCGTACGTGGTGACCAACACGTTGAACTTGAGCTTCTTGGGAGAGCCGAACTCGTAGTCCCTGATCATGGCGCGCGCCTCGGTATTGCCGATGTAGCTTACCACGTTGAGGTCCGGTGCCCAGTTCTCGAACTGCTCGATCCAAGCAGGCAATGTAGAGAGAGGCACAACGACGAGGTGCGGACCGTACTGGTGCATCGAGTGGACGAGGTACGAGATGAAGCTCACGCTCTGCACCGTTTTGCCCAGTCCCATTTCGTCGGCCAGAATGCCCGACTCGCCCTGCGACCATAGGTAGGCGAGCCAGTTGAGCCCAGTGAGCTGGAACTCCTTGAGCGTGCCGCCCCCTTCGGTGAGGTACTTGGGCTGCTCGCTCATGCGTACATACTTGGGGCGATTGTGCCCGTAGTTTTGGCTTCGCGGCGGCTGGAGCAGCGACTTGGCTCGGTCGATGTGGGCCTGGATGGCGGGCTTGGCTATCTTGCTGATCTCGTCTTCGGCCTCCCATGTGCACTCGGCGTAGCTGAGACCCTTCCACTTGCAGAGGTACGCCAGGTGGCTGTACGGGTGGTCGTTGGTGGGCGGGTTGTCCCGCTGGGCGACGATGCGTTCGACAACTTTGTACGATTCGAGGGCCTCCTTGATGCGCTCCTCGTCGACGCGGATGGCTTCAATATCTTCGCGAGTGGTGCGCGGGTCGTTGAGGAGGGCGTGAGCCGGTTGCCAGACGTTGCGAATGTAGTTCTCGACGCGCTTCGAGCCCTTGCAGTCTTTGAGGAATGACCAAAGCTCCGAGGTGTTGTGAAGGTGCGAGTAGCCTGGTGTGGCGCGAGGCGATCAAGAGGCAGGTCAGCGTGAATTCTACCAGCCATACTGCCATCACAGTCTCGCCCGCTCACCCTTCCACTTGATGATGAACCTCAGATTCTCCTTTGGCTTCTCCTCCTCGCCCTCCGGCTTCTCCTCATCAACTTCATGCCCGCACACCTGCTCAATAGTCGTGTCATCATCCTCAGCAGCCGCCTCGCCACCTCCGCCGCCACCCGCATAGTCAAGTCGATCCTCAAACGGATCGCTGTCCTCCTCAAGGCCATACTGCGCATCCTCCTTGTACGTAACCTTCTTGCCCGTTCTGCTCGAGATGCGACTGGCATCAAACCCGTCGTCCGAAGGAGGGGAAGCCTTGCTACGACGAGCTGCTGGAGCGCTGGATGAGCCAGCTCGGGCACTTGATCCTGGTGCTGCGCGCTTCTTGTTCTGTTTTGCCTGACGGGCCTTTTTACGGGAGAGCTTGAGGGCCTTACGCTCACGAGCATTGGTGGCGAAGTCGTCGTCCCCTTCGATCTCGTCGTCGTCGTCTACGTCCATGCCGTCGGCTGAGCCGTCTGAACCGTCTGAATCGGCCTCGGAGAGCTCCGAGGTTTGGGGGGTGGAGCGCGACGAGATGGCCGATACTGGGCGTGGAGGGGGCGAAAGGTGTTGTTTAGTGACGGGCCGTTACCCATAGCTCGTGTGCTCAGCGCAATTTGCTCACCTCGTCCCTTGATCTTGATGCGCGTGGCCTGACGAGGTCCAGGCGACTCGTCTTCATCATCTCCATCGCTATCCTCAGCTCCTGCATCGAGGTACTGGTGTGCGAGGGATGGGTGGTAGTGGTCAGCGCGCGCGAGATAGAGGCTCACCACCACCCTCGTGCTTCACGCCTACTCACGCTCTTCTTGGGTGCTCGTCCCTGAACCGCGATGACAAACGCGAACAATGGCGCGACGCGGCAGCAAATGGGAGTCCAGAGGGCGAGCGAGGAGCGGGAGAGCGGGGAGAGCGGAGGAGCGGCCGGAGGTAAGGGTCAGTCAGTATATGCTCCGTTTTCACCAGCGTCTTTTGCTCGCCCGTACACTCACGGAGCGACGCAGACCATAAAGGTCAGGGTTAGCCTCAGCCTCATCGAATGGCTTGGCCTTGGGCGCGCGAGAAGACGTGCTGGGCGAGCCGCCTGGCGAAGTGGCTGCCGCCGCACCCGCTGCTGCCTCTATGCCGTGCCCGTTGGACGATGACGAGGGGGCTGCTGCTGCTTGTTCGGGCTCGGACTTGATGCCAGCTTCGGTAGGCTTGACATTGACGCTATGGCTGTCCGAAGGTTGCGCCTTGATGGTGCTTGTGGCAGCCACGTCGGCCGCGCTGCCGCTGCCGCTGCCGTTGGGCTGAGCCTCGAGGGCCGGCTTGATGTCGCTCGACGTTGCGCTGTCCTGTGGTTCAGCCGGCTTGATAGCCTCGATGGGTGGCTTCACGTGCTGCGACGGAGCTGCCTCTGCACTGTCAGTGGGCGCGATAGGTGCGGGCTGAGCAGCGGGTGGGACTGCTATGCCAGACGACGATGATGATGGTGCGGGGGCGGGCGCTGATGGCATTGAGCCAAGAGCCTGCCCGCCATTGCTGGACTGCTGCTGATCACCACCCTCCATTGCCTGATGCTCTCCTGTCGTAGTGCGAGTAACGCTGCGCTACTCCGATGATGATGATGATGATAGGAGGGAGGGACGAGATTGGTGATGATGAGAAGGAGTGAACGCCGTCGAGTAATGTGCGCGGAACGCGAATGAAGATAGCGTCGAGCGACTTTTGACTAGCTCGCGAGCGACACTTGCGCGCGCGCTATCAAGAGCGATTTGTCGTGATGATGAGCGTGGTAGCGATCAAAGGACTGGGCTTGCCTCGATGCGCGCTGCCCGCTGCTCGCCGTCGTCGTCGTCGTCGTCTTCTGCTCGTCGTCACCTCTGTCTGGTGCCGCCGCCGCCGTCGCCGCCCGCGCCCACCTCCCTGTGCCTCTGACGGCGAGCAGAGCAGCCCAGCCAGCCAGCAGCCCACATCGCCTCCGAGAGAGTCAGTCGTGGCCAGCCACACACATGCACGAGTCGGGTTCGCCGCCGAGACCAGACTGAGAAGAGACAACGGCAATGGCATTGGCAACAAGGAGAGTAGAGAGAGAGGGGATGACAAGAGGGACGCACAGTTGATGACGACGAGATTCGCGATGAGCGAGGAGATGGATGCAATGGGGACCATGATCGAGCGTAGAGCGACTCGATGAGACCGCTCGACTTGACCAGCTAAAAGCGCTCTATCACGCTAATTCTCATAGGCTGATCATCATCGCAGCACAGAGAGCACGACAATGATGATCAACTTACGCATATACGCGACAGCGTTGACGAGGATGAGAGCTCGGAGGGGAGCCCGCACCAATGCTGCGAGACACTGTGAGAGCTCTCAGCCCTCCTGCTAAGCCGCTCATACACGTCTGCCATCCTATTCACTCGTCTGAGCCATTCGGCAGCTCTCACCTCATCCTGAGCCCGTACGAAAGCGTAACCCAATCTAGTGGTAGCGCCGCCCGACCTTGATAGTGGCCCAGACAAGCCACGCAGCCACTGAGAAGCCTAGACCGTCGCTGCCAGATGTGGTGACTAGAGCCACGCCCTCGACTTCGAGGTGATGGTACTCTCTGATCGCCATTCACATTCTCGCTGCAATGACCGCAAACGATGAGGATGGGGTGGGAGGAGATGGGAGAGCGCGAGGCCGACGAGAGATGGACGGGAGCAAAAGGAGCGAGCTGGGCCAGCCAGACAGAGACACGGGCGGCGGGCGAGCGTGCAGAGGCAGAGGCAGAGCCCTGACGCGGGCCAAGGCGTGGGCGCGAACAAGCGGGGCGAACAGGAAAACACGTGGTTGGGGAAGGACGAGCGGAGGCGTGAGACGACGCCGTCTGCGTGACCATGGCGAGCGTGCGATGTGGTGGTGAGGAGAGCGACGCTGCTTCACCGAATGGGGATGGTGTCGCCCAAGATGGGTGGAAGACCACATATCTGTGTGACTAGGTGGCCCTGGCTCTGGCCCGCTGCTGATCTCTCGTGGTATCGCGGGCTGAGGCCCTCCGGGCCTGAAAGGTCAGGGTGGTAATGGTCTCACGAGGCCTCAAACAGCCCCGGCTAAGACTGAGAAGTGCCTCACCATGGCACGCTGGAATGCGAGGTTGCAGATCAAAGAGAGAGTGTGTGATTCGGGTTTCGTTCATTTGCTGCAGGCGGACTAAATCGGCAATGCTCCTACGGGATTGAGCAGTCGAGCACCAATCGCAAAAAATGTTCACGGTGAACAAAGCACCAAAGCAAGCAACCCAGATCAATGGAGAAGGAAGCATGTGTAGTTGAGGTGGCTCCGTGAGCAATGCAATGAGTTTAGATGCTGCTTCACCGTGACCTCTCGGGCAATAGCACGTCTGTTCAACAGTTTGGGGCGTAAGCCTGAGCGCTCCAACTCAATTCCATCGTCAAGACTTTCGCAACGAAAGTCTCCCACATAAGATCAACCCATTCGAACCATAGACCCTTGAAGAGCCGCTTTCCTTGCTGCTGGTGCTGTGGGCGTCGACAAGCTCTGCATGTCTTGCTCCCTCATCATCTGGCGACTACTAAGCATCACATGATGATGACCGTGACGCCCGCTCCCAGCTTAGCGGAACGGAATCGTCTCCCCCACGCGTCCCAGGCGGACCTCTCACCGCTCCACGCCTTGTGTGGACCTTGGACTGGAGGGCGAAGCGGAGCGGCTTTCCGTCTCATCTCGTCTCGCCTGGCCTGGCTTCCGCGGCTCTCATTCTTCCCAACAGGCATCATCCAACAGCGACTGCAACGACCAGGTCAAGGACAAGGATGGCATCACAGATGTAAGCTCCTCAGCCCTTGGCATCGAATCCTCGAATTACGCAGCCAACCATGCGACCTTGATTTGACACCCGCACCCTGCCCGCCCTCCCCCTCGCACGCAGCCTTCCCCTCGAACTGGTAGACAGGTGCATCGGCTCCCCCATCTGGGTGGTAATGAAGGCGTCAAGTCGGGAGTTCACGGGCACTCTGGTCGGGTTCGATGATTTCGTTAGTGAGTAGGAGGCGCGCGCGCATTTCCAGGTGGACCGAGAGAAGAGAGAGAGAGAGAGCCAAGACTGACCTCGATGGGGCGTATCTCGTGCACGCGCACAGATATGGTGCTCAAGGATGTGACTGAATAGTGAGTGCGCTCTTCGAGGGAGCGATGGGATTGGTTTGAGGGGGAAGCGCGGCGGCTGACATGATATGACATCGCTACCCCTGGTGCAGCGAGATGACCCCGCAAGGACGCAAGGCGACCAAGCTGAAGGAGACGCTCCTCAACGGCAACCATATTGCGCTGGTGAGCATACGGCGATGCCCACGACGAGCTTCAACCGCTCGCCCTTTGCCGAACACCTACTGATCCCGTCTTCCTCGTCTCGCACACGCAACGCAGCTCATCCCCGGCGGAGAAGGACCGGAAGGCGCCTCATCATAGTCCTGTCACTCCTCCGCACTCTCACACGCCAGCAATGATATCAAGTATTCTCTCCTTCTATCGCATTGACGGCCCACGGACCACATTCACGCCCCACGCCCCACGCCCTACGCCCTACGCCTAGTCGAATGGCACCCTTCTAATCCCCTTGCTACCGGGCAAGGCCAACCCGCTCAACCCACTCCCTCCTCCCCCCTCCTTCTCCCTCTTCTCCCTCTCAGCCTGCGCAGCTCCAAATGCGCTCGGAATCGGTATACCACAGCAGTCCCCCCACCCAGCTGCTTGGCCTTGTCCCCCTCCCCCTTCTCCATCTGGTACCGCGTGAATATGCCCGTGAGCATCCACCGCAGCTTCGTGGTCCTCCTCCTCCTCCTCCTCTTCACCGGGCCCCGCCTCAGGGAAAGGCAACAGCGACCCAAAATAGATGTGTTGCGCAATCGGCAACTTGCTCAACACTTCAGCCCTATACATCTTTCCCATCCCTTCGTTGACCTTTGCCCACCCCCCTTTGACCCCACTGATATCATCCAACATAGGGCTATGCCAGCGTAGACTGGCCGTCTTGATCCCATTGATGAACTGGATACACGCCAAGTACATGTACTCCCCACTGAACTCATCGAGGATCTCAGCATCGTGAATCGATTTGGGTCTGAGGTGACGATGCGTGGAGAGTTGGGAAGATCCCCAAACGAAGGGAAGGAAATGATAGTCGTCTAAACCCCAAACTCCGTGACTTCCTGCAGGTTCGAGCCAGTAGGTGGATTGGATGAGACGCATTACACCGATGTATCGCCAGAAGAGGCGAAGAACCATTGCTGGTCCGTCGACGGGTAGGGTGAGGACGGAGAGACGGATAAGGCATAGTAGCCATAGGAGGAAGTTGAGTTCCATCCCACTACCGTAATCTATTCTTTCCCTGTTACCCCAAGACTCGTTGAAGTACACCGACACCTCCGTCACCGCTTCGGTAGGTAAGGCTGTAATCCTCTGGTGCCACTCGGAACTGTGATCCCTGAGCTTATCAGCAAAATCGCGAAAGGCTGGATTGCCGAAACGAGATGCTGCATTGGATACTGGCGGTGTTTCGTGGACTAGCTCTTCGACCGAGTCGAGGATCGAGAGGATCTGAGTCGTTGCATCGCTTATGTCGACTTGCTCGGTGAGCGTCTTGCCCTTTACTGCTTCGTTGAGTGCCATGACCAGACCCATTATGTCGCTGAAGGACTGTGAGGACTGGAAACGGGAGAGGGAACGAGGGGAGATGATGCGTTTTCGAGGGGCGATGAAGGTGTGGGCTGAGGGGGCTGAGGAGGAGGAGGAAGCGAGGGGGACGGGAGGGTCGTAATGAGGGAGAGGGGGCTGGGGGGTTCCTTGTTGGGCTTGCTGCTGTGCAGGAAGGGCGGCCTGAGTCGGTGGTGAAGTGGGGCCCGGTGCCTTGAGCTTCTCTGCCAGCAGGTTGCGAGCAGATTCTTGAGCGATCATGGTGGCGTTGGTGGTGGTCGTGATGATGGAAAGGAAGGCAGGCAAGATGTGGGGCCCTGGCTCAGCGCTCAGTGGACGAGAGCAACTTGAGTGGTCAAAGCGCCCGCCAAGGCCACTCCGCCACGCCACGCGAGACGCAGTCCACGGCGGCCTCAGACCAAAAATGTCTCGCTCGTCTCTGTCCGTCGTCTCGCGGGGCTAAGACGTGCAGCAGCGGCAGCAGCACGTTGATTGGTTCCTAGCTTCGCGCCCAATTCGATGGAGCCATCCGCTTCCCCATTGGAGATAGCATGGCGAGCTGCGAGGGCTCTCACGGACAAGGCAGCAGCGATTGAGGGACCGCAGCAGCAGCAGGAGCCCTCCGCTAGATCGCCCTCTTCATCTTCGACAAGCTCACCGCTGGACCGGGTGCTAAGCCAACGCCTAGCAGCTTGTGATGCACAGCTGAGCAGGTTGGGGATCAGCCTGCCATCTCGTCATCATGAACGCGACGACGTGCATGTAGCAACAGCTCGAGCTGCTCTCCTTTGCCTCGCACTGCTACAGCGCTATCTCCTAGCTCAAGAGGACGAAGCGACCACAAGCATAGGTGCGCGAAATCGCAAGACGTTGGATACGCTCTGCTCCCTCTCCTCGCAATGGGGCCTTGCCCCCGCCATTCTAACCTACGACGCTCACGCTCATTCGGAGCAGCAGCATGCATGCGGTCCCGCTTCCGCTCGTCTGGCAAGCCTCTTCTCCCTAGCAGTGGAACCCACGACATCCCTCTCCGGCGTGGTACCGCATCGCATCCTCTCCACTCCGCTGGGGCAAGACATCCTGGGAAGTGCGCTGCGCCTGACATTTGGACCCAAAACTAAGACGCCCGCTGCGACGTCAGCGAGTACTCTCCTCTCATCTTGGATGAAGGGACTCCCACCCTCCCTCCTCCTCCCGCTACTTAGCGCTCAACTATCCCGCCCCACCTCATCCGACGGACCTAGCATCCCCATCCCGCCCTTCGTCCGCTCTACAGCACGACGACTCCTCTCCGGCCAATTGTTGCGGCCAGGCGGGGCCATGGCACTCATCGCGGGTGTGGTGGGACAGACGGATGGGGCCGGGGCTACATTGGACGGGAGGGCGCTGGATACTTTGGCCGACCTGATCCTCACGCCTCCTATGGGGTTCGAGAGGTTAAAATACCTGAAAGAGCATGCCTTGGCTGCACTGCTGCCTTTAGTCACTGGTGGAGAAGGAGGACGAAGTGCGGGAGGCGCCACACACCCCGGATACGCAAGTGCTGCGGCGTACGTGCTTGCGAGGTTCCAACTGAAAGGGAAAGAAGAGGAGACCTCCCTATTGACCGAACAGCTACATTCGATCATCTGGGAGCCAATCGCTCGCTCAGGTCCTCCCCTATCCTCTCTAGGTGGCCATTCAATCATCCTCACTGCGGGAAAGGACATACATGCCGCCCTCGATACGCTGGAGCTCCTCAGCCTCTCCTCCCCGCCAGGAGGATCAGGATGGGCCGCTTACCTGCTCAATCCCGTCGTTGATCGGCTTGTCTTACTCGCTGAGCTGCCGCAGAAGGCCAGGCGGGGCATCGCGGAGATCAAGGGCAAGGGCAAAGCGAGGAATGACGGCGTACAAGAAGTGGCGGGGCAGGCTGAACGACTCCTCGCAACTTGGATGCGGGTAGTAGGAGAAGAGGAGGCGCTAAGCTTTGTAAGGCGGCTGTCTCCGAGGGCAGACCGGCGTGACGAGGAGGGGGAGAAAGCAAGAGCCTACTTCGATGTAGACCACGAGGAGGAAGTGGTACTGCGTTGGGGTGTCCCTCCTACAACACCTGCCCAAACAGTCCCGCCCGATCTCCTCGCTGGTTTATCCACTGGCCTCAAAGGCGAAGGAGTCGGTGACGACGATGACGATGCACAGATGCAAGCTCAGCTGCGCATCCTCCACCAGACACTAGGAAGCTCAAGCAATTCCTCCTCCTCGGCAATATCCCCGACTCTGATCACCCGCCTCCTCTCCCAGTCCAACCGACGGGATATAGCCTCCCTCCTCCTCCCTGAACTGCTGGAACGCTTCCTCTCTCTCAAGCGACTACAACGACTCGACAACCACCATAGAGATGGAGGCGTGGAGGATGTGGACGTGAGCGTGCACTCGGGAGCGCCACAGCGTCTCTTCTGGTATCTCGAGGCAGTAGTCAGCTTAGTGGACACGTTCGGCGAGGACTTGGTTAGGCATGACATGAGGCAGGCACTGCAATTTGCGCATTACTGTCTGGGCGGGGATGCCCCGCCGACGAGGCAGCTGCGATCAGCAGAGCAGCGTGAGGCTGGTGAGGAAGAGGAGGAGGAGGAGCAGCAGCAGCAGCATGGTGACGGAGGGGCGATTCCCCTCATCAAGCCCCTCAACGAGAAAGGCTCGTCAAGGGGCATTCTTCATGAATTGCGGAATCTCTCCCTCGACTCTTCCAATACGTCGTTACACGAACACCTACAGGGTGCAGGGGGAGACGAGAGTCAAGAAGAAGACGAAGAACCTCTCGACCCTGGCCTTACGCGTATGGCTGTTGAGCTCTTGCTGAGCACACTGGAAGCTCACACGGACTTGACGCCTCAAGGTAATGCGTTGCTCGGTCTGATTGACCGTACCCTCACATCTCGACGCTTCGATCTCGACGCCATTGATTCCCTCGAGGACGCTGACGCTGAGCTATCCGAAGTGATCAAGGAAGCTCGCCTGGTCCTCCTCGCCCGTCGGCAGGCAGGCGTAGGGAAAAAGGAGAAGGAGGAGCCCGAGAGGATCGAGACTATAGGGAGCCGAGCGCGCAGAGAGGTACAGGAGAAGTACAGAGAGGCCCTCTCGGCTTTGCAGGACCCGATCATCCCCGTACGGGCACACGGGATCGTCCTACTCAAGGAGCTCGCCGCTGAACTACAAGCCGCGTCACGTTCTAAGGACAAGATGATGCTCGCCCAGGAGGATGAAGAGAGGCAAGCGCGATTAGGTGCGATTGAAGGCCTGCTCGACAAGACGGACTTGATCGCTCTGCTACTCCAGGCACTGGCCGACGACGAGTCCTACCTGTACCTCCACGCCGTCCAGGCCTTGAAGGACGTGGCGCTCCGTGGCGATTCTCGTCTCACAACCCTTGTAAGGATGTACATCGACGCTCCGGCTTCGACCTCCAACGGGTGCGCGCCCACGCCGACGTCCTCGCAGACAAAGCTAAGCGTGACCGTCCGGCTGCGGTTGGGCGAAGTGCTTCTGCACACCATCCAGTCCCTAGGCGAGGCAGGGGCAAGGTATTCCCCCTTGTTCCTCCCCTCGCTCCTCGACGCGCTCAGGGATGCAAGTCAACCTACCACGCTGCGCTCCTCTGTGCTCAGCTTGCTCGGAACCTGTGTCGAAGCTTTCCCCCTCGCCCTCTGCGCCAGGGGCGGGGCTGGGGCGTCCTGGTCTCAAAGGATGGGCGAGGCGGCGTTGGATCTTCTTGCTGTTGAAGGCGGGAAGAGGTCGACCATACCGGATTCCGCCTCGCTGGGCCTTGATCCTCTAGCAGAGGACAAGGATACCGAGATGGAGAAGCGTCGCCTAGGCTGGGCACCGGGAGCGGACGATGCGTTTTCGACTGACACCTCGTACCCGCAGCTCCGTCGAGGAGCGATGTTGCTGTTGTGTCTCTTAGTGAGGGGTTCGCGACATCAACTCGAGGACTGTGCGGAGGCACGTCACGACGAGAGGAAGGTGGAAGGGCCGGAACTCAAGAGTCTACGACTTCCCTCTGGCGGGACACTCCCCTCTTTGCGCAGCGATATCGGTCAGACAAAGACGAACCCGGCCAGGGAAAAGCCGGCCCTTCTTTTCCCCGCCACACTGATCCCACGAGCGAAAGTTGTATCCAGCTGGCTCAAAGACGCGGATGAGGATGCGCTGGTGAGATATCAGGCTGAGGAGATGGGGACGGAGTGCGAGGGACTGGAGATTGCGATCGTACAGTTTGGTCTTGGGTCGTGATTCGGTCGATCGACGCGGATCGATCCTTTCTACAGAATCGCATCACATCGCATCGCTTTGCTCGGTCTCCTCACCGCTTTCCCGCCCGTCTACACCATCGCATCCCTGCGTGCCCGCTCCTCGTCATCCCTCCTCTCGAGCTCTACCGCCTCCTTGACCTGCTCCGCCACTGCCATCAGCTGGTGGATGAGTGCCGTGCGATCCCACTGGCTCCGCTCCCGCCAGACCAAGTCGAAGGAGGCGGCGCGTAGTTGGAGTAGTTGGTCGATGTTGAAGTGCTGAGACGAGGAGAGGAGGGTGGAGGAGAGGGTGGAGAGGAGGGCGGGGGGGCAGATGAAGGGCGGGTGCGCTGCTGGTGCTGAGTGTGGGTGGGCGGCGACGGCAGGGTCGTGCTGAGAGCCGTCAAGACTCTGCGAGCTGGCGCCATTACCGTTGAGCAGCGGGACGGCTTGCTGCTCCTCTTGCTCGCGCTCGCCCTCTCGACTGCCGCTTCGCGCCTTCTTGTTCGCTTCCTGCCCCTCTGCATCCACACTCTCCTGCCTGCGCTTATTGCGCTCTATAGCCCTGACATCGACGGGCGTCTGATGCTCGGGGGCCTGTCCCTGCACCCTCGCACTGAACCTCTCCCCTGTAGGCTTAGGCGGCGGTACACCCCCAGCCGCAGCCGCAGCCGCCAAGCTCTTTGCCGCTTCGTCGGCCCGTCTCTTCTCCTCCTCTCTCGCCCGCTGCCTAACAGCCATACGCTCGCATTCGGCGCGGAAAGCCACATCGATGTACTGGTCGAGCATGATGTTGGCCATGTTCCTCATCTGGTGCGCTCGGACCATCCTTTCCTGATCGACCTCCTCGGCCGTCTCCGCATTGGAGACTATCTTGGACAGGTCAGTGAGGAAATCGGCGATGGTGAGATACCCATTGTAGTAGAGGCGCTTCTGCATTCGTTCTAGGTTCATCGTGTAGATGGTCATCGCCCGCGTGTCGTACAGCGCGTCGTCCGTCGAGGCTGTGTCGTTGGGGGCGGCGGTGGGGTCGGCGGCTGCGGCTGCGACTGCCATGGCGCCGCTGGCTCCGTCACCGTTGGTGGCGGGGACTTCGGCCGCAACGAGGTTGGTCACTGAGCCGTCGGTTGCTTGAGGTGGTGGTGGTGGCGGAGCTCCGAAAGTCATCGCTGCGCCAAGGCTTGACATGCCGCCATTGCTACCCGGCATGGGCTGCGAGGCTGCCCCTGCTGGCACTGCCCCCTCGCTCATCGACACGTCTGCCGCGCCAGGCTCGTCGCTTGGCTGCTCAGCAGGTGCTGACTGTCCTCTCTGTGGCTGTTCCGCCGGCTGGTGCGAGCCCACCTCGTCACCACTACCCGTGATGACGCTCAGCCCGTTCACCTCGGTAATAGTCGAGCGTCTCCTAGGCCTGAACCCCTTGGCATACCGAATCGTCACAACGATCTTCCCCTTCTCCTTAACGTAATCGAAGCCCAGCTGATCCGTAAGGTACTGCAGCTCATACTCATCCCAGGGGTCACGCGTAAACTTCTTGAACTTCTTGCGCAGCTCGTTCAGGATGGGGCCTAAGCGATACTTGAGCTGCTCGAGGGTGCGATGGTCCTCTGCTGCTTGCTGTTGGAGCTCGGCTTGCGTCAACTGGCGGGGAGGACGTGGAGGCGCGCGTGGTAGCTCTTCAAGGATGCGTTTGCGACGGGGAAGGGCGTCGGGGAAGTCGCTGGGGGGCTTGCGGACGTTGGCGAGGAGCTCGGAGAAGAAGGCTTCGCGCTGCGAGGATGAGGGAAGCGTAGCCTCGATCTTGTTGTCCCGCAGGTAGCCAAACCATTTGGCCACGTCTGCGGGCAGCTGCGAGAGGGGGGCTTCGGCTACGGCGAGGAGCAGCACCGGGTCGCTGGGCGAGAGCTCGTCGAGGAGAGCCTTCGTGGTAGCTCGCACAGCGTCTGACACGGAATGGGCCCAGTGGACTAGACCCGGGATGAATAGCACGGAGGGCTTGTGTCGCTTCGCCTCGACAAAGAGCTGCACGACGGCCGCCTCGGGTGTGCGCGCACTGTCACCCATCAACGCGCCGATGTCGAGTGACTGGACGTGGTATCCCTCGAGCTGATGAAGGAGAGCAGCGCCTATGAAGGATTGGCCCATGCCTGGCTGGCCTGCAATCACCAGCCGAGGACGGAAGATGCGCAGCGACTCGAAGCTCTGCAGCATCATCTCGCGGCCAAATCCGTCCGCACCGTCGTCCCCGTCGTCCTCCCATAGCGCCTCTTCGAGTGGATTGCGCTTCGAGGAGGGCGGAAGCACCTTTTGCAGCGCTGCGATAGCCTCGTCGACTGTGCGGCCGAGGAGCGGGCGAAGATGCTCTGGTAGCGGGGCAGCGGCGGAGGTGGACGAGCGAGCCGAGGAAGGCACCAGCTTGTTGACGGACATCATGAAATCCTTGGCCTCAACCTTGATCGTCTCCGGTTGCAGGACCAATCGCTCCGACGTCTGGTAGATTTGCGGGTATCGACGTTGGATAGCATTGAGGGCCGCCTCGGTGCAAAGCGCTCGCAGGTCCGCTCCACCATACCCTTTTGTCACCTCCGAAAGCTGCTCCTTGAATGCGTCGCTGAGAGGCGGGTCCCACCCCTTTGTGTGAATGTTGATGATGCTGCGGCGAGCTTCGCGAGAAGGCAGAGGGAAGTAGAACTCGCGATCAAAGCGGCCAGGCCTGCGTAGTGCCGGGTCAACCGAGTCTGGCCTATTCGTGGCTCCAATTACGACGACCTGACCTCGCCCGTCCATCCCGTCCATGAGCGCGAGCAACGTCGATACAATGGACGCGTGGATCTGGTCCTGCTTGCTGCTGCGCACGGGCGCCAGACCGTCGATCTCGTCAAAGAAGATGATGGATGGTTGCGAGGCGCGTGCCTCGTCGAAGAGCAGGCGTAGCTGACGTTCCGCCTCTCCCACCCACTTGCTCAGGCAGTCCGCGCCTTTACGCATGAAGAAGCTGATCTGCTGTCCCGACGTACTACAGCTTGCAGCGAGGGCGCGGGCAACGAGCGTCTTTCCTGTCCCGGGCGGGCCGTGGAAGAGCACGCCGCGAGGAGGGGTGACCTTAAATTGCTGGAAAACCTCGGGATAGAGCAAGGGAAGGCTGACCATCTCCTTGAGCTGTTGAATGTGTCCGTCGAGCCCGCCAACCGAGTCGAAGTCCACGGCCATGTTGACGCCCAGCGGGTCGATGTCTGCGAGCGAGTCGCCTCCTTTTTTGATGCGGCCGAGGGCATCGCGAGCTGAGCCTTCGTTGGCGCCGTCTGCTGGTGCTGGGCCTGAGCCGAGTAGACCGCCCGTAGATCCACTCGCGCCTATAAGAGCTGGAGGCGGGGCCTTGCGTGACGCAGGGATATCGTCGTCTGAGCTGTCGTCGTTGTCCTCGCCAAACATGCGTGCGTAGTCCTGGCCCGTCATGCTGAGCGGCAGAGCATCCCAGCCCGTCTTGCCTTTGCGTCCTCCTCCCCCTAGATGCGCCGGCCCAGCACCGAGCTCGAAAGCCCCACCCATACTTGAACCCAGCCCCGTCTTACTCTTCGTCCTCTTGATCGGTCGCCCAAATCCATCGCGCTCAGGCTCTGCGGGAGGTGCAGTGAGAGAGTAGTCGACTTTTTTGCGCTCGCGTAGACGATAGGAGCGACCCACTTCTTCTTGGTCGTCAGAGCGGTCTTCGGTCTCTGCGCCGGAGTCGAGCTCTTCCTCGTCCACCTTGGCGGCGCGCTTCGATGCTGCGAGGCGGGCGACTTTGGGTTGGTTGCCGCGACGCAGCGTGGTGCGGGTCGATCTGCGCGAGGAAGAGCCGTATGGGCGGTCCACGTCGTCGTCCCCGTCGTCGACGACGAAGCCGCCCATCGACTTGCTGGTCGCAGCTCTACGTCTCGGCGCGGGGACATGATCCTCATCAGAGTCGCTGCTCGCGCCGGGCTCGGTATAGCTGCGATGATTGGTCACTCGGCCGCTGCGTGTGCGTGCTTGCTGGATGGGCTTCTCATCGTCGTCGTCTTCTTCGTCCGAATCGCCCTCTGCGTCAACATCTGCATCAGGGTCTTCGTCGGCGCTGCGGCGGCGGGAGGAGCGCACGGGGGCCGAGGCGATGGGGTCCTGGAGCGGGTGCGAGCGGGGGGCGGGAGTGGGTCAGCGCGAAGCTCCATTGCTTGCTAGGCTGGCGCCTGTCCTCCCATGATGCGAAACTCTCTCCTCATCCCCTCCCTGCCATCGCGCCTCTCCAACTCTCCCTCCTCTCCGCCCCATCTTCGCTTCAGTTCGCCCAATGGTAGATGAATGAATGAATGATGTGAATGAGAGGCGAAAGAGTTGAAGGGGCGCTCACCGTGGAAGCTGCAGAGTTGCGAGAACGACGGCGGGGTTGAGATCGAGATTGCTTGCGCGACTTCTTCTTGCAAGGCGAGGCGTCGCCGCCGCCGCCGCCGTCTTCGTCCGTCGAGACCTCCAAGTAGACGGAGGCGTCCTTGGACGATACAGCAGCGTGACGTGGTCGAGTGGCAGAGAGCTGCGAGTTGTCTGCTTGCTTGCCATCCTCACCGCCAGCAGCATCGAGGCGAGGTGTGGCACTCGTGCTCGCGCTCGTGCTGCCTTTACTGTTGGCTCTCCTCCCGTACATCTGCTTCGTCCTTGCACTGACGCTATCGCCGCGACTCACAGGAGACCCTGCACCATCGTCATCCTCTATGTCCTCTTCCTTGTAGGATCGCCTCCCTCCTGCTCGACTGGAGCGACGTGAACCTCCAGCGACAGCATTGCCGTCGTCGTGCGGGGATGCTACGTGGCCGGACGAGCTGCCCGCTCCGCGTGTCGAGACCATGCCGTTAGGTGGTGGGTGCGAGGGACCTGCAGCGTGTGCGCGGAGATGCAGGTCAGTACGTGGCTCTGCTTCACGGGACACCATGCCAGCTCACCCGAAGCTACCGAACTGATCGAAGCTGATTGGCGGTGATGATGCTGGCGCGAGGCCAATCGATGCTGATAGTCTGGATCGAGTTCCGGAGGCAAGCCGCTCGAGGCCATCAAAGGCCGCCTTTTGCGCGATTAAGACGGCAGCAGCAGCAGCGACAGCAGTGGTAGCGAACAGTCGATGCGCGCTACCGAGCTGCTGGGGATGCTCTGTGAGGAGAGGCGGTGGTGGTGGTGGTGATGAGGATGATGGGAAGAGTGGAAAGCGGCTTCCTCGTCGTCGATTGTATGCGGGTCCGCCCTTGCTGCCTGCCCGGGCGCCCGTCGCAGCTCTCGAGACACACTGGCCCTCCGCCCCGTCACTGGTTGCCGCCCGGCCTCGTCTGACTTGCGACCGCGTCAGCGCGAATCAACGCCACGCTCGACGAGGGTGTGGTAGCATGAGAAGCGAGAGAAACGAAGCATCCCATCCGTTTTTTTAAAGATTGAAATGAGCACGATCCTCGTCGAGACTCAGCCTCGAAAGCACAAGTCAAGTCAATAGCTCAAGCCTAGGTCGCGACCCTCGCCCACTCGCCTCGCTCTTCCCCGCCATCTTCCCATCGGCTATTCCTTGTTCCGTCCTCTCAATCAAAAAAGTGTTGGTCTTCTCGGTCCAAGATCGCCTGCGATGGATGAGAGAATTCACGTATAAGACGATGTACAAGGCCGTGTACGACGGACGGACAGACAGACGGGAGAGCGTGGCTTGGCGTGGGGGGTGCGAGCGAGGTCGGGCGGGGAGGGAGTTGCGCTGCGTCATCCTTCCGTGGCCACGCGGCAGCGAGACGGGCGCGCAATTCGTCGTAAGGCTCATGGTGGTCATGGGCTTGCAAGCTACGAGAGACCAGCAGAGGATCATGACGGCGGCAACGAGCCAGTTCAACTGTGCAGGACATACATAGAAATGGAGCTCAAGCGTAGCCTCAAGAGTAGATCTTCAGGTTGGACGACACTGCCTAGCTGGCTGGCAGGCTCCTTCAGTGCCCGTGGAGGGAGGCGTTCGGTAGTAAGTGGTTTCTTGCCGGCAGAAAGGTGGGCACAATAGTACCATTTGCGTTGGCTAATGGCGGCACGCTGCTTGCTACCAGCGTGTCCGTGGCCATTCGGGCAGATGCGGAGCGGCGACCCACCGCTGAAGCGTCCTTCAATGGCAAATCCTCACCATCGTGACGAACTCGCGCAGCCGCTCATGATCCTGCCATTGTCCTGCACTCCTCCTCTCGCACACCATTGTGCCAGTCCACGATCACGACCACGACCGCACAGTAGGCTCGGCATCGCGCCGCTCAGCTCAGCTCGGCCGGCGTGGTTGCGCTTGTACTGTATCTACCATTTCTCATACTGGACCCATTCTTGGCAATAGATGTGACAGCCACGAACAAAGCTCGATGTGCGGGCGGGCGGGTGGTGGTGGTGGACCTCAACTTAAACGCAGGCGGCGGACGAGTTGCTTCCTTTGTCCATCTCGCAGCACATCTCGATTTGGTCGAGACATGGGGAGAAAAAAGCGGGCTGGACTGGGCGGCGAGGCAGCCGGGGGGTGCTTTACGCGCTTCTCAACGCGACCCCGCGGACCTTCGTGGAAATTGGGTGCGTTCAGTCGTTCGATTTGTGGGCGCAGGGCGAGAGGGCGATAGACTCAGCCGACGAGGAGCGGAGGTGAGACGAGATTTGCTCTACTCTAGAGCAGACCATTCCGCTCGCTCCCATTGTTCCATTCCCAGCGGCGTTGGCTTGATCGCACAAAGGAAGCGAATTCCCGTGCCCATCTCGCAGCGTGCTTGTACGTGGTGCATCGTGCCTGCGCCTGCCGCTGCTGGTCGTCACCCCAAACGGGCACGATCCATCGCCCGTCGTCGTCGCTGCATGCAGCTGCTCTCTCCGCGAGCTCTCTTTTTTCTCTCCGTGCGTGCAAGCAAGCAAGCGGAGAGGCGGCGGAGCGAGCAGACGTGACCCTGAGACCTGACCTGACCTGACCGACTGACCGACCCTGAGTATCCATCCGCGCGCCCTTTGCGCCTCCCGCTCCCATCCGCACCCTAATCATCTCCTCCCAGCGTCGTGAGGACAAAGAGGCAACTTTGCCACGACTCAAACACAGCCACCCCACATACGATGTACGCCAGCGCCAGCGTTATGACCACTTTGTCCTTCTTGCCATTCATACACGTCGAGGCGACGAGATGATCTACTCGAACTCGTTGATTCCCTCCTCCTCATCCTCGAACAACGACACTATGGACGTCGACATGTCCTCTCCACCGCGGACTCCAACCAATCAACCCTCCTCTCTGCCCTTTGCTAGTACGGGAGGGGTGCCCTGGGCCCCACGCAGACCATCGAGGCGGATGGACGCATGGGTGCAAAGGGGCGGACGTAGCCCGTGCCCTGTTGCGAGGGAGAGTAGCGACTCAAGTGATGAGGATGGAGATGTGGAGATGGAGACGCCTGCCAGGAGGCTATTCGTCGATGCGGACGCTCACGCGCAGGGGTCGAAGTCAAGTGGTGGGCTGGAGCAAGACGCGGACGACGTATTTGGCAGCAGGCCAGCGAGGGACGACGAAGAATCGTCATCTTGGCCAAGGCAAGGAGCTCAACGACGTGCACCGCGACCAGCTTGCCTCTTCTCATCGCCGTCGGAGGATCGACACTCAGGCGCGCACCGACTCGCTCCTGCACCATTGAGCGTCAATACCGCAAGCTCAAGGGGCAAGGCATCACCATCACCACGTCGGCGGCCGAGTCCCCCTACGTCTGCAAGAGCAACAGCAGCAGCATCCTCGTCGCTGCTCGATCGTCGGGAGCGCAAGAGGAGCGGCGAGGTCAACCTGAACCGACCGCACAGTTCTTCTTCTTCGAGGGGTCAAATCACCTCGCACTTCTCTCCCATCGGCAAGCCCATGCGCGAGTCCAAGCCTAAGCCCAAATCATCCGCAGACACACGACGGCAGCCGCCAGCCCTCACGCCCCTCCTTCTCCCCTCCTGGTCAGCAGCAACCGCCGTCCCCGAGAGACTGCCAGGCAGCGCCGAGCTGACTCGCACCGCCTCGGAAGGCGCAAGACCTTGTAATTCGGCCAGCTCCTCGCCTCTGCGTCAGTCCTTTCGCAATTTGGAGGGATGCGCGTACCAAACGAGAAGGGCTACTGTGGCTTTTGTGTAGGTGTGGAGGGATGATGAGAAGCGGCAGAGAGGGAGGGGCGAAGCTTTCTCTTGATGACAGACGTTGTATGGTTGATGCTCCTCGTGCTTGCTTGCTTCTGCTACTGGTGCTCTCCTCGCTGGTCGAGCCCCGTGTAATGGTACTCCTGCTCTTTCAGTCTCTCATAGTCACTGCCGCCGCGACCGCCGCCACCACCGCTGCTGCTGCTGTGTATCACTGTGATCATTGCCTGCTCCATCCTCTTCGTCGGACATAGCCCTGCTCCCTTTGACTTACTTGACCAGCTCCTGCACCCTCTTGAGTACCTCATCACCACTGAGACCGTCCAGTTCTGCATGCTTCTCTACGCCGCGTTCTGTGTGAGGGAGCGGGGCGAGGAGAAGAAGACGGAGACGACGGTAAGCTCTCTGACAGAGCGAGGGTAATCAGGCGGAGTCAGGAGGAGGCGCGCGCACGTACCGAATCTCGCAAACACTCTCGCTGGGGTTCCCTGTGCTTCTCGTACCAGGATGGGCAAGGAAGGGTTGCTCGCCTTGAGGGATGGGTAGGAGGATTGGATGAATTGTCTGCGCGGGGAGATGACCATGAGCAGGGTCAGAAGGTTGCCTATATGCCGCCAGGGTTTGGCCCACATCGCTGCCGCTGCTCGTTGCTCGCCGCTCACCTGGCACCAGCGCTGCCCTGCCCCGTCTGACAGAGGTGGAGACGCAGCTCCTTGAGTGTCTTGGGGAAAGCTGCCCGAGCCAAAGCTGATGATGACATGCTGCTGCTGCTACTCGAGTCGAGGTGGTGTTGGTGTGGTGGTTGGTTGGTTGGAGAGCCAAGCGGAGCGGGGGTGTGTGAGTTGCAATCAAGTCCTGACGGGCGGACGGAGTCGAGAAAGTCGGACCGGAGCCGCCGCCTCCGCTCGCCCGCCTTGAATCGACTTGTCCCACTCTCCTCTCCACCACCACGCGAGGGCGGGCGTGCGTGGCTCGAGCCACTTCCGTCGTGTCCTTTGTCGTCGTCATCCCTTTTGGTCCTCGTCCCAACCTCCTCCTCCTCTTCCTCCCCAACACCTCTCTCTCGCGCGCAATCATGGACATCCGCCAAATGATGCGGCAAATGCAAGGCATGGGCGGTGGCGGTTCAGATGCCGCACCGGCCGGCGACTCCCCACAGAACGATAATGCCGAGACGGTCTACATCTCTTCGCTTGCCTTGCTCAAGATGTTGAAGCATGGGCGAGCAGGAGTGCCTATGGAGGTGATGGGATTGATGCTGGGCGAATTCGTGGATGATTATACCGTGACATGCATCGACGTCTTCGCGATGCCGCAGAGTGGGACAAGCGTTACAGTCGAGAGCGTGAGTAGAGTGGCGCGGGCGCCAAGACGCAGCATTGTGAGCGAGCAATGCTAACTTACTCCTCGTGCCACCCCGGTGATCGCGCGCAGGTGGATCCCGTATTCCAGACCAACATGTTAGAGATGCTTCGCCAGACAGGAAGACCAGAGATGGTCGTCGGATGGTATCACTCTCACCCGGGCTTCGGTTGCTGGCTGTCCAACGTCGACATCAATACGCAGCAGGCATTCGAGCAGCTCAACTCGAGGGCGGTGGCCGTTGTTGTGGATCCCATTCAGAGTGTCAAGGTGGGTGTGGCGCATCTCCCGATGCGAGGCAGTTGGCTGCAAGGCACGAGAAGGTTGGGGGAAAGTTGCTGATCATCCTCTTCGCGACTCGGCGTGCCGCTCCGCAGGGAAAGGTCGTCATCGACGCATTCCGTCTCATCAACCCGGCGACGGCCATGCAAGGGCAGGAACCACGTCAGACGACGTCCAACATCGGGCACTTGAACAAGCCGACGATCCACTCGCTCATTCACGGACTCAACAGGCACTATTACTCGTGCGTAGGCGCCACCAACGCCACCCCTCGCCTTGCTGACGCTGACATTTTCTACCTCCTGTCGCCCCGCCAGACTTGCTATCAATTACCGCAAGACCGAACTAGAGCAGAGCATGCTGGGCAACTTGCACAAGCGCAACTGGACCGAGGGGCTCAGATTGAGGGACTGGGGAGTGCATCGCGATAATAACGAGAAGGCAATCAAGGTGCGGCGCGGCGCGGCTCGGCGTGGCGTGGAGTGCCCGCGATGACTACAGCCGGGTGCATTGAATAAATCGGCTGACCTCCCCCCTCTTCCTCCTCTCTCTCTCTCTCCCACCTCGCACGCAGCGAATGCTCTCCCTCTCGGAACAATACAACAAGTCCGTACAAGAAGAGTCGACGCTCACCGCTCAAGAGTTGAAGACGCGACACGTAGGCAAGCAAGACCCGAAGCGCCATCTCGAGGACGAGGTGGAGAATGCCATGGGGGATCAGGTGGTTCAAGGGTTGGGAATGATGTTGCTCGCCGAGCTGTGAGATCGCGCGCGCGCGGGTGGCATGTGACTGTAATGGCATACATTTGTGATGAGGTTCTCAAGAGCGCCGCCGCTGGCTAGCTAAAGTGTCCAAGACTGAACAGGAGCGTACGACCCCGCGTGTTACCCACAGCCACCACTCCCCCTCTCCCCGCACTCGTGTCAAACGCTAAATCGCTCACCCTACCTACTGGCGTGCCGCTCGTAGGCCAATTGGCATATACGCTCCCCTCGCCCGCGTGTGCAAGGCGCAGTGCATCCTTCTTGGATCGCGACGCGAGGCCGAGGATCTGGCTGGACTGATCGAAGGTCAAACTGGAGGTGGAGGTGATCAGGTTAGAAAGCGACTTTGTAGGTTCGACGAGCCCAGAGCCAGAGGTGGGGGAAAGGAGAGCATCGCGTGTATACAGGGCAACGATGCCGCTCTGTGTGCCTACGGCCCAACGCTGTCCGTCTGGCGAAGCGGCGAGGCTGTTAGGCGCGTGTAGGCCGGAATCGCGCACCGTCAGCGGACAACGGAGGGTGCGCGTGTCCCACTGTTGGAAGGAACCGTCCTGTCCCAGTGAGAGGAGTTGGTGCGTGTGTGAAGGGGAAGGGTCCCAGGCTAGGCCTGCCAGCGGGGCGTTGTGGCTCAGCGTGTGAAGGAGGTGCGACCCACCGCCACGGCCACCGCCGCCGCCGCCCTCCGAGGTGGAAGAGGCTACCTCGGGCGATCTGCCCCAGTCGAGCAGGTGAACATGACCACGTCTCCCGCCTACGGCTAGCAATCCGCTGGAGCTACCCGCACCAGGAGGCTGGAATTGCGCCATGCTCAAATCGCGTTCTCCCTCCCCTTCCCCTCCCCCACTGCTAGCTCCACGCCACGGAGTAGATCGCAGCGCCTTGCCACTCTGCACGTCGTACGAATAGAGGTAAGGGCGCGGACCCGCGAGTAGGATGCTCTGCCCACTGGGGTGCCAGGTGGCTTTGCGCAACGGAAGGGAGGGAACGTGGATCGTCTGTAGCAAGGGATTGTCCCGCCCATCGACGTTGTACAGCCTCACGCGCCTATCGCGGCTTGCGGTGCAGAGGAGGCGGGTGCGACGTGACGTCGGGTGGAAGCTGAGAGATTCGATGGCACTGGAGAGGTCCGTGTCCGTCGCGGGAAGCGCATCATCGTCGTCGTCGTCATCGAATCGCGTTGGGGCGGGATGTTGCTGCACATCTCGCTGGCGTTGGATTTCCAGTTGACCAGGGGGAAGGGGCCGCCTACGCCCGCCCGAGGAGGAGGATGTAGCCGCCTTGCGCGTCAAGCCCGAGTCCCGAGCCAGCAGATCAGTCAATGTCGTCGCCACGACCTCGCCCTGCTGGGCCTTGGCCACCACCGCTCCCGGTAATTCCCTCCTCTGCCCCGCCCAGCTAGGCCTAGGGTGCAACTTCTCGTACTGTTCGCGCAGCCTTCGCTCGTACTCTAATCCGGTAATGGTGCGCTCGTCTGCGGAGACGCGCAATTTGCGGAGACGCTTTGTGCCGGCAAAGGAGCCGTCTGGTGCTCGGGCTTGCGGGCCTACGAGGGGGACGAGGAGGGAAGAGGTGGAGGGATCATGCCAAGCGGCGGAGGGACGCTTGCGGCGGGATGAAGAGGAGGCGGCGGAAGCAGAGGAGGCAGAGGAGGTAGAGGAAGAGGAGCCGCTGGACGAGGAGTCGCCGTCGTCGTCGTCCTCATCTTCGCTTGATTCGTCGTCGCTGCCATCGTCGTCCTCGTCACCCTCACCGTCACTCTCGCTCTGATCCTGTCCTCCATCGATCTCAAACAATTGCCCGTCATCCAGCCCTTCGAGGCCCGTCTCCTCTTCGTCACTCTCCTCGACGTGTTTCGCCGCGGGTCCCGAGGGCGCCGCCTGGCCAAAGAGTGAAGCGGTGAGCCTCAGCTCATCTTCGGTAGGCTGAGTGGCTGAAATACCCAGCGCAGCCTGCGTGTTCGTCTCGGTACGCTGCTTCTTCCTCGATGATGGCATGGAGTGCGGCTGGTGGTGGTGGTGGTGGTGGTGAGGCAAGGAAGTGACAAGTCGTCGCTGCTCGTGGTTCCGTCCGCCCTCTCGAGCGAGGCAAAATCTTGCGAGCCGACGACGGAGCGGCAGTGCGAGCGGGAGTGGCAGTCGAGCCTCGGAGTCTCTCACTCACCTCGACCTTGACTCGCAACTTTGGTCCGCCCGGCTGCAGCTCTCCGCCCCGCCTTGCCTGCCCGCTTGCCCGCCTTTCTCTCCTTCCTAACCAACACTCATCCACCCAATCATGGCCGCTCAGGACCTCTCACAGAAGATGGCCGATCTGGCCGCAGCCGACGATCCGCAAGCCACTCCGTCAGCCTCGAAGTCAGCGCAAGAACAAAAGGTCACGCCCTGGGACGTGAGCGGCGCAGCAGGGGCAGACGGTAAAGTCCAGGCAATCGACTACGACAAGCTCAGTGCGTGTGCAGCGTGCACCATTGAACCATGCTGTCCCAGCTCGGGCTGACCTGCATGTTTTCCCTCCCCTCCTCGCCCCACCGCCCCGCCAGTCAACGAGTTTGGTACTCGCCACATCACGCCCGAGCTGCTCGAACGATTCGAGAAGGTGACGGGACATCGCCCTCATCCCTTGCTCAGGCGCGGGTCCTTCTTTTCGCATCGAGAATTGGATGCCATCCTAACGCGGTATGAGCAGGGAAAGGAGTTCTACCTGTACACGGGGCGCGGGCCGAGTAGTGACACCATGCACATGGGCCACTTGATCCCATTCTTGTTCACCAAATGTGCGTGCGCAAGACGTAAACTCGCGCTCCATCCTCGTCCTCGCGCTGACGCCGCCGCTCCCGCTCGCAGGGCTCCAGGACGTCTTCGACGTACCGCTCGTCGTGCAACTCACCGATGACGAGAAGTTCCTCTTTCGTCCTGGACTCACTCTCAAGGACGTCAGGCGGTTTGCGTTTGAGAATGCGAGGGACGTCATTGCGTGCGGGTTCAGGCTGGACAAGACGTTCATTTTCAACGACCTCGATTACATGGGCGGGTGAGTGGGTGCGATGCGCGGGGCTGGGAGCTAGATGCTGAACTTTTCGCCGCGCACGCAGCCCCTTCTATCACAACGTCTGCACCATCTCTCGAGCCATTACCACGAGCCAGTCCAAGGGTGAGCGCGCCCCTCACGTCCCCCACGCCGCGCCAATCTGACCCGCCCCACCCTCCCCACGCAGGAACATTCGGCTTCAACGACTCCGACTCGGTGGGCAAGCTCCACTTCGTCAGCATCCAAGCCGCCCCCTCCTTCTCCTCCTCCTTCCCTCAGATCTTCGGAGAACGCAGCGACGTCCCCTGCCTGATCCCATGCGCCATCGATCAAGACCCCTACTTTCGCCAAACACGAGACGTGGCTGGTCGTCTAAAGCTTCCTCGCCCCTCGTTGATCCACGCCAAGTTCTTCCCTGCGCTCCAAGGCCCGGGAACAAAGATGAGCGCCTCGAACCCAAACAGTAATATCGCCATGACCGATACGGCTAAGCAGATCAAGGACAAGATTAACAAGCACGCCTTCTCGGGCGGAAGGGATACACTTGAGGAGCACAAGAGGCTAGGTGGGAACCCGGATGTGGATGTTGCGTACCAGTACATGGGCTTCTTCCTTGACGATGATGAGGAGATGGAGCGCACGGCGCAGCAGTACAGGAGTGGAGAGTTGACCAGCGGAGAGATGAAGAAGAAGTGCATCGCCGTGCTGCAGGCTGTGGTCAAAGGATTCCAGGAGCGCAAGGCCGCCATTAGTGACGATGTGGTTCGGCAGTTCATGGATCGTGAGCGCAGGATCGATCCGCGTGTTAAGCCGAGAGGGGAGAAGAAGGGAGACGTGCCGGTTGTGGGGACGACGGTGGGGAGCGTTGGGGAGGCGGTCAAGAAGGTCGAGGAGAGCAAGTGAGCGCGGCGGGAGGGAGTGTGTTAGAGGATCCATTGCATTGTTAATGCTAGACGTGCGCAGAGCAGTCGTGAACCTCACCCCCTACCCATCGTAGGCGTGAGCATGCCAGCCACGTGGCCCCCTTCGCCGCCGCGACGTCCGTGCGCTGCGAGGTGGAACAAAGCGAGACGCGCTTCGGGTGAAGTGGTTGGAGCGTCCCGGCCGGTCGAAGTCCAATCACTTTCGTGCCAGCGTCACGACCCCGAGCAATCACGCCTCGCGCCCCCCAATGGGATCCTGTCCTCTGCATCGCCCGCTCCATCTGACGTCAACTCCATCGCTACCGCCTCGTCGTCATGGTGTATCGTGGTAGAGGGGTGAAGATGCGGCCTCGGCCTGCCTGTTACTCGTACACACGCACGCACGCACACGCACACGCACGCGCACACGCCAATGCACGCCAGCACGCGAAACCATGCAGTCCGCCTTGCTGCTCTGCTCTGCCCTGCTCAGCTCTGCTCAGCAGCGCGTGGGCTTGGACTGCTGGGCGATACGATACCGTAGCGTTGAGCTCGAGACAGGTGGTGGTGATGAGGCGAAGCTGATCTACGCATTGAGCTCAGTACCGTCCACCATCTCATTTCCTCACTCAAGCCTCACACATCACTCGAATCATTCGTCAAGACTCAATTCGACTGGCTCATCGAGCAGGCGCGTGTGCCTGTTCGCCTCCCGTCTCGACTCAGCATCCCTTCTCCCTTGGTCTCTGGTTGTCTGCTCGGCTTCTCGTCAAGCCTCTTACGCAGCACCATCAACGCACGATCCTTAATCGGAATCCTCGTCAGCACTGCAAGATGGATGACCAGCATACACGCTCGACCCTGCGCGGTATAGCAGTGTCGTGCTCAGCAACTCAGCATACGCTCATACGGTCTCTCGCCATATCCAATTCCTTGCGACCAGCTTGATGCGAGGTCAAAGCAAGCGCCTCTCTTCACTCGGCACACTCGTGAAATTGCCCAGTCGAGTCTGGGAGCGGTCTCCTTGCCATCACACGGCAGCTCAGTGCTTAGCACTTCAGCGCTTCGTGCCTCTCTCTCAACACAACCGGTCTCTGTCTACACTCGGTCAGGCACGTCTGTGCTTGCCACCATACGGCACAGCAGCTCTTGCCCTAGCGACTCAGCACCGGCTGTTTTGGTCTCTCTTTACCTTCACAGGGCACATCTTCACCGTACTTTACTCTGGTCTTCTCCCGTCTCCTGGCGCGGTGCCGGCTTCATCAAAGAAACCGTGCTATTCCAGTGCGATGCAGGTGAGTTGAGCATACATCCTACTCTGCACCACCAGCGGACGTCTTGCTCACATACACTCGACTCTTCGCGCGTGTCGTCTCCCTCTCAGAGATTCTCGCCGTCCTACTCGTCGAGCGCAACGCACGTCTACGCGTGGCTCGTACAGAACCAGCATATCTCCAATGCATCTGGTCACGGCTGGATCTATCGCTTTGTAATGAGAAGCACGTCGATTCAAAGTGATGGATCAAAAGGAGGAAGCTGAAGGAGATACAGACTCGAGCTCAAGAGACCAGATAGGGTCAAAGAAGGGGTCTGAGCGCAGGCTACTCTAGCCGAACCAAAGCTCAACACGCTTCTCCTGCCTCGCACCCATCCACGGCTCACTGAGCTCTGACCGTGGCGCCACGAGACTGCAATAGTCGTCTACGGGCAGCCTCACAGGGGGACAGTCAAAGCGCTGGGGGAGTTCGAACATCCGCTACACCAAGATGGTCCAGCAGATGCCACCGCAGGTCGTTAAAAGCTTCGATCCAAAAGCGACACGACAAGGCTGGCGAGGCTGGCGACGCGGGCGGACCGGACGACGACAGTGATACTGTAGCGAGGAGGAGGACCAGCTAGACAACTCGTTCGAGGCGCAAGCAAAACGGCTCTTCAACGTCTCACAGCAACACAGATTCAACGACGACGACATCATTCCCCCATCGACCGTAATCAACCTGCAAAGTTTCCGCGCGGCCTTTCGCTCGCGTCTCGACATCGCGGGCAAAGCAATCATGGCAAAAGAGACGAGGAAGGATGAGCAAGGAGTGGTCAGGAACAAAGTACCGATCAGCTGGGCCGGAGGATGCCTCTGGCGGTCTGCCGACTAGGTCCCCCAGTACGAGATGTACCCACGCCTGCCTGGGCCGGCCTTATCAGCAGGTCGCTCATTGATGGTTGCGACGGCTCTCTTGCTGACTGAGATCGGCAAAGGTGAGGCGCGCTTGCAGCCAAGTCACTGCAGTAGTGCTTCAGCTGTCTAAGGTACCGTATTGTTCGTGCAGTGCATGCAGAGGACGTCCACATCGCCGTCAAGCCAAGCGCCTGATTCAAGCAGAAGGCAGAGGCCAATGCGATCGTCCCGTGCCTGCTAGCCGACAGCAGCGTGCAATGGAGTCCGTTGTGGATTAGCCTAACGGAGCTCCTCGAGCAAGGCATCGTTCCGGACGCGGAGTGATTTCGAGAACAGGAAAACGTCTCGCTCGAGCGTACGATCGCCCAATTTGGCACCGGCGACACAAGCAGCGACGACATGACTAAAGCTTCCGCACTCTCCGCCAGCCAATACTCGGTGTACGTGGAGGTCGCGCTCGGCGTCCATACGAGGGACACGGCCTATGCGGGCAAATCTCGCCACGATCTCAAGCGGCATGCTCAGCATGAAGGAGAGCGTGCCAAGTGGAGCATCGCTGGTCCTGAATGCGCACCATTCTATCATCAGCAGACTGCAGGGAAGCAGACAACGACATCCGAACCGCAATGATCGACAGAGCAGGCGCGCTCACTTATGAGCAGAGACAAGACCGCCTTGCCATCGTTGAGCCAGCGGTGACATTCGCCAAGTCGATGTGATGGCGAGCATGGCGCCTGCGGTGGAGGAGGAGCGAGCGGACCTGGTCGGTGGGCTGCTGCTTGAGGCAAGGGCGATGACGGTGCGCGAGCGTGAGGGTCACAAAGAAAGTGACCAGGCCCACCAATGGCCGCTGCGCGTGCAGAACCTGCGCCTTCCGACTCCCAAGTCACACACCCATCTGCAAGACAAGGTCTTCGGATGGCTTGACCAAAGGGAGAAGGACCAGCGCCTGGCCCGAGCATCGCAGCCGAAGGTGGAGCTGCAGGCACGTCAAACCGTCCCGCCCTCACTCGATGGCTCTGCTCGCAGCATCGACAGCCTCAACCTCCTGGCTCGTCAGGGTCGCCTTGGCTTGCTGGAGGTCAACGGCCTCTGCTGCATCAACACCAGGCCGGGCGTCCCCCCGCCACAGCCGCTCGCGTATCACAGCTACATTGCGCTGCCGACCTGGGTCTCAGGAGGAGCGCGCGATGTTGCCGAGCAGCTGGGTCTGGACTGCCGAAGCGACGGGAGGCCGATGACGACGGCCATGTTTTGCGAGGAGCCGAACGGCCAAGGGCTGTTCGATGTGGCACATCCGAGCGCTCTCGACCGTGAGGAGTGCAAGATCGGGCTGCTGCTTCGCAAGCCGTCAAACTGGGAGTGGGTGCTGCACAAGAGGCGACCTGAGGGGGTGTACTCCCCGTCAGCTAAAGCACAGCTGCAGCTCTGCGCCAATCAGCGCCGTCTGCTTGAGGCAGGCAGGGAGGCTCTGGGCATGGCGCCGCGCCCGTTCGTGCAGCTCCCCTACGGAGTCGAACCGCGGTCGCACTTTGCCATCTGGCCTTCGACTTCAAAGCCCACCACTCGCAATGCCTCGGTTGGGATGAGTCTTAGCGGCAAACAGCTGCACATCTCCCCCTTGAGCCGACTGTGAAGGCAATCTTCGCGCCCGCGCCGGTCCCAGAGAGGTACGATAACCTTGAGTTCTCGACGAACATCGCTTCCGCCCACTGCAAGTGCACGGACGACTTCTTCTTCTTCTGGCGCCGACTGCCCTGCAACGGCCAAGGCAGCGTCCTGGATCCGCCAGAAGTGGTTCAAGGCGAGGACCCAAGCAACAATGTACAATATTTGGGTCGGATTCCGAAAGGAGCATGAGGAGGCAGGGTACAAATGGCCGACAATCCAGCCGCCTACATACGCCACCACCGCATAGAGGCAGAAGAAGACGAGCGAGTGCCATGCGAGATAGCCACAGTATCAACTTCATTCAGACCTAAGAGCGAGCGATGAAGCTCCGTAGTCAAGCGCATGAGCGAGCGCTCGGTAGCAAAGGAGATCGGGAGCAGCTTGGCAACAGCGACTCAAGGCGCATCCCAAGCGCCTGCTCGACATCATCAATCGCAGCCGCGCGCAAATGACAGGTGCCGGACCTCCCCTACTACGACCTGCGCGGCACGATGCACGGGCACTGGCCCTTCGAAAGTTTCCCTCCTGGCCCTCGCAGCTACAGAAACAAGCCTTTGGTAAAGCATTATAACCAGGGTCTCGTAGCGGCGGCACAGGCGAGAAAACCATAGAAGGCAACGGAAATGTCAGACGAAGGCAATGCGATAGACGCTCAAATGACATTCTTCTTCACTCGCATTACCAAGCTGCTATCGTGAGCCTCGCGAGGGGGCTGGCCGAGCTCTGTTGTCGTGACTCTTTATGGGCTCTTTGTTCAGACTGAGATCGTGAAGGCGGGCCTGGATGGCCCGAAGACGGTAGACTTCTGCACGCTACTCGATCGAAGAGGGTACCGTGAACTGTGATCAATTGATTGTGACAGCACGATGAAGTCGACTCGAGATCGCGTATCTTCGGATGGGCTTGCTTCTCCGTTGTCGTCTTTCTCGACGACGCAGGACGTCCACTCCTTCTGCACCCCCAGCGGCGGTACAGGGTAGAGTTGACTCGCTGCGAGCACCAACGTGAGCTACGAGGTTGACTGTCATCTCGAATGTCGAGCTGGTAGGCCGTGACTCACTAGCATACAGTACTGTAGAGTAGATTTCGCGCAACCAACGTGGTTGGGCAGACGCGAAAGCAGACTAGCCAACGACTTCGCCGTCCGCGTCACCGTCGTCCAAAAGATGGAGAGCGCGAAAAGGGGAGCGCATGGTAGCATCGGTACCATTAAAACAAGTATCACAACAATGTTTGTCGGTCGCTGCGCAGCTGGCATTTGAGAGATAGTAGCTGGTCAGCGAACCACCAAAGAGCGCCCTTGTCCCCCATTGCGACTCCTCATCAGCTCGTACTCGAGCCGCACCTGCCCGAGTCAATCACGACTATTTCTGTACCCACCAAAAAGTATAACCTGAGCGATAGCAGCACTCGCAAAGTCCACGCGGTACCATTCCGTTGATGCTGTGGTACAACATACGCTCGAGCATCGACTCGCCGACCTCTTGCTCCGACGGGTTAGCAGCGACTTCATGCGTCTCTTCGCGCTTGTGTTGGCCGATGAGTGAGACCGGAGCCTCCGAACGAGTCTGGACAGCGACCATCTTGGGTGCCGTGCTAGAGTTGAAGCTGTCCAGAGACGCCCTGATATCGGCGATCTTACCAGCAAAATCGTGGCGGAGGAACCAAGGATTGGCGTCGACACGAGCTGCGAGGAGGGCCAATTGAGAAGCAGGGAGGCCTCTCTCTGGCAGAATACAGCCTGTGCAACAGCCCGGCGAGCTAGGTCCGCAGCATGGATGAGTTCTGTGCATTGAGAGACAGCAGGAGCAGTCGCGAGCGACAAGGGTTTCGGATGTGGCGAGGTCCGTGGCAAGGTCTGTGGCGTGCTCGCCGCGTTCGGTCGCGGTGTCAAACTCGGCTCGGCCAGCATGGTCGACTTTGTCGTCACTTCGAGCCTTTTCATCGGATCTATCCGACTCAGGGAGAATGCTGGCGCTGAGAGGTGCAGCGATCACTGAGCGAAGCGCAAGTGCCTCTGGCACGGTGGCGAGCAGCGCAGTGAGCGCGACGCCCAAAGTGACAAGCATGAGGAGGCGCATGGGCGTGATAGGACGGGGAAAGCGAAGTGATGGTGCATTCAGAAAGGTGCTGAGGGGACGATCAGTTGGAGTTATGCAGCATAAACGTGAGGTGGAACACGTTCCATCTTGCCGGACGGCTGGTGACAGGCAATAGGTTGACTTGGCTCGGCAAGATATTGCTTTGAGCAGCCCTCCGGCCGAACGCTCTTCCCACGATAGCCCTTGTGACATCAGGCGCGGGCAAATCTATGTAAACGCTTCACTCTGAAGAAATGTACAGGGTCAGGGTGAACAGTGTAATTCCGAAGCGGATTGTTGTGGCGATCCGACGGCGGCGACCGCCTGTCGCCGACGTCCGATGTAGAAGGGCGAATCAGCTTGGCTCGCGCGAGCAAAGTTGCCCCATCTCCTCCGACCGACAATGGCTCCGCGCCCTGGCACCTCGATGGCTGCGCCTGCTGCGCACTCTTTGCGCGATCGTGGCAAATTGTGTGAACAGTAGACGGAATTTCTTTTTGAGGGTATCGACGTCATTTGCTGCCCGCCCGCTCCACGACTACCGGGATGATAGGGCAATAAGGCGGGCGAGAACGGGGCGAGTACAGTATTTGGTTGCCACGAACCTGCAACAGACGAGCTGGTCCTGGCCGCGACGTCGCTGAACTCCTCGCTCTCTGCCTCTCGAGTCTTCCACTCCCTACATTTCGAGCGGATCGAGGGGCCTTTGCCCTCAATGCAGCTGGCCCTATCATCCGCCGTCGGTCGCTTGACGCGCATGATATGGCATCCGAGCTTCAGGTGAGAGGTGAGAACCAAACAGCAGTATCACGTGTCTTGTTGCTGTCGTCCGCTTTGTCAGCGTGCAATGACAAGCGGCCTCAACGACGACGAGCAGAGGAATGTGGTACACAACAAGCTGTACATGTACGGTTCATCGAGCACAAAAAGGGAAAGTGTCGAATGACTCGACCATCGCATTGAACACTTTCGGGCTTATACAGGTCAGTGTGAAGTCGTCTTTGCATCGTGCCGGGTAGCTCGCCGAGAACAAAGCCGTCGCTCTCGAGAGAGCCGCCTGAGATCATACTAGGTCCCAACGTTCTCTCGGCCGTCGGAGACTTGAGTGGCGGCCGTCCCGGGACTTGATGCTCTCTTCTGTCAATTGACAAGACCACAGCTGCCACAGCATCCAGTTGGTCGTCCAGATGCTGCACAACAACCTTTGTGGGTGTCGAAAGTCGATCGAGGGGGAAGCAGGGTCAGCAGGTGGCACAGACTACCCTCTACCACTTTTGCACCTGCTCACCATCACCATTCGCCGTGCAACATTCGCACAGGGTCTGGCGGGCAAAAAGAGAGGCGGCTTTGCTATCGGCCTTTCCATTTCGGTCACGACGCCTTGTTGAGGTGTTGGGGTCGCCGCGGCCGACCTTACCCGAAGCGTCGCTCCGGTCCGAGACGCCTGCGTTCCGGGGATGGTCACTGGTTGCTACGAGCGGAGCTTGGAGCCCCAGGGACAGACCTGGGCATCCTGCACAGCAGTTGGGGTCTGTGGCGCTGCAGCAGTGTCCAGGAAAGTCTGAGCCGCAGCAATCACACGTTGTTGACTTCTTGGTGAGATCGCTGGTAGCGACGACGGGAGGTACGCGCCTGGCGTGCATTGTCGTCCAAGCAGCGCCTGGTTCTGCCAGAGAGTCGCTCGCGTGACGCTGAGCAGTCAATGGGCTGGTTTCCTTGCCCCCTCCGGCGTCGAGAGGGGCAGCGAGAGCCATGCGAAAGGCTCTAGCCCCAGAAGGAAGGGTACCAATGAGCGCAAGGAGCAAAAGGGGCGCGAGGATGAGGCTAGTAAGCTTGAGCATCATTTTCCAGAGAGACTGGACGTCGCGGAAGAGAGTGTGGTGAGCGTTGGGGAGGGCGCTTGAGAAAGCTGGGTTTATGAAGGCATCGTGCTTCAACGCCGACGAGCCTGACAAGAGGTGCTTGGCGGCCACGGGACCTCAGCCACCGGCAGCAGCTCTCCGGGTGGCCACGACAGCAACTACGCGCAGCTTGGCGATACCGGTCGGACCGCACAGCCTCGTGACCGCCGAATTCGGGCAAGCTATTGCCGCCGAGTATGGCCTCGCGCTCGCCATTTTGGCGGCCGCGGTAAGAAAGGACGGAAGAGAAGTTGTGCCTCTCGAAATCGCGCTCAGGCCTCCTCGCTCGCTTGGCCTCGCGCCTCTTGAACCGCCACGCGCAGAGCAAAATCACGACGCACTTTGCCTCCGCTCCCTCCGCTCCCTCCTCTCGCTGCATTGACAAGCTATTAGGCTCACGAAGCAGCTACATGACTCAAAAGGAGACCTTTCGGGCTCAATGTGAGTCTCCAATCCTGCGACCGCAAAGACGGGCGCACTCGCTACAGAAGCACCGCCTTGGGGCAGTCTTGTCTCGACAGATCACCCATTCGTGTCGAAACGCAATCACTGGATCACTCAGCCGGCCCGTGTACCTATCTCCTGTCGTGGCGCTACAACGAGGTGATGCAAAAGGCCCCGCCCCTTCACCTCATTTCATCGATCCAACTGCCATTCATGCTCTGCTTCACGAATCAAAGGAGCCTCGAAAATTCAAAGTCAAAGGGTGAAATGTGAGGACAAAGAGAATTGTTCAGAAGATTTGAGCACTCTGCTGGCCCAAGACGTGCGCCAGCGCACCAGATCAAGAGGAGCCCGAGCTCCCTTCTTCTTCCTGCCCATCATCCGCACCCTCGCGAGGTTCTGCCTCGACGGCGGCGCCTCGGCGTACGCGTCACCTGAAAGGCTCCTCTCATCATTCTCCTTCTCTCCTCTGGACGTGACAAATGGCTTGATTGTGCTCCCAAGTCGCCACGCGGCGCATCTTGCTTGGAAAATTGAATGCAGCCGAGGTCAGCCAAGGCCGCAGCGTGTCTTACCTCCCAACTCACCTCAAGTTGCATGGCGATGCTTCCTAGAGTCTCAACAATATACCACCACACGTGTTGCAGCAGGTTGGCGGTGGGGGCCCGCAACAAACTAGCTCAAATTGATGCATAGGGTGCAAGGAGAAGAAGCAGTTCTGGTAAGAGGTGATCCGGCGGTGACGCGCCGCAGTCACTTTGGTACCCACAGCTTGCTCCCCGAGCGGCACAACACTGACACAGCTCGCTCTCATTCCTGCGCATCCCCGCGACGGACTCAGCAGACGCGATGGCCTGGCCGAGAGGGGCAAAGACGATGAGCGGCATGGCTACGTAGGCGAGCTTGAGGAGATGCATGGCTGGCGGGTCGGTGGATGTCAGGCGAGGTTGCTGGCGAGAGGTCGAATGGACTGGGACTTTGAGAGCTTTGTTAGGGATTTCGCCCGCACGCTCAGCTCTCTAGAGGCGACACGTAGCCTTGGTCAGTATCTCGCAACCCACAAGTGCGACTGACCCGGGCGCAATCCGGTGGGTCGCTATTGCTGATGAAAACCCCAGGGTCACCGCAATGGCAAGCATTGGAGACTTTATTCCGCCGGAAGTTCTCGACAAAGGCTTCGAGCGAATCAGCGTCACAAGCCTCTGAGCAGGCTTGGTCTGCAATCTGTGCTCGAAGGGCAGATGAGAACGGGCCGATGCGCGCAGTCTGCCCCTTCCATTCAGCCGCGAGGGCAAGTCCTGTTGCCGAGCGAGCCTGTCCCAGAATGCTTGGCATGTGGGTTCGCTTTGACTTCGTCGTGTGATAGTACGAGCAGGACGGAGGCCCCTCTGGCGGCTTCCATCACGCTGCATGCCATCCTGAAGCATAGCGGACAGAATGATCAGAGTCTCTAGCCTCGGCCATGCCGGCCTGAAATCGAGCACGGAGCAGCTCCTTTTTGACGTCAAGAGCGTGATGTCCATCCTGACAATCTTGCACGGCGGCACGAGTGCTTGCCGCAAGCATGACCTTCTAGTGTCTGCTCTGTGGGTCTCCGCTGCATCGGGTGTTGTGCGGAGCTGATGCTGCCCTGTGCCCACGCCACATCATCTTGACTCGTCTGCTGCTGTCCACAGCTTTCTTGCCTCTCGACCACCCACAACTCGTACAATATGCAACCATTCCTCACCAGCCTTTTCGCCCCGGTGCTGGTCGCCTCTGCTCTTCTCAGCGCCAATGGACACCCTCGCAGCGACCCCAAGCACGACGCTCTCCAGATCAAAGGCGGGCCGCTTGGCTCTCGAAGCTTGAATGACCGCACCATCGTTGGCCCAGTGACAGGTGACAAGAGCATCGCAACGAAGAGGCATAGTGGCGTCGCTTTTCCTGAGGAAAATCTACTGGCTCGCTATACTCTGTGCGAGTGTTGTGAGCGCGTGGGATCAGGACGTGAGTCTGCCTTCGAACACACCTCATGTACAGTAGTAGCGACTCGTTGCTGACGCAGAGCGCTTGAATGTCTACATGTTTTCAGGCTGCTGTCAGAACTCGCCAGGATGCTGTGACGATCGCTGATCTCCCTGAGAGGAGGGCGCAGCACTGCTGCTTCATCAGGAGACGACTGGAAGCTACCCTGGGCCTTCGCTCATCCTATCCGAATCGCTCTGCGCACCCTCTGCGATTCAGTGGGGCCAGCTTCTCAGTGCGGCCAGCATCGCTCCCACGCTGTTTTCGCTTGTACCACACCTCTTGAATTGATCCATCCGTCTATCTCCTGTTTTCTTTGCGCCAAGCTAGACAGCGTCTGAGTAGACAGAGACTGGAGTCGCGACTCGGGTGCACTGATGCCCACGCTCCTGGCAGGCAGCACGAGAATGTGATAGTCGCTGAGAGACGAGCCGTCGAGCGTGGAGATTGGCAGCGGGTGATGACAAGTAGAGGTACCAGAGCTTCGCTCTTGCCACGTCGGTGCAAAGAACAGATGGCGTGTCAGGAAGTTGGATGTGAAAGAGATTGAAGGTTGGTTCTCTCCCGCGCTAGCGTGTTCTCCGCCCTCGGCAATGTCGCCACGTGTCGTGTCAGGCCACCCGCCGGCCATCCGTTCCCAAGACTTGCTCGCTCTTTCTATCTTCACATCCTCACCTTGTTCATTTACAGCCTTTATCAGCATTCGTTCGCCTTTCAAGACCTCATGCAATCTTCAATATCGTCTCCTATAGCGTCAGAATGTGCAGCGGGAGCGCAGGCGGTGTCAGCGGCGCGAGCTCCCGAACTCTTTCAGCCGCAGCGCCACTCACCCGTTCCATCGCGACAGTATGCCTCTCTCACCTCCCGGGCCCTCTGACAAGCGCCTCAACAGCCAATACAACAGCCCGTGATAGTACCCGAGCAGCATGCCTGAGAAAAAGTGGGGCACAGTGTTAGCCACATCATCTTCGGCGACCGAGGCGCTAGCATTTCCGAGGCCCCGTCGTTCGTGCAGCTCACCGCTGCACCGGCTCTACCAACTCACTCCGCTACCATAGTTCGCGCAACAGGTGCAGGTAGGGTTCGAGTTGCGAGCGTAGAGGGTGCCAGCCATTCCCGGCTCTCGAGGACCTAGAATGTCTGCGATCTGCGGCGTAAAGGCTCGCTTGCTGCGTAGAGAGTGGGTGTCCTAGCGGCTCGAGGCAGGAAGGCAAGGTCGGTTCCTCGTCAGTGGCAGAGCGCGCTTCGACTACCTACTGCATCTACTGCGCACCTGACCACGATCATCAGCGGCGCGAGCTTCAGCGGCTGGAAGTCCCTGGCCCAGAGAGGCAAGCGTAGCGAGCGTGAGCGTTGCGAGGGCGAACTTGACGAAGCGCATTGTGTCAAAGTGTGCGGGGTGCGGTGAGTCTCTTTGCGATGGGTATGAGGCCTTTTGTGAATTTCCATCGCTGAGCAGCTCTCTTTGGGCAACGTGCGCTTCTGCTTAGCCTCGCGCAACAACCTCCCACCGGATTTTGCCTCTACTCAACCTCAACCCTCCGAATTTGCTCGTGCGCAGGCGATATTCTTTCGCGCCTTCTTGCTGGCCGCAACATTCATGATGGCAGTCAATTAATTAATGGTGGGCGTAGCGGGCATTCTCAGCATGGGCGGTCATACCTGCATGGGTAGCTGTGAGCTCTCACTCTCGTACTGCAAGACATTCGATCTCGCCTCGCAAGCAAGAGGGCGAAGGGTAAACTCAGGTACTGTCTGGGCAGGAAAGAACCATCGACGTCATAGCAATCCATTCTCGAGGGGACCAATTGGCGGTAAAAATCACGTTTGTACAGCATCACTCCATGACGGCGTCTGGTCATGCTTGGTTGTTGGAGGTGCCGACACTTTGCAGAACATTGCACAGCCGCTGATCAAGGCACTATTCTGCGTCATCCGGAGCATCGCCGGCTCGAGCGAGGTCATGAGTGGAGGCATCAGCGGAACGATTCACTGCCCTGGCAAGACTCAGACCTTTGTTTCGCTGGCTCTGGAGCAACGTCGAGCGCCGGGGTCACAGGGCATGACGACATTGCTGGGCGAGAGCGATTATCAACTATGGCGAGGGCTTAGGGGAGCAGTCGATCGCTTCCCGTCAAACGACCAGCCCTGGCGCGTCTACACTATACGGTATTCTGAGCCGCCGTGGTACAGTATCGCGTGCGGCACTTCCCGCTGCGATGAGGTCATGACCTCGACAAGAGGCTATATCATCTTCACCTTCTGCGCCTCCAACAGAAGCACTCTCCTCTTCACCAGCACCAGTCCACACCATGCGCCCTCCCTTCCTCTCCTTCATTTTCCCCGCTGTGTTGGGCCTCGCCCTCATCGGCCCAGGCGCCACGGGACGAGCCATTGATGTCCTGGCCCTTCGCACGGAGGGCAGCCTCTCCGACCACGGGTATCTTGTGCATCGTGGTTACAACGAGAGCGTGCCGGCCCTGCGCACCTTCCATCACGATAGAGAGGTCAGTGGAAGCTGATTAAGCGGCATTGGAGCCCCGCGTTAACGCCAGGCATTGTCCCCTTCAGGACCGGAGCTCTCTCACCGATACAGACAGCACGCTCGCGGGGCGCAACAAGACCAATGCGCAGCCCAAGCAGTCAACGAGGGTGAATTCCAACAGGCTTCGTCGGTCGTCCGCAGTCGTTGACCTCGCCTTGATCTCCCTTCGCTACTTCAGCCCACGGCCAATCCCGCGTCAAATGACTGCAGGAAAGCGGGTGACTGCGAGTGCTTCAACTGCAGGCATGCTGTGGATCTGCCCGGTCGATACGAGAAGGTGAGCTGCGGCAACGCGTCTGCCACGGTTCTTGATGCTGACCAGAGACGCGCGCTTTCAGCAGCCCAGAATCCCTCGAGCTGTGTCGACCGTCAGCACGCCCCGTGACAGCGACCTCACTACGCAAAGTGACGCCATGCTCACCGAGCGAAAAAGGAAGGTCAGTCCCCTCGTCGAACCACCTGAAGTCGCGTCCTGCTTGACTCTCACCTCGCATTCTGTCTTTCCGTATCGACTTAGAAACCCGCTCCCTCGAAGTTCTGCCAATGTTGCAGCAGCGGGACCTCTTCTGCCAGATGCTGCCAATTTAAGCCTTCCTGTACGTGCTCTGGGTGCTCCATGGATGTTGTTGGGCGCGACCATCTGATGTGGGAGGAGGCGTACGATCGCATGGTGAGCCGCAGCGACCATCTTCAACAGGTACAGTACAAACCGCGTGCTGATCGATCCACTGCCTTGCTTACCAGGTCACTGCTACCGATAATGTCGTCCACCTCCAGTTCTAGGCTATTATACAAAGCGTCGCTACCTCGTTCACTGTCCGTACACGACAGCCGCCGCCGCATCTCGTCACATGCCACGTACGGCAACTCACGCGGCAGCGCCGCGCACACACGATGTCTCTTCCCCTATCTCTCGATCTCTCACGCGAGACACGAGTCCACATCCAATCATCAACTTTAGCCTCTCACCCGTTGTCTCGCCCTCTCCTGTTGCGTGTGAACAACACCGCAAGCTTGCTACCGCTCGCTTCTCCCGAATCTCCCACGATTGCACTGCCGGCGATACCGTACGCCAAGCCGTCACTGCCAAGGTGCGGCTGCGTGCGCACACCAGCATGGTCGCGCGAGGCTCAATGCTCGCAGTCTGAACCACAGTGAGACTGTATAGCCGCAGTAACCGTCCTGATAGCGGCATTACTTGCGTGCGAACGCTCCCAATGGTGAGAGCGAGCAGTGCAGCGGCCGTGCGCGACTGTTGCCTTCGCACAAGCCGCAATGAAGGACCGGGGGTCGCGCCGTCGTTAGAGTGCCCCAGACCCTGTTGGGGACGCCGACACTGGGGGCTGCTCTCGCTCGCGATCGTATATACGCCCCTCCTTTTTCCCTCCCTCTTCCCTGACCCTCTCCACACCACACGACACAATCACACGATGCGCTTCCTCTGCCTCAGCCAGGCTGCCCTTTTGATCAGCCTCACTCTCATCGCGGGCCTTATGCCCACCACCCACGCAAGCACCAATACCGCTCGCCACGCCACCCGCTATGGAGTCGTTGCTGCTCGTGATCAGGTCGCTGCTACTGGGTTGGAGCAGGGCGTCAAGATCGCCCGTGACGATGGGCAACTCCAGTCCGGCTCCGTCCTGCAGAAGGTGCTCAGGAAGAAGGCCGATGCTGCCTTTCCCCGTTCCGAGCCTGGCCAGAAGGAGCGCGATGAGGTGAGTGAGCACCGCGGTGCAATGCCTGATACAGAATATCGCTTTGCCTTGCTACGATGCTAAGGATACGAAGGCTTCCGCATCGTCTCGTACAGCTCAACGTCCGCCACGACACCTCGCCTCAAGAGGTTCAAGGCAGCCCGACCCCCCTCGCGCGCGATCTCGCTACCACCCCTGCCACTCGCTCCCCTGGCCCCAACACCTTCTACGGAATACACGGCCTTGCTTATCTTCAAGTTCGGTCAGGTATCTGTGACTGCTGTAGCTATAATTCCCAATCGACTTGCTGCGGGGACGCTCCAGGATGCTCGTGCGGTGGCTGCTAAGGGTAGGAGGGCGACGTACTGTAGGACGCGTCGCCGGCCGGTCTAGCGAGCGCGAGGAGAGATACACGAGGGTGGAGAAGAGCGTTTTCCTGTTTGTTGTGTTGCGATGCGGCACCCATCGGTACACTGTGGTGCGAAGACCAAGATACGATTTTGCTCCTCTCTCTCCATGATTGAGCTGCGGTGAAGACGCGTGAGGGCCTTTCCGCCTGAGCACGGGAAGGCACATGGCGGGAGACGCTGCGCTATATGAAATGTGCGAGAGGCCCCACATTGATGGCGAGGATCACCTCGAATCCTTTTGGGCCAATGTTGAGGGATTGGCTACGAGCAGTCCAGCGTGACTTCAGTGGACGTCGCAAAGAGCCCACAACCGCTTCTCTAGCGCCTCTCTGCGCCTGCTCCTCGAGCCGAGTTCATTCGCGCGCACGGTTCACCGCACACGGTCCTGCGTCCAAGCTAGACTAGATTGTGATTCCTTCTCGCGAAGCAAAAGTAAAGGCATGTCCACCGCTACACGCGCGCGTTCATTTCCCTCCCAGCCCCTTGAGCAATCCCGCCACAACCTCAGCAATCCCCTCCGCTCCCGGGTCAGGCGTCTGCTTCATCTCCTCGTTACCCTCTCCCTGGTAAACACTACGGCCCAGCTTAGCGTCGAGCCTCTTGGTCTTCTCCATCCCCTCCTTAGCAGCCGCGACTGCCTTGGACAGATCCTGGCTCTTCTCAAGCTCAACAACGAAAGGTTCAAGCGCGTCAATGAGCGTACGCATGCCCGGTCGGGCGGGAGTGAAGGTGAAGAGGCTCTTGAGGGCTTGGGAAGAGGCGGAGCTCCACTCTTTGATGGTGGCCGGCTGACGAGGCATGGAGGTGAAGGCTTGCGCGAGGCCGGCGAGGAAGAGCTCGTAGATGGCGCCGGATGTACCGCCGTACACGTCCGAGGCGATGGTGCCGATGGACATGACCGTCGAGGCGGCTACCTTGAGGTCTACATTGCCGGAGTCGAGGCCTTGCTGGATGGCCTTGGCGAAGCTGTGCGCGGCGGGAAGGAGAGAGGTGTCAGCGAGGTGTTTGGGCGTGGGTTTCGCGGCGCACACTCACGTAGCGAGACCGGTACCGCAGTCTCCGTCGCCCACAATCGTGTCGTGTCGCGTGATCGAGGGCTCAGCATCGATCGCCGCCTGGCACATGGACCAGATGGCCTTCTTCGTCTGCTCTGGGTCTGCGTTCGAGGGCCCGTCTGCCTTCTCCTTGGCATCCGCCTCGAGCATGCTGACCGCGCCGCCCTTCTTCTGCACCTCGGCGAGACGCTGCTCAGCCTCCTTCTCCTCTGCCTCGCGGTCGCGCGGGTTCGAGGGCCAGCCGCGCGTAACGCCCGTCCAGGCGTAGGCGTCCGTAGGGTCGTCGAGCAAGTCGAGGAGATCGACGCCGCAGGCCTTGGTGACCTCGCGGTGCTTGACGAGCGTGATGCCGAAGCCGGGGGCGTTGAGGCTGGTCATGTAGGCGTTGCAGTAGACGCGGGCCGGGTGGAGGTCGTACGTCTTGCCGAGCTGGGCGATGGTTTCGTCCAAGGCGGCAAAGAGTTCGAGCTGCGAGATGCCGCCGAGGTTGTTGATGAAGAGGACGGGGGCGTCGCCGGCGGAGAAGGGGAGGTAGGCGCGGTCCTTGTCGTTTTGGTTGAGCATGTAGTCCAACCTAGCGGGCGGGCGGGCGGGCGAGCGAGGGGTTAGCAGACGGCTCGAAGCCTGGATGGTACGCGCACGTACATCTCGGCGATGAGCTTGTCAGGGGGAGGCGTCTTGTCCAGACGTTTGAATCCGGGCTCGTTGTGGATGCCTGCGTGCCGCGGCGTACACAAAGTCAGCTCGATCCTACCCGCCCTCTAGGCAGCCCCCACGCACCCATGCCAATCTCGCACGCCTCTTGCGGGAGTGCTCCCCACTCCTTGGGGTCCTTGCTGCGTCCGGGCACATGGCAGTGGTCGAGCGACGTGCCGATCGTAACCGAGTTATCGATGAGCGTGTCGCCCAACTTCTTGATCTCCTTGACGCTCAAGCCACGCTCAGCTGCTGCACCGAGGACCTTGCATGAAAAGGGGTTCATGCCCAAGCCACGACGCCCGACGAGGCCGCCCTTGGCTCGTCCCACGGCAACGTCGTCTGCTACTGTCACGCATTCCACTCCGCCGGATGTCTTGTTGCCCGAGATTGCGAGTGCGGAGCGTGCTCTGCGGGTGGGGGAGTAGGAACGTGAGCGCGTGTGGGGGTGGGAGCATGGTGCGCGGCGTGCGCGACTCACTTCTCGGCGGCGAGACCAAAGTGCAGCTGGTCGCCCGTGTAGTTGTTGATGATGAAGATGACTCCTCTGTGGGCAAGAAAGTGGTCAGCAGCGAGCAAATCCATCTCTCCCTCCCTCATCGCGACACCCACTTGTCCGTGTTGGCCAAGTCGATTCCAGTGCAAATCTGCGCAGCACTCGGGCTGGCAAAGACGTCTCCACTGATAGCCGCAGCGAGCATACCCTTGCCGATCAATCCCGCCTGTCCAGGCTCGTGACCCGCTCCACCGCCAGCCATGATGGCCACTTTGCTGTTGGAGTGAGTCGAGTCGTAGATGACCTTGTGCGGCTTGTAGAGGCGCAGCGCCGGGTTGACGGCAATGGCTCCGCGAAGCGTCTTGTCTACTAGACCTTCCGGGTTGTCGAAGATGTGTTTGGTCGACATAATGGGCGTGCGTGTGTGAGATGGAGTGGTGTGTGTGTGTGCGTGGTGGTGGTAGGGAAGACAAGAAGGAGAGGTCGTCCATCTACTCTGTGCTCGCCTGTCTGTGCGCCCCGCAATCTCAAACGGCTGCTGGCGAATGGGCGAGACGACGCACGAGTGGAGGTCGCGCTGCGCCGCTGCGCCGCTGCGTCGCTGCGTCGCTGCGAGGCACACGGGCAGCAATCAGTCTTGGCCCGGAGCAAAGACGACGACACCGGCGTTCAAGGCGGCGAGAAGCCACGAGGTGACAGCGACGAGGAGAATCATCAGCGCCGTGCGTGTGGTGCGTGTTATGCGTGTCGTGTGTGCGCTGCCACCCCACCATCCTCCCACATCAGCACCATCCTCTCGACCAGCAACAAGGAGCCGCATGTGGGAGAGGAGGCTTTGCTGCCTTTTCTCTGCCGCGCTGTCGGGCAATTGACAAGCTCAACGTCGCCGCCGCCGCCGCCGTCGCCGCCGCCCCGCTCAAACCACGTGGCGTGCGCGACGCTGCAGCTAGTCCGACATACGTCGAGATTTGATTTTTGCTACTCCCGCCTGCCATCCCTTCGCTCCCCGCGCTCCCCGCAATTGCATCTAGTAGGCCCGCAATGGGACGTAAGAACAAGCTGCCACCCTCTCGTGGCGGCCAGCAGGCCAAGCGCAAGCAGGACACTGGCCCGCCCGTCTTCTTCAAGCACCGCAGAGAAGAGGAGCAGCGCAAGATGGCTGCAGACCTCAAGGGAAAGCAGCGAGAGAACGATGATGCCAAGACGTCGTCACTCCTTGACGAGACGGTGCGAGCGGCGGCCGGCTCCAACGATAGTCCCGTCGCATCGTCGTCTACGGGCGATGCTTGGTCGCAGTACGACCACCTCAACGGGTGCGTAGCTCGCCCGCTCACTAGCATATAAAGGCCTATCCATGCTGACACCTCACCCCGCACGCCACACAGCAACCACCCCGGCTCAACCGTCGACTCCTCCCTCCGAGCCTACGGACGCCACCTCCGCTCCCTCATCTCGCAGTCGGACGTCCTCATCCAATTACTCGACGCTCGCGACCCGCTCGGCTCACGCTCACCCTCCACGGAAGCCCTCATCGCTGCTCACCCGGGAAAGCGCCTCCTCTTTGTCCTCACCAAGATCGACCTCGTTCCCAAGCAAGCTCTCGAGGGCTGGCTGAAATATCTGCGCTCCCTCCACCCCACGCTCGCATTCAAGTCGAACCAGAACCTCGACGGCAAGGGCAGGGCGAGCCGCAAGTTGCACACGCAAACCAATGCCTCGAGCTCTTCTGCCGCCACGTCCTCGCTGGAGGGCAGTACGGCTGCTCACCTCCTACAGCTGCTGAAAAACTACGCTCGCTCCCAGCCAGTCGGCATGTCCCTCACAGTGGGCATCTTCGGGCCCCCCAATGTAGGCAAGTCCTCCCTTATCAACTCCCTCGTCCGCTCCCGCGCGTGTAGCGTTGCGCCGCGTCCCGGCGAGACAAAGGCGCTGCAGACCGTCCTACTTGACAGAAAGGTGCGACTCGTGGATAGCCCGGGTGTTGCCATGCCTGGTGCGGGGGAGGGAGCGACGCAGGATGTGCTGAGGGGGACGGTCAAGTTGGAATTGGTGGAGGACCCCATCACCCCCGTCGGGGAGATACTGCGACGGGCGGACCCGGTCAAGGTGACGAGGTTGTACAGATTGCCGGTCATTGAGATGGAGCAGGACGAGGAGCAGAGTGCGCAAGTGAATGCGGAGCCGCAACCCATGGTTCCCGATGCAGAAGCTGCTGCTCCGCTGAAACAAGCGCGCAAGGTCGATTTCCAAAGCCTACGCGACGGCAGCGATATGGAGGATGACGACGACGACGACCAAGACCGCGCATCAGACATGGAGGATGACCACCACTCTTTCGCTCCCAGCGAGTCGTCAGAAGTCCCCCTCGATGCCGCCCCTTCCTCCCACTCCACGCAAGGCGGCATCGGCTTCGACCCCTCGGATCCCCTCGACTTCCTACTCCGCCTCGCTCTCACTCGCGGCAAGATGCTGCGCGGCGGCAAGCCAGACGTGGAAGGTGCTGCACGCGGGGTGATTAATGATTGGAACACGGGGAGGATCAGATGGTTCGTCGCCCCTCCTGCCACAAAGCAGGACAAAGCGCGCGAGGCTCGCGAGGCGAGGATGGCGGGTGCGGGCGCGGGGGTGCAGGAACAGGACGACGAGATGAAGCCTGCCGCTGTGGTGCCGAGCGAAGGTCAGGTGGCTCCCGTAGAGGAAGAGGCAACGGTAGTCAATGGCTTCTCTGCGGCATTCGACCTGGAGGGCTTGTTCGCTCAGGCAGATGCGCAGATCTTCGGCAAGTCCACTCCCGCAACCACGACACCGGCCACTGCTCCGGCGAACAAGCAGGTGCTCCAAGCTGGTGACGTTAGCGCTAGCTCGTTGGGGAAGAGGGGAAGAGCAGGGGCGAATGAGGAAGAGGACCAAGATGCGAGTGAGGCGGAGAGTGAGGAAAGCGATTCGGATGATGAGGACCAGCCAAAGAGGATGAGCATGCACGCCGCCGATGAAAGTGCGGGCAAGGAGGACGACGAGGAGATGGCCCCGCGTCGTGCTGCGCCGCGTCATCAAAACGCCAATGCATCACACGACGAGCTCTCCACCTTCCTCTCCTCCAACTCGACCATCCCCGTGCCCCGCACGCAAGCTTCCACACAAACACAGCGCCCCTCCGGTGGGCACAAGCCGCTCAAACGCGGGCAGCGCAACAACAACAAGAAGGGGAATCGTCGCGGTGATTCTTCCGCAGGTGAGGAGCCCGCCTATCTCGCCCGTCTAGCGCACAAGGCTTCTCTGCCTGCGAATGTCAAGAAGGGAGTGGGCAAGCAGGCTGGGACGTATGGCGAGGAGGTAGGAGGAGGAGGAGGGGGCGGGAGCGGTGAGCTCGGGATCAGAGGGGGAAAGCGCGGTGATGAGAGGAGAAAGAAGCGGAAGATGGCGAGAAGAGAGGAGAGGGGGGATGGAGGGTTGAGTGGTGGGTTTGCGGGTGTGGCATTGCGGGAGGAGGACGAGTAGCGTGATGAAATGAAGCGATGTGCTCGTCACGTCGGTCAGCAGTGTTGTCGGGCCCTCTACTGGGGTAGCATTGAAGTCTTCAGGACCGTCTACACCTTTTAGCATCTTTTGATCGCCGTCCCTTGATGCGTCTCAGAGCAGTCGTAGGACCCAGTTCTTCGCACCACGTGGTTATGCAGCGCTCATGTATCGAATGCCGCCTGCCGCCTCACCGCCTCGCGCCGCTCTCTCCGCACTGACACCTCCACCCGCGCCGTCCTCGCCGACCTCGCAGTCGAGCGTCACGAGGTCGCCGTGACAGCTCGGGCGGTCATTCAGTCGAGGTCGAGCGGTGAGCGTCGGGGCTCTGCCATTCACTCACACCATCCTTCCTGCCCCACCCCGCCCACACAATGTCCGCCAACTTCCCCATCCTGTCCGAGCCCAAAACATCGCTGGGCCATCATCGCCTCCTGTCGTCACGCAGCTCAGTCCGCGTCTCACCGCTATGCCTCGGGGCCATGCAGTTAGGCACGGCGTGGAACGAGACGCTCAATTCGGGCTTGGACGAAAAGGAGTCGCACGACTTCCTCGACGCTTGGTGGGACAAGGGCGGTAATTTCATCGATACAGCGAATGGTGAGTGGGGGTGCGAATTGGCAGGGCAGGCGTGGCGTGGTGTGCCTGATGACACCTCGTGCGCTGAGCGAGCTGAAAATCGTGTCCTCCCGCACACCCGCGCAGCTTACACTCGTGGCGAGTCGGAACGCATCCTTGGCAGTTGGATGACCTCGCGCAAGAATCGGGAGGAGATCGTTCTCGCTACCAAGTTCACGGCACGATGGCGAGACCAGCGTGACGGGGTGCGTAGCCGTGTTCGCGCACCCTGCCATTCACTCTACATTCTCAGCGCTGATCTCGCCCCGCCCTCGCTCGCAGGCCCGCATCATGTCCAACTTCACGGGCAATTCGACTAAATCGCTCCGCCATTCGCTAGACGCTTCGCTGCGTAACCTTCAGACAAACTACGTCGATGTGCTCTACGTCCACTTGTGGGACTGGTCGACGAGCATCCCAGAGCTCATGCAGGCCCTCCATCGCGAGGTCACGGCAAGGAGGGTCGACTACCTAGGCGTGTCCGACACACCTGCGTGGGTGGTAGCCGCAGCCAATGAGTATGCAAACGCCAATGCCCTCACGCCATTTGTGGTGTACCAGGGCAAGTGGAATGTGCGTGCAGCGAGCGTATGATCGAGCAAGGACAACAGCCGGCTGAACCGTTTGCTCCTCTTGTGCACGCAGGCGCTGGACCGCGACCTCGAGCGTGATATCCTCCCCATGTGCCGCCACTACGGAATGGCCATCGCACCCTGGGCTGCCCTCGGTCAAGGACGCTTCCGCACGCCCGAGCAGCTTGCTCAGAGAGAAAAGGAGTTTGGCAAGCCTGTCCGCGGAGGAGGGCAGAGTGACGAAGAGGCTCGTATTGCGCGCACACTGGATGAGGTGGCCAAGGAGGTCGGGCAAGGAGCGACCATTACGCAGATTGCGCTGGCGTATTGCTTTGCAAAGTGAGTGTGTGTGCGTGCGTCACGCGAGACGAGGATGGTATGCTGATCCCTGCTCGCCCGCCTAGATCGCCGTACGTCTTCCCCATCGTAGGCGGTACCAAGCTTGTGAGTCTCGTCCGACCTCTCCCCCACTTTGACCCCGATCGCATCTGACTCGTCTCCCCTCCTCCCCGCGCGCGCAGTCCTACATCGACGACAACATCCGCGCCATCGACCTGCGTCTCACTCCCGACCAACTCGCCAAGATTGAGGCGGCAGCCCCGCTCAACAAGGGTTTCCCTTACTCAATGACCGGCGATGATAATCCCGCCACTGGCGCCAAATCGGGAGCATTTTCGCAGATGGGCGGGCCAGTGGACTTTGTGAAGGGTCCGACGAGTATGCACTTGGAGGCGAAAAAGTGAGAGGGCACGGCGGCAAGCATGTTTCCAGGTCAGAGAGGGGAGAATCGTGCACAGAAGCGCATTGTGGACGCAATGGCATCACTCGTGTCCCAATATCTCTGGCATGTATTCCTTTGATACCAGGACGGGAAGACGTGAGATCGCGGCCATGCCTGATCAGGAGGGGCGAGACCACGAAGGTCACGCAGCTACGGTAGGCGAGACGACGTGCTCATCTTAGATTAAGAGCTGGGGCCGGCACGAGCAGGGCGTGAATGCTCGATCAGCTATCAGACCGCCTTGTTAACAGCGGCCTGAACCAATCGTGATCCACGCGTCACGCCCTCTGCCGCAGCTGCTGCACCGCTCGCTCAGCTCACGCCTCTGCAGCTTTTTCAGACCAGGATGCGAATTCGGCCCACCGACCAACATGCCAGACGACACACCGGTTAACTCCATCGAGTCGCGGGTCACAAATTGGTAAATAGATGAACTCATAGCTAGCGGCGAAGAGACAGTGCCGCCCCCCTTTCTCTCACCGCCGCCGCCACCGCGTCAGCCGCCCTCGCTGCGCTCCCACGCCTACTCTCCCTCCTCAAGCAACCCATCCCTCGCCCTCCCCGCCCTCCACATAGCCTTCCTAATCGCCTCCCTCTGTCGCGCCTTGACCGCGCTCACCATCCCGCTATCAAGCTCCTCGTCCTCCAACAAAAGCCTACAAAGCCCCGTCGACGCCCAACCCCAACTGCGCGCCCGGTCGAAGAAGCGCACCAGGTGAACTCGTTGCCCAGTCGGAATGGTAGAGGGGGCAGGTCGAGCGGAAAGAACCGTCGGTGGGACGAGGGCGGATTTCTCTGAGAATACCTCGGCCGGGTAGAAGGGGTGGGACCCGTATTTGGCCCATACTAGCGTGCCGGCAGGGGAAATGACGGAAGGCTTGGGGATGGAGTTGAGGTCAGGAGTTGGGAGAGGGGAGCCAGCTGGTGCCGTGGAGGGGCCTGGGGCAGCTTGGTTGCTCGGACGACGGGTGCGTTGCGAGCGCGCTGAGGCCGGGGGAGCAAGTGGATCAAGCGTTGGCGCAGCAGGAGAAGCCTTGCCTGCTGCGGAGCGTCGCACCGCTCGTGGACGGGGAGTGGCTTCGCCAGCCTTGATATCTGTCGCTTTGCCGCCGCTCCGCCCTTCGTCCTCGCTGCTGCTCTTCCCCGCCGTGGTAGCGCGGCGCGTTCCCTTGGGCAGGATCCAGCCGTCCTCGAAACGCTTGAAAGAGTCGTGATCCGAGACGTCCGAGACGCGTAGGGCTGGGTTGGCGGGCGACGAAGGGGACGATGTGAGGGGAGAAGAGACTGCGCTCGCCGATGCGACTGCCGGTGAGACAGCTGCTGGTGCTGCCGCGGCGAGAGCCGATGCTCGCCCGCGACGCGGTGCTGCCGCTGCTGGTGCTGGACGTGGCGTCCGAGGGGGGGCGGGCGCCTCGATGCGACGACGCTTGGGTGCGGTGGCTCCTTCTTTGCCCTTGCGCTTCGGTGATGACGATGCGGCGGCCGCTGGTGGAGCCGCGGATGGGGCAGGTGAGGGATCGGCGGCCGGCGGAGGCGGCGGTGGCGGCGGCGGTGAAGGCGGACGGTAGAATTGTCTGAGCAGATCGTCGACGATGTTGAGCTTGGCAGGCTCCGCCTGCGTGTCTTCCTCGCCTGCCTCGCCCGCCTCGCCCGCCTTGCCCTCATCCCCACGCTCTCCGAACGCGTCGAGTAATCGCAGTGGCGGCTCCAACTCCAACTCCTCCAGCAGCTTCCCCACCTCCACCCCCCTCTCTCTCGCCTCCTCGCTATGCCACCTCCCCAACCCCTCCAGCGCCTCAAGCATAGGCTCCACCGCCTTCTTGATGCGCACCGCCGCGCGATGAAAGCTCGTCTCCGGCTTGTTGTACAGTATTGCATTGTTCGGCACCAGCATGACATCGCGCCTAAACTCTGCCACCCGCTGGTAGTAATGGTCGTCCACGCGAGCCGCAATAGTGGCCCACTCCATCGGCTCCTTGACCACATCGTAGTAGTCGGGCACCTCGCTGCGGGAGACGGGGCTCATGAAGAGGCCCGAGCGATCCAGGGCAGTGATCTTGGCTAGAGCGTCCTTGAGCGGTGCGTGAGCGGGGAACAGGGCGGCGTCCAGTGCACTTCTGATGATGTCGGCCTGCTTGAGCTTCTCACGCTCTCGCTTGCGTACCAGCTCGACCAGCATACGCTGTTTCTCCAAGTCGGCACGTACGGCCATGACGAAGCGCAGTTTCTTTGTTCGTTCGGCTTCGCTCAGCTCCTTAGGCGCAGACATCGCCGTCCAGGGCTCGAGGTGTAGGCGCTTGAGTAAAGGAGCCCCACGCCTTGCTTCGCGTTTCAGTGACCAGAACTTGGCGATCTGCACGATCAGGGGCTGCTTTCGGCGGAGGTGTACCTTGCTCATGTAGTCGAAGACGCGCGAGAGGATGTATGCGGGGACGAGGGGCGGGCCAGCGCGATAGGACTTCTTGTAGGCGCGCGCAGACTTGGTGGCCGTGTGAGCTGGAGGGTTGGCTACGACTGCAGAGATGGAGCCGTTGGCGCCGCGTCGAATGGTAATCTTACGAGAGGCCGGCTTGATCGTGGGGAGGACTGGCGTGCTAGCCCCAGTCCCTGCGCTGCCACTCGCAGCATCGTCGTCTTGCGGCGCGCTGGCGTTAGCCAGGCGACGGAGGTGCTTGGGCTGATGCTTGTGGCACATTGCCTTGAGCGTCTCGCCCTCGTCGTCATCGTCGCCATGGTGATGGTGCTCGTGACGCTGGCGAGGTGCATTGATGAGTAGCCCAGCCTTGCGCGCGCAAGTGACGTGGAAGGCAACGAAACACGACTTGCTGTCGCACTGTATGCATGCCCCGTGCCTATGCCGACAGAGGTAGCATTGTAATTTCCACCTCGCCTTGGGAATGCGCTCGACGCTGTCGATGGGCTCCATGTAGACTGGATTGCTCACGCCCGTCTCTGGGATCCACATTGCGCACAAGAGGTGAGCCCACTTGCCCTGCGTCGTCTGTTTGAATGCTCCTCCCTCGTTGGGGCACAGGACGCATGATACCGCTCGATCCGGCGATACGGTGCACTTGCGGCAGAGCCATTGGCCCTCTGGGATGTAGGGAATGCCGTAGCAATCTTGGTGGACTGCGAGATTGCAGCCGTCGCAAAAGACGATTGCATTTGAGTTCTCGCACTCTCCGTCGTCGCAAATAGCGCACTCGGTGTCCTCGCTCTGATTGACGACTTCGCCATCGGGTCCAATGGCAGCGGGCGTGGGCTTGGGCGGGACGCGTTTCATCTAGAAGCGGGGCCGCGAGTAGACGCAGGTCAGCTTCGTGTCCCCGCCAATGCTGCGCAGCGGGCACTCGCACTCACCAAATCAAACCACTCCTTTTCGAGTCTGTCGATGACAATCTCAAACGTCTCATACGACACGGCATCTGACCCTTCCTTCTTCCTCTCGGCGTTGAGGGCATCGATCCACTCCTTGTCCTGCTCGTCCATGTCATACTCGACTTGTCGCTTCAAGTCGGCCTCGATGGGCTCGACGAAGCGTATGTAGTGCTCTGGCTTGTCGAATGACTCGCCATCATTGAAGCCATATCCCACATTGATCGAGTCGCTCACTCCAGCAGGTAGGCTCAGCGTCTGGGCCTCTTGAGCTGGAATGCGACGAAACGAGACCTTTGGCAGCGATGATGCGAGGGGGAGATTGGAGCCAATCGGCTGCGGTGGTCCCGTCATGCTGGGCGACGACGGCGGCGAGGGCGAGGGCGAGGACGAGGAGGAGGATGATCCAGCATCGAGGTCGCGAGCGCAATTCGGTGGTAAGGATACGGAGACAAAGGCGCGGCGTTGCGTGCGTGCGTGCGTGCGTGCGGGCGTGCCTGGCGTCGCGTCCCCGTTCGTGCCACGCCGGTCTCAGTCCGCCCCCCCAGTCCGCCCTGACCAATTTGCCATTCCAACTCCGACCCGCGAAGAAGGGCCGCCGCCCAGTCGACGGCTCGTCTTGAGAGCAATACCAATCAAGTCCCTCGTCGAGGCTGTGTCGAGGCCAGAGGCAATCACTTGCCCACGACGCTCCCAGTACCTCCCTCGCTTTCTTTTCCTCCCCACCCCTCTCACCGCGATGTCGAGTCAACTCCTCGCGCTGCTCAATGGCTCGGGGATGTCAGCATCATCGTCCTCCCCGAGCGCCCCTGCCGATTCGTCCCCATCCGCTCCTGCTCCGCCTCCATCTCGTTCGCCCACGTCAGCTCGTAATGCTGCAAGTCTGCTACAAGGTCTGCTTGGTGGCACTGGTGCCGCTCCCGAGCTGATCAGCACGACCAGCACGACGAGCACCAACAGTCAGCCTCAAGCCAGTTCTCCAGCCCCGGCTCAGCCAGAGACGGCATCGGCCATGCTCCTTGGCCTCCTCTCGCCGCCAAAGACTCAGCCTGCCGGCCAGTCTGCCACCCAGCCAGCAGTCACGCCTAGCCCTCAGGGATCCATTCGTGAGTCATATCCAACCCGTCGCTGACTGTTGTCGTTCACGCCGCTCACTTGCAGCCGACTTTGCCCCTCCAGCGACCGCCTCGCCGCCGCCAGCTACTCCCTTCAACTTCCAGAGTCCATTCGAGAGTCTCGGCCTCAAGGCCTCCTCCCCACGTCAGCAACTCAGCGTCAAGAGTCCAGCAGCAATCCCTGCTCCTCAGCCTCAAGCAGGATCATTTGTTCAGAGCGACATCTCGACCAGCTTGGAGGCACCATCCACGTCTGCCGCTTTCTCTGCAGCCGCGACTGAGCCTGAGCAGAGAGTCACCCCAGCTCAGCCGTCGTATGACCTCAAGACGTCTGGCTCGTCCCCCGCGCGTGCGCCCGGGGCAGAGGCCAGACCTACCGCCCACCTCTCCCTCGCCGAGCTTCACGCTCGCGGCGCCTTCAACGACGCCTCCACATCCGGCTACTCTGCTCTCGATGCTACCTCTACTCGCATCGACCTCGCCGCCCTTCAGCCAGGTGGCGTCGCGTCTTTGCACCCTGCAAAGCTTGAGACGGTCGGCTACATGGGGAGCAAGCGTGCAAAGCCAGTCGAGCCCTTCATCAGTGGTCCTCTCGCAGTAGACGGCGCTACGACGGCTGCATTTCAGATTCCACGTGTGGCCAATCTCAGTGACGATACCGCCGTCTGGATCTCGTCCAAGGGTCGCATCCACCTCCTCAATAGCTCGACAACCGACCGCGTGACCCTCGAGGATCTCGACCAGGAAGCCGTTGGCGGCATCTGGATCACGCCCGACGAAGAGCTCAGCGAAGGAGACCAGCGCCAGTGGATTGTCGCAGGCTCGACAGCCAAGGGGCTCAGCTTCTGGACGATAGTCGAGGGCGATCAGTACGACACCACATTCCTCGGCACACTGCTCCTCGCGGGCGAGACTGTCGAGAACGGCGGCGTGCAGGACTTTAGCTGGATCACTTCGATGCGCACCAGCGAGCCACGTCTCCGTGCTGCCTGGCTCGTGGGCAGCTCCCAGTCTTCGGACAATGCTTCTGTCCTCTTGCGCGACTTTTCCAATCTCGTCAAACTCTTTGACCAGACGCAGAATCTCAAGCTCACTCACAAGCAGGCCCTGTCCAAGGGCGTCATCGAGATTGTTCCTTCCGACGACACACCCATCGCGGGCCAAGCCTTCTCACCCGACGCTTCCCTCTTCTTCACCCTCCGTGCCCACGCTCATTCGCGCTCCCTCTCCATCGTCTACGAGTCCGCCTCGACTGGCAAGACGCGTGCTGCGCTCGGAACGATCAGGCTGGACCCTCTTCCCACGTCATCGGCTCCGCCAGCCGTCAGCTTCTTTGCACTCATCAACGACCCCAACTACGACTTGGCCGCTACGACTTCCTCTAATTGCCCTCGCGCGGCCATCATCGGCCTAGCGCGCAACACCATTGTAGGGCTGGTGGACCTGGCAAAGGGCACTTGGCACCACGTCTGGCACTTTGAAGCCCCCTCGCCCCACTACAACTTCATCGAGTACCACCGCGACACGGCTACGCTGCTCATCGCCAACAGCTATCGCGGGTCGGTCTTTGCACACCGCTTCGCAGTCCTCGAGCTGCCTCACGCCAACATCAGCAGCGGCGGCGGTGGAGGAGCAAGCGCGCGCGGCAGGAGGGGTCCTCGTGAGCGCGAAGAATCTGGACTCACCGAGGCCAAAGTCTTCCGCAATCGTCTCGCCGTCGTCGGTCGACTGCCCTGGAGTGTCGAGCTCCCGGCTAAGTTGCGCGAGTTCCCCCTCACCGTGAGCCCCACGTCGATTAGCGTCGTAGGAGAGTCGTTGATCAGCTTTGTAGTCTTTGTTGCTCATTCGCTCGGCGTGATGAGCGTTTCGCTGCCACCGCTGGAGAAGGAGAGCGAGAAGGCGTTTGTCGAGAGGACGGAGCGAGAGGAGCGAGAGGAGCGGGAGGCGGCCGAGATTCGCGCGGAGACTCGCGACGACACGCTCGCAGAGACGCTGACTGTGGACAACACTACGGCTGACGTGACGGAGGTCGAGGACAACGTGGGTCAGGCTGCGGAGGACGGCGCTCGCACCAGCTTGCAGCCCGGCCAGCCCAGCGACAATGTGAACGGCGGCACATCTCACCATGCCTGGGGCCAGGCTGATGCTTCCACCACGGGCACACCCTCAGTCGACATGCCCGCACTCATCGCCTCTCTCGAATCCCGCCTCGACGCCAAGCTCACCACTCTCCTCACCAACGCTACCGAGCATTCTCGCCCCTCGTCGACCCCACTACTCAGCCCATCAGCCCTCTCCGCCATAGCAAGCGAAGTGGCTCACACGCTCTCTGGCCAACTCACCGATCTCGTTATTCCCGAAGTCCGCTCCTCACTGCGCTCCCTCGTCCAGCCCGAAGCCCTGCGCGAAGCCTTGCGCCAGGCAGCTGAACAAGAGATGGCCGGCAACGCAGAGGCCATCGAGCACATCACTCGCTCCACGATTGATAGGCTGGAGAGCTCGGTCAAGAAGAACAGCCTGCAGATCATCTCGCTCACACTCGCGCCGCGCTTTGATCAGTCAATGAGTCGTATGATCGACATAATGGAGAGCAAGTACACGGAAGGGCTCAAGAAGGCACACGAGGATGCTGCCGCCGCTGTCGAGCGAGACCGAGCTGCGAGTGCGGCTGCGGCTGCTGCGTCCGAGGCCAAGCTCGCGCAAATGCAGACCGCAATGGAGGACATGTCGGCGACGCTGGACAAGACGACGGCCCTCTTGACGGCCCTGGTAACGAAGCTCGAAGGGCTCGAAGTGCAGAATCGCAGCCTTCAGCAGACGGTCGCCGAGCTCACAAAGAAGAATCGCGCCGCCCCTCCTGCTCCCGCGCTCAGCCCGCCAACCAGTGCCGCTACTTGGGGAACGGCACTCGGCCCTGCTGGTAGCGCCGCTTCGTGGAGTCAGGTCACGACGCCCCTCTCCGCGCCGACCGCGGCCCCTATCCACTCCCCCCCATCCGCACCCCTCCGCACACCAACGGGGTATCGCGAGGCGCAGGGAGCAGCCACGCCAGGAGGACGATGGGTGCCGCTGGAGCCTTTCTCGCCAGGAGCCGCCACGGCTTCAGCAGCTCCTCCCGCCTCCGCGCCCGCGCCCGCGCCCACGAGCCCTCTCCGCTTCTTGCCTTCCACGCTCAGCGCGGCGCCCGCGCCACTCTCCTTCTCGTCCCTACCCGCCCAGCAGCCCCAGCCCAAAGCTCAAGCCTCGTCGCCGCCGCTCCCCAACGTAGAAGACGAGCTCCTCTCCACTCTCATGCCCCGCGAGGGGAGTGTCGACTTACTGCCCGTGCTAGCCCGCCTGCAAGACGCTTACGGGTCCGCAGCTACCGCGCTGGAGGAGGGTGCGACTCGTGACTCCCTGGCCATGGAAGCAAGGCTACGCGTCTCCCAAGCAGTACTCCTCGCCCTGCTCCACCGTCTCGGCGACCTCCTCGCAACCCCCGCGGGCGGCTCTCCCGCACAGGTCGAGCTACAGGCCCTCTGGGCAGAAGCAGCTGCTGCTCGCCTGGACCGCAACGATGCGACCATCGCGCAGGCCTTCAAGGCCGTAGTTGGGCAGGTGAGGCGCAACTTTGAGATGGGGTGGAACAGGCGTGGCGCCGTTGCTGGAACGGGTGGGATCAGCTGGTGGACGCAGGTGAGGTTTGAGGAGAGGCTGAGGCGCTTCTTGCTCGAGTAAGCCGCGTAGCCGTCATGTTTCACGCAGTCGAGCGTCTTTTTCCCATCCGCGCATCGTCACACCACCATCCGACCGCTCACTAGCATCTTGATTCATCATCACCATTGTCACTCGCGTCACTCGCGTCACTCAATCATCATACCTTTCCATCTCCTCGTCTCGACCTCATTCGCTCACAAGACGTTTGTGACAGGGATATCAGCCGAGGATTACCAAGCGCGTGACGATCGTGATTGCCAGTCTCATCTCGTTTCGATATCTGCCCTTTGCCCCTTTAATCGCCCTTTATTTCCATTAAGTTGCTATGGAACATAAAGGGAAAGGGTCTCGTCCATCTCTTCGTCCTTGCTGCCCTCGGCAGCAGGGACCTCTTGCTCCCCCTCCCCGTCTTTCCCCCCATGACCAGCCCCTCCTGAGGTCGAGGCAGCCCCCTCGGCCCCAGCTCCACCTCCCGCTCCCGCCGCCCCTGACGATGAGGCAGCCGATTGCTGTCCCTCAACTGTCTTTTTCTGCTTCCCCCTGCACCCCCGCCTCGTGCGCTTAGGCGCAGAGGCGCTCTTGCTGCTGTTGCTGATGCGCTTGCCGCCGCTGTTGTTGCTGCTGCTGATGCGACGGCGACGGCGGCTGTTGTTGCTGCTGTTGTTGCTGTGGCTGTTTTTGTTGTTGTTGCTGCTGCCGCTGGCCTGGGTAGGGGGGCGAGCGCCAGTAAAGACGCTGGACCCGGTTGAAGGCGCGCCATGGATGGCGTGCAGCCTGCCGATGTCCGCGACCCTTTGCAGCTCTTGCTGCCTGAGCCAGGCGTCGAACATCTCCTGCCTGCTGGGAGGGCGGTGCTCATCACCCAACCCGCGGCCACCATGTCCTCCGCGTCTGCCCCCACTTCCACCTCCGCGACCGCCGCCCCATGCGGCGCCGCCACCTCCACCTCTCTCTGGCTTCATCCTGGAGACGCTGGTCTGCTGCGTGCGGATGGAAGGAGCAGGGTGATGAGGGGTGATGTCAGTGAGCAGCTCGCTGCCACCATGCGTGGAGGCTAAGGTGGGTCTGACCTTTTCTCGTGGTTCTCCTCGTCGATGGTGGAGGTGGGGTGGGATATGTAGCTGGTGCGCTTGTCTGTGCGGATGCGAGGAAGAGGTGTCAATGAGCCGATGGGTATCCAAGGAGAACAACACCCAGCTCTGGCCTTGTCGTTTGTCGTCGGAACTCACAGTAGTAACGAAGAGAGGGAGCGACGACAACTCGTAACCATGGCGTCGTGTTCGGTGGTGGAGATGGGAATGGAAGATGGAGAGGCGAGAGAGGTGCTCTTGTCTCTGCGAATTCCTCGCTTGCGTCGTCAGCCTCCCTGTTGTCCTCGTTCGGATGCCATGGTGGTGGAGGCTTGAGGGCGCACAGCTCCTCGCCATCCTTCGAGCAAGCTCATTCACTTTCACCAAGTTGGCGGGATCGTTGTAGACCTCCTGCAGCTGGGTGCGGACTGTTGCGGTGACCAAAGTTGGAAAAAAGAGGTCAACGTGCTCGTCCCATGGATGTTGTTGAGGAACACTGCGCCATCGAAGCTGCCCCTCATCCAGTTTGCCGCCTTGCTCTTGACCAGGAAGTTCCTCGACGAGTCGCGATACTGGTCGACATCGGAGGCCGGAGGAGAAGGGCAGGCCATGCACTCGATGGGCCACGATCGAGATGGGCACGTTGGCGTCCTTGAGCGGCAGGCCGGTGAGGTGGCACTTGTCCAGCTGCCCGCGCGCAGACATGACGGCGAGGGCGGCGTACAGAATGCAGGGCGTGAGACCGATGGCCAAGCTCTGCTTGAAGTGCTCGCTCTCGGAGTCAGCCTCCCACTCGTCTCCCTTCAGAAGTTCCGCCGGTGGTGGCCTCAACGGCCCGAGGTCTTCGCATCGGACGGAGTACACGCATCAGTGCGTCATCTCTGCCTGCAGCTCTGCCCATTGGAACGACTTAGGGAAGAGGCGAGTGTCGACGAGCCGCATGCCATCTTGGGGCATCCGTCCGTCGGCAAGGAGGCCTGCAGCGACAAGAGGTTGGCCAAGGCTGTCTGTGGAGCCACGACGGGGTACTTGACGTCTCGACCGCGCCCACGGCGGAGAGCAGCGAGGACTTGATCAGGCGTACCGCCGTCAGCAACAGCCAGCTCCTCGTCGGCTTCGGCGTCGTCCTGGTCGACTTCAGAGGTCTCTTGATCTGCCTCCCAATCATCACCGGTAAGTGGTCCGGGAGGGGGTGGCCTGATCGCGCCGAGGTCTTCGCAGCGCCAAGAGTACTTGCACCAGCGCGTCAAGTCGTCGAGCAAGTTCTGCAGCTGATGCGACTCGGGGAAGATGCCGAGCGTGTACAAGCCGCATGCCATCTTGGGCCACTTCTGCTCTGGCAAGCAAGGAGGCTTGGAGTGTCAAGAGCAGGTTGGCCAAGGCGGTCTGTGGAGCCACAACGGGGCACTCGAATTCCTTCGTGGCCTTGTTGCGGCGAAGAGCAGCAAGGAGTTGTTCGGTCGTGCCACCGTCAGCAATTGCCAGCTCCTCGTCGGCTTTGCCGTTGCCCTTGCCGTTGCCCTTGCTAACTTTGGGGTGAGGCGTGTCGCCGCTCTTGCTCTTGCGATCACCGTCGTCGTGATGCTACGCGTCAGACGCTGCTCTGAAGATGAGTTCGCAGAGTTGCTTGGGTGCGTCTGCGGGCGAGGAGCCGATTGGTCATTGTATCGCTGGCGGCTTTGCACTTGGCCACGGGTTTCTGCTTGCCCTTCTTGAAGCTTGCTTGATCGCTGCTGCTCAAGGCTCAGAGATCGACGTACTGCTGGAGTGAGATTAAAAGAGTATCGGACTCGAAGTGTACGCTGCAGTCAGACGACTTGGCGATGTTGGCCCAGCCAGAGAGCCATTGCAAATTGCCATCGCGAGGGTCGTGGCTCGTCTTGACCACTTTGCCGCTTTGCGTCTTCCTCGAGGCGATGCGGTCAACCGAGGGCATTCCAGCCTTGAGTGCGCAATCGACACGGTGGGCGAGGGAAACGACGGGGTTGACGAGGCTGCGGAAGTCGAAGAAGGATGGCAGCCTACTCGCGATGAGCTCGTCGAAGTCTCCGAAGAAGTCGACGGCAAGACCAAGCTCCTGCTCCAAGGCACGACGCTCGGCGATGGAGCGCGCAGGCGGCGGCGTAGGGTGGTCAAACCCGTGCTGCATCACTTCGGCCATCCAGCGGTTCTGGTCGTCTGGCAGCGCGGTCATGCGGAAGCCCTTGTCAGGGAGCGCAGCGGTGAGGAGGTCGACCCGGTCCGCGCTACCGGGCACGCCGGGCTGCTTGTAGTCCCAGATGCCTGTGAGAGAGCCTCGGGACCGTCCTTGCGAGCTCGTGGTGCGCGTTGATCCTATTGAGCATCAAGTCCCACGTCTGCGTCTTGTTGACGAACTCGGAGCAGTGGACGAGTCCCATGCGGTGCACGGACAGACCGATCGGCGCTTTGCGACCATCCTCGTGAGTGGCAAAGGCGAGATTTGGGTTCGTGGCCGTACGAGCGGGCAGATGCGAGCCTCTGTAGCATCCGCTGAGGAGGCCAGGCAAAGGGCACCCCTTGCTCCTGGTCTCCGTCGTGAGGAGCGGCAGAACCTGGCCCGAGGTCTTCTTGCCTATGTGCAAGAATCGAAGAACATCCCAGGCTCCGATGTCGCCGTCGCCGATGCGCTCGCTGATCGAGGCAAGGCAAGAGTCAATGTCTCCGTCTCGGCAATGACCCACGAGCCAATACTGCTCCTCGAGAATGAGCTTGGCCATGAGAAGGAGGCCGTGGCTGCACATGCGCATCCACCAGCTGGGAATGGCTGCGAGATGGTTGTAGAGGCATTTAAGCTTCTCTACATCTGGGATACACTCGCTGCGGTTCACCGTCCTGATGCTCTTGGTAACGCCCCTCTGCTCAGCCGATGGGCGAGCCCAGACGCGCATGTCCGCCTCGGTCTCCTTGAGCGTCAGCTCCCTGCCGCCTCTGTAGACGCTCGCTGGACATCGGCTGACTGCGTTTGTGTACGACGCCTTGATGTCCAGGAGGTAGTTTATCAGCAGATCGAGTTCCTCCTCGTCCGCTGCGGCATTGAAAGAGCCCAGCAGGCCTCGCCAGATATCGAGCTCAGTCTCTACGTCGCTGGCCAGCTCTGCTCGTTTCTGCGCACTGACGCTGGCGTGCCATTCAACCTTGACAGCGCGAGGAAAGCTGCGAAGGCGAGGCAGAGGCCCAGGAGCGTTGCTTGGGCGGTGGCCAAAGCCGAGGCGGACTTCGTCCGTGCGCCCAGCATTGGCCAACTTGACGACGAACCAGGGGCGGCCTGTCTTCTCGACGACGATCGTCACTGTGTCGTGAGACTCAGTGCGGCCGTCAAACTCGATCGAGGTACGCAGGGGCAGCACGATCGTGTGCGTCATTCGCCTGCGTGGGCTTGCGCCATCATCGCCATCGGCGTCGCCTTCGCCGTCGTACTCGTCGCTGGAATGCTCGGGAGTACCGGCAACTGACCCTTCGCCGATCGTAGGGCACGCAGCCTTGGCGATGTGCGTGCGAATCTCCTCTGGCGTGTACGAATTGTGTCTGTCGTCATACTCAAGCGCGCGCCAGATGAGAGTGGCGAACTCACGAGCGGGCGGGCCAGTTGGCGGCGAGATGCCAGCGGGCAGAGGACCAGGCTGGCTCCTGAGGTCAACAGCATCGCCGTAGGGGACGCAGTCCGGTACGGGGCGCACCCATCGCGGCAGGACTTCCAGGGGACGGCCCTTGTGCTCCGCCAGCGAGCTGAAGCCAGTATTGAGCGGGATGGCCTGGAGACGGGTGTTTGCACGACCACTCGCTTCCGTGATGGCACGGTGACGCTCACGCCTGGCCGTGCGCTCCTCGTCGGGAAGGTCTTCGGCCTTGCTCGTGCTCTTGCCCTTGGCCTTGCTCTTCGCCTCACCCGATTCGAGTTGGGCCTTGGAAGAAGAAGCAACAGCGCTGCCTGCGTGCGCTTGGTTGCTGGGCGAGTCAGCGGGCAAGGACGCATCATCTGCTCCTGCTGCCGGCTTCGGCGCAGCTGGGCCTCGCTTGCGCTTCGAACCGGAGGTAGGCGGGACGAAGTCGTCCTCACCATCGTCTTCGGCGTCGTCGAGCTCAGCCGCGAAGTCTTCGTCGACGACGGCGAGCGAGGCTGCGGATCTTTGAGCCCTGCGCTTCCTGGCGTGAGCCCCGCCGAGCTGCGCTGACGTGCTCGCAGTCGATGCGGCGGCCGTGAAGCTCAGCGCATCTTTGCCATCGCTGCCTTTAATCTCCGTCCTCCCATCGTCGAAAGGGGTAGGTACGAAGAGGCCAGCGAAGCCAGCGGTGGGCAGCGTGGCCAGACCCGATGCTTCGTCTGAGGAGAGCGACGCAGCACCGGTTGCTCGACGCCTGGCGGGGAGCGATGCTTGGCCAGCTGCTCGACCCTTGGCGAGGAGCGACGCAGGACCATCAGCTCGACCCGAGGGGAGGGACGCTTGGCGAGGTGCTTGACCCGTAGGGAGCGACGTAGCACCACTCGCTCGACCCGAGGGGAGCGGCGGTAGACCAGTCGCTCGACCCTGAGCGGGGAGCGACGCAGATCCAGGTGCTCGACCCTGAGCGGGGAGCGACGCAGATCCAGGTGCTTGACCCGAGGGGATGTGAGCACGCTGGTTGGCTCTACCTAGCGAGCGGGGCACCGAGGGAGTGTATGAGTGACCCTGCGCGGGGAGCGGGAAGGAAGCGGCAGCGGTACCCTGTGGGGGGGGGGGCTGCGCACGCTGATTCGCTCTACCCAAGGAACGAGGCAGAGAGGGTGTATACGCGGGGAGCGGGAAGTGAGCTGCAGCTGTATCTGGTGGGGGCTGCGCACGCTGGTTAGCTCGGCCTAGAGAGCGAGGCACCGAGCCAGCACCGGCTTGACCCTGATCGGGGAGCGCGGAGCCTCCAGCTCGACCCTGATCGGGGCGCGGAATGAGCAGCAGTCCTACCCTGAGCGGGCGTTGATTGCTGCTCCTTGCCTTCGTCGTCGTCGTCGCTGCTGCCGAGGACGAAAGCGGATTCACGGGTGAGACCGTCTAAGCGGCTACCCGGGACGACGGCGTCGTCGTCGAGATGATGTTGATCATGATGATGGGAGGGGGAGGGGTGGTTGTCCCGCGCGCCTAGGGCACGGCGAGACGGGTGTGATGCCATTACTGGCAGAGTGTTGTATGTTGCTTGTTGATTTTATTGTTGTGTGATAAGGCTTCATCGTCAGACGAAGCAGAAATTGGTAGGGGGACTGAAAGATTGGAGTGGTGTCAAGCTCGCCCACGCTCACTTTTCGCCCTTCCGTCAGACGCCCACCGCTTGAGAGCGGACAGCCAGCGTACATGCGCAGCGTCTCTGACCTTCTGCGTTGCCTCTGGATCCCTCTTAGTCTTGCTGATGACGACTAGAGTCTTGCTCGGCATGATAGCGACGAGGAGAGGTATTGGTAGTGATGGTAAGGAAAGCAAGATGAGATAGACTACTCGCAACCCAGCCCAGTCCGCGAGGTGCATCCGCGCCGCTCGCCTGCCGGAAGGAGCGATTGGGTTGGCGTCCGCTGGGGAGCGCCTGGCGACACCAACGCCATGGCGCAGTGGTGCTGCCACCACATGGCGAGCACGACGGAGGTCGAGGTGCAAGTTGTGGAGCTGCTGTGCGCTGGTTGCCGGCACGAGTTGGAGATGGCTACTTGTCGCGGTACTTGAAGGGCGCATTCGAGGATGTAGGCGACGAAGCATAGTCCTCTCTGACACCGGCCGACTTGTCACGGTAGCGAACCAAGAGAAGTGTGAGCGTCCCTCAACGGAGGACTGGCCAGCGATGGTAGCCGCTCAGATGCGCGAGGACACCGAGACTTGGTGATGATCAAGCCGCGGAAGGCGAGTGGGGAGGGGAGCCACTCGAGATGAAGTCGTCGACGGTGGTGGAGAAGGAGGTTGCAAGGGCTGGCCTGGACGGCGCTTTTCTGCAGTTGATCCAGTGGAGGATGGCGTTGGAGGACCGTAGGCGTGCTCCCCTCTGCTTGACATTCTGTGCGGCCTCAGAGCTGCTGCCACGAGTAGCAATAAATGCGATGGACGAGGATGGTGCAGGCCGAGGTGCCGTTGGGGTGGGTGAAGGTAGAGCGGGACGAGGCAGCGGGTACGATTGGCTCGCGGTGCGGGAGCAAGTCACCTTGAAAGACCGCATCCCTGACTGGTCGTCATGGAGTGGAGCTGCTGAGTGAGCTGCCTTTGATGCCGCGCGACGCCAGCCAGTAAGGTGAGCATGGGGTCGAAGGCGTTTGAAGACTTTGCGCACCCCTTAGATGATAGAGGACGTAATGGGTTCATTGGGAGGCCAAGGGAGGTAATTTGACCGTTGCCGGTAGGTGCATCGAGCACGGATGGCTTGCGAGCAACAAGTTCATTGCTGGTGGGCACCACAGCAGACGTAGACTTTGGCGCTTGACATGGGACAGCCCTTCTTGACGAGTGCCGGCCGAGTGGCAGCCTTGGTGACTCGCGAGAAGCGAAACCGTAGTGAGGTAGAGGAATCGATGAAGTCCGGTAGCGATCCCACGCCGGTGCGAAGTTGCTCGCCGTATTCAATGGAGTCTGGCACAACCTGAGCCTGAAGCGGTCGAGCCTGCCGTGGTTTGCGAGGAAGGTTTGCAAGAGGTGGTTTCTCGAAGTGGGGAGGGGCGACCTGATGGCTGGTGCGCTCCTTGACTTTCTTGTCTCTGCCACTTTGGTGCGCAGCTCGAGTAGAGGTCGAAGTGACAGACTCTCTATGGCGCTGGAGGACGAAGACACTAGAGAAGGTGCCTGTGCTGCCGTGGCCGCTGCTGCTGAGTCGGGGTGTATCGCTGATGCTGAGTCGGGGCGTACCGCTGCTGTTGACTGGACTGCTGCTGAAGCGGCTCTGATCAAGGTGTTGGTAGCAGCCGGACCGATGCTCTACTCCTTTTACTCGAAACCCTGCTGTCGCTCCACCAAGTCAAGCACGGTGACACAGTACTGAGCATTGCTGGAGCAGGGTGGGGCGACAGGAGGAGAATGGGTACAAGGAGTAGAGCATCGGTCCAGCTGCTACCAGCACACTGTATGCGAGGGAAGTGCAAGGCACAGGGGCCACTGCTGGGCTTGCCTGGCTACGGTGGATCGATTGCGATGCGACGGTGGCTTTGGTGGCGAGATGAGGATGGATGGGAGGAGTGGATGCAAAACGTAGAACGCAGTCCCAACTTGTGCTCGACTGAGCGCTTGACGGCTTGCGCTGACGTGGCACGCTGACGTGGCCACCCCTCGCTCATCGCTGGCAAATCCAGGCACGGCTGTGGGCGGTGCAGAGGCGGCGGCGGCGGCGGCGGCGGTCGTCTGTGCGGACAGGAACGAGGTCCGTCGCGTGATGAAACCGAAACCAATCTCGCGACGCAAGGGCGGGCGGGCCAGTCCGGATGGCAAAGACGGTTGCCGGCGGCAAGACTCCGGATCGCGCAGCAGCCGTTGGCGCTCTTCTTGACTATCGTCTTGCAGAAATCATCGCTTGCTCAGAACGAGCGCCGCAGGCCGAGCGCTATCATCACGGTCGTTGGTACGGGCCCAGGGACGCGATGCTGATCGAGCTTGTGGCTTGGACAGCTCAGCCGGCTTGGGTTCACGATTCGACTCCCATGGCTGCAGACCCCACTGCAGTCAGCTACGAGCTGTGAAGCTGACGTCAGGTCCTGCTGATCCAAACTGCTACGCCCTCGCCTGAGATTAGCCTTGACACGGTTTGACTTCCGTTGAGGGATATGCCAAGGGAGAGATGGGACGAAGAGCTACCGCTGTGGCACCTACGCTCCGCATTGTCACCCGTGCACTGAGTGAGCGCTTATACCGTATCGTCGAGCGAAGTCGTGCCGGAGGCGGCGCGGCCAGGGTGGTCTCCCGTTTTGTGTTCTCCCTGCCAAGGCATGGCATGATGGTCAAAGTGGCCTTGCCGGCTGCTGAAGTCACGCCAGCCGCATCGGAAGAATGAGTCGTGGCCGGTGGCTGCTCAGCTTCGGCGGGGACGTGCGCAGGTACATCTTTGGGATCCGTAGCGAAGCCATCGCCCTGAAATCAGCCCCCTAGGCACCGCTTTGGATGGAACAGCTGGTCGCGGAGGCAGGCAACAGGAGCGTGTGGAACCTGGTGCCTGAAGATCCTCTCCGCCGACTCTCGTCGATGGTAGCCAGCCAGTACGCGTGAGAGTGAAGGCAAGAGGATGGTACGCGGGTGAGGATGAGACGAGTGTCGATTGAGGTATGAGCAGGGTGCTGCACCTTCCCGAAGGCTGAGTCTTTCATGTGAGGGCGTTGATGGGGCTGAGGAAGCGGCAAAGTAGTGTGCTACGCTCCAAGTCCTCCGCCCTGTGGCCTACGACGAAGCTCACATCATGGGTAGCGATCGCTCATGATTTTGAGGAACAGGTAGAATAGTGCGATGCGCTGTCTCTCTGTGGCTTGTCCAAACGAGCCTGCAGGCCCAAGACACGGGACGGAAGGCCTAAGACGCGTCCGTTCACGTTGCACCTTCTTGTATGGTACAATTTCCGCGACGCCCGCAGCAAGCCGCAGCGCTGAGTTCAGCGAATGTGTTACTTTTGAAACGTCAGTTTGGCCGAGTGGTCTAAGGCGCGGGTCTCAAGCTTAGTAAAAGCTTCTCCGCAGTCAATTTCATGGTGTAGTACTCGTATGGTACCACTCTTACCATGATCTGGACTTGGTAACGGAGCCTTCCCGTGGAGCAATCCGCGTGAGTTCAAATCTCACAGCTGACACTCTTTTGCGCTGTGGCCCCTCCGGGCTATCAGTGGCTTCCTCTGAGGTGTCCAGGTCGTAGAGAACGGTCCCTACAAGGAAGGTTCGTAGGCGTCTCGCCCGTCTCGATATGCCGCGCGACATTCATAAGAAAACCTCTGATCTGATGCGTTAGACATAAGCAGCGACATCGTCTCTATCTGCTCTCCAAATTTCAGCTTGCCTCGTCCCCGTCTCGCCGTACTGCATCGAGCGAGCGCCGACGAGAAGGCCGTCGGCGAATGACCGGCGAAGAAAGGCAGGCGTCCGTGCACCGTGGCGCTGAGGGTGCAAATCGCGCGCAAATTCCGCGCCAAGGTCTCAGAGGGCAAGCGGGCTGCACGAGGCCGGGCGGAGAAGAAAATTAGCACGAAAATCTGAGACACGGAACCAGTCCCGTTCCGTTCCGTCACGTTGAATTCACTCTTGTCCCGCTCGCATCCCATGAGCGCCTCCTGTACCAAACAAGAGTCGGAGGTCGATACCTCGATGCATTTGTTCGGCTGTGGTGATAGAGGTGGTGGTAGTGCTCAGTCATACGCTTCGCGAGGAGCATAGTAAGAGGCCCCTTTCGTCGACGCCGAGGTAAGGCGATGACCAGCGCGTCACGTGATCACCCCGCCCGGCACGCGTGAAGCGGTGTTGGAGGGCGAAAAGACAGTCTACTCATCGAGTTGGTAGCGATGACGACGGAGAACCAGTATTCCGGCCACGAGTCTTGTTCATGTGTCGCTGCTCACCAATCGACGCTAGCCCTGTACTGTCGCGGCAATGATCATCCTGGCGAGGGTTAGGGAGCTCCGATTGATCGAGGGAAAAAGCTGGGCCTCTTGATGCGTAGCGATCACTCAACCACGTCTTGACAGAAACAGAAGCATCCACTAAGCGTCTATGGTTCCCGTTCGCGCGTGATCACCACGCATCATCGTATCGTGGGAGCCATCGGCGCCCGTCATCGCCGTCGCTGTACGACTTGCCTCTCGAGGAAAGTCGTCATCGAAGTCTTCGTAGTCGTCCTCCTCGTCCTCGCCGTTGTTGCTTCCTCTGGCCTGGCCGCCCCGCCTGCCTGCCTTCCGCGCCCCGTCGACCCAAAAGCAAGTCGCGGACTGCCGCGGGGGTGGTGGGACGCGTCTCGAGACGGGTTGCTTGGTTGGTTGCTGCCGCCGCGAGCCGCCCTGGGACTTGGACGGACTCGAGTCGATCCGTCGACGACAACGTCCACGAGGTCCGCCAACGCACCTTAGCTCTTAATCCACTACTTCATCATCAACACCCGTTTGCCGCCACCTCGCTCTTCGTCACGCAACGCAACGCAACGCAACGCAACGAATACCTCTGCTGGACTGGCTGACCACTCGCCGCGCTCCACGCCACGCCACGCCGCGCTCCTCGCCGCACTCCCAACCGTATGTCGGTCCCTCTAGCATCTCCCTCGCCCACCACACACCTCTACCCGCATACACGCCATACGTCGCCCGCGCAGTCACCACGCGCATCAAGATTCGCCACCTACTCCCCGGCCGGGCAGGCCTCGCGTTCATCGTCGCAGATGGCATCCGCTTCGCCGTCCTGGGCTAGGCCCCCCGCTGCATCCACCTCGAAAGCAGCATGGACTCGTCGTCGCCGCTGCCAGACCGAAAACAGCAGCGCAGACGAGGCGGATGAGGCAGAGCAACGACCGCCTCCTGCGCGCCATCACAGCCCTAACTCAGAGCTGGGCGATGTCAACCCATTTGCGAACGCGGGAGAGACGAAGCGCGTTATTGCTCAACCTCGTCGCCCACCTCTCAACCGCCTGCCATCGGGGGGTAAACCTCCGCCCTCCTTTGCTCATCGCGCTCTAGAGGATCATTTCGCCCAGGTCAGCATGACACCTCCCGCCAGCTTTGGATCGCAGACCCATACCGAGTCGCCCTTTGGCGGAACAGCGGCTCTTTCCCATCCAGCAACGGACCTACGCAACCCGGCGGCACCCGCAGCTCGTCTGCCGCGCACCACGTCTTCGTTTGCAAGCGCATTCGAGGTGCCTACCGGCGGTATGAGGAGGACAACTCGGCTGGAGTCAGCTCGAGCAGGAGATGTGCGCAAGTTTGGTCGACTCAACGACGCAGACGAGGGAAGCAGTAGTAGCGGGGATGAGAGGAAGTGGGGTCAGGCATCGCCTAGTGTTTATGCTGCAAAGCAGGGGCGGCTGAGACGCGGCGAGGCTTGGCCTGCTCGACATGCTCGCTCCAAGACTTCGGACGCCTCAGACTCATCCGTGGGCACAGCTGTAGCTCAACGCCGAGGCAAGGCACCTCCCACCTTTCTCCTCACGCGCAAAGAGCCTTCGGACACGCAGCTCACCCTCCGCACGCGCATGGACCTCGACGACCAGTCAGACGATGAGATGGGGGCACCGCCCAGCCCTTCGCCTCCCAGCGCATCACTGAGCAGCGTCATGGATGCGGCCGCTCCACCCGAACCGCTCCTCCAACCCGGACCTATCCTCGGCAGGCGATCTTCAGCCAGCGCTACCAGCGGACGTCGTCAAGCACTCGACGATGGAGAAGGAGCTGACGAAGAAGATGCACCAGATTCCGCTCCACCTTCTCTACACTCCTTCCCACGCCCCAACACCTCACCCACCCTTACTGGCGCACCCGCAAAGATGCGTCACGCTGTACCACCTTCTACCTCATCCACCGTCAGCTTTCCCCAGCCTATCCTCGGCAGCGTACCCATGAAGACGTCCAAGTCGACATCCTCTTCCTCTTCGTCGCCCTACAAGGCCAAACGTCGCGTCACCATCAGCGATCGCGGCGCACGAACACGCGCCGTCTCATCAGTTGAAGATCAGCTCTCCTCGTCCAGCTTTAGCACCTCGCCTAGCCCATTCATCAATGACGCCCGTAAGCGCTCAGGCTCAGCCGCCCGCCACACCAAGGCCGGCGGACGTTTTGGTGGCGCAGAAGATGCTTCGTTCGACGACTCTGGCATTGGCTTGGGCTTCTTCGCTCCGCAGTCGGAGGACTCATCCACTCCCTTCCGCAAGGGCGAGCTTCTCCTCTCTCACCGACTCGGCTTCGATGACACGCCAGAAAAGGGCGTCCTACCCGACCCAGCGCGTTCGCCGTTTGCACCGCAGCACCGCAAGTCGACGTCAGTGGACAGCTTGAACGGCAACGTGGTGGGCAGCAGTAGCACCCCTGCCAAGCAAGTGAGGCGCGGGGCTAATCCCTTTGGACCGATCACAAAGTCGTCACTCGCAAACGAGACGCGCTTCTCGATGACGCCTGGAGGCACGGACAGTGGCGCTTCATCACCCGACGTCCGTGAGCAGCTCGCTGAACAGCAGCTGCAGTATCAGCATCAACAGCGTACCACGAGCGTGCCTGAGGGACTGGCTGCAGGGGTCGAGACGCCAGCCTACCTCACACCACAGAACTTCAAACACATCAAGCCCCTGCAGGCGGCTTTCATGTCTACGGGACTGGTCTCGAAGCGCGCGAGGGGACCGCCAACTGAGGGAGACGTAGTACCTGTGCCCCCCAGGCCCAATTTTGGTGCTGACTCAAGCTTTGGCAATGTGTCCATGGGAGCGGGCAATGTCACCGCCGGCGCTGCGAACGTCTCGACGGGCGACACCAGCGTCGGGGACACTTCCACCTCTTCTCTTCCTGCGGGCACAATGGCCGCAGCGATGGGATTACGCGACGTCGTAGCAGCTACGGCACGGCGAGCAAGCTTGGGAGGTCCCACGTCCACGATGCCTGACACGCCAGTCAAGAAGCCCGTTGGAGCAGGAGTGGGTGCGCCCGGCAGCCTCGCTCATCACCTCATGGGCGGCGGCGGTGGTGGCGCTCGAGCGGGTGCGGCAACTACGTCGTCAAAGCCCCGTCCACCTCAGCCTCCTCCATCAGTCCTACGTCCCACCGCCTCTGCTAAGCCCTCGATGCTGGCCGCTGAGCCTATGGGCAGGACCCTGAGCACCACCAGCACCATCGGCACGGAAGGCGAGTCGCCTCTTCTCGGCGGCGCCTGCGACAGCCCTACACTCAACATGATGGGTGGAGCAGGCGGGTCTCCAAGCCTCGTTGCAACCTCGCAATTCAGCACGCTTCCCAAGGAGCACGCAGAGGAGGCAGAGATCGAGCAACCGAAGCCACGACCGTCAGTACTACTCTCTCGAGCGCCACTGAGGCGAGTCAAGACCAATGCGGCGCCCGTGTCGACCGTCTCTGCGCCCCCTGTCTCGGCAGCAACGGCTGGTGTGCCATCGCCAGCTGTCAAGAAGGCTACGAATGGCTCCACTGCCTCGCACCTTGCCCCTCGCCCCGCGGCGGCCCGTTCTTTGTCCGACAACATTCATCACCATCGCCGCTCTCGCCTCGGCCAGCACGATCCCTCGACGTCGGACAGCGAAGGCTCTCAACAGCAGCAGCAGCGCATCATCCCCACAGCGCGCACTCGCTTCCCACGCGACCCCACTCGGCCGGCGCTCGGCCTGCAACGCAAAGCCTCCTTCGGCGTCGGGAGCGGCAACAGTGGCGGGCTTGGCCTCATTGATGGCTTGTCCAGCGCCGACACAGGCTCAGCAGCCGCGGCAGCTGCACTGTCGTCTTCTACCCCTGCCTCTCCCACCTTGGGCGGCTTCTGGCCCATTCCCAGCACGCCGACGCGATCCAATGGCAATCACGGCGGGCATAGCAACATCAAGTGGTTCCAGGCTGCTCGCCTCGTGACCACCCCTTCTCCACCGTCTAGGAGGCAAAGCAAAGCGTCCCTGCGGTACAGCCAGGGAGGGTCGAAGAGCAAGAGCAGCGCAGGCACTCCAGCGAGCAGCAGTGATGTCGAGACCCAACCGAGCTCCGCCTCCACTGCCACGCCCACTAGCGCCACCACGCCTCTAGGCCACTTCGAACGCCATTATATCCAACTGAGCATTCTCGGCTCTGGCGAGTTCAGCGAGGCGGTCAAAGCCTCCTCCGTCTCCTCAGGCCAAGTATACGCCATCAAGCGGATGAAGCGCCCCTTCACAGGCCCGAGGGACAGGTTGCGTCACCTCGAGGAAGTGGACATCCTGCGTCATCTCGGCTCACACCCCAATGTGATCTCACTGCACGAGGCTTGGGAGCAGGACGCCCACCTCTACATTGCCGCCGAACTCTGCCCGCTGGGAACGCTCGCCTTGTTCTTGGAGGGGTATGGCTACCTGGTCGGACATCTGGACGAGCCTCGACTCTGGAAGGTTCTTGTGGAGCTCAGTGCAGGCTTAGCACACATTCACGAGTCCGGCGTGCTGCACCTCGACCTCAAGCCGGCAAACGTATTCATTACCGCCGTGGGCACGCTCAAGATCGGTGACTTTGGATTGGCGAGTCGCTGGCCTCCTCGCGAGGCACGGGACGTGCTCAAGGGGGCGGGCGTGGATGCCAACGAGACCGAGGCCGGCGAGCTCACTTCGCTCAACAATCTTACCGCCAAACCAACCACCCGCATCAATCTGGAGCGCGAAGGCGATCGCGAGTACCTCGCACCTGAGATCATCTCACGCGGTCACTACTCTCGTGCAGCAGACGTCTTCTCCCTCGGCCTCATCATGGTCGAAGCGGTGGGCAATGTCATCCTCCCGGACAATGGCGAGCCTTGGCAGAAGCTTCGAAGGGACGATCTCAGCGATGTCGATTTCGAGGGCATTTCGGTGTGCATGGTTCGAGCAATCAAGAGGATGCTGAGCAGTAATCCCGAGGAGCGTCCAGATGTTGGAGAGATGCTGCGCGGCCACGAGGTCATGGGGGCCGTGAGGGAGCGGATGGCTAGGGGTTTGAAGAGGGAGGAGCTAGACCAATTGCCCGACTTTGAGGAGGAGGACGAGGAGGAGGGCGAAGCCCAGGGAGAGGGAAATCGTCGCAGCACGAGCGCCTCAAAGCTTAGCGCACTCATGGCCGTACGTGGCGCGCTGGTGCACGAGGACGACAATTTCCTCGCCGAGGTGCTGGCGGCCGATCCTGATCCCGAGGCTAGGGAGATGACCCCGGCAAAGGGTGCAGGGTTGGGGTGCGAAAGCCCTGGCGAGTACGAGCATGACGTTGCTCACGGGGGCGGCGCAGGCGGACTGCTACTGAGCACGACGTGGGAGGAGGAAGAGGAGGATGCAGATGGAAGCGCCTTGCTTGCTCGGCACTTCGCTGATGAGACCTTTGAGGAGAGTCAAGACACTGAAGAGGGGGACAGCAGTTTCCAGCAAACGCAGGACTCGCATTTCATGACCGCTACGGAGGGCGAGGAGGAGGAGGGCATGGACCTAGATGAAGCGTAATGTCCCAGCAACAATCACGAGAAGACCACACCATTGCATGCATGTACAGCCCCGTCGCGACGACACTCTCATCTTTTCCATGTACTTTCTAGCTTCGAATTTCGTCTCGACGCCTTTTGAGACCAATCCTTTACAGCATTCCCCATTGCCAAGAGTTGCCTGAGACAGTCGCGCTACTCGGTCCACACGCACGCCCCTCGTCTACACTCGATCCGATCCCTCACAACCGCGTGATCTTCTCACCGCGCACGCTCCTCAACGCATCGTAACAAGCTCCTCTGCACTCGTCGGGTGAATAGCGACGGTATCGTCGAGATCCTTCTTCCTCGCTCCCATCTTGACGGCCACACCAAACCCTTGCATGATCTCGTCACTCCCCATTCCTACAATGTGCACCCCCACGACCTTCTCTTCTTTGCCCTGGCAGACCAACTTGTACGCCGTGGGCTCCTTGTGATCCTCGCCTACCATGCCAAAGTACATGGCGCGGAACTTGGATTGGTAGACCTTGATCTGGTCGTCGCCGTACTTTTCGCGGGCTTCGGGCTCGGTGAGACCTACAGTGCCGGATGTCGGGTGGGAGAAGACGACAGTGGGGATGTCGTCGTAGGAGAGCTTGTCCTTGCCGCGAAGACCCTCTGGACCGTAGAGACGGTTGGAGAGACGACGACCTGCAGCGATGGCGACGGGCGTGAGTAGGGCCTTTCCTGCTACGTCACCTATGCAGGTGATGTTGGGCACGTTGGTTTGCTGGTACTCGTCGACAACGATGTTGCCGCTCTTGTCTTCCGTCTTTACGCCTGCCTTGTCCAGGCCCAAGTAGTCGGTGTTCGGCCTCCTGCCCACGGCCCAGAGGAGACAGTCGACCTCGAGCGTCTTGCCACTGTCCAAGTGCAGGGTGAGTGGCCCACCCTTTTGCCCCTCGACCTTCTTGATGTTGGTGCGCTTATGCACGTTAAGCCCCGTCTTGCCCATGTGCTCCTGCAACGTCTCGGCGATGATGGGGTCAAAGGAGCGGAGGAAAGTGTCATGACGAATGAGGAGATGCGTCTCCGTTCCCAGCGTATTGAAGACGCCCGCCAACTCGACGGCAATGTAACCTGCGCCTACTACGGCCACACGCTTGGGTTGCTCCTTGAGAGCGAAGAAGCCGTCCGAGTCAATCCCGAGGGAAGCGCCTGGGACGTCCTTGTCTGAAGGGATGACGGGGCGACCACCTACAGCGATGCAAATGTGGTCTGCAGTGATCGTCTTCTTCTCTCCCTCGAACTTGCCATCCTGATCGCGCATCGCCACCTCGACGCTCTTTGGTCCAGTCAGCGCGCCACGCCCGCTGATGTAGTCGACGCCGTCCTTTGCCAAATTACGGTCGTAGACGCCGTTGAGCATTTTCACGTAGTCGTCACGCTTCTTGGCGAAAGTGCGCCAGTCGAATGCCGGACGCTTGACGCCGGGGAAGCCGTAGTCGGAGGCATGGTCAAGGGACTCTGCCACGTCTGCTGCGTGCCACATGAGCTTCTTGGGCACACAGCCTACATTGACGCAAGTACCACCCAGGCGGCCATCCTCTTCGATGACTGCGACTTTGGTGCCCTGTACGTGCGGGAAGACAGGTGAGCATGCGATCACGCGGCCCGCAACGCTGTCTGTATTCGCGCGCTCACGTAGCTGGCGGCACGACGACTCATGCCCATTGCGCCTGACCCTCCGCCGATGACGACGAGATCGTAGTGATCAGATGGCTTCTGGATGGGAGGCATATTGCGAGGAGCAGAAGTGTGAAGGGATGCAGAGGAGGAATGCGCAGGCGATGAGAGGTGCAAAGCAGCTTGAGAAAGACGACGGCTTGCTGCAGTCGTGCTAGCGATGGGTTGGGAAGACAGCTTCGACAAGTTGAGGTGGAGCGAAGTGGTACGCAACGAGGCGATGCTTCGGAGTGGTGTCAACGAGGCCAGGGTGGGCGACGAGTGGGAATGGTCTAGTGGAGAGCAAGAGTGGAAGGTTGCGAGAGAGAGAGCGAGAGGCAGGTCAAGCGGCAGCGCAGCGTGGCGTTTCCAACGGGCGGACGTAACGCCGACTTCCAGTCGAGCCGGCGGACTCCACACGCCGGAGCAGTTTACACATCTCGGATTCTCGAGCCGCGCGCCAAGTTGGCGCGCGTGTCGAGATTATTTGACGTGACTGTTGCGCGACGTGTTTTGACGCTTCTTTTCGTAACTACCACCTTTACCACCCTTTCCCTTATCGTATCGACGCTCGAATTGGTGTTGTAGGCTCCCCGGCTGTGCCGCAGTCACTTGTGGTGTCAAAAATTCCGATCCGATCAGCCTGCACCCCGTCGTCGCTACCACCGCCAACCCCTTCCCGCTACCATCCCGCCTACCTCAACCAGTAGTTATCTCGATAGTCTACTAGTTAACAGCGGTCGAGCTTCTCATCATCATCATGCCACACGCTGGGCTATCTCGTGATGCAATATCGCTTGCATTGACGCTAGTAGACAGGGGCCAGGCTACCATCGAGCAAGTGGCCGAATCGGCCCATGTCCATGTTAAGACGATGCAAAAGCATCGTCGAGCGTGGCTCGCCCATGACCATCAGCTGCCCCCAGAATGCCTGGGATGGAAGCTGGGGAGGCCTCGTATCCTCTCGGAAGAGGCGGTGTTGGCCATAGCGTCGATAATCGCCTACGATCCCCTTGTTACCACAGAGGAGCTAGCGGACGACATGGTCAGCATGGGCTTCCCCAAAATGAACGACGCCCTTATCTCAAGGACCCGTAAGAGGCTGGGGATCACTGCTAGGAAGAGTAGCGCCTTTGCTCATAAGCAGTCGGACGCCTTGCGTGCTGATTACCGGCGTAGAATCGGTCGTTACCACCCTCGCCAATTGGTCTTCATTGATGAGTCCTCCTTTGACTACCGAGTATGCATCAGACGCAAGGCCTGGGGGCACAGAGGCGATCGGACATGGGTAAGGACTGAATTCGGACGTGGGAAGAGGTATTCACTGCTTGCTGCATGCTCTCTAGACGTCCCACTCTTTGCGGGTATCATCGATGGGGGTAATATGGATGGCGCAGACTTCTTTCGATGGTGCCAAGAGGTGCTCATCCCTAAGTGCCGGCCTTATCCAGAGCCCAGAAGTGTTATAGTGATGGACAACGCTAGTATCCATAAGCTTGAGGAGACGCAAAAGCTTATATTGGACTCAGGTGAGTGCTATACTGGTATGGCACCATGATGCGACTATGCGGAACAGCCGGTGCGACGTCCGCGGCCCTCCACCATGCCGCGGCCTTCCCGGTCCAACTCTGTGGTAACATTGAGCCGACCGGATAATGCTGAGGCGTCCAGGAGCGCCTCTGGTAGTCACCACATCAAATCCGAGCAAGATAGGATGAGCACAGAGTTGGACCGGCGAGTGGATGGATTTCTCGCTGGAAGGCGGACTGAGATCTCACCGCTTCATCGCCTTCTCACCCTTCCCTTTGCTCACCACCATGACGTCTCTCCTTCCTCTTACTCGACCAGGTCTCAAACTCGAGTATCTTGCACCTTACAGTCCAGACTACAACCCTATCGAAAAGTGCTTCTCCAAGATCAAGGCTCACATGAAGAAGCTCGAGCGGATTGGACCCATAGAGTCTCTCATCGCCGAATCAGTCTCTCAGATCACAGCTAAGGATGTGGACGGCTACTTTCGCTTTTCCACTCTCCAATGAATCATTTCGAGCACAGAAAAGGACACAGAACGACACAGAATGGAGACGAACAGAGACTGGACAGCCAAATCACTGTGACTGCAAGGCGATGGGAGAGAGAGGCCGATCCGGGTCTGCGGCTGATGCTGAGGAGACGTCGATTCTACCGGGGAAGCCAGCAGCGGTGAGTCTCGAGAGGTGCTCCAGGTCCTTGCGCATCTTACCAATGTCCTCCTTGTCGTCAGGCGCCAGCTCAGACCATCCCTGGAGCCAGTCGTCGCAGACATCCAGCTGGCTAGGCGTCAGCCCCAGCTCGCTAGCCGTTTGTCGCCCCTGTCCTCCGATAACCCTGGCCAAGGCGGGCATGTAGAGCACGTCACGCATGAATAGGATGGGTACCATGTCCTCCCCACCCGGCTGGAAGGTCTGGTTGTAGTGATAGATCGTCATAAGGGGCCCAGACATCCGTACGGCTGGTCGATTGGTGGTGTTGTTGAGCACCCGACTGGGCGTCGGTGGCTCCGAGTACCAATCAGCCAGGCTGTCTACGTTCGAAGACGCTGTCGAACTGCCTGAAAACGACGTGGAGGCCCTGGCTGGATCAGCAAGTGTGCCATTGCGAGCCATCACCGCCTGCCCTGCAGCCGTATCTGAGTAGCGACCTCGAGGTCTTGCGTGCGATCGATCGAAGAAGGAAACGGGGGGAGATTCGACTGTAGCTCTGTTGTAGACGATGCAGCTCTTCCACTCCATCATCCCCGACGGCGTAATTGGATAATGCACCATGTTAGCAGCAATGTAGCATCGACGGTCTCTTTCGCCCCTCCCCTGGCAATCACATCGCTTCCAGCGCTCTTCTATGGCCTGTTGCGCCACTCGGAAGGCCGCCGTATCTGTGAGAGATGTGGTAGGGTCCCGTCCGTCCATCTGAGTGAGCCCCGAACCGGGCGTAGCGGCTGCTATGGCTGAAGAGCGTGGCGCATCCGTATCGGCTGGCTGAGTAGAAGGAGGTCGAGTCCAACTGAGCAGCATGCGTCCAGGCCTCCCCGCAAGCCTTTGGAGGGCCTCAACCATCTCGACATAGTCCTGCACAGTGGCAGGAGAGGCTGGAGTTCGCTGATTATAGATAGAACCAGGTATCTCGACCTTGACGTCGAGATCATGGTAGGTGATGACGGCGTCGGCAAAGGTCGACGCTTGGCTGCCAACTCTCTCTTTAAAACCAGAAAAACCCGCACGGGACTGCCAGCGTATGGTGCCAGAGCGGTTCCTTTCGAGCTTTTCGGGGCGTACCACCGACCCTGTAGCGTCTAGCACAGGGCCGCAGTAGATGGACATCACCATAGCTAGAGAGAGGGCGGACGAAGGTGCTAATTCGGATCGGAAGCTAGCTGATTAGCCCAAAAAGACACTGGTCTAGTGCCCAAAAAGGTAGGCTACTTACGACTGGGCGGAAGAGCAGAGGCCGCAGCTCTCAGGGCGGTAGTGGTCCGACGGCCGGCTGGCGGCTGACGAGCGTGGTGACGAGCAGAAAAGTACACCATCATAACTCAGCTTCTACTGAATGGAATGAGCTGGTTTTTGGACTCACAGTGTTCTCTAGGTCCCCAGAGACCATGCGGCTTCTTTGCAGGGCGTTACGACGTCCTGCGGGGGTACGCGGGGAGCTCGAGGCTACCACGTCGACGCAGGTGGTAGCGGCGGCGGGGCGTAGATTGGCAGTTAATGGCATTAACATCCGATCCGCCCACTTTAACTGGCCACGTGGACCAAATACCGAAGTACTCACAACGACTTCCTCGAGCCATCGTAACTGGTCTTTTTTCGATGGGATGGTAACTAGTTGGTAAGGAGGAGAGCGACGACGCGACGCATCCGTCTGATTCACGTCCCAAATCGCGCGCTCGACACGCGCGCAGCGCTGGAACTCGGCTTTTGTAAACTGCTCCGGTCTTCAAGAAAGGGAGAGCGACAAGGGCCAACGAGGGTGACGCAAACCGGGGCAACGTAGCGTAGCGTAGCGAGGCAAGCCACAATGACGAGCTAGTTCAGGTCCATCGACTGGTGATGGTGGTGATGCTAAGGCTCTCCAATTGACTGATGTCATTGATCACTGGCGGAAGCGTGCAACGATGCGCGACGAGATAGCACGGTCATGAAGAAGGGCGTCTCTCGAACTCGACTTGCGGCGTGCCGCCCAACACAGAAAGACATGCATGCTCATCGACACGAACCCTTTCGAGACTTGATGCACGCTCGACAAACGCGAGACGAACGCGAGACGAAGGCAGCTTGCCGCTCACTCACCACCATTCACAGCCCATGCTCGCCGCTGGCAGTGCTCTAAGCCGTGCTGCCGCCCCGCCATAGCCACGGCCGGCCACGCGGATGCTGCGAGCGACCTTCAAACGGGATCGTCACCATGTTCGCTCTGCCCTCTCACCACGGTCGAAGCCGCTTCACTCGCCATCAATCGATCGTCCCGTCTCAGTGTCGTCGTCTCACCTTAGGCCATTTCATCCCCTCACGCACGCAGATGGGCAGCACGAACGCGCCTTTTTTCTCTCCCGCCCCAGCTCTGGTGCCGATTACGCTCAGCTGCCCTCTGCCGCCGATTTGAACTGGCTGCGCCCCCCCACTGGCTTGGCTGACTGGATGCCGGGCCTGCACGTCCGTTCAATTGACTCGCACGCAGGGCTTCAAGGCTCCACTCAGTCACGCCCACAGAAGGAAAGAGCTGCCCACATTCCTCCTTCTCACCACTTGCCATCACCTTTGACTTCGTTCGAACAAGAGGACCGCGAGGAGCAGAAGCAGTAGCAGCAGGCTCTTTGCCTGCTTAGGGTGACACGCAGCTCCATCTCACCTCGCTCCCACGCCCATCCTCGCACGTCCCACGCCCAACGCTCACGCGCTACGCGCCTTCTCATGGTCGTCACTCTCCCGCCTCCTCTTCCCCATCATCACCAGCCATCATCCTCATCAGCAGGCTTCACAATGGTTCGCGGAGCAACTCACCCCGCAGCAGCATCGGCACCCGCGATCCCGCCCCAGCCTCAGCATCCCGCCCGTCCGTCGAGCGACTTCTGGACTCAGCCTCCCATACAGCGTCCAATGCGCGGCCTATGGCGCATCGAGACGCAGGCGACGACCTGCAATGGCACTGAGAGTGGCAACAAAGCAGCCAGCCTCGACGGACCGCCGTCGACTGCCGTCCCTCCTCGCGCCGACTGGCCGCCAACTCCCCCGCTCTCCTCCTCGGCGTCCAAGACAATCTTCACCAGCGGCAACGGCACGGGCGGATCCTACTCTCCATCCACGCAGCAACAACAACGGCACAGCTCGCAAAGGTCAAAGAATGACATCTTTGAGCATCCTTCCCCTGTACTCACCCCTCCAAAGCCACCACCAGCCCTCCCGCCCATGATGGCCGCACACGCGAGCCTCGATTCTGCTCCCGCACCCGCGTCGCCTTCGACGGGACCAAAATCGCGTAACAGCCTCTTCTTCGAGACGCCATCGAGCAGCCCGAGTTTTGCAGTATGGAGGGGAACATGGCAGCCCAACGCAGATGTGACCGCTTCGCCCACGCTGGCGTCTGCTTCGAGTCGCCAGCCACCACCGACACCACCCCTGCCGCAACACCCCTCCGCGTCCACGTCCGCGTCTACGTGGGACGAGAGTCGCCCCCTCTACACGTCGACTAGCCTCTCCCGCGATACGCAACGGCCCTCGTTGGGCAGGCTGAGCTCCGAAGAGCAGCAACGTGAGCGTGATCGTATTCGCGGGGCGAGCAAGGAGATCGACTTTCGCCTTACGCCATCGAAGCAGAACTTGCTAGGAGAGGGAAGACATTGCAATGTGTACTTGGGCGCGTATAGAAAGCGTGGTGGGGCAGGCGGAAGGGTAGGGGAATGGCAACTCTGTGCTATCAAGCGATTGCACGCCGATCGGCAAAGCCAGTTGCTGGGGTTGGATGAAGGATTCGCGTTGAGGAGAATCGGGAGACATCCAGGGATCGTGGCGCTCATCGATATTAGGGACGAAGTCATGGCGCCCACGCCCGCCCCAACCACCTCCACTTCTTCGACCCTTGGGCTGGGCCGTCCTCCCTCCAACTCCGTATCACTGCATGGCAGGTCGACGAGCGCTGCTCAGCAGCAGGCGCAAGGACGCGGCGCTGCCGGAAGGACACAACAACACATGCGCCTGGCTTCTCAGCCCGTCGGACACGCTCAAACCCCTCAAGTCCGCATCAGCGGGCAAGACGGCAGCAGCATAGACGAGTGGAGCAACCGCAGCGATGACGAGGACGACTGCCCCTCATCGGCCTCCGCCCTCGCTGAGCAGCAGCAGCAGCAGCAGCAGCAGGCCGCAGCTGAAGCGGCCAGCATCCCGCCAAGCATCAGCACCGACCCACCCCGTCTCCTCATCCTGCTCGAGCTCCTCCCCCACTCCCTCGCTGCCTATTCCCGCCGACACTCCAACTCCATCACCCTCGACTTTTGGATGCGCACCGCCCTGGACCTTAGCGCGACAATCGAGTACGTCCACTCTCGCGGATGTGTGCACGCGGACATCAAGCCGGAGAACGTCTTGCTCGACGACGAAGGGAGGACGAAGTTGTGCGACTTCAACTCCGCCTTCTTTCCCAGCGCAGCAAGCGCGCCACTGACTGATGGGCTGGGCTTGGGCACGCCGGCTTACGGTGCTCCAGAGCTTACGCGACGCGGGGGTAGCTCGAGTGGAGGGCAAAAGGCAGTCGTCTCCTATCCAGTGGATATTTTCTCCCTTGGAGCTGTCCTGTACGGCTTGGCGACTGGAGTAGAGCCCATGAGTCGCGCAAGGAGTGCGGTCGATATGCTGCATAGGAAGGAGCACTTTTTCGCTACAGAGGAGAATGATCGCTTGACGCGCGTTGCGATTGGGAAGGGGTGGGCTTCTTCGTCCAGCAGTAATGGAGGAGGTGGTACTGGTGCGAGCAGGAGGTCGAGCACGCGCAGCAAACGAGCCACCAAGGCTGGGCCGCGAGGCAGCGCTAATGGGTCGTCATTCGACAGCGGCTCTCCCCCCGCTAGGCGCTCATCGCTGCGAAGACAAGGAAGCACGGACAGCATGAGCACGAGCGCAGATGGAAGCAAGCGCTCCTCCCTCGCATCCAGCGTAACGACCATCGCGGGACAGAAGCCCAGCATGGCAGCGGTAGAAGCGCTCCTACACCCGGGGGATGAGGCTGGCGTTCTCCCCGTCCCCGAGGGAAGTGGCAGGGGACATCGCTACGTGAACGCGGCGGCGGCTGCTGCGGCTGGGCAGGCGATCAAGGCTGCCACGAATCAGGAGGGAAACCAGCATCACCGTGCCTCTTCGCTGAACAAGAACAAGCAGCAAGACCCTAGAGAGGTGGACATGACCGCGGATGCATCTTCAGCGCGTCCGGCGTGGCTGAGGAGGACCACTTCGTATGGAGGACCGGAGACGGTCTCTGCCTCCTCGGCGGACATGAACCCTTCCACCTCCTTCCAAGCAAACAGCCTCCTATCGCCACCCACCTCCCCCAACCACCGTCTTCTCCCTTCGGCACACATCAATGCCGGGTCAGAGCTCGCGGCTCACTCTCTGCAGCAGCGTCTCTTCAAGCAGCAAATACCCCATGGGAGGAGCCACGCACGCACCCCTTCACTCGACTCCACGGCGTCTTCCTCCTCACTCTCGACGAGCCATACAGCGCCGGGCGACGATGGCGAGTCGGACGTAGACTCCACGACTGATCCGTCGCAGGATGGGAACGGACAGGAAGAGGATGAAGAAGGGCCAGACGATACGCCTTATATTGATGGTTCACCTGCGCTCCTTCTCCCAGGTGGAGGAAGGCTACCGCAGAGCGCGTTGGATCTGCTCGAGCAGATGCTCCTGCCTGACCCGAGAAAGCGACCGGGCGTGGCGGAGGTGAGGCGCAGGCTAGAGTTGGTGGAGAGGGAGGTGTATGAGTATGCAGAGGGGGAAAAGGGCCCCTAACTGGAGGCGCTCGATGGCGACCAGGAGTCGACCACGACGGCTCACAACTATATCTGTATTTGTACGAAACTTCTCTACGAGGCAAGACCTCGCGACGTGGTGTCGTTCCTTAGGTGCGCATACAAACGAACGAAAGCACGGCGCCGTAGCTTAGCATGTACTCCATCTTCCGACCCTTCTGTTGAGATCAATATATCTATCTAGAGACCCGAGACAAGAAGAGAAGAGTGACTTCCGGCCTGTGTTCACATTGTGAGAAGCGACGAGCAGCCTGGCCCTCGCGGTGCAGTCAGTTGCTCGCATTGTGATCACGATCACCTCACGCATCGGGACGCCGTCATTCATCTCATTCCATTCGATCCCATGTCGTGCCATCCTTGCTACCCGCGGTGGCGACGGCTCCACCGCCCACGACCAAGCACAGCTTCTTACACTTCGGAGCCATTCAGTCACGCTCATCGTAGCGAGGGCGTGACAGCGGACCCTTACTATTATTCGCTTGCCCCTGACACACCGCACCTCGCAACGGCTTCGGTGGCTGCTAGCCAGCTTCGGTGCAGTGCGGTGCATCTTTTCTCCGTCTGCCGAGCCGATTCATGGAGATGATCCTCATCTGCCGACCCGTGCAACGTCTTGAGTCTTGACGCCAAGTCGCAGCCAGCGATGCGTCGCACGCACAGCCCACTCTGCTAGCTACCCTCTACCCTCGATGCCGAATATGGCGTCGCACAAGACTACCACGCTGACATGTGATCGTCGTCGCCTCCCTGCTCAGAGCTTCTCTTTGGAGCCCGGCGTCATGACGGTTCAGTTCAGCTTGGCTCGCAAGTCGTGGCTGTGTGAACAAGCGACGACGACCGAGTCGAAGCGGCGGCCAAGGAGCGCCTGCCTACCTGCCTGTCATGCGTGCGCTGCGCCAAGACTTTTTCTCCGAGTCGCGACTCGACTGAGGCAGCGCAGGGTTAGGAAGCAAGCAGGCAAGCAAGCAAGCAAAGCAGCTAGAGAGGGGGGGTGGGGACGGCGGAGATGTCGTCTGACGCTGGCTTGACGCTCTCTCTGTAGCAGCCAAGCGTCTACTAATGGGGAGGAGGAAAGCCGACGTCTTCTCGAGCGTCGATGGTGATGGGTTGAATTGAGTGAGGGGTCCGCAAAGGCTGCTGCTATTTGCGGCGGGCGTGCCGTGACCAAGTGCCTGGCGGGGCGGGGCGGGAGCAGCCAGGGGGGACCTCAATTCGAGGTCGAGGTCGAGAGCGGATGGCGGATGGCGGGCGGGGCAATTGATGGGCGGTGTTGAAGCATTTGGCTTGGCATCGTCGTCTCTCGTCGCATCGTCGTCAGGGCTGGCTTGCCGCCGTCTTCTCACCCTCACTCGACTACACGTTCCCCTTTTGTCGATTCGACTAGACTAGACTCGACCCCATCTTTCCGCCGCCGTATCGTAAGCTGCGACGAAGCTGTGTCTGCCAAGGCAGAGAAGCAGATTCATCGCCCGCCGCCACACCACGACCACAGCCAGCCCTTGAACCGGGACCGGTTCGCCCGCCGGAGGGCAGCAAGATAGAGTAGGACAATGGCCTCAAGTAGCAACAATGGGGGCGAGGAGGAGGACAAGCAACCTCGAGCTGCTCCTTCCCTTCCTACCATTGTTACTCCCAACAACAACACCGATACCAACGAGAGCGGCGGCAGCACCAACAGCGCAGAAGCTGGGACACTAGGCGCCAACGCAGCAGCAGCGTCGGAATCCACTGTACCAACTTCTTCATCATCCTCATCACAGCCGTCTCAGCCAACCGTCTTCACGCCACAACATCTACGCAACCAGAGTAGCCTAGCATCAGCAGCAGGCATGTTGCAAGTACCAGGGTCAGTAGACGCAGCGGCGCCCGCGGCCACGTCGACAGACTCGACGTCGCAAGAGCGCAGCGCACCCGGTGGTGGTGCGGCCAGCCCTACCTTGTCGGCGTACTCAGACCATAGCGGGCCTGCCTCCCCCCAGCATACGACCAGAGCGCTGCGAGAGAACGACCCGCAGCAGCAGCAGCAGCAGCAGCAATCACACCAACGCGAGACGAGCGCATCCACCCAGCCAGACTCGCAACCACAGCCGCAAGCGTCGACTTCAGCGGCGGGCGCCGCTTCTTCGACAGAGAAGGAGTCGTCTTCCCACCCCAAGGGCGAGGCAGAGCGTGCGCCCATCGCCGTCAAGGCGGACAAGGAAGCAGAAAAGCGCTCCCACTGGTCGCGATTCAAGGCCATCTTCACGGGCAACACACGCTCAGCTCGCGCAGCCGCGGCAGCAAAGGCCGTAGAGGAGGAGAAGGAGCGACAGAAGAATGTTGATCCGAGACCTTTCCACTTCAAGCCATACACGCTCGGCGAGCTCGTGGACCCCAAGTCCGTCGCCAAGCTGAGGGGTATGGGCGGGATTGATGCGCTCATTGATGGGCTGGGGACAGATGCAGAGCGTGGCTTGGATCTGCCCATCAGGACAGCAGAAGCTGCTCCCGGGGATGAGGCTCCCAAGAGGCTGACTGACGTTGAGGATCAGCAGGGGTCAAAGGTGGCCAAGAAGCCTTCGTCTGTTGAGGCGACCATCGAGGACCGAGAGCGCGTCTTTGGGCGCAACGTCCTGCCGCAGAAGAAGCGTGAGCAGAGCGTGCGCCGAGGTCGTACAATGGATGTCAGTGACTAACTTCATTCATCGCCCACCCTCGCACAGCCAAATCCCTTCTCCTGCTCATGTGGATCGCCCTGCAGGACAAGGTCCTCATCATTTTGATCATCGCAGCCATCGTCTCCCTCATTCTAGGCTTCTACACCGACTTTGTCGCACCGCCAGAGCTCCTGCCGTGCAACTCATCGCCAGACGGTCTCTGCGAGGCGCCCGATGTTGACTGGGTGGAAGGTCTTGCCATCCTCATCGCCGTCACCGTCGTCGTTACCGTTGGGTCTGTCAATGACTATGGAAAGGAGCGTCAGCTGCAAAGGCTGAATGCGCAAAAGGAGGAGCGCGATGTCAAGGTAAGCAGAGCGAGGTGGTCAAAGCAGCGAGCACACTCTCACAGCCTCCGCTTGTCCGCCGCCCCCAGGTCATCCGCCAAGGCAAGCCCGGTCTCATGTCCGTCCACGACGTTCAAGTCGGCGACATCCTCCAGCTCGAGCCCGGAGAGGTTATCCCAGCAGACGGAGTATTCCTGCGCGGCCACAACGTCAAGTGCGACGAGTCTGGCGCTACGGGCGAATCCGATCTAATCAAGAAGGCCTCGTACGCCGACTGCCTCGCCGAGCTTGAAGCCGCCGAGGCCAACGGAACGCAGCCATCGAAGCGCGACCCTTTCCTCATCTCTGGCTCCCGAGTACAGGAGGGTGTGGGAGAGTACGTCGTTACCTCAGTCGGTACAATGTCCTTCAACGGTAAGCTCATGATGTCCTTGCACTCTGAGGCAGAGGACACGCCGCTACAGTCGAAGCTCAACCACCTCGCGGAGATCATCGCCAAATTGGGCGCCGCGGCTGGTCTACTACTCTTCATCGTCTTGTTCATTCGCTTCCTCGCTCAACTCAAGGACTTCCCTGGTACGGCAAACGACAAGGGCCAGCGCTTCATCTCAGTGCTCATCTTGGCCGTCACGGTCGTCGTCGTTGCTATCCCCGAGGGCCTCCCTCTCGCCGTCACTCTCGCTCTCGCCTTTGCCACCCGCCGCATGGCCAAGCAGAACTTGCTCGTCCGCCTACTCGGCTCTTGCGAGACCATGGGCGCCGCTACAGTCATTTGCACGGACAAGACGGGCACACTCACTCAGAACCAGATGAGCGTCGTGGCTGGCTCTGCTGGTATCCACTGCAAGTTTGTGCGTCAGCTGGAGAACCACCAGGGGCGAGTCGCCAAGGAGGAGACGGAGGGCAACACCGACTGGGCCATTGACCAATCCAGCCTCGGCGACGTCGTTGCCGGTCCGCTGCGCGAACTCTTCAACGACAGTATTGCCGTCAATTCGACTGCCTTTGAGGAAGCTGCGGAAGATGAGGAAGAGAAGAAGAAGCTTAGCGCCCTCTCCCCGATGGCAAAGCTGAAGGCTCTGTTCTCGCCCAAGGCAAAGGCTGCAGCCAAGAAGGCAGGCGCGACCGGCGGCTTCGTCGGCTCCAAGACCGAGACTGCCCTGCTCTCACTTGCCAAGGATCTGGGATGGGAGGACTACCGTGTTCGCCGCAAGGCCAACGAGGTTGTCACGTCCTTCCCCTTCAGCTCGGAGCGCAAGGCTATGGGTGTCGTAGTCAAGAAGACCGATGGCTCGGGGTACCGATTCTTCGTCAAGGGTGCCAGTGAAGTCATTACAGCTCTCTGCTCCGAGGTTGTCGACATGCCGCGTGAGGCGAGCAACGAGGTCAACACCGCACCCATCACGGAGGACGACCGCGCCAACCTAACTCGCACCATTGCATTCTACGCCAACCAGACGCTCCGCACGCTCGGCCTCGCCTACCGTGACTTCCCCTCTTGGCCGCCCAAGGACGCCTCATTTGTCAAGTCCGACGCCGGTGAGGACTCCAATGAGGTGGACTACAAGTCCATCGCCAAGGACATGACCCTTCTCTCCGTTGTAGCCATCGAGGACCCTCTTCGCGACGGTGTAGCTGACGCTGTGCAGGCGACGTACCGCGCTGGGCTGCGAGTCATTATGGTCACAGGCGACAACTCTCTGACGGCCCGCTCCATCGCCGCCCAGTGCGGCATCTACGATCCGGCCCAGAACCCCGTCATCATGGAGGGCCCCGTCTTCCGTACGCTCAATGAGAGCGACCTTCGCGAGGTCGTCCCCCGCTTGCGTGTGCTGGCTCGCTCTTCGCCGCAGGACAAGCAGAAGCTGGTCGAAGCCCTCAAGAGCATGGGCGAGATTGTGGCAGTCACCGGAGACGGCACCAACGATGCTGCGGCGCTCAAGGCGGCCAATGTGGGCTTCTCAATGGGTGTTGCCGGAACTGAGGTAGCCAAAGAGGCCTCCGATATCATTCTCTTGGACGATCGCTTCTCCTCAATCGTGACTGCCCTGCTCTGGGGACGATGTGTCCGCAATGCCGTACGCAAGTTCCTTCAGTTCCAGCTGGCAGTCAACGTCGGCGCGGTGATCATTACCTTTGTCACCTCAGTCGCAAGCGAGGACGAATCTGGTGCTCTTACTGCAGTCCAGCTCCTCTGGCTCAACGTGCTTATGGACTCCCTCGCCGCCCTGGCTCTTGCAACCGACCCGCCTTCGGACGAGCTCCTCAAGCAGAAGCCCGAACGCCCGAACACGAGCCTCATCTCAATCGACATGTGGAAGATGATCCTCGGCCAGGCCACTTACCAGGTCGCCCTCGTCCTCGTCCTGTACTTTGCCGGAGCTCACATCTTCGGCATTGAGGCTGCTCCCGGAGACGAGGTCGGCAAATTTGCCGCAGAGACGACCATCAAGGCCCTCACGTTCAACACCTTCGTATTCGCCACCCTCTTCAACCAGGTCAACGCCCGTCGCTTGGACCGCCGCTTCAATATCTTCCAAGACCTCTTCAAGAACCCGTGGTTCCTCGCCATTCTCGCCTTCGAGGTTGGCGCACAGGTCCTCATCATGTTCGTCGGCGGCAAGGCCTTCAGCGTCGAGCGACTGGAGGGCAAGTACTGGGCTGTCGCCATCGTCGCCGGTTTCATCTCGTGGCCTTTGGGCGTCCTCATCAAGCTCATCCCCACCGAGCCGATCGAGCGCTTTGCGATCCGCTGGGGACTCATCAGCGACCCACTTGCTCTGCCGTACGATGCGCCCGATGCCGAAGAGGCACACGAGAAGCTCAAGGGCCAGAAGTGGAGTGAGCCGGGCCTCATGGATCTCGCTGACGAGCTGGGCGGCTACTCTCGACGAGGCAAGAGGGCCACGCTGCTCAGCCACGGATGGAGTGACGCCCTCGCTCTGCTTCGTCACCCTAGCGCTGCTCTCCCCCACAAGACGACGCTCGGTCATGGCGAAGAGGGCCACGGCGCGCACTCGGTCCACCCAGCGAAGTTTGGTATCCTCATGCCGGGTATCTCCATCGCTGGACTGGCCGGAGCTTGGAGGCCGCAGAACCCGCCTGAGGCCACTCTGGCGGACCCGGCTGCTGGGGACCCGTCCCTGTCATCGTGGCAGTTGATGAGGCGAGGCACCAACTTGCGCGATGAGGAGGGTGGAGCCACCGGGGCGGGTAAGGAGAAGGAGGCGGAGGCAGGCAAGGGGCAGGGTCTGCGGAACAAGTTCAAGGGGCTGATGGGTGGGGCGTAGAGCTGATCTCGAGTGCATAGATTTGAGATGACGAGAAAGACGAACAGCGCCGATACCACCCACCTGATGCCCTACCTGTAAATAGCGCTGCGTGGCTCCAAGCCAGCGAGCCAGCCGCCTTTCTCTCTACACGCTCTTTTCTCAGCACGCGACGCTGCTCTCTCATTCACATCTCATCTGCTGTACATAGCTTCATTGCTCTTCACTATGACAACCAAAGATAGTATTGCACTCCAAACCGTCGCATCGTGTCTGCACTGCTCTTCCTCGCCGTTGAATGTCAGGAAAACTGATATGCCGGCGCGGGTGTCTGCGTGACCTCACAACCTGCTGCCCAGTTCTCTTGGCCGAAGCTCAATCTTCGTTCCTCACGCCTCCTTCACTCCAAACCCCAGGTTCCAACCCAGAGCTCATTTTCCCCCTCCCCTGACCATTTGTCCCCCAACCATATTGCCGGTCGCGAGCCCAGGAAGATCCACCACCCCCTCCGAGGGGAGCAGGGCGGCGAAAGAGGTTGAGCAGGCAGGTGGCGGTTGAGGTTGGTCAGAGGAGGGGGGATCGCCTGGGTCAGAGTCGGGGTGTAAGGGGTGGGAGATGGGGTGAGACGATGTGGAAAGAAGGGAAGGGAGGAGCGGCGCTCATCGAGCTGGTTTTCTTCGCTGCAGCTGCGAGAGGGAGGGGATGAGAGCCACGTGGTTTGATGTGCGACGGAAAGAGGGGACATGCAGGTCAACGCGACGGGAGTGAGAGTGAGACGCAGGCGCGGACAGAGAGCTGAGTGAGCGAGGTGAGGCTTAGCTTCCAGTCCAACACTTTCATCCTCGCCACCACTAGCACGTCCTTCTGGACGACCGTGCGCGCTCTGCTGCGCTCGCTCTGCCTACCTCATGGCAGTCACCGCTTCGCAGCAGCACAGAGGCCCGCCTGCGCCCGCAGCAGCCGACGAAGGCGGCAGCGCAGCCTTTGGACGCATCATTGCGGACAATGCTCGCGAGCGTCGAACGAAGGCCAAGGCGCTTCGCGACCAAGGGCGAAGCAATGAGTACGTGCTCTGGCCGAGTAGCTCCTCCACCGTCGCCACTACGGAAGCGCATGCAAAGAATGTAGCATCCTCGTCATCCTCGTCCACCGCCTCGACCTCCACGAATACATCGGAGCGCACCGCCCACCTGCTGCTGCGCGTCCTCTGCCTTTGCTTCGTTGTGCCTCTCAGCCGGCTCGGGGAGGAGGGTCAGCCAGAGAAAGTGGTACGACATGGCTGTACGGTGGATGACGCGCTGGATACGCTGGAGCAGATGATGGAGGTCAGGCCAGACCTGCTCGACGACGTGTTTGCTTCTCGACCTGGCATCAGCAAAATGCCTGTCGCTTCGACTTCGAGACAGCAGCTCACCTCCACCACTTTCGACCTGTGGATCTGTCCAAGACTACTGGCGGCCGCATCCGTTCTTACACTGCGTAGTTGCGGTATCTTGCCAATCTCCGACTCCAATCAGCAGGACAGTGATGCTACGCTGGCAGCTCGCCGCCAAGCATCTGCTCTTCGCACAAAGATGCTCGCTGCAATCAAAAAGGTGCTCCGGACCTCACTTCTCAAGACGAATCACCTCGAGTCTGTCCGAACCATGCTCTGGGAGACGCTCAAGGTAGCTCTACGTGCACTCAGTCGAAGCGAAGATGCGGTACCTTCCATCGGGGCCGCTTTGCTCCCTTCTTCGGACGACGAGGCAGAGGAGCCCGGCGCCTCATCACGGCCCATCCTCTCCTTCTTCGAAGACTTTCAGCTCCCTTCGAAGGGCTTCCTTACCCGACCCAAGCGCAAGCCCTTCGGTGATGGGATTGCCCGCCTCTGGCTGGCAGAGGACCACGCCCCTTACTCCTGCGATTGGGCTTCTCAATCACCGGCAGAACTCCACTCTCTGGTCCAATCGTACATACTAGCAGCATGCGACATCTGCCTTGATCTCGCGCGCGAGTTCCCGCAGACTCTCGCTGATGTGGGCAGCGCAGCGGGCAAGCTGCTCGTGGAGACGTGGAGCAAGGATGCGGCGTACAGAAGAGCGGCTGAGCTTCCCTGTCGTGGGGTCGGGGAGGAAATCCAGGCAATCAGGCTGGAGATGGTGGCGCGTTGCTTGGAGAGTCGACATGGCTTGGAGGAGATGGTCCCCTTGCCTTGCGTTGTTGATCTGGTGGTCGCCGAAATGGGAGCATACCTTGGGACTGCCGCTACGAGAGCTCAAGGGGACTGGTCAGTCGCCCTTGGGCAGGCGCTACGCAAGGCTCTGCTCCGTCTTCGACTTATTCACCCTGGAGCGAGCCGCAGCCCAAGCTCAACGTCGGGCATTAGCGCTATTCACTCGCAAGCCTGGACCGAGATTCGCCACCTCGCTCCTACGCTGATCTCAGAGATGGCTTCGCCACTGCCGGCTCTCGATGGCGATCGTGAAGCGCAAGGCGGTAGTGAGGCGCAGCTCAGCGCAGAAGATAAGAAAAAGACAGACGACCTGCTTGCGCGCAAGCTCTGCGCATTTGAGGCTACGTTGATCCTCATCGGTCACAGTCCGGCGTACGCAGGCGGGACAGCACCTCTGACGTCGCAGCACGAGAGAGACTTCTTGCGCATCCTCTGCGGAGGAGAGAACATAGAAGCGTTCTTGGCCAAGGATTGCGAGCCGGCTTTGGACGAGGAACAGGGCGGCCATGACTGGCTCTCGCAGCACGAACTCAATGACGCTCGTAGTACGTTGCAGGGCATACATCAACAGCGCAAGCACGGAAGCAAAGGAAAACGCAAGCGTGGCCAAGGCCAGCAAGACGTCGATGACGAAGAGGCGCTGGTGAGCTGTCCCGATGTCCAGACATTCCGCAGTCTCGCTGGCGTCGATGAGCAGGATATATGGGCTGGCGAGGACATTGCGACGGCTACGAGCGAGAAGTCAATGGAGATGGCAGGCCAGCTCATCTGTGTACGAGCTGGTACGATGCACCACCGCCGCTACGCAAGGCAATTTTATTGCGAGGTTTCGGATGGCGCAGATCAACTTCAGACGCAGCCGTCGACCGCGAGCAAGACAAGGCAAGAGGAAGCGGCCCGGCTCGTGACATGGTTGCGCTCTATCACCTCGTTCGAAGCGTTCCGTCAGCTCGGCCTTATTGAGTATGCCCGACACGCCGTCGCGCACTCGGACGACGAGACCTTCCTGCAGATGACCAGCGCTGTCGAAGCTGCGTTGCAGGCTACCTTTCCTCATCAGGCTCGAGAGATACGTCTAGCTGCTGGACGTCTGGCGTTCGCCTACGTGGCTCGTCATTGTCGCATTGAGCTCGGAGACGAGGCTGTCCGCCCGTTGCGAGCGCGTCTCAGCGCTGTTCTATCCCTGCATCGCCGCTGTCTTGAGCCGACCTCTCGCATCAAGACTAGAGAGACGACGATCATCAGCCTCGGAGGCCTGGGAAAGCTCAAGGCTGAAGAGGTACAGCGCGAGGCTCTCCTCGCTCTCGTGCTCGAACTCAATGGCACTGTCCTCCTCCAATCGTGTGCCTACCTGCAAATCACCGGGCTGGCCGCCTACCATCGCTGCAGCACGTACGCACTTCTCTCCCCGCACTTTGCCGCCATCAGCCCGCCGATAGTCGAGCGCATGACGTCTGCACCGGGCCTTTTCCTCGAGGTGCTCCAGCTCACAAATCAGAATCAGGCCAAGTTTCTACAAGCCACCATCGCGTACACTCTTCCCGTCATCATTGCGTCGAAGAACATCAAGGCCCTTAACCTCATGGTCAGCGCGCTAGGCACGACAGTACCCAAGCTCTGCCTCGAGCAGGCGCCAGCCATTCTCAAAAATTACCTTCTGCTTCAGCCCGATCAGCGCGACCGCAACATCGCCACTTACTTGGACACGATCAAGCGCGCCTCAGACCACGACGTTGCTTTACGCCAGCTGTATCGCAGCTACAATGGCGAGATCTTGGGTCACTTGACTGCCACACTCGGTGATCCGGAGCGACGCAAGGTTGCCATCGAAGGGCTGCGTCACATTGAGCACACGCTCAAGACGCAGCCGCCCTCTTCCGCCTCGAACTCCTCCCCCGCTGATGCCTCGCGCCGCCCAAAGGCCTTGGGCAGCGATCTTTCTGCCTTCCTCAAGGATGAGATCCTTGGCATCCTCGCGTGGCTGAACGATGACCTCATGTCTGTGAATGGCAAGAAGTCACCCAGCTTCAAGGCCATGGTAGCTCGTTCCATTGGAGTCTTCATCGACATCGTAGGCCAGAACATCAGCCTCGTGGCACCGCAGATCATGGCCACCTTGAGCAGTACGCTGCAGGTGCCCGAACTACGCTTGGCCACGCTGCAGAGCTGGCAGACGTTCATGACTACGCTGAAGTACGAAGAGGCGGGAGGCTTCATCGGTCAGACAGCGGCTGCGCTGTTGAGCGTGTGGACGCAGTTTACGGGACAAGAGAAGAAGGTGGCCAAGGAGATTTTGAGGTATCTCGTGGTGGACAATGCGAGGGAGATGAGAGATCATATCGAGGAGATCCCTAACCTCGATTGTAAGTGCGCGAGGCGCAATGTCGCTGGCGAATCGTGGTACTGACCCTCGTCTTTCTGTGCTCGCTCGCAGGCTTGGCCAACGAGATGCCTGAGGTGTGCCGCAAGGTTCGCTCTTCACGCGAGTCTTGGACGCCAGAGAAACAGCTCAGCCAGATCTTGGATCGCGTCACGGATGAGAACACGAGCATTAGCTTGACCTCACTGCGAGAGCTGCACGGCTTCCTGGCGGACCAGCAGGCTTTCATCCAGCAAGCGGCCTCAGGCTCCGTCTTTGCGCCCATCATCGGCAAGCTCGTCGCTGCCTTGCTGAACACGATGCGTCGCTCGGAAGAGATGCAAGTAGAGGTGCGCGACCTCTGCCTCGAGTGTCTAGGCAAGCTGGGAGCGGTAGACCCCGATCGACTGGACATGGCCAGCGACGACAGCCCGCACAAGCTCCTACAGAACTTTGAGGACCGAGAGGAGACGATCGACTTTGCCGTGCACCTGATACGCGATATCCTCGTTAGCGCATTCCGTGCTTCATCCGACACCAAGCATCAGGCAGCACTTGCGTACGCTATTCAGGAGCTGCTCGCCTTCTGCGGCTTCACACCGCTGCTACTGAAGCCGACCGGACGCGCTATCGCTGTCAAGGTCAGGCAGCGCTGGCAGGAGTTGCCGGCTTCCGTCGTAGAGACCGTAGCGCCGCTGCTCAACTCCAAGTACTCGATTACGCACGGCCCGCCGACGGAGCATCCTAAACCATTCTACATTCACTCGACGTCGTATCGCGACTGGATTGAGATCTGGGCGAATCATCTCATGCAAGGCGCGAAAGGCGGTGACGCGCAGCGCATCTTTGGCATTTTTCGTGTGCTTCTGCGCCATCATGACCTCGACATCACGCAACACATCCTCCCGCATGCCGTCTTGCACAACCTCATTTCCGGCACAGACACTCAACGTCAGGAGCTGCGTGAGGAGTTTGTGTCGGTACTCACGGATCAGGTGGACCCCACAACGGAGTACTCAAGCGATCGTCGCCTGCTCTGTGCCCAGACCGTCTTTGCACTCATGGATCACCTTTCTGCGTGGCTACGCCTGAAGCGACAAGAGCGAGCGCGTCAGCCCACTCGTCAGCAGCGGCGCGAAGCCGCAGCAGGCAATGGAGTCGATGAAGCCCACGCAAATGTCCAGTCCGTCCTGGACAGCATCTCTCAAGAGCTCATGGCCCGCGCTTCCCTCCAATGTCGCGCCTACGCGCGCTCCCTCCTCAACTTTGAGCTACGCATCCGCGAGCTCCGCGAAGCAGGCAAAGAGGACCGCGACCTGCAGACGTACTACGAGCAGCTTCACGTGATCTACGCAGATATCGACGAGCCGGATGGGATGGAGGGAATCTCCACGCGTATCATTTCCCCTAGCCTGGAGCACCAGATCCGCGAGCACGAGACCACGGGGAGGTGGACATCAGCGCAGAGTTGCTGGGAGGTGCAGATTCAGGGAGATCCCGGGGAGGCGGCCAATCATGTGGGGCTGGTGCGATGTCTCCGCAACCTTGGCCATTACGATACGATGAGGACGCATGTCAGAGGGGCATTGAGTCTCAACCCGCAGTGGGAGGATATGCTGGCGCCGTTTGCCATCGAGGGTGCGTGCATTCTGGGAGACTGGGATGAGGCGAGGGAGTTGCTGGATCGCAGGCCGCGTGATGGAGATGACTCGCCACAGGCGGCTACGGCGCGTGTCCTGCTCGAGATGAGCAGCGGCGAGGAGAGCACTGCCTTTGAGCCTGTCTTGCGCAGTGCCTTCCGCCAGCTTGGCAAGCCGATCCTCGCCGCCGGTCGCAACTCTTACCCACAAGTCTACGAGTCCATCCTTCATCTGCACATACTTTCCGAGGTCGGCATGATTCGCGAGGCCTCGGCATCTGGCAGCAAAGCAAGTATGTCCAAGCTGCAATCACGCCTACAAGCCCGCCTCGACGCCACACTCCCCTCCTTCCGCATCCGCGAGCCCCTGCTCAGCGTGCGGCGTACTGCTTTCAGCATCAGCCGCTCTGCAGACGACCGTGCAGTGGCGGATGCCTGGATCTCGACTTGCAAGATCGCCCGCAAGGCCAAGCACACGCAGACGGCATACAGTGCTGTGCTCCAAGCTCGCGTCAGCGGGGCTCCATTCGCATTCGTACAGACGGCCAAGCTCCTCGCTAGCAGCGATCAGCCCCATGCTGCCATACAAGAGCTCAGCAATGCGCTCCAGAATCTGCAGCCTGCCTTCGAAGCGTCCAACGCAAGCGTCATCGACCTTACCGCAGAGGATGCCAATTCGCCTGCGGCCACTTTCGATCGACGCGCCTTTGCCAATGCGCACCTACTGCGGGCGCGTCTTTGCGAGGAGACGGGTCGCTTTGCCAACAACGACATCATTGAGCGCTACAAGAAGTGCACAGAGATTGAGAAGAACAGCGAGAAGATGCACTACTATCTCGGCAGATTCTACGACGCGAAAGAGGTGGGCAATTCGCTCACGATGAAGGCTCACGTTTGTCGCCAATTCCTCAAGTCTGCCTATGCGGGCACCAAGTACTTCTACCGCACCATTCCTCGCGTCCTCACCATCTGGCTCGACTCTGGGGATGACCCTTGGCTTCTCAAGATGGGGGCGAAAGGAGGGACAAACAAGATGGACCGACAAGCAGAGGGGTACGAGAGAATGGTGCGTGACCGCGGTGAGACACAGCGAGACGACCTGCCTCCTGACCTCTCTCTCTTCTGACGCCCGCAGCAAGCCTTCGAGATCATCAACAGTAACGTCAATACAGCTCGGGGGAAGGTGGCTCCGTATCAATGGCTCGCTGTCCTCCCACAACTCGTCTCACGCATTCCGCACAAGAACGACTACGTCTGGGCGATTCTGCGTCACATCATTGCTGGCGTCGTCAAGAGCTACACGCCACAGGCTATGTGGGGCATCATTGCCGCCTTTCACTCGAGTGACAACCTGCGCAGGAAGCGTGCATTGGACATTGTCCAGCTGGCAAGAACGAATGACAATGCGCGCACCATCGACTCGTCCCAGCGTCTGGCCAGTGAGCTGCTCAACCTCTGCAATCATCCGGCGCCCAAAAATAGCACGGCTTTTGACATGCAGCGCGACTTCCCCAGACTGGCCGACCTGGCCAGCTGCAATCTGATCCTCCCGCTGCAGAGCTCGATGACGGTCAACTTGCCAGCCGACAATGAGCTGCGCCAGGATCATCTCCCCTTTCCCGTCGACCTGCCCCGCATCAATGGCTGGGACTCGCAGATCGAGATCATGAACTCGCTGCAGAAGCCTCGTAAGATTGTCGCGTACGGCAGCGATGGCGGGCGGTATGCTTTCCTGTGCAAGCCAAAGGACGACTTGCGCAAAGATGCTCGCCTGATGGAGTTTGACGCCATGATCAACAAGCTCCTTCAAGCCAGCTCAGACTCTCGTAAGCGTCGTCTTCTTGTCCGCACGTACGGCGTTGTTCAGCTCAACGAGGAGTGCGGGCTCATCGAGTGGGTGCCCAACACGGTCGGACTGCGCAACATCCTCATCAAGCTGTATGGCGCAAGGCGCATTCCACTCTACGACGGTACGGTGCGCGTTAACATGGACGAGGCAAGGCAGGCAGGGCGAAATAGCGGGAAGATTTTCGAGGACAAGGTGCTCTGCAACTATCCGCCAGTCTTCCACGAGTGGTTTGTCTCGACCTTCCCTGAGCCGGCGGCGTGGCTCAAAGCAAGGCATGCATTTGCGAGGACATGCGCTGTGATGAGCATGGTCGGTTGGGTGTTGGGGCTGGGGGACAGGCACGGCGAGAACATCTTATTCGTGAGTGCGCGTGAGCGCAGTGTGGACGGGGGCCAAGTTGACTCTTCTCTTTTGCACACAGGATTCCATGTCGGGCGATACAGTTCACGTCGACCTTAATTGTCTCTTCGAAAAGGGAGCGACATTTGAGATCCCAGAGACGGTACCATTCCGCCTCACGCAGAATCTTGTTGATGCAATGGGCGTATGCGGGTACGAGGGCGTATTCAGGCGAGCCGCTGAGATCACGATGGTGAGCCTGCTTGGCGCCACAGTCGTGCCCTGGAGGTCAAGGCGCTAACTCCTCTCTGCTCACGCGCTCCTCGCAGGGGATCCTCCGTAGCAACAAGGACTCGCTCACCAGCGTGCTCGAAGCCATGGTGCACGACCCTCTCGTCGAGTGGGGCGGCGGAGCGTCGCAAGGGGGCGGTGGTCATCACACGACGTCACGCAAAGCTCCTCAACAAGCAGCTGCCTCAACTTCAGCAGGCGGTGGCCGGCTCGACCCCCGCGTCTTGGCGGCTCGACAAGCGCTTGACCCTGTAGGACGCAAGCTCGATGGCTGTCACCGCCCTGCCGGTATCAATCCAGCTGCAGCCGCTGCTGCTCAAATGACTGGTGGGCCAGGAAGCTGGAGTCTGCCTCAGTCGACGCCGAATCTTGTTGATCTGCTCATCAGGGAGGCGACATCGAGTAGCAATCTGGCGCGCGTCTACGTGGGTTGGGCTTCTTGGCTGTGAGACAGGCACGCGGCCAAGGCAGGTTCGAGCGTAGTCATGCTGCCGTAATTGAATTTCTTCCGGCACAGTCGGCGAACATTCAGCCTGCGATGCGTCGATGTCTCGGGAGAAGGGTAAGAGCGGGCCGCTCTGCGCTGAGCACCAACTTCATCTCGTGCCTCGTCTTTGCGGCTCGCAGCGCCGCGTATCGAAGCAAGCGGGTGATCGAAAGCGGCACGGAGATGAAGCGACGGCGAGAAAGCCAAAGTGCGGAGGCGCTCATCAACGAAGCATTCATCCGCCTATGCTCACATCTGGTACAAGTTGATCATCTCGAATGTGATGTCCAAGTAGAAGGCACAGCTCGGCGAAGGCTCAAAGGTGCTACCGAATTGCTGCCTTCACCATAGGCGTGTGTTCCACTCACCCTCGTCTGCGCCGCAAGTCCGTACCTGGGGCTGTCCTCCGAACGGTCGAGGCTTCGGGGTAGAGACGACGACAGATGCTTCTCTGGTGGTGATGAACGTCCAGAACGGGAAAGAGCGCGAGCTCTCAAACCGGGTCACAAGCGACGTTGCTCTAGGGACCGTCGCCTCAGCGTCACGGTGAAGTCGCAAGTCGCTCGTCCAGCATGGGACGTCGTCGACGAGGAGCCGGTGATGAAGGTACAAAAGCAGCGCGTTCCCCCACCTCTTCTTCGCCCAACGCCTCACCCCTCTCCTCACGCCTAACTCCCCACCTACACTCCAACAACGAGTGAGCATCACACCGCGTCTACTGCTCCTTCCCCACCCCCGCTGACTGCGCTGCTCCTCCCCTTTGCTCACACAGCATGCGTGCTACCAACATGCCATTCGCCTTTGGCTTGCTCAGCCTTTTCGCCCTCTTCACCAACCTCATGCTCACCACGGCCGCTCCGACCAACGCCGAGCAGGAGGCTCGCGTCGCCACGGACGACGTCTACACCCGCACTAATGACCACGACTTGGGAGCGACGAAGCATGATCATAATCTGGGCGTGGGCGTAGGCGTGGGCGTGGGAATCGGGGACGGAGGGAATGCTGGGTGCGTAGGCTGGGGATGCTGGAACCCTCCCCCTTACACGGGCGGCGGCTGGAACAACGGCGGTAACTGGAACAACGGTGGTAACTGGAACAACGGCGGCAACTGGGGCGGCTGGCACCCTAACTACCCGCCTTCCCCTTACCCTTCGCCCTCCTGGAGTGCCGGAGGTGGCCAGAACAGCTGGGACTGGTGGGCAAGCCACGGCTACAAGGGCAAGGCTCCCTCTGGCGGCCAGCCTGGCATCTCTTCCAAGGCCCAGAACGCGGCCAAGACCGTCAACAACAGCGGCAACCCTCCTCACAGCAGCAATGTCCACTCTCGTGGTGATGGCTACGAGTACGAGTCGCTTGATGGGCGTGCTGCTGAGCCTGGAATGATGTAGGCAAGAGTGCGAAGGTGAGTGAGGCGGGCTCGGTACCAATGTCTCCACATTGCTGACGCCCTTCCCCCTTCCGCCTCTGCCGCAGACACGGCAATTGCCGATGACTCTCGTCTTCCTCGATAACAGCTTTCATCAGAAAGAGTCGTCCATATCGCCATGCATTCAAGAACGACGGCACCAACAACCAAGTCGCGACCGTGCCGTACTCCGATCTCCATTCGTAGACGCTCCTCCTATCTATGCTCTACTTGCTGCCGATCTCTGCTCCATCGCCAATCTCAGAGATACGTGTTGCTACACAGCCTGCATCAATCGTGTTCCTGCTCTGTGATGACCACAGCCTGCCGCTTTTCGTCTCTCTCCCAGGGCATCAGCGCAATCTCGTCAGTTTCATGTACCGCTCCCACCACTCCCTGCCCTCTTCGAACAGCGCGTGCTGCGTCGATATGATCGGGCATCGTAGCACAGGATCTATAGGCGGAGGCTGCTGAGCAGATAGGTGAAAGCATGTATCGCCCTTCGTCCCCGGTGTGCCTGCCAGCCAAGCCGTGCCATGCTCGACGGTGGGGGCATAGTCCAAGACAAATTGTACATCGTCTGGGTGTAGGCAAGCTTCAACGAGCTTCAGCCGACCCTCAAATCCTGGCAACCATCGCTGAGGCGAGACTTCCCGGTCGTCATTCTCGTGACAATTGCGCCTTCTCTTGCGATCTGGCTGCTCTTGGTCTCTGGGCGTCGCTTTCGCAGGATCGTCCAAGCCTACAAGTCGATGGATGCAATGGTTGAGACGATTGCTGGATGCAATCAAGTCTGGGAAGTCAGCAGCAGCTCTCAATGACAACGATTCGCCAGAAATTGTGATGGGCCGTGACGTACCTGTCTGAGCTGGAAAGTAGGGTGACATCGCTCCACTGAAAATGCTCGAGACTGGTCAAGCTACGGCCATGACCGGCGATGTTGGCCACCTCAGCATCGACGAGGATATACTCGCACAAACGCAATCTCTCGATCGATTCCAGGGCGGGGTGCTGAAAATGGAGGCAATCCCTCGACATATCACAGGGAGGTCCCAGGGTGAGAGCTTTGAGCATCTCGAGAGGGGGCGGGGAGCGCAGGCCGCAGACAGCGCGATCGAGGAACAGTGAGGGACAGGTTCTCGATGAATGGCGCAATTGCGATAATGGACCGAGTGAGACCGAGGATACCACCTACGGTCGCTGTGCTGGGTAGTGCGTGCTCGATCGGATTGCAGAGATTGTTTGTGTAGGCGTCGTCATCATCGTCGTCGCTGTCGTACCCGCGAGTGTGTATATCAGTAGAGAAGACGTCTTTAATCCTTTCGGTCTCAAAGTCATCCAAGTCACCAGAACCGCCTTCATGCTCTTCTCCGTTACGGTCGACAGCAGTCCACATTACTCCCGAGCGGATGAACAGCAAAGGATGATCAAAGCGATCGGTTTTTGAATGTCTGGCGATTCGTTCGAGGAGCTGTGACCGATGCAAGATGAAGACATTGTGGTCGGTAACGTCTCGATGGTCGTCAGACGACGCAGGCAACTTGGAGACGATGAGGAGTCGAGGATGTGAAATGTCGTTCGGGTTGGTCTTGGGATCTTTCTGCTCCAGCCGTCCTACCTCTAGCAGGTACAGCTCACAAGCCGATTGAGCCTCGAATATACGCGCGTGCCATTCATCCTGCCACATGAAGAGGAACAATTTTTGTGAGCGGAAGCGATTTATAAATCAGGTCAGTGTGTCTGCCTGTACACACCGATCCAATAGGGCCTTTCAGAGTGGTTGCGCCCTTCAATTTGCGGATCGACGTCGAGGTCATAGAACGCAGCTTGAATAGCATTGGAGATGGCTCCCGAGACTCCGGCGCCGGTCGATTCAATATAGAAATCGCTTACGTAGACGTACCAAGGCCTTTGCCGCTGATCGTCAGGAAGGATCAATTGACACCTCAGACGTCTGACCTGAAGGCCTTCATCGGTCGTTCGCACAGTGATTGGCCACCAATCGCCGGGCAATTCATTATCCGCTCCAATATGCAAGCTCCGGACAAGCTGGCCCAAAGAGGGACGGTTGGCTACGGCAGCTTGCAAGATCTTGAGTTCTGAAGGCCTTGTGATGCGGATATGCTGCCAAAGAAGTGGGACCATCATCGCGTAAAAGTGGCGAGAGGCGAGAGCAAGACGACAGATGGTCTCTGTGCAGTCGGTCGAGCGGCCTTTGGTGCTTTGATGAGGACGGCGAGTGGTCGTGCAGGCGAGTGTGAGGATGTGACTTCGCAATTCGCGGGGAAGAAGCCAAAAGCCCGAGAGGCTGCGGACGGGCTGAACATTCACCGCATTGAGATTGTGCTGCGATCGGTCTCCTGCGGCGGCGCCTTCGATCTTGCCGTCGTTGGCGCCGACAGCCTTCGTTTTGTACAGCTCGTGCTCGCCCCCTGTCATTGCAGAGGAGTACCGCGAGAGCTGCAGGACTCGAAGAAAACGAAAAGAGAAGAGATGATGGAAGGCAAGTAGTTCGGCCTTTGTTGCGAAGCAAGGGATGGAAGTAGGCAAGCACTAGAGTAGTCTAAAGGAAGCGAGCGGGCGGGTGGGCGAGCGGACGCAAGCAGATGAATGAGTTTCGAGAGTGACGGCTCGCAAAATGATGGCTGGCAAAGTAATGACTTTCCATCGCCTTCCGATCCTCCTCATTCTCTGACATCACCATCCTGATTCCCTTCTCACAGAATGGAATCCTTTTCCGCGTCGCTCTCCAGCACAGCTTGGTCCCACCACTCCCACGCCTCCTCATACAACTCTTGTGTCATCAAGGACCCCTCAGGAGGTGAGAAGGCGCGGCCATCAGCAGCTGGACTGGTAGACACCTTGAGCCTGCAAGGCAAATGAGGTGAGAGCTCGCCGGTACGCCAGGCGTGACGCATGGCATCAGAAGGCGCGTCATCAATGACCTTTTGCCGGTCATTGTCGCTCAGACGGAGGTCGATGAATGTTGGGCCACGTCGTCCATTGAATTGAGGCGAACGGCCTTCCGAGCTTTTGCCCTCGGTGGACCACTCCTTGGGCGTTGGCTCCTCGCCTGGATGCTCTTCGGCAAAGTCGCATAGCCGCTCATAGAGCTCATCACTGAGTCCAACGGCCTGTGCAGCGACTCGGGCGATACTTCGGTGGGACACCTTGGTCAGCGAGACGGTGAGGTTGAGCACGCAGCTTCTGCCGGGGCATGCTCACTTAAAGTCCTCATCATCTGCTTCATACGGATAAGGTCGGAGCAGCGTCCATTGCAACTCTTTTAGATCAGGCATGATTCCACGGTGGCCTGAGAAGAAGCTGGCATCGAAGCGATTGAAAATGTGCTGGCAAATGCGCATCTTCTTGACCCGTTCGATAGTCTTGTTCTTCCAAAATACGTACTCGGTGACTGGGCAGATTTCTGAGGGAGGACCAGAGCTCAATCTTTTGAGCGTGGAGACTTGAAGAGCAGAGGGACTGCCGTCGGTCAGGTCCGTGAGAAAGCCACTCAGCGACAGCGTGCTGATGCGAGGCATGAAAGACACTGCTGAGCGGGCAAGAGCCAGAAGGCCACCGGTAGTAGCTATGTTGGGTAGCCCGATGCTCATAGGGTCTTGCAAGCTGGGGGCAAAAGGCGGGATGCCGCCTAGTTGGCGCGACGCAGCATCCACGAAGGTAAAAGCCTGTCCCGCATCGTCGAGGCCACTAGACAATCCCGAGTGCTTAACGTCAAAGGCTGCTGCAGTCCATGGCAGTCCCGAGCGAGCGAAGAGGACTGGGTGATCAAATCGATCAAGGTGACTACCAACTCTCGTCATCCAGGAGCGAATCTGGCCAAGGGTCAGTTGGTAGACATGTTCGGGTGAGTCGGCCAGTGCCGAAGAGGCGATAGCCAAAGAGGGGTAGTCTGTAGCATCGGTCAGCACTTCGCGACCTGTTGTCATACGGTCGGCTGGGTCTTTTTGCTGCTGCATCGCCTTCAAGTAGAGTTCAACTGCCGCTTGCGTCTCCCACACCCGTATACAGTATGCCACGCATCCTGCCAGGGCAGACAGAAATGAGTGGGTCTGAAGGGATCGTTTGTATCCTAATCAGCTCACCATGTCAAGATCTTCCCCTTTCCACATCTTTCCTTGACAAAAAAGATCGACATTGAGTGACTGGCTCGCCCGCTCAATGGCAGCAGACGCCGCTCGATGGAAGGCACTCGCATTGTCGACGTCCTTGTTGTCGAGGGCCAACCGAAGGTTGCACTGAGTTTCTTCAGACATGCAGCTAGAGGATCGCTCAGACTTGCTGGAGTATGACGCCGTGAGGTGCAAGCGTCCGTCGATGAGCTTCAGAGGCCACCAGCTGCCAACAGGTAGAGCATCTTCCGGTCCAAGGTGAAGGCTCTTTACGAACGAGCCTAGAGCAGGATGAGCAGACAGTGTTGCCTGAAGAGAGCAAAGGGCGGAGGGCCGTACGATGCGGATATGCTTGTAGAGCTTCGGCACTAGAAGAGGGTAGAAATGTCGTGATACTTGAGAAAGGGCCTTGATCGTTCTCATGCAGAGGTTTCGATGGGGCGGATGATGTTTGCAGGGGAGAAGAGGCGCCTCACAAGCCAGGTGCAAGATGTTATTGCGCAGCTCGCTAGGCAGGTTGAAGAAGGTGAGACCGGCCCTCAGAGGCAGCGAAGCAGCCTCCATCATGAGCTGGCGCTGCGTTCCCTTGGCGAAGCAGAGAGAAGAAGGGCAAGTTGAGATCTCAATGAAAAGGAGAGGAAGGAGGAAAGCCGCTTGACAAAGGCACGGAAGTAGGGGCTATGCACGGTATCTGAGTGAGGGGCGGCGAGCGGGCGAAGAAGGGACGTTGGGCTCTCACGCGACTTTTCGTTGTCCAACTACTGTTCTCATTTGTTACATGCTGTGAGCCCTTTCTCGCTCACCTACGATACTGGACGCCATCCGCCCAATTTTGCCAACCGCTGGTCAGCTCGGCCCTGCCCGCCTCAGTACAGCCGCATAGACTCGGTCCCGTACGTAAGTGCGCTGTTCTCCCACCAACTCCAATTCCCCTCTTCACTATCACGACGCTTGCTGATGGCGGCCCATGTCGAGTAGCCACTTTCTGTCGCAGAGTTCGAGTGCTCTATCATTTTGAGGCGGCGGGACGTGTTTGGTAGAGAGCCACCCTCACTCAATGCCTCTCGAATGCGTTGTGAAGGCGCTGCTTTGAGAATTGCGGCGACGTTGTCGCGATGTAGACAGACCTCGATCAGAGGGTACGAGATTGCAGCCTGTCCAGCGCTGGCGGCGACTGTGTTCCGCAGACAGCAAGCTCGAGGAACTCCGTCAGAGAGAGCGTCCGTAGTGAAGGTGTGAAGCCAAGAAGAGACCGAACGAGCGAGAGGATACCGCCTATCGTCGCAAAGCTGGGTAGATCCAGAGAAAGGGATGCGCTATTGATGGCTACGAGAGGCTCATCCGAAGAAGGTGACTCGTATCTATCACGAGGTGAAAAGACGTCGGCGAGGTTTTCCCCTTCGGCAACTACTATAGCGTCTTCGTCTCCATCCCCAGAGTGTAATTGGCCATCTGGTCCTCGAGCAGCCCAAGGGACGCCTACACGGGCAAAGAGAAGGGGATGATCGAAACGATCGTACTTGGTCTTTGGAGCGGCTAGCCTCTCCGTAATCTCGCCGTGTGAGACCTTGAAAGAGCGATGACTACGGTTGACAGAATGCTTCGGCATCGGAGGCTTGGTGATGACAAGCACAGGGTAGTCAACATCGTGCTTTGCATTCCTTTGCTCGTCCTCGCATTGTCGCATGCGCATCAAAAAGAGCTCGATGGCTGCACAAGTCTCCAGTACTTGAATATGCCAAGCATCCTGGACAGTGGGAAGCGGGGAGAACGTCCAATGATCAGCGTCTACAATCATGTTACTGTACCGACAAAGCATGGCTGCCAAGAACCTACGCTGCCGATTTCATTTCCAGTAGAATCAGCCTCTGCTTCTAAAAGACTGACTCCTATCCCTTGAGCAGCAGCTTTGATGGCAGCGCTGACAGCGCGCATGGGACTTGCGACGAAATCCTTGTTGTCAAGCTCTTCATTGAGCTCTTCATTGAGATCGAAGTCATGGCTGGGACAGCACCACGATGGCCGAATGGAGTCTTGGTGGCCCAATGATACTCTGAAGACGGTACGGCATTGTTTTTGTCCTTGCAATGCAGGCGAAGTGACGATTCGAAGAGGCCACCAATCCTCGTCGATGTGCTGTTCGACGCCTACGAATAAGCTTTGCACCAGCTTGCCCAAAGCTGCGCGTGTGGTGAAGGTGGTGACAAGCATCTGAAGTGCACTAGGGCGGGTGATACGAATGTGCTTGTAGAGCTCCACAATCACAATGTTGTAGAAGTCGCAAGAGACAAGAGCCAAGCTCAGCGCTGTGCTCTTGTCAACTGTTGTCGGTGAGGCATCTCGACGCGCTCGACAGCGGATTGGTGGAAGACGGCAGGCAAGCTGAGTAATGTACGTCTTGAGCTCAGAAGGAAGCGTTTCAAAGCCGCTTAGGCTAGTCAGCTTTCGATCCCATGGTGAAGTGTGTGCTGAGCTCATTGTGACGGGCGGCTGCGTGATGCACGCACCAAAGCGGAGGCTGGAGTATGGTACGTTGAGTAGCCAAGGATTCTGGCAAGGACGGCGTGAGACCGCGCCTCCCCTTTGCGAAGCGCAGTCTAGTTGCCCGTAGTTGGAAGGTATGAGGCGCCTAGTCTATAAGGAAGGATACCAAAGATGGAAGGAAGTCAAGAAGCTCAAGCCGCTTTCCTCGAAGAAGGGGCGGAAGTGGAGCGGCCCGCTCGGCGCGACGTGATGAAGCCATCAAGCGGCCGCTCGGACCCCTCACAGCTGAGAGGTTCGAGCATCGCATCGAGCCGTTCGTCCTCAATGAGCGCTTTAGCTTGATGTATTTCAAAGTTTCTGCAGAGACAGAGCGGACATGCTGAAGCTGGACGGTCCTGTTCACCGCAACCCGCACTTGGGCTCACTCGCTCTTCTATGCTCAGCGCAGTCCCATCGTGCGCGTGACGATCGTGCGCGTGACCAGCTTCAGCGCATTCTCTTGCCGCCATCTCTCCTTTCCGTCATCTACTGTATTTCATATCGCTCACTGCTTCAATCCCTGCTCTGCTTGGTTTGACTTGGCCGTATTGATCTGATCTCGACGCCACATCAAACCTCAAGCCGCCGGTTCATGCATGTTGAACGAAGCGAGTGAAGCGGCGCAGAATAGTCCGAGGCGGTCGAGCTGGATTCAGAGGTTGCTCTTTCTGACATCGGTCTTGCTCTAGGTAAACGATCATGGCCCAGCTTGATTCAAAAGACGGGCACATTCCAAAATAGCTAGCCCAGCGCTTCATGTTCCCACCACTCCTTTCCCTCGTCATACAATGCCACCCAGGCATCGCTCGTACCGCCCCAAATCCTCTTTGAGCGATTCGCCTTGGTAGACGCATGACTATGCACGAGTCTCAAGCGGTGAGGAACATTTGGTAGCTCCTTGCCCCGCTGCCAAGCCAATTGTATCTCTTTTGAGGGAGCGCTGTCCAGCATTGCTGTCAAGTCATCTCGATGGAGCGCAATTTCGAAATTGAGCGGCTTCTCCGACGCATACGGTCGGTAGCTGTGCTCGAGGCGTCTGAGTCGGTATCAAGGCAAGGTGACTCAAATAGAGGGCCTTCGGCAGGAAGGTCCACGCTACATTTTTGGCACTACCGAAGCCTGGCTCGACGCTCCTTTTGGGCCTCGGCTTCTGCCACCGTGACTTCAAGTCCCTTCGGGAGGGGGACGGGGCTGATTGCCCAACTGCCCGCCGCATCTTGAGAGGGTACCCTTCTCACACAGAATCATCGCTCTGCGACCAAGGCTACATGCATTTATGTCTTTCTCACTGCGCTTGTCACTGATAGCTCTTCTCTCTTCTGCCTTGCAAGCTGAAAGGTTGCCGGGGTTCTGTCGCTGCACACAAGGCAAGCACGCACAGAAACTTGCCCATTTCCTCGCCGCCTTCTACGGTAAGACACCGTCTGGTTGAGTTCTACCTCCCGTTTCAGCCCCATTCCCCTCTGCGGCTCAGGTGACCCACTTCGTCAAGCGAGCCTCCTCCTCCCACCAATCTTTTCCCTCCTCATATAAGGCACACCATGCTTCGCTTGTCCATCCCCAACCACGTCCGTAGGTTCTCTGCTGTGCCGCAGCTCCCTTGATCAGCCGCAGACGACGCGGCGCATCGGCCAAGGGCTGGCCTTCCAGCCAGGCTGTGCGAACGTCGGGGTCGGGCGCTTGACGCAAGAGCTCCTCCACGTCATCAGGGTGCAACTTGACCTCAATAAGGGCTGAGGGGCGCGAACCTTCGCAGGCGCTATCTGCCGACTCTGCGCTGCTGACTGCTTGATTCTCTTGCTGGGCTGCTTTGCTAACGGAGTCTGCACCAATTGCAGTCATCGCTTCGCTCTTGCGACGTTTCAGCAAACAGTCAATGGTATCGCTGAGGCTGGAGAACATAAATGACGATGGCTAGTCAGTTTCAGCGCTCTCATTCGCAACTCATCCGGTCTCCGACGCACCTGATCGAGTGCTTCTCGTCAAAACGGCCTGCCATGCTCCACTCCATCTTGGTCAAAAAGGGAAAATCTCCTGCTATCGACTTCGCTTCCTTTTCTCGCAGCATGACTCCACAGATCCGTAGGTTCTCGACTCGACTTATCACAGGGCCGGCAAGAGTCATTGGCGCGTACCAGTAGGGTGGAGGAGGACCAAGGCTGAGCGAGCGTAGATCCTTGAGCTCCGTACAGAAGCGCTCTCCGCAGAGTGCGCGCTCAAGAAAGCCCGTCAGGGAAAGATTTTGTAACCTTGCGGTGCAGCAGAGCACGATGCGTGCCAAGTTGAGGATTGAGCCAAGTGTTTGCGTCCTGCCAATTGCCGGATCAAGGGCGAGATCAAAGTCTGCGCGGAGAGCATCCGGACCGCGTCCGTCAACGCCTTGGAGGGTGAACAGATCCGCGAAGTCCTCAGACTCATACTCGACGATGTCGAAGGGAAAATCGCGAATGTCATGGGGGTCAAAGCCATCGTCTTGATCAGCGACGTCACCTCCTGCCCTACTAGGGCCATCGAGTACGAACATTTCGACCCCAGAGCGTGACCACAGGTAAGGATGGTCAAAGCGATCAGTCAAGGCACCCGGTCTTGCGAGGTGCTGAAGAAGCTGCGAGTAGCGGATTACGAATGCTTGATCCTCGTCGTACAGGTATGGCTTGGGATTCTGAGCGACGCCGTCCAATCGCAGAGGAGGATAGTGGAGGCATTCTACGGCGTTGCACTTCTTCAGGGTCGGCTTTGCGTCGGCCATGCTCTCGAGACGGCCGATCTCCATCAGATAGAGGTCCAAACCCGCCTGGGCCTCGAATACGCGCGTCGTCCATTCGGGCTAAACGGGTGAAAGGAAGATGCAGCGTCAACCAGAGCACCACGCCGCTGAATGACACGCCTATGACGCTCACTGGGTCAACAATTTCCCCCGACAAGGTCTCGCCCTGACGTTGCAAGTCAACGTCAAGCGCTTCCTGCAACACCCTGAGGGCCTGTGAGACTGCCCGAGATTGGCAATCTTCCTCTTCCACATCCGGATCCAAGCACCATCTCCATATCTTCTCACATGCGCTGGGCAGACGAGGCAGATCCTCAGAGTGTGCGATATAGTAGCAAGGAGGCAGTCCATTCAACCAGGGTCTTTCGGGATCATGGGGCCACTCGACTTCCTTGAGCGGATGCCAGCGTCTCGACAATTCCCCGTCAGGTCCGACGTGCAAGCTCCGGACTAGGCGACCCAGCGCTGGTCGAGAAGTCAATGCTGATGCGAAAGAAGCGAGCGCGCTTGGCCTGCTAAGACGGACGTGTTGATACAGTATGCCAACCACGCGTGGGTACAATTTACGAGATACCAACGCAAGAGAGCGTGTAGTTGCCATGTCGAGGTCGAGGGGGCGGAATCCAATTTGCTCTTGTCTGCCCTTTACGTGTGAAGGAAGCCTGCATGCCAAAATGATGATGTGGATCTGAATCTCCTGCGGGAGGCGTACAAAGATCGCTAGGGAGCCTCTGAGATTCTCACTCTCTCGTCTGGCAAGCTTGCTCGCCCTGCCGCTGCGTGTGTCATCGTCGTGCTGCCCCTCAGCCCGTCTGCGCTGCTTCTTGGGGCGCATGCTGCGAGAGAGCGGGGGCGTTGCCGTTACGATGAGTTGTGATTAAGACGACGAGGAGAACAACACGCCAGAGCAAAAAGTGCATGCGAGTGGTAAGGAGGAAAGGAACACAAGCTGCGGTGCAGCCGATGCGCGTCAAGTCGAGAATCGCAGCGGACGGAAGTGGCGGACGGCCTGTGTGTTGGGGTGGGAGCTATGTGGGTGGGAGCTACGGGAGAAACACGCAGCGTGCAAGATAAACAGCCAGAGAGCCCGTTCTCTCATCATTCCGACTCTCAAGTCAACAAGACATGAATGAGTGACCCAGCGGGCCGGTAGCGACAAAAGACGGGCCGATACTGTAACACCACTGCTGAAGCACAGCTCGCGGGCTCTCCTGCCCTGCTCTTCTTTCTGCCCTAATCTTCAGTCTTGCCCCGACACGACGCCGCAGCTGCTGCTCAGTCCCAATGCCAAGAATTGTCTTGCTTCGTCGACCCGCTTTTCACGTCGGCTTCGCCTCGTCTTCCCACCACTCTCTCCCCTCCTCGTACAATGCCTTCCATGCGCCAGTCGTGAATCCCAACCCTCTGAAGCTGGTACCCTTTCCTGCCGCTTTTCCACGCACAAGCTTCAGGCGACGAGAGGCATCGGACAGTGGTCTACCCTCAGTCCAGGCAGTACGCATATCGGACGTTGGCGCCGTGTTGAGTACCGATTCGAGATCGCGACGATGTAGCCTGATCTCGATGAGAGGTAACGCGTCATCGTCCCGGCTCATGCTGCTCATGGGCGATGAGCTGCTATCGACTACTGCGCTGCTTGAACTGCCTGTATGCTGTTCTTCTGCGGATTCGGAGCCTACGACAGCCCTGTCAGGGTTCGCAGAATCCTGGACCTCTTTGCTGCGGCGATTGAGAAGCCGATTGATCGTATCAGTCAGGCTAAAGAGCATCGAGAGCACGAGGTGGAAGCCTGTCAGTGCTGCAGGACACGCCGCCATGCTCAGCCGTCACTTTGTCTCTCTCTCACCTGATCGAATGCTTTTGATCAAACTTCCCAGCCATACTCCACTGCATCCGCCTGAGCAAGGGAAGTCCATTCTCAATTGCGTCCACTTCCTCTTCTAAAAGCATAACTCCACAGATCCTCAAGTTCTCGACCGTCAAGAGGCAACCTCTATCAAGTGTCATTGGAGCATGCCAGAAAGGAGGTGGTGGGCCGATGGAAAGGGAACGAAGGTCTTTGAGCTCGGCGCCGGTGCGGAGGCCCGTCACTGCCCGCTCTAGGAAGCCTGTGAGTGACAGGTTGCGCAGCCTCGGCGTTGCGACGAGCACGAAGCGAGTGAGAGAAAGCAGGGAGCCCAGGGTGGCGGTGCTGTTGAGAGCGGGGTCAAGACCATCATCAAGGGCAGGAGTAGTGGCTGGCAGTCGGTCGGGTGAGAATTGGTCCGCATAGTCTTCGGCGTCCTCTTCAAGAAGGGAAAAGTCGATGTCCCGGAGCTCATACGGGTCGTACTGGCCCAGGGAGTCGCTGTCCTCTCCCGCTCGTCCAGGGCCGGCAAGGACGAACATACCGCAGGAAGAGCGGGCGAATAGGAGAGGGTGATCGAATCTGTCTGTGTAGCTTTTGTGACGCGAAAGGTGGCGGAGGAGCTGCGATCGATGAAGGACAAAGGTTCTCCGAGTGATCTTGGATCTACTGGTAGAGGCGTCGTCGTAGCCATTCAGGATCAGACGTGGGTAGTGGCCACACTCGACTCCTTTGCCGGTCTTGGTGGATGATGTTGGCTGGCCGAGGTCCTGAAGTCGACGGAGCTCTAGGAGGTAAAGATCGAGCACTGCCTGAGCTTCGAAGATGCGAAGGGTCCACTCGTCCTTTGCGGTCGATGGAAAAAGCAAAGAGGAGCGTGAGCAGCCAGCGATGGTACAGTAGGACTGAGCGCTGGTACTCACAGGATGAAGCAGCTCCCCTGACATCGCATATCCCTCCCTCATCAAGTTGACATCGATCACTTCCTGAGCGACGCCGAGAATACTATGCACAGCTTGATCTTGACAGGAACCACGAGCCGTATCCAGGGTGTATGACCACGAGCAGTCCTTAGGCTGCTTCGAGGTTTCGTGATCGACCAGAGAATGGCTAAAGCGGGTTTCAGGAGGTGGGGGCGAGTCGCCTTCCCATGATCCCCACGAGTCGGGGTCCTCGAAACTTATCTCTTCAATCGGATGCCATTCCTCTGGCAACTCATCATCTGGCCCGACATGTAAGCTCCGTATCACCCTGCCGAGGGCCGGGCGAGAAGTCAAGGTGGCGGCTAGGAGTGCAAGAGTTGTAGGTCGAACGATTCGAATCCTCCGATAGAGAAGCACGGTTACGTGGGGATGAAGCTCCCGTGAGACTAAGCTCAGGGACAGAGTAGTCTGGATGTCGAGCAACGGCTCATTGCAGGTTGCGCGGTAGAACATGTCGTCGGACGAAGGCGTCTCACAGGCATAGTTGATGATGGTCACTTGAAGCTCGTGAGGAAGATCCGCGAAGCCGGCGAGGGAAAGTGACGACGGCGCATCTCGCTTTGTCTTCTTCTGCGACTTGCTGTTCTCACCCTCGGTAGCCTCACTGCGCTTGGTTTTGTTCATGGCGGCAGCTCTGCTGAAAAGCGTTGATGGTCGAACAGCTTGTGGAGATGAGAGAAAGAAGGTGAAGCTGCGCATCCATTCCGGCTCAAGTCGATCTCGCGCCGCGTGTGAGCGGAAGTGGCTCACGCTGTGGATTCGCAAGACAAGGCGAGGCGGACAGAGATCAACTCAATGTATCCAGCAGAATCATCACCCTGTTCGTCAAGCTCACGAGGTTGGATTGAACATCCGACAGACAAGATTGGGCGAGCGAGTGTGCAACATGAATGAGGACACGCGCTCCTAAGGAGTCAAGCGTAGGTAGAACTGCTTCTCCGCGAGGGCAAGGGCAAGTGCTGTGGTTGCATTCAGGTTGAGGGCCCAGGAGTGGCGAAAGGGCACAGGTTGGGGTGCGTTTCCGTGTGCGGTTCTCTGCATGCCAGCTCGATGATTCGCATCTGAAGCTCTGACGGGAGACCATGAAAAGGCCGAAGTGAAGAAGGTCACGACGTCGAAGAGTTCGATGAGGTTGGGCTGGCGGCACCTGCCTTTGCCCTCTTTCTCGCTTGAGCGCCGTTATGCTCAGTCTCAGCATCGTCAACGCTGCGCCCCTCAGTCTTTGCCATGACGGTGTGATAAGGCTGAGGCTCCGGGAAAGGGAGAGGCGGGTACGGTAGGAGGTAAAGGAAGTTGTTCGCTTCATCCCACTTGAGGGCCCTCGCTCCGCTCGCGCGTTGCAGCCGGAAACGGCGGTACGGCCCGCTTGTACTGTAGCTGGCATATGACTTGCGACCTGCCACTCTTACTCCTTCGTCATCTCTTTTAGGCTCCGCCTGCTCTGCGACTCGACTCAATCTGAGTAAAGGACAATGAACGACGTCAAGTCAAGATTTGAAGAGAAGGCGGCTCGAAAGCACAATGCGCATGCGGCGCAGCCCTGACAACCTTTGCTTGCCTGATGCCCTAACCCACCACACCAGGCAAGGATTGAGGGAAGGAAGGAAGTCATGCGAGCAACCGAGCGATCGAGCAAGGAAGCGCGGTCGGAAATTGGGATGACATGCCTCACGGGCCCACGCGCTGCTGCACTTCTGTCCTTTGGCGACCTGCACCCCTTCGATTGGGCACCGTATGAGCAGAACATTGTGAGGACCGTGTGGGGAAGGAGTGAGCAGTCACGGCGAAGAAGCAGAGGCAGCGGCGTGGCAGTGAGTGGAGGTACTGCTCGTGGGGCCCTGCGGTAAGGACCTCTCTGTAATGTGAAGCACGTCAATTCAAAGTGATGATTCAAAAGGGAGGAAGCTGAAGGAGATACAGACTCGAGCTCAAGAGACCAGATAGGGGCAAAGAAGGGGTCTGAGCGCAAGCTAGTCTAGCCGAACCAAAGCTCAACACTCTCCTCTTTCTTGGAGTGCGGCAGCGTGAAGACGCTAGATAGGTCCGTGAGTCAGTCGTGGGAACAGGGGAGCGAGGCAATCAACGAGTTATGAGCGACAGAAGAGTGGCGCCTTCGCCTTCGCATCAATCGCTAAGGCTTCTCCTTACTGGCTCTGCTTACTCCGCCTTTGTCTCCTCTTCTGCAACACGTTGTTGGCCGCCACCATCAGAGGCCCACCCTCCCCACCCTCCTCGTGCTCTTCTTTCACTTCCTCCACCAGTCGAGCAGCGCAGTACAAAGCGCAGTCCCTCCACCACTCGTCGGTCTGCTGAAAATGAGCCCTCTCGTTTTCAACAGGCTGAGTAGGATAGTAATCCTGCCTCCACGCTCGACTCTCCGACAAGCGAAGGCGGTGAAGTGTACCGCTCAAGGGCAGACCTTGCGTCCAAGCTGCACGCAAATCTGGTCGAATGCTCTTCTCGAGCACCTCGTCCCGCATTGATGGCGCCAGTCGAACTTCTATCTGGCGAGGAGCTATGAGCTTTGCTTTATCTGTGAGCCACCGAGCGTCAGCGACGGCAGAGACTTGGGTTAGTGGTCTCATCGGGTCTCTCGGCACGGTACCCTGTAGAGCGCAAATGACGTCTAAAAGTCTGAGATGCAAGTGGTGCACGCAGACCAAGAGAAGTGTAGGGACTATATCAGCAACAAACTGCAGAGCGCTGGTAGACGAAGATGCTCACTCCCCTGTCCAATGACTAGAGCCTGTGTCCCATTCAACTTCTCGCAAGTCCAACAGCTCACCGCGCAGTCCGGCAATGCGGTGGGCTGCACCGCGCTCCACGAATCCATCGCAAATGCGCAGACGTTCCAGTCTTGGCATGGCTTCGCAGGACAGATCTGATACTACATCGCTGTAAGAAGGTGTCAGGGGTCCGAGGGAGAGGCAGCGTAGAGCTCCTAGAAGGGGGCTATTCCGCTTGATGGGGCGTGCAAGAAACCCTGTAAGGGATAACGTGGAAATTTGCGGCGTCCTTTCGAGGACAGCACGACAGGCAGCGAGCAGTCCTGGGAAAACGGCCGGGTTGGGTACCTTGCTTCCATCGCTAGCCAGCGCCAGCCCTGACGGCCCAGGCAGTACATTACGGTCCTGCTCAATGCCTGAGTTACCATAGTCTCATTCCGCCTGCTCCGGCGGCTCGTACTCATGGTAGTCTCGACAGATCCTGCAGAAGTACTCATAGAAGATCGACTCAGGGTAAAACTCCTCATAGTAACTGCTGTCATGGTCCGAGATGACGCCAGGTTGATCGTCGTTCATAGCGAGCTTTTTCATGCCCGCACGAGCGTAGAAAAGAGGATGATCGAAGTGGTCCCCAATATCTCCGGATCTCCTCAAAGGACGATCGAGTTGTACGAGGGTGAGGTCCAAGACGCCGTCCTTGCTGATGGTCGTCGCCGTCTCGATGGGAGGCAGAGTCGGCATCTCCGTGTGATGGCCTGTGTTCCAAGCTTCGCTCCTCATCTGGTCTTCCTCTTCGCAACTCTTGGGCTTCTTCGACTTAACAGGAGCCGGTGTAGTCTTGATCGGCTGCTTTTCGACCTCGAGGCGAGGGTAATGACCACAAACGCCAGCGCGACACTTTGACGGCAGCCTGGGCTTAGGCGACTCAAAATCCCAATAGCGTAGCTTGTACCCTCTCGTCTCGTCCAGTCGTTTCATTTCGATGAGGTAAAGGTCGAGTGCTTCTTGCAGCTGGAAGATTCGAATGGTCCACTCGGCGATGTCTAAGGCTGTGCCTTGCAAGTCGCAGAAATGCCTATCTCTGTCGACATTGATAGCCTCGATAGCGGCCTGAAGCGCCCGAGCCACTGAGCAAGTCTGGCAATCACGAATCTTCCTGAGATCGCAAGGGAATGCACGGCCCGGAAAACAGCATTCCGGAAGAAGACGCTGCGGCAGCGATGTCGCGATCGTCAGGACGTCATCATCGAGCTCCTCTTCCGTCTCCTCGTCCACCCACGTGAAGGGAAGCGGCCAATACGTTTCGTCCATCTTGCCGCGTGGGCCTATATGCAGGCTTTTCACCAGCTCGCCGCGGTCAGGACGCAGTCTCAACGCTGCATAGAAGCCAAAGAGCAGACTAGGAGTGTCGAGCTTGACGTGCGTGTAGAGGAGAGGAGTCAAAGATGCGTTGAAGTGCTTAGACACGAGCGCAAGTTTGGCCACGGTGCCGACCTCGAGATTGGTGTGCCAGCTTGTGTGCGATGCTGCAGACGGAAGATTCGTTGGCCGAGATGGCGTGGAGGCAGCCGCGCTGTGCTGGTGGTACGGAGAAGAGGACGGAGAAGGAGCGCTGCATGCCAACTGGAGGATGGAAGACCTCAGCTCCTCTGGCAGATGCCAGAACCTGGTAGCTGAGTTTGTGTCGCCCTTTGCTTGCTTGATGCTACGCGCCACTAGGACGGGCGAGCTGCTCCTGCGTCGATGCTTGTTAATCATCGATGCGACCCAGTGCGGGTGAGGAAGGCAGCAAAGTGCTGAGACGTGGCACACGAGGTGTGGGAGTGTGTTGCAGAGGAAGGAACGAAATGCAAAGAGTGGTGACAAAGAAAGAGCGACGTCTTGCCCAGGCGGAAGTGGCGCGGACCGTCGAGCGCGTCGACTCCCGAGCCGTCGGCCCGTCAGCGAGCGGCTCACCCTCTGCCGCCCTTACTCAGAGGGCTTTCAACACCGCCGTCTATCTGCCTCAACTCTTGTGGGCCTCCACCTCACACTCTAAGGCACGATCGTCCCACCAAGTATCGCTGTCGCGCTGATGAGCTTGCGACTTTTCATGAGATTCCCAGCCTCGGCGAGCGGCACGACTCTTCCTCAATCGCAGGCGATGAGGCGCATCGCTGACCTCTGAGCCTGTTCGCCACGCAGCGCGGATCTCCGGCGTGTGCGCAGACGTGAGCAGCCTGTCCAGCATCCTTCTCCCAAGACGCAGCTCAATGTAGCGCTGCGTGACTGTGGTTGGGTCTTGAGCCGTAGAAGTGGGCTCTGCATCACTCAACCTCTCCGCGCTTGCAGTCGCCTCCTCCTCATCACTTCCCGCTCCCAGATGCGTGAGGCGTCCCTGCAGCACGTCGACCATCTTGAGGACGTGAGAGTAGATCAGGCTGTGAGAATGGAAACACGCAGGGCTGTCAGCTTGAGAGGAGTCAACCATTCGCCTAGGAGCCCGCCGCTATGGGAGGCTCTACGCACTCATGATCCGCATAAGTTATGCCAGAGTCGCAATGGAATTCACGCAGCCGAAGGAAAGCTCCCAAATGTCCTGCAATTCTCCGTTCCATGTAGTACTCCATACGCATCCCACATAGGCGCAGTTTTTCGAGATTGGGCACGCTGTTGGAGGCGAGGTCTGGCATGTCGCGATAGGAGGCTGAACTGGGTCCGATGCAAAGGAATCGCAGCGTTGTGAGTGGCGGCGCGTTGGAGTAGAGCGGCCGAGCAAGAAATCCAGTGAGCGACAGATTGACGAGCTGAGATGTCGCCATGAGGACATTTCGGCAGATTGCGAGAAGGCCAGGGAATATCGCAGGGTCTGGCTCGTTGCTCGCAGCCTTCAAGCCCGATAAAGGCGGAGGCTTCTGCACACCGTGCATGAAGGTTACTTCGTTGCTCGGAATGCCATAATCCCAATCGTCGGGCTCCGTGTCGTGAAGCATTGGGCAATTCTCATCAGCACAAGGTTCCCCTATCTCTTCTCCCCCGTACATTTCAGCAAAACGCTCGCTGCCGTGATCAACGTAGACGGCGCCGAATTCGTCTATGGCCAGCCGCATGAGCCCGGTACGCGCATAGAAAACGGGGTGGTCGAAGTGATCGCCGCTCTCTCCTCTGCGACGGAGTGGTCGGTCTAGCTGGGCGAGGGTGAGGATGAGAGGTTTGACCTCCTCGTCATCATTCTCGCCGTCGCTGTCTTTGGTCGCGCTTTCTGGACCCCTCTTTTCCTCGCTGCTTGCGACTTCCCTCTGCTCCGACTCGGTGACGACAAGACGTGGATAGTGTCGACACTCTGAGTCGCTACATGTGACAGGCGAGTCGACTGCTGTGCTCTTCTGGTGACTTTCTTCCATCTCGTAACCTTTCATCCTGTCCACTCGCGCCATCTCGATGAGGTACAGATTGAGAGCTTCCTCCAGCTGGTACACTCGTACACATCGTTCTGCGACGTCCATCTGCGGCCTGGTGGGGGTGGGGTAAAAAAAATGCTTGTCGATGTCCAGTCCGACCGCTTCGAGGGTCGTGGTGAGGGCGCGAGCAACGCAGCGAGCGCGGCAGTCCTGAGCCCTTTCAACGCGGGTAGTAAAGGCTCTTCCAGGCGGACACCATGAAGGAAGAAGCTGTCTATCGATGAGTGACGTCCTAACGGCGTTGATTTGCTCTCTGTACCATTTCTTATCCTCCGCATTGAGGTATCCAAACTGTAGCGGCCAGTAGCTGCTGCGGGGTACCTCCCCGTGTGGTCCGATGTGTAGGCTGCGCACTAATTGACCATTTGACGGGCGGAGTTTCACCGACTGATAAAAGCTGACGAGCTCGGTAGGGCGATATAGCTTCACATGGGCGTATAACAATGGGTTGAAGTTCGTGTGAAAGTTGCGACAGACCAAGGCGAGGCGAGACGTTGTGAGAACATCGAGGCTGATTCTTTCGTGCCGACTTCTCCATGATGAGGACGAAGGCGATTGCAGGTCCTCCACAATCCCACGGGAAGGGTAAGAGGAAGGGGCAAACGGGAGAGCCCGGCACGCTAAGTCGAGGATGGAAGATCGAAGCTCCTCGGGTAGGTGCCAAAAGCCGGCGAGCGCAGACCCCTCTCCGCTCTTGGCATGCTTGATGGGCCTGTTCGAATCATCGAGGCTGAGTGAGTGTTTACTACCAGTGGGCATCGCGGATAAAGCAGAGCTTCACACCGCCGCAGTCGTCGAAGGATGATGCCACATTCGCCGAGTGAGGCGAGAATAGAGTGAGAGATTGATCGGAAGGAAGGAAAGTCAACTTCAGTCCGAGATCGCTCGAGACGTGGAGGCGGCGGAGTCTGAACGAGCTGCAGCACGAGCCGCCGGCAATTGACGAGGCAGGGCGAGCTATTCCAGTTCGCCGTGAGGAAGGGAAGTGGTGGACAAGAGAGATGATTTGGCAGTTCCACAGAGGAGCAAAGCGAAGCGGCATTGTCGTCAAAGCTGCAAGCATCATCTCGGATATCTGTCTCGGCATAATCGTGCTCCAACACTACACTGAGCAAGCGGGAGTAGTCTGCCTGGTCTCACTAAGCCCACAAAGTGCTTTTGCATCCTAGCGCAATGCTATTGTTCGGCGCCAGCTACTTTTGCGTCCTGATTTCGGGACCCCGCTTTTCACTCGCTGGTAAGCCTCGTAAGCTCAAATCATGGCTTCTCTGGAGGCTTACGCTGACTGGAGCACGTAGCCGGAAAGTAGCAAGCAGAGGGGCTTGCGTAGCAGAGTGAGGTTGAGGAAGTGCCGTTGCAGAGAGGTTTGCATTTGAAAAGCAGTGAGATGCGAAGTTTCATTTGGCGTGCGTAAGATGTCAGCGGAAGAAAGAAGCGGCAGGGAATGAAAGATGTACGGCAGAGGCGACCGAGCCAGCCTCTCGAGTGCAGGCTCACCATTCGCCACTTCCGTGCCTGAACGCGACTTTCACTCTTATGTTTCTAACTTTTCCTGCATCTCCACCCAGTGCCACGCTCAGTCGTAGCACGTAGGCCACTTCTCTGTACGCCGCCGCCATTCGTCGTCCCCTATCGATCATGATCACGAGGTCCAAGCATCGGCTCAGCCTTCCCTCTGCTGATAGCGAGCAGCACGCCGCCAAGCAAGCAAAGAGAGCTGTCGGCCCGGCAAGCTTCTGGCACCTATCAACAGAGCTCAGGAGCGCATCTTCAATCTCGTCTGTCACTCACCGCCTTCCTCTGCTCGCCCTCAAAAGGACCATGATGATCTCACCTTCGCATTGGGCGTGAATCACTATCCATCCTCCTCATCAAGGCGCAGCAACGACTCGACGATCAGCCTCGACCTGACCATAGTCCGTCGTCTCGTACTCGTCATCCGCAGCTTCCACAGCCATTTCAGCCCACTTCTATACGCCAGCGTCAAGCTGCACCGCCCAACACAGCTAGTTGCCTTTCATCAATCGCTTACGCTGCGTCCCGCGTATGGTCAGCTCGTGCAAAATCTACACATCGGTCCACACGACCAATTGGAGACAGAGACCTCATGGCCCTTGACATACGATCACTCATGGTCCGGGCGCCCTAAGTACGCTGTCAAGACGTCGCTCTGTGACGAAGCTCTCTTGCCAACCTGGTGTCCACCAGAGGAAGCATTCGTGAAAGAGACATCACGAGCTCAAGATTGTAGAGCCCGCAGCGTTGCTCAAGCGCTTCAGGATGCAATAAAGGCGATCAATGTGAACCCGGATCGACGATTTAGAGACAGCAAGAAGAACCACATCAAAATTTCGGTCTGGACGATTCGCATTCTACATGCTGCAAGAAGCTCTCAATCTCTACCTCCTAGAGATGGCGCAGATTGAAAGGATCAAGAGGTACGAGGTTCCTGATTGGCGAAGCGAAGCCGTGCAAGACGAATGCCCTTCTGAATGTCGCGAGGGAATTTGCGGCCACTATCCTCGTGTCTTCCCAGCAAAAACAGGGTCAAAGAAAGCAAAAGAGGGCCCAGACGAGCAGCCCACGATGCAATCCGCGCTCGATTCCATCAATACTGGTATCTTCCGACTCCATATGGCACAGCTGGATCGGCCTCTTCGCCGCAAGGGTGAGCGTGGTGATCACTTCGATCATCCCCTCTTCTATGCCCGCACAGGCCTCTGCAAGCTTGGAATCAATGACGACAACGCCATCTTCGTCGACTACGGAGCCAATTGCTTTGACAAGCTCTACGGCGACAGCGACATCAGCCACTACTGTCGCCGATGCGACGACTATCACTGGACTGAGCCCGACGACTGGGACTATGGCATCCAGGGCGGGTACGGTCTGAGCCAGAACTACGGTGAATGCCCTTCAAAATGCAAGCGTCGTGCGCTATCGGGCTTGAGGACGACAAGCGATGGAGGCAGCTCGCCTGATCCTGCTGTCTTTCCAGGCCTTCTCGCTCTTTGCCGCGCAGTCCTTGTTGCGACGCCCCGAGTGACAAACTTGTCATTCACAGGGTATCTGGATCGTCCACTAAAGCACAATCCTTCTACGCTTACTTCGCTGCGCTCCCTTTGTCTTGGACCCCACCATGCAGACTCCAGACACGTGCGCAATGTGCTGGCGAGCTGTATGCCCAGACTTGAAAAGCTGCGCATATCCGCCATCGACGTCGGTGATGCCCTTATGAAGAGCGTTGCAGGGCAGCAGAGCGATTTTCCGCTCCTGCAAGAGTTTCAGTGGGACACAGCACGCGAACGATCGCTCGACAGGTAGGTAGACAGCGCATTGGTCACCCGCTTCACCTCGTAGGGAACAAGATCAGAGAGTTGACTCACAAGCTGGGCCCTTTTTCAGGTCATATTCATGGAACTTCCTGAACACCATCGATATACTACAGGGACGTATCGCCAGCAGACCTCACAGAATTGGCGAGAACACCCTCTCCACTCCCTACAAGCCTGAAGGCCTGGCATTTATTCAACCTCGCTACATCGAACTTCGTCTTGGCCGGGAGCTTCGAGAAAAGGTGCTTGAGCAAGCGAGCACGTCGGAGATGCGCTCTGCATGGACGAAGGGGCTGGCCGTAGGCGATGCGCCTCACCGGGTATGCATTGCTGAGAGTCGGGCTGCATACACGTCTACGTGGTCTTACTTCACCCAAGAAGACATCAAAGCCCATCATCGCGAGGACGAAGCGTGGTGGAAGGCTCGTGCGCTTGAATACAGCAGAATCACAAAGCAGGACCATGGCCAGCCTGGGGATGAAGTCGTGATCTGAGGCGGAAGCTTGGGCGAGAACCACGGAGGCACATGGACGGAGGTAGAAAGAGGTCTCGCTTCAGTGGCAGCAAGGATCCAAGGCTTGCGATGGCGCTCACCATCATCGGCAACGCACACGGCTCTTTCAGACCACAGACGTCTGCAGCCGGAGAAAGCAAGGAGAGCGCATTTGACTAGAGTTTCATCGTATCAATGAGCAGATCATTTCCATCTGCCTGCCCTTCGGTGGTCGTAATTCATCGTCCCTAGATACCTTCGCCTGCTTGGCTGCGCGTCCGACCACGCTCCCAAAGTCAGGCGCGAGACTGAGGCTGAGTCCGATGCCTGGATCGTGTGATCGCGGCATGCAAACCGGTCAGCCGTAGCGGCGCTGACGAGCAGGATGTTGAAAGCTCAATGTTCATTCGATTGGTCGCTGAGGCAGAGCAGATGTCACGAGAAGGCATGAAGGAAAGAAGCGGGAGAGGCATTTTGGTCCGCCCTCGCTTATGGCACGGAAGGGCGCGACGCGGGGCGGCGGCCCTTCAACGATTGATTGAGCGCGATATAGTGGCTGGTCGGGAGCTACGACACGCGACTCGCGTGCGAGCCAGATCGTCTTTTCTGCTTTTCATCCTCAGATGCATGTTTCTTCTGTTCTGTTAATGAAGTCGGAGACCCCCTCATTCGCAGGGCATCCCTGTACTGAGTCAACCCCAATGCGCACCCTCTCCGCGCTTGAGTCGAGGACGGCCTCCTCACACCGCGGTCTCAGGCGAGAGGAAAGATTGCGCCTCGTCTTTGACCAAGCTGCGCGTTTCGGCCTACCCTGGCAAGCAGCTGCTCGACGATCATAGCTGGCAGCCGATTTTGGATGAGATTGACACGATAGCATGAGGACAAACAAGTGCGGCTGCTTGCCGTTGGACAGACCTGTCCGCGACCGTTTCCTCGCACCTTTGCTCGACTCTGGGGTTTTGTTGCTACTCTCGCGCCCCTCTTCTTCCTCGACCTTCCCCGCCTCATTCACGCCTCCTCAGCACACGCTCTCCACCAGCGCTGAGTCTCTTCGTAGAGTATGTCAAAGCCTTGAACTGTTCCCTCTGCGCGACCGAGACGGGTTCCGCCCGCTTTACTCTCGACAAGTAGAATTCGATAAGGCTCGTTGTTGTATGGAATCCCCTGGAGCCACGCGGAGCGAGCCTCGGCGCTGGGCGCTTCACGACAAATCAGCTCGAGAGACTTGGCGGAGATGCGAAAGTGAAAGAGACAGGAAGATGAAGAGGACTGCTGCTGCTGCTGCTGCTGCGTTTGCATTTGCTGAGCGGAAGGGGAGGAGAATGACGCGCTAGAGCTGAGCTGCGCTCTACCTTTGAGCGCGTCGATGAAGCTTTTGAAGCTACGAGGACCGATTGAGCGTGAGAAAAGGTGCAATGACATTAGACTTTGTCTTTCTGTCGCGCGGTCGAGAGGAACGTTCAAGGCGAGCTTCTCACCGGTCCATGAAGAAACGTCGCCCCGAGTCCCACTGCATTTCCCGTAGCTGCGGCAGAAGCCTTCCTTCTTGCGCGACAATGTTATGCAATGGCCATCCTTCCGAGCCCTCGCCACAGACGCGCAGCTTTTGAAGGCTGGAGAAACGGGTGGAAGCGAACGTAGGCTGGTCTTCTGGCGCCTCTGTCCAAGGGCCCAATGAGAGGAAGCGCAGGGCCTGGAGGGGTGGAGAATTCCGCTTGAGGGGGCGGATCATACTGCCTGTGAGTGGGAGGTTGGTCATGTGGGGCATCGCCAGCAGTACTCCGCGGCACAAAGCAAGCAAGCCAGGAAGGGTGGTTGCATCGGGACACCCAGACTCTGTCAAGCCAGACGACCAGGCCATGTCGTCCTCCAGGCCGTAGTCCAAGTCTGTGGCTGGCGCGACGTGGTACTTGCCGCATCCTTCGCAGAAGAAGCGGTAGTACGACTCGTCGTGGTCATAAACTTGGAAATCGCCTTGGTAATTGATGGGGATGAAGAAGTGCTCGATGCTGCTTGAGACGAAGGTGAGTGAGGCAAACGACAGGCGAGCTTTAGCATGAATGACCTGAGCTCCTCGGGCAGACTACAAAGGAGGGAGAAGGGTGCTGTGCTTTGCGTTTCGACCCTTGCCCGCTTGGGTTGTTGTCTGTCTTCGCTGTTGGCAGAGCTCAGCCCATGCTTTGACCTCGTGAACATCTTGAGCGCTCTCAACCGTCGTGGCGCTCGGACAAAGGAATGAGGGCTTTGATGGATTCGGAGATAAAGGACGGAAAGAAAGTGCGCGAGCTCGGTCGCCCATCTCGCTCGCGAGAAGCGGAGCGGGCAAGACGGGAGTGGATGTGAAGTGACGAGCCGCTAGCGGCTCAGCCTCCTGGGACCCTCTCACCATCTTCAGCTTCCGTACTTGCGACATCTCGTAAAAACCACTCTCTTTCCTCTCGCTCATTGGACCTCCACGCTTGCCTCTGTTTACCGGTACCCCGTTGCAGCGAAGAGCGCGTCCGCAACGGCCCTTGTCTGGCAATCAGTCGCTGACAGCATCCAGCTGAAGTCTTGCTCTGGTGTACACCATTTCGGAAGCGGCAATCTCCTATTGGTCCCATCCAAGGAAGTCTTGATCCAGAGAAGAGGTCGGAGACATGCAGGATGCGCTTTTCCGTCCAGCGGCCACCATGTATCGCTGAGTGGCTCGATCGGTCCCAGATGTAAGCTCTTGATCAGCTTGCCATTGGTGGGCTGCAGGAATAGGCAGTTGTACAGAGCTGGCAGTACGTTTGGCCGGCTGATTCTGATCTGCTTGTACAAGAGGTCATCGAATTGCTTGTGAAAGTCGCGAGAGACGAGGGATAGTGAGAAGAGGACGGTTGTATCGTGGTTGTACGCGCTGATCCCGGCAGCGAGGCTGAGGATGAGATGGCGCAGCTCCTGAGGCAGGAGCCAGAAGTGGTGCAGATGAGCCTGAGGTAAATTGTCAACGGCACTGTCGCTCCTTGCAATCTCGACCACGCGATCAAGCCGATGAGACTCTTCGCTGTCGTCGTTCGCGTTGAAGCTGGAACAGCTGAGCCGATGCTTGGAGCGGGTCATCATGCTGGGCTGAGGGCAGCGCCAAGCGTAGGTTGATCCAAGCTAACGGCACGAGATGGGCCTGGGTCAGGCTGATGAAGCGTGAAAGGGAAATTGGAGAGGAAGGAGGAGGGAAAGAAGGCGCGACGCTCGCTCAGCGCACGAAGAAACAATGCGGCACGGAGATAGATTTCATTGAGCTCGCTCTGCTGCATGGAACCACCGTCGGCAAAGCTAGCTACGTAGCGATAGGTAGCGGGAGCCGCCGCCTCTCAGCTTCATCCTGGTTCACAAAGGTCAAAGAGTATTGTTCGTTGTTCAAAAATGTCTGCTCATCAGCTGGGCCTAAGAGACGGGTGCTTCAGATTTGGTTCTCCCACTTCGCCTCACGTTGCGTCTGTTCGTCACCTGCCGCTGTGCGATTGTTTCCTTCAATCTTTCCCTCCCCAAGCGTCTCCTTCTTTCCCCCCTCCTCCGTCTTTCGGCTCTCCTCAAGCGCCACCTCCATGGCTCTATCTTCCCACCATTGTACGCTTTGCTTGTAATGGGTTTGTGACCCGTCCTCCACAAGCCAGTCACCGTGATCCCACCAGTGTGGGCCAGCTACCTTGCTCCTGAGCAGCTTTATCCTGTGCAGTGAGTCCCCCAAAAGGGTCCCTGTGGAGAAAGCGGCATGGGCCTCAGGGGATTCGTCGAGGAGCTTCGCGAGAATGGCGGTAAGGTGGTCAGCATCGAGATGCAGCTCGATTGAGCGTGACGAGGGGGCAGTGTCAATGTTGTCCTTGTGGTCAGCCGACGTTGAAGTCGTGTTCCGCACAGAATCGCTCAGGACATCGCGCTTGTCTGCGCTACGCGGTCTCGTACGGCCAGCGAGGGCGTTGATGATCCGAAGTGTCTGGATGGATCTTGTCGGCGAGAAGGCTGAAGTGATCAGCCTTGCAGGTGCAAATGCGTTGCGTCCCGACTGCGAAGAAGAGACTCACTGATCATCATTATGAGGCTCGTCCAACTCCCAATGCGCTTCTCTCAGCCTAGGCAAAAGCCCCCCTAGCTGCCCTGCGATGCTCCACGCCATAGTCTCACCGGCATCTACTGCGCAAAGCCGCAAATACTCGACTTGAGGAAGGACCGTGTGCGTTGTCGAAAGGATATAGTCAAGCCAGTCGTCGTCTGAATCAGCAAGGGGTCCCAGGCTAAAAAATCGCAGCGAGGATAAACGTGGTTGTTGGAGGTCCCACAATGAGCGATGCAAGAAGCTTGTTAGGGACAAATTGGCGAGGCTGGGTACTGCGTCCAATACCGACTGCGCGAGTTTCAATATGCCGTTGATGGTGGTCTTGTCGAGCCCGTGCTCACAAAAGCTCGCTGTCGAAGCCGCCGACAGCGTGATGCACTTCTTGGTATCGAAGCGTCCATGTGGCCACTTGTTGTAGAGCTTCTCTTCGCCCCCACATTGGGCGCAATCGCAGTCGTCGTCGTCCTCTATGTCGCTATAGCACTCCTCGTGGCACGTCCAGTCGACAACGACTCGGCTTGGGGCGTCGACCGTAAGTAGATGGAGCTCTGAGCGCGCAATGATGAGGGGGTTGTGAAAATTGTCACTGGCCGCGCCAGGTCTAGCAAGGTGGCTGTTGAGTTGCGAAGGTGTGATGGTGAAGAATTCCTTTCGCGTCTTCTTGTTGCTGAATTGGCTGCTTTTGATGCGGACGCCCATGTCTCCCTTCCTGCTGTCGAGAGCGGTATTCAGACCTGATGCCGCTTGCTCCTTCTTCGTCTGGCGGTCCCTTCTGCTGCCTGCGATCAGCAATCGTGGGTAGTGACCACACTTGCCCTTCAGGCATTGCGCGGGAATATTTCCAGTCTGAGGAGTTTCGACTTTCCAAGATTCTACTGCATAGCCACGCGCATCTTCGATGTGTTTCATCTCCATGAGATACAGATCCAGAGCCGCCTGTACCTGAAATACCCTGATGGTCCATTCTTTCTTCAGAAGAAGGTTCATTCGATCTGGGTAAGCCACCACCTCCCGAGCTGCGCCACACGCTTCTTTGTACTCACGATATTCATCGAGACCTCACAACCGTTGTCAAGAGACCAGTCGTAGAGATAAACGTCGATCTGCTCCGTCGCCGCAGCTACAGCGTCGTGTACGGCCCTCTGCTCGCAGTCGGGGGCCTCTAGATGCCAATCCCATTCTCTCTCCGGCTTACACCATCGAGGTAAACGTGCGGCTTCGTCCTTCTGCGTCAATGAGGTTTTCAGGAGCGGCTCCTTTTCGTCGAGCGTGAAGACGTCTGCGAAACAGAAATCGTCGACTGGCCACCACTGGCACGGAAGATTTTGTACAGGGCCCATGTGCAAGGAGTGGACAAGCTCACCATTTTGCGGAGCGCTCTGCAAGGCGACTACGAAGCGCTCAAGACTACTGGGTCGATCGAGGCGGATGTTGCCGAACAGTAGAGGCTTGAATACAGCCTGGAAGTCTCTGCATACTGCAGAGAGGTTTGCCGTGGTCTGCAAGTCCAGGTAAAGACAAAGGCGCTGAAGTGAGCTGGAACAAGAAGCGGCGCATGCCAGGCTCAAAATGTAGGTACGGAGCTCCTCGGGCAGGATCCAGAAGTAGGAGAGGGAGGGGAGGGCGAATTTATAGCCGTCGAGATCGGGGCAGAGGAGATTAGCAATGCTTTTGGGATGCTTGGTGCAGCACTCTCCTGGAGCATGGCTGCCCCTGCTGAGCCGGCGCTTGCCGCGTTTGGTCATCTCTAGGCGGCCAGAGAGGGGGGAAGGGGGGGGGAGGGGTTGGCGGGGCAGCTGTGGCTGTGATGGCAGAGGAGGGCAAGAGAGATGATTGAGTGGGAAGAAGCAGAAGAGAGGAGCGCCACTCCTCCTCGAGATGGAGAGAGCGGCAGGACGACGCGGCACGGAAGTGCCGCGCCGCCAATATCTCGACGCCCTCATGCAGCAGCTCACGCAGCAGTCGAGCTCGTTCATCGCGTCAGGTATTGCTAGATGGTGAATCTTCCCTCTTTAGAGGATGACCATAGCTGAACAGCCAAGTACTGTACTTCGCTCTCCTGTGTAGCATACTGATCATGCGGCTCAGCGGCCCCTCAGCTCCCTTCTCTGCCTAATTGACGCGCTCCTCTGGCCAGAGATTGATTCGTCCCGCCTACTGCCCTTTCCCACCAGTGCTGTCAATCTCTACCGCCTTCTCTTCCCACCACCTGGCACTGTCCGCATAATAAGCCGTGACTTCTGCCTTCTCCGTCTGCCAGTCGAAAGCGTACGAAGTATTGATTCTGGAGCGGTGGCATTGCTCTTGACCTGCTTCGAGGCGCGCTCAGCCGTCGCGCTTGCTTCGGTGCCGCTGAGCCGATGCTTCGAGCGGGTGATCATGGTGGGATGCAAAGAGGAGAAGGCGCAGCAGAGATGACGGCGAGGAAAGGAAGAGAGAAAGATGCAAGCTGAAGGACGAGCGAGTCCACTTGAATGAGATGAACGGACGGACACGGCACGGAAGTGGCGGTCTGCTCATGAGCGAGAGCTACGGGGAGAACAAGCTGAAAGCGTTTCCAGCTGACTCAGATCGTCTTGTAGAACGATCGTCTCTTCACCACCAAGCATGAGGACCGAGCACAGCACGGCGGACACGGTCAGACCTCAAAGCGTATCAATTGGACCCGCCTCTTGTCTCGCCTTGCCTCAGTCTGCCTCTTCATCCCAAAGGACCTCCTCATCTGCCACCATTGCCTCTCCTTGCTCCTCGTCCTCAACCTGAGCCTTCACAGTATCCCACCATCTCGCCGCCTCTCGCCAGAACTGCACACTGCCTTGCATGTGCACGTCAACGTCTTCGTGAGGGTCGCGCCAGCTACAATCGCATGCATCGCGCCCTTTGCCCAAAGCGCGACTCTCAGTGAGTAGCAAGCGGTTGTGCCCGTTTCTGACAGGAAGCCCCTGCTGCCATGCCATTTGGATAGTGGGAGAAGCGGCATCCTCGAGGAATCCTTTGACAACGGACGGGTGTAGGCGAACGTGGATTAAACGCGAGTCGCGCTTCCCCGAAGTCGCACGGGCGTCAAAAGGCCCTCCTTGGCCGGCCTTCATCCCACTGACTCTCTTAATGATGCGCCTGGCACGTGATCTGCTGCCGCTACCCTGCAGCTTGTCGAGGATCCGCAAATGCCTCCTGTAGCAGTGAATCGGATCGAAAAGGCTTGACTCGTCAAGCTTCAAGGCTGCACTGATCTGCGGTGTTCCCATTGCTACTCACATCTCATCCCCATCGGTTTCATTGCCTGTATCCCACTGCACTTCTCTCAGGTGTGGCAGGGGATTGAGCTCTTTGTAGTCAGGAGGAAGACCAGCGATGGCGCTCGCCGTGCAAACGGTGAGCCGTTCGCCACAAAGTCGCAGTCGCTCGAGACGGGGCATATCGGCATATGCGAGTTCGTCCAACGAGTCCTCCTGAAAGTGAGTCATAGGCCCCACAGAGAGGCAGCGTAGTGAGTTGTGGTAGGGAAGCCCTTCTGACCAGATGGAGCGATGTAAGTACCCTGTGCATGAGAGGTTGACGATACCAGGCGTGAGCGCAAGCACTGAACGCGAGATGTCCAGCACGCCATTCAGCTTAAGATAGTCTTCCATGCCCTTGCCTCTAGCGCCCTTTTCGCGCGTCGGTGAAGAGCGCGGGGCAGAGCCACTCGCTTCCTCCTATTGGGAGCTGCTTTCACCTAGCGGAATGAGATACGGCGCCTCTGGACAGCCAATGTCCCCGCAATGCGGACAGATGCCCCCTTCGTCGCTATAGTAGTCGTGTCTCTCAGAGCCATCATGATCGACCTTGACACGCCCAGCATCGTCGAGCGCGAGGAACTTGAGAGGAGTACGGGCAATGAGCAACGGGTGATCGAAGTGGTCGGTTTGTCTGCCCTTGGCGAGATGCTGATCAAGGTGAGCCAGGCTGAAGACTAGCCCATTGTCCTTTTCCCGTGTGCGGGGCATGACGGGCTTAGCCATGTCTGTCAAAGCGGTGCCACTAGCGACTGCTGGTCCCTTCTTGTCGTCGCGAGCGGCTGAAGGCGGCGACTCTTCGTCTCTGTCCCACTCTCCATCGCTCACTGTCTGCCTCACTCCCTTCTTCCTCTTTTGCTTCTGGCTGCTGCCCTCTCCCTTTGCCTTCTTCATTGCCAGGTCTCGTGTCGATATGTGAACACGAGGATAGTGCTCGCAGCTGCCAGTGCGGCATCGATAAGGAAAGTGACGATGATGGGTTGGCCTGCTGGAGACTTGCCAGTCTTGAATTGCATAGCCTCGCTCATCCTCGAGGCGTGCCATCTCTACCAAGTAGAGGTCCAGGCAGGCTTGGAGGCGGAAGAGGCGTAGTGTCCATTCATTCTGCAGCAGGATTGCGGGGAAAGGGACGTGATCAACAGTAGTTAGGGGGATGGCGCAGCTGATCAAGAGGCCTTTCCCCGCACTCACTATTCCGATGTCCGCCCCTCGTCGATCTGCGAACGTCTCGTACGGATCAATGTCGATCTCTCTCAACGCAGTTTGCAGCGCTCCATGAACGGCTTTGGTTTGACAATCTCTCGCGCTGAGCTGCCAATTGAAGTCCCTCTCTGGACGACACCAGCGAGGAAGGTGCAAGTCAGGCTCGTCTTCTCCGTTGAGAGAGGTCTTGATCCAAAGCAGAGGCTTCTTGAGGTTGGGATGCTCGTCTTCGTCAAGCGGCCACCACGAGCCTGAAAGCACCTCGATCGGGCCAAGGTGTAGGCTTCTGACGAGCTTGCCGTTGCGGGGAGTAAGACCGCGATAGAATGCGCCAAGCTTTGATGGTCGTGTGAGCTGAACCTGCTTGTAGAGGAGCGGATTGAACTCCGTGTGGAATGAAGAAGAGACGCAGCTGAGGCTGGCAAGAGTAGCGACGTCGGGCTGGTATGAGGTCAGATCTGCAGCTAGGGAGAAGATGGCGGTGCGAAGTTCGTGTGGTAGAGTCCAGAAGTTGACAAGAGATGGGGTAGACTTCGCATGGCCAGAATGACTAGCAGTGAGCGGGCTGCCGAGCCATGGATCTGCATCGGGAGCATCATCCCATCCGAGCTCATCGTGGCAATGCTCTGCTGCGTACCCGCCGCCACTTATTTCACCTCCGCGGCTGGGCTCATACTTCGGCATGACCGTCACCTTGGAAGAGGAAGGTCAGGAGCAGGATCGGCGCACGATGGTCAGAACGATGAGATCATCGGGAGATGTATGAAGCGGGAAGAGAGAAGGAAGGAAGTTTGGCTTCGACGCGCTCAACTCGCCTCGTCGCGGGCGAGTGACACGGCACGGAAGTGCGGAGTGGCCAGCGGGGGTTGCGGGCAGGAAGTCGCCCTTCTCGTAACAAGAGTGGCTTCTGCAGCGCTGCACTCCATCATCGCTTTCTGTCCAAGGCGGCAAGAATCTGTTGATTGGTGCCTCATTCTCCTCCAGGAGCAGCTCGATGGGATGCAGTCAGAAGGAAACATCGCGGCAGCGCTGGCCTCCCTCTCTCGCTTTAGCAAGAACCGAGACGATGTCTTTGATTCACAGGTCTGGCTATGCACTAGGTTGTTTCACTCGATGCCTAGATAGTGCGACGCTCCTGCTTCCAGATAGCATTGTCAACCTGATCCCTCTGCATTGTCCTTTTCTCAGCTCGTGTGCTGCCCCATGTATTCTCATCTCCTCGTGCAGTACCATCCCGCCTGCTTCTACGACCCCATGCCGCTTTCCTCCATCGTCTTGATCTCCTACTGAGGTACCGAAGAGTCAGGAGAGAGAGCAAGGCGGTCGGAGTCTCGTGGAATGGTTTGTCGTTTCTTTCACCTCTTGAGATCAGCTACTGTAGACAAGCATCACTGACTCTCAGCCTTAGCGCGACGTAATGAGATTGAGTTCATCCTCACGTCGAAGCTTTTCAACGCCCGGATTAGCTGTTGCGTCCAGTCAGGAAAAGATGCCCTCCCACACATTCGACTACGCCTCTTCTACTTCCAGCTTGCTCGCTCCACTCGCTCGCTCCTCCCACCAATGCTCGCTTTCCTGGAAATGTACCTGCAAATCTTGATCAGGATGAAGCCAGCTACTTTCGTTGCTATCTCCCACAGCGCGACTTTTAACTAGCCGGAGGCGATGGGGTGCATCGGGCATGCTCAGCCCACGTTGCCACGCAGCTCGAATCTCTGCAGTAGGGGCCATCGCGAGCAAATCGCTAATCACGTTGGGGTGCAGACGAACTTCAATGGAGCGCGGTCTGACCTTGGCTGGCAGGTTGCTGATAGACGATGGCTGAAGGACTTCCTCCCCCTGCTCCCTTGTGTTGGCTGTTCTTCCTTGCAAGGTATTGATGGTCGGCAAAATCATGCGACGAGCAAATCCGCCATGGTCTCTTCAAGGAAAGAAATCGACGATGCTCTGGTGTCAGTCCATCATCACACAAAGCTTCAAAACGCAAGGTAGTCTCACCCTACGGACTGATATCGGTACGAAGGCGGGAGGGCACAATCCCACTGGAGTCTGCGAAGCTGGGGCAGCGGGCCAAAGGGATCCACGAGCTTCCGAGCGAGATTTCGTCAATGAAGGAGAAAGCGATGCGCAACTGCTCGAGGCAGGGGAGGTGCACATGATCCCAGCGTAGTTCGTCCTCCCACCCAGGCGGCGTGGGTCCTAGTGACAGGTATCGAAGCTGCTGAAGGGTCTGCTGATCCCATAGAGGACGATGGAGGATGCTAGCGAACGAGGCATTGACTAGATTGGTAGCCTGACTGAGAATGAAATCGCTGGTGTTGAAAACGTCCGAAATTTTGGTTGAGCTGAAATGGTCGATAGGCTCAACATTGTTTTGGTCGCTTCTTGATGGAGCTGGGCAGTTGCAATGATTCTTCTGATGTTCTTCCTCGTCGCAAGACTCATCATCGTCATCGATGTGCTTGCCACAACGAGCGCAACGATAATCAGCCTCTATTTCGCTGTAGTAGTACATCATACTTTCCGCCTGCGCGTGATCGATCTTGAGTTCTGCGTAATCGTAGTGCAAGAGCATCAGCCGCGAACGGATGACCAGCAGGGGATGGTCGAAGTGGTCTGCTAAACCTCCTTTGCGGCTGATGTGCTCGTCCAGCTGGGTTTTGCTCAGGGTAAAGACGCCCTTCTGATCCATCTCTGCCATGCCGCTTTTCGTATTGTCTTCGGCCAGATACTTGTTCGTTTTGTCCGGCTTTTCCCCTGAGCTCGGTGTGACGATCAGACGAGGGTAGTGCGAGCAATGTCCTTGGCGGCATTGGTCGGGGCCCCGATCCAAAGGTATTGGACTTGGCCAGTGTGGCACTTGGTAATGTTTCTGATCTTCAATACGCCTCATCTCCATGAGGTACAAATCTAGGCATGCGCGAATCCGCAAGACCCTCATGGCCCAGTCATTCTTCATGTTGCAGATGCGAGGGAGAAGCTTTCTGGTCAGTTTGCAAGACAGAGAGGCGGCGCACTGAGCCCTACTCACCATCCTTACACTCTCTCCGTACGGGCTGATGAGGCACAGTCCCTTCCCATCGCTCCTCGCGTAGTGCACAGCTGCTTTGAGCGCGTCATTGACTGCAGTGTCCTGACAATTTCTGCCTCTAGCAGTGTCTCCCCACTCAAAGGTGGCATTCGGCTCACACCATCGAGGTGTCACCTCCTCTTCGGCGGAGGAAAGGGATGTCCGTAGAAGCAAAACGGGATCCTCGAGCGTTTCGCCATTTTCGTCTGCAAAGATAGTCTCTGTTGGCCACCAATTCTCTGCGAGGTCTTCAATTGGACCGAGGTGCAGGTCTCTAATGTAGGCACCATTGTCAGGTCGAAGTGCAAGGCACTTATAGAATGTTGCCAGCTCGCTCGGCCTGGTGATCTTGATCATTCTATATAGAAGTGGCGTGATGCAGCTGTTGAATCGACGTGAAACTAGCGCAAGAGAGGCAAGAACGTTGACGTCGCGACCTGAGCGGCTCTTTGTGGTATTCGTCGAAGCTTTGCCTTTTCTCTCAACGCTGGTGGCTTTGACAGGCTCAACGTAGCAGGCCAGGTCAATGATGTAGATGCGCAGCTCCTCGGGAAGAAACCAGAAATTGGCCAGCGATGCTGCATGACTATTGCTAGGCTCGTCGCTCTTCATGCGCTTACAGTTGGAGTCGTTCGGGTCGCCGCTACCGGGGCGTTGTTTCCCTGAAGCCATTGCGAGAGTGAACTGCCAATGATGATGCCGTAGGGATGGCAAGCGAGACAAGCGGAAGGAAGGGAAACAAGAAAATCAATGCGCCAGTCCGCCCTTTCGTCCCGCATTCGCCTGCAAAGAGCGATGCGGCTGCCGATGGAACTGCATGCGTCACGCAAGAATCGCGTTCAACCGGAGCGACATTTCTCAGGATTTTATCAATACCCTGTATTCACGGTTCAGAAGAACTCGTCATGTCCGCCATACGACTCCCCCAGCCCTGCACTATCAATACTTTAGATCTCTTGCCGTATCCGCCTGTGGCCCTCATGGATAGCGGGTCGCCTCTCCGGCTCTCTCTCCTCAATCGTACCCTTGCCGCCCACTCTTCTCTCCCACCATTCCATACTCTCTCGCAGGTAGGCGCCAATATCTTCACGAGGATCGTACCAGCTACAGCCTTCGACGTTGTAGTACGCAAGCGCGTTGCTCTCGGTCAGCTTAATGCGGTTGAGGACACCGCTTACAGCTGAACCACTCTGCCACGCCGCTTTGGCATCATCGTTCGGAGCCCGCTCGATCATCTGAGCAACAGCGTTCGGATGCAGGCGCACCTCGATGAAGAGGTCTCGGTGCCTGTCGTGGCTCAAGGAGAATGAAGGACTCTGGGCTACCAAAGTGGGTCCTTGGAGTGCTCGAATGACTGGCAGAACTCTGTTCGGCGCCGAGTCGCTATCAGGTGCAGGACATGGGAGAGAACGTCTCAGTTCTCCATCATCGCCTGCTCCGGAACGCTACTCTCGACTCACCATGGGGGATAGCGCGCAAAGTCATGTCCATAGTGCCATTCGAGCCTTTTCAGACGAGGCAGAGGACCATGCGGATCTGCAATCTTCCTCGCTGCAGGGAGGTCTAGTAAGCGTCCGCAGACCCGCAACTCCTTGAGGTTGGCCAGCTGGATATTCTCAAAGTAAATGCAGTCTCGTTTCGATGCAGGCAAGGGCCCTACAGAGAGAGACCGCAGACTACTCAGTGATCCTTCATGTTGCCAGAGAGCACGGTGCACGAAGCTGGACATCGAGAGTGTGGTGAGATTGGGCGTTAGAGCGAGGATGGACCCGGTCAGATTCAGAATGCCCCAGACCGTGTACGGAGTGTGGGGATCAACGTCTGCCGAACCACTGGTCGGAGGCTTGGGTCTGTAGACGCAGTACTGATAGCCTTCGCCAGCGCTCTCGTCATCTTCGTCATCTGAGTCCTTGCAGAATGCGGGATAGCGCTCGCCCGGGTCGTAGTAGTAGTGGTGGTCTGGTCCTTCTGCCCAGTCAATGCGTACCTCTCCGTTGTTCTCCATTGAAAGAAGATCCAAGCCCGAGTAGATGGTAAGGAGAGGATGATCGAAGTGATCTGCTGGGCCGCCGGGCCGTAGAATATGCGCATCGAGCTGCTCTTGCGTTAGGATGAATGACTTTCTTTCGCGGGCAGTCTTCCTTGCCTGCTCCTTCACATTGGGCTCTGGGCGGTCTTCGCCCACTGTCGCCATGATGTGCTGAGAGTGAGTCAAACGCTCGTCCATCTCGCTGATCCTAGGCGCCTTCACAAGTAGAGGGGGATACTGCGGCGTCTCAGTATCCTCAGCATACCCTCTCTCGTCCTCAATGCGCCGCATCTCCAGCATGTATAGATCGAGGGCAGCCTGTAGACGTAAACATTGATGCGTCCACAAGTTCTGGTCGTGGGGCAGGACAGGTCAGAGGATCATCTCAGTCTTACGCGATCAAATAACAACGCTTGTACTTACTATGCCGAGCTGGTGCTCACTACCAGGGCCTCTGGAACTGAACGCAGGGTCGACGATAATATCTCTGCCTGCTGCTCTCATGGCAGCTTTCACTGCACGATGCTCGCGAGAGCGATCCTCGTCCTCCCAGTCGAACCGAGTGTTGGCCAAGCACCAGCGGGGCAGAAGCTTCTCTTCTCTGGCATTGGAGAGGGACGCTTGCACAAAGGTTCGCTCATGCCCTGTCGGTATACCGTCCTCGTCCATATCCTCGCTTGTCTTTATCGGCCACCAGCCCTTCGACGGCAAAGCAGTCGGACCGATGTGAAGATTCTTGATCAACTGACCATGAGTCGGCTGCAAAGACAGACCTCGATGAAAGAGAGCAAGCTGACTTGGCGTCGTCAGGCTGACAGTCTCGTAGAGAAGCGGCGTGATGTAGTCTTGAAACCGCCGCGACACAAGCGCGAGGTTGCGGAGTGTGACGAGATTCCAGGCCGCTGGGCCATCGCTATCACCTGGTGGGCCCGCACGGCCAGCGATTTCGATTATGAGAAAGCGCAGCTCTTCGGGCAGGTCCCAAATGTCCGTGCGTCTTGTACGCCTCTCGTCATTCTTGGTGGCCCCTTCGAAGACATTGTTGTCTGTGCTGTCATTGATGAGCTCATCCTTGACCATTGCTACTGTCTGCGCTACCTTTGGGCCCAGGACAAGGTCGGAGTAGATGAAGATCGAGGTGGTTGTGAGCTGTCGAGGGGGAAGGAAGAAAGAGCAATGTTGGGCTTCCCTCTCTTCCCCCCTGCAACGAGTCTTGTTTTCGAGAGCGGCGCACGGGCCGCCAACAAACAAAAACGCCCGAGAGAGAGCAACTTTTGGTTGGCTCGGTTCCAGTGCGCTTGGTGCCTGTCATTCTTGTGATCAGCCGGCTCGATCGCTGACCGATACAATGGCGAGCGATGTCAGGCATCCTTGTCAGCTCACTAGGGACTCTGAGACATCGATTGTTGTAGGTCCATCTTTCTCCTAGCTTTCGGCGCGAAAGAGATGACCACCCTTCCAGGATTGACTCGCATCAAGCCCACGTTTGGCCTCCTCTCTTCAGCTTTGCTGTCAAACTCTCGAGCTCCTGGAGCCCTCGATGGCGGGCTTACAGCATTTGAGCCTACAGATCGCCGTTCTCACACTCCCATGCTCTCTCTTCGAACCATATCTCGCTGTTCTTCATGTGTGCAACGAGATCCTCTTCAAGGTGCCAGCTCTTGTTTTCCGCAGATGGATACCTGTCAGCGCTGATCGGTAACAGCTGGAGCCGATGGGGCGCATCAGGGACTGAGAGGCCATGTTCTCGCGCAGATCGAAGCGAAGGCGAGCCGGCCTTGTCGAGCAGCTCTTCAATGGCTGCGCGCTGCAGTCGGGCCTCAATGCGGACGTGATGCTGAGCCGTCTCGATGGAAGGTACGATGGCTGGCAACCAGGAGCTGCGAGCAGATCCAGCCGGGACAGGATAGCCTTGAAGTGCATCCAGTATCGGAGCAATCTGTGCAAAAGCTGGGCGCCTGTGCGGTACGTGCGGAACAGTTTGTCACCATGACTTCGCGAGACGCACTTGTCCTGGACTCTGTTCGCGGGCTACCACTTACCATCGGTAGTCATAACGCTGTCCATGATCCCACTGTAGGTCTTTAAGATGCGGTAGAGGTCCATCTTTGTTGACAAGTCTGCTTGCTAACGCGGCGTCCAGACAATTTGGAGAAACGCGAAGCTTTTCCAGGCTAGGCAGCCCGATGCGAGTGAAAGTGGGCGCAGCCTCCCACGTTGGCGGTAAAGGGCCGACGGAGAGAGAGCGTAGCTTGTTGAGTAACATGCATGGCACCGATACACCCTCACCGAGATAGCTTGTGTAGGACAAATTCACGACGCTAGGCGTCATGCGGACAATGCGGCCGGCCAGAGCTTCGATTCCGGGCATGCTCTTGTGGCTGGTGAGATCGGTTGCAATTTTGGTCCTGTCGAGTGGGTCTGCGCATCCCCGGCAGAGAAAGCCTCCATAATCCTCGTATTGAGCAAATTCAGGTGAGCGGAACCCTTCAATACCACAGCTGACGCAGTAGCCGTCTTCGTATCGCCGTCTGCCGTAATATCGGCGGCACTCCGTACGGTCCCAATCTACCCAAGGATGCCCAAGGTCGCTTGGAATGAGCATTCTCCTTCCGGACCGAGCGAGAATGAGGGGATGATCAAAGTGATCTGCTTGCCCAGTCTCCCTGTCGGTGCGAGCGTCCAGATCCGCGTAAGTGAGCCGAAGAATTGTGTCATCGGTGTCGATGACCCTTTTATCATCATTGCAGTCGTAGCCGACGCAGGTGCCTGAGCTGTCCAACGCTCCTGTGTGGCTTTTTGCCCCTGACGATGGCGCAATGCGCAACCGCGGATAATGCTGACAGTCAGCGTCGCGACAGTTGGCGCCGTTGTCGAGGAAACGGCTCGCCACCCGCGATGGCCGTACGGGCCAGCCTTTCGCATCCTCAATCTGCCTCATCTTGATAAGGTACAAGTCTAGAGCGGCTTGCAACCGCATAAGGGCTTCCGTATGTTCGTCCTGCATGTACAGGTGGGGAAATGCCGTCGCAACAGAAGGTACAAAGAGTCAGCTTGGCGTCAGAGCAGGAGATCACGGCCGTCCTCACGAGATTTCCTGCAAAGCGCTTGTACCCGGCTACGGTAGGATCTACTCCGAGGTCGTCCGCTGCAGCTCGCATTGCCCGTGTGACGGCTTGACGCACGCAACCCTTTCGTGTATCTTCCCATGCAAACGCGGCCGTAGGCGGGCACCACTTTGGCCTCATTGCCGCCTCATTCTCTGTCAAAGAGGTGTGAATCCATGTCGTGTCCTTGTTGAATATGCCAGCCAGCTCAGCATGCTTCTCGTGCTCGCTTCCTACGTCACTCGGACTGACAAAACGTGTTGGCCACCAACCCGCGGCCAACCCTTCCAGTGGACCTACGTGAAGCGATCTGACATGCAACCCGTTCTTGGGATTGCTGTTCAAGCTAGCGAAGACTGCGGCCAGCGTAGACGGTCGGTCGATCTTCACATGTCGCCAAAGCAGATTGTTGTACAGGGAATGAAAGTGACGAGATGTGCGAGAAAGGCTAGCGACGGTCTTCTGATCCAAGCGCAGACGCTTGTCTTGCGCTCGTGTCGAGAGATAGCAGGCCAAGTCGAAGATCAAGGCACGCAGCTCGGAGGGCAGCCTCCAAAAGCCTGGCAGAGTGTGCGCCTGGCTGGCTTTGACGGCTTTAGTTGGGCGTCCTTCCGCTGCGTTACTCTGTCCTCGCTGATGCTTTGATCCTGGTGTCATGCTGTTCGTCAAAGACGGTGGATGCGGGAGGACTTGTCGATGTCGCGTGCGATTAGATGTTGATGGTGAGAAAGGAGGAACAGCGGCCCGAGCGCGAGTCCCCTCAGCTGGAGCACACGGGCCATCGACGGATAGCAAGCGGCCCGAAGGGGCTCGAGCGGCATTGCTTTATTTGTCCCGCTGGCCCCAATTGCGTCTTTGTTTCTGCTAGGCAAATCCTGCTCGACAGGTTTGCGCTTTGAACAAGACAATTGAGCTCAAATGACACGTCTTCAGCAAATGCGCTACTCCTTCTCAGCCTCGCTGCGAACCGTCGCCTGCCCGAGTCTCTTGTGCTCGTCCTCATTCTCACACTCCCACGCCCTCTCTTCAAACCACTCCTCGCCGTTCGTGAACTGAACATCGAGGTCTTCCTCCGACTGAAGAAGACAAGCACTGCCTTGCGGAGGTCGTATCAAACGTTCTATCCCGTCGTTTGCTACGAGCTTGAGACGATGAGGTGCATCCTCGACGGCCAAGCCGTCTGTCCAGGCCTCACGTAGAGACTGAGAGCAACTCTTAAGCAGTGCCTTGACAGTCCGTGCTGGCAGCCGCACCTCAATGTGTACGGATCGTCCTGCTGCTGATGCAGATACGAGGAACCAGAAGTCGGCGCTGCTGACCGGAGGGTGGTATTCGCCTTGCCCCTGTGGTCGAGGCCGTCCTTGGAACGCATTGACGAGGTGGAACATTTCAGCTGAAGCAGCGCCGACGGTCCAGCTGAGCGGAATGATTCAAGATGTCAGCTCTCAAACCCCTGTGACTTATCTCTACAGCGCCGGTCACGCCCCAGGCTCACCGCTGCTCATCGTATTGGCCTCCGTAGTCCCATTGCAGGTTCTTGAGTGCAGGGAGTGGGTCGTCTGATCCAGCATCCGCTGTCGAGGCCCACCTTTCGACTGGATTAGGACAGATGCGCAGCTTCTCAACATTCGTAAAGCTGGTGCGATTGAATCCTGGTCGGTCTTCGAGGGAAGGCGGGAAGGGACCAACGGAAAGGAATCGCAGCTTGTTGAACGGAGGTGTGTTTCCGAACCAGAGGAAGCGATGGAGGTAGCTTGAGCAAGATAGATTCACTGCATTGGGTGTGAGGCTGAGAACTCCGCGCGCCATTCCAAGTATGTCGCGAAGGGTCTTGGGATCAGAGGGGACCGTACCGGCTTGGCAAGCTTGGGACTGCGAGATGCACTCATCACAGACAGAGCTGTCGTCGTCCTCCAACTCCTCTCGCAAAGCTGCCGCCGTGCCGCAGCAGATACAATGTCCTCCTTCCTCCTCTTCTAAGGGGTCATGGTAAGATCTGCAGTGGTGATGATTCCAGTCGACGAGCAATTGGCCACAATTTGAAGGATGAAGCAGCTTGAGTCCAGAGCGGGCGATAAGTAGTGGATGTTCGAAGTGATCTGCTGGTCCCCCTTTCCTACCTATATGCTCATCGAGTTGAGCGCACGTAAGTCTATATGGCTGGTCGCCGAAGTCTCTCTGTGAGTCGTTAAGATGCTTGCTGTAGCCGTCAGGTCCTGTTGAAGTGCTTGTGCTCCCCGAATTGCTGGAAATGACTTTGTCCGCCTCTGCTTTCCCCTTGCCTCTGCCTGTTTGGCTTGCTCGACAATTACTCTCGCCGGCAGATCTTGCAATGTGCAATTGTGGATAGTGGTGGCAGACTATGGCACAGCGATAGGCGTCACCATCAGAGCTCGGCTCAGCCGACGGTATAGGAATAGAGGGGTATGAGCATCGATCCTCGATCTGCCGCATCTCCATCAAGTAGAGGTCCAGGGCAGCCTGCATTCGCATCATTCGAATGGCATACAGATGCTGCCGGTCATGAGCCGGATGGAAGTCGGGTCAGCTGAATTGAAAGATAGTCTAGTCATTTGCCACCGTAGCCTCACTCACCATCGCTACAGAAGGTTTGAAATAGCGCTCTTTGCTGGGATCGACGTCAAGGGCAAGTGCAGCAGCTTGCAAGGCAGCCTGAATAGCTCGTCGAGCACAGTCTTGCCGAGTATCGCCCCACAAGAATTCAGCGTTTGGTTTGCACCACCTTGGGCTCTTGTCTTTGTCCAAGTGTCCCAGCGATGTGCAAATCAGCACGGCGTTCCTTGCAAAGTTCTTGGCAACTTCCTCGTTGTTCTGTTCGTAGACTTCATAGTCACTATATTCGTCGTAGTCCTCATCGTCGTGGATGGGAAATCGAATTGGCCACCATCCCTCGCCGATGGTCTGAAGTGGGCCAAGATGAAGTGACTTGACGAGCAGACTTTTCTCGGGGTATCGCACAAGGGCTCTATGGAAAGCAATGAGCTTTGATGGGCGGTCGATCTTGGGCTGCGTCCAGAGTCGATCGCCGACTGCCAGGTGGAAGAATCTCGACGTGCGAGCTAGGCTGAGGGTAGTCTTTGTGTCGAGACGCGGGCACTTGTCGCTGACGGATGTGCTCTTATAGCAGGCCAGGCTGAGGATGAGGGAGCGCAACTCGGATGGCAGGGTCCAGAAGCCGGCGAGTGAGAGGTGATGGTGATGACGCTTGCCTCTTTTGGATGCGCGCGTATGGCTGTTGCTGGCTTTGCTTGGCTGACGCTTTCCTCCTGCCCGCATGTCGGATTGAGGGAGGTTTGAAAGAGCGAATTGGGCAGAGAGACGTCGTAAAGGAAGATGCGATGAGGGTGTGACGCAGACAAAGAAGCATCGATGAGGCCCGAGCGCCAGTGCGCCCTTCTCGCTCAGTCCGACGGCACGCGCCGCCGAGGGCAGAGGGCACCGCCAGGAGAACCAAGCGTCGGTTGTCGTTGTCGCTTTTGACGCTCTTGCTGGGTCGCTGCTTGGCAGGTTCATTGCCGCTGAGGCAATGTCTTGCGCCGGCCGTCACGATCTACAGCCCAAGAATTGCCTGGAAGAGTGAAGGAAAAGTCACCAGATTGACACGGTATAGTACTAAGGCAAGAAAGAAACGCGGCTCAAGCCTCGCACGGTCTGTGATCATACAGTATCGTGGCCAGTTGCGCGTCGGAGACCAGGGCAGTCCCCGCACAAGCCGCCAACAAAAGAAGGGAGAGTGCGAGCGTCCTGTACTCCAAATCCAGTGCCACTCCTTAAAAATGACTATTGATAAGCATTGTAGAGGGTATATGATGATTCAAGCCTGATTGCTGTACATACCTTACAAGGAATCGCCTCGACAATCATCCCTTCCTCCGCCGGTCGCCTACATCTGCGAGCTCACCTCAAGCGCCCTCTCTTCCCACCACTGAATCGAATCTGTGTACAGCCTTTCCAAGTCCTGTTCTGGTCTCCAGGGGTCCACGGTGCGTGTCGCATGACTCTCTACGATACGAACACGATGCGGTGCGTCGTTGATGATCCCCCCATCAATCCAGGCAGCCCGTACCGTAGGTGAGGGAGCATTCTCCAATACGGTGGCAACCAACTGGGGATGCAGACGAGCCTCCGTGTAGCGCGGACCGCTGATCGCTCTTGCTCTATCCTCGGGCAGCCAAGCACCCTGTAGCGCTTCGATAAGGCTGAGGAGACTGCGCGGTAAGGTGTCATATGGACGTCTCAGCGTGCTCGTTCACATGAACTGCTTCTGAAAAGGTCAGCTCCTTAGACTCACAAGTCATGACCAGGATCTCCATCGAAGCATTCTGCTCTGCCAAAATCCCACTGAAAGTCTTTCAGCCGCGTCCAAATATCGCTTTCGTGGCTTCTACTGTGCACTCCGGCTACGTTGCACGCTGTTCCCCTGCCAATGCAGTCGCCACAAACGCGTAATCTCTCGAGGCTCGGAAGCTGCACGTCCTGAAAGCAGATACCGGCTGCTTCATGGCGAGAGAGGGGTCCCACGGAGAGATAGCGGAGACCTGAGAGCGGTGAAGGCTTTCGGAAGAGTTTCTCGAACGAGCCTGTGATGCCAAGATTGACGAGCTTTGTAGTTGCCTTCAGGATCAAGTGACTGAGCTTGAGCATGCTCTGCCCTCCAACTCGAGGGGTCAAAAAGTCGCACGAGCTGAAGCTACTGTCCGACTCTGGTGATGTCGGAAGTTCAGATTTCTTTGTGAATGACGAGCATTCCGAGGAGCCTTCAGAGGAGGACAAAGACATTACAGAGTCCGAGATGAGAACGGACTCGTCCGAGTCGTAGCTGTCGAGGTCAGAATTATGGGAGCCGCCACCAAGGCCCCAGGGATCACTGAAGTCGTAGTCGTCGCTGTAGAAGTCTTCTTTCATTTCTTGATCGTAGTCGACGGTGATCCGATTTTCATAGTCGAGACAGAGCATCTTGAGTCCGGAGCGGGCGTAGATGTACGGGTGGTCAAAGTGGTCGGTCTGCGCGCCAGGGCGGTCGAGATGTGCTTTGAGTTGATCCAAAGTCAAAACAAGCTCGGCGTTGTTCTTGCTTCTCGTCATTCCTGAGCCCCTATTTGCTTTCTTCTTGATCTTGCTCTGTCTCTTGGACTTCTTCCTCTTCGCCGCTTTAGCTTTCGCCGCTTGCTTAGCGCCTTCGTCTATCTCGACGTGCTGCAATCTCATCTCGATGCGGAGTGTAGGGTAGTGCCGGCATTTGCCAGCGCGACATTTCGTGGGTGCTTTGGGCAAGGGAGAGTCTGAGCGCCACGAGTGCACCATATCGTTCCTGTCGTCGATGCGTCTCATTTCCATGAGGTACAGATCGAGTGCACTCTGAGTTTGAAGAATTCGAGCTGTGAAGGCATTCTGTGCGCGAGCAGGAGGATGAGCTGGTCAACGATACATTTATCCCCCCCAATTGCGCTATTAGGCTCACTATCCCGATGCCTTGGAAATGCTGATCGCGGAGCCGCTCCGCCAAGTAGACTTCGATTGAACTAGCGGCTGTTTGAATTGCAGCGATCGCTGCTTGCTCTTGACATGTGCGCACTGGGAAGTTGAGAAGCCACTCGCGTTCTGGCTTGCACCATCGAGGAAGGATCAGCTCTTCGTCACGGGTACCGAGCGAGGTCTTGAAGAAGATGAGCTCTTCGGCTTCGGCTTCCCAATTGCCCTCCTCGTCCTCATCCTCGTCCTCGATGCGGACTGGGTACCAATCGGGCGCCAATTCAGCCTGTGGTCCCAGCCAAAGGCTGCGAACGAGCTGGGCGTTGGCTGGGCAAAGCGCGAGAGCACGTCTGAAGGCGAGAAGAGTGCTTGGTCGTATGATGCAGACGCGCTCGTAGAGTACCGGATTGAACAGCGCATGAAAGTAGTGCGACACCTTTGCTAGGTTTGCGACTAGCTGCGTACTCCTCTCCGAGCCAGCGCCAATGGCAAGATCGAAGATGACTTTGCGCAGCTCCTCAGGTAAGCGCCAGAAATCCGTCAGAGTTGCCTCGTTGAGATCGCTGTCCTCGCTATCGTCGTTCTTGACGAGCTTTGTCCTCTCGTCCGCCCAGATCGCGTCACTGCTGAGTCGATGCTTGGCCTTCATCGCCGACGTCGGCGCCGCCCTTGCCATCGTCACAGCGACGAGATGAAGCGGAGGATGGGAAGCCAAGTTGCAAACATGCGCTAGTCCGCCGTCTCACCTTGATTTGGCCGCGGGGCGGGCGATATGCGTGGCTGACATTCGCTGCAAGCGAGCAAGCGAGTGAGTCGAGTGAGGTTGAGATGCCGCCGGCAAAGGAGGGCGAGGTGCAGCCGGCAAGAAGCTGGCGGCACGCCAGATGCAGCTACGAAGGGAGGATGAAAAGGGAGTAAAGAGTCACTGGGTCCGCGTAGTGGCTGCCGCAGGGCTTTGCCTCGATTTCGGTTTGATCTTTGCCTCTCGGTCTGGCTGAGCGAAGAAGTGAAAGCGTCAAGATGGCTCGCTAGCGAAAAAGCGTGGGAATTGAGAGGAAGAGAGAAGGCGGCCGCACGGGAGAAAAAGCGGTACAAGATTATCGCAAGCCGGCTTCGCGGCTACGTGGAGGGTCAAAGGAAACAAGACGCTGAACAAGTGGCCAGACAGAATGTCCTCGCTCCCTCCTTCCGCTCACGCCACCTTCAATCTCTCCTCCACGCTACCTTGCCATGCTAAGGACGCACTCCTCCCACCAGTGCTTGCCGTCCTCGAACAGTGCTCGCTCCTTGATGCTTTTCTTTCCGCGCTGCTTATCCCACGTGAAGTCTCCCGGTACCATTGGCACGAGCCTGATGTGACACTCGTCGGTACTGTAGGCTTGACCGCTGCCCCAGGCTTCCCGCTCTTCTGCCGACTCGGTGTCGTGAACTAGTGAGTCTATGATGTCAGGAGGAAGAAGAAACTCGGCCCAAAGAGGACCGCGCTCTGCCCATGCGACACGCTTCTCAAGGAGTGCAAGCGACGATGAGTCCTCGGTGGCTCTCTCCCGCGAGCCTGGTGTCTCTTCAGCCTCTGCCTGTTGAGCTTGCATCTGTTCTTGCAGCACTCGGAGCATTGCCGAAATCAGGCGCGGCGAATTGCTCCTGAGCGTCTCCTGCAGCTGTCGTATGGCGCTTTGAACGCTGTTTGGAAGGTACAGTAGAAGGAGAAATCAAAATTGAGGGGCACACGGTTGTTTCAGAAGCTTGCTCACTTTATGAAGTCATGCTCCGCAGAGGACAGGTCCCATTGAACCTCTTTCAGCTGTGGCATCTTCTTCCTGTTGGAGAGGCTCCACATCGCAGAATCTGGAGTGGTCAGTCCGCAGAGACGCAACTTTTCCAGCTTGAGGAAACGACGGTCCGACAAGCAAGTGAGAAAGGCGGAGTTGCTCTTGGTCGATCGTGGGCCCAGCGAGTAAGTTTGCAATGAGCAGATGGAGGGTGTGTCGTTTCCAGAACTGCTGGGAAGTACGCCAGAGAATATACTTGATGTGGCAAGGTGCTGGACGCCGGGCGTGAGAGCGATAAGGTCAAAACCAAGTCGACCGAGCCCGGACTCGATCAAAGTGTCACAACGATCGCCAATGGCGAGCTCGTCCTCGCAGCTGCCACTTTCTACGTCGTCGCTGCTGCTGCTGTTGAGGTCTGTATCTTGCTCGCTGCCCTGGTCCGAAATGTCGTCCGCGTTAGCATTAGAAGTCCTCGCGGATCCCAGCGCGGCAGAAAAGTCGATACTGTCTATCAATCTGCCCCAGTGCAACGATGTTCGGGCATGGATGAAAGGGTGGCTGAAGTAGTCGGTCATCGAGCCTCGGGTCGTGAGCTGGTTGCGAAGATCCTTCCACGATATGGTGAAAACGTTCTCGCTGCTTCTATGAGGCTGTGAGGTCTGCCTGGATGCTGCCAGCGAAGCGCCTGGAGCTTTGCTCAGCAGATCGAGCTTGAAATAGATAATGTTGCCCAACTTTTCACACGAACTCGCGTGTCGAGGGTTTTGAGCGTCTTGATCTTCTCTCCTGCGCATGTCCATGAGGTACAAGTCGAGCGCTGCTTGAGCCTCGATCATTCTGATGAGATAGATCTCCTGGTAAAGCAAATCATCAATCCGATCAGTGAGCTACAGTATGTCCTTCCAGCATACTGTTGAGCTGGTGAGTGGTCGAATCCCTCACTCACTGGATGAATCGCTTCCCCGCCAAAATCACGCGCATGCCTCGCCAGATTGACATCGAGCTTGGTCTGAATTTGTACGAGGGCATCCATGACCGCAGCCTCTTGGCTGGTCTCAGCCTTCTCTAGCAGAAACCATTTGCGCCCCGGAGGACAATCTCGGGGTAAGCGGTCTTGATCTTGGACCGAGGAGACAATCCACGGTCCTCTGCTGCAGTCTGCGTCGTCCTTTGAATAGCCTTTAGGTCGAAGTGGCCACCACAGAGAAGGCGGTAGGTGCGAGTCTGCGCCCAGGTGTAAAGCCTTGACCAATTCTCCAAGTTCGGGTCTCGCTTGAAGCGTGCGCAGCAGCTCGACTAGCTCACTCCCGCGCGTGATGGAGATGTTTGCGTAGAGAAGCTCAGTCACCTGAGCATTGACGTCCTTGCAAACAAGGCAGAGGGAGAGGGTGGTGAGCTTGTCCAGAGCGAGAGGGGATCGATGGCCGGTGAGGGTCGGGCCAAAGACTGGACCTTGGCAGGCAAATGTCAGGATGCGGTTGCGCAGCTCTGCTGGAAGGCTGAAGAAAGAGGAGGGCGTTGCAGTGCCTTGAGGGTCCCCGCGCGTGTCGATGCGATTGCAATGCGATGAGGACGCCATATTGGCAACAGACGACCACCAAAGAGGTGAAGATGGAGTGAGGGGAACGAAAGCAAGAGCCGCGCGCACCCTCCGCCTGCAAACGCGACTTGGCCTTCCGTTTTGCACGGGCGCACGGGCCTACGGAAAGCAGACGAGCGAGGTGGGGCAACTAAGTAGCCAGTCGCAGTAGACTTTCGTTGCGCGATAATCGTCATCACTCGCAGGAGATACGAGAGATCTTTTCGGATCTCATTTGACCAGGGATCGGTTTTGTGAGCATCAGTGAATCAAATACGCGCCTGTCCACCACACACATCTCAACCTCCTCTGCGCCGGCTGCTGACGCACTCCTCCCACCACTTTTTCGTATCCTCATACCAGTTCTACACGCCTGCGCGCTCGAGATCACAATCAAACCAGGGAGGCTCTCGGACGTCACGCTTCACGATGCGCAGAAGGTCGGATTCAGAGTGTGTCACCACGCCAGTAGTCCAGATTGTCCGGCCATTTTCTTTCGAGTTGCCGAGGGAAAGCATGGTAGCAAGAACAAATGGCTGCAGAAGGATGTCAATGCTCTGCTGTGCTTGCCGATGCTGTCCGTGAGAGACATCCCGAGAATTGACGCGGCACCTTTCGAGGCTTGAGAGGATGCTCGTATTCTCCTCCGGAGAGGAAAAGACGCTTGAAGTGATGCGCTGCTCCAGGGCCTGGATCAATTGGGCGACGCTGCGAAACAAAGACAGGCAGAAAGCGGCAAGGTGAGCGACTAGACAGTCTGAAAAGCTCTAGCATGCTCAATCTCGTCGATCGAACCCGTTGCACTCACCGGTGAGGAGAGGCCGGTGCTTTTCTCATGTCCCACTGCACGCTGGCAAGCCTTGGAGCAAGCGATCTGCTGGTGATGAAGGCCGTTGCTTGCTCGGCCCCATCGAGGCCACAGATGCGTAGCTGCTCCAGGCTGCACAATCCTGCGTCATCAAGAATCACCAGACAAGTTCCGTTCCTCCTAGCCGTTAGAGGGCCGATGGACAGGCTGCTCACGGAGACGAGCTGCCCAAGCATGTCCTTGAGGGCGTAGCTGAGGAAGCCTGTGACGGAGAGATCTTGTAGCTTGGCCAACTGACGCAGAATGGAGCGAGCGGCTCTGATGAGGGTTGCCGTTGTTGCTGCCCCTCCTGTCTCTCGATTTCCGCTGTTTCGCCCTGTCGCGGTCAATCGAGCACCCGGCAATTTACTCTCATCGTACACTCCCCGCGTCGAAATGTCGGCGATGCAGTTTAGCAGATTCGACCTTGCGAAGATGATGGGATGGTGGAAGTGATCCGTGGCAGCGCCTCTGGCATCGAGATGCTCACGAATCTGCGCATAAGTGATTATGTGGGCGGGAACGGAGCAGATTCGGCTGTGAACGAGTTCGTCATCCTGTTCCGAAATGAGAGGGCCGTGAGGCAACTCGAGTCGCAGGGCTGGGTATGCGACACAGGTGGAGCAGCTTGGCACGTCATTGGCGTCCTCCTGAATACGTCGACAAGGCTCAATGGCGCGCCCTTGTCGATCTTCAAGCCTGCGCATTTCCGTGAGGTAAAGATCAAGGACAGCCTGCAGCTCGAGCACCCTCATTAGCCAGACGGCCTGACAAGAAGCAAATACAGACGTCAATGTGATAGGCAGATACTGCGATCAAGACGTTGATGTTGCTCGCACTCACCGAGCTTAGGCTACACGACCCATCCAGCTCAGACCGGCACTGCATCAAATTGACTTTCAGCGTCACCTGCGCAACAATGAGTGCATCGTACACTGCATCGTCAAAACACTTGAGGTCGTCATCAGAGGCGCCTAAACGCCACTTGCGCTCCAGCGAGCAACCGTGAGGCAGAAGACCCTCATCCCGGATGGAGTGGGTGATCCATGCTCCCTCCTTCTTGAATTTCTTTGCCGTGAGATCTCCTAGAGATTGCATCGGCCACCATCTTGGGTGCAGATGTGACGCCGGGCCGATATGCAAAGCCTTGACGGCCCCGCCCAAGTCAGGTCGGCTTTGGAGCGTAGCGAAGAGCTCCATGAGGGCACTTGGAGTTGTGATTGATATGACTTCGTAGAGGATCTTTTGCACCTGCGCCCGAATGGCCTTGCTGACCAGGCAAAGCTTGAAGGCCGTGTCGCTGTCGGTGGGCGAGGAAGAGGCAGAGCTACCGCAGCAGGCTAGCTCGAGGATTTGGGCGCGAAGCTCTGAAGGTAGTCTGAGGAGGCACGCCCTTTTCTTGTCGCTGTCTCGGTACTGGGAGTCGGTAGGCATGTTGGGAGTTGGATAGCGAGATTGAGTAGAGGAGATATGGTCGAAAGAGGGATCAAGAGAAATCGATCAATCATACTCATCTTCTTTGGTGTCGAGCTCATTGCTCCTTTGGTGTCAAGCTCATTTCGGTCCGCCATATGAATTTCCGCCAAGCCGGAGCGAGGCGAGGGGGCGAGAAGCTGATCCTCCTCCTCCCCTCTCCTACTTCAACCCAAATCCTTCCCCACCAAGCTCAACACTCTTCTTCAATCGCTCCGCCATCACCTTCACCCTAACATCCGCATAACATCGCGGCAAGAAGAGGGTCGCCGTACAGGTTGAAGCCCAGGGAAGAGGCGCCGACTCGCCATCTCGCAGATCGACCAGATGTATGGCGAAGGGAGCTGGTGGTCTTCCCTGAGCGGCCAGGAAGCCCAAGGGTAGGCGAGGGGAGGAGGTAATGAACGCCAGAAGTCGGCATGTGAAGGTCGAGTCTTCTGCCGCAAGGTGGGCAACCGCTTCCCACCACGTCATCAGCAAGGGCTCATCAGCTCGCTGCGCATTCAGGACCTGCACCGTACGCTTGAGCAGCTCGACGTCGACGGCCTTTCCGGGCCCATCAACAATGGATGCCATTTGTCCAGCACCGAGCCAGTTGCGCAGCCACTCCCTTCCCTCCTTCGGCCACGCCATCGCAAAGCCTTCCTGTACAGCCTCCAACTGCGCGCGTATGCAGCCGTAGAGATGATGCTGCGCTATGGCGAGCGCGTACTCGTGTCGGTTGGCCAGAGTGACCGGACGATGTTGTCCGCCTGATATGAGGGGGCGTGTCGAGCCGTCGGGAGAAGTGACAGTCCAGTTGAGGGAGAAAGTCTGATCGAAGGTGCGCTCAGGATCCGTGTCTGTGTCGTCTGGTCGCCAGGCAAGGATACTGCGGAGGCTGCGAGCCAGAGTCGGATACGTGGTGGCAAGATCGTCCAGCGCTCCATTTTCGTCGACATCATCCAGCAGCCATTTTGCCACGCTCTCCGCCAGTCTCACCCCGACTCCAATGCCGAGCAGAAGCGCTATGCCCACCACCAGGCCAAGCAGCCTGGCATGCTCCACTATGGCCTCCTCCGCAAAGACTAGATTCCCTTGGCCCTCTTCGGCCTCACGCACGGTGCCTTCACTCAGTAGGGCAGCAGTGAGCAAGCTCAACCACTCCCGCCTAAGCCCGCCCAACACCGAGTCGACCCCTTCTTCGCCCTCGAAGTGCACGGCAAAGTGCGGTCCATGCTGCCAAAGCAGCGCGCTATCCTTTCTGCCCATGGCAACAAGCGTATCCTCCAGCAGGTGGGAGCGTCGTACTCGCAGGCAAGGTGGCGCATTACGATCTCCTTGCCCCTCTTGCGCCTCAGGCCGATAGAAGGAAGACCATAACCTCTCCCGCCGGGCTTGAGATGCTATACGGTCGGCTTCTTGGGAGAGGAGGCGCAGCTTTGTGCTGAGGGGGAGGAGGAAGGAGTATGTCCGAGCGGGGAGACCGGGCAGGAGCTCGTAACGGGAGGTTGGTTTGAAGGTGGGGTCGTCCAGGGAGGTGGCCTGGAATATTGATGGCGGTAGATGAGGAAAGCCTAGGTGCAGAAGATGAAAAGTGTGGGCCAGATGGGTGAGAGTAGGAGATGGAGTAGAGACGCGATGCTGCTTGATTAGAGCGTTGAGCGGCTCGAGCAAGCCAGCAGCTAAAGTGCAGGCCGTATCGTCATCCAAATGTGATGGTGCTGCATCATCACCAGCATCGTTTAGGGCACGTAGTATCTCTTGCCAAGCATCACTGCCTCTTCTTTCCTCGCCTTGATCGAACCGCAGATCCAAGCAAAGTTGCAGCAGCCTCCAAAGAGCGGGAGGGGTATGCTCGTTAGCCAACGAGACCAGGGTAGAAGCGATGATGTCGCGGCATGTCTGAGCCACTTCTTCAGGCCAGGTCGAAAGTGCTGCAGCAGGTGAGAGCGTCCAGTGTGCGGACAGAAGCATCGGGCTGCTGCTGAGGTCGTACTGGAATTTTTCGATGACGGGCGCAAGGGGGTCGAGAGCCTGGCTGGAAGAGGACGAGGAGCCATTCTCTCTGCGCTGTACAGCTTGCAGCCGAGTCGAACGGTGGTAGGCTGCGATGACCTCCGGTAGGTCCATGCTGGTCGTGGATCCGTATCGTGGAGTTGAGGGAGCGGTAGCTTGTCCCTCCCTGCCAGCTCTGAGGACGCGACCACTCCCTTGCTGAGTCCTCTTCGGCGTCCCTCGCTGCGGCTCATGTCTCTCATAGATGAAATCAGTCCCACCGCCAATCACCTCCCTCGCCTTGACCCTGTTCTTTCCCTTCAATCCCGCCTCACTCAAGTCACGCACGATGACCCTACTCATCCCGTACATCTGCACCGGCCCGCGGTAGAAGTCTTCATCTTCTCCCTGCTGGAGTCCCTCGGCCGCGCTCTTCTCAAGGTCTCGTAGCGTAGTGATATCCGGGCCTGACGAAGAGCTAGGCAAGAGACCAGTCTCAGCCATGAGCTTGGCCAGATCTTCTTGCTCCGCCTGCTGGCGGGCGAGGGCGCGCGTCTGGATCTCTTGAAGGCGTGAGGGGTAGGATTGACGAGGAGCGGGAGACCAGGGATTTGAACGATCACGTCTGCGCGAGGGGTTGGAAGATAGAGCGGGGAATCCTGACGATGGTGTTGAGGACGAGGAGGAGGGGTCGGGAGAGGACCATGCTGATTTTGTGGGGGGAGTGGAGGACCAGGCTTTAGCGGGAGGTCGTGAGGGGCGAGCGGGACTGATGTCCTGCCCTTGGCTGGATGAGGATCTCATAGTGGCGATGAAAAAGCCAGTCACGTCATGTGGTTGAGTCACGATATGCTGAGGCGCTAGATGATATTGAGACGATCATGACGATGGTGTGGCGTTTAAGACCAAAAAGTCGCCGAGACTCGACTCGACTCGTGAGACCGGGCGGACAGAGGGGCAGGATCAGATGGCAAACGGAAGCAGAGACGAGGCTGCCTTGGCATCGAAACACTCGCGTGGCTCATTTGACCGACTTGTCTCCTCTTGTCCACTATCATCACCCTTTGCCCCTTCATCGCGGCCAGCCATGGCTGCAGAAGGCGAAAATGGCCGCTTACTACCGCATCACAGTGATCGACCATCATACCAGAGTATACCGATCGGCCAGCCACGCCGACCTTCAGACGCATCGGACTCGTCCTTTTCCACATCGTCTACCTCTTCATCCACGCTGCCTTCCTACTCCTGGCTCATCCTCTCTCATGCACTGGGCATCGTTCCGACTTTGCTTTTCCTTGCAGCATTCACGGCCGCAGCACTAAAGCAGCCATGCCGGCTGCCGAAGCCGACGAAATGCGGCGGCGAGCAGCATCTCAACGAGGACAAGGCTGCGCAGCATTGCTCCCAGCTGCTCGGCCCGGCGTCAATGCTCAGCTGGTCCCTCTTTCTCCTCTCAGTAGCAGCATTCACTGCAGCGCACAAAGTACGCAATCTGATCTCGCGGCTGTGCACCCTTGCTCTGCGGCTGGGGCGAGCCTGCTCCCTCGCATCAATGCGCTCCTCTTCACCCTCGCCGAGAGCGTCCCTCACGCCGCGAGTGCCAGACGAGACGTCCCGCTACGATTTGCTGGCAAAGAACGAGGACGACACAGCTGCAACGATCTTCAGCTTCGTCTCACGCGCCCTCTTTACTGAAGGATTCAAGATTCTCCTCATCGTAGTCGCGTCCGCCGTCGTTCTCGCAAAGACTCTCGTCGATGTGGCAGGCGACCAAGACGTAGCTTCTTCTCTGCCGGCATCTACCCTGCGCCATCACTCGAAACAACAACGCCATGTCCCGCGCTTTACACAGCTCGAAGCCCAAGATGGGCGTTTTCGTATCGCAGTCTGGCTCGCGCTAGGCTGGGCAACCGCTGAGCTGCTCAGTGGGACGGTCCAGCTCTTCAGACAGTTGAGCATGTACAGCCCAACCCTGCTGGATGAAGCGGGTGAGGCGTTCCTGCTCGGTGGTCATGGGGAGGGGGGTATTATCGAGGAAGAAGATGAGGACGACCTGGACGTAGTGGGAGGAGTCGATCTGCCACACAGCTTGACGCAGGGCAAGGCAGCACAGCAAGAGGGAGAAGCTCCCTCGGAGCAGGGATCCATCTATCGTGGGCAGAATCCAGGAGCAGCAGCCCTCTCCTCCGCAAGGCAGACGCTGCAGTCACAGCGACCACGCTCCTCATCCTCGTCGTCCTCCGCAGCGTCGCACACGCCTCCGCAACTAGACGCGACCGCCATCCGCCGGCTTGAGTCGCAGATCGACCGCCTCATTGCGGCACGCACGCGCGTCAAGCTGGAGCGTACATTGGGAGCATCACTGCCCGACCTTCCCGTAGCCATCTCCGCTGTCTGGCAACTCGACTCGGCGCTATGGAGCACGGGAAGCGTTCTGCTCCTCTCGGCTGCGGTCGCACTCGGGCAAGGGGTGACGCTCTTTGGCTCTGGGAGGCATCGAGACGAGGAAGCAAGAGAAGGTCACCCGCGCCTCTTCCCCGCTGCGGCGGACTTATGGATCACCTTTACCGTCCTCGCAGCTCTGTACGCAGTCTTCCACTCGGTCTGGCGATTGGCCCTCGCTTCGTGGTGGGTCACGTACCCTTCCCTGCTTGTGGGGTTGGGGATGGTGGTTGCGGGTTTGGCTAGGTGGGGATTGGTGGTGTAAGAAGATCTGCTGCATCGATTGATACCCGGAACCGCTGATTGCGAGACTCGCAATACTTTTAGTGAGGCGAAGAGCAGTGAGGAATGGCATCAACATTGTTCTCGTAATCTCGCAAGATATACAGGTATGTCATGCCAATCAAGCCGGCATTGCACCCGATCAGCGCCTCCCTCACGGCGAGCAGTACACGCACAGATCGACGTTAGGATCAATCGAGAAGATAGCCTCAGTTCGAGCTTTCACCCTACTGTCCTGCAGCCAAAAGCCGGTCAGCTTTCTGTTCTTTGCACCGGAGGGATCAAAAGTCTTGACGTCCCTTGTACGAGCGCACAGGGTAGAGAGTCAGCTCGATTGGCCCCTCGCCTCGCATTACAAGTCGCTACTCCTCACTTGTTGGAAGGCATGCTCCAGGTGGCAACACTACCATCGCAACCCCTCACGCTCCCCTCGGAACCGCGGTAGTGGTTCAGCAAGGCAACGGTGAACCCGTCGGGCATCAATTGCATGCGGTCGATGCCCTTGGCAGCGTTTATCTCGATTCCGCGGCCAGCAAAGATGCACATTGACTCGGGTTCTGCGTACGCGTACGTAAGAGCGGATCGTGAGGGAAGGGCACGTGGTGGTGAGCGCGATGGACGCGATTGCGGTTTAGCAGGGAAGACTCACGGCCACACATTTCACCGATGTTCGTTTCTGCGGATCGAAGAGCCGTTCGCAGAGGCGATCCAAGAGGGTCAGGTCAGCTACTTTCACCTTCACCGACAAGCTTCGGGCATTACAACATACGGGCCAGGCTGCCAAAGTCGGGGATTCCAGCATCCGTGCCGTTGACGGGCGTGGCGTTGCCTTGCTGAGCCGCGAGTAGCAGAGAAGAGGTGGCCAAGGCGAAGGACAAAATCAAGTTGGAGAACATCGCGCGCCAGATGGGGGAAGTCGAGGATGAGAAGGCAGGTACAACAAGACAACGGGCACCTTCTTATAGCTCTCTCGGACGAGCCGATTGCTGATCTAACAAAGCAGCAGCAGACGATCCATTGGAGGACCCAGCGGGCCGTCATTAGCAGAGAAGAGCCGAGGTGAGGCAATCCCTTGCTCAATAAGATCCATCGACATCTCCATAGGCAATGCACAGCCTCCGCCGCAACGGGGTACAGCTACATCGCCGATACGGCCCTATCGGTTTGTTGCAAGGTTTCCCGTCCAGTCGCTGTTTGTGAGCACATTGAGGTGCTTTCTTCCCGCATCCGCAACGAGGCGAGAAGGGGAGCGGCTCGTAGGCGGTGGCCGAGTCAGTAAGCCACCGTCAAGGAGCGGCTGGAGGATGCGGCGGCACGGCTTGCGTTGGGGTCTGGTCGGCGGCCCGACGTGGTGAGCCCTGTCGATCGTCGTGCTTGTTCGCCTCGTCGCCTCTCTGAGGCTGTTCGCCCTTCGTGGTCGTAGTACGAGGGTCAGACGTCGAGGCCAGGTGATACGATTGAAAAACGATCGACTCATCAAGAGACGCGGAGGGACTACATTATGGTGTGACCTCTTCGGTCGGCCAGTCTGCGCCTACTCGTCATCGTCGCCATTGCCTTCCTCCTCCACGCCCGCGTCCGCAACGTCAGCCGCTCCATTTTTCTTGCCATCAACATCCTGATCATAGCAATACAAGAACAAGTCTGCACTAGGGCTCTGACTCTCCACCGTCCCATGCGTTGCCACTTTCCCCGGATTATCCACAAAGAATCCCGCAATATTGTTGTTGTTCTGGCCCGAGACGTCGAGAATCTTGGTGCCCTGACTCCCGTCTCCTGGGTGCATGTTGAAGAAGGCGCGTGAGGCGTTGCATCCATGGGCGGAGCCGCGTGCCCCAGTAGCTGTGTCTAGGACGTAGATATGTACGCCCGTGTCGGTCATGGGGAGCGGTTGGGCCTTGCCTGCGTCGAGGGTGATGTTTACGCCCTTGGTTGCGTAGATGCACATCTGAGTGGGCTGTTGGCAGGCGGGGGCGAGGTTGGTGACTGACGTGGCTGGGCAGGGCGTTCGGAGCGAGGTGAGCTTGTGAAGTAGACGATGGAACAATGAGGGGGAGACTCACCAGCAGTGACATTCTTGGCTGCTGTGACGTCAGGCGAGAAGAGGGCAAGGGCCAGAGCTGCGGCTGCAGCCAAACGCTTGGAGTAGAGCATCTCAAGGTGTTGTGAATAGGATGTCAAGCAGCTCGTATGATTCTCGTGAAGTTGTCTGTGTTGCCCTTTCGTCGGCCGCATACTAGCCCTTTCGAGGGGCTCAAGCGTGTTCTCAGGGTCCGGCGGGCACGGATTCTGGCGCGTCTGGGCTTGCCTTCTCGCTCAGACCCCTCTTTTGTTTGCGCAACCGCCATTCGAGGGGCACGGCCGTCAATAGAAGCATGGCGATGCAGCTTCCCTCAAACTCGATGAGAAATAGTCCCTCGTCTTGCGAGATGTCTGAATCTACGCCGGCGGCCGTTTCTGCTAGGCGGCTGCGAGAGTGGCGTGTCAGCGGGACGTGGAGCGCTGTCGTCTTCGCTCGTGGACGCTCACAAGATGATCCTCATCCACAGCAGCAACGAAGCGACCGTGATGCTGGCGAGAAGCATCATATCCGGCGAATGCCACTTGTACTTCCTCCAACCCTTGACGCAGAATGAGGTGAAGAGGGCGATGAAGATGCCAAAGAAGCAGGTCTGCACGGCCAGACCCGCCGTAAGGATCTTGTTGGCATTCTCGGGTGTCAGCGGCGGCGTCTCCCCATCAGCGATACGGCTGTATCCTACGCCGATCAAGGCAGCACCTGCCACTTGCAAGACCGTGGTGACGGCGTCCACCGTCACGAAGGTCGCGAGGATGGCACGTGGCTTCAGACCAAAGGGCAGCGAGGCTGCAGCCCGCGCGTCGCTCGCGATGATGATGGAGAGGGAGAGGTAGATGGCAGCTGAGAAGAAGACGGGCGCTACTACGATCATGAAGTCTATGTACGGAGTATTGAGGAGGGAGTACTGTGAGAAGAGCGGGATGTAGGCTGCGCCTCTGAGGCTCACATTGGAGGACGAAGGGGATGAGGAGGAAAGGATTCGAGTGGGAGCGCAGACGGAAGGCGAAGCCTACGATTTCCATGGCTGCGGCGAAAGCGATCAAGCTGGACGTAGAGTGGCACGTCAACGCCGAGCCCGGACGACGTCACTCTACATCCACTCACCCGTGATAGACCCTCGTCTTCTTCCCAAAACGCACCGCCCATGCGACATTCCCCACGACGACGATGCCAAAGAGCACCAGCGCCGCAACAGCCAATGACAGAGAAGGCGTGTAGCCATAGATGTTTATGCCGGTCTCGCCATCTCCAGGCGGCTGACGTGGGTTCACTGGACGAGGCATTGCGATGAGTTGGATGATGGCGTGAGTAAGGATGCAAGAAGAACTAGCCGGGGTCCAGAGACGATTGGACGTGAGATCCGGGGCGCCAAGCCTGCATGTTCCTGCAGGCTCAGAGTGCCGAGCGTCTCATCTCAGGTCAGACGCGGACACGGACACGGAGAGCCGCGTCATGACTACCACAGAGACGTGTGGTAACAACGACGGCCACGACGACAATGAGGGGAGGATCTGAAGCTTCACTGCGACTCAAGAGGTGGTCTAGCGCCTTTCACGCTACCGGAATGCCCCTTCAACACAAAGCATCAAGCAAGGAACATAAAACATAAAACACAACAAAACATGACGTGCAGGTCTTCACGATCGCACGTACCCACGATGCTCGAGCACGGCGACGATGGGTTGTGGCAAGGAGAAGTGAGGTGCTCCATCCCGCGTATGGTATGGACGCTCAGGGCTCGCAGTGACATATAGTACATAGCGTATAGCACATAGCATATAGCATATAGCATATAGCATATAGCATATAGCATATAGCATATAGCATATGACATGCCTTGCAGCCGTGCGTGAAGACTTTTGCATGAAGGTCATCCACCAGGGGCGACGAGTACCGCATTCTCAGGATGTCCAGTGCCTGCAAAGAATCGCAACAGTCCTTGAGCTCGTTCATGGACACCTCATGCAGCTATGAGGTCGCCAAAGGTTATAGAAGGGAGCTTTTGAGATGAGAAGCTGTTCCCTCTCGTCATCAGACCGTCTCTCCCCCTCTGGCAAGCGCTACGCTGTCGTGCACTCTCAGAACCATGCATGCTCGAAGGCTATGCCCACCGTGATGCTTTTGCTTGCGTCCGTTCAAACACTACAAGTTCGAGGTTCGCTCCTTGTGAAAATGAACATCAGGAGTTCATTGCTCTCCAATCTTGCTCAACGAAACGAATGTGATTTCCAAAGATTGACTACGATCCTGATTCTGTGCGCCAAATCAGCAGTTAAAGAAGCGCCTGAGAGCGGGAGAGAGGCGTGCACATCGCGACGAGGTGCTGCCCGTTGATCCGGTGCTTCCCCCCGTCGATCCGGTGTTGCCACCGCTGGGAGCCGTGCACTGGCCGTTGGTCGTGGCAAAGTCGGGCTTCGTGCTGTCGCAAGGGGAGCAGACGTCTAGTCAGCTTCGCCGTAGCCTCATCTTCGCCGCGGGCGTGCACTCACACATCAGTGCAAGGGAAGTTGCTTCCACACGATGATCCCTTTGAGTAGAAGCAGCCGCACGTCCCATTGCAGCAAGCCTTGCAGACGTTACCGCTGCAGCTGACCGAGGATGATGAGCAGCATACATTGATACCGCCACTGCAGGCTCCACGTGCTGCGAGCTGGTGGAGCTCAGGGTCCAGAGGCGTGGCGGAGACGGTGAGGGCGAGGGCGGCCGCGGAGATGAGGAGCAAGGTGAAGCGCATGTTGGTCGCAGTGGGGGTGATGGAAGGAAGCAGGGGATAGTCGCGCCTCCCTCAAGCCCTTATATGACGGACTTCTCGACCGGCGACCATTCGCCTGCCCCTCGCCTTGCCCCGCCAAGGAGGAGAAGGCCGAGACTCCCAATTCGAAATGGAATCGACTTGCTGCTCCACTCAATCGACTTGACTCCGCCCGATCTGTTTGTCCGCTCGTGCCTGCATGGACGGCTCACCGGCGGGGCGGGGCACCAGAGGAGAGCAGCGGCGCGGCGACTGGATGTGGCTTGACTCCGCACCACTCGCACTCCGCGTACGAGACACAACGTCACCGTTCGGCAGGGGTCTAGTGGCCGTCGATGCTCACATTCATCGCGTGGTGATCATTGACCGCAGTCGACTGGACATCCCCGCAAGATGAGTGGGTCGTGGTGGCCGTGGAACTCTTCCGCTGGGTCACAAGCGTTCTGGAGCCGCAATGGTTATGCGGAAGAGGCCCAACCTCTGCTATCGGGCCGTGCCGCCCCGAGGAATGGCGACGAGGGCATCGATGATGAGAAGCGCCGTGCGAGCGAGCGAGACTCCTTCTCCTCAACCACGACCGTGCGCAACATGACCGCTGCATTCGCCCTACTCGTCTTGGTGGCTCTTATGGCCATGGCCAGCGCCCTTCCGAAGGTCCTGCCCAAATCTGGCTCTTCGCCGCACGCGTACGATTCCCTTTACCACCCAGTCGAAGGCCCAAAGGTCTATCCACTCTCGTCGACCGAATCGCACGCGTGGCCGCTACCACTGGCATGGACTCAGTCTACTCAATCCCTCGCCCATGCAAGCCTTGGCGACGACACCCTCTCGCCAGCCGCTGGCCTGAACTGGCACCTGACCAATTTCAATGGATCAATCGAAATCCCAGCCCTCTTTCCCTCTCAAGCTCATCTCGATCTCATACAGGCGGGCACCATCCGCGAGCCAAGCATCGAGCTCGACGAGGGTCCTGCTCGCTGGATCATCAACGACACATGGACTTGGACCGCCTCGCTCCTCCCGCTAGCCAAAGCCATCTCTGCCCACAAAGAGCTGCTCCTCTTCTTTCGCGGTCTGGACACGGTCTGCAAAATCTTCGTGGGCGGCGAACCTCTCGCGGTGACGGACAATGAGTTTCGCGAGTACCTCTTTCTCAATGCCACGCCGCTTCTCAAGGATGCGGCGAGCATCGGGTCCAACCTCACGTTGATCTTCCAGAGCGCTGCCAATTACTCGAAGCAGGCGAGTATAGACCATCCTCACACTCCGTGGCCTGACGGGCTTGCTCAAACCTATCAGTATCCGTACCGGCAGGATATACGCAAAGGGCAGAGCGACTTTGGCTGGGACTGGGGGCCAGCGTATTTGCCCACCGGGCCGGTCAGGCCTGCATACATCGTGGGACTAGACGACGAGAATGACGCCAATCGAACATCCGTCGACGGTAACAGTACCTCGCTCTTCGTCGCCCGCTCCTCGCTCGACGTGTACCGCGAGGGCAGCTTCAACAACTTGCCTCCCAATCAGCATGCTTCCTGGATCGTCAATGCTACGATGGACATTTACGCCCTGCATGACCTGCCTGGCGCGCAACTCGACATCACTGTGCTCGGCACGAAGCATGCTGCCACCAACGTTACCCTCTCCCGTCCTCTGCGGGCGGGTCTCAATGAAGGCGTATGGGCGACGATGAAGGTTCCCGCTACAGGGCCTAACGCACCCGACCTGTGGTGGCCAGCACGTCATGGCAAGCCTACCCTCTACGACGTCGAGATGGGCCTCACCGCTCCTCGTCTCCGCGACACCCGCACATCATGGCGCAAACGTACAGGCTTCCGCACGATTGTCGTCAATCAAGAGCCAGTCACGACCGCTGAGGTAGCACGAGGCTGGGCTCCCGGCTCACACTGGCAGGTTGAAGTCAACGGCAAGCCCGTCTACACGCACGGTGCCAACCTCATCCCTCTCGATACATTTGCGCCGCGTGTCTCCCTCGACTCAATCGACTGGCTCACCTCATCGGTGCTCGCCACGGGAGGCAATCTGATCCGGATCTGGGGAGGCGGGATCTATCAACCCGACGCTCTTTACGACCTCTGCGACGAAAAGGGCATCATGCTCTGGTCCGAAACCATCTTTGCCGATTCGATGTATCCAATCAATCCGCCCTTCTTGGAGAGCGTCCGGCACGAGGTGAGGGAGAATGTCCTGCGCCTCAATCACCACCCATCGCAGATGCTCTGGGCAGGCAACAATGAGGGAGAGCCCGTGCTTTTCCTCGTCGCTGATGGCCCCAAGGTCAGCAAGGAAAATCGCACCCGCTTCTACCGCGAGTATGAGCTGCTCTTTGATGAGGTGATCCTGGGTGAAGTGAAGGGCCATAGCAGGAAGGACTCGTACATTCCGAGCTCGACGACGTACGGGTACAAGAAGCTTGATCCGTACGTGCCGAGGTACAAAGATTTCCCCAAGAATGAGGTGCACGGCAACGTGAATAGCATGAGACGCGATCGCTGAATGGATGGTCTGACTGATCGCTTGTTCCCCGCGCACGCAGGGCGAATATTACGGCTACTCTGCACCTCAATTCTTCAACACCAGCGCGTACACCTTCTCGTCACCGTTTCGCATGGTCAACGAGTATGGCATGCATGCCATGGCGTCTACCCATGGTCTCGAGCGCGTCCTGGCCCCAGCTACCAGCGCGCCGCAACAATGGTCTTTCAACTCCACACAGATCGTCAGCCACAACAAACATTCTCCTCCTGGCAACCTCACCTTCCCCTTTTTCCCGGAGGACGGGCAAGGGCAGATGAGCGATGCGGTCAAGCTTTACTTGCCCACGCCGGCCGCAAGGGCGAATGGCACGCTGCAGATCAGACAGTGGAGTTATGCGACGCAGCTCATCCAGCTCATTTACGTCGCGCAAGCCCAGACCCTCGAGTATCGTCATCGCGGCATCGGACCGCAGCGCAATAGTGGCGCGGTGTACTGGCAGTTGAATGACGTTTGGCCTGGCTCGACGAGCTGGTCCAGCATTGAGCTTGGCGGCAGGTGGAAGCCCCTGCATTATGGCATGGCAAAAGCTCAAGCTCCTCTGGTGGTGTATGCGAATTGGAACGCAACAATCGTCGGAGAAGAGCCAACGCTCAGCTTGGTAGCACTCTGGGATCGGGAGACTGCGCCTAACGGTGGCAAAGTCAGGGCTACGTGGTACGACTGGGAGGGCAAGGCCGTCGGTGCATCGCGAGAGTACGAGATTGACATCGATCAGAAAGACAGCGAGGCCAATGAGCAGGATACCGTTGGCGGGCAAGTGATCACTTCGCCTGCGCCGCTGGCCAAGTACGTGTCTCCAGGAGTCGATACGACCGCGGTGTGGCTTCATCTTGAGGTCAAGGCCGACTCGATTTCCACTGCGGCCGGCGCGCAGCAGGAATCCTACAGTTGGGAAGATTTCTGGACTCCTCCCGGCAACCTCGCTTCACCTGCGACGCTCAAGGCTCTGCAAGAATTAGGGCAGGGCAAAGTAGAGCTACGTGAGCTCCGACGAGGCAGCGAAAAGGAGCCGGACGACGATCGTCGCGTCAGCGAGGGAAGGAAGAGCGTGACGCGTCGGTTTGAGGTGGTCAATACCGGCACAAAAGTGGCGCCTTACGTCTGGCTGGACCATCCAGAAGGGACGTTAGGCTGGTTTGAGGAGGAGCATAGCGGCGCAAAGAGTGTGGCGCACGGCTCGATACGGCGTTCTCGCCAGCAGCGTCAAAGCGTCCTTTTGCGCGAAGAGGATCAAACGAGCAGGGTCATCCATACGCGAGCCGGCTCGCGCGACCACGGCTCGTCGCCCAAAGCTAAGCCGAACAATCTCTTTTGGCTTCGGCCTGGCGAAAGGCGCGTCGTGCGCTTCGTGCAGCGCTACGGTGGTCAGAAGGAGGAGGGGCACTTTGATGTTTGGAGCTTGGCTGAGTTATTGCGGAAGACGTGAGAGGGAAAGGGAGAGGAGGCACTAATCATCGAGTCATCGTCCGTCGAATACACAACGTCATTGCCCATCGTCATGCTCTCTGCGCGCGCGCCTAGATCCATCCACCATTACTGCGCAGACACTCCGGCGAGATAGAGACGACGTGGCGACGAGGTTGCGGCATGGGCGCTACACCCGAGTTGGCTCCTGCGGGCCTTCGGGGAGCAGCCTCGGCACGCACCTGTGCGAGCGTCGTCGTCTTGGGCGTGAAGGCTGGCCTAGGTGGGCGAAATGGCGTTCCCTTGCCTACGTTGGCAGCATTGGAAGAATGTGCGGCATTGTTCATGATGAGGCTGCTCAAAGGGCGCGGAGGGCGTGGTGGGCGATGAGGTCGCTGCTCAGTGATCCTGACCGAAGCTGGAGGGGCATTCTCATCTTGCTCTTGGTCTCCAACTGCCGCTGTCACCTTGGACTGGCCATTGCGATAGGTTGTCTTGCTGGCAGAGGCCGGGCAGCCGCCACGCAGCGCTGCGTCAATTGCTACCTGCAGAGCATCATCCTGCGATGCGAGAGCGCGTAGGTTTTCTGTTCGCGCAGGGGTGATGGGAACGAGCGGCGTTGCGGGTAGGGAGATGCTCTTGGTAGCTCGCTGCGTCGGACTTATCACGGTAGTGTCGGCTGAGCTTGCGTCTTGGTTCGAAGAGCTTGCAGGATCGGTAGGGAAAGTGATTGTCTTGCGCTTGATGTTGAGGGGATGCATGGCCGTCGCGAGACCAGCAGGCGACTGCAGCTCCCCGACCGTGTCTTGATACTCTTCGCCTCCGTACTGCTCCTCGACCATAGCCTCGATGCGACGGTCCATTGAGTCATCCGCGAGGCGCAGGGATTGAAGCGGCTGCTCGGGCAGTGGGGTGATTGCGCCTGTAAGAGGTCGCGGCAGAGCTGGCCGGAGCACCTCTCGAGGCGTCGCATCATCGTAGAAGAGTCGAGGGTTGCATGCCTCGCACGCCCTCGAGAGGTCACGCTCTTGTCCCGGGACGGCTATGTTGCAAAGCGGAAGACTGAGTGTATCCTTCTCGAGCGCCGGCTTCTTCATTCCCAGCAAGCCCGAAACGCTCTTCTGCCTGCGCGTAGCGCCAAGCTTCTCGGCCAGGAGCAGCGAGCGTCGCCTCGCATGGCTGTGTACGGGTGCAGGCGGAGTGTTGCTGACGGACAGGGATTTGCGGCGCTCAGGTGAAGCGATGATCGAGTGGAGGAGCTCGTAGGAGTCAGAGAGCGAGGGTGCTGGTGATACGGGAGGAAGAGGTGGGGCAAGACCGTAGTCGAGGCTGGTCATCCGCACCAAGCTGGACGGAGGAGCGTGGTCTCCCGCGCTGAGAAGCGGGGCAGAGTGGCGACGGAGCGGCTCTCCGCCAGATTGGCTGTCGCAGAGATGAACTGAAGTGAAGGGCGATAGCTCCGCAGGAGGCGATTGCCAGTACTCGCCGTCAAGACCCACTGCGCGGCGAGGAGTCGAGCAAGTGACGGCGATGGGAGAGACAGTCTGAGGAATGCGGCTGATGGTGTGCTTGGCCGGGACTGCAACGGTGTCACCTCGGCAAGGCCTGTCGTACCTTTCCTTTGCGCTGAAATTCGACCCAATGGATCGATTACTTGTACCATCGTTACCCTCTCCTTGAGCTGAGCATGCGACTGCGAGTACGCGATTGGCTCCTTTCGCCTGCGACCGCGACCCCTCCGTTGAGCCAGAGCGATTGACAACCGAAGCTGCAGCCCAGTCACTTGCCGTTACCGCTCCCTCCTCGCTTTGCTCCGTCACGGTTGAAAGGTTGCCGTGCGGCCATTTGTAGGCGTGCAGCTGCAGAGGAGTGAGCCCACGTAGGTCGAGACGGACTGCACCTCTTTCGTCCTGCTCCTGCTCATGCGGCGTCGTGATGAGGCTGAGCGCCGATGATGGTGAGGGCAGCTCAACTGCAGGTGAGCACGAGGGCAAGTCGGTTTGGGTCGCTGCGGCGCTCGTCAGCCCTTCTCCCGGAGAAGAGGTGGGGAGAGACACATCGGGTGAGAGGACGATCTCGGTGCTACTGCAGAATGTGCTGCTGCTACGGTCCCCTGCTGTAATTTGGCTGTCGCTTGTCATCCTGTGCGCCTGCCTGTCAATGCTTTGCGAAACCTTATCGTTGCCTTTGGACGGGGAGACTGCGGTGAGCAGACCAAGCTCAGAGCTCAGACTGCGACGTCCTCGAACTTCGGCAGGAGTAGACATGCCCGCCACCTTTCGCATCCCGAGCGTGCTGCCTAGAGACTGGCATCTTTCCACGAGAGAGCCATATAGCATCGTAGTCGGTGTAGAGGCAGGGGACGCCGAGTGCTGCGGCGAGGAGGCAGATCCACTAGATGGACTCCAGGTCCGCTCCCTCTGCAGAGCAACAGCTTGAACACATGCTTCGTGCCCTGCTGCCTTCGATCGAGCGTTGGCGATTCCGGCTAAAGAAGGTTGCAGTCCCTCGCGACACTGTTCGCCTTTCCTTGCTCGAAGCAACGAGCCGGGGGAGAGGGAGATACTGGAGCTCCTCGCGTGCTCTCCTAGACCATCGTTCTCCCTCGCTGACGGACTTGTCGCGGACTGCACCCAACTCATAGGCCGACGTGGAACGCTTAGAGTCACGGGAGAAGAGCAGGCGGGCGGTGGCGGCGGAGAGCCGCGTCTCTTGATCTGCGAGGGCGGCGAGCAGAGGGAGGTGGAGACCAGTGATCCATCGACCTCGAGAGAAGATGCTGTAGGCGATGAGAAGCAGGAGCGTGGCTCGTCTGCAGGGGGGCCGGGGGGCTTGTGACCTGCGTATGCAGGAGTCAGGGAAGACTGTGGCGCAATTTGCGGTACCTGACTCCAAGGCTCCGCAGCGATGTGGATGATTGTCTGCTCATCGGTGGTATCGAGTCCCTGCACCTCTTCGCCGGCGAGGTCGCCGTCTGACCTCAACAGAGTCGGCATCTCGAGGCTCACATCGCCGCTGGCCTCGCTAGTGAAGCTGTGAAATTCTTCGCCTTCAGTCTCACCTGGCTCCGTAGAAGGTCGGCAGCTCCCATTGTTGGCGCGCACTCGCAGAGCGTCCTCAGGGCAGAGCAAGCTAAGGGGCAGAGAGATGTGAGGCAAGGATAGTGTTGGGAAGCTGTCCGACGCCAAAGCGACGTCCGCAGGAGAGTCCCTCGCTTGACGACAGGTGCGAGCACCGATGGTGAATGAATCGCCAACTGGGTGGGCGTAAGCTCCAGGCAGTCGTGCAGGAGAAGCAAACGGTGTGGCAGAATGGCGAGCGCGACCTGGCGAGCTGAGCAGGACCGAGTGATCTGCTCCGACGTTGACGACGGAATGAGCGCCGCCTGCGACGTCCATTGCAAGGCTGATTGCAGAGGTGGCTGCTTTATTGACTGCTCCTCCTACAGCAGGCAGTACCTCGAGACGTGGTCGATGCGCAAAAGCTACGCTGCTTGCTCGACGCCAGAGGCTGCGCGCTGAGGCGACGCGATCTTTGATGACGAGGCCAGCGTGCCAGTGGGTTGGCGCGTAGGGGACTGATGCGGGGCGACGACGTAGGCGAAGTGGAGGACATTTGGGCATGCTTTGAGCTTTGCAGCGCAACTCGTAGACTGCGTAAAAGGCTGGAAGCAGGGCTGCGGGCAGTGCGAAGGTATCGGTCAGCTTTGCTTGTTCTCCGACCAGAACGCGCGATTCACGAGCTCACCTGATGTAGACGCGCCAAAGAAGAAGAGCTGAGGAAGTGCAAGAGGCGTAGGCCCTTTGCTTCGCCCAGCAACGAGCGGATGAAGAAGCCAAGGCACAGCCGTCCCCACAGAGATCCAGGCGCTTATGAGGGCGAGGCAGAGTCTCAGCGAAGCACCCTTGGCCGCCGACTCGCTCTCAAGCTCGCGACCAGCGCGACTTGCCAGATCAAGGGCGCAAAGGACGCCAAAGGGGTCGTGAGCCGGGCGCTGATCATCGCACTCTGGTGAAGTCTCGCCGAGTGTCAAGTCCCGGCAAGGTGTGGTGCGAGCAGACGAGGAGTGAGGGCTAGGGGCTGTGATTGTGTGGTGCTGAGAAGCAGTGCAGTCTGAGGGCTGACGTGAAGGCGGCTCATTGACGGCCACATCAGGGCGCCTTGCCTGCTGAAGCATCATCTCGAAGTCATCCTGCGCTGCTTGGAAGCGATGAGGTGTGAAGAGCATCGAATTGAAGGAGAGGGAGGGTGCAGTGATGTCGGGCAGGCTGGTAGAGATTTGGCACTTCCTTTCCTCGCCTTCGTGAGGTTGGATGCTGCGGGCCACGCCTTTCCTTCGTAAGCGCGACCACTGCAGGAGAGCAAAGAGGCTGGCCAGGCAGGCTGTATTGAAGACCAGGGCGGTGAAGAGGAGCACGACGAGGGCAATGTGCCTAGCGTTGTCGCCGGCGATGGCTGACCAGGGGAGCAGTACGGCAAGAGCCAACGCGATGCTACATGTTGCGAGTGGCAGCCAATGCAAAGGGCGCATCGCGGGCGTTGCGACTTTCGTGCTACCTACTAGAGCGCTACTCGCAGCTCCAGCGACGTAAAACGGCTGAACCAGTAAGACTGACGTGGTAAGGAAGCTTGAAACCGGTGTCACCATCGGGCTGACTGGGACGGGCTGCTGCCGAGAAGTGATGACCACGAGAGGGAGTAGCGCAGCAGTGCTGATGATGTGGACCAGTGGATCAAGGAGCGTAGCAGAGAGGAGCGCGGGCTGTCGCACTTTGCTGCTGCTCAAGTGGCGGCGGACTGCTACAGCGCCGACAACGAGGCTGACGAGAAGCGACGCCGACGCATCGGCCATGGCAAGAATCGCCCACGTAGAGACGGGCGAGCTTGTCATGTGTGAGGACAGATCGAGGCTTGCGATCGAAGAGAAAGGAGGATGGCGAGGAAGACAGTTGAGGGCTAGCGCACCAAGTGGAAACCTCCTTCCAATGCGGGTAGAAGTTGGACCATCTCACTCCTCGTAGATTGCCGCCCTCCTTGTTGATGAGCGCGGGCGACGCGCACTGGCACCTGCTCCAGGACAGGCGGGCTACGGGAACTGATTGCAATTCGAAGAAGCAAAAGAAAAGCGAGACCAATAGTACAGAAGGAGCGACGTAAAGGGACAGGGGTAACAAGGAGAGAAGTTGGACGCGGATCACAGATTGTCAACATCGATCCTCGGGTGGACCATGAGCACCATGGCCTGATGCGAGGACGCTGCCCCGTTCGTGCCGGCACCATTGCTTCCACCCTCGGCGCCACCTTCCGTCTCCTCTGCCACCTCATCACGCGCCAACTCCGTCTCCATCTCCCCATCCTCTCCGCCTTCAGCCGGGTCTTCTCTCATCTCGAGCAGGTACTGCTCCTTGACCAACTTCTCCAGAACCTTTCTGCACAGCACACGCTCTTGCTCCAATTCGGCGACCGTCTCGATGTCACCCTCGCGCTGCTCGAGATACCACTCGATGAGATCGTCTCGCGCCACGCCGCGCAGCGTCGAGCGTTCGATGGCTGCGACACGTTGCACCAGTAGCGAGAGGAGGGAGAGATATCGGTCGTAGGTGATTGTCGTTCTGGCGCGTTGCGTGGAGGCGGCTGGAGTCGGCGTGCCATCATCGTGGTGGCGAGGGTACGACTCCATCATCTCGGCATCGTCGCCCTCGTCCTCATCGTCTTCGCGAGGCGCGGCTGGTGCGACCGTCTCATCTGCGTCCTCTTCGTCGAGCGCGATATCGTCCTTCTCGACGTGGATGATAGACTGACGAAGAAGTGCGTAGGCTTCGCGAACGAATGCCGGCGTGATCTCGCTACGGCAGTTTGCTCGCGCGATGGCTTCGCTCAAACGGATCATACTCTCCAGTTGACGCACTGTGATGCGGTACGAGTTCTTACCTCCACCGCCGCCGCCGCCACCACCATTGCTTGCATCATCCTCTCGCAGCAGGCGGTACTTCTCGACGAGCACATCGCTGGCCTCGGGGGTGAGCTTGGGCTGGAAGGTGCGTGCATAGCGAATGTAGCGCTGGATGGCCTCCGTCGAGAACTCGGGCGAGATGGCTGCGTCCCTGAATCGGTGCACGTTGACGATGTGCTGCGCGATGTTCATGTCGACCGACTCGTTGCACTCGTCGAGCACCACGAAGAAAAGGTCGAATCTCGACATGATAGGCGCGCTCATGGCGACGTTGGCTCGCAGCGTCTGCTTGCGGTTGTACCTGCCGCCCACCGGGTTGGCAGCAGCGAGGATCGAGGTGCGGGCGTTGAGCGTCGCCTGCAGGCCGGCCTTGGCGATGGAGATGGTCTGCTGTTCCATGGCTTCGTGAATGGCGACCTGATCGGCGATGTCCATCTTGTCGAACTCGTCAATGGCACAGATACCATTGTCAGCCAGCATGAGTGCGCCAGCCTCGATGGTGAAATCGCCCGTCTCTTCGTCCTTAACGACGGCGGCGGTCAAACCTGCAGCAGATGAAGCCTTGCCGGATGTGTAGACGGCGCGGGGGAGGAAGCCACAGACGTACTTGAGGAATTGTGACTTGGAAGTCGACGGGTCGCCGACGATGCAGATGTTGATGTCGCCACGCAGGTGGATGCCCTCTTGCGTCTGCTTGTGAACGCCGCCCATGAGTTGCAGAAGGATACCCTGTGAGGGTGCGGAGCGAGGATTGTCAGCGTGTTGCGGAGCTAGGCGATGGAGCTACGCTGTCGCTCACCTTCTTGACTATGTCATGGCCGTAGACCGTCGGCGCGATGCTCTGCACCAACCTCCCGTAGATGTCATCCGCCTCGACCATTGCTTCGAGCTCTTCACGCTCCTGCTCGGTCAGCGTGTCGAGGAGCGTATTGGGGTCGAGCTCCTCCTCGGCAGAGTCACCACCGCGCACGTCTGACGTCTTGCGCGAGTCGGTGCTGCTAACCATGCACGCGAGGAAGGCCGTCTTGTAGGTGAGGTCGCGTGCACCCAGCGACTTGAGGCCAGTGACACCTTGGTTCGAAAGCCCCTCGGGCGCCCTCCCACCTCCTTGCGCCTCGCGTTGAATCTGAGCATTGACGCCCGGCACGCCCAACTGCGAGACGTCCGGCACGACGATGAAGGATCCGGTGAAGACGCACTTGTCCCCTGCCTTGGCCTTTTCTACAATCTCGCTGCGCAGGATGACGTCCAAGCTGCGAGGCATGGAGCCAGTCGGGATCTCATTGGCGTTCTCTTGGATACGGACCTTCTGCCAGTCGGAGAAGCGAGACTGGTCGACGTTGAGCTGCCATTCCCGGCGATTGTTGCAGCCGGGTATGCGGCACATGGTGGGCTCAGTGTACTTGAATTGCCTGCGCGGTGAGTGGGCGGGGCGAGGCGTACAGTGGTGAGTAAGGCGACTTTTCAGATCGCGGAGGATCGTACTGACTGCTCGACGTCTCGCACCGTGTTCTTGCAGAGCTGGCAGGTGAAAGCGCCGTAGAGGAGCTCTGGCCTGACCTCGGATGTGCGGGTGACGGTCCCGGAGATGGAGACGAGTCGTCCCACCTTGTCTGTGCGCAAGTCTCGAATGCCAGAGACGAGGCCGATGTTGTAGAAGGAGACGGTGAAATCGCGGGGCACCAGACCTGACTGGGCAGTCGAGGCTACGTGGGCGTTGAGGTACATGTAGTTGGGGATGTGGACGTTGACCAAGTCGAGGAGTGCGCGGCGCAGATACGGCAGGAAACTGCGCGAGCGGACAAGATGATCAGCGACGGGAAGCGAAGGATGCCTCGCACACTCGTGACGCACCGGTAGTACTGGTCGGAGACGGCCCTGGCTAAGACCTCTTCATGTCGCAGCAGATGCGTAAAGTCGACGTACAGCGTCGTCTTGCCGTAGTCTCGTAGCGAGAAGAGCTGGTCGATGTACGTTGCATCGCCCTGAGGAGCATCACCATCCGGGTCGTGGGCATCGACGAAGCTGCGAGGGCGTGAGGGGTGTGAGTCGATGCTGTTTCGCCCGCTCCTAGTCACGAACACTCACGTCTGCAAGAAATCGCGGAACCCCTCTCTGACCCTCTCACCGACCTGATCCACAACAGGCGGCACAGGCTCCTGATCTCTCACGTTCCTCGGCCTCCTCTTCTGCCCCGTCGAAGGTACGCCGCTACTCTGTCCTGCTCCCGGCCCTGCATCATCCGTCGCTGTGTCCATCGCAACATCTGATCGTCCATTCGCCGCAGCTGCCCGAGTCAATGCATCGGCGTCGTCATCTTCATCGTCGTATCCGCCGTAGCCGTAGGACGAAGTGGTGGGGGCGTTGAGCGGCTGAGCGCTTGGATTGGCATTGAATGCCAGAGGGTCAAAGGGGCGAACACCGCCGTGCTGAGCAGCCGCCGCTGTGACGTGTTGCGTTGGTGAAGAGGAGCGATTCATCGCTGCGTGAGGACAGAGATGAAGATGGTGGTGGTGAGAACAACAGACGCAGACGCACACGCACACACACACGAGTCCGAGGCTCCGTCGAGTTGAGAGGCGCGGCCTACTCGCAGGGCGCGCCCATTTCGCAGGGCGCGCCAGGTAATTTACACGAGACGCGTGAAGCGCGTGCCGGGACGCGTGGTGGTGCGAGGCCAACCGGCTGCGCTCTCGGTGCTCGCGTACAGCGAGAAGAGGGCGATCGTCCAGTCGCAGCGTCAACGAATGTCACGGTCAATGTGCTGCTTCGCTCTTGCTATGTGTTCCTGCTCAAAGGGGAATGCTCGATGGACAGAGGGATACGCTTAATGGTCAGAGCGCAGACAGCCGTGATGCCTTCGATTAGGGGACTGATCTCCAGACGGCTGCCACGCCTTGTCTCCCGTCGCATTCATCCTAGCTTTCAATCACTTCCCTACGAGATCCGAGTTGCTTGCTACCTTGCTGACTGGATGTTCCTCGCGCTCGTTGTGAGAAAATGGTACATTCTCCTTCGAATCTTGGCAATAAGAGGCCGACTTTCGTTGCCGTCGACGTGAAGACTAAGCTGCAGTGGCACCGAGTGATGAGGCTCAGCCTCGACATTGGCTCAGCATTGCCCTTGACCCTCGTCAGTTTCGCCGGTGTCTTGATAAGGTGCTCAAGGCTAGGCCTGCCTCTCAGCTCGCTCAGCAACTCGACCTCTGGATCTCTTCGGTCGCTGCTGCAGCCCTGATCGATCCGCAGCCGCTGCGCACCACCTTAGTGCCGCCGCGAGGAAAGAATGTCTTCTTCTGCGATACCTCGCTCGCCGCCGAAATTGTTCAAGCGCTTCGCTCGCGGTTCCTGACTCGCCGCAAAGATGACTCATGCGCATCGCTTTGTCCCACTCAACCATTTGCTTCCGCAAAAGCCTCACTCGCTCGGACTCGCAGGGTACAAAAGCTCTGCCCACCTCGCAGCTCATCTCTTCTCCCTCTCTCCATCCCACTCAGCTCGACGCACTCACCCCTGTCCTCAAATAAGACAACGACCTGCCCGAAGCAGCGAGCGACTCCAACCACACCCACAGCCCATCTGCCTCGTCACACCCACGCACCAAGCTACATTCTACCCCCGCACACATAACCAGCCTCGCCGCTCTCGTCTTTGTCAAGCTCCAGCTCATCTCAAGCTCATCCGCTCGGGGGTTCGCCTGTCCATCGTGACCGGGGCCCCTACTACGCTCTACGACTCAGAGCTGATTGCCGAGAACTTGTGCAAAACTCGTCTGCTACTTGGCACGCCAATCTCAAACCAAGGAGCATCCTTGACCCTTTAGGCTTCGTCTGCTGATCCAAGCGTGCGCCGCAGTCAAGTTGGTCATTCAAGAGGGCAGAGGACCCCAGTACTGAAGCTCATCGATAAAGAGCACAGTGTCAAAGCTGTAGCGAACGCAACACTGGCCAATGCGTACGCAACGCTGGCCAATCTCTACGGAACACCGGCCAATCTCTTCGCAACGCTGGCCAACTTAATCGATGAGGAAAGGAGGAGCTCTAGGCAGAGGGGCATTGACCTTGAAGATCGTGAGTTCGTGCTCACTCGCTTAGCTAGAGACAGGAAGCTCACCACCAGCTTTTCTCCACCATCAGCGCCTGTCCTCCGCGCATCAACGTCGTCCGCAGCCGTCGCCTCTCGAGGTCTTCCTCGGGCGCCTGGTCGTTGAGGCCGGGGCATCCGTCAGATTGCCTGGGTACCACGGCATGAGCAGCAACGTCCGGGCACGGGTACCTTTCATCAGTACTCGGACGAGCTCGAAGCCCCGTCGTCCTCACTCCCTCCCGGCTCGAGCCAGATCCCGAGGGCTCCAAGGCGCTTCGAAGACCTGGCGCCGACCACCTCGTACATCAATTGGGTCGGTAGCGTCGTTCCAGTGGACATCCTCTTGCGGGCAAATAAGGATGTACCCTTCATCCCGGGGCCGTGCACCATCGACGTGCCTCTGATCGCCTGCTCGCAGTCGAGCGCGCCTGTGGGAGATGCGTTGGCGGCCGTCTTTCGGGAGCAGGAGTACGACCCGCCGATCAACGCTGGCCGTACCAGGATGCAGGAGATGTGCCGGTGGAACGGGGAGCTCTTGCTGGGCAGAATTCGACTGAGCCCGAACCGGCTCGAAGACCAGTCAATGTGGGACCGACGTTTGAGGGCCAGCATCAAGGTCAAGTCGATTGTCCTCGTCTTCGGCCACCTCGGGATGCCTGCAACGCTGGTGCTAGGGGACAAGAAGACGGCGATGGACCGAATCATCGACCGGATCTTGAGGAAGGGAGCCTCGTACGACGTCGCCGCTCTCCATAAGCGCATGCAGGGAGGCCACGAGTCGCAGTCGAGATATCTCGACCGACGATTCACGCCAAGTCTCCCCAACATGCACATCACTCTGGAGGGCACCTCAACCGTCAAGCTGGACGGCAATGGGTATGCTCTTTAAGCTATAAAAGAGATAGCCACCGTAGAGAACGAGCTGCCTTATGTGTTGCTCTCAAGAAAGTCTTGCCTTATATCGAAATACGATTCGCTGCTCGATGTTCGTCAAGTCTCGCATGGGGATGAGGCTGTGGACTCCTTTCTCGTGGCTATCTAGCATCAGACGATGAGGTGTAGGAGAGGAAAGGACAGAAAATGGCAGTATCGAGTTGGCTCTACCAGCTTCGCGTTGCCTAATGGCGTGGCGGTTGCGAATAGTCTCGTACTCGCTCCTCGGGCACGATGACCTGCCTTGAGGGGCAGTACGCCCGAGCGCGATCGATACGCATGGGCGCTCTCCTCGGATGGGCGCTCTCCTCGGATGGGCGCTCTCCTCGTTCGCTCAAACTGGTTCGGCCACAAGCTCAGAGAGTATCCGATGAGATTCGCTCAAGGTGCACGAAGAGCAAAAAGAGGACAAAGGCGCAGGGAGAGCGAAAGGCGAATATGTACGGGTAACAGAGGCAGAGACGGGGCTCAATGTACGATGAAGAAGCAGGGCCGTCGCCTCTCTAGTCGCCAGAGGACGTGCCCGAGCGAAAGAACAGAGCAATGCAATGCAAAACGTGATATCCATCTAGATGACGAGGGCGCCAGCAGCGACCATAAAGGCAGCGACGACCACGGCCAGCGTGGACTGCTGCGTGAAGCCGGCACCGGAGGTGGAGCCAGACGAAGAAGACGATGAGGCCGCAGCTGCGGAGCCAGAGTACATTGGAGGCGACGAGGTAGCAGTGGCCGCAGCTGCCTTGTTAGCCACAGCAGCTCCACTGCTGCTGCGAGCGCCCGAGGTTGCGGCCGCCGATGAGCCACCTGCTGCTGAGTTGGGCGCAATGGACATGGTCTTGCAATTCGACGAGGAGGGAGCGCTACGCGGGCTGGGCGTGACAGGGTCACCCTGCGTGAATGTCCATGAGCTGATGATACCAGGCGCCATAGCCACGTCACCCTCGCACGACTCGAACGTCCCAGCAGCATAGTTGGCGGGCATGATGAAGCCGCATCCCATCTCGTCGTAGATGTGGCTACACATCATCTGGCTCGTAGCGTTGGTGCCTCGGCAGCCGCGGAAGCAGAAGTCCGTTGCGCTGATCTCGGACATCCATTCGTTGATCTGCTCGTGCTTCCCTGTGAAGGCTGTGGTGTAGACCAGGCCGCCGATCGGGTTGCCATTGCCCGTAGCACCATGAGGGTCGAGCTCACCGCCCTGGTCACCCGCGGCGATGTTGATCTTGGTGAAGTCGCCCGTGCCTGTGACCTGGACGTAGGCTGACGTCTTGACAAAGTGGACAGAGGTGAGGGTCCCATCAGGGATCAAGCGTGCGCCGTGATCCTTTGTGCACCAGGCCACCTCGATCTCCTCCGAGACGGCGACTTGTGTATTGGGCTTAGGCGGAGCCCAAAGACAGAAGTCGTCTGCGTCGTTGATCACGGCAGTCTGGCACATGGAGTCTTGGCCCGAAGTCTCGCCCTTTTTGCAGTTGTTGATCCCCTCTTGCCCATCTTCGCTCGTCTTCGGGAGCTTCGACCACTTGAAGCTGTGCAGAGATGTGTCGTTCTTTGCGACCTCGTCGAGCCACCAGTTGGTGGTGATGATGGGAGCAGGAGCGTCGGCGGAGAGGTCAGTAGGATACTGCTTGCCGTTGATGGTGGTCCAGGCGGCAGAGTCTGCGCTGCCAGTTGAGGAACCGGACGAGTGCTTGTGAGCGCGTCGTACGCGTGATGGGCTCGAGCGGGCAGAGGCGGGGGCGGCGAGGAGCGCGGCTAGGAGCGCGGTCGCTACCGAGGAGTGAGAGAAGAGCATTGCGGGGAGAGAAGTCGATGGGGTCGTGTGTGTGTCTGAGAGGGTGAGACAAGGGATGTCGTTGCGGGAGCTGGTGAGTGCGCGTGCGTACGATGCTAAAGAGAGTGCTGAAGGACAAGGAGCGTGAGACGGATGCAACGAGTCGGTATGAGTGAAGATGGTCTAGGTGATGGTATGAAGGGAAAAGAAAGGAGACGTGAGCGTGGAGATCGCACTTCGATGTCTTTCGATCTCGAGGCTCTTGAAGGGAGGCGCCCTCAAACACAGCGCTCGGAGCTAGCAGAGGTGGTACCCCGCCCACGCCCACGCCCACGCCCGCACTGTCTTGAAACCGCCGGACTTCTCTCTGGCTGCGATCATCTGCTATGCCGGCCGGCTTGCTTGCTGCGAGTGCTCGCGTCGTACCCAATTTCAACGCAAGAGAAGGGCTCATCGCCGCCGGTCGATGAGCCAGCCACCCCCTGAGAGCTTCAAGAGCAAGAGCCCCGAAAAAGGAAAGGCGCGCTTTGACGCCTGTGTTGCTTTTCGAGCGCCTTGCCGACTCCTTGCTTGCTTGCTTTCCTCGAGGCGCCCGCGCGCCCGCCGGCATCCAACGCGTGCGGCGTGCTGGCGGCCAAATTAAGACTACTCAATCACATTGCCGTCGGCTGGCGGGCACGATGCAAGACCAGCCGGATCGAAGCCTTCGCTCGCAGATGGCGGCGCGAGGATAGGGTAGGGGGCCCCCTGTTGAGGGCGCTCTAGAGTGTCGAGTAAAGTGATTTCGGATCATGGCTAAGGAGAGCTCGCAGAGGCTTCTGATACGCAAACGAAGGCAGAAGGTAGGACAGCTGATGCCATCTTGGGCGTTGGCCGCGATACGCCCAGGCGCTGGACGATATGATCTTGCAATCTCGAGCTGCTACTGCTTCTTCGTAGCATGACCGACCATCGCCCCATGACTGATCAAAGGAAAGTGGAACTCATGGCCAGCGCAACGTCTTGCTCGAGGGGCCTAGGTTCCTTCGCGGCGCTAGATAACGAGCCCTTCCTGCGCACACAGAGCAGACTATCTAGCTTCGTTCTTGAGGTCGTCCGCGCATTATGCAGATCGACACATCTCTTCACGAGGTAGCCTCATTCTCGCTGCGTCGCCTCCCATATCGTAGCCAACCTCGTTCCGTTCCGGCCTCACTCTCGCGACGCCCGCGCCGAGACCTCCGGACGCCCGGCTCGACAGGTTGGAATTGAATCAAGTCGGTCGATCCGGTGCGGGGAAGTCAGCCGGATGTGACGCATTGGCTGCCTGCCTGGACTGGCCTGTCCCTTCAATCCCTTTCCGTCATCATCATCTCCTTCCCCGTCGCGGATATGCCAGCCTCCACCTCTTCTGCTGCAGCCAAGGGCTATGAGTCTACTCTTCGTCGGCTGGAGCATCTGCAGTCCCACCTCACCCGCCGCCCGCGGTCAGGTCGCGTCTCAGGATACGTCTGCATCGTCACCGGCGCAGGCTCACCGACTGGTATCGGTCGTGCCTCGGTCCTTCATTTGGCCCACGAGGGGGCCAAGCACATCTATGCGCTAGACTTTGATGGCTCAAACTTCGAAGACCTCAAGGATAAGGTCAAGGAGCGCTATCCCGAGGTTAAAGTCACGACAATGGAGTGCGATGCTGCCGATGAGGAGAGCATCAAGGGGATCGTGGAGAGGGCAATGAAGGAGGAAGGGAGACTGGACGTCTTCTTCGCGAACGCTGCCATTGTGGGCAACCCGGTACCGGTGGGCATGCTGGACGCCGAGGATGTGGCTGAAACGATGAGGGTCAATGTTGCGAGGTGTGTTCGCGAAAGAAGCGGCGGCAAAGCCTGAGGAGAAGTCTGACGCTCGATTCTTCTTCTTGCACCCGCAGCTGCTTCCTCGCCGTAAAGCACGCCTCGACCGCCATGCAGGTGACAAGCGCCGCCAAACCCGACCCCAACGGCTCGATCATCCTCACCGCGTCTGTCGCAGGTTTGCGATCCGGCGCTGGCTCGTCAGACTACTCGGCCTCCAAGGCAGCCGTCATCTCCCTCGCCCAGACCAGCGCATGGCAACTCTCCCGCACCGGCGTAAGAGTGAATGCACTCTGTCCTGGCTTAATCGAGACGGGGATGACAAAGGTCGTCTTTGATGCTGCGAGGGAGAGGGGCACGGCGGGCAAGATTGGACAGTTGAATCCAATGGGGAGATACGGAGTAGCAGAGGAGATTGCCAACGCCCTCATGTTCTTGGCAAGCGACGAGGCATCTTACGTCAACGGCATCGCTCTGCCTGTGTGTGGGGGACTGAGCGCGGGGCATCCTGTTGTTCCGGGCAAGATGAATTAGAGACGCAGTCGGGGTCACACGATGCGAACGAATGAATGAGAGAGACGACTATTGCGGAGCTGGGTGAGTCGGGATCGCGTGGAGAAGAAGAATAGAGCTGAGGGCGCGAGTGGATACAGAGGGAAACAGGAGAGAAGTCATTCCTCTCACGTTACCGCGTCAACGCTGTGTGACGGTCTACTTGCTTTTGGGCTCGCGCGCATCTAATCCCAAGCCGATGAGCTCTGCATGCGAGGCTGGAACGAGGACTGCTGGGGCTGCTGACGAGAAGCGGGGTGGCCATTGGTGAAGCCGTTGCTGTGGCCGTTGCTGTACTGCTGTTGCTGCTGGGTATGCTGTTGCTGCTGGTAGCCGCCGCCGCCGCCGGCACCTCCCCCGCTGATCATACTCCGCGGCCCCGTCGGCACACTCCCGCCGCCGAAGCCACTGCCGCTGGATTGGTAGCTTGGCCCAGCGCCATATCCGCCGCTGTACCCACCACCGCCGTACCCGCCACCGCCACCCCCATGCCCACCTCCGTATCCACCACCGTAGCCGCCCCCAGCTTGCGTCCCGTATCCCCTCCCACTGCCACTGGCCATCATGGGCGACCCACCCGCGAATCCAGCAAGTGGCGATGCGGGCCTAGTGCCTGCTCGGCTCACATTGGCGCTCGCGTTGAGCGAAGCAGCTCCACTGCCATGCATAGCGGCGGTGGCCTTCCTGTCTGCGGCGAAATGATCGAGCACCGAGACGATACCACGAGTGAGGGTCTCGAACTCGGCCACCTCCCGCTCGCTGAGTGTGAGATCAGATCGATCACCAAACGCTGCGTTGGGAGAGCTATTGTCCGGCTGGTCCTCATTGTGAGCCACTGCCGCTGCGGCCTCATCATCATCGTAGGCATCCCAGTCTGCCGTGTCGCGAGCAGCCGAGCTGGCGGGCTTTGCTCCAGCGCTTTCGTTGTTCGATCCCCGCTCGATTTGCGAAGGGCCACGACGTCCCGAGTCGACCAGTCCCTCGAAGACGCGCAGCATGCTCGCCTCCATGACCGACTTGAGGCGCTCTACGTCGTCAAGTACCTGCCAGTGCCCCTTGATGGGCAGCCAGTCGTCGCACTTGACGCCCTGGGTCATGCTGCGCACCTCACCTGCACCGAAAAGGATGTAGGTGAGCGGGTCGAGACGCGAGACCGACTTCAGGTTCGTCGCCGGGTCCCCTCCTCCTCCCTTGCCGCCCTTATTGTCAATGACGGAGACGTTGCGCGTCTTGTCCGCAAAGGTGTACAGCTCCTTCTCGCCCGGGGCGGAGATGCTGAGCTCGTCCTCCTTGCCCTTGGTATGCTTGAGGTGGCACACAGAGGATCCATGGATAAAGCACTGCTTGTCTTGCGAAGTCATGTAGATCTTCTCGCTCTTGCGCACAGCGAAGTTGGGGACCGAGGCCATTGCGATGAGCGCAGCGAGCAGAGGCGTGGATTTGGAGTTGACGTTGAGCTCTGGTGCTGAGGCAGCCGAGTCGGGAAGGCGGGAGCGTCGCCCGCGCCCGTAGTAGGAGTCGTCGGCTTCCTGCTCGGCACCAGGCGTGTAGCCGATGATGGTTTGAATCAGGTCGCGCATCGACTGGACGATGTGGCCCGCCACCTTTTGGATCTGCTGCAGTGTGGGCTTGCTCAGGAAATTCTCGTGGGCGAAGCGGTTGGCAGACTGGTACTCTCCGCGGTCCTGCTTCTGAACCCAGGTCTGATAAGCGCGCAGCACGGCCAAGGGATCGCTGCGGTAGTCCTGGGGGGACCAGGATTCTTTGATTGCAGCAGCCTGCTGCTTGACCTCGATGGGAGCCATGAAGGGATCGCGCGTAGACAAGATGGCAGCCAGAGTGACCGCAGGCTCGAGGCAGCGGAAGAAGAGGCCGTAGAGGACCATCTTACCCATTGCGGCGTCGACGGGAAGCTGCAGCAGGACGGCTCCCAGCGAGGTAAGATTCTTCTTTGCATCGATGGCGCCGATGGTGTAGAGCTGGTGCATAGCAGCAGAGACGCGCTCGGGGGAAGGAGGTTCGATGGCTGCCCTGAGGACGTCCTCTGGCTCCATACCTGGCATGTCGAGCGCCTTGATGCGTAGCACGACGTCTGTGAGGTCGGTGCGTTGCATCTCGACTGTCTGATTGACTGCCAGTTTATTGTATCGCGCCTCAGAAAGGACGCCAAAGTACTCTCCGGGCCGATGACGACCAGCACGACCTGCACGCTGGTTGAGATTGGAAGTGCCTACCCACGCGCTCACGAGGCTAGAAAGGTGCTTGCTAGGATCGTAGCGCATCTCCTTTACTCTGCCGGTATCGATGACCACCGTGACATCGGGAATGGTGACGGATGTCTCTGCGATATTGGTCGAGAGGATAATGCGGCGGATGCCCTTGTGCGGCGGGGGCGTGAAGACGGCCTGCTGGTCTGCGACGGGAATGGAAGAGTGGAGGATGTGGATCTCGTACTTGTCGCGATTGGTAAAGTCGATGCCGAGAAGCGGGAATTGGCTGGGCTCGACGAGGTGCTTGTTGACGATCTTGATCTCGTCCCAGCCAGGCATGAAGACGAGGACGTGTCCGTCCTCGCCGCGGGTGAGGGCATCGGCGATGTAGAGCGATACGAGTGGGTAGGGAATCTCAAGATCGTCGATGGCGTCTTCTCCATCTTGCTTTTGCGTCAGGCCGCCTGCCTGGTTGAGCTCGCGATCGAGATACTTGCGGACATTGTCTTGCTGCCATACCCACCCGCCCATTTGTGGCTGTGTGACGGTGCGACGAAGACGAGGGATCGTCTCCTCCATGAAGCGCTTGGTGACCGGGAATGCTCGGCCTGGGATCTCAACGACGGGGGCTGGACGGCCGTCTTGGTCTGGGAAGTAGGATTGGAAGAGCTTGGGGTCGACGGTGGCCGACATCAAAATGACCTGTGCACGTGGGGGGGAGGTGTTGTGAGCATGAGTTTGAGGAGAGCGCGTCTCGGGCACGCACCTTGATGTCCGCCTTGCCCGCCTCACGACGCTGGTCGAGGACCTTCTTGAGGACGACCAACAGGAGATCCGTCTGGACATCGCGCTCATGCACCTCGTCCAGCACGACGTGCGAGACGGTGTCCAGCCACGTCGTGTCGGTACCATCTCCCAGGGCATTCTGAAGACGACGCATGAAGACTCCCGTGGTGCAGTACGTAATGCTACCATTCGGCTCAGGGAAGGCACTCTCGAATCGTACCTGGTAGCCGACGCTCTGCCCCACCTGCTCGCCACGCTCAGCCGCAACACGCTGAGCGAGGGAGATGGCGGCAATACGACGAGGCTGTGTGCAGATGACGTTGCAGTAGGCGCCCTGGTTCTCTGAGATGGCATCGTCGAGGAGAATCTGCGGGACTTGCGTCGATTTTCCGGACCCAGTGGCAGCCATGCAGATCATAACTTGGTTGAGGGCGACTTTCACGAGGATGTCGCTGCGCTTCTGGTAGACGGGCAGCTGGTTACGCGTGCTGCGCATCGTCTCGAGTGTAGACGAGGCGTGATAGTCTTGGAGACGCTCAGAGAGCTCTTCGCTCTTTGCTTGAAGGGTGGACTCGGAGGGCATCCAGAAGGGGCGATTGTACTGGCGCGTCGGCTTGACTGCTCCAGAGTCGTCGGAAGCCTTGTCGCCGGGGAGGAGGCGGCCGGCTGGCTTGGGACGCTTGGAGTAGAGGAGCGAGGAAGTGGTCGTGTTGGCTACTTCACGAATCTCGTCGTTGAGCTCTTCAGTGATGCGGAAGTAGACGAAGGGCGTGTTGGCGGGACCGGCCGATCCAGCCTGCCAAGAGCGCTCGAAGCGGGCGTAGAGCTCGGCGTCGTGGCTCTCGATGTGACAAACGGTGTCCAAGTAGCAGTGCGTGGTCGCGGACCTGCGGGCGCGGGAAAGGGGTTGAGACTATCAGCGTTGATCCATGCCAACGATCTCCTCGCTCTACGCACTTCTTACTGGCTCCTGCGCCCTCTCCAACGGGAGTGCCACCCACAACCATCTGCGCCTTCCAACCATTGATGGGCTTGGCTGCCGACTTCTTAGTGGCCTTGGAATAATTCTGGACGAGGTCGATGACTGGCTTGCCGAAGCCAAACTCCTGGCAGTAGAACTCCATGAACTCGCGAGCGCGCTCAGACGTGAGCCTGCGAGAAGGAGGCAGGAGGAAAGATCAGCAAGGCCCGAGCGACGTCTTCGTGCCCACTCAGCGCACTCACTTTGCTCCAGTGGACAGTGTCGCTTCATACTCTCCGATCTGATCGGATGATCCCCCTGCGACAGAGGAGGGTGGCTTTCCCGCGGTGCCAAGCAATCCCTTCTCAGCAAGTAGCATAGCAGCGTCAAACGCGGCAGCCTTTTCGGCCTCCTTGACCGATCGAGCATCACCGTAGCCTCGGATGCCAAGCTCTTGGTCTGCCCAAACGGTAGCACGGTGCATGAGCTCGCGAGGCTCGTTCTCGATGAAGCCTTGCGTCGTAATGAAGCGGGGCATCTCGCCTGTGAGGCCTTGAACGTAGACTGTGAGGGGATTCTTGGGGTTGTCGAGGTCTGCGAGCGAGAACGGCAGAGGGGAAAGCATGAGTGGGAGATCAAGGGGTGGTCCCGGCGCTCACCCGCGCACTCACACTTCTGCTCCACCTTTTGCATCGTCTCGCGGTGGTAGGCGTTGGTCAAGTAGCTCATCGTGTGAGCTGGTCCGGGGAGGATGTTGGCTGATTCAGGAGCGGCGCCGCCCTTTCTGCCAAGGCGAAGAGAAAGGAGAGTAGGACGATGTCAGCGTTCGCTCGTCCACTGTCGCTTCCCTACATGCGCGACACTCACTTGCCTCCCTTTCCTTTCCTTCCCTTGCCAGGAGCAGTTGCTGCTCCTCGTCCACTGTTGCTAGGCCCGGCAGAGGAGGGGCCGCCGTAGCCGCCGCCGCCGCCGCCACGCTGCTTCCTGCTGGCGGATGTCTTGTTGCTGCCATTGTTGAATCCGTTGGCAGGTGCTCGCTCATTGGTGTAGCTGCCATTGCTCGAGGGGAAGGCAGGAGTCGCTGGTCCTAGCCCTTCGCCGCCGCTCCTCCAGCTGTCAGTGCCACCTCCGGCGGCCATTTCGACGTCAGAATCGACGTCGCGTCGGTACGTGGAGCTGCTGCTGCTGCTGCTGGGTTCGTAATTCGGAGTCGATGACCAGCCGCGCGTGTGACGTGCAAGGGTCGCCTGATAAGGGCTCGGACGAGGGCTGCTGGGTCGATTGTTGGTGTCGCTACTTGTGCTGACGAGAGAGTGAGTGCGCTTTGGTGGGCGATGTCGCTGCGAGTGAGCTTGGCGAGGGTTGCTGTTGCTCGCGGTGGATGAATTGAGTCTCGTCGATGTGAAGGGGGCGGATGGCATCAATGTGCGCAGGGGAAGCAAGCGTGGTCTTGATGTGATTGGTGTGGTGAGGAGGAAGGGGGAAGTCGATCGATGTAGCGTGGGCTGAGCTTGTGTGACTTGCAGTCTCGTGGTGTTCCAGTGAGAGGTGAGGATGGGATTCGTTGTGGTGGAGAGAAGGAAACGAGCAAGCGACGTCGTCCCGATCGTCGTCGCTGCCTGCGTCTTCGACACGGCCGCTCTGGCTGCCGTCGTGATTAGCTTCTAACTCGTCACCCCGTTGCAAGGCACGGCCGGCGGTGAGATGAGCGGGTGCGGAGGAGGGCCAACTCGAGTGATTGCAAAGTTGAAATCCCTCCCAGTCCGCCTGAGCGAGACGAGCAGCTCAAGCTCGCGAGCGGGACGCCCAAAAATCGGCGGCGCTCAACTGCACCCCGTCAACGAGGACAAGATGCCGGCGCATGGCGATGCTTGCAGCGGCAGGCCAAAGCGCAAGCCTACGATCAATGGCAGACACGCTCGACGAGAAGAATTCTTATGACCTCTTGGCAACGAGTGCGAAGCGATACAATTTACAAGGAATGCTCAAGCTCAATCTCAAGCTCGTCCATCCACGCCGCTCGCACGCTAGTACTTCCTGCCTCCTCCCCCACCCAATACCATCCCCTGAGCATCATGGCTAACAGCCTGCCCCTCTTCCCCGCCCTTTTGCTCTTTGAGCGCCTCTACGCTCTCCTTCATACCCATCGGCGCCCAGCCATGCTCCTCCGCTAAGCCTTCGACCATCGCGGCGAGCTCCTTGCGCGCCCACTCCTCCGTCTCTGCGCGAGACAATGGGGCTGAGCTGGGATCTGCGACGAAACGATCCAGCTGCTCGCGGCTGAAGCCCGTCTTCACCTTGCCGAATGACTCGCTGCTTTGGAAGACTTTGTGCGCTTGCTGGGCTATCACGTCAGGCGTCGCTTCCGAGGGGATCGAGTAGAAGGCGGTCAAGTCGACGAACTGGCAGGCGGTCAATTCCTTAGGCAGAGAGGAGAAGAAGCGCTTGTAGATGGAGCCCGGAGCAGCATGGTTGTCCAGGTCTGTGTACCAGCACTGCGGTGACGTCGAGGAAAATGCCGGTCAGCGTCTCATTCATCGACGCTCGCGCCAACGCCTTACCTTGCCATTCCCCCAATCTCCCTCCAACCGATGCAAGAGCGCATGTCCCCAATCGAGCTCACGCGCTCCTCCCTGTCCCTTGCGTACCAAGAAGTGGGCAGAGTAGAGATCGCGATTCGCGAGGTGAAGCCCAGCTTCCAGAGCGGGATGGACTTGCAGGTCTGCAATCGTTGAGCGGAGGTGCGGATGGTTGGGTTTGGAGTGGGAGGAGGGCTCCAGCGTGAAGGTAGGAGCAGTCCTGAGCAGCTCAGAAAGCCAGGATGGCGCCTCTGATGATGGCATATTGGTGCGCTGTAGTGGTCAGGATGGCGAGGAGCGAAGGGGAGCAGGGCCGTCGCGAGGTCGATGACGACGTGGAGCTCGCCTACCGCAATGCAAGCTGACGAGATCCAGTCCAACACTCGAGGTGTTGGTCTCGTGCGGCCGCGAACAGTACGAGAGATTTTCTTTGCAATTGCATTCGTGTAACGTAATCAGAGCAAGCTACATGGAGCGACAGTCCGCAACACAGGTATCTACACATCGACGCTCGCAGCACCTCCTTGGCGCGCTACGCTGCGCGCCTACTTGTTGCCAACCTCAAACTTGACAAGCAGCGTGCCCCGCGTGATTTCACCCCTCAGGTTGAACAACCTCAGGAAGCACCACCCAGGCTGCAGATAGCTCACCCTCACGGCCGCCGCAGCAAAGACGGGGTTTCTTGCAAACGAGTCATCGCTCTTGACGAGGATTCTCAGGAACACCAGGTCGTCAGCCGGATACTCCCACTCGAGCGTCTCAGGGTGATGCCAGAATGGGCTGGTAGGCGGAGGGTTCTCATGCTTGTGGAGCATGCCCGAGAGCTTATGGCGCTTGTAGTGCGAGGTCTTGCGCTTCTCTGGCTTCTCGTCGACGTGATTTGGGTGATAGAGCGTGCAAGTGACGTAGGGCTTGATGTCTTCACCGTCGCGACCTTCAGGAACAGGGAGATCCGAGCCCCCTGCTACGGTCAGACGGAGCACAGTGGTGCCCGTGGGGCGAGGGCCTGCCTCCTTGCGAAGGTAGGCGGGCTTCAGAGCCCATCCATCGGTGCCGTCGAACATTGCTTCCTGCAGTTGCATACTGTGGTCGAACGTCTGGCAATTCAGGGCGGCCACCTGTGCTCCTACGCCCCAGAAGGGGACCGGGTTCAAGTTGTGGGACGTGATTCTCGTGCCGGCAGGGTAGACGCGCATGAGAGCGGAAGCGTTGTGACGGACTACGGCGTCGGGTTTCTCATGCTTGTCGATGATTTCGAGGAGAGGTCCCTCGCCGATGTTGAGCAGAGGGTTGGCAGGGTCGCGCATCTCGCCTTTCAGCCAGGCGTCGCTCGTCGGCTTGACGGATTGGGCGTAGACGCCGAGGGTGGCTAGCTCGGGCACGATCTTGACTTTGGTCTCCTTGTCCTTGCCTTCCTTGCCCTCAGTAGCCGCAGCTGCCTTGGCTTCGTCGCCTGCGTACCACTCGACCATGGTGATCACCTTGCCCTCGAGGTCGCTCAGCTTAGCTTCGGTCCCATCTGCATGGACTGCCTCCGTCACGAGCTTCTCGGCGAGCACCTCGCGCATGATTGCAGCGAGGCGTCGCTGCCCCTCAGCGCTGCAGTGGTTCTCTAGACTGATGAAGATGGGCAGCGGGAGTGGGGCGCCCACACTCTTGCTCGCCTGAATCTCCTTTTCCAATTGTCTTCCAATCGCCTCGACCGCGCTCCTGAACGTGATGTGCTCGACCAATGTCATGCCGTGCGTGACTTTGGGCTCATTGATATCATCGCCATCCCACGCGTCTATCTCGACACAGCGGCAGCCAGCGGCGAGGATCTGAGTGTAGCGCTCTGCGGAAGTCTTGCCGCGCAGCTGATTGCCGACGAGGTAGGAGTTGTGCGATGAGGAGATGAGATATGAGGAGAGGGGGTGAGAGCGATCGTTTGGGCCGCCAGGTCCTGTGGGGACTACAGTGGGTTGGCGGGCGAGGATGGATTGGATCGCAGGCGAGTGAGGCGCCTCCTCCTCGTGCTTGCCGACCTCTGCCTCCTTTACTTCTCCCTGGTCATGCAAGAACTTCCTGAGCGCATAGCTGACGTGGAGCTTCTTCCTATCCTCGCCATCTGCGAGCGTACCGCGTCCTCCACCAGCTACGGACAGATCAGTCAGATCCTCGCCGAGCTCCTCACCTCCCTCATCTCCCTCGGAGCGAAAGGGATTGAGCTTGGCGAAGCGGTGCGTTGGAATGGCGGGCGCCTTCTCTTCTTGCTGTGGGGGCGTTGAGGAGGACATTGTTGCAAGATGCTCGAGATGCGTGAGATGCGAATGATGTCAAGTGGGGACCGCTCCCACGACGCACGACCCAACTCGCTTTGTCGCGTGGTACTAAACGAGACCTCCACACGAGGGGCCACCACGTGGCTGAGTACTCCCCGCCAGGCCCTATTCCTGGTAGCATTGAGGTGGACGTCAAATACGCCAAACGCTAAGCTGGGCTCACGATGGCGAGCAACATGTCGCCCGAGCGCATCTTTCTCGTACGGCCCTGCTCACCAGCGAGTAAGCCATCGATGGCTTTCCCGCGGCGGCAACTCGAAGGCGTCAATGACCGAATCGCCTCTTCCCGCCTCTTGGCCGCTCTCACCCCGCGCCGCACGCCCGTTCGATTAGTCAGTTGACCTGCCGGCGTTGCTGCCGGTGGCTGGTGCTGAACCCTACGTGCAGCACAGCGGCGCGCCAATTCAGGCGAACGACGGCGATTGTGGCTGCACGACGGCGATGCGTTCATCGCACACCTTCTATCGACAGCCAGCGACTGAGCTAACGCGCCTACGGGCCTGTACGCCGGGAAATCAATTCGCTGGCTCGCCGTTTCTAATCGAGCGGCGTGAGTGAGCGAGCGAGCGAGTGCGCCTGCCTGCCTGCCTTTGGTCAGCTGTCACTCGAAGGTCCAAGGCAGGGTGGCGTGAACCCTCCACTCACGCTGTCTGGCTGCGACTGCGATCGTATATAGTGGACGGCCGCGCGCTGCGCTCTCTTTCTCTCTTTCCAACCACACATCTCTTGTAGTTCACCAAACATGTCGCAGCAGCACCACCTCCCCATCCGATCCTTCACCGAGGACTTCTACGGCAACGGTGGCACCTACCGCGCCAGCAATGGTGCGCCCGTCGCCCACCCCTACGAGTCGCAGCGTCTCGGCCCCAAGGGCCCGCTACTGCTCCAGGACTTCCACCTGGTAGACCTCCTCTCGCACTTTGACCGCGAGCGTATCCCAGAGCGTGTCGTCCACGCCAAGGGAGGAGGAGCCCACGGTGTATACCGCACCACCCACCCCATCCCCCACCTCTCCCGCGCACACATCTTCGCCGAGAAGCGCGAGTGCCCGGTTACCGTTCGTTTCTCAACGGTCGGTGGCGAGTCAGGGTCACCCGACGCTGCTCGTGACCCTCGCGGTTTCTCCGTCAAGATGCGCACCGAGGAGGGCAACATGGACTGGGTGTTCAACAACACGCCCATCTTCTTCCTTCGTGACGCCGCCAAGTTCCCCCACTTCATTCACACTCAGAAGCGTGACCCGCAGTCCCACCTCACGCACGGTGACGACTCGACGCACTTCTGGGAGTACGTCGGTCAGGACCCCGAGGCTATCCACCAGATGCTCTACCTGTTCGGTGACCGTGGACGCCCCAAGACCTGGCGCCACATGCAGGGCTACTCGGGCCACACCTTCAAGTTCGCCAACGCCGATGGCTGGCACTACTGCCAGATCCACATCCTGTCAGACCAGGGTGTCGAGAACTTTGAGGACGACGACGAGGCCGACGCTGCCTCGCCCGACGTTCACCAGAAGGACCTCTACGAGGCCATCAACCGTGGCGAGTACCCTACCTGGACCGTCAAGTACCAGATCATGACTCCCCAGCAGGCCCTCGAGGAGAGCGTCAACGTTCTGGACCTGACGAAGACGTGGCCCCGAGCAAAGTACCCGCTCCACGAGCTGGGCAAGATCGAGCTGAACCAGAACGTTCAGAACTACTTTGCCGAGATTGAGCAGGTGGCCTTCAACCCTGCCCACCTCGTGCCCGGCTTCGAGCCCTCGGCCGACCCGGTGCTCCAGTCGCGTCTCTTCTCATACCCAGACACGCACCGCCACCGTATCGGTGCCAACTACCAGCAGCTGCCAGTCAACCAGAACGTGGTCAAGGACCAGTTCAACTTCCAGCGCGACGGTGCCATGGCCTTCTACAACTCGGGCAACCGCCCCAACTACCTCTCGTCGCTCGACCCACCGCGCACTCAGAAGCGTGAGGTCTACCTCGAGAAGCTCGCGCAGCACGAGGGTCACGAGATCACCTACCTCTCGGGTATCGTAGACGGTGACTTTGACCAGGCCCAGGCTCTGTGGAACAAGGTCATGGACGAGGCACAGCGTAACCGTGTCAAGCAGCGTGTCGCGGGCCACATGAAGACGTGCACGGACAAGGGCGTTCTCGCCCGTGCCATCACCGTCTGGCACCAGGTTGACGCTGGCCTCGCGCAGCACCTTGCCAAGGAGAACGGCGTCACCTCGTACGAGACGGACATCACCAAGTGCTCCTTCCTCGGCTCGCACAACTGGACCGGTGGCCGCACCCCGGCTTCAGAGTACGAGCGACAGGACGACGGTGTCGGTAACGCTGTCGCCGCCACTGCCAAGAAGGGTGCTCACCTCGCCAAGGCCGCTGCATCAGGCATGATCAACGGCAATGGCAAGGCGACCAACGGCGTAAACGGCAACGGTGTCGCTCACTAAGTGTCAGATTTCAGACGTGTTCTTGTAGCTACGCCGTGACGACTGTACGACCCCGAGCTTCATTTAGCGAAAATATATCTATATGCTTGCAACGACGATGTGTGACGAAGTGTGGCCCTCATAACTCTGCTCGCTACTCCGCACGAGCAGCTTACACCCTCAACAAATCCGCCACCTCTCTGCACGTCTCCCCATCCCCTTCTCCGGCCAGCCTCGACGCCAGGACAAGCTGACACCCCATCACATGAGCCTCGACGCTGCTGACCCTCGCATCCGCTGTAGCTGCTCCAGAGTGCATCCACTGCCTGTACGCCTCGAGTCTCTGCGCGAGCTCGGTACGGCGCGACTCGAACCAGGGAGAGGAAGGGGAAGAGGCGGTGCGCAAAGCTTCTCCTGCTCGAATCACGTCCATCCTCGCATCGCGATAAAGGTTGGGACGTTCAGCTGCAAAGAGTGGGTCTTGGGCGTGGGCGTGATCGCCCTCTGTCGCGTCGGTTTCACGGGCGATGATCTTCCACGTCTCATCCAGCTCCGCACGCGGGGGGAGGACTATTCGCTCCAGATGCCTGTACCAGAGAGACGCTTGTGACGAGGAGGAGAGCGGGTAGGCCGCACCCATGAACGCCCAAGCGCGTTGTGTGCTCACAGTGCTTGAGGCTACGGTGCGTTGTGCTGCGGCAATGAGGGCGGTTACGCAGGCGCTCGCGCTACTTTCGCTGGTCGTCGTCGTTTCAGAGGAGGGCGAGGCAGCTACGAGATGCCGTGCGACAATCTCTGCCGCAACGAGTCTGACCTCCTCGTCATCGTCCTGCAGCAAGGCGATTGCGGCGAGGTGAAGCTGGAAGAGCGGTTTGCCTGCAGCACCGCTAGCTTCCAGCGCGAACAGTCCACCGCCGTGCTCGGCGAATGCCGCGAGTGACTCCGCAGCGGCGAGGCGGGACTCGACGTGCATCTCCTCCTTTGCGCAGGCTGTGATAAGCTTTGCGTACAGGCGCAGGTGACTCTGTTGCCTCTCTGCGGCTTGCGAACGGGCTGTTAGCTTGCCCAAGAGCACGAGCACGGTTTCCCGCAGGGGCACGCAGCCTGATCGAAGAGAGAGGGTAGCGGCGCGCTCCCATTCCTCCACAAGGAGGGAGGCGCCTGGGTACTCGTCTTGCTCGGACAGGAAGTCGGCGGCATGGATGCGCTGCTGAAAGTCGGGGAGCGAGTCGTCCCACAGCGTAGTCCGGGCCGATTCGAGGGTGAGGTCGTTGGCAGAGGCGAGAATGCCGTTGTGCTTGGCAGTAAGGGTCGGGCGCAGCGTGGAAGCGCGAAGCGCCTTCTCCCATGCGCGTCTGACCGCGGGACTTCCCGCCTGTCCTGACTGGTACTCTGCACCCAGCTCCACCAGTCGCTCTCGCACACCGTCCCCCAGCTGCGTGCCTTCGGACTCCAGCCCGATGTGCAACCTAGCAACAGCCAAGAAAGTAGCATGTCTACGATTCTCATCCTCGCCCATCCTTTCCAGGAGCGACTTTGCCCCGTCCACCTTTCCCCTTTGCGAGCTCACAGTCATCCCGCACCATGCACGCGCAGCCATCTCCCTCATCTTGGCGTCCGGACTGGCCAAGCATGGATCGACCAATCCTCGAAGCACGAGCGGATCCGCCTGCGCTCCGTGCATCTCGTCGTGCTCAACCGCCTGCATGCGCGAGAGGAGGAACAAGACGGCATAGAGGGCACCGGAGCCTTCCGCGTCTTCACCGCGATGCAGGCCGGCGGAGAGGCTTTGCTCCAGGTGTTCGCGGAGGGCGCCGTGCAGCGAAGGGTAGGTAGCGAAGAAGCGGTGCGCTGGCAGTGATTGGCTAGTCGCGTCACCCCCGTTTTCATGCCCATCGTCGTTGGCCCTCCTGGCAGGGAAAGCACGCGGAGCAAGCGCGCTGAAGAGCATCAAACCGGCGTTGCGCACGTACCAGATTGGGGAGCGAAAACGCTTGATGGAGAGGGAGAGGAGAGAGTCGACGTGTTTGCCTAGAAAGGGGACCAAGTTCGCGTCCAATACGAGGACGCGTAGGATGTTGAGGGAGTGGATGTGGGTCGCATCCAGAGAAGTGGCGGTGGGCGATGGCGAAGAGGCTGCTGGTGCGACGAGAGCAGCATCTGCGCATCGCGTGAGAGCTGCGATTGTTTCGTCCAGCGGGCTGGAGTCCTTTTTGAGGGGCATCGCCGCCAGCAGGGCAAGGACAGCATATCCGACACCCGCGCTCCGTCGGGTAGTGGAGATGGCTTGACCCTTTTCTCCCGCGACCAAGCCCACGAAGTCTTGCAGCCATTGGCGCGGCATCGCAGCCACTTGTACATCTTGACTCTTGACCAAAGCGGCCGCTGCGGTGCTGAATGCCGGGTAGACGGTACTAAACGCCCCGCGGTGCCTGATCGCCGTCATCCAGGTGGTGAAGCGCTCCCCGACACCAGAGAGGTAAGGGTCTGCGCGAAGATGAGGGAGAAAGCGCGCCGTAAGAGAGCCGAGCAGCGCTGCGGCTTCTTTCAAGCCTCTCCAGGAGTAGGACAGCATGAGTTGGGACTTGCGGATCGTGGCGGCACCATCCAGCGCTGCGACTGGGGCCGCGTCATCGCCTGCAGCGGCAGTGAGGGCACGAGCTATCTCGGTATCCGCCATTGCGTCGCCTCCCTCATCTGCTGCGGCTCCCGCCGCACCGTCGACGTCCGCGCCAGGCTCATCCGACCTTCCCTCTGGAGCTGCTGCGCACAGAATCGGCCGCGTAATGGCCCACACTCGATCAATGAGGGACTGCGTGCGTTCGAAGAGTTGGCACGTCGCAGAGGGCTTCATCGAGGCATCCCAGCCACGCCCGTCGTCCAGCATGTTCTTTAGCGTGATGAGAGTGCCGTGCAATGGCCGGGTCTGCGCTGCTGCAAAGAGGCCTTGCTGTTCTGCCACTTGGATGTGGGACTCGAGGAAGTCCAAGAGGTGAGGGAAGAGGGCGCTGGATGTAGAGGTGGCATTGCTCTCGTGTGTGCTCAGATGAAGCGTTGCTGGCCAGCCCAGCTTGGTAACATAGACCTTTTCGTATACTTGCAAGAGGTAGCCAGCAGCGGTGCTCTCCGAGTCACGCCCGCTGAGCAACAGGCGCCTCGCCTTGCTTAAAACCTGCTCCTCCACCGCCTCCTTGGTCTCAACGCCGAGCAAAGGTGCAGGAAATCGCTCCAAGAGCCCTATGCCCCTCCTCTGGACATCCTCAAATGTGCTATCTGCGCATCCGAGACAAGCCTGGACCAACTCTGCACTAATCACTCCCCGCAGACCCATGCCTTGCAGCTTGTCGAAGCGCCCAAAGGAGGAGGAGACGATGGTCGAGGAGGGTTGCGATCGGTCGTAGTCCGGATCAACGCCGGCGAGGAAAATTGTCTCGAGGAAGGTGAGGGCGGCGATTGTTAGGTGGTAGGGCGAGCCAGGGTGGAGGGCAGAGAGGATGGACGAGACGAGCGTCATGATGAAGGCGCGGATCTCGTCCATTTCGCGTTGGCAGCTGGCCACCTTTTCCTCCCGCTGTCTAGGGTCATCGATGAACTTGCGTGCTTTTTCAGCCTCCTTGGCTGCGGCGTGGTGGTTGGCTGATAGGCGGGTGAGCAGTTTGCCAAACAAGGAGTGGACAGCTCCCCTGCTCGAAGGGTGGGTGGTTGAGAAGGAGGCCTCCATAAATACGCCCAGCACGGCGTAGTCCTCTTGACTGAAGGGCTGGACGAGTGCTCGACCCTCGACGACGAGAGAGATGGACGAGACTTGCAGCTCCTCGACGGTGGACGAGGCGCACGATGCGAGAAGGGATGGGGGCACGATGCAGGTAAAGCGTTGGCAAGGGTGGGCAACGATGATGTGAGAGGACGAGCCGAGGACAAATTCGCTGCGGCTCGAGTCGGCAGACTGACCCGTCTTTACGAGCCCCTGGGTGTTGGCGGCTCGCAAGGCGGCAAGGACGGCAGGGAGGATCGTATCCTCGTTAAGTCTGCCGTCGGTGAGAGCGGTCAGGAGTGGCACGAGGGCTGCTGGTGCAAGCTCGAAGAGGTCGGCCAGCTGATACCAGCTTGTGATGCTGCGCTTCGTTGGATCGGAGGACTTGAGAGCCTCAATGATTGGTGAAAGGGCAAAGTGAGCCCATTCTTGCCATCTTTGCGTAGACCCTTGCGTCTCCTCTGCAAAGCCAATCCCGCAGTCTCTCGCCTTTGTTCGCAGTATCTTGCGGCATACTCTCGCCCTCCTCGTCGGCGCATCCACGTAAGAGCTCACAGGCGTGCTAAATTGCGCATACAGTCCCTGGAGAGAGGGCGAGCCGTACGAGTCTGCGATGCGCGTGCCGTCGTAGACACTGAGGAGGATGTCGTAGACGACGAGGGAGGTGCGGATGGCCGTGTCCGCGTTGGCACGGCGAAGCAGGTTGGCGGCGAGTGGGCAGAGAGGCGCAGGTGATGTCGATGTCGCTGCGTTGACGGTGGGCATCGAGTCGATGATGCTGAGGAGGAGCACCGCAGTGCTCTCCATCCTCTTGGAAACGGCGCTCGAGTCATCCAGCTTGTCCCAGATCAAGTGCGTCAAGGCAGTCTGCAGCTCGTCTTCTTCCAGGAAGCTTACGTCGACACCCTTGCCTATCGCCTGCTTACCCGCGGTAGCCCACTGGGAAAGGTCATCGAGACTCTGGCGTGTTGCATCGGGGGATTGACAGCGTGAGATGCATTGCGCGAGGGTGGAGCGGAGCTCTTGGCTGGTGGGATTGAGGCGGAGAGACTTGATTTGCAGAGCGAGGTTGTCGGGCGTGCGAGCGCCCTTGGTCGGGCGCATGGAGTTGCGAAGACGATGGCGAGCGACGTTGGGATGGGGAATGACGAGAAGAAGTGCAACCCAAGTCGTCCGCCGACTCGTCCGGTCAATTTTCTCGCCGTCCGCGAGTCGCGAGTCGTTCTCCGCGTCGACTTTGCATTTGTCTCCGTCGTGCGGCAAAGTCTGCTTGGCTTTGCTCCTTCCGCTCCCCAAAATGGGGCCGCCATCCACATCAGGCAGCAGCCGACGGCCAGGAGGTGCCCTCTCCTCTGTCATTTCCTCGCTATCAAGGGGGGACGCCGAGGACGACGGTGATCTGGACCGGTACATCGCTGATGTCCTGCTCGCGGAGGCTCAGCAGGCCGATCCCCGCACAGCGAGCTCCTCATCGCGAGCCCCGCAATCCACTCAAGCCGCTTCAACGAATAAGCGCTTCTTGGCCTCGGTCATACGGAATGTGGATGGCCACAATAGAGCGGTGTTGAGAGCGCAAGAGGATGAAGCCAGAGAGGGACAGAGGCAGCGCGGTCGGTGCGTGGAGGAGGACGAGAGGCAGACGGTGCGGGGAAGAGGAGCGATGGGCGCGCCCACTGGTTCGAGCTCGCGACAGAAGGGGACGATGAGGGGTTGGAGTGATGATGGGGGCGTAGACGAGTACGATGAGAAATCATCGTCGCAGCGAGTCTCGCCGCTACGCATCCGCGGCGTCTGCCGGCGTCACGATGAGCGTGGGGAGGAACGGCGCCCGCCACGCCGCTCAGCGTCCCCTCCTCGACGCTCTGACGCTTCACCGCCAAGCAAGATGGACCGTTACTTCACTTCGACGTACGACCCGCTCCTCGACGTATCCGTGGAGAGGAGTACAGATCCCACTACGGGGTTGATTGACGAAGGCGGGTGGGATGGACTCATGGAGAGGGTCAAGGATGCGGGCAAAGCGGAGCGGCGTGCGTCTAGGCGTGGTGAGAGGAGGAGCAGGGGGGACGAGAAGGCGGAGGAACGCGGGAAGAAGAGAAGTCGAGGCGAGGGCAGGGGGGCGACCCACCGTGACAAGAGAGAGCGGAGGAGTCGGCGAGACGACCGGTCAGAGTCAGAGGACGGAGCTGATCGGCATCGCAGCCGGCGCAGAGACGAAGAGCGCTCACATCATAGGCGAGAGCGTAGCACCTCACCTCGACGACGTCTTCGCCATCGCAGAGAGGAAGAAGAAGCCAGTCCAGGCCCGCAGCCAGCTCCAAAGGCTCGAGCTTGGGATCTGGGCAAGTCGACGTGAGGGGCGCGATGCGCGTGATTGACGCGCGCAGTGCTCTCGATATACCATTGCATTATCTCGTCGGTCACAAGGGGCTGGTGGCTGTGAGATGCGCGTCAATGAGTCCGAGACGTCTGAGCGGCCCGAGACGTGATCCAATCGCGATGTAGGGCCACCTGGCGGTCAATCCCTTGCCCGCCACCAGCAATTTCCGGTCAGGAAAGGGGGCCAGTCACCTCACCTCGGGGGCAGAAGAAGGCTTCCAACACGCTCCTTCTCCACCTCTGAATCTGGCTTTCTGTGCGGGCACATCTTGGTCAGGAAAGTGCTCGCCTCCTCCGTCCAGTCCAAAGGCGTTCACCCTTCAGGGTTAGGAAAGCGCTGCTACGGATATGCTTGGTGACTGACTTGATTGTAGTCTTTAGGGTAGGCAAGTCGCCCTACCGCAGCTCTAGCTGGGTGATGGCTTGTGGTCAGGGACAGGAAAGTGCTCTTGGCCTTTGGCTGAGGAGCAGGACTAGCGAGCGGGGGTAAGGGTCAGGAAAGAGACCCAGGTTCCGAGGTGGTGGGCGCAGGCGTGGCGTGGTGTTCCTGACTTTGGATTGGGAAAGCGCTTTGCCTTGGCCTCATGACCCAGCGTCAGCTGAGTGTAGCGCTGCTTTGCGTGCCTTCTGGTCCGGAAAGTAGAGTCAGGCGCCCTGCCCGATGGAGGCTTGGGTAGCAATGTTCCTCGCTCGGGTCAGGAAAGTTACCGTGGCTTGCCCGCAGCAAGGTGGCAAGCTTCATCTGCTGCTGGGCTAGGTTGAGGCTTCGACTCCGGTCAGGAAAGTGCCACTGCTACGGGATGGCCTGGCATTCGTTGCGTCAGGTTGAGAAGGTGATGGTCTCCCGCGCTTCTGGTCAGGAAAGTCGCTGATTGGCTCTCGCCGTGCTCCCTGCGCTAACATCGAGGGATGATGTTTTGATTCTCGCGACGCAAGATGCTGTTGCGCCGTTGCCCGATCGATGCTGTCTCTCTGTGAGGATGGGGTGGCTGAGCGGACGCTCAGTCGGAGTGTTGTTCTCCACCTCAGCCCGCCCGCATGTCCGTCGCTTTCCTTCCTTTCCTCCTGTCCTTTCAATACCGCTCCAAGATGGCCCCGCCGCTGTTCAACCCCCTGCCCACCCCAACACCACCACCATGTCTCAAAGCTCTGACGCCCTTTATTCGGCATCATCGCGAGCTCGCATCCGCCGACCCAATCGTGAGCTACTGGTGCCTGTATCACGCCGCGCAGCAGGGCATCGCCACGCCGGGGGCGCAAAAGGATGCGCAGGGGATGCCCTTTCTCATCGCCATGATGGACAAGCTTGAGGAGGTGCGTGGCGCGACGAGGAGGTCGAGCTCAATGGTCGCTGAAAGCTGACATCCGCGCCGCGCACAGATCAAACCAGCCCTCGCGACCAACGAAGCATTTACGTCGGACGAAGTAGGCTCAGCCCACGTTGAGAACTTTGCCCTCTCCGTCTTCACCAAGGCAGACAATGAAGATCGAGCGGGCAAAGCGAGCAAGGGCACTGCCATGGCTTTCCAGGCTGCTGCGAATTTTATGGAGCTGCTCGGCTTGTTCAACACCGGAGCGAGCGAGGAGATTGCCTCAAAGCGAGTGTATGCAAAGTGGAAGGTGACGGAGATTCTCAAGGCGTTGCGAGAGGGGAGGAGGCCTGATCCGGGGCCACCGGGATGGGATCCTGAGCAGGAGCGTAGGGAGAGGGAGGAGGAGCAGGAGGCGTTGAAGGCGGTGGGTGAGGCGAAGGAGGACGACGATTTGCTGGCGAGGGAGATTGCCAAGCTGACCGCGCCGAGTGAGCTGGGGGGAGCGGGCGGCGGCTCGGGCGGTGACGAGGGCAATGCGTTCAGGAGTGACGAGGTGGCAAGGGTCATCTCGCCCGGCGCCGAGGCGGATGCATCGTCGAGGAGCAGGCGGGCAGCTTCGAGGCTGTCTCTGGACGCCGGCGCCGCGATGTCGAGGTCACCCTCGTCGTCTAGCCAAACGCCAGGCTCACCGCCGCCGCCACTCCCAGCATCGGGATCCAACACCTCGATCTCCTCGTCGACGTCGCCCAACTTTAGCCATCCGCTGCGCCCACAACTCGAGCGAGGGCTGACGGGGGGATCCACCGGCGCGAGCGGCGCGAGCACGAGTAGTGCGAACGGTCCGCCTCAGCACCCGCAGCAGCAGCCGTATCTTCAGCTGCCACCCATGCAAGGCCAGCCAGGCTCGCCGGCTCTTTCGGCCACCTCTTCAACCTCGAGGGGAAGCGCCATTCCGGGACAGGTGACTGCGCCTGGTCGTCCGCTACCGATTCCTCCCACTCCGCCTGCAGGAGCAGCGCCGAATGGCTTCCCGGGATCAGCATACGCAGGAACGACATCTGCGCCCCCGTCAACTACGCAGCCTATTCCCTCACCCGGACCATCAGCTCCGCCCCTCCCACCTGCCGTCGCTACTCCCTCTGCCCCGCCAGCCCCGCCAGCCCCGCCAGCACCAGCAGCTCCCACGCTTCCGACGTCTCTGGACGCCCGCCAGACGTCAGCGGCACAGCGTTACGCCAAGTTTGCCATTTCGGCGCTCGATTTCGATGATTTGGAGACGGCGAGGCGGAATCTCAGGTTGGCGCTCAATGTGGTCGAGGGGCGTGGAGACGGAGGCGCCAAGGTGTCGTGAAAGCAGCGTGCCGCGCCATTCATCTGTGTATGATATCAATGAGATCGAGATAGAAACGTGCTTGCCGCACTGCGAGGCGTGAAGATGAGGACGTGGTGTTGCTCCACACGCCGCACGCACCACGCCGCGTGCACGGACAGGTCGGACCGCGGGAGCGGCGGGATCATCTGGAAGAAGTTGAGAGGGCGGACCTGTTCCTGAGACTTTGTGGCATTCATTCGCTCGCCGCTCGCTCCTTTCCTCTTCACTTTGCGCAATGTCAGGCAATGTCGACGCCACGTCGTCGGCACGCCCATCGCGACTGGCTCCAGCCCCCACCCTCGCGGCGCTCCAGCAACGTCAACAGCAGGCATCCCTGCCTGGGGACCCTCAGCCACGCCCCCGCTCTTCCTCCCACTCTTCGCACTCCTCTCACTCCTCACACTCCTCGCACTCCTCGCACTCCTCTGTACAAGCGCGCAAGAGGGCAGAAGCATTCGGTAGCTCGGATCTGCCGTCGGTCTCGAAGCAAGCATGGCACCTCTTGGCCCTCGTAATCGTAGCACTCGCTGCATTCCATGTCGCAGGGCTCTACTTGTTTACGCGCGGCTTCCTCCTCACAAGGCGGGAGGTGACTGGGGTGACGAGATGTGATGTGGCGCCATCCCATCGGATGACTGGTCCAGCCCCTCCCAAGCGGGACGAAGAGGCTGATCTGTGGTCGTGGGACTCGCAGTGGGAGCGAGAAGGGGAGTGCGCGCTTCCTGCCGCGCATGAACGCGCAGTATTCCTCATCATCGATGCACTGCGATACGATTTCGTGGCGGCGGTGGACAACGCAAGTGTGGCTCAGCCCTTCTATCAAGGCCATTTCACCCTGCCCTCCTCGCTGCGGGACAGCTCCTTCCTCGCCCACTTCCTCAGCGACGCCCCCACTACTACGCTGCAACGGCTCAAGGGCCTCACGACGGGCTCGCTCCCCACATTCATCGACGCCGGCTCCAACTTTGGCGCCGAGGCGATTGGGGAGGACAATTGGCTTGCACAGTATCAGCACGCGGTGCAGAGAAGAAGCGGGGGCAGGAACGCCACGTTCGCCTTTATGGGTGACGAGACGTGGCTCAAGGTCTATCCGGGCGCTTTCGACGCGGGGATGACGTGGGGGATGGATTCGTTCAACGTGGAGGATCTTCACAGCGTGGACACGGGAGTGAAGGAGAAACTGCTGCCGCTGCTCGACGATAAGAGCGCAGATTGGAACCTCGTCGTCGCCCACACGCTCGGGCTCGATCATGTGGGACACCGCCATACCCCCTCGCACAGCGCGATGACGGCCAAGCTGCAGGAGATGAATGCGCTGCTGAGAGACGTGGTGGAGCGTCTGCCCGAGGATGCCTTGCTGATCCTGGCGGGTGATCATGGCATGGATGCGACGGGAGATCACGGTGGGGAGGGGGAGCTCGAAGTGGGCGCTGCGTTGTGGGTGTACTCGCCGCGAGAGAGCAAGAAGTCGGGAGAGTTTGAGGGCGACATCGCGGCATTGCACGCGGCCGCAGAGCACGAGGAGAGGTACGGACCGCCAAGTCACACGCCTTTCAGCCCACTCGAAGGATCGCATCGCTCCGTCCCACAAACGGACCTGGTGCCCTCTCTCGCGCTGCTACTCGGAGCGAGTCCGCCGTACGGCAATCTAGGCAGCGTGATCCCGGAGCTCTTTGCGCAGCAGGGGGGTGAAGGCCTGCTGCGTGCGCTACGTATCAATGCGCGGCAAGTCAGGCGGTATCTCCGCGATGAGAGCGCCGGTCGAGAACTGCGCGCTTTCGACGCCGAGCTGGACGAGCATTGGCTGCAGGCACTCAAGGCGGATGCGGCGTATCAACGTCAGCCGGGCGCGCAGACTCGCCGCTCTGCCCTCGTTGCGTATCAGCGTTTCACTCGCCTGGCGATGCATCGTGCGCGTGGGGTGTGGGCGCAGTTCAATGCCGCGAAGATGGGCGCAGGTGCGGCGTCCCTGCTGCTGAGCATGGGCGTGCTGCTCAAGTTGATTGGTCTGACGAGCGGGGGAGGAAGGACAGACGAGAAGAGAATGACTACCGTGAGGCTGGCGAGAGAAACGCTCAAAGCGGCAGCTGTCGGGGCTATGGCTGGCGTGGTGGTGGCGGGCGTTGCGTCCGTGGGACTGGCGAAAATGGCTGAAGGGCTCGCGTGGAGCGACGTAGCGCTGGCTGGCGCCACAATCGGAGGTCAGGTAGGCGCCCTCACTGCGCGTATTGGGGACGAGGGGAGTGAGGCGCGGGAGGTTCAGGCGCGTACGACGGGCGCAACAGCGCGATCACCAAGTCGCTGGGCTGCGCTTCTGCGCCACGAAGCCCCGCTTCTGGCTCCGGTGCTCATTCACGCAAGTCTCTTTGCGTCCAACAGCCTCACCGTGTGGGAGGACACTGTGGTGCATTCCCTCCTCACTGCCATACTGCTGTACCGAGCTTGGAACGGGTGGGCAGCAGCTTCGCGCCTCGCCGCGTCGCAAGAAGCAGGTGTCCAGGCAGTGGGCGCACGCGGGGCTGTGCGAATCCCTATCCTCCTCATCCTGGCAGCCCTCGCTGTCCGCGCCTCACATTCGCTCGGCGTGTGCCGCGAAGAGCAAGCGCCGACGTGCTCGAGCGAGCGGGGCCCGTTCTTCCATCTCATCCCTCTCTCGACGCTGCTTGCCTCGGACTCTACTCGCGCCTGGGTCGGACCAATCGCCACGCTCGCGGGCAGCTACCTCCTGGCGACGGCTCTATTGCCCCGCCTCCTCATCCGCAGCCTCGCTCAATCACGCAGCGACACGGGCCTTGCGCGCTTCTGGACCGACTGGATCCTTCGACCTTCCCTGATGCTTGGGACGGGATGGTGGGCGGTGGACTGGGTAGGGGAGGGGCTGGACGCGCAAAGTGCCGTGCAGTGGGGCAAGAATCTAGTTGCGCGAGCAGACTACGCGCTGCTGATCGTGGTGGGCACGGCGGTTTGGCTGTTTGCGCCACTCTGTCTCGAGGTCAAGGACGTTGGCAACGCGCGTGCAGAGGGTGCGACCGAACCTCGCCGCCTGCAAGTCCTCGGTTTCAGCAACGTCTTTGGCTCTTCGTACCTGCTCCTGGTCTCGCTCGTGTTCTCACTGCTCTGGCTCCTCACGCCGCCGGCCGGCCAGCTAGCCCTTGCTGCGAGCTTCTTTGCCGTGCTGGCCCTCGCCGAGGCGGGCGATGCGGAGCGGGATGTCGCTGCCGCCACACGAGGGCAAGACGTGCAAGCTCCGGCTCCACTGGAGGCGGCCACCATTCATCTCCTCGGTCACACCCTCTTCTTTAGCACAGGACACCAGGCGACGTTCCTCTCGATTCAGTGGCGGACCGCGTTTGTGGGGGCGTCGACGGTCGTCTATCCATGGGCGCCTATTCTTGTCGGCCTCAACTCGTTTGGCTCAACGGCAATCTGGCCCGCCCTGGCCGCTTCGCTCCTTATTGCTTGGAACCTCGCGCCGAAACCGCGACGCACACCCGGTGGAGAAGGGGGCGGCGCGATGTCCACGTTGCGCACCTCGCTGCTTGCAACGCTCGTGAGGCTGAGCCTGGCCTCGCTCATTGTCGCGACGAGCTCGGCGCTGTTTGCCGCTCATTTCCGCCGACACCTGATGCTGTTCAAGGTCTGGGCGCCTCGCTACATGCTTGCTGCCTGCTCGCTAGCTCTGCTGGACATCGTTGGGGTGGCGCTGCTCGGCGTGGCGGGGTGGGCAACCGTTGCGGGAAAGGTGGCCGCTGCGGTGGGGAGTGAGTTTGAGTAGAGCGCGGCGCGCGCGCGACTGAATGAAAACTGCATTAGTAGAGTCTAGAGTTACTTGTGCGAGTGCCGCGCTGGCTTTCATTCATCGCTGTCTTGGCGGCTACCTCGCCTTTCTATCCTCGCTGCGCTCGCCGCCGCGTTGGCCACGCAGGCTGACCGGCGCGCCCACAAAGACGCCCACGAGTCCGACTGCACCCAGCACGATCTGATAGACGCCTGCCGCCCCCACGATCGCCACGAACCAAGCCCACGGCGCAGAGATGTGCGTGGGCGAGCAGAGGAGAGGATTCGTCGAGTCCTTGGAGATGGCGCACATCGCCGAGGGCGAAGCGGAGAAGCTGTATGGGCGCTGCGTAGTGTACAGGGCCAGGCGATTGGCCGCGAGTGTCGGCGATGCCAGGAGTGAAGGGAATGGAGGACTGTGGGGCGGGTCAGCGTGCGTCGAGCGTCGAGAAGGCATGGGACTCACCTGCACAGCGGACTGAGTGCGATGACCAGAGCCGGAAAGCCCACGACGAGCGCGAGCGAAAGGAGCGGTACCAGCGTGCGAAGTGTCTTGTTGCCTTGCCATGAGTCGGGCTACGTGCGTGCGTGGCGTCAGTATTGCATCGAGTTTTGCATGTCTCTGCTCCCGCCCCCTCACCTTGCCTCTTTCCACAGCCCCCCGCCCACTCAACACCATCACCGCAGCGAACAATCCAATCGAGAGCGCGAGGCATCCGCCCGCGATTGCCAACGTCGCCTGCGTCTTCCATCCAAGCATCGAGGGTCGCACCGAGTGTACAAGTCCCACATCTCGCAATGCCAAGTCGGTCCGTGTAACATACAGGCAAGCGCTCCCGAGTACTAGGTACTTGGCCTGCTTGTAGAGGTTGACATACAGGCGCGAGGAGGACATGGCGCCAAGAAGCGGCAACGAAGAGGTAGAAGTTGAGTGGTGGGAATCCTTGTGTGAGACATCCGCCAATGCGTGGGAGCCCGTGCGCGCGAGCACGGGCGGGCACAAAATTAGTGCCGCCCTGTGCCACGTGGTCACGCGTTTGGCCGGCGAAGGAAGAAGTGAAGGCGGGTCAACGGGCTGGGCGAGTGAGGGGAGTACGGCGATGTACAAAGCGACACAACGACAGAATTCAGTGGCCCTCGAGCACTTGATAGGGGTCGTAGCGGCTGTCCAAGGCTACAAGCTCGTGCCAAAATGAGGTCGAAAGAGTGAAAATTGACGTCTTGACGTCACTCGGAAGTGTGAGTGGTAGACCCTACCTCCTTCTTCTTCGACCGGCGGTGTATCCGCAAGTCAAGCATCACAGGTAGCTCACGTTTGGCATGCAACTTCTCGTTGAAGATGGTCACAATCATGTTGTGATGGGCTTCGGCCGGTCAAAGACATTTTGAATCGAGAGCCACTTCGCGGGAAGAACGGCTACAGATGGTCGCTTCTCTTTGCCTCCGGTACAGAACAATGGAGGACTCAGCGCAAGTGATGAGGTTTTCGTGCGAGAGCCGGTCAGCGCATGTGATCCTCCCGAGCGCCGGAGAGCTCTCAGAGCGTCCCCGAATGTCCAGTCTAGGCCTTGACGTAGGTCCGAAAGACGCGTTTGGGAGGGTCAACTTCAAATCGCTGCCACTCGGCGAGGACAGAACCAAATGACATGAAACAACTTGGAGGATCTGCGGCCTGCCTTTGTGTATGTTTTCCAACCTTCAGCTGCTCCAAAAAACCTCGGAATGGGCGTGTACGTCAGTGGTTAGACAGCTGGTCTTCGGCGCCTTTCTCGATCGTTTCTCGATGGAAATCAGCTGTTTTAAGTTACCAGAAGCCGTCGGTTCGAATCCGGCCTCGCCCTTTTGCTGGTGACGGTGTTTGTTTGCGTTCTTTTTTAGCTGAGGGAGGCGATATCTGATGTCGTATCAGGCCCCCCCGTATCGGCGATGGTGAGAAGTTGCAGGCGCGTCGTGCGGTTCCGCCCCGCGCGGGACGGAGTTTCAATTTTGCTGGTCCGTGCGCGCATAGTTCAAGACTGGCCTGGTGCCTGTGCCTGCGTTCGGCCACCACCCACCCTTACCCTCGTCACCGCCCCGCCGTCGCCGGTCACCAAGCCCATCGCAATCCTCGATACCAACGGGCCTTCATCTCCCTTTCCTGCGTCGCGTTCGGCAATTCGCTTCTTCGCCGGGCCTCGAAGGACGACGAAGGGTTCGAGAGGCTGGCGAGGCTTGCTCCCCTCTGAAGGTCCTGACGAAGCCCATTAGGGGAGACGAAAGGCATGGGAGGATACTCCGACATCAGCGCGAGCTCTCAGCTTTCGCTGACGCTGTCCGACTCAAGGGCCGCTCGATCAGGCTTTTCCAGTCATTCATTGAGGCGCCCACCATCTGATCCCAAGCTCGTGTAGAGGCGCAGAGAATACCATGTACTCCAGAACTGCGAAGAGAGCCAGCCTCTCGCAGGCAAGAATCACCAGGCAAACATCATTCGAGCTCGTGCTTTACGCCAGAAGTTTGGATACACACCTGCTACCTTGCTACAACGTCGAGCCCCTGAACAGGACCGCACGGCTGCATGAAGCCGCTCAACGGCCTCATGGTCGACACCAGGCAGTCGTGATGATCAAGCGGATGCTGGTAGTTCTGCACAGTGTCTCGCTTCTTTTCAGGGGACCTGCAAGATCAGGAGCGAAGGTAACGTCGCTGCTGAAACTTCTGAGCGGCCCGGTATCTCTGCCTGATGGCACCTTATCGCAACAAAGCACCTCTCGACACCATCTCCCTCATTCGCCTAACGATCAGGTGAATGAGGGAAGTCGGAGCCGTAATGACCTGATGTACTACAAGCAGTCAGAGGAGCCAAGACTTCAAGTGCCAGCTCAAATGGACCGGAGCCAGGAATTGCAGCAACTGCTGATTCTGGACGGCCAAGGCTGAGAGAGTTTGTGTCAATGGGTGCCGTCGGATGGCTGTTGGACGCCATGCAACCGACCTGTTGGGCCGCTGAAGTCCCACGCAAAGAATCGCATTTGAGCTACAGCGTGCCTCGGAACAGATGAAATTCGCGGGTGTTCCAATCGACCTGGGCTCCTTGCCACAGCCAGATACCAGAGCTCGACGTCAACATCGACTAGTCCTTGTGTTACGATCGACTGCATGGCTCTGAGCATCAGTGACAGATGTTGAATCGGACAAATGAAGAAGTCTAGGGCGGGATAGATTGATTTGACAACATAGAACGATCGCGGCACACTGCGTTACAAATGGGGTCATCATAGGCATTCTGTGCGACGGGTGACGCGGACGTGGAGAATACCTCGCGGGCGAGGACGAGCGGATGCAGGAAAGAGTCATGAGCATCTTCACGCTCGACGGGTACTGACGGCAACGTCACAAAGGAGGAGGGGGTGCTTGCTTCAGCGACCATCCGTACAGACTTCAAGTCTCCAGACGTCTCACATTCGCAGCCGGCTGGCCCCCACCGTAAGTCGCCGACACACGCTATGCTTTCTTGTGTGTGGCGGCTTCGAAGGGCAAGACCGATGGTATCATACAGCTATCATGCTTGCTTGCTAGCATCACCGCGCCGCCCGCCTTGCTTTCGAGTCTCCCGGTTCTGCCTCTTCGTCCATCATGCAGATGCCTGTCCGATATCTTCTTCCTAGGGGCCAGTGATGTTCATTCTCAATGTGGCGGAGCCGTTCTCTTCAACACGACGGGATCGCGGGATGGGGTTGTACAGCATGAGGATCGCTTACAGACAACCTTTGAAGCTCTGCGCTGCTGCTTGACGTCAAATCAAATATGTAGATTTCGAGAGGGTCTACGAGAAGCATCTCAAAGCATCAAACATAGCCTGAGAATGGCGGCTATTTACGCTAGGCGGCCAGCTTAGCCTTCTTGGCATCCTGGCTGCGCTTGCGAGACCATTGGAGGTATTTCTGGCGATATTCGCCCCAGCGCTGGCAGCTGAGCCCGTCCAGGATGTCCTGAACATAGACTTGCGAACAGTAGGTAGTGCGTCAGTCGAGCCTTTCGCCGAGCTCTTCCACCTGCACTAACCTTGATCGGCTCGATCCCATTCATGGACATCGCCCTGGGCCACCAAGCGTGAGACTCCTTCTTTGACTCCAGCCGCCAGCGATTCCACACCCGCTGCGCAGGTACCATGCCTCCATTGGAGCCAGCCACTGCACAAAGTCCGGAGCTGCCTCTCCCCCTGCTAGCGAAGTTTGCGGTGTAGCCAGGACAGATGATCAAAGTGTCGAAGGCAGCGTGCAGCCGCGCCATCTGGTATGAGAGAGTAGTGCCAATGAAGTCAATTTACATATCGAGAGCGAGGAAGCGAGGCGCTTGTGTCCACACTCACGTCAGAACGCCTCAAAATGCCAGTCCATTCAAGCTCAGTCCGCGAATGGCCGCCTTGAGCTGAGCCATTTGCTGGCTGATTGGAAGAGGTGGCCGGAGAATCCTGCTGTGGCGAGCCGTTGCCGCTTTCGATCGTCAGGTCGTGAGAGACAGTGCGGAGCGCATCCAAAGGTAGTGCTCCACAAGAATGGTTGCTCGAGGATGCTTGAGATGCAGGGCCTCCATTGGAACCAAGAATCGCGCATCGACCCGAGTTGCCTCCCTCCCCGTACACTTCCTCACTCGTCTTGCACTCAGTGCCGATGCGAACGTCCACATCCTCCACGTCCTGCACGTCGGGCCAGCGCTTCGACCTGCCGTGCAGCGACTTGCTCGTGGCGGTAAGGTGGAAATTAAGTCTGCCGCACTGGCTATGAGAGCTTCGTGGGTAATGCGACGCTCCAGTGTGGACAGGTGCTGGCGATGATTGTAATGAGGAAGGGCCTCCTCGAGAGAAGAGGCGGAATGGTCGAAAAAGGCGATCAGGTACAGATGTAGAGCGCACAAGGCCGTGGCGGTGATAGACGGGAGGAGCGAAGGAATAGCGATTGCTGATGTTGGACGAAGCGTGCTGAGGGTCTTGAGGCGAGATGGAGGATTTGAATGATGGCGCTGCGGACAATAAGTGTCATGTCTCTGAGCAAGGTGGGACACGATCTTGGGGTCTGCGCTCCGGGGAGAGAACTGGGTGTCCGCGGCGACAAAGGTAGGAGACCTGAGAGGGCTATTGGCGGCTGTGGCATTCGAGTTGCGAGCTCGAGTAGATCAGATAAGAGCGAGCATGAAAGCGAGATCAAGCGGGCAATCGTTTTGGAGGCTCTGCGTATTGGGCGACGTGGGCGTAAATGGCCTGAAGGGCCGGCTACTGCATTTGACGATGAGGCCGTTGCGCCCGCAGCATCAGCGGCGGCAACAGCCTTCTTGATCCACTCGACGATCTGCAGTAGTAGTCATTCGAGTTCGTGTTCTTGAGAAAGTTGAGGCCGCTGTGCATGAGGCGGCTGTTCGCAACGGTGTAGTCGTCCTCAGAGTTGAGGCGGTCGACCGAAACGAACCACAGGTCAAAGGCAGCTCCAGTCACATCGAGGAACTTGCCGTCGCCAGCCCAGCGCGCAACGAGCATGTCGAAGAGGTCTTGGACGGTAAGCTTGTTAGCCTTCGGCTTCCTGCGCTTACTCGTCTGTGACTGCTTGCAGCGGTCGTCAATCCTCTCCCACTCCTCCTCCGCCCACGCCCAGATCCTCGCCTCCTCCACGGGAGTGGGGGCCCCCACGAATCCACCGCCGAGAATGGGCACGAGCACGTCGTTGACCACCTGGCAACGGCCCTCACGCCACGCCTTGACGATGCGGCGAACGTGGCGACGGTTTCCCTCGACGCTGTTCTTCCCGCGAAGGAGGTTGCACGCTACGCAGGTCAGCTCGACGTTACCTTCGTACCCCTTCTCGCAGTCCAGACGGTCGGGCCTCGCGTTGCACGGGAAGGTCATGCGCGTCGAGTCCTTGGTGCCTGGCTCGCGGATGTGCTGCGTCAGGGCAACATCGCAGCGGGGGCAGCAAGGGCGCGGACCGGCCTCCTCCCAGAGTCGAGCGAAGTGGGCCTCGTGACGACTGCGGAAGGGCAGGAGATGACGATCAGCTGCAAGGTCCTGTCAGTGCATTGGTGACGAGCAGCTGCTACTTACTCCTTGGCTTCATCGTGGGCGCGCGTCCCGAGCTCGTACTAGCGCCAGCGCCTGGACGCGGCACGAACCCCCATGCGACGGAAGAAGGCCTTTGTCGACATTTGGCCTACCCCATCAGCGAGCAACTCCTCGTCGTCCTCATCGTCCCCGTCCCCCAGCGCCTCCCTCTCCTCCCAACGCGGTACGTACTCCTTCATGTACGCAGCGTGGTGGGCCTTGACGTGCGCAGCATGCGACATCAGCTCCACGTAGTCCTCCTTCTCAAGAAGACGGCGCAGGTCAATGTCTTCGGGCTCCACGTCAGCCAGCAGGGTGCCAAGCAGCATGCGCGCAAGCTTGGCAGGGGTTAGTCGGTTACTCAGAGGCTGCCAACCCGGGCACTCCGCATTGCTCTTCAACGCATTCGTCGTCGAGCAGGCCAGCTGCGTCTTGGAGTAGTTGATGCGTAGCTGCATCACTGCTCCAGCGCCGGCCCCGCGAATCGCCTCCTTCAGCTCCCTCGCATGCTCGTCAAAATCTGCTGCGGAGATCTTGGTCGATCCACCCCCAACACGATCCCAAGGAAACGGTGAGAGCGGCCACAGCGGAACGTCACGAGCAAGGAAGCGGTCAACGGCCCCATTGCCGAAACGATGACGCACCTGCAGGCGGCGCAGGACGTAGATGGGGTCAGCTTGGCGGCGATGAGGTGAGCGAAGGTGTCTAGCACTCACCGCCTTCTCCTCCTTCTCCGACAGCCCTTGATCTGCCCAGTCGAGAATAGCCTGTGGTCTTTGCAGCTCGCTGGCGACCTTTCGACTGATGCTCTTCGGCAGGATTGGCGCCCACACGCACTTCCAAGATCCCGCATCGAGCCACATCAGACAGTCTTCCCGGAACCTGGCCTCGATGGCGTCAGCGTGGCCGGATTGCAGCTGCTCCTGGAGCCTCATGATCTGCAAGCGAGCGAGCTCTTGCTGGACCTCGAGTAGAGCGCGTCGCATCTTTGCCGGCACCTTGACGTCGTCGCTGAGCTTTTTGGCGGGATGCCACCACACCGGACTGCCGTTGCTATGCGGCATTGTCACGATGCGTGAGGCTCTGAGCCTCTCAAGCTCTTCATCCTCGAAGAAAGAGGACAGCAGCAGGTCAAGTGCCTCCCGAGGCTGGGCACGCCACGTCGCTCGCTTCTTCTGCTTGACCTTCGCGCCATCATCGCCGCCATCGCTAGGCTTGCGCTTCTTCCCTTTTCCCTTCAAGTATACTTGGTTGTGCTGGTCTGGGTGCAGCGCAGCGATGTCCAGCGTCTCGTCGACATCTTCGAGCAAAGTCTTGGAGCTGCTGGCCACCGGTGGGCCCGTGACCTTGCTCGTGGAAGACGGTGCGCTTGCGCGCGACTTTTGCCGGCATTGGAGTGCCGAGAGCAGCTGTTGTGAGCATACTGAGCTGTCGAGCGAGTCGAGCGAGAGGAGGTGGCTGCTTTCGACGCTGAGGGAGCTTTGGTAGGAGCGGCTTTGCCAAAGTCCACGCACAGAGGAGAGAGGGAACAAGACTCGTCGGACAAGGAAGACGAATCGCGGTGGCGAGATGCTCGTGTGGGCTGAGTGGGGAGGAGTGGGGAGAGCCGAGCGCTCGAGGTAGACGCCCTGCTGGATGCTTGGGGCCAGGGCGGTTGGTGGTGAGTTGCCTGTTGAGCTTCGGTCTGGCTAGGCTAGCCTGCGCTCAGACCCCCTCTTTGCCCCTGTCTGGTTTCTTGAGCTCGAGTCTTTGCATCCTTCAGCTTCCTCTCTTGTGATCTATCACTTTGAATCGATGTGCTTCCTGTGACACCCACGTCCTTGCCTTGAGGCTGTTGATGTAAAGCCATGACATGAAGAAGAGCGTGACACTGCTGATTCTGGGCAACAGCGTGCCTCTCGCGGATTGCAAGCTTGATGTCGTTCGTGAGCTTCCATGCTGGGTGCCACCTTGCCAGGGTTGCATCGCAATGGGGCATCTTTCTTCTCCATCGTCGCCCTTGTCTTGCCTGCCTCTCTTCCTGGCCTGAGCACCGGCTGCCGTAGGAGAAAGGTCGGCAGTCGATCCATCGTCGAGCGTCTGCTTGGAGCTGCTGGCAGCAGGCCCGACGGATGAAGTGGAAGCACTTGGACGAGCGGAGGACTTCGATGACCTTGGCTGCCCAGCGCGATGGACCTTCAGCTGCGAGAAGTCCGGGATCAATGGGTGGGTTGGCGCTGCCGCGCCCGATGCTGCTACAAATGGCCTGGCATAGCTGACCGTGGGACGGCCAGCCATGGAGGACGAAGTACCTGCGCTGGAGGCGTTGGCAGGCAATGCAGCAGCTGCATGAGATGAAGTGGGTTTTACAGCTGGATGAGTTGAAGCAGGGCTACCAGAGGCGCCTCCTTCGTGGAGATGCAGTGGGAGGGGAGCTGAGGGTCCGTCGGATGGAGACGGGGGATCGTATCGAGAATCGCGAGTGGGCTCGTCGAGATGCTTTTGGCTTAGTGGCCCAGAAGCACCGGCATGAGCGTTGGTTTGAGGGGAATTGAGGGTAGCATGAGCATTCCCCGCGTGCAGACGCAGGGGAAGAGGGGAAGAAGGGGGTGCGGAGGAGGAGGGAGTCTTGTAGCGAGACTCGGCGGCGTGGGAGTGAGGACCGGCGCGAAGCGCAGGGTCGCGAATGTTCTCGCCCGTGATGTGCACACAAGAGGACGACGAGCTGAGCGTTGGTATCGATGGGCAGAGGAGGAGTCGGAGCTTGCCGGCGGTGAGCGGGATAGGCTCCAAGTCGAAGGCTCTGTTTCAGCTTGAGCTGAGAGTGTCGAGACATCGCTGCTGCTTTGACGCTGCCAGACATGCCCGCCAGGTGTTGACGAGTCGCGTAGTGACCTTGCGAAGGTAGCGAGGTGATCATTGACGAGGGCAGAGGGGCCTGCGCGAGGTTGAGCGAAGAGGCTCCTCCGACTTCGACGCTACAGCAAGCTGCTGAGCGGTTGCCGACGCGCGTCACAAAGTAGTGGCTGCTGAGGTGTCCTGCATTGTTGAGGGAGCTCGCTGCTATCGAGAGCTGAGAGACGGAGCGAGGATGTTGGGGCGAGCTTGCGCTTAGGCTCCTGCCCGGTCTCTGCAATTTTGAGTGTGTGTCGCCTTCAGCTTCCTGTCTCTGGGGATGTGACACCGAAGCGAAGTAGTCTGCGTTGAACGCAAGGCGGAGAGGGGGGAGCGGCTGTGACGAGCCGATCTCTAGACGGCCAAGTTTGCACAAGGGTGCCAGTGGCATGAGTACGAGCTTGAGGAGTGCGCGCATGGGGAGTGCGCGCTTGAGATGTGCGAGCTTGTGGTGTGCGAGCTAGTGGTGTGCGAGCTGAGGGGCACGAGCTTGCGGAGTAGTACCTCGAGGTGTTACGAGCGCGCTCTTGAGAGGCAGAGCAGGGAAGAGCAAGAGTATGAGACACACGATGAGTAGCTGTCACTGTCTTCCAGACACACTCACGAGCGGGGCGAGTAGATGAGGGGCGTCTTTGCTACCTGTCAGGCTCTCACGCTTTGACTGATTTGATGCAGAGCAAGTGCCGGGAGCTTGATGTGCGTGTGTCGTATGACTGTATGACGCAAGCGCCAGCAGACACGCAAAGGCGTGGTCGATGGGTGTGTTGTCGAGCTCGGAGTGTGTTGTGTGTGTGCGTGTGCGGGTGCGAGATTGCAGTGATGGCAAGGATGGAAAGAATGGAAGAGCGGGCCGGGCGCCTCGAGCTGTGTTTGCGTGCCTGGCTGTGCTGAGCACTTGGCTGAGCGCGACGGCGGCGGCGGCGGCGGCGGGTGCTAAGTGCGGAGTCGTCGGTGGTGTGCTGAGCGGATGAATGGTTGGGACAACATCTTCGGGCGGCGTTGAGAGTCAGCGGTACCACCAATGATCCAGCAGTGTAGGAGCCGACGAACCAGGCGCCGAGCGATGTTGATGAGCCTTGCTTGGCTTGGGGTGTTGCGGTGAGATGAGGGTTGGGCCCCGCTGGCCGCGCAAGACGGTCTCAGACGACCGTGGGGGGCGCCACGTGAGCACAGTCGTGCCGACCACGTCTTCTCCCAGGCCAACCGCCAAGCGAGCTGCTCGCTATGGCAGACTATCCCTGCTTGTCAGCTTTAGCTGCTACACGCAGAGATTTGAGACAGAGTGAAGGCAAGTGACTTTCGCGAGTGGCAACCTCAGCGCAGGCAAAAGGGAGGGCTACGGTGGCAGAGATCCTCTGAGACTTGCGCAGCTCATGCTCCACAGAGCAAAGCGTCATCACGCCGCCGCCCTCGCCCTTCCTATCCCTCGACGTCCTCGAACTGAATGGTATTCTTCAAGCACCGTTTCTAATTCCGAGATGTCTACATTACATTAATCTATGAGATGATCGTATAACGTAGACTTCTTTCTCGCCCAGACAAGCTGCAAATAGCCGCCTCCATATGCTCCTCCCTTGGAACCTCCATCGGCTTCCCCCTCTTCAACAGCGCCTTTGTTCGGTTGACGCAGCCGCCCACCATCCTCCCAATGAACGCGTCCTTGCCCATCATTGTCCACACCGGAGCGGCTTTTTGGTCTCTGTCAGAGAGTAGCACACTCTCAGCGACATTCAGTGGCAAGTGCTCCGACCTCTTTGCCCATCTAATGATGATGCTGGCCAGAGCCTCGGAGGTCAAACCCCTGCCGTCTGGGCGAAAGCAAGGCTCGCCCGTGTCTGCCGTGATTGTGGCAACAATTACCGCAAGGATCGGACGGGTCCATGTGCCGAGAAGCACAGACTCCATGAATGATTCCGTCTCGTGGCAAAGCAGTCGACGACGGAGGGGAGCCAGAGCCACTTGCGTCTCGGCGAGGATGGTCTTTGTCTCTTCAGTCTCGCAGGGTCGACGTCCCCTCCACAGACAAGTCGAGACGAGGCAGGCTGGGGGTGAAACGTCGGCACAGGTAGGCCATGAGCGAAGGGTGACCTCCCTCGATGCGACGAAGGTAGCTTGTGATGTCCATGGTTGCTGCCCGTTCCATGATCCATCCGGTTGCCACATCGATGGAGGTCTTGCATCTTGCTCGCATTCCCGGCCACCCGAGCACCTCCAACATAGATGTCAAGCGGATACTGCACTGTAGTTTTGCTCGCCGGCGCTCTTGCTTCTCCCTCTACTCTGCAATCGATTATGAGACGAGCGACCATGCCACTACGACTGAAGGGCACTGGCCAAGGCTCCACGAGCTGCTGTCTCTTCGTTTGCAGCTCCGTCTTTGGCACGTTGATCGGGCGTCCTGGCCAAAGCACATACCGCACGAGCATCTTGCACAGCTGATCCGCCTTGTGCGACTTGGCGTCGTACTTGATTGCCTTCTCTCTGCAGCGCGAGGTGATGGCTGCGGCAATGAACGCCAGCAGAGAGCGCGGGAACGTGCAACAGAGGACCATCTCCATGTACGACTTGCGACGAAAGAACAGCAGGCGCTGGCGGAAGAACTGCAGACGAGGCTGCAGGCGCTCAAGAACCTCCTTGGCAGGGGCTGCCTTCCCGTCCATCAAGATGCGCCACCCATTCTCCACCCGAATGTGCATATTGGGCACCCCTCTGACCATGGCATGGTCGAGGTAGCTATGCAGGGAGGGATGGCCATCGTGGATCCGTCGACGAAAGGCGCTGAAGTCGTAACTCGCTCCTGCCTGCATGATCCAGTCGATCACCTGCTGCTGCTTGCGCGGACCCTCCGCGACGCGACGGGGCATACCCAATGGGGCGAAGACAGTCCAGATGGTGTTGAGCCGGATGCTGACTTCGATTCGTCGTGCCCAAAGGGTCTGGTCCTCGCCACGCAGGATTGTGAGCGCGATCTTGGCGAGAAGCAGTTCGGCATTGAAGCTGCACAGGCTCAACATTCTGTCTCTCGCGACGTTCTGCCCTCCGTCGCTCGGGCGCTCCCCAAACGCACGCGCGAGGCCCATCCCTCGAGCACCATCAGTCGATGAGGACATGATGAGTGGCACGTCGATGGTGGAAGGACTTGGGAAAGGCGAGCCGTCTTTGTTCGCCCGCGTGATGATGTCCTGTGGCATTTTCTGCGACACAAGATCCAGCCACGTTGTCGAAGTGAAGGGCGCTCCGGATTTCATTGGCACGTCTGGCATTTGAGTACTACCAACTGCCGGTGAGGAAGAGGGCAGAGAGAGTTGGGATGGCTGTGCAAGATGCTGTGCCAGGGGAGGGCGCTGCTGCTAGCGTAGTGGTACCCACGGCAGCAAAGGTTCTCCACGGCCTCTTCGCTCCGGGGCTCGTAGAGCACTTGCCTGTCCTGAAGCAGGTGGATATTGCCTTACAGCCACTGACAATGATATCTGAACCGGGGCAAGCGCGGTGGCCACGGCAGCAGCTCGCGTAGAGTGGCCTTGTGAGACGGGTCCATGGTTGTGCGCTTGATGCATCGCCTCTGTGGGTAGAAGGTAGCGATGGCGGTCAGCAGTCTGAGGGGTGACGGCAGGAGATGAAGTTGACTCACTACGGTACTTGTCGCTCCCTGCTCGTCATTCAGCCTCTGGTCCACGGCCACGCCTTTCTTCTTGAGCCTCGAAAAGTGTGCCCATTACCAAGCGAAGCTGCTTGCAAGCCGTGCGCTGATGGGTACTGATGAGCTGCTGAGATGGAGATGCGTTCGCACGGTCTTGTCCCCTGAGCGATTCGATTCTGCACTCCGTAGAGCACGAGCTTGCTTTGGCATTCTCTCAGGTGTGCAGCAGGGTGTTCTGGGAATGGAGATCCAGGGATAGACGGCCAAGTTTGCACAAGTGCAACAAGGAGTGATGAGGAGGTAGAGGCGCGAGCATTGAGCATGATGGGGGAGGCTCCCGACTTGGCGCTAGACAACAAGCGGGAGCCCCCGTATGAGGCGGGTTGATGAGGCTGTGTGTGTGCCGGTGAAGAGCGTGTTGTGTGTAGAGATGAGGCGTGAGGGTAGCGCTAAAGGCTCGACTTGGTCTGGGAGAGGACGGTGTCGAGCGATTGATCGTGAGGAGGGAGGATCGAGGAGCGGCTGTTCGGTCCTTGTTGGCTGACGCTGAGCTCCGGCGTGGCAGTCTTGAAAGCCCTGCTCAGCAGCAAAGGTCATCGTGCTGAGTGGAACAAAGCGGGTGCAGGCGGGTGATAGGGCGGGCGAAGCGGCTGCTCATTGGGCAGGCCCGCGCAGTCTGCCATGGACCGCCGAGCATCAAGGGCCCCGGATGACGTCCAGAGGAGTTTTGCATCCTGAGACTCTTTGTGTAGACGGCGACTCGTCCAAACCTCTGTTGCTCACAGCGATCAGCAACAGCCATGATGAAGATTCTAGACTTGATCGACAACTATTGAATCGCCAAGGCCAGGATGGCCCGCGTCTCGCCTGACTGGGTGAGCAGGATGCAACGGCCCGCACTGCTTGGCTGCCGCCAGGCACCGAGCACCTCGCACACGCTTCGCTCCGCCGTGCTGCGACCGATCATGCTCAGTACGCGAGGAGGCTTTGACATCTTCTTTCCCTACAACATCTGAACGTATACCTCACAGCGTGCCCCCAGATACCTCTTCGCCTCTCATTCCAAGCATCTTGCCATCATGGCGATGCAGAAGCTGCTGGCTCGTGCTGTGCCTCCTACGAGGAGGGGGAGAGGTCGAGGAGGCTTGCTTGAGAGATTCGCTCGGTATCACATAAGAGGAAGAGAAGGAGAGGAACCTCAAAGAAGAGGCCGAATATACTGTAGGACTGCTGTCGCTCAGTGGCATGCCATCAGGGGTCTCGCCGAGCCCTCGGGGGCGAACATAGGCGATGCGATGGTGCGTAGCGTCGAGCACTGCTTTCAGTCGGCGATGGCAGGTCTGATCATGTCTGTAGTCATCCCTCGCCGTGGCCGACCTCCGTGAGTGGGGAGCTGACGTCGACTACAGGAGTATGAAGCTGGTACCAGATCTGAACCTCTCGCACCTCGCGCAGCTCGCTCCTCCTACCTTCTCGTCGTCGCAGTTTGCCTCGGCGACGAATACATCCCTCATTCGCACCTGAGTTGTACGGCTGTGCGAAGCTAGTCAGCTCTCGTGTTGGGCGTGCCAGGCGGGCGCATTCGCTGGCCAGTACAGTGTCATTGTCGCGTGCTTAGTATTGCCTGGGTATTGAAAGGAGAGAGTACTCGCAAGATGGCTGTATCTACTGATGTTGAAAGGTCGTCCTCCTGTCAGTCCTTCACCTGCCCCTCCATCGCTTCATGCTAGAGCTCCTCTGCCTGCGTCTGCTCTCCCATCTCAGCCCCCTCATCCTCATCCATCTCCAACCCCAGAACGGCGTTATCACCGAGCGCATCATCGCGCAGTCCTGCGAGGGCCTGCTCCTCTGCGAAGTCGGCGAGAGCGTCAGGCTCCTCTTGGTCCGCAACGGCTTGAGTTGTGGAGGACTTGGCTGATGCTGGCGCGGATGCGGTAGACGAGCGATCGCAAATGCCGGGTGCGGGACGAGAGGCGATTGCGCTGCGCTGGAGTGGGCGAGACACGGCGCTGCTGGCGGGCTTGGCCGTGGCTGCAAGCGGGCGACGCTGCTGCTGCTGCTGCGAGGGGGCTACGGGGCGGATTGAGCTGTTCACGCTGACTGACGCCTTCTTCATCGTCGACGTCGCGACTGCTCCTGACGGCCTCGTCGCTCCAGCTGGCCTGGCCGGAGGAGCCCCGCTATAGCTGCTGCTCTTAGCGCTGCTCGTCGTAGTTGCAGAGCCATTGCGCATGATCGCCGGCTTGCCTGAGAGAGTCGTGGCCGACTTGATAGCAGGTCTTGAGGAGGACGGCGTGCCGCCCACGCGCGGCGCACCCCGCTGCTGTTGGGCCAGAGGCGTCCTTGTCGTCACCGCGACGTTGCCATTCTTGACCCCAAGCGGGCGACGTGGTGTGCTCGCCTTCTGTGCACGCCCGCAGATGCGCTCCTCATCCTCCTGCTCGTCACGCTCGATGCTCTTCCACAGCTCCTCCTTTTCCATTTGTCTCTTTTCCGCGCCCATTCCGTCCGCCTCCGCAGCCATCTCTGGCGCCTCAGGAAGCATTGCGGGCTTCTCCTCTTCCCTCACAAGATGCGCCAAACCAAACCTCGCCCCCCTCCCCATGTGCGCCAGCTCCTTGCCACTCGGCAGGCCAGCCAGCTTCTCATGCGCTCCCATCCCGTAGTCCTGATCGAGCACACTAGCGGGGAGGGGAGGCGGCTGATACTCGATCTCGGGGTAGCGCTCCTCCTCTGTCAGCTCAGCGAGGCCGTAAGGATCATCGAGCGCAGAGGCTGGATCGCCTTGCTCGGGTGCTGCGTCCTGCGCAGGCGCGGCGGCTGACCCTTCGTCCCCACCATTGAGGGCACGCTGAGCGTCCATCATCTCGCCGAGACGTTGCTTCATCATTCCGCGGCGGCCGATGTTCGCTGCGGGAGTCTGGAGCGGCATGGTTGGTGCGACGCCTTTGCCCTTGGTCGAGGGGCCAGCGCTGTTGGTCGCATAGGACTTGTCCGCTGCGGGTGTGACGGGTGGGCGGCGCAGTACCTTTGAGGGGCTCTTGGCTGGACTTGCCGATACCTTGGCGGGCGCCTGCCCTGCTGCGGGAGCCTTCTTGTTGTTCGTCTTGTCGCCCAGCGCGAAGCGACCGCCTACTCCGCCGCCTAGCTTGCTGCCTCCCGGGGTCGCATTGCCTGCTCCGCTGAAGAGCTTCTTTGGGCTGACGGAGTACGAGCCGGTGTTGCTGGATTGCGTACGTTGCAGCTTTCCACCCGTGGCGGTGGTGGTCGCCATGCCCTTTACTGGGCTCAGCGCGGGGCGAGATCGCGATGGGCCGGGCGTGCGAGTTGCCAAGCTAGAGGCGTTTTCATCGTATTGTTGGCGCGCGCGAGGGGCGAACATGATGTGCGCTCGGGCGAGATGATATCGATAGGGATGCGCGTGTGCGTGTTGTAAGACGGAGCAAGGGGGTTAGATCGGTGGTAGTGATGGCGAGGTGCGACTCCGACTGGCGGGACTTGCTCGCTCAACTTGGCTCGCGCGTCGAAGTTGGACCCGCCCCGCGTCCCACGACCTGCTCACGTGGCGCCAATGCTCCCAATTCCGTCCGCCCACTCGAGACCTCCATCCGCTGCTCGCGTCCAACACTTGGCCGCGCTTCCTCTCCTCATCACCGCATCACCCCGCTCACCGCGCCAAGCTCACCGCGCCAAGCTCACCGCGCCAAGCTCACCGCGCCAAGCTCACAATGGACAAGGGCAGAGACGATGAGACTTCGCGCCCGCGCCATGACGACGAAGAAGAGGAGGAAGAGCTGATGGAGTGGGAGGTGAGCAGCGAGCCCACGCGAGACCCCCACCCCGCCGTGCGCTAACGCATCGTTTCCTCACCCCACGCGCAGGCGCCCTACTACAAGGACACAGTGCTATGGGTCATCGACAACTCCGAAGCCATGCACGATATAGACCCACAGAGCGGCAAATCCTACCTACATCGCAGCATCGAGGTGGCCTGCCGCATGATGGAGCACAAGTTGATTCGCAGCCCCTCGGACAAGATTGGTGCGTAAGCGCGCTCTCTCCGCCTCGCACCTCGCTGACACACTGCCCCTCACCAGGCATCCTACTCTTCAACACTCGCCAGACTCACGTTCCCGTCGTAGGCAAGAAGATGACTCACCCAGGCTGCTACGCCATCGTCGATATCCAGCAAGTCAACGTACCCACCGTCGTCACCCTCCGCGACGACTTAGCAGAGGCGGATCGCAGTCCCGAAGGGGCGACGCAATGGTTCCGCAACAAGTATCCGCCCGACACGGGACAGGTGCGTATTCACTACGTTCTCACCAACGCAGAGAGTATGCTCAATTCGGCCGGCAAGACGGGCTCCAGGCGTATCTTCTGGGTGACCAACAACGACGATCCGTATGCAGGACGCTCGGCGAGGACCAAATTGCATCGCGGGGCGCTGGACAAGATCAAGGATATGATCAGGCGTGGCATCGAGACGGAGGCATTCCTCATCAGCACGAATCCCGCCAAGCCCTTCGATACGGCCAAGTTCTATGCCGACCTCTTCCAGGCATACGACGATGGAGCCGAGGAGCTCAAGGGTGACGTGGGGCTGGGAGGCGGCAACGATTCTAGCACGACTGTGCGTGTCAAGTGGAACGCATTCGACAAGTTTGAGGATCTCGAGGCAGACGCAGGAGCGAGGGAGACGCCTAAGCGGGTGACCTTCCGTATCGGCATGGAGCTGGCAGATGGACTCACGATCGGCATCGCAGGTTACAATCTCGTCATCCGCTCGACGAACAACACGGGGGCCGCTAATCGTGGACACCCAGTCAATGTCTATCGCGAGGACGAGGACGATCTGTGGCAGGAGGTGGTCACTACCTCTCACCTCCAATGCAAGGACACGGGGCAAATCCTCGACGGCAAGACGCAGGTCGATCACGCGTTTGCTCTGGGCTTCGATACGAGCCCGCGGGGGACGGTTCGCTTCTCGCCAGAGGAGATCACCAAGTTGAAGACGAGTGGGATCGGACCGGGCTTGAAGGTGCTGGGCTACAAGGACAGGAGCGAGTTGCGTTTCTGGGAAAATGTCAAGCACAGCGTCTTCATCTTCCCGAGCGACGCGGTGAGTGCGGCGTGCGTGTGGACGTGAGTCAGGACTAATGTCTCGCTGCCCCGCTCACAGGAGTACACGGGATCGCAGCGTACCTTCAGCGCCTTGCTTCAGGTGATGCTGGCCAAGGACAAGTGAGCGGCGCCACCACTCTCAGCACTTCTTGCGCCCCGCTGACTTTGCCTTCTCGCACGCTCAGAATCGGCATCGCTCTCTTCTCCCCCCGCCCCTCCTCCATCCCAGAATTCGTTGCCATCATCCCGCAAGCCGAGGAATGCGACTCAGAGACTGGCGTCCAAACCGAGCCAGGCGGAATGCACCTCATCCCCCTGCCCTTCGCAGACGATATTCGCGAGATGCCCGACAGCTGCGCCGAGTGCGTTGAGGCCACGCCTGACCAGGTCGAGAAGGCGGGCAAGGTAGTCAGCAGATTCTCGAGGAGTGCGGCGTTCAATCCGGACTTCTACCCGAATCCGGCACTCAATTATCACTTCGAGGCGCTGAAGGCCGTTGCATTTGGGGTGGACATCGAGGTGCGTGCGCGGCGAGCCCTTCGCACGAAGGCGATGCTAATCTGTCTGCCTCACGCCTCGCCACCAGGACCCCGTCGACAAATCCCTCCCAGACTACGTCTCCATCAGGAATCGCTGCGGTCGGGAGATCTCCGAGCTCCACAAATCCGTCAACAGCGATGCTCGTCTTGACCCTCTCTCCTCTTCTGCGTTGCCCGTCGTCACGAGCGAGAAGAAGCGAGCAATCGTCATCGACTCGGCAGAGGAGCAACGTTTGCTGGATGTGCACACGAGGGGGAACTTGATGAACAAGAAGGTGGATTACTTGAAGGCGGCCTGTGATCATTATCGTGTGGCGAGGGGGGGTAATAAGCCTGAGCTGGTGGCGAGGTTGGGAATCGTCCTGGATAAGGTACTTGTGAAGAGGGGGATTGAGAGATCCGGTGAGGAGTAGGCGGAGAGTACGAGGGCACAGAGAGGGGAGCGCTCACAGAGAGGAGAAAGCAGTCGTCGCTTTGCTTTCGTATACTATTAGTACGGGCGCGGCGGTGCAGGGCACCACGTCGAGGCGCATCACGATGTCACACATTTATATTGCCAAATCTATACCATCTCACACTCGCCCATCGTGGGCCTGGATGAGCGATTGCGCCATCTCACTCGCGTCTCGTTCATGCAGCGCAAGACCTCACTTGGGTCCGATCGGCACCTCGTCCATCTTGTCTCCCAGACCATTCACGCCCCAAGCTTAGACGAGCTCTTGCGCAAACTCAATGGCGAGCACGAGCTCGATAGGTCGGGGTAAGAGGGCCTGAAGAGGGAGAGCAACGCCGGCTCGTAGGTAGGCAGACGGACAGCCTTACCACCGTGCAAGCTGACTGGCAACAACTTCAGCGAGGCGTGGTACGACTGGCGTCATGGTGGTCGCAGGGCGCTTCACGATGCTCGGTGTCGCAACTTCAGACGAGAGTAACAGGATAGAGTCGAGTTCGTATTTGGAGGAAGAGCAAGCACGTATAGAAAGCTGGGTAGAGATGGAGCAAAAGCAAAGCGGGCAAGAGACGCGCCACGGTGATGATGACGAGGCGAGGTGGTAGCGAGCGAGCGAGCAAGCAAGGGCAAGGTCTATCCCGCATACCCAGCCAACAAGGCCCAGCCTCGTAAGACTGGTCGCGCTCGCTGCTTTCCCTCCCCTCCTCCTCCTGCGTCGCACCACTCAGTTGGGAGGAGGCGTCGTAGCGCTCATCATCCCGACGTCGTAGCAGAGGACGGTGAAAAGCGGGCCGCCCGTAGGCATACCCCCTCCATTAGTCTTGGGAGGCATGGTGATGGGCGACTTGTCCTTGGGAGGCTGGTCAGTCGGGTCAACATCCTTAGGCTTGTCGTTGCCAGGCATGTCGTCACGCTTGATGTGAGCGTGACCCAGGCTCGAGCCACGACGAAGCATGGTCATTCCGCCCGTGTGACCGCCAAAGAGGTGGAGGACATTCATGTCGCGGCGCGTGGGAGGGTTGCCGGAGCTGCCGTTCTCGGGCTTGGTGGCGGGGCCAATGCCGTTGATGTCTCCAGGAGGGACGACCGAGGTGGCGTTATTGATGGGAAGGATGAAAAGCGCCGAGCCGCCACCACCGCAGCCCGTGGTGGTTGGAGACGTGGTGGTAGGGGGCATGCCCGAGCTGTCGTTCTTGGGCTTGCCCGTGTCGTCTGGCTTTGGGATGGTGCTGGGCGGAGTCGTGCCAGTGGTCAAGGGGCAGCCTCCCGGGGGTGGCGTACTGTCGGGCAACGTGTCGTTGGAGGTGTTCTTCTCCTTGCTAGGCTTCTGCGTGGATGGCTTCGTAGGGGGGTTGGCACTGTCTGGCTTCGTGTCGGTGGAAGGAGGCATCGAGTCGGGGTCGTCACGTTTGACGACGGGCGGGTCGGGCTCGTTTGTGCTGGGCCCAGGCGAGTAGACGGGCGTAGGCTCTCTGCTGGGCACCTCGCGCTTGTTGGGAGGAGTGTCGGTATTCTTGTCGCCCGTCTGAGTAGGGCCAGCGGTCTCAGGCATGCCGCCGGTGCCCATACCTGTGGTCGTGTTGGCACCATTCAAGCCGTGGGCGCAGCAGAGGCCCATGGTCTGCATGTAGCTCTCGAGACCGTCGCCCGTGGGGTCGGCGGTGGCATTCTTGGTGGGGTCCTCTTTCTTGGGCTTCTTGCTTTTGCTCTTGTGCTTCTTCGACTTCTCGGGCTTCTCGTCTTCAGGCTGCACGTCTTCAGGCTTCACAATCCCGGGCCCTTGGTCCCTCTTGTTGGGAGGCGTATCTCCTGGCTTGGTGTCCTCTGGCTTGAGCTTCATGGGGTCATCTTTGGTGGGAGGCTTGGCGCTGCCGCCCATCGTCATGGTGGCGGGGCAGTTCTGCATCTGCACGCTCGCTGTGTGGGGGGAGGATGAGGGGTCAGCATGTGGGCGACAGAGCATCGTCAGCGGTCTCGCACTCACCATTGATTTTCTTGGGGTCCTGCTTTCCGGGCTTGGTCATCTTCGTCGAGTCGCCAGCGTCGTCCATGCCGGCTACACCCACGAGCCTGGTAGGGAGGAGCGCGAGGAGTGCGAGGAGCAAGTCAGCACGACAGTGAGGTCACGTGCCATCCTCGACGCTGCACTCACTCCATACAAGCCTTCAGCGTCATCATGGTGCAGCCACTCTGATCCATCGTGGTGGGGCCCGTGCCCGTGGGCATGCCTCCAGGAGGCGTGATAGTAGGATTCTTGTCCTTGGGCGGCGTCTCGGTAGGTTTCTTGTTCTTGGGAGGCGTCGTGGTATTGGTCGGCGTCGTAGTCGAAGGAGGAGGCGTGCTGTCCTGACGACCAACGATGGCCTGCTGGCCCGTGTAGCCTACGGCAGGCGCGTCTGGAAGAGGGTTTGCATTGACTGCATGGATGGCCAGGGTGGCCAATGCGGTGAGACCGAGCAGCTTGGCGTTGAGTGCAAGCATAACGTGGGTCTGGCTGAGAGGAGACGGTTCTTGTTGAGAGAGAGGACGAGAGCGGCGCTTCGCACAAGCCTTCTTATGCCGTTTTTGGGGGCAGTGCTCGTAACCCTCTCAGCCCATCACAAAGCACCTTCGGTATTACACAACGTGCCCTGGCCGCAAACCGATCGCGCAGCAAACGGCCCGCCCTGAACCTCGCGCAGCGTCTCCCGCTCGCTCATCTCAGCATCATCAAAATCCGCCGCCCGCCGCCCTGGCTGATGAGCTCAGGGCAGGAGAGGGAGGAGCTGAGTGAAGCCACGTCAGCGAAGCCCGGTGTTACCCACGGTCTACGGGCTATTGCTATTTGCTTGGGCGTCAAAGTGCAGTCGGACGTAGTCCACGATTTGCGGCTGCGGATCGCTGCGCTGCAGCCGCCAAGCGCGAGGTTTGGCGGTGTGAAGTCATTCACGCCCATCCGCGCTGAGCCTTCTCTGTGCGACCATCAGCGAGCGGCGATCATCACCGCGTAGATCGCTGGGCCTAGGGCTTGCTAGCAATACGGAAGGTCGAAAAGCCGTTCTTTCCAAGGTCAGCGACCCGAGATCGAGGAGGAGGACATCATTCGCGGGCGGGTCTTTGCTCGCACGCCCGCGCAAAAGGCAACAACCTCGCATCGGGGCGCGCACGGTTCGCTCGCTGACGCGCCTCGAGATCAGGCGACCAGGCAATCAGGCCGGACATTGTGTGAGCACAAGGAGCTGGTGAGGTCGCCGTCTCGCGTCGAAAGCTAGAGACAAATTAGGTCGGGCACAGATACAGTAGTCGGCGCCATCTTGCAGTGGGCGAAAAAGGCGCCGATACTTGATGATGACGAGAAATCGTGTGAACGATGCGGTGTCAGACATGCCGCAGCGCCTTACTCGCGGCGAAGCAAATGTACCTCGTGAGACCCTCGTCGCAGTCTCGATCGAAATAGGGGTCATCGTGTTTAGTATTTTGAGAAGCTGTCACAGTCACAGTGAATCGCAGTCACGATCATAGTCAAGGGATATAGATAAATAGAAGCCCCTGGCGGCGTTGTCACGATCGCACGCAAACCCTCACGCTTACCCCTCGCTAGGCGTGGCCCGGATACGAGCCATCCTTCCCTCCTTGTTTCGCAATGCACGCTTCCCATCCTTGACGGGCTTCTCCCCCTTCTCCATCCTATTCATCTCAAGCAAGAAATTGATACCGCCCTGCGAGATCAGTCCGGGCTCACCAATACTCCTCTTCTCATCGTCCGCGCGCGTGGGGATCTTCTTCTTCTTCTTCGTCCAACTCGGCCAGGCAAGCACATTGCCCCCGCCGCTGGTCTCCGAAGAGGGATTGACGAGGGGTCGAACCTCTCCACCACTGCCCAACACCGAAATGAGCGTGACCACGTTCTTGGGCGGAGCCAGGGAACCTCCCTTTGCCGAGTTCTGCGGTGTGAAGTGCTCGTCGTCGCGGCGGCGAACCTCGTTGCTCAAGTCATCGTTGCCGTCGTTGCCGAAAGGCTTGATACCCTTGACCTTGCTGCCAGGGATGACTCGATTCTTGGACACGAGCGGATTGTCGGAGTTTTCAGTATGAGGGCTAGACCACCCGTCGCGCTTGCCGTCCGACGTCGTCCCGTTGCCCTTTCTGCCTGGATTGATAGGGTGCCAGTAGATGGGCGTCTTGATCTTGTCCACTCCTGGCGATACGGTGGCGCGCTTTCTGTGCTCCTCCTCGGGCAGGTGAACTTTCCTGCCACTCGCATCTTTCCTTTCTTCAACCCTACGGCTGCCGTCACGACGCCCAGGTATAGCTCCCTTTGGTCCCGGGATCTGCGAAATGGCCATGACAGTCTTTGTGTTCGTAATGCCGGGCAAGTTGTCGTGCTGGGCGCTGTGCGTCGTCGCATCATTCTTGCCTTTGATCCCGGACAAGGCGGCTACGTCGAGGAATTGAGTCCCGCCAGGGGGAGGCGTGGAGGTGGTGCCGAGGTTAGGATCATCGTTGGGCTTGTCGGGGACACGGAGCTTGTCCATCGAGCTGGGGGGAATGGTCGAGAGGGGCACGGAGCGTGCAGCCTCAGAGTCCCCGCCCGTGCCTGCGGGCAGCGGAGAAGAGAGGACACAGTGCGTGGCCGCAAGAACCAGGGTGACACTGGAGAGGTAGCGGCGCATGACTGCGGTCGGTGAGGATGGTGACGAGGACAGGGTATGTTCGAGCGGCGGTGACGCTCTGACTCGCTCCCTTTCGAGCAGGGTGGCGTCTGCCTTTTGCCTTTTTGTATCTACTCACTCTGAGCCAAGACGTGTCACGATGCACGGGGCGATTGCTCGGCGACGAAGCCGAGCGCACGATGAACGCAGTTCTCCCACTTTCATTACACCGGCGGATATTGCACGGGGAGATAGGCAGGGCGGGGGGCAAGTGCGAGTCCGAAGCTGACAATGACACGACTTGACGCCTGTGCCCGGCCGACGCGAGGACTGCTGGGCTGATTGTTGAGGCGAGGACACAACGCAGGGCGGGCAGCAGGGCAGGTCAGCGTGTGAGCATCGCAGACCAGTCCCGGATGGTTGACGGTATCCAGCCCCGTGTCGAGACAGCGCGCACGCCCAACGCCATTTGCTGATAGCAAAGCGCGATGATGCGCCGAGAGGTGCAGGGCGACGCTACGGGCTGCATCGATTCCACCGTGAGACGACGATACTGCGGTGTCGTTTGCTGGTTTGCCGAGCGTGTGAGCGATCGTGTTGTGCGCGATGCTGAGCGTGCGCACCGCATTCCCTCGTCGTGGTCACCAGGCAGGCCGTGGAAGCCTAGATGATTATCTGAATCTGTATTTGCTGACGCACATCACGCTATATCTCGCCGCTATCTCGCCGTCACTTCTTCTTGCCCAGCGGTACATCTGAGTCCTCCTCGCTCTCCTCGTCCTTCTTGGCTGGCTTCTTTGCCTTGCCGTTCGCCGAGCTCGGCTTCTTACTTCCCCCAGCAGCGCCAGTCCCCTCCCCCGTTGCGCCACTCTTCTTGACGTCCGTCTTCTTGCCTCCCCTCTGCACATCGTCCTTGCGTGTTGCAGCGAGAGACTCTTCGATCTCTCTCTTCTGCGCGCTCGAGTAGTTAGTGCGCGTCTTCTCCTCTGCTCGCTCAACAAAGACCCAGCTGCTTGGCAGACCCGCCTTGCCATTGTCGTCGTAGTCTGCCCAGCGGAACTTCTTTTGCATCGTCATCGGGAAGTACTGTCCAATGGGGAGCTTGGCGAGGTTGAGCTCCAGCTTGTCCGACTCTGCAGCGGGGGCAGCGCCCTTTTTGACCTTCTTCTTGTCGTCTTGCGGCTCGTCCTTGGCTCCCTTGCCCTTCTTCGGCGCAGGCTCCACTGGGTCGAGCTTCTGCAGCTCGCGATCCCAGTGCTTCAGCCACGAGACGGTACAGCGCGGGTCGATGTAGTTGAGCTTCGACGTGCCCAAGCTCACGTCGCTCGTTTTGTTCTTGGACTCCATCTCCTGCTCGAACTTGCGGATCTGCTCGAGCTTCGATTTGATCTTGCGTGCGCACACGTCTACCTTGATGGAGTCGGGATCGAGCTGTGACTTGCCCGTTTTGCGCTCCTTTGCCAACGTCTTAAGCTGCTCTTGAAGGCGCTCCTTGTCCTCCTCGACCTCTTCTTTCGTCTTCACCCTCGCCACTCTGCCCTTCTCGTCATCTTCGTCCTCGCTCTCGACCTTGGCAGCCGTCTTCTTGCCGCGCTTTTTCCCATTCGCTGCAGGCTCAGGCTCCTTCTCTGCCTTGACGCTGGCCTGATACTCGCGCTCCAACTCCTGACGCTCAAAGGCAGCCTCCATGCGCGTGATCTTGGCGTTGATGGTTCGCTCCTCGTGCTCGCGGATGACGTCCTCGGTGAGCTCGAGGTCCCAGTCGAGGAAGTTGTCCCACTTGAAGTCCTTGTACTCCTTTGCGGGATACGCCTTCTTGACTGCGGCGGAAGTCTTGTGCACGGTCAAGATTCTGCGCGTGAGGGCACGAAGGTCAGCATTCGTCCCTGCGTACGCCGCGCTCGCGCACACTCACTTCTGCCTCTCCTTGTGAATGTCGTACTTCAACGCTACGAGCTTTTGTTCCGCCCTCTCGACCTGACGCTCAGCCACCTGCGGATTGATCGTCTTTTGATGGTTGCACAAGATGGCGACCAGGCGGTTGGCCTGCATGTACTCGTCCTTGAGCGACTGCGGTGTGGGCTGCAAGCCACGCTCTTTGAGATTGGCGGCCGTCTTGTTCAGCAGGCCCTGGAACGTCGTGGAGGCATTGTAGGTACGGAAGACCTTGGCTGAGAGGCCGGGCATACCGCCTTGCTTGGGATCACGGAGGAATTTGTTGACCTGGTGCGTGGCGCAAAAAAGCAGATCAGCATCGTACCCATTTCATCCACTCCGCGTCCACTCACATCGCTGGTGTCCACACGCTCAAAGATTGCATCGCTTTTCTTCTTGAAGGCAATCTCGCCCTTTGCATCCTTGGTCGACCGCGTAAACATCTTGATGTTTTTGAAGACGCGCTCCGGCACCTCCAAGACCTCCTTGAACAGCATCGAGTCTTTGCCCAAGAACTCAAGCGTGACCTTGTTCTCCTCGTCTGCCAAGTCGCGCACGTGCTCAACCAATAGCGAACACACGCCGTACGTAGCAGCCTCGTCCTCCCCCTTCTCGTTGCCCGCACGTAGCGAGTAGTTGTCGATCAACCAGATGACCGTTCCCAGCTGTCGCTCCTGCCTGCTCTTACTGACGAGCATCTCTTCGACGCGCTTGCGCAGCTTCTTGACGCACTTGTCGAGCTTGCGCGCCTTCTCGAACTTCTCGCGGTCCGAGTTCGACTTGAATGAGGAAGTCGCATCGAGATAGACGTACTTGTAGTTGCCGTTGAAGTCGATCCAGTGCGCGAGCCAGGTGACGTCTTTCATCTCGACGACGGCCTTCCAGTTGTGGCCATCAGGCGCGGCAGGCGGAGGATGCTTTGGGTCCTTGAGCGTGTGATTGATGGTGATCTCTTCGGGCTGGACGCGAGGCTTGATCTGGCCGCGCTTCGGGTGTTGACCACGACCCATGAAGAGGGCGGGCGGCTCGACCATGACATTGCCCACACGTTGACGATTGCCATCGACTATGCACGACTTCATCTCCTCGTCTGCAGCCTTCTTGTCTGCCTGCTCCTTCTTCCGGGCCGATGGAGCGAGTTTCTTCTTTCGCTCCTTCTCCGCCTCCTTCAATCCCTTTTGGTACTCGCACATCTGGGCAAAGTCGCAGCGCTTGAAGTCGGTAATCTTGGTCCCGTCACGCGGCGGATTCTTCTTGAGGATGGCTTGGAAGTCGCGGAAGAAGTTGGTGTTGAAGGTGGGGTCCTTGACGTAAGGAGTCTCGAGCTTGACGGCGTAGAAAAGAGCTGCCTCCTCGGCATTGGGCGGCAAATCGACCGGCTGCCCGTTGTACTTCATCTTGATGTCACGAGGCAGGGGCTCGTACGGAGGAGGGAAGCGCGGACCGGTGTGGTAGAGCGTGTTCCACATCTGCGAGCCATCGCCGCTGTGCTTGACCGCGCCCTTCTTGCTGCCGCCCTCCTCGTCGTCGTCTTCGTCTCCATCTTCCTCTTCTTCTTCCTCCTCCTCATCTTCGTCATCGTCATGGTCAGGCGTCTCCGACTTAACCTTGGCGCGCTTCGCTGGAGGAGGAGCGCGTGACGAAGAGGCCTTGGCTGCGGGCTTGGAGCGATTACCCAGCGGCTCGTCGTCTGAGTCGTCGGGCTCAGCCTTCACGATGGGTCGCTTCGACGAGGATGCGGTGGCATTGGAGGTGCTCGACCGAGGCTTCGACGCGCTCGCAGGCTTCGACGCGCTTGCGGGCTTCTTTGCCTTGGTCAAGGGCACATCGGAGTCGCTGTCGCTCTCAGCCTTGGCTTTGGCTGCGCCGTTGGAAGAGGGCTTCGCGGATTGAGCAGGCTTAGGCCGCTTGGCCAGAGGCGCGTCATCGTCCTCGTCACTCGAAGCGACGATTGCCTTGTGCTTGCGGACAGTCGAGCCCGAGGCGTGGCCATTTCCATTCGCTGCCGCGCTCTTGGACGAGGACGAAGGCTTTGCACCCGCCGAGCCCGCAGAGGCAGGCTTGGAGAGCTCCATTGCTGGCGTTCAAGTCAGTCCCTGACGTGGGTCTGTGACGTATAGAGATGAAAGGACGAGCCTCTGTGCTGGGAGGGTCGCGTTGCGTTGGTAAGGAAGGGAAGATGCGCAGCTTTGCCCGTCTCTGATTGCCATTGTCTTGTGCCTTTCGTCCTCGTCGCTCGTCGCCCGTCGCCTGTCTCACCTCGCGCTTCCGCCTCGCGCGCATTTCGAATGCCACGCGTCGCTGCAGACAGAGAGAGCGGTGAGAGGTGGAGCTCAGAGCGAGGCGGCCACGACGCCCCGTCCGCCACCTTTCCTTTCGAACAATCGCAACCGCTAATCTTCAAACGCCATGAAGCTCACAGTCAAATCGCTGCAGGGCGGCAACTTCTCGCTCGAGGCTCAGCCATCGGATACCGTGAGCAAAAGGGCAGAGTGACGATCAGTGCTGGCTGGAAGGAGAGCTCACACCTTCTCGCACCTCCCCACGCCTAGATCGCCTCGGTCAAAGCCAAGATCTCAGCTGAAAAGGGCCATGCCGTCGAGCAGCAGAAGATCATCTACTCGGGCAAGATCCTCACGGATGACCAAACCGTCGAGGCTGCTAATGTTACGGAGAAGGGATTCCTTGTCTTGATGGTCTCGAAGGTGAGCTAATCGCAGCGAAGACGGCGTGTATGCACGATGGAGAGGCAGCTCACATCTTCTCCTGGCCCTCATCGCAGCCCAAGGCGCCCAAGCCAGAGGCAGCCGCAGCCCCTGCTGCCGCTTCAGCGTCTACTAGCACTTCAGCAGCCCCTGCTTCGAACGCACCCGCAGCCGCACCTGCTGCTGCCCCTGCTTCAGATGCTCCGTCGACCACTTCAGCCCCCGCACCCGCACCCGCAGCAGCACCAGCAAGCAGCGACGCGCCCACTCAGGCGCCAGCTGCAGCCGCTGCTCCAGCTTCCTCAGACCCTTCCTTCGTCACTGGCCCTCAACTGGAGGGCGTGATCCAAAACATGATGGAGATGGGCTTCGAACGCGACCAAATCCAGAGGGCGCTGCGTGCCAGCTACAACAACCCTGACCGAGCTGTGGAGTACCTGATGACGGGTATCCCAGAGGGCGCAGGGCCACAGCCTGCTGCCCAGGCTCAGCAGGGTGCTCAGCAGGGGGGCGCTGGAGCAGGGGCAGAAGCAGCAGCATCGCCCCAGGCAGGTGCCCGGCCAGCTGCCGCTGCTGCCCCGACGCAGCGTTCTGGCAACCTCTTTGAGCAAGCAGCCGCAGCAGCACAGGGCGGCGGTGGACGTGGCGGCGCTCGTGGTGCAGGCGCGGGCGCTGGAGCAGGTGGTCTCGGTGCTCTGGCCGGCGCAGGCGGCGGAGACGACGAAGAAGGCGAGGAGACGGTCCTCGACCTTGGCAACCCAGCCATGATCTCGCAGTTGCAGCAGCTTGTCCAGGAGAACCCTGCCGCCCTCCAGCCTCTCATTCAAGCCATTGCGCAATCCAATCCTCAGCTCGCTCAAGCCCTCAACGCCGACCCGCAAGGTGTTCTCTCTCTCCTCGCCAACATGAACTCTGGCGGAGGAGCCGAAGGACTCGAAGGGCTCGCTGGGGCTGGTGGGCAGGAGGTGGAGATTCCCAGCTTTGATCAGCTCAGCACGGAGGACCAGGCTGCCGTTGGGCAGATTACCGCGATGGGGATTCCGCAAGAGAGGGCCATCGAGGTCTATCTGATGTGCGGGAGGAACATCGAAATGGCGGTGCAGTTCTATTACGAGAACGAGGGCGACTGGTAGGCAGGGCGCGCCAGTCGCAACGATGGAATGAAGAATTGAGGAGGGTGAAGAGCGAGCAATGACGACTCGCTGGGATATCATTGAAGAAATGCGATACGAGGAGGTAGACGACAGCTAGTTGCCATCCACCTTTCCATCCGTGCATTGACGAATCTCTGCAAACCGTCGTGCATCACAACTTGGCATCCGGACCGCCTGTTCTTCTCGCAGTCTCCTCCTTCACCACCTCGTCGACCGCCGCACGTATTTGCCTCGCGAGCTCTACCGCCTCGTCATCATCGAGCTCATCGCGACCGTGCCCGATGAGGGGGAGGAGACTGCGTTGTGGCGGAGGGGTCTCCTTTTTCGGAGACGTCCGCGAGGATGCTGTTGAGGACGACAGTGAGGGCGTGGAACCTGGCAAAGGGGGTGCAGGGACGATGTGAAAATGAAGCTGTGAGCGTAGCGTGCTGTCAGCGTTCAACTCGGCTCGAAAGACCATCGCTGCCTGACTAACATGCGGCACGACTTGACCGTAGACCTGATTCGTGATAATTTGTAACCGATCGTCTTCCAGAGCTGTGTGGAAGCGCATACAGGGCAGCGGTCACTTAGACGCCGCTCTCTCGGCGACGCATTGGCAAGCTCACCCTTGCCGACCCCTCTTGTTACCACCACCAGTCCCCTAATGAACTCCTCGGCCTCACCCGCCTCACCCGTCTTGCTCCCATTGCTCTCAACCACACTCAGCGCTGCCAGATTGTCCACATGTCTCCTGGGCACCACGAGCACATGACCCCTCCTGATAGGCAGGATATCTAGAAAGGCAAGGCATCGTTCCGATTCGTAGACTAGGTGAGCGGGCTGGGAGCCGGATGCGATTTGGCAGAATGTACAATCATCACGACCTTGAAGAGGACGATCGCGGAAGGATGAGAGGGTAAAGGTGGTCATGCCGCGGATGCCTTGACGACGTGGGCTGGGCTGGGCTGGGCTGCGAAGCAAGGAGTGATGAATGGTGGGTACGGAAGGCGGATAGGGCTCGGCTCAAGGTGGAGTTGCAGCAAGTCGTGTGCGTGCTTGCGTCTGCGTGAGAGTGGGCCCGGATCCTCCGGTCAACCGTCTTGCAGATAGGAGCAAGGCTGGGTGGATGGCTTTGTGGTGGAAGAGGAGGCGCTTTCAATTTCGGAGGGACATCAAGGGCTCAATGATCGATCTGGAAAACTGATATGGAAGAGAGGTAGGCAGGTCGAGATCCGGCGACACGACCTCGCGAGAGGGCATTTTGGAGGAGAGGGCCACTGTGCGAGCCCACTGGCCTCACGATGACTGGCTGGTAGCAGCCAGGACCCTTCGCACTACTCTCGATTCAATTCTGAGTCCTCCCCTCCTTTGTTCGTCACGATCTTGATCGATGCAATCGCTCCTCAACTTCGCAGCCTCGAGTCTGTCCCCGCGCTGGCTGCAGCGGGGGACCAAAATTGGAAGGCGTAGAGGGCGGCGTAGGGCGGCGTAGGGCGGCGGAGCAGACGGGCGGGTGGGCAGAGCGGGGCGATGGACCGGGTGGCCTGTGTGGCCTGGCTGGCGCCCGGGCGAGATTGGCGCTTCTCGACGAGAGGAACAGGGCGCGAGCGCGAGCGAGAGCGAGGGATGCACGGCGGCTGCTCCTCCGTTGTTCTCCTCACCACTCACTCCTCCCTCTCCCTGCGACCTCCTCGCCGTTCTCGCCGTCGACTCCTTTGTGCGCTCAGACTCGACGCAGCTAGCACAGTGATCACGACCACCAACATCACCACCACCTCTTCCTTGCTCCTTCCCAACCCTCCCACACCCTTCCGCACTCCTCGACCTCGCACGTCATGGGTTGCGGCCCCTCAAAGGAAGACCGCGAGCTTGCGGCCCGCAACGAGGAGATCGAAGCGCAGCTCAAGAAGGATCGAATTGCAGCACGCAATGAGATCAAGATGCTCCTCCTCGGTGCTGGAGAGTCAGGCAAGTCTACGATCCTCAAGCAGCTTAAGCTCATCAACCACGGAGCCTACTCCGTCGAGGAGCGCCTCAGCTACAAGGAGATCATCTACTCCAATACACTCCAATCCATGCGTGTCGTCTTGGACGCAATGGAGAACTTGGACATCCCCCTCGCAGACGGCAACAATGCTCCGCGAGCAGAGATTATCCTGGGCCTGCCCAGCCAGGTAGAGACGGACCGCCTGCCGAGGGAGGTAGCCGACGCCATCTACGGACTATGGATGGACAGGGGGGTTCAGGCTTGTGTAGAGCGCAGCAGAGAGTACCAGCTCAACGACAGTGCGAGATATTACTTTGACTCTATTGAGAGGATGGCCGCGCCCGATTACGTGCCCAATGATCAGGATGTGCTGCGATCGCGAGTAAAGACGACGGGCATCACCGAGACGCATTTCCAGATTGGCGACTTGAACTACAAGGTGAGCGCCGAGCGCTGAGCCCACCGAGCTTTCACCTCCCACTCACCTGCTTCGTCTGCCCCCGCGCCAGGTCTTCGACGTCGGAGGACAACGCTCAGAGCGAAAGAAGTGGATCCACTGCTTCGAGAACGTGACAGCCATCATTTTCCTCGTCGCCATCTCAGAGTACGACCAGCTGCTCTACGAAGATCAAAACGTGAATCGCATGCAGGAGGCTCTCACGCTCTTTGACTCCATCTGCAACTCGCGATGGTTCGTCAGGACAAGTATCATCTTGTTCCTCAACAAGATCGTGAGTGTGTGCCCGAAAAAGCAGGCCAGGAGTCCGGCCAGGAGCCCTTCACTGACGTCTCCCCCTCGCGCACACACAGGACCTGTTCCGCTCTAAGCTCCTCACCTCCCCTCTCTCCGACTACTTTTCCGACTTCCAGCTTCCCCCCTCTGCACACAACAATCCGGACGAGGTTTACAATGCCGCCTCGGAGTACATTGTCCAGCGCTTCGTCTCCCTGAATCAGGCGCCGACAAAGACGATCTATACCCATTTCACGTGCGCGACCGACACGCAACAGATCAAGTTCGTGCTGTCGGCCGTCAACGATATTATCATTACATTGAACCTGAGGAGTTGTGGGTTGTTGTAGGCGGGCGGCCTCGCCACAGGAAAAAGGCCTGTTCGGTTGGGCAAGAAAGGGAGGGAGAGGGAGGAGTTGAAGGAAGAGACAGGAAGGCAGGGGCGAGGGAGCGAAACAGAAAGCAAGGCAGCGGCGAGTGGTCACGCCACACGAGATGGCAGGCGCGACCTCGACTCCAGTCACAGCATCAACACTATCTAGCCCAACCGAAGCGGCTTCGGACCCCAGACCACCTCGTCCTTCCCTGCCGCAAGCAGGGCACTCTCCACGATCACCACGCGACCAATCCGCCACATACCCAAACGCACCGCCTCCGACGTGTGTCTCCTCAGCTGAGCCAAGTCAAGAAGCGCATCGCGTTGACAATCAGAGCGGAATTCTACAGTCTTGAAGCTCACTTAGTCAGCTGGTGAACCCGGAATCGATACTCCATACAGCGACGGACGGTCGACGCGACACCACTTCCCTTTCGCATTCATTCCATATCTTCAGCGGCACCACGTACGCTCTCTTCTCCTCTTTCAAGTCTTGGCTGCCCAACTTTTCTGCACGCGCGCTTCCTTCTGCCAGCTCAATCTGAAGCCCATACAAACACCAAGTGACGCGCGACGGCGATGCGAGCTCGCAAGAGTCAAGGCTTTATAACATTGGGCTTCTGAGATGTAGCATCGGTGACATTGAATCGTTTTAGTCGTCTTCGCGCTCAACCCTCCACGCCGAGCTTCGCCCTCACCCACCCCTCGAGCTTGTTCTCTTCCTGACCTTCCCCGCCCGCCCACCTGATAGAATCAAAGCCATGATCCTCGCCCTGCACCAGCACCAACGTGGAATCCTCTCCGCGCTGCTTCATCAACTCATGGAAACGCTCGCTCACCCAGCAGGGCAGCAGGTTGTCATTAGTGCCGTGCACAGTGTACGTGGATGGGAAGCGGGCAGGCAAGGCAGGCAGAGGCGTGGAGGCATAGAAGCCTTTCGTGGCCCCACGAGCTGCATTGTGGTCTGCCTCGAGGCGGCGCAGAATGTCCACATTATCCAGCATAGCCTCCGTATCCTCCCCACCAGCCTCGTCGCGAAGCATGTGAAGGAATGTTCCCGTACGGAAGCCCCACCACATCAATAGGCCACGAGCTACGTCCTCCGGTCCCATACGACGGCCGGCTTGCAGCGCTTCGTAGAGCGAGGTGGAGAGACCATTGCGCTTGATCCAGTGCTGATTGAGCCACTCGTCGTCACACTCGTCTGGGTGAAGGAGACCCTTGGTCAGATGCTCGTCGATGAACGAAAGGATCGAGCCTGTAGGCTGTGCGAGATTGGTATTGAGCTTGAGCTCAAAGGGAAGAGGCCAGGCAGCCACGCTTCCCTCCTCCGTCACTGCCTCGGGAGCAACGAATAATCCCCTCACTATCCCATTCAGAGGCGGGAAGCCCAGCCCGGGCAGATCGAGCAGGGGATGAGGCAGGGCCGAAGCTGGAATCGGCTGCCTGTAACGTGGGACATCGACGGATACGGCGCCGTAGATGTTCAGAAAGGCGGCCGGGTGCTGTGCAGGTGAGGTGCGAAGCAGTAGTTGGAAGGCGTACTGTCCGCCTGCGGAGAGGAAAGAAGTGGTGAGTGAGAAGAAGCACATGTCAACAGAGGGAAGGCAAGGCAAACTCACCCGCACTGATGCCGATGAGCAAGGTGCGCTTGGCCGAGTATTCCTGGCCAAGTCCATGTTTGTCGAAGACGAATTGCCAAGCCTCCCGCGTGTCCTCAATTCCCTGTCTGACCCCGACCTCGGGGCAGAGCCTATAATTGATACTAGCCACCCCTGCTCCCAGCTTCTGCGCCAGGGATAGAAGGTGAGGAGGAATGCAGAGCGAGTCACCAATGACAAAGGCCCCGCCGTGGATGATGAAGAAGAGCGGTGGAGAGGAACTAGCATATTTGGGGGCAGGTGGTATATAGGTGAGAGTGAGACCGGGATGAGAATCGGCGTAGGTGAGGGTGCGGACTGTGGGCTCCGCAGAGGCGAGAGCGGTAGTAGCGGATGCCATGGCTGGATGTTGGGTGGGGCTGCGAGATGTTGGTGTTGAAGAGGCAGAGGCAGCGGCAAGGCAAGCAGCGGAGGATCGTGACGTGGCATTCAAGGGGCACGGTGTCTAAGGGTTATGGGGGAGTGGGCTCAAGCGGACCTTGATGACCCTTTCACCGCTGGGGCCTCCTCCTCCCTCAATTCGCTACCGTGAGAAAGAGCGCTGTCTCCTCTTCGTATGCTGCAATGGGTCCAAGCGGGTCTCGGGGCGAGCTTGAGGCGTGGGAGTGTCATCAATATGGGACAGAGCAGCCGCAGTGATTTGAGTGCAAAGCCTGGATGGCGTCGCCGACCTGGCAATCGGGCCACTCTCTCCCATGGCGGATCGTCTCATCGACACCGCAACAGCGCTCCTCGCGTAGCGAGTATCATTTGCGCTCCCTCGGGCCGTGTCTGATTGATTCGTGATCGACCCCTGTGGCGCGACAGACGCGGCCGCCCTGAGACAAGGCAGGGTTAGTTGCGTGGACAGCACGGATCCATGAACCCTCATGATATCGTCGCGGTCAGATGTGACTGAGGCGAAGGCTGCCCCTTGTACGGCCGATTTTGTACCACGGCGAGATCCGTGCAGAGCCTTGCGATCTCGCTAGGCTCGCTATCCCGCCAGCGAGCCGTGAGCAAATCCTTGATCGGATGTTCTCAACCGCAGGCAACTCCACGCTCGTTTACCACCTCCCCGACGACCATCCCACTGATGCGTGTCCCGGCGTCTGAGAAGTGGGAGAAGTGCCAAACCGCGCGCCGTTGTATCCGCGGCTGGTTGACTTTGCGCTCATCTCCTTGAGTTGAGTCTGAATCTTCGTCTGGGGCGGGCAGCGGCACGGCGTTGTGCGGGGGCGGCATCTCTGCATGAAGCGGCGGCAAGCAAGGCAAGGAGTCGGCGGCTGAGACGAAGCTGCGAAATGGAGCGAGCGAAAGAGTCAAGGCTCGGTGGAGAGCGAGACAAAATGGGAGAGAGGTGGGCATTCAGTGCCTGAGTCAGGGACGCGAGCCTGAAGCTTCAGCAAGTCATCGACGAGGTTCGCCCGTTCCTCTTTGCTTCTTCACCACCAATTCCATTCAGTCGCAAGCACGAACTCTTGTGCCTCGTTGACGCCGCTAGGAGCTTGGCGTCCGGAATTGAGTGACAAGGCGACGACGCAGCAACGCCGCAAGTCTTGACGCGATACCCAGCGACTACCCTCACGAAACCCCGCCTACCTACTCCCCATCCACTTCCACTCATCCACGGCACTGCAGGCATGTCATTTCCCGGCGACGAAAAGACCAACGAGGTCGGCACAGCCACTACGACCAACAATGGCGATCCTTCAACTCCTCCCAGCCATTCTATCCCGCCAGCGGCGCCCGCAGGGGACCATCTCACCATCTCCTCCTTGAAATGGTGGACGGACGATGAAGAGTCCCGTGTACGTCGCAAGCTGGACTGGAATATCCTGCCTATGCTGTTTATCATCTACGGAGCAGCTTACATTGATCGCTCCAATATCGGCAATGCAAAGACGGCGGGGATGAATGTGGATCTGGGCATCAGCGATATTCAGTATCGACTGATCACGACGATCTTTATCATCTCGTACATCTTGTTCCAATGGCTGCTGCTCTTCTATGTGAGTCGATGAGCCTACTTCGTCCTGTGATTTCTTGCGCTGATCATCGCCATTTCTTGCCCGCCGTGCTCGCGCAGCTGGTCGTCCCCGCTCACATCTGGGTCGCATCATGCGCCGCAGTCTGGGGCTTAGCATCGGCTCTACAAGGCACAGCGCAGGGCTTCTCAGGCCTCATGGCTACTCGCTGGTTCGTGGGAATGGCCGAGGCAGGTTTCGGTACGGGCGTCGCCCTCTACCTGGGCTTCTTCTACCCTCGACGTGAAATTGGCTACCGCTTCGCCTGGTTCGTCACCTCCTCCGCTTTTGCGTCTGCCATTGCTGGCGCCATAGCCTACGGACTGGTACGAGCTCACGCGGCTGTTGCTGGTTGGCGCCTCCTGTTCGTAGTCGAGGGAGCTCCTTCCATCCTGGTCGCCATCTTCATCTTCTTCTTCCTGCCCGACAACCCGCGCAAGTGCCGCTTCCTTAATGAGCGCGAGAAGTTGATCGCGGATGCTCGCCTCTTCAAGCCCAAGTCAGAACACGGCGAGGAGGGTGGAGCAACTGTAGCGGCTGGAGAGGTAGCAGGGGCAGCAGCCCATGAACGTGGCCAGAGCAGCGGGATGAAGGCGAGCCTCGGCACCATGGTGGCCGCAGCGCGCAAGAAGTTCGACAAGGACTCGATCAAGGCCGGTCTGCTCAGTCCCGTCGCCTGGCTTGCATCGCTGCAGCTCTGGACGGTCAACGTGGGCTATGGGTCCATCCCCATTTTCTTGCCCACCATTTTGAAGGACAGCGGCTTCACGGCCATCAAGGCTCAAGGCTACACCGCACCGCCTTATCTCGTCGCGTGGGTGTACACCCTCATTGCCATCTACGTCTCGGACAGGCTACAGCATCGTGCCACGTTCAACATTGTGCATTTTGCTGTAGGAGCTGCAGGGTACATCATGCTTGCATTGAGCGAATCGCACAATGTGCGCTATGGGGGTGAGTATACGCGGAGGCCTCACGCACTCGCGCAGGACTGGATCTGACAATCTCCTGTGACGCCTCTCGCAGCCGTCTTTCTTGTCGCCCTCGGCCTTTTCCCTCAGGTCTCCTTCTCCTACGTCTACCTCATCACCAACGTCTCGTCAGAGCGCGCTCGAGGATGTAAGTACGCGATGGTCTCGTGGACCGACCTCGAAACATCGTCTCACCCTCTTTCCCTTCCCTCCCTCTGCCCAGTCGGTCTGACTGTGCTTGGAACCCTCTCACAGACAGCACCGCTTGTAGGGAACCTCGCGCTGTTCCCCGCTGCGGACGCTCCTTACTACCGTCGCGGGATGTGGACGTCAGCTGGCGTGTCTCTTGGAGGGCTCCTCATCGCCTTGACGACCATCACCTTCCTCACACTCGCCAACCGCAAGAGAGACAAAGCTGCCGCCCAACTCGAGGCTCAGTCCCTTCGCTCGGGCGGAAACAAACTCTCTCCTTCTGTTTCTGCCGGTGGTCAGGCGGCAGGGACTGGTATAGACGAAGAGAAGGCGTCGCTTGCGGTAGGGGCTTCAGGCGAGGCACAGAGAGAGCGATTGGCAGCGAAGCGTCACCTGGACATGAGCGTGCCAGAGGAGAAAGAAGAGGCGTTGAGGCGGTACATTGACGAGGGTAGAAGGGGAGAGGACTCGCCCTACTTTAGATACGTGGTGTGAGGAGGAAGCCAGAGACGCAGACCACGTGGCGCGGGCCAACACTTGGACCGTGCTCGCTCAGACCCCCCTGTTTCCCCTCGTCTCGTGTCTGTCCGCGTCTTCTTTCTCACCTTTGTCATCTATCTTACCTTACCTCAACGGGTCTTGATCAATCGTCAATGAGCTGTTCGCGGCTGCGAGCTAGTGCTGCTCCATCCTCGCCATCACCGCCGCCATCATGACGTCCGCGTCTTCGTCCTCTGCTCCTTGCGAGCACGACGCTCAGCCTCCTGTTCCTGTCAGCCCTACCCTCACAGCTGCTGCTCCGCTGGCACCACAATCGCCCTACGTCGTCATCTCTTCAGCCAGCAACAGCGCAAGAGGAGCTCGAGGTCTTCGTGTCCCCTCGTCCGACGATGGAACCAATACAGCCAGCGCTGAGGCTGTAGTTGCCGCAAGTAATCAAGGCTCCCCTCTGCTCGCATCGCGACGGCATACAGCCTTGATAGGAGACGAGTCCCCTAGTGCACGACACAGCGTCCTGATTGCAACGACACCGCGCGTCTCACGCGCAAGACCGCGATTCTGGTACTTCCTGCCCCTCCTCTCCATCATCGACGTGGCGCTCGAAGGCATTGTGGGCGTCTTCCTCCTCCTCAATCCGGGTCCATCGCTCCTCTCCGCCAAGAAACACAGCGACGATGAGGCGCCCAGTCTGGGTCGCACGCGAACGCTTACTCTCACTTCGACTCTTCTCGCCGCCAGCCTGCTGCGCAATGCAACGCTGAGCATCATAGCCATAGGAAATCGGACCGACCAATTGGGTCTTATAGTCGCAGGGGTATGCGCCGCCTCCGCTTTGGTAGGGGTGAGCGTCTTCAACCTCCTCTTCCAGTCTGGCGTGCTGCTCGCCCGGGAGACCTCGCAAGACGTGACATGGCCGGAGAAGCTGCCAAAGCCGAGCTTGACGCTCCTTACGTCTCTTGGCCTCGGCTTCACGGTGCTTGAGTACGTGCTCTACGTCCTCGTTGTGGGAATCAGGGTACCGCCGAGCGCTGCGGGTGGAGTGGGTAGGATGGGACAAGTGAGAAGATGGAAGCGTGGAATGAGGAGTGAGGCAGCACGAGCCGGTCGCGAGGGAGACGAGGGCAGTTGGGCCGTGTATTTGGATGATGAAGAGGATGACGACATGCCTGCGGGGCAGGAGGAGCCGCGCAAAAAGAGGAGACAAAGCTACGTCGGTTCATCAGGGGAGAGGGACGGAGAAGGGCAAGGGAGTTCGGGTACGAGTGCAGAAGGTAGCAGGATGTCCCTTCTACCGGAAGCGGTCATTTCTCCTTCTACCTCTACGGGACCGTCTTCGTCGTACGGGGCATTGGAGCAAAGTCGTCCCCTATCCTCGCTCCTGCCTCAGAGTGCCTTTTCTACTCAGGGAGGGCAGGGTACGCATAGAAGTAGTAGCAGTCGGGCGCGCACAACAAGCACAACCTCGGCGCGATCTGGCGGCCGATCCCCGAGGAACGATAAGGCTATGGCTGCCGCTGCGGTGGGTCTATCCGCCTCCCCCTCGGGATCAAAGGGCATGGGACCCCACTCTCCCATCCAACGTGATTACGCCCTCGCCACCTCCGGCGGCAACGACGTCGATCTTGAGGCCGGTCCACGCGCTCCTTTCCCCATGCAGGAAGGCGATGATTCTCGAGAGGACGAAGAACGGGACGACGACGAAGATGATCCCAACGAAATCCTCGACATTCCATCTTTCCCCACCTCCACCTCTCGTGATGCCTCGCGCATGCGGCTGGCCATGGCCAGCGATAGTCGAGCTGCGCAGCAGGAGGGTCGTCGAAGCAGTAGTGGGCTGGCCAGGAGTGGCAGCCGGACTTTGAGTCTCCTCGGGGTGATTCGAGGTGGTAATGAGGACGGAGATGGTGGTCAGGTCGAGGAGCCCACTGCGGGTGGGAGTCATCCGGATGAGGAGGCAGAAGCTGTTCCGCAGCGCAGGAAGGGGTGGCGAACGAGCAGCGCGCTGGGGGCGAAGCAATCTTCCTTGCTGGGCTTCAAGCGTAAGAAGCCGCAGCGCGACGTTTCTGGGCCTTCCGTCGATGCGGCGGCTGACGCCGGTAGTGGATCGACAGCCAAGACAGCAGGGTGGCGCGCTGGCGGAAAACGGCTGCTGAAGAGCGCCATGCCTGGTGCGAGTGGTACCGGTGGAAGTTCAAGTGGACGAACATGATGCGGTGTCACGACGTCGCAAAGAGCAGCAGATTGGAACGCTACGAAATACAGATACCCTTCATTCGTGCTCAGAAGTCACTGTGCCGTCCCGCTCAGCCCGAACTCCCACGTCCTACACTCCGCGCTCCCCTTGCCCGTCTCCTCGTCACCATCCAACAGTCCACTTCCTCTCCCTCCCCCACCCTTATCGTGCGCCTCCCTCCCTCCGCTGGTAGTGACATGCCTGTACCCCTCCCAGTCCCCTGGCCTAAACTCGACACTGCGCCAGACTTCCCAGTTGCCACCGTTTCGCTCGGCATCCTTGATCTCCACTATGGTGGGATTTCTCGGTGCGCCGCGGGGCAGGGCTGGAGCGTTGTGCAATACCAAGGGATAGAGGTCGGCAAGGCGATGCGAGCCTAGTTGAGGGAGACTCCAGAGGGTGTAAGGCTTGACGGGGCGGAGCGTGATGAGAAGGGAGGAGGCAAGGTGCGAAGGAGGGAGGGGGCGTGGTGGGTAGGCGCTGGTGCTGGTGCCCGAGAAGGCGGTGGGCTCATCCTCGTCCTCGTCCGAGAGTGGGAAGTCGGCGTCCTCCGCATCCTCCTCTTCATCTCCCTGCGGCTGCTTCGGTCCCTTTCCCTTTCCCTTCACACCCTTCCTTGCGTACCGTGGCCGCTTCCCTCCTCTTCTCATCACCCCACGCAGTCCCACAAATGCGCGGCAGAGCATCAACTGATTCGCAGCAACATTGCGTGCTTCGTCCTTCTCCCCACCTCCGGCATGCGGGAAGCCCCACCACACTTTCGTGAATCCCTTTGTTGGGCCTGAAGGGTCGCACCATTTCTTGATCAACACATCACGCAACGGTGCAGCAGCGTCGACTCCGAAGCGCAGGGTGACGCCGAGAGATTCGAGCTTTTCGACGTTACGAGGGGCGGTCTGCGGGTATTTTGCTTTTAGTGAAGAGAGTGAGGGCTCGAAAGATGTGGCTACGATGCGCGAGGGGGAGTGAGGATGGATCGGGTGGGTAGCGAGGGAAAGAGTGAAGCTAAAGTCTCCTTCGCCGAGGAGGAGAATCGTGTCCAGGGGGTGAAAGGGATGATTGGACCGTGAGGAGGAGGCAATGGAGCCTGAGGCCGGGCTTGTAGCTCCCATTGCGCTATTGGAGTCCTGATCCTCAGCGAGTAGACGCTGGATAGCTTGCCTGCTACCTTCCTCCTTGCCTTTGCCTCTGACATTGCCGTCATTCGCCTTGACCTTCTTGGCCCCTCCACCTGCAGCGCTGATCTTCTTCCTCTTGACAGCTTCGTCCACCTTGACTTGATGAGCCTTCTCCGCTTTACGCTGATTATGCGACGCGAGAGCGTTGGCTAGATTTGCCTTGCGCTTCTTGGGTGGTGGTGCCATGCTTGAAGTTGCAAGTGAGTGGAGAGGGAGGAAATTCAATGCTCAGGCGGACACGGAAAGGGAGGTCGATGCAGGCGGAGCGGGTCTGGGGGAAATTTGGAGAGGCGGATTCGGACCAAGTCGAGGCGCATCGAGCTGCATTTCCTTCTCTCGCTACCACATCGTGGATTTCAACATGGCGAGGTGAGAAGCCGTGGCTGTCGTTGTCGAGCAGGATGAATCCCTTCGCTGACACCGCAAAACTTCCACAGCGCATCCACATCACAAGTGACTCTCAACGCCGAGGTCGGTTCCTCCTCTTCGACCCCCTCAACTAGCTCCACCGCTCCCACTCGCCCGGCCTCCGCCAATCCCTCCTCAAAACCCAAGACAACTCCATGGGCTCGCAAGCTCCAAGAGCGGCAGAGGCTGGCTGCAATGAAGACGAAAGAGCGCGAGATGAAGGCAGAGGTTGAGGCTGAGAAGACCAAGAAGGTTGAGGCGATCAAAGAGAGGAGAAGGAAGAAGCAGGAGAAGGAGCGATTGGGACGGATGGCTGAGAAGGTGAGTCTTGCGATGAGATGTGTTGAAAGAGCAGCTGACTTGAGCGAATCTCGATCGCCCGCAGATGAGCGCCAAACGTCTCGAGAGGAAAAAGAAGAAGATGGGAATCGCCAACAAGAAGGTGGCACATTAATGTAAAGGTCACGACGTAGAGAAAATCGATGGCTCTCTTCCGTCGCAGACTGGCCTACTGATGACTCTCAAGCTGTCAATGGGTCTTGCAGTGCAGGACTTGCTGAGCCACCGCACGATGGGAGCAGCGCACCTTGTCTGCTGCCGCCGCCAATCACTCAGCCAACAGAAGGAGCAGCCGAGTAGGCTGGCAGCTGGACGATGGCAGCCCCTGTGCAGCTCGAGACAGACAAACCCCGAGGGAGGGGAATCATGATATTATGTTACAGCCGGCCAATCGTCACAGGGAAGTCGGTGACAGTGATTTACAGTCTCAAGCCGATACAGGTTCGCGCAGGCTTTCACTTCGCACAGCTGGGCCCGTCGAGTCTCCCTTTGCTTCCATCCCGTCGACAGCGCCAGCGCTGTCATCCTCACTGCGTCCATTGGAACGCACCGACCAAGCGAGTCCCAGAGTGCGGGTCAACTCTGATACGCTTGGAAGGGGCGTAGGTGTCGTCTGTGTCCTGTTCAGATTGGGACGGGTTGGCTTCTCGTGAGCATCCTTCTCTGTGCGAGCTTCGTCTTGTTTGAGAAGAGGAGCACTGATAGGAGGCAGCGTGAGATTACCCTCGTCCGTTGGACCGACCATGATTCTCCTCCTCCTCGCGCCAACCACATAGCACTGATCGACAGTGAGCGGCACATCTAGGCTCAAATCAAGCGTAGGTGCAAGCCTTCGCCCAGATGACATCGACGGCCCCTTGGCACGCTCGTACGTGGACTTTGTTGTCGTCGGTGTAGGGAGCGTCCACTGCTGCGGCAGCATTGTAAATGTCCTGCATTGGGGCGAAGGGCCAAGCATGCGCTTCTGCTGCCGCTGCGCTTCATCATTTGTGGCCACCGTGGTGCGATCGAATATTGAAGTGGGGCTCCAAGACCCCGTTGGGTCGACCACACTGCTCGAGCCACTGTAAGCGTCGAGTGTGCTCGCATTAATGGACTGATCGCCGTTTCTCCAGTCGATGAAGGGCGGTGCCAACCCTGCCGTCATCTGAGACGGGATCGTACGGCCGTGGATAGTTTGAGCACGAGCTCGCTGCCGCTGCGTCGCCCCCGCAGCAAAGGATGAAGCAGGTACATCTGGGTGAAGCGGACCGCGAGGAGGCATCATGGTGGCCAGCTCATAGCTCTGAGTATACGGTAAAGCAGGTTGCAAAGGCGCTGAGGCTAGCGAGAAGCTTCGCAGATGGCCACGCTGAGTCACCACTCCAGAGAGATAGGAGTTACTGTGCTGACTCTGTGTAGAGGAAGTGAACGGAACACTGGGTGTTCCAGCTAGTTGCGAACCCATCTGCGAGAGGCCGAGGCACGATGTGCCAGAGGCAACGTGAGAGGGGTGAATAGGGGCTGCGAAGGGTGGTAGTGCCGTAGCCGGTGGCAGAGGTTGCAGAGTTGTCGGCGTCGTGAGCGTTGCACGGCGTCGAGGGGAAATGTTGACCGGTGGTGCTCTGAGCGAAAAAGGAACGCCTTGAGCATCGCTCTGACTGAGCATTCGGCCATGTCGCGAAGAGGGTCGCAGATCGCTGCTCCTTCGCTGGTGCGAGGGCCAAGCAGTACCGGCGGGTCGGGTGACAGCTCGAGGTGTAGGCGGCTCCTCTATCTCGGCTTCGGCATCGTCCTTACTGCCCGATGACTCTTTGTCCGTCGATGTGCCCTCCTCTTCATCTTCGTCAAGATCCATACTCTCGTCTCCTTCTTCGATCATCTCATCTGCAGACTGACGAGCTTGGCGGTCGAACAGCCAGTTGGCGTCGTGAGTAGCGTTGCTCCTCATCATGGCAGGGAGGGGCTGAGCTGCCCTTTTCTCCGGCGAGTCTGCAGGCGACACCGAGGTGCTTGCGAGAGTCATCGCTCTTTGTCTCTTCTGAGGCTGCCCGCCCACCTCTGTCCTCTCAGGCCCTTCATCCATCGAAATACCACCTCTCGCCAATTCCCCTAACCCCAAAGCAGCTTCGAGTCTTCGTCGCTTCTTCAACCCTTGCCTCTTGTTCTGGAAGAAGACTTGAACCTTCCTCGGGCTTATGCCTAGCTCTTTGGCCGCTGCCTCGCGTACTGCAGTCGAGGGGAATCGGGTTTGACGAAGGATGTTGAGGAGGACGTTGGTTTGAGAGGGAGAGAGGAGCTGACGGGAGCGACGGCGACCGGTCTGCTCGAGGAGGAAGGGAAAGCGTTGCTCCAGAGATAAGGTGGACGAGTCTGAAGGGCTGGAGGTGGTCGAGGTCGTGAGGGGGACGAAGGGGCCGAGGTGCGACTGGTACGGCTTGTTTGGGCTGGTCGTTGGCGTGGACGCCGGGTCCGCCGTGGTGGCATTGCTCGCTGCGCTGTCCGACAGCTTGGGTCTGGCGGGCTCTTGTGATGGGGAGCTCGTGACGATCATGGTCATGTTAGAGGGAAGGAGCGGACGGCCTTAGTTTGCCACCGCGAATTACCAGCAGCTTTTCTCCTTTTTGAGGAGCTGGCCCTCTCGTAGGGTCCACACCAACCTTCATCCCCCTCGCGCAAATCAGGGGTACCTTTATCTTTGCTCAGGAGACGGGCAAGCGATCATGGCGCAGCATCTCCCTTTGTTTCCCACGCCCACTGCGACCACTAAGCTGGCGGATACCGGTTGGTACAGGGGCTGCGAGAGGCTTGTGTCATCATATGAAATCGTAGGGAATGAAAAGGCGATCCGTGCGACCAGGCCTGAGGAGTAGGGCAAGTTGACTGACGGCTGTGGGTTGCCGAGATGATGGAGGCTCGAGCACTTCATCGCATTGCAGGATAGCAAGGCGATCTTCGTGCCACGCCGAATTTTCACAGGGCGAGTGAAACATCATCATGTTCCCGGCTCATCGCTGTGGCCTCTCCTGCCGTACATCCCCGCATGTCAGGCTGAGCTTGGCTGCTTAACCTTCCTCACCGACTGACTTGGGATCCCTTCAGTCAATGTGGTTGATTGAAGATACCATTGCAGCCTTCATCAGGGTACTCGCTGTCGTCCGTCCTCTCTTGCTGCACTTGATCTTTCGATGTTTGACGTGAAAGGAAAGTTGCCAGGTTGAGCCCTTCCGCCGTGAGATTGAAATGAAGTTGGCTTCGGCGCGGACCGAGTGGGTGGGCCAGAGGGGACTCGGACGTCGTGTGCACGGCTCACCTCTGCCAACTCCTCTCCGCTCGTCCTTCCCACCGCATACAACCAGCTAGATCTACCATCAGCAGAGAGCTCAGCTCATTCAGGGGTACAAGCAGGGCAGACAGGTACTTCTCGCTGTCGCTCGTCCGCGCAAGGGCGAACTCATCCGAACAGGCTCTGCTCAGCCGATCCGGGGAGCTAGGTCTAGCGTAGCCGTCCTCCTCCGGATCCCAATTGGCCGGATTCTACTGCGACACCTGGCCGAGCCATGTTCGATGAGTAAGTTGAGCGCACAGGTGGGGACAGCAGCGAAGAGCAGCGCTGACTTCAAGCCGTCTGATCGGCAGCTTCGTCCAAAATTCGCGTAGTCAGCCGCAAGCTGGTCCATCCGGATCAGGGACAGGAGGGCAAGGAGGCTTCGAGCCTGCTGAGCCCGTAACGGACGTCCTGCCCTTGACTGCGGTGAGCAACGGGCAAGCTGAGGACTTCGATGGCTCCCAGAGTGCTGACGTACTTCTTCCTGGCCTCACGCAGCTTGAAACGGGCTTCGTCTCCTCCGAGAATGGCGCCGACTACAATGTAGACACCAGCTCCTCCTCGCCAACGCAGCCCATCTTCCAACTGGGTCGCGTCCAATATGCTTTTCCCGCCCCTTTGGCACACCTCACAGTAGCGTCCAACATCCTTACCATGTGCCTCTACGCCTACCCCTCAGGTCCAGTCTTACCTCAGAATCTTCCCCCTCCTCCACACTTGGTTCGCATCAACCTCGATGAACCGGAACGAACGCTAGAGGCTGACGTACCGCTGGGCCCGCCGGCAAGGAACAATGCAAGGGGACAGGGAGGGCAGGCTTTGCCACTCGATGCCTCTTCGTTGGGACCGCACAAGATGTTCGCAGATCCTTCGGGCAGACACCTCGTGCTCTCGATGCGCTCAGGAGACAACTATTACTGGGCATCAGGCTGGAAGAAAGCGAGGCTTCTGCCCAAGTGGAAGGGAACCGTAGTCGAGAGTATCGCATGGCATCCTCGCGCCAGCAGTAGCAGTAGCTCGAGCTCCTCTTCTCGCTCTTCATCAACGCGCGAAATCCTCGTAGGCTCACGGTCAGGCTCCATCTTCGAGGCCGTCCTCGTTCCGCCAGCCACAAATCCAGACGACGATGAGTCTCAAGGCGACTTCCTCGACCGTCTGGCGCGTAGAACAGCAGGGGCTGCTTCGAGCAGCATCGGCGTCGGCGGTTCTGGCTCAGAGATTGACAGGGTCTTCAGAACCCTCTTCACCCTCTCAGAGCGGCAAGCCATCAGTGGCCTGACGGTCACGCATTTCGGCGGTGGGACAGGAGGCGGAAGAACAAAGGCTGCCGTTGTGGCCACGACTAGTACACGCATCTACGAATTTGTAGCCGGCATGGGAAAGGAGCAGGGTAGGAAGGATGAGGGCAATGAAGCCGTTAGCGCGTATGCGAAAGTCTTCGAGCCTTACAAGGGGACGGTACCTAATCTCAGTGAGTGCAGCGCTACAAAACAGACGTAGCAGAGAGTATCACGAACTGACCTCAATCATCTCCGCGCTCTCTCACAGAATCCGAGCTTCCCGGTGCCGTCCCTCACTCCGAATTGCGCGTCTGGTCGCCCAACAGCGAGTCCGGCCGCGTCACCACTCCAAAAGCCCTCGCCTGGCTTACAGGTCCTGGCGTCTACCATGGACTGCTCAGCTTCGCCGACCAAGATGTCGGGGACAGTGTCATCGACAGCGCCAATCTGCTGCCATACCCGGCAGTGGTCAATGACGACCAAGAAGGAGGAGGGGCTCAGAATGGCGGACGAGACGGCGAAGCGGTAGCAGAGATCCCGCTGGGTATAGCGCTTACGGAGTTTCACTTTGTGCTCCTGTACGAAAATCGAGTGATGTGCATCAGTAAGTAGCAGGGACGTCCCCTCAGCTCGCTGTATCCACGCTCACCACTCCCTCCTCGATGCCAGGCTCCCTAGACGATCGTCCGATCTTCTCCTCTTCCCTCCCACTCTCACCAAACGAAAAGGTCCTAGGCACAACCGTCGACTCTCAGCGCAAGACCTACTGGATCTACACGACCGCGAGCATCTTTGAGCTCGTCGTTCACCAGGAAGACCGGGACGTCTGGCGCGTCTATCTCTCTCGCGGCAGCCACGAGCTGGCACTCCGACACTGCAAGACGAGCACACAGCGCGAGCTGGTGCTTTCAGCCCAGGGAGATAGGGCCTACGAGGAAGGAAAGTATATCCAGGCTGCTCAGGCGTATGCGCAAAGTTTCGCACGCACTTTCGAGGAGGTTGTGCTTCGTCTGCTCGACGTCGATGCCAGGGACGCTTTGCGGTACTACCTCGTCTCGCGGCTGGAGCGACTGAGGAAGAGCGACACGACACAACGTACTCTTTTGGCTACCTGGCTTGTCGAAATGTACCTGGGCAAGCTGGACGATCTAGACGACCTCGCCGCTTCGCAGGCTGCCAGCGCTGATGTGGATAATTATCGCGTCGAGGCTGGTTTGGTGGAGGAGGAGCTGCGTCAATTCCTCGTTACATACAAAGGAGATCTCGACAGGCGGACCACCTTTTCCTTGATCGGCAGGCATGGGCGCAGCGAGGTCATGCTGCATTATGCCGGCGTCGTGGGAGAGTGGGAGCGGGTGGTACGATATTGGATCGAGCGAAAGGAGTGGGAGAAGGTGGTAGAGGTGTTGAGTGGCCTGAAGGCAGACAGCGGCCACCTCGCCCTCTACTATCGCTTCTCGACCATCCTCATGCGTCACGCACCCCGCACGCTCGTCGATGCCTGGCTACGCCAGGACGCCTTGAAGCCGCGCAAGCTCATTCCCGCGATGCTACAGCACAAGCCAGCAAAGGGGCAGATGAACGAAGCAGAGCGCTACCTCCGCCACATCATCTGGGAGCAAGATAACACGGACGCGGCCGTGCACAACTTCTACCTCACACTGTTGGCGGGACAAGAGAGCGAGTATCAGCAGGCGAGCAAAGTCAATGGCCATCCCGACGAGAGCAATGGCACAACGAGCGCAACCACGGAGGGCCCTCTGCTCTCCTTCCTTCTTGACGGGCCAGCCGACCCACTCACTGGAATGCCCTACTTCGACCTCGACTACGCACTACGCCTCTGCTCCTCACGCGGGCTGCACGGCGCAAGCGTGAGGATATACGCCAAGATGGGCTTGCATGACGAAGCCGTCGACCTCGCACTTCAGGAGGGGGACGTGGACCTCGCCTGCGCCTGCGCCGATGAAGCCGGTAGCGGGTCGAGCAGTTCCGGCGCCACAGAGGAGGAAGTAGACGCACTTCGTCGCAAGCTCTGGCTTCGAGTTGCAAAGCACGTAGTCCCCTCCTCCTCCCCCACCGCATCCTCAGAGGAGTCTATTCGCCACTCGATCTCCTTCCTCTCCCTCGCCCCGCCGCATCTACTCACGATAGAGGATATCCTCCCCTTCTTCCCCGACTTCACCCTCCTCGATCCCTTCCGCGAAGAAGTCTGCGCAGCTCTTGATGCGCACGCTGCACGGATTGATACTTTGCAGGGTGAGATGGAAGCGGCGGCTAAGAGTGCCGAGCATATCCGCGAGGATATCGCGAAGTTGAGTGAGAGATTCGTGACAGTCGAAGAGGGGGAGCAGTGTGGTCTAGAGTGTGGGAAAGGGCCGGTGCTAGGCGGTACAGTGGGTGGAGCTGCGCAGGGACAGGGGCAGTTCTATATCTTCCCCTGTCGACACGCCTTCCACGCCGACTGCCTCGTGCAGGACACCACCTCTCGACTGCCCCCTCGAGCTCTGCGGCGCTTAGTAGAGATTCAGGGCCAGCTGGCCAAAGCTGCTGGCTTGGCACCAGCGACAGCCTTGGCTGCGGCCGCTGCTACCAGCAATGATGCCGCGCAGAAAGGAGCGACAGCATCCACCGTCGGGTCGCTCAGCAAGAAGACCGGCGTGCCAGCGGCCACTGCCGCCACGACCAATTTGCTGGTGGATCGACTGCCCGAGGCGCTCATCTCGGTTCTCAGCGCAGGCGTCAACGTCGGCGTGGCTGGCTCAAAGCGAGTCTTTGCACCCCTGGACCCCTTCCTATCCACCCCGGCGTACAACGCTCCTCAGCAGCAGCCAGAGATCGAGCAAGGCGCAGCAGGCAGGCGGCGAGGCGACGAAGAGAAGGAGCGCGAGGTTGCGCGTCTGCGCGACGAGATGGACGGAATCATTGCGGCTGCCTGCCCGTTGTGCGAGGGGAGCTTGGCCGATCTGCAACGGCCATTTGTTGGAGGCGGGGCCACTAGAGGAGCGGCGTCAGCGGCAATGGCGAAGCGCGGCAGGGGAGGCAAGGGAGCAGAAAAGGAGGAGAGGGAGGAGGAAGAGAGATGGGCTTTGTAGCGGTCAAGAAGGGTAAATGCCGGTCGACGGTATGGACGAGAAGCCTTTGGTATTGTTTCTGGTCTGTTTGAATAGCTATGGATAACTTAGAGCATATTCAAAGGTGAAGCCAGTTCAGTATAGGATAACGAGAAGGTAGCCGCTTCAATGATCTTGGGGACCTCCTTGGCCCCTCATGCTCTGCCGGACCCTCGCGCATCTACATTCTCTCCCGCCCTTCTTGCCTTGCGAGCCTGACGGCCGCCTTACTTGCACTCGGAGGATGACGTTGAGAGCGCGACGTGCTCGTTGAAGCCTGCGTGGATGGCTGTCTGCTCGTCTTGGTAGGCGCAGCACTCAAGCTCGCGTCAGAGCTCTCCGTCGCCGTGTCCTCTGCCGCTTCATATCCCGGATCGACGGGTGGGGGCGAGTCGTCCAACTCGTCATCCACCATCAGCCCAGCACTACCGCTGCGTGCTCCTCGCACCTCTTCGTCGTCTAGGTCGTCCCCTTCATCCGCACTCGCGTACATGTTGGGCTCATCGACCGTGTTTGTCGATATCTTGCGAGAGCGCTTCGAGTCAGGGCCGTAAGGGTCGAGCGAGCGGCGAGGATGATGGGTATTGGAGAGGGAGGAGGAGTGGGAGAGATCTTCTTCGCCGGTGCTGCTAGAGATGACTGCGCTGCTGCTTCGTCCCTTGACGACTGAAGTGGCCGTGCGCATGCTCTTGCTCGTTGTCGCTGAGCCGCCTGAGCCGCCGGTGGGCATGCGTGGGCCACGAGTGGCTGGGATCGAATCGTCTGTGCGCGATGGCAGCGGCTCGGCATAGTCATCGAGAAGCCAAGCAGCCACAGATCCGTTACGCGCGAAAGCCGCAGAAGTCTCATCATCGTCCTCTTCATAGTTGTTGGACATAATTAGGACGGGCTGAGCGCGAGCCTGCGATGTCTGCGTGTTGACAAGATGAGCTGGCAGAGGTGCTGACGTGACTGACTTGACGTCGCTCTTGGGACTGAAGAGGTTGAGGCCCTTGAGCTGCGCCGTGGGGCTACGCGGCCCGCCATCTGCTGCAGCCGCACTAGTCGTTGCCTCTCTCAGCGCAACATTGAGTGCCTCAGAGACGAGGGCACGACACTCCTCCACAGAGGCGCAGGCGCGCATCTGCTTGTCTAGCCCAGCCAGTACACGAAGTGTGCTGGTGGCACCCGCGGCAGAAGAAGAAGCGGAGGCAGAGCGTACGATACCACCTCCGTACCCGTTGAGAGGGCGGTTGGGACTGGTAGGCGTGCCTGGCCCGAAGCCTTGATGGGAGTAGCCGAAGGTCGCCGACGAGCGATTCATGGGCGTGGTCTGAGAAGCAAAGCCCATAGCTGAGTTTGTGCCGTTCGCCCTTTCGAAGCGACCACCTGTGCTGCCACCAGTTGCACTCGCGCCCATCTGATCTCCTGCCGCGCCATCGCTCATCTGACTCCTGACGCTCGCTCGCCTCCTGAGCATCATGGGCGCCTCGTCCCTGGACGCACGACGGCCAATGGGGATTTTCCTGCTAGGTGGGCCATCAGGGCGTGCTGCATCTAGTGGTGAGGGCATTGCGGGTGGGAGAGGCGTAGAAGGGACGGAGCCTCGGTATGAGACCGGCGTGTGAGAAGGAGATCCGTCTTCTGCGGATGGCGGAGAGAGGCCTGCTGGGGCAGTTTGGTCCATCACACCCGGCTGCGAGGAGAGAGGCGTCTTGTTGCCATCTATGGGCGTGGGAACCTCTAGCTGCTGAGAACCTCGACGCTCCGCCTCGCCTGCAAAAGAGGAGAGGTTCGACACGCCGCTGACGGACCGACCATGCTGCGTAGCCGGAGCGACGACGCCAGGCAACCTGCCCGCCAGCCCAAATTCGCCGCCATGCTCGCTGTTCGACGTTCCGTGGCCCTGCGAGCTCGCGGAGGCGGGAGCATAGTCTGTAGGCGAGGCGACGTTGCGCTGCTCCTCCTCGTTTGTTTCGGCGATGTCGACGGGCGTGCCGATCGTTGGCGTAACGACGTTCGACTGGCGCGACTCGCTGCGGTCCCTGTCAAAGGACGTCGTGGGGCTCTGACTTCCGCCCGTCGCGTTACTGAGACTCTTTCTTCCCCCAAGGAGGGCGCGCATCTTTCCGCCGACGCGGGAAATAGACGAGTCGTTGCTGTTATTGCCCCCTGCTAGGCCGGCTTCTGGAGCCACGCCAGCGAATCTACCGCCTGCATTCGTGCTTGGGGAGGGCGGGGTGGAGTTGAAGAGATCCATCATGTCTTTTGCTGCGGACCAGGAGGCGCGCTTGTCGCGGGGTTGAAGCTTGGTAGCCTGCGTCTGCGCATCGCCCGAGGCTGAGCGGCCCATTTTGCGTGAGCGGGCGTGGCTCATGTCCTTGTTTGGGGGAGAGGGAGGCGGGGCGCCCCCTGATGTGCTCTGCTGGCCAGATGCAGACGTGAGCGGGTCAGATGGTCCACGGTACGAGCTGGGTGGCGGGGCGCTGACGCGAGATGAGGCCTTGCGAGTCGTCGCTGGGGCTGGAGATGGAGCACCGCCGCTGCTAGCACGCGAAGACGGCCTTTCGTTGAGTGTCGTAAGCGTCGGTGCAGGGGACGTCCCACCTCCACCTCTGGGCGAGGCCTCCCCGCTATCCCCCTTGAGGGATGCAAAATTGAGCACACCAGGCCTCTGTCTCGCCTCCTTCTTCTTGCTCTCCGCAGCCTTGCGCTCGATTTCAATCGTGCGCAGCCTGTTCGGCGTGAGTGAGACCTTCATTGTCTGTCCAGACATCATAAGGGCCTCAAAGTCATCCGCAGGCTCAACATTGACGTCAGGCGGGCGATTGGAGTCCACGTTTGCTGCGCCGCTCTTGAGGGCAGCCAAGGAGGGCCTGCCTCCTTGCCCACCAGCGCTGAAATCTTGGCTTTGCTGCTTGAAACTGCCGCGACGCCTACCCGCACCGAAGAAGCCGCTGAGCCCCTTTTCGATACTGCTGCGCCTTGTGAGTGCGGGAGGCGCTTCCGTGGACGGAGTGGTGATGTTGGTCGTTTGGCTGCCAGAAGCAGGCACGCTACCGTGCGAATCGCTCATCGTGTCGTTGTGGTACGAGTCACTGGCCGTTCCGGCGTGTCCGAGACTGCTGGATCGATCTCGAACCGGCCAGCTGGGCGGAGGGCCGCTGATGCTTGCAGATGTGCCAGGACGATTGCGATTGCCACTACCGCCATGACCGGCAGTCGAGCCCGTTGCGCGCCACTGCGCAATATCTGTAGCAGCTTCGTCTACTTCATCCCCCGTGGGCACCTTCCAAGGGCGAATGGATCGTCTCGTCCTCCCTCCAATCGCACCAAGCGCTTGCATCCGCTTCTCAAGCTCCTGCTTGACTACCATCTGGCGCCAGAGTGTAATCATCTGCTCGTCCTCTTCGATCGCAGCGCGCAGGTCTGCCAGACCAGCCTCATCCGAATTGTCTCGCTCAATGATTGCAGCGACATGCTGCAGGATATACTCGCCGACGAATTCGAGGAGAGCGGTTACGTAAATGCTGACTCCAGGCGTGATAGTGGCAATGGGACGACCCTCGGGCGACATGATGTGTTGGTCGCCCGTGGCTGCTTCATCCTCGCGGTCGCCGAGCGTCGAGTAGTACTGGCAGCGGGTGCGCAAGGCAGCGTATGCGCTCGCGACGGGGAAAGCCTCTGTGCCGTCCCATCGGCTCGTAGCGCTGAGTCCGAGCGGCACCCGCCCACCTTCCGCCTTCTTGCCCTGCAAGTAGTTACGCAGCTCCAGCTCGGCTTCAAGTACAGCATCCTTTGCCAGCACATTGTTGTTGAGCACGCGGAGCAGCCCATTGGTCTTGATCCGATCCGTCGCCAGCGAGCGGGACGAAGCTACGATGAAGAGGAGCAGCTCGTCGAGGATTCGGTTCAAGAACGAAAGCGTCTCTGCCTGGATTCTCGTCGGCCTCGACTCGGAGATGATGGAGTTTGCGGATCGTGCTGAGATGTACGAAGGGACGTCTTGTGCCAGCATGGCCTGCGAGATGGAGTGCAGATTGGCTACCAGTGCAATGTAGGCGCGAGTGAGGCGTGAGGACCACCGTTGGATTGATTCCCGAGGTGAAAAATTCCAGCAGAATTGACCAGGGGATAAAGGAGCGGCGTCATTCGTGAGTTGCAAAGAGGCGTCAGTTTCGTCATCGCCGCCGTGAGTAGATGCAGGTGCCGAGACATCGACGATGGACGAGTAGCGACGTGGCGGAGTGAGCATGCCGTCGTCGGATGTCGAGGGGAAGATGATCGAGTTGGTCCAGAGTGAGTCCGAGTCGGCGGACGATGGTGGTGATGCCCAGATTGCGGGTTGGCCATAGCGTGACATGAGCGCAGGGCGAAAGTGAAAAAGGGGGAGAGGGACAAGGGGAGAATGGATGTCAGTGAAACGTTCTGCGAACCCGCAAGGAAGGGCGAAGGGGCAATGGGCGCGACGTTCTCGATCAATGCAGCGTGCCTCGAGCCGGTGCAATCAGGGCACAGCGTCAAAGCAATCGTCAAAGGCGACGTCGCTCATCTATCGCATCGCCTCGTCTGTTCCTGATTAGAGTTCTCGAAAGGCAACGTCGCTTCTTCTCACCAGCATCGTCAACGTAGAATGATGAGTCCAGTGACGATGAGGGCGAGCCGAGCGCAGTCACCGCCGCAGTCGTCGTGTTCACCCTTCGCATCGTCACCCTCATTCTTCCCGCTGACCACTCTGGTCCATCCATGACAATGCGCGACGGAGGGGGCGACGGTGAAGTAGGCTGCTCAATCATCGAGGCCATCGAGCTTGCTCGAGGCTGCACGGGTGCGTGAGAACGCTCCTGGCGGCTGGCTCTACCCTCTAGCAAGTCCATCGAAAGCTTGCGTGCTGCTACGCGACGACGGTGCTCCGCTGCTGCTTCCTCCTCTGTGTTCCGCTCGCCTTGACTCATAGCTGTGATGAAGTTCTCGATGGGCTCTGTCGCAGTGACCGCCTCGCTCGTGTCCATCGAAAATGAGACAAAGCCTTCAGTGTTTGGCCCCAGAGAAAGGCTTTCCTCGCTCGATGAGGAATGCTCATCATCAGCCTCTCTTCCATCATTCCACCCAAGTCCAGCCGCAAAACTCAATTGCAGTGGAACGCTCATCCCCAGAGCCAGGTCGATGCTGCGGCGTAGTCGACGTTGTTGGCGACGAGCTAGGACTTTCTCGCGGAGGTTGAGAGCTTGGGGTAGGCTACGGTGCTTGCGCTGCCTTGCGCTCATCGCACGCTGTCTAGCCTCCTCGCCATCATTGTGAGATTCGTCCGGCATCTCCGGCACTTGTAAGTCAAAGGGCCCAAGAGCGAGCGAGGTAGGCCTTGGCCGTTTGCGAGTCTTCGCCTGCTCTTCGAGATGTTTGAACCGCTCGCTTTCGAGATTGAACTCGACAGGGGGGCGTCGGTCTGTGAGCGAGTCAGAGCGCCTATGCCCAGACGAGCGACTACGGCCGAGCGCGAGGGAGCGCAGCTTGCTGGTTATGGTCGGGTCGTGGGACTCAGCGACGTTCGTGGGATAACACGGTGCTGAGGGCGCCGCGCCCATGTCGTCGACGTAGCTTGATGCGATGTCGTCGTCGAAGTGAGAGCCAGAGACGGACCCAAGGTCAAGCTCGAGGGCAGAGGGCCACTGTTGGCTGTATGGATTGGTGCGGGCGGGAAGGCTTCGAGACGGGGTCATGGCCGTAGAAGCGAAAAGGGTCTTGATGGGAGGGTCGGAAATGCATGCAAGCCCCGTGGGAGATGATGATTCCCTTGTCTCTTCTCCGTTCTGAGACCCGTTTCTATCAGGCCGCAGTCGAGTGACCCCGCTGTGCGATAGGCTGCGCTTGCGACCCACCCTACGGGGCCGAGGTTTTTCCAAATAATGGCGGCCCTCGAGCCCGCTGACCCTTGCGCCCTTCTCGTCTCCGTGTATTGTCCGGCTGCTCACGCTCTCTGGGCGAGATACCTGCTGCTGTTGCTCGACAGATGGAACAGCTTTGCGGCGTAATAAAGCGGGGCGTTGCGAGTCGGAGAGCCGTTCCAGTAGGGGCGAAGGAGATGGAGCCCGAGAAGTGCTGGCTGAAGCGGTGTCTGGTTCTTCCTCTTCAACAATGCATAGATCGTCTCTGGGCTGAATGTCTTGTTTGCGCAGAGGATGCTCTGCCACCTCTTCTGAGTCATCGACGGAGGCCATAGCGCTGGCTGGCTGCTTGATCGAACTTGACTGCCCGCTGGTCCAAAGTGCCTCTGCCTCTAGAGCGGCGAGCAGGGCTTCATCGCTCTCAAGCACAGAGGGCGCTCGCCTTTCCTGTCTCATCACAGCACGCTCCTCAGCTCTACGGGACTCGTCGGCATTCCAAAGGGTTGCGAATGATGGTCGCGCCGCCGTCTTGCCTTCACGTCTCGATGAGGATGACGCCGCTGCAGTCAATGAGGAGAGGCGCTTCCGCCATGATCTGGGCAGCGATGACGAGAGCTTGCGTGTGCGCACCCCCGGTGGTTGTGAGCCTGCGCCAGACGTGCTGCGGAGGCGAGGGGATGTTGGCAACGCACTTGTCGGCCAATGGTCCTCAGCAGCAGGCAATGACGTCGAGCTACGCCTCTGTCGAGTAAGCGACGAATCTCGCACAGGTGCTGCAGGAGTGCTTGCAGTGTTTTCGTCCTGAACAGACCGAGCCTTGCTGCTCAGTGAAGGTGGCAGGATAGGCGACCGCATGTGTGCCTGTTCACCTAACGGACTCTTTGCATCACGTCCTGTTCCCTTAGGAGACGAGACTGAGGCTGGCGAATCTGAGCCACTCGTCGATCCTGAGCGAGAGCGTGAGAAGCTGCGCTTGATCAGGCGACGCAAAGGAGAGGTAGAGCCTTTCGAGTTGAGGTTGGGCCTCGGTTGTAGTGGTGAGGATGGATGGCTAGCGGGTGATGTTGGCGTTGTGTCTGATGGTGGGGGCGGCGATGATGATTGCCGAGGAGAGGTTGACTTTCTCTCTGCAAAGTTGGCCTCAATGCTTGCGGCTTGAATGTCAGCAGAGCCAGGAAAAGCGATATCGCTGATGCTCGGCTTGCTGCGCAGCTCGCTGTCCGTGGATGTTTTGGCTGCGGTCCTGCTGGTCTCCCTGGCCTCCTCTTGACCTGAACGTGCTTCTGATGGCGCCCCACCGGGCTGCTCGGAACTAGATACGAGATCCAACATTGACCTTGGCCTATTCCTCGCAGGCGAGTGACCCGCATCGCTGATTCGAGGAGGAGAGCCCTCTGACTTGATCCCGGATTTGGCTGAGTCGCTATCATCGTCGTCTCGCTGATCCACCTCAGCTGCATCACCCGCAGCTTGCCCGGCTGGCAAGCCGGGCGATTCCGCATCACTCTCTTCATCAATGGTAGCAGGGACGTTGGCGTAGGCAAAAGAGCTGGGCGTACGCGGAGTGCGTGAACCAGAGGCTGTAAGGGCTTGCATACGTGTCGAAGGGTGGCCGAAGTAGTCGGCATCGACTTGATTGCTGCTCTTGCTCTCAATGAAGCTGCCAAGGAGAGGGCTGCTGGCCGCTGCCGGTGAGAGGCGGGGTGGGGGTGAGAGGCGGGGTGGGTCGAGCAGCTGTGGTACGCCCAAGTGGATCGTGGCCGGACGTTGGACTCGAGAATGTGGCTGCAATGGGACATTGACAACCGCATCCCATGCTTCTGAAGCTGACCATCCTCGCTCTCTTGTAGAGTCTGGTGTTGCACCTGACATTGCAGCGGGCAGAGGGCATTTCTTGTTACGTCTTGGTGAGGCGGGCGTTTCCTCAATTTGCGGAAGAGAAGGCGGCGTGGGAGTTATCGAGCGAGATGATGATTGCGAAGCGCTAGCGGCAGCAAGGGCGGCTGTTGATAGCGGCGGCGACGGCGAGTCGAAGTGCGCCCGTAATGATTGTGCTCGCAAGAATGCGGGACTCCGCAGTAGTTGCGGCTGTGACTGTGACGATTCTTCCATGACGACGATGAGACGGAAAAAAAATGTGGTGTGCAGAGGTATGGAGGAAGAGGAGAAGCCAACCCGTGCTCGACACATCCAGCACGAGGCCATCTTGCGCCTTCCTGATGCTAATCCTCCTTGGCTTTGTGTTGCCGAGTGCAATAGACGGGACTGGCGAGAATGGACAGAGGGTCATGGCGGTGTGCCATCTTGCCTCGCTCGTATGGCTGTGTCGGGGCCCTCATCGCTGCTTGTCGGCAGGGTATGCGAGACCACTTGCGAGGCCCAAGCGTTGTTGCCGTTCGCCTGGTCCCACCGGCTAGCAGCTTGATGTGACGATTGATGTCCTTGTCCGGCTCCGTACCCTCCGCCGCATCGAGCTCGTACCTCCTCCAAATGCTCCACACGACGCTACGACGCTACGAGAATCGAGACTCTACGATAGGAAACCGGATCTCGAGATGCACGAACCGTTCTGTACTCACCCATGATTGCTTGGCCCTCCTCGCGGGTATCCAGGTGGTGGTGAGGAGGAGAAGGAGAGCTAGGCCGTCAAAATCGTTGTCGACTAAGCTTGGTTGGCGATGAATCTGCCGAGGATGAGGAAGTCCGTGACCGGGAACAAGAGATGAGGGACCGCTCCGAGTGTGATCTCGTGACGGTAAGAGGGAATTCCGCGGAGAGGTGTGAGAAAGTGAGGAAGAGATGATGAAGAGGGTGAGGTGAAGGAAGGGGAGACAAGCCCGCGTGACCGTGGTGCTTCCCAGTAGCGTGTGTGTTGGTCGATGAGGAAGACAGGTGGTTCAGATCCCTTTGAAATCGAGGGAAGGAGCGGTTTGGTCGGCGGGCGTGAGAAGTCGAATTGGGTCGACCTGACTTGATTTGCTTGTTCGTGAGACGTGGCGTGGCGTGGCGTGGCGTGGCGTGGTATCGACGGTGAGTGACTCGTGGCGATGAGAAGAAGTGATCGAGGTGGTATATGGAAACCGCTGAGATGGCCGTCGTTGTCGAGATGCAAGGACAAAGGAAGAGAGACGATGATGGGCTCGCTCGGACCCCTTACCGCACTCGAGTATCGCTCTCACTCGCCCCCCGGACTGACCGTCGACTGACTGACAGATGGACGGCTGAGTGTGCGGTGTGCCTTTGGGCGTCGAGCGTGAGCTGAGTTGACTACGCACGCAGCTCGAGAAGGCTGGGACTCAATTGAAACCCAGGGCCGGGCGGCGCACTAGGGCAGGCAGGCAGGCACCCACGCTCTGGCAGCCGCCGCCCGCCGTCTGAGCCAGACCAGACAAAGGGTGATTTGGGCGCGCCTGCAGCGGGAAGAACAACTTGAGCCACGATCAAGAGCGAAAGAGCTGAGAGAGGGCGACGATGCAACCTGCGAGCGTTTGTTCGGTGCGTCGCGTGGGATTGAGCGAGAGGAAATAGAGCTGTTGAGATGATGCAGGCAGACTTGACGTTGCTCTCGACGCTACCATCGGCCAAGAGGGGTAAGGCGGTCAGAATGAGATATGATAGTATTAGTATGAGACGTCAAGATCTAGATGTGATGGCATGAAGTACTGTCTGTATGATATGTAGCCTCTCCTGCAGCTGCTGGTGGGCTTGGAGGCATCAACGGAAGTAAGGGCCAGCCCCACTCCCATCACGAGCTTCGAAGCCCTGCACTCCTACGCGATGTTGTGCGACACCGTCGTCGAGGACTTGACTCTCACCCTCGTCTCTTCGACTCCACCTCTTTTCGCGAGGAAGCCACATCCAGCCCCAATTCGAGCCTGCATCGTATCCCTTTCCCTCTGCATTTCCGACGTCCTCTGCATCATCAGCGAATGGATCCACAAATGGATTAGCTGGTGACTCTGGCTGGTGCGGGTCTACCTCAGACCTCCGCTCAGGGAGCCTATTCGTCTTGTCCGGGCTTGCACGCTGAGCGAGGACGCTCGATCCGACGCTTGCTGCCTTGTTGCTCACCCAGAAGGACCAGCGCTTGAGCTTGCTGGCCGCGCTCGTCCTGGCGTTGCCAGCCAAGTTGTCGAGAGTATCTAGAGGGGCATCTGCAGCGGCTGCGGGACGCTCGGTAGTCCCATACCCATCAATCGCCGCCCTTGCCGTGCTCTGTCCATCAGGCATCGACGTCGGTCCACCCAGCTCCTTTAGCCCCCACTGCCTCGGAGCAAGCATCACTTGAGCCTCGTCATGATCGAGCTCGTGCCACTCCCATCTCCCTCTGCTCGTCCTGCTTTTCGGCCTCTCATTGGACAGCAAGGGTGTCTGGTCATTTGCAGCTTCCTTGCCCTCCTTCTTGCTCTTACTTCGCCGAAGAGGCACCCCTTCGAGCCTCGAGCTTGTGAAGACTCGACGCACTGGAGGAGCGTCGAAGTCAGGCTTGCGATGTCGGTAGAGACCCTGAAACTTTGGTGGCTGTGGAGCGGGTGACGGAGAGGTGGGACCTGGAGGAGGGGGAGGGGGACCAAAAGGGGCCGCGTAGCAAGTAGGAGTATGAGGACGGGGAGGTGATGGAGATGATTCGCGCCGCAGCAGCGAGGGTCGGTACATGTAGAGGAAGCAGTCGGGAGCGCGAGCAGGTGGATAGATATGGTCAGGTCACACGAGAGCTCAGAGTGAGGAGGAGGAAATCTTGATGGGTCGAGCAGTAGCAGCGTTGTCAGGTACCAAGGCGGCGAGAAGTGTAGGGAGCTTTCGCACTCGTGAGAGTCTGAAGGTCCGGATCTCCCTTCTTCGTCCCTGACGATTTCGCTGGCCCTGTAGGGCTCCTGCTGTCAGCAAGCAATTCGCCATCAGCAGAGGGCGGGCAGGCATCGGCTGGCGGCAGCAAGGCAGCGATGAAAGCGGGCCGCAATGGTTGCCGCCTCACCGCCTGATCACTCGGTGGCAATCGATCTTGACAACGCTGCCACATCGACGATCGGCCAATGGTATCCTTGCCTACCTACGTCTCTTCATCACCGTAGCCACAAGCCAAGCCAGTCAAGCTAGCGAGAGCGCCATCGTGACGCAACTAAGCAAGCATCAAGTGCTTCTCTGCATCAAAGGAGGACGACGGACCCCAGCGCACGCGCGAGGTGCACAGCCGAGGGCGAGACTCCGACGTCGTCTCTTCGACGGATCGACTCGCTCTGTTATTTTGGCCGCAACTCGTGGCTGCAACTCAGGTCCTCACCACAACTCCTCCTTGTCTTCCTTACCACCTCATCCAATCCACACCTCCTAACCAAGCCCTTGAGCATCGCCCATCATGGGTCGCAAAGCCACCTTCATTCCCAGTGTAATCGTAACCTTCATCGTCCTCGTCCTACTCCTCCTCGTCACCATCTCCACCCCTCTGGCGGGCAACAATTCGTCTGTATTCTACATCACCGAGGCGACCAACACCAACCTGCGCGATGTGACTGGAAACGGGCCTAATGCGCAGCGCAACGTTACCGGGATCAGGGCAGGGCTTTGGGGATACTGCACCAAGGGCCAGGGCGACTCGACATTTGCGTACTGCACTGAGAATAACCATCAGTAAGTTTGGGCTCTCCTGGTAGCCCGATCTGATTCCGGTAGCTGACAACAAACACTGCTCTATTTGACACTCTACACCAGGTGGAACGCAACCTTCGCGACACCTCAGAACGACACCAACAACGCAGCATATGGCCAGCGTGAGATCGGCTACTCGTGGACTCGCGGTCTCGTCGTAGCCGTCGTGGCTTTCGTCTTCACCTTCATCGGCCTGGTCCTCAGCGTTTTCCCGCACTTGATTGTGCAGCTCGTCGCCGCCCTGTGGTTGCTACTGACGCTGTTGATGACGCTCATTGCGTTTGCGATTCAGAGTGAGTGCGTCGTGCGCTTTGGGTAAGCCAGATTGTTGGCTCAGGAGACTCAAACTGCCTTCCTCTTCTGCCCTTTTCCCGCGCGTAGTCGCCTTCTTTGTCTACTTCAAGCACAGGATTCACCAGCTCGATGACGATGCCTCGGTCATGCCCGGCCCCGGTTTCTACCTGACCCTCGTCTCACTGCCTCTGCTCCTATTTTCGGCAGTCACCGTCCTGTGCGGCTGGAAGCGCGAGAAGTCTGGTGCCACTTCTGCGAGCAGCTACGAGTACGGCGGAGGAAGCTCTGGCTTGCTTGCGAAGGCTAGGAGACCGTTTGCCAGGAAGAACAAGGCGGCCGACGGTTACGGCCAGAGGGACGCCAGCAACGGTGCGGCCGTTGACGAGGACAACAAGAACAGCATCCCGCTGTCGAGCAGGCAGAGGGTCATGGATGCTTTCAATCGCTCGTAGTGTAGGCGGCGAGGCGATTAGATTAGACGTAAGAGAGGAAGCTGCGAGGGCGGGCAGAATGGGCTTGGTGCCCAAACAGATACCACAGAGGGGCAATTCGAGCCGTGACTGCCATCTATTCTTTTGGGTCGTCGTCAAATGCCATCTTTATTTGGACATTGCTATCGTGATCTCATTGTAACCCAGCTTCGTGTAGGAGGTGATGCCGCGGGCTGTGGGCGGGTAAGGGAAAGAGCGAGGACGGACGTTGAGACTGCGCCCCGCCGCCGAGGCGCCGGGCGGCGGACTGGCGTCGATTGGGAGAGTTGCGTGCGGGTCGAACGGGAAGGTGGGCGCCGAAGCGGCGACTGGGCTTGGCTTGGATTGGCTTACTTTAGTCTCACCACCATCAGGGCGGTTGGGCCTCGCCTTGCTCCTCATCTTTTACAAAATCCTCATCATCTAGATCTGCACCCAACCGGAGTTGCATCTCGCACTCATCATCCCCTCCTTCTCCCTCGTCGCGGCTTCTACGCCCAAGATGGCTGCTCCGTCTGGTGCTCCCACTCCACCAATCTGGGCAACCCATCTAGCTCTGCGCGCCGTCCTCATCTCTCTCCAACAACTCACAGATGCTCGCCAAGAATGGTCCTCCCTCTCCTCCTCGACCTACACCGGCATCCCCTCACTAGGCTTCGCACCCTCCACCGGATCAGCAATACAGCCCACCCTCTCCGATGTCAGCCACGCCCGCGTACCAGTAGAGGGTGAAGCCTGGGCAGAGTTCCGCTCAGGCGTCCGAAGTAATATCGAGGCTGTCCAGGGCCTCCGTAGTTTCAGGACTGCCGTCGCGAGAGAGGTGGATCATCTAGCTCGAATTGCGGAGGAGAGTCCAGAGGGACAGGATGCACCATGCCCGGCAACGACTAATGCGCCGAGCTTATGCAGCTTTTGGGAGCAGGTGCTGCTTGTCTCTCTGACGAGGGGCCCTGTCACGGAGCTAAATGCCTCCATTGTGGTGCCGCCAGAAGGACAGGATCCGGCGGTCATGGCTGCGAGGCAGCGCCGCAGGAAGCCTGGTGCAGGACGCATCTCCAAGGCGAAGATGGCAAAGGGCAAGGGAGCGAAGATGGGTAAAGTCGATATTGTGGCTGATGGAGGGCGCAGCTGGACTCGTCTGCTCACGATCAAGAAGAACAGCCTGCTCGCCGAGCTGAGAGTCGCGGAGAGCGAGCTGGGCGCAGGGGCGATGGATTCTAGCGACGAAGAAGGCAGCGAAGGTGATGATGCCGGCCTGGCCAGCTCGGGGCTGAGCGAAGGTCGCGCCAAGCGTCTTGCATCATGCGGTCATCTCTTTGCGCAGTTGGACGTGGCTACGGCAAACTGCTCCATTGTGCGAACGATTGAGGAACTTCTAGCCTGTCGGGCAGCAGCTCCCCCTCCCTCGCCCGACTCCAGCAGCAGCGAAGAGGACACCATCCAAATCCACGTTGTCCTCACTCGCCTCCCCGTTCCTCCTCCGAACGAAGACTCGCTGTACCTGAGCATGGACTACCTCACTTCCTCAACAGAAGAGGAGCGCTTCAACCGCAGATTGCAGTGCCTCTCCAATCTTTGCGCGAGGCTGCCAGGAGTACACCTTTCCTCCGCTGCTGATCCAGGACAGCAGTTGACCGCACCACGAGGGAAGATTCTTCCTACCGCTCTCACTACATGGGCGGCCTCTTCCTCTCCCTTCCACCTGCCGGTCAGCGCACACGACTTTGATCCTACAATGCTTGCTTTGCCCGCCTTGCCTTCTCCGGTCAGCAGGGCTTCGAGCCTCAAACCGCTTCGCATGACGCAGAAGGTCAACGTGGACGTCTCGGCGCTCGTAGCCCTGGTCAGCGATATCACGCACATGAAGCTGCCCCAAGCGGGAGAGGGTACGAAGCTCGACTTGCAGAGCCTCTTTAAAAAGGGCGGCCTCAAGAGCATTGCTGCGCAGGATCGGGCAAATGCGAAGGCCAAGGAGGCGATGGAGGCTAAGCAAGCTGCTGCTGAGGGTCACGAGGACAGCGCAGAGGAGAATCAGGGCAATGAAGACGACCAAGGCAAGCTCCTCCACAATCGTGCCCTTGCTGCTCAACTCGGTCTGGAATGCACTGCAGGCTGCGACTTCATGGGCTATCTCGCAGACGCAGCTGCGGATCTCTCATCCTCTTCTTCGACGGGAGCAGACGGTCAGCTCCACCTGCTCTGCACCCGTGAAGCGCGTGTCAAGTTCGACGAAATTATGCGCCTCGTTGGAGGGCCGAGGGAGCAGGCTCGGGCACGATGCCTTTTCGACTCTGCCTCCTCCTCTGCAGAATTCTGGGAAGGATCGCGCTACGAGCATGACCTGCGTGTGCGGCAAGCCGTGTCTCTACCGGTAGAGGTTGTAGACTTTGATTGGCGCTCAGTCGTCGCGACTTCCCCAGCCGCGTCGTGCGGCACCAAGGAAGGGCAGAACTTCGCCAGCATCCTTCGCAGTACCCTCCTCGCCGGTCTTGAAGACCTCGCCTTGCATGAGAATCCCTCTGTCCCCGCCGCGTCCAAACCACACTTCATCCATCCAGCGAAAGCGAGGCGCTCCATGCAGCTCTCTGGCAATCCAAGACAGACGCAGCACACACTCAGCACTTTGCTGATGGGATTCGAGAAAGGATGGACGACGCTGACTACGAATATGCTGAGCGTCAGATGGCTGGTCAGGGAGGGTGGAAGGAGGAGACGCACGCCGGGTGTGGCTGGTGCGGCGAGAGATGCAAAATCGGCTGGGGAGGAGGAAGGGAAGGCTCTCATTTGGGTCACGCATCCAAGGAGTCTGGCAGAGAGGATGAGGGCAGAGACGCCTTCCGCTTCGTCTGCGGTCCACGGCACCGGCATGGACGGCTCAACAGCTCAGGCCAAGACCGCCAACGCCTTACCTAATTATATGTACGACCTCAAGGGTGCGACTATTACGTTTGCTTCTTCGGCATCTACTGCCCAGCAATGCAATGACCTGGCACCTTACTCTCTGGATCCGGATTTCAATTTCGACTCGCATTCGATTCGCACCGCCGACGATGTTGTAGCCTATTCAAATCTCCCCGCCATCCCGACCTCATCTGAGGCAGCTTGGTCGACCGTCGACGACATGCAGGCCGCGCAGGGATCTTCTTCGTCATCCTCAAGGGACGCTTCTGCCTCGGGCACAGCGGAAGGGTCAAGCGGCACGACAACAGCCGTCGACCCTCCTAGGCCAGCAATGCTTTCCTCATACTCCTCGCGTAGCGTCAGCAAGGGAAAGTTTGTCATTAGCGACGAGACCGGTGATCAGGATCAGATCCAGATGACGCATGAGCTGGAAAGAGGGCTGGGTCGTGACGAAGAGGACGGCCCTGCCGCGACCTACTCGGCTAACTCCCAGCCTCGGTCATCAACGACTCGCCCACCTCGCACTCGCCTGCATCGCGCCCTGCGCTGGTTTGCTGGACCGCACCCAGCCCACGTCCTCACGATACGTCACTACCCCTGGTGGCCCTTTGCGGGAATCGAGGAGTCGTGGCTGCGCTTGACGGATCATGTTGCTTGGCGTGAGACTGGGGGTGTGGAACTACCCTCTGATGAGGAGGACGATGATGAGCCGGAGGAACCTAAGAAGAGGAGTACGCCGGCCAGGTGGCGAGCAGCAGCAGCAAGGAGGCGCCCTGCGTGGCTGCGAAGAGGGATGAGCGGCGAGGCGTTCCGGCTGGAAGAGATGGGCGGGAGCGCTGCTGAAGGTCATGCGAGTTGCCAAGATCAAGACCGGCTGCCGGGCCCGCGTCGCCCTCACCCCACCACTCATTGGCAGCACTACCTTGTGCGGGAGTATCGCACCAATCGTTTGCATTGGCTGCTTCTCTTCCTCGTCTACGTGGCATGGCTTCTCGGCTTTTCCTTCCTCGTCAAATCCATCTGGTCCGACTCGTCCGTCGTCTCCGCCTCTAGCGGCAGCGAAGTCACACCAAGCTTTTACGGCTGTACTACGACCTACTGGGCGCAGAACGAACGCTGCGGCGTGGATGGCGAGAGTTGCCGCCCATTCAGTCAAAACACGAGCGTTGCCTTTCGCTGTCCCAGCGGTTGCTCAGGAACGGTCTTGGGAGCGGCACGAGCTGTCGGAACTGAGCTTCCCAACTTCACCCCCTTGATTGTGGGTGGAGGAGACCAGGAACGAGGCGTGTATCGAGGCGACTCGTGGGTCTGCCCTGCGGCGGTGCATGCCGGGATCATTGATGATCGAACTGGTGGATGTGGACAGTTGTGGCTGTCAGGGAGCTACGCAGGCTTTGTAGGGAAAGACGCCAACGGATTGAAGAGCGAGGACTTCAACTCGACGTTCCCAGTGAGTCGTCCGACACGCGACCGCATCTTACTCAATCGCTCACCCCATTCACTCTCTTGTCCCCGCGCATGTAGGTCTCCTACTTCTTCCAGCAGGGCTCGCGCACCTCAAAGTGCACAGACCGCCGCAATGACGTCTACATCCTCGACAGTGTCTTCTCTTCTCTCGTCGGCTTCGTCCTCCAACCGCGACCGATCGTTTGGCTTTGGACGCTGATCAGCATGGGCTTCTGGCACATCAATTATGCCAGCGAGCCTCGCGATTACCCACCTGCACCTGGAGATCCAATGGGAGATTTCCTGCCTACCTTGTTCGTGGGGTACGCCCTTTGGAGGCTGGTGTTCCGATTCGTCTGGCCGGCATTTGCGCGCTTGCCGATTGAGCGCACGATATGGACGCTGGGCTTCTTCTGGCTGGGGGTTCTGCTCAATGTGGTGTTCGCGGACCTGCCCCTGCAGAGGTTGGTGGCAAGCGATATCGCTCAGCAACCCGGCGCTCTCACAGCGCTGATCATCATCATCGTGGTGGTCATCATCATTGCCGTCAATCAGGTGCGGGTGATTCGCAAGACGGGCTACCTACCCAAGTACCTCACACTTGCGGCGGTAGGTGGAGTGCTCATCGGTTTACTGGTCGCTGTTCCCGAGACGGGGCTGAGATTGCATCACTACATCATTGCTTTGGTGCTGCTGCCATTCACCGCTTTCGAGACTAGGCTCAGCCTGATCTATGTGAGTCTGCCGAGCGGCCTTGGATTTCTCTCCGTCACTGACCCTCTTCTGCCCCATTGCGCTCACCCACAGTCCGCCTTCCTTCTTGGCATGTTCCTCAACGGTGTCGGCCGCTGGGGCTTCGACGGGATTATCCAGGACGAGTCCGTGATTCAAGGCGACTCGGTCTCCAATAGCGGCGGAATCCCCACCTTCTTAAATGCCTCGGCCAACTTCACGGGCCTACTCAGCCTCAATGCCTCCTCCCCCGCTAATGCAAGCCGCGTCTACTGGCAGCCCTTGCCGACCAACGAAAGTTACGACGGGTTCGATCTCATGGTGGACGATGTCCTCCGTCTTTCTGCGACGGGGCAAAACTACTTCGATCTTGCAGAAATTGCGGGCTTCTTCGTGGGGGATGCGTCTGCGAGCAATGCGACCTTCTTCCCTGGTGGCAGCGCTGCCGCGAACGTCAACGCTACGGTGGCGGCCTTGCCTCACTACCTCCGCCTGGCGTACACCACGGATGGAAGCCCGGGCGACTTTACGAGGGCGGCCGTCGCGTACCCGAATGGGACTTTCGTGATGCCTGAGGAAGGCAGGACGTAGCGCGCGCCCAGCGCGAGCAAGCAGCCGGTGAAGGCATGCGCTGTTTCATCTTCATTCGACTGTCCACCCTCGATTATCGTCGAAATTGCGTCGCAAGATCCGACATCTGTATCATAATGACCGCTTTTCTCCCTGCTGCTCCCTCCATTACCCTCTACGGCGGATCGGATATGTAAATACAATTGTACCACACAGCTCCACTCGCTGACTGTTGCCCTTGCTCCTCGTCCATGGTACTACTGCCGTGCTACTTGCCTTGCGTCAGATTGAAGGTCGAACGGCACTGCATCATCGTTTCTTGCCCATCACTGGCACGGAAGACGGCCCGTCACCGCACCGCGGCCCGTGCACAACGCATGGCGCCACTGTCAGCGGCTTCAACGACGCGTGCTCATGTGCGGCTCTTCATTGCATCCACCACGAGCCGAAGGTCAACAGGGCAATCGAGGCAAAGAGCACATTCGCCGCCGAGATGAAGTCATCGCAAAGAGAGCACGATTTGCTCTCTTGCTTCCTAACCTTCAACATCGACCCAACGACCGTGCCAACAGGCCATTCTCGCTACCACGTACCGCTCGCAGACGCAGCAACGACGCAATAGCACCAAAGCAGCAAAGATGCAGTCACGCACCGACTCGCCTTGGGCTGCAGTCAGCACATTCATGGCCTTCGCTGCCATCGTTGCTCCTTTGGCCATGAGTGCTGTTGCGAGCCAGTCGTGGAACCCAGCTGCGACCAGTTACGAGGCTTCTCTGGCCGCCTTGTCGCCCAAGTGTGCCAGCGCACTCAAAGGCGTCTACGCAGACAAAGAGCTTGACCGCTGCCTCAACTTCAGCGGACAGAGGAACTTCACGCATCTGTGAGCTCGAGAAGCTAGCGAGTCGGCTTCGCAGCTCGCGCTCACCATACATCTTCCGTCCATCCTGCAGCTTCTTCGACAACCGTCAGAACCAGAGCCTACTCCAGAATGCTGCCATCTTTTCGGTCGACGTGAGTTGGCTGCACTGCTCTGTTCATCTACGCCTCGCTCTAACTCTTCTTCTCTTTCACGTTCGCAGGCCCTCTGCGGTCGCCCCGCCTGCTCGCAGCAATCCATCCAGATCAACCTGCACGCCCTCAGCACCTCGTGCACTCAGCAGGACCTCAACAAGGAGAAGTCACCCGCAGGCTTCCTCGTGTCAGGCATGTCCTCCTACACCGCTATCCGCACCGCAGGCTGTCTCACCAACAACACCGCTTTCGAGAAAGCCGACAGCTCAATCAATGGCCATCCGCTCTGCTTTGCCCAACTCTTGGATGGCGTAGAGAGGACGAAGGGCGTCACATTTGACCTGCCCACCATGAATCTCCTCTTCAAGGGCGACCAGGGACTTTTGGCGAAGGTACTGCGCAAACCTGAGTCAGACCAGGATCGTCACGTCCAGCTGGCTGCCTTCTGCAATGACTGCTTGAAGGCAGAGTATTCATTGGTCAGGGACGTGAAGAACAGCAAGGTCAAGAATGACTTTGTCAAGACGGCCAACGATCTTTGCGGTGAGTGGTGGCGGTATAGCTACATTGGGTTGGCATGCCGAGTCTGACTTCCTGCTCGCCCACGCACGCCCAGGACCCAATTTCCTCAACGACAAGTACCCACTCCCCAAGACGGTCTCACAGTCAGCAGACCACGACCTCGCCGCAGCAGGCGGAAGCCATGGTATCGGGAGCTCTTCTACCACCGGCAGCGGTATGGGCGGCATGGACATGGGCGGCAGCTCTGACCCTGGCTCTACGTCGAGCGCCAATGGTACGACCAATGGTGCCGACAACACCGTCCAGTTCAACTCAACTGATGCTCCGGCCACTACGGATCCCACTACCAACGGCACGACATCACAGGCCGCCACTAAGGCTAATGGGGCTGCGCCTAGCGTCAGACATTTGCAAACGGGGATGTTGCTGGACGTGCTCCTCTTCACTGTTGCGCTGGCTGTGGGACCCACGCTCCTCATCTGAGCGGAGCAGGAGGGGCGAGCGGGTGGCCCAGCTGCTCGTAGCGTGAGCAGAGGGATACATGGACAGATGACATAGCCTCGCGCCTTCCCTTCTCAAACTCTTCTTTGACTCTGCCCCTTCGAATTGTGGTCTCGAATCGTTGATCATTCTCTTCACAATCAATTCGAATGACGCCTCAGCTTGCCTGCGTTGCTAAGTCGAAGGGCCACGGCAATATGATGGAGACGGTAAGCACCGACGGCTACGGCCCCTGAGAAAGCGGTACGAAACGCTGCAATTCAAACGGCTAGCGACAGAGCGGTCCGATGGTCGACCGTCTGTCAAGCGCACGTTTGTCTGTCTTCCCTTCTTCACCAATCAATGCATCGTCGACCATGCCTTTGAGACGCCATCATCATCGAGCTTTATGCCAAAAAGAAGGGACATTAAGGTTGCGAGTCCTCCCTTCGCTCGTTGCACTGCTGTCTCTTGCTCTCCTGGCGTCAAAGGCCGCCCACGCTCAGACTCTCGATAGCCGCAATCTCGCGAAGCAGAAGCCCTTTACGATGCCAAGCACTGGGCTACAGATGGCTGCGGAGACTCAAAGCGTGGAAGAACAGATAAAGAGCGCAATACTGCCCAGCGACGCCGCGACCAATCGCACGGACGTCCTGACGACAGCGAAAGAAGAGCCCTCTCAAACCAGCGCAAGCTCTGTGTCACCGCTGAATGCAAGCATGACGTCAAGCAACACAATCACCATGACTCTTGGGGAGGCGTTGGAATTTGGCCTGGTCTTTGATGCGGTCTTATTCACTGTGCTCTTCGTCGTGACGGCGCCGCTCTTCGTCCACTAGTGGGTATTGTACGGTAGTGAGGGTTTGACGTGCGGTGCTTCTACCGGTGCCTGCGATATCGTATCGTTCTCTCACTTGCAATACATATGCTATTCATCGTGATCCGGCTACAGTATGAGGCGCTGCTCGCCCATAGAAAGGGGGTGCTCAGGATGATGTGTCACTAACATGCAAGACATCCTCGAGCAGCCGCCAGCGGCTGGCGGAGGTGCTCGACGGGCCGCCGCCATGCCGCCGTCCTCCAAGTCTGCCTTCACTGTCGGGCCGATCTTTCCTCCGCTCCTCCTCTGAAAACGCTCTCAGGTTCAAGACAGGGTCATGGTGCAGACGTGGGCTTGGTAACCAGCCATAAAGCAAAGCAAGAGGCACACCTTGACTTCTCTCCACGCCCATCCGAAGGCCTGTTCAGCACCTAGCGACGGACACGATGCTCGCACCTCTTCGCCTCAGCATCTTCGCCCTCGCTGCAGCACTCGTCAAAGGAGTCCTTGCCGACCCTCCTCAGAATCAGACTATTGAGCCCGGCAACCAGCCATCAATTGCAGACAATATCACTAGACCTCCGCCCCTACCCATTCACATTCCTATCAGCATCGGCCACCTTCCCGTTGTCAACGGTCTTGGCCCTCAGATCATTCCTTCCAAGAACTGTTCCGCCGCTGTCTCCATACTCACAAGCATTCAGGAGCTCGACAAGTGTCTCGGACTGACCAACGACAAGTACAGCGCGTTGCAGGCGACCGTAGGCAAGCCCGGAGAGAGTGTAGCTTGGCAATTTGGAGACTATCTAGGGCAGGTGAGTCAGAGCAGCGAGCGAGGCGTTGTGGCAGCATCTAGCTGACTTTGATTCACAATGACAATAGACGTTCTGCCCCGCTCCAAGTTGTGCACCTGACGTGCTCAACGACGGCATCCTTAAGCTTGGAGCAAATTGCAGTGATGCTGGCTCACACTCGACGGACGAAGACGATGATGACGCCGATAAAAACGGCAAGGACCAAGACAATGACGACGATGACAAAGGCAAGGCCGCTGCGCCTTCTTCTGCGCCAGAACCGTCCGAAGCGACCTTCCTCACGCTGCTTATCTCCTCCTATCAGCTCCAACGCAATATCTCCTGCCTTGTCAACCTGCTCGCTGGCCCGCCTCCAGAGCATCCCACGGCCAGCCTTGGAGGCAATGCTCTTTGCTTCATCAAGCTCCTCAAAGCCATCGAAGCGCACACGGATGTCGTCTTTGACTCTGAGACTCTGGTCAGGATGAAAATGGTGGACCACGCCTTGATGCGGGAGATTAGTGAGAAGGTGACAAAGAATGGTACGGGTGCTGTGAAAGAGGTATTCAGTACGGAATGTCACAAGGCTTCCGTCAATTACCTCTTCGGCGGGAAGCTCAAGGATGCGACTGCCGCCGGTCCTAATGCCACCTTGGATGCCAACGAGGACCCATATGACCTTCCTGCTACATCTGCCCAGTTGACAGGAAAGGCAGCACCTTTCGCTCGTCGTTTCCTGGTACAGAATTGTGGCGAGGCGTTTGTCGATGGAGAGATGCCCAAGACTGTGGAAATCAGGACGGGACCGGGGATCAATGACCATAGCAACGGGGCATCGTCAGCTCAGAGCCAGGCGGTAAACGGGACGAAGCACGGAAATGGAGCAAGCATGAGCGTAGCGAAGGTGGAGGGTGCCCGATGGGGAGCTGCTCCGTTCATTGGCGTCGTGGGGGCGTTCGTTGGTGGGCTAATGATTTGAGAGAGTTACTATGCGTCCAGCCTCTCTGATCTCCGCTCTGTTTCTGTGATGACTGAAATTCGCTCTTCTCAGATCGGCCACTCTGTACATACCTGCCTCACCTGACTTCTCTATCTCATTGTTCGATCTGTTCAAGCCAGTAGTCAGGCGTCTTGAAGGAGGTCTGAGCGCTGCTTCCCAATGCGTCGGCGCCACTTTGAGCCTACGTAATTTTGCGAAGGGGTCCAAGCGCGTACTACGCTCCTCAACATCAAACATACGAATCGCCGCCCGCACGACCCATCTTGGCACCAGGGGTCACCCCTTTCGGCCACTACCGCAATTGGCGTCGCTACCCCTCTTCGAAAATCAGTGTGAATGAATTGTTTCCGCCGTCCCTGCGCGAGAGGAGAGGAAGCGAAAGACCACTGACGCTCGTACCCCAGGTCATCGTCATCGACGCCTTCACCCCCGCTCATGCTTGAGCACTGTCTGTTCGCTATCTATCCCCCGTTCGATGCACATTCTTTCCTTCCTATTCCCCACACTCCTCGTATTTCTGGAAGATCATGCGCTCTTCAGCTTCACTCCTGCGACTCAGCGCCACTTTGATCCTCTGCTGCCTCTCCATATGCGTCCTGGTGGCGCCTACAGCAGCCGACCTGGCCCAGGTGGACAACAATGGTCGCCTGACCGGCCGCAGTAGCGGCGTGTGGCAAGAGGCACGCAATGTCCACGTCAACCACCGCAACAATCCCCATTCTCAGACTGTGCTTCACGCTGGCAGCCGCAAGCGTTGCGCCGCCAAGGAACATAACCACATCGCGGCCGCGCGCATTGTATCCTCGCCGGACGAGCAGGCTCAACTCGCAAAGCAGGCCGATCCCTCCTCTGCCTCCAGCCCCAAGAAAAGTCAAGGCGTCGCACAGCCTGCCGTGGCACCCTCTGGCGCATCTGCCGCTGCTGCTGCCTCGCCTTCTCCCTCTGGGAGCGCCTCAAAGGGTGCCATGGGCGGTGTCAGCCAGAACTGCAGTACGGCCATTGGCCAGATTGTTGGAACGCAAGACCTTGCTCAGTGCATGGGCTTGGATGATTTGACTACCGATGACACTCTGGCGCCCCTTCTGAGTGGAGCACGTGGAGGAGGTGGCGACAACGCGAGCTTGATTGGGCCAATGGGCAAGTACTTGTCGCAGGTGAGTGTCGTCGACTTGGTCGCTCCGAAGCATTGGCCGTGCTGACCTTAGACCTCGCCCGTAGACGCTCTGTATCCGCCCGGTCTGCAATCCCTCGACGCTCAACAGCTCCCTCGCCACCCTCACCAAAGGCTGCAGTAAGCAAGAGCTGAGCTCGACTACCAGCTCGGCGGCTCTCCTTTCTCGCTTCCTCTCCTCTTACGCCACGCAGCGTGATATGGCCTGTCTAGTGAACATGACCACTCCAACCTCGGACCCCTCTGCGGTCACTCTCCCCGGGGACAACAGCCCACCCGGAACTACCACGATTCAAGGTCACCCACTGTGCAGTCTGCAACTCTTTGCTGGTCTGCAAAACATGACGGGCTCCAACATGGGACTGAATGGCTTCTTTCAGATGCAAAGCAATGATCCTGCCTACTGGACGCCTGTCTTGAAGAAGCTGTCCGCTTCGAAGGACAAGAAGGTTCAGGCGATGCAGAAGGATCTACTCTGCTCTGACTGCCACAAGGCTATGCTGACCCAGCTCTTCTATCCTGCGTACAAGAATGAGAGCAAGACCCTACCTGATGGGAGCTCGATTAAGAAGTCGATGCTGCAGATGTGCGGAGGGAAGGCCTTTGGGGATGGGAAGATCTCAGATCAGGTGAAGCAAGCGGGCGTTGGGGCGGGCTTCGTGAATCTGAACCAGGCTACCAACGGGACCGACACACTAAGCGTGAGCAGTCCCAGTCCATCGGCAGGGAACGACACGCAGGCCAAGAGCGCGGCAGTCAAGGTAGGAGGTGATGGTGGTCAAATGCTGTTGAGGATTGTGGTAGCGCTTCTGGTCGGCGGATTGCTCAGCTTGCTACTTGTCGCCTGAGGTGAGAAGGATCACGGAGAAGCATGGCTGCTGGCGGCAAGCTCTCTTCGGGTCAATATGACCGGAACGCTTTCGATCAATGGACCCCTTTGTGCCTTGCTGCGATGTTATGAGTCCTATCACAAGCGAAGATCGAAGTGATTGAAGCCAAGTCAAGCGCGCCTTTCAGCTTTCGACGCGACGATGCAAGTCAACTTCGGCTCTCACCGTCCTGCATCGCCCGCCTCCACGTGGTTCTCTGTTTCCCCCCAGCAGCGTCGCTTGGCCCTCCCCATCTCGTCGGCGGCGGGGCGTCGGACAGGCACATCGCGTTGAGCCGCGCCGCCGCCGCCGTGCGGGCTGCCGCCTCCCCACAGAGTGAGAGAGAGCCATTCGGCGTATTCTCGATTGGACATTCTCACCACGACTTGACGGTGCTTTCCTTCCCTCCCCTCTCATCTCCGACCGACCCATACCTCCTTTGTCCTCCTTTCCCTTTCGTCCACCTCGTATCTTGCAAAATGGCACCGCAACAGGGAGGCTTCAGCTGGTCGAACATCGCTGTAGGCAGCTTGATGTGAGTGCGCTGAGGCGATGCACGATTGGGGTTGAGGCAGCGGCCCAAGTGTTACTATTGCTAATCCCTCGTCCAACACACCTCGCGCTTCGCCCACGCAACGTCGCCCTTGCTCGCGCAGGAACCTGTGAGTCTCAGCTCGACTGAAACATCACCTTCCATGTCCAGGTCAACTGACACACAATCCATCCTTGTCTGTCCTTATCGCTCTGCGCTCACAGCTTCGAGGTCACGACCCTCGGCCAGCCCCTCGAGGTGACCAAGACGACCATGGCCGCCAACCGTTCGCTCACTATGGCTCAGGCGCTCAAGGAGGTCTGGTCGCGCGGAGGTGTGCTCGGCTACTACCAGGGCGTGAGTGCGGGCGACGTAATGACTCGAGGACTCCATCTCCCTGAGCTTGTGCTAAAGTCCCTCTCTGCTTCTCGCTCGCACAGCTTATCCCGTGGGCTTGGATTGAAGCCTCGACCAAGGGAGCCGTGCTCCTCTTCACAGCTGCCGAGATTGAGAAGACCGCAGTCAAGTCTGGTATCGGCGCAGGCTCTGCTGGTCTGCTCGGCGGTATGGGTGGTGGTATTGCTCAGGCGTATGCAACCATGGGATTCTGCACTTGCATGAAGACGTGAGTCGTACCGGCAACAACCAAGATCATATCGCATTGCCAAGCACGACGCTGACCTCCGCCGATCCCCGCTCTCGCACAGCGCCGAAATTACACGCCACAAGCAATCAGCCGCAGGCATCAAGCCCCCCGGCACCTTCCAAGTCTTCATGGACATCTACCGCAAGGAGGGTATCGCCGGAATCAACAAGGGAGTCAATGCCGTCGCTCTTCGTCAATGCACCAACTGGGGTTCTCGCATGGGTTTCGCCCGTCTCGCTGAGGCGCCCGTCCGATCCTTTAGCGGCAAGGGAGAGAAGGAGAAGCTCAGCCCTCTCGAGAAGATCTTCTGTTCGTCCATTGGCGGTGCCCTCGGCTGCTGGAATCAGCCTATTGAGGTGGTTCGTGTAGAGATGCAGAGTATGGCAAAGGCAGAAAAGACCGTTGAGGGAAGGCCGAACAAGCCGGGCGTCTTTGGTACGCTGGGCTACATTTACAGGGAGAACGGCATCAAGGGGCTCTACAGGGGTATCTCCCCTAGGATTGCGCTGGGTATTTGGCAAACGTGAGTTCGAGCGGCGCGCCGTAGATTGACAGGGTGTAAGGCGGAAGTCAGAGAGCTAATCATCCCTCTTGGACCCCGCTCGCGCACAGCGTCTGCATGGTCGCCCTTGCCGATCACGTCCGTGGGTGGGTCAGCAACGTCAATGAGAAGGGAGTCAAGGCTGCTGTCGAGGAGGCTGCTGAGGATGCAAAGGCCAAGGCAGACAAGCTCAAGGAGGTCACCAAGACCAACTAAGCAGCGTGGTGGTAATGGACGCTGCAGTCGCGCAAGGGTAGAGGCAGCACGATGAAGCGGGGCAAGGCCTTTGTTTGGCAGCGCAGGGGAGCTGAGAGGATCCACGACGAAGAATAGCGCAAGGAGTAGGAGGTAGAAGGACAAAAGCGAGACGATGGCCGACGAGAAGCGCACGATGGAGCGCTCTCGACGTAATCTCCAACCGCCTTCATCCAGCCTCGAGGATCGACGATGAACCACGATCAATAGAGAAGCGGTTCCTGCACACACACACACACACGCACACACACTTTAGCTTCCTCCGCCCATCTACCCTATCGCTCTTTCTAGATGGCTCTCTCTTACTTTCCCAAAATGGTCACTCGATTCCTGATTCTGAACGGCTGCGAGTGGTGATGCATTGGGTATCAATCAATCGCTCTTCCTTCCCTCTGAAGCCGGCCTTGCTGCAAGCCTCTCTGCATCGTGAGCACGACGTCTGCAACTGACTGTTTGTCCCCCTCCGTTACTTTGGCACCCCAGCCTTTGCCGCACCAGCAGTCGTAGCCGTAGCCGTCCTGGCTGTCGCTGCACCACGCATGAGTGTCCATCGGACCGCTTTGGGTGTTAGCCAGAGAGATAAGGGCACTCGAACAGGGAGCAGACACTATGCGTGCGCGACAGTGTGAAAGACGAGTCAGTCAGTGATCATGGAAGGCAGGCAAGCAGGCATCAAGGTCGCTTCGCGGACTCACCTTGACAAGCACCCAAGCACCCACGACATCCGCCAAGTCGCGCACGGTAACGCTATGCGTCTGCTTGGAGATGTAGGATCTCATCATCCCGCGAGTCTCGTTGATGACCCCACCTTCGCTCTGACCGCCACTCGCATCGCTGCTACTGTCAGCCCCACCCAGCGAGTTGGTCAAATAGCGCGCCTTGTTCAGCCATCCCCTCGCCCCTCTCTTCCCCGAGGCGGCACCAGCCAAATCACCAGTCTGTTCAGCTTCCTCGCCGATGTCCTTTGCGGCTTGCTCCAACTTCGAGGGAACAGCCGCCGCTCCTCTCACGCGAGAGACGAGATCCCGTACACCCTTTGCCGTCCTCCACGTCGTCCCTGCAGCTTTACGGATGCTTGCCTCTGCCCACTCTTCTACTGTGACTCCCTTGCTCACAGCATCCGGACGTTGCTTTGCTGCTACGGCTCTTGCGTCACGTAGGCCGTACAGTGCTCCATCGGGTACGAGGGAAGGGATGCGCGTGTTGAGGACTGCGACTCCTTGTGGTCCGGCGAGGAGGAGTGGGGTCAAGTTGGTGAAGGAGAGCAGGAGGTAGGTTGGGCCGAGCAGCGTCCAGGCGATACTGCTGTGTAGTACAGGGAAGAGGACGAGATGTCGCAGTGGGTAATTGCGGAATGTAATGGGTTTGATTGAGCCGCTGGACGATGGTACGGCGGTGGCTGCATTACGGGGAAGTGCGGTGGTGGAGAATGTGCGGAGAGCGGTGATGGTGCGAGGGGCTGAGAGTGTGAGAGGAAGCAGAGCTGCTTGTGGGGTGACGATAGAGCCTTGGCTGGCAGTGAAGAGGAAAGCGCCTTGCTTGGAGGTGCTGAAAGCCGGTCGTTGGAGTGCATACAGGGAACCGTGAGTGCGAGGAGCGTAGAAGGAGACGGTGGACGTGGCCACTCGTGCCGCAGGCGCTGCAATGCCGCTGAGAGGGCGCGGCTCTGCCATGAGTGGGAAAGAGAAAGAGAGAGATGAAAGGAAAGAGAGGCGAGATAGCGAATAGGGCGACGTTGGTGGATGAAGAGACAAAGAGGCCCTCGCCATTGCCGGAATGAGGAGCAGCCCTTGACATCCTTTGTGCCTCCACTGCATCCCCGCTATCCACGTGGCGACGGAAGCAGCGCCCACTCCCGCTCTCGAGGCTGGTGCAGCTTGGTGCAACACGAGAATTTTGATTTCCTCGCCTTCGCTCCACTCCAAAGTCACATTATCGCCCTCAACGACGCAGCATGCCCGCCCTACTGGGGCCATGCATTGTTTGCACCTCGTCTTCCTCCAAATACAAGTGTCCGGCATGCCAGGCGCCTACTTGCTCTCTCCCATGCCATAAGAGGCACAAGGCTGAGGGTCACGCCCAAGAAGCAGCGGCTGGATCTTCGTCCTCTGCAACGGCCTCGGCATCGACATCACTCGCTACTCAAGCGTCGACATCATGGGTACCTATGCGCAGTTACGACTCTTCTCAGTTCCTCAAAGATTATCACTTCCTCTCTCAGATTGGTCGACATGTATCCGCAGCAGGAAAGGAGCTCGTCTCCCGTGGTTTAATGCCTCCTCAACCCGCATCAGACAGCACTGCAGGGCCCTCACAACAACGTCGTCCGCCTCCGATCGACCCGGCAAAGCATCGTGCTCGGAAGCAGCGCGAAGCTCTCGAGGACGCCGTGCGCTCTCGCCGGTGCAAGGTGTTGTGGTTGCCAGAGGGCATGGCCAGACGCGAAGAAAACCGGACGGTGTGGCATGACAAGGGCAAGAGGGTACGTTGGACTGTGGAGCTGGTGTGGGTCGCCGTGTCAGGTGGGAAAGGCAAGAAAATGGAGTCTGGTGAAAGGCGGCGATTGATCCATGATGTGCCCAGCGGGATGCCTGTGGAGCACAGGGTCATGCAAGAGTTGGAGAGAGAGAGCCTAAAGATGGCGCCCAAGGATTGGAAGCGACCGGAAGACGGGCAGCAGTCCAGCGCATCTGCGTCAGCAGAAGGTATTGCAGCAGGCCCAGGCAGTGGCATGTCTTCAGCGGCGAGGAAGAAGGCAAGGAAGCGGGGAGCTGCCGCTAAAGGGCGAGGAGGTGCGGAGCAGCCCTTGAATGGGGAGGAGCCGCATCCAAACGAGCAGCAAGATGGCAATGGCGACGCCCACCCTGATTCTACACCTGCGGCCCAGCCTCACGCTCACAAGACGCAATACTACATTTCAGATGCCATCCTTGCTACTTACGGTCACCACTCGGCCCACAGCGCTTTTTCAGCAGAGGCCAGCACAACGCCCCACCCCTACACCTCCCTTCCCCCCAGCATAGCGCTAGCAGTCCAAGTTCACCCGACTCGGCTACGCAACGAAAGTAGTGCCAAGTACTTGGAGTGGTGGGAGAGGAGGGGAAAGGCTGCTGAACAGGAAGAAGAGGAGGAGAGGCAGGCGGAGGCTGCGCGACTAGTGGAGCAAGAGAGATCGAGGCAAGAAGAGGAGCGCAGGGTGAAGCAGCAGCGGCAAGGGTCGTGGGGATCACCACCTACGGGACCGAGGGCAATGCGAGGAGCAGCATCGTCACCACCAGTAGCGGCAGTGGGCCTCAATCAGTCGGGCGCTGCTCACGCGCCATCGTCTCTGCTCTCCGCAAATCTCCTCGCCCAGCTATCAGCCAAACTCGAGGCCGCAAATGCAATGCAGACGAAGTATGCAGCGTCGAAGCCTGCGGCGGGGACGGAAGACCGTGCGGCTTTCCAAAAGACGGGAGAAGCGCAAGCGCATGCGCAATTGAACGGCGTTTCGAACGTCTCAGCCGAGGGCTCCTCGCCCACGAGCAGGCCCGAGATGCGGCCGCCCGTACGGCTGCTCTACCCTGTGCCCACGAAGACGGGCGCATCAAGTTCATCGCAAGCCAATGGCGACGCCCTCACTTCCCCGATCCTCTCAGTGGAAGGCATGCTCCGCTCTCTCCCTCGAGGGCACTCCGTCGTGGAGTTCCCACGTGTCGAGATTTGGAACAGAGGAGAGCTAGAGGAGCTGTCCAGGGCAAGTCGGTCGAGAGATGGAGCGGAGGGGATGGCGAGAGGGGTGAAGATTGTTACCTGGGATGATGGTCAAGGAGAGGAGGGGGAGGAGGTAGGTCAGCCCCGCAAGGAAGCGGCGCCTTTGGACAAGATGGGAAACCGGACGCTGAGCCCGCAGAGAGGGGCGTCAACCGCATCCCTTCCAGCGCCACTGCCCTCAGAAGCAGCATCAGCAGCAGCAGCAAGGCCTCTCATTCCCGCTGTCAGTCGACCGCAAACAGTAGGGGCGCCCAAGCCAGCCAGCAACGGCCTTGCTGGCCTCTTGGGAGGCTATGCCTCTTCTGATGAGGATGATGAAGACGACGATGGTGACGAGGTTCAAGCAGTCGGCAGCAAAAGGCCACGCGTTGAGGGTCCGCAGAGCGCTACGCTCGGTCACAGTGACGAGGGAAAGGACGAGGAGACAAAAGAAGAGCATGATGGCGGTGGAGCCGGGCTAGCGGACATGGCTCGTCGCTTGGGTTGGGTGACTGCATCTTCGCCCGCAACATTTTCGTCTACCAACGGCCATGCTCTGCCGCAGGGCAAAGTACCGGGAAAATCCGTCTCAACTGAGGAGCGACCCATCGAAGAGTCAAAGCGCGAGCGCCGTAAGAAGTCCGCCGCCGCCGCTGCCGCTGAGCAGGATGAGGAGCTTGATTGGGGCGATGAGGAGTAGCGGGCTCGCAGCATAGGCTGAACAAATCCAGAATTATTCACATTCGCGAAGAAAAAGATGTACGAGTCTGAGAAAAGTCTAGTGCGGGTCCAGAGGTTATGAAGTTGAAGTCGAATGAAAAGCCAAGAGGGAGTGGAGGATGTGCTACAAAGGAAAGCAAAGGGAGTCGCAGTTGAACAGGGCAGATCCTGGACGTCCAGAAAAGGCGCCGGCTCTAATGCTGCCTACCCCAGTACTCTTCCGGCTCAGGCCCATATGGGTTCGAGCTGGGCGAGTTGGCTTCGCCTTGTGCGATGGCTGGGTCTTCATGCGAGACGCCCGAGGGGGATGAGCCAGCCGTGGCGGCCGGCAGGGCAGGAGCAGCACCTTCACTCGTGCGCTCACTGTCTGCCGAGTCGTGCTGAGCAGCTACAGCGCCCGCGCCGGCTCCAGCCGCACCAGCACCAGCAGCGCCCACTGTGCCGTACTCGGTAGCCTTCTCTGCGTCGAGGTCGCGATGTTTGTGGTGGGCAGGCCTACGCTTCTTTGGCAGCAGTGCCGAGAAGAGGTCCCAGACTGTGAGGAAGAAGAGCCAAATGATCGGCAGACCCGTCACCACGATGAGCACGAAGCCCACGATTGCCCTTGGGATGGTGGTAACGTTTGCACGTCGAGTGAAAGCAACGCAAACGGCCCAAGATGCGAGGCGGAAGAAGGTCAAGACGATGAAGACCCAGTCACTCTTCTTGTCTCTGCCTACACGCAGTGCGATGAGCACGACGAAGAAGACAACCTCGAATACGAGGAGACCGACGGCTTGCGTGAAGTCTTGGCCTTGTGCGAAGGAGACGAAGCATGCCCTTATGACGCTCATTAGGATGAAGACCAGTGCAAACCACCAGAATTTCGGCCTGTACGGGTGCGCAATGTGGCCCCACTTCTTGGCGACGCTTCGTCCCTCGATGGGGGGCTGCTTCTCGTCGTGCGAGGAGTAGTAAAGCACCTCCGGTCCGAGCACCGAACGGCGTACTGCGGTCAAGCAGGGAAGATAGAAGAGCGCGAGCGCGAGGAGAAAGACGAAGAGGAAGAATGCGGCCAAGAAGTCCGGGACCCACGAGTCGCCGTGGCGCCATTGGTAGAAGGAGAAGATGAAGAAGACCGGCAGGACGACCAAGAGGAAGCGGGCAAGCGTGGCGAGGACCACGATGCCGAATTGGGAGGGTCGAGTGATCCTTCTCGACCAGTGCGCCGGATTATTGCTCGTCTTCTTGGCCGTGATGAGACGGAAGAGCCAGGCAATCCCATATGTGAGGAGAAGAGCACCCACGACAATGGCAAGGAGGATGAAGATGCTGACCAGCACGGTGAGAAGGGCATTGTCCGGTGCCACGTTTGCGCGCTGCGTGTAGAGGTCTAGGCCGCCGTAATTGTTCTCGGTATTGTTGGAGACGATGGGCAGGTTCGCAGTCGTTGTTGAGGTGACGGGAAGGCCGTTTGGCCCTGTGTTCGGGGCGTACTTGGCTGCGCGAATGAAGAGAGGGCGAGCGGCTTCGATCACAGCGTCAAAGGCGGAACGCTTGGCGATGGGAGGAGTGCTAGCGGAGGCGTGAGAGTGCGAGCCAATTGAGAAATGGCTCGACGACGCTGAGAGGGTTCCAAGCGGAGCGAGGGAGGTACTGTTGCTGTCACCGCCGCTAGTCGCAATGAAGCTCGGCAGCTGCAGGAAGTCGATTTTCCCACCACTACTGCTCGCCGGGTTCATCACGGTGCCCAGATTGACCGCCGTCCTGGCCGTTTGAGCCGTCAGCTGCTCGCCAAAGATGGCCCCTTCATTGCCTCCCGTCTTGCTCCTCGTCGACGTAATCGAGCTCTGCAGCGAAGGGATGTTGATGATGCCGATGCTCCACGCAAAGTTGAGCGCATAGCTGATGAAGACGATTGGAAAGTTGAGTGACAGTAGACCGGTGAACGCAATGTGCTGAATCATGAGCATCACATCGACGATGCGCCACTGAGCCGCTCCGACTGATTGAGCAATACTGGAGTGAAGCAGGGAGCTGAATAGGGCCAGCAGAGCAAGACCAACCGTAGCCCACGTCGCACCGGACTGACGAGCCGTGTGGCCATTGGTGAGGGTGACCTGCACGCATCCTACAACCTCGCCCGTTTGCGATGTGAGGGACAGGGTAGCGAGTGCCTCGAGGTCAGGGATGGCGTAAGCGATTGCGGGTACTTTGTCCAGGTATTCCTTGGGGATCGGATAGACGCCTCCGCCGTTGAATTGGTAGGTAGGCAGAGGGCAGAGGATCCCGCCCGCGATGGTGCAGAGGTCTAGAGAGAAGTCGACGACGCCGAGTCCGTAGGCATTTACGTGGATCGCAACAGTCACGTTCAGGTCATTTGCTGTTGATCCGGCTGCGAGCTCGAACTCGACGGTCTGATTATCCGGGAAGACGGTGAGTGCGGCGTTCTCGACGATGAGGACTTTGGGTGGTGCGCAGTATGCGACGGAGGAGGTGGCTACAGGCGCGGGCGAGGGCGAATCTTAGCGCTGTGTCTGCGGTGCTGGGGTAGATGGTGTGGTCCTACTCACTCAACATCTTTGGTTGCGAGATACTTGCTTCGACTGGTGCTGAAAAGGCGAGGAAGGCCAACAGCGTCCAGAAGGCGGCGGCGGCGAGGTCAAGGCCTCGCCGCGAGGACGATGGACGGAGGAATCTCATTCCGGGATGCTAGCTGAGAAAGTGAAGATATCAAGAATCGCCGCAACGGATCCAGATAGTGCTGTCGACGCTACGGCTAGATGGTAATGGTGGATGAGGTCGCTGAGGATCCGCGGGACGAGACGAGACCGAAATAGGCTTGCTTGCGTGCTGGAAACAGGAGATGCTGAGAGAGAAGACTGGGGGCGACGATGCTGCTCGATGCCCTATGACAAGGCGTTCAGCCCTGCTACCACTTGGGACCAGACCTTTGGATGAGGATAAGGGTGAGATGGACGATACAGGACGAAGGGAACAGGAGGAAGCTGGGCAGCACATTCAGTCACATCGCCCACCCAGTCGGGGCGGGAAGTCGAAACGAGACGGACAAGCGGCGAATGCGAGAAAGAGGTCTGCTTGCATGCCGCACTTCCTTACCCGATCCACCTCATACGCGCACCAGTCACAAAAGCGCCAGAGACTTCACCATAATCTTCAGTCACGCTAGGCAACGAGCAGCTCACGGCCCGCTTTTGCAAGCCACGATCAATTGCCTATCTCCTCTGCCTGTCCCAACACAATTGTCGTCATCCCTTGCCGTAAGTTGAAGTTGCCGCGGCAAACTGAGCTTCGGGACGAGGGAAATTCGTCGTCGCGACTGGGGCCTATGACGTCGTGCATGGATGGCTGCCAGAGAGCTTGGACCCGTTTTTGGCACAGAGGCTTTGAACGCCGCGAGTCGCTCCAACGGGTACGGCTGCCCGGCCGACGCGAGCTTCGGCGACCAGATTGCCATACCCTTGCTATTTTCTTCGCAGCGAGACTTTACTACCATCGAGAGCAAGAGTCGTAATGGCTAGTGTGACAAGAATGTATGGCGTAAGTGGAGTCAACGATAGCGCAACAAGAATTGATACGATGATGTTGCCCTCGCTCTCTGCTTTCGGTCCCTGGCCCCTGCCATCGCCCTATTCACCACCGATATTCCCCCTACAGATCACCACCCGAACACCTCAGCATGCACGCTCACATCGCCCTTTCCATCACTGTCACCCCGCAGCACATCCATGGGACGAATGAGCCTACGCGCGGCCCTCTTGACGTCCTGCGCAAACGCCCCAGGGCCGCACACGCCCACCCACAAACGGCCTTGCGCCTCACCTGCAATGGACAGAAGGAGGATCTCCATGTCTGGGCGACTTTGGGCGACTGTGATGGGTGAAGATGAGGTGGAAGGGATAGGCTTCTCCGACTCGGGGGTAGGGAGGTCCTTCTCGCCATTGCTCTCAGCAGCTATGGCTGCCCACTCTGCTGGCACGTCTGCCTGCGTTGCCTCTTCACGCGTGACATGGATGCGCACCTCCAGCTTGACCCTCCCTGCAGTACCGGTAGCCAGCTTTAAAGCTTCCCCAACTTGCTCGCTGAGCACTTTGATCTCGTCTTTGCTCTGCACGACCCACAAGAAGACGAGGCGACGCACCCTACTCTGCTGAGCAACCGCAGCACGCATCGTAGCCAGGAGAAGGGGCGTTGTCCAGCTGACCCCCACTCCAGCCGCCGCGAGGACGATTGTGTCGCAAGTAGCGATGACGGGGTGCAGGCGTGGTGGAGAGAGAGGAGCCGTAGAGACGAGTAGGTCGGCTGTAGCGCCGCGTTTGGCTTGCTCGAAGAGGCGGCGGGTGAAGCCCCGTTGCGGGCGAATGAGGAAGGTGAGTTTCCCTGCGGCGTTGTCGTTGTTCTTCTCGACAGCGATGTCTTGCGAGCGCGGGACGGGCAAAGACATGATGGTGAATGGGTGTGACTCCAGTGCCAAACTGACTCCTCCCTTTGCGCGCGAGGCTGGAGGACTCATGAGGAAAACGTGCGCGCCTGGCTCCCAGTGGGGCAGATCGGGCTTTGTCACGGTGAGCTGGAGGAGACGGTCGTTGTGTACGGTCATGCAGGCGGCCACTGGTGTAGTACGAGACTTGTTGAAGGGGAGCAGGCCGTTGAAGTAGATGAGCGAGATCAGACGGAGCACTCGGTCCAAGATCCCTGGTGGGACGGGATGAAGGAGGTGTGATGAGTCAAAGCTGGCTTTCATCCTCGGGCTCAGCACTCGCACTTACAGAAGACGATGGCAGCGATGAGATAAGGCTTGAACTCCTTGTTCGTGTCCTTCATATCGACGACGTGCCGCCATGTAGCGACAAACAAGGCGGCGACGAGCACAACGTGCGCGTGGACGAAGAGCTGGTACGCAGCTCTCATGACGAGGCGATTGCCCAATGCAAAGATGGAGATGCCGAGGACGGCTCCGACGAGCCCCCACACCCGCCATGCGATGGTGAAGGTATTGTTCTGCCAGACCTTTGTCCCCACATGCATCAGCATGACCAGCAGCGTAACCCTGGAACAGCCACGATGCAGCACCTGCAGCCTCTCGTAGGATGCTCCAGTGATCCAAGCGATGGGATTGTACTTCATGCTGAGCACGACAAGCCACGGATAGGAGGCAAGAGCCATCCATCCTGCACGTGAGGACCAGCCGTACCCGGCTCTCTTGCCCGGGCCGGGCGATGGAGCTCGGTGGGCTTGGGTGAGGGTGAGGAGGAGCATGGTCAGGAGGTAGGCGAGGAGGAGCACAAGCTCAGTGAAGGTGATACTCGTCGACAGCGGTCCTAAGGGAAGGGTGAGGGTGCGATAAGAGAAGTGCTGCGTGCGAGCAGGGAGAGGAGAAGTTGAGCTACGGGGCTGCGCCGTGGTGTGAGTATGAGCGGAGACTTACCTTGCGAGTGGCTGCCGTCAGGGCCCGCTTGACTCGGAACAGCGCCGGCGTGGCGGCCGTCTCCTTGCTCTGCAGTCGCTTGTGCTCGAAGCGCTCCTCAAGGAGGGTCAGGGCTGTGCGAGCAGGGATAGCAGTATCAGAGGCTAGCTGTCGGAGCCAGTCGGTGCGCGCAACTCACCATGCCAGATGGCGAAGGCGGCCACAACGGCGGCGAGGACAATGCCCTGCGAGTGGCAACGAGCTGGTATCAGTGGCTGAACCGGTCGTACTACCCTATCGCGGCACCCACCAAGTCGCGAACATGAGCAGCCGTCCTGGGTACAATGTATGCCGTAAAGGCAGCCTGGGCGGGCGACTTGGCAGCGGCACCAGCGGGTGGGACTGACATCGTGATGGTATAAGCCAGGCGTGCAACGAGGAGTGTGGAATAGAGTCAGGTAACGATGTGTTGGTCAAGAAGCAATTTGAACAAGGCGACTCAGGTCATCTTTGTCATTCTCGCGGCATTGCAAACCTCCCGCTCGTTACATCACGCAGGCTTCGCGGGTCCCCATCTCCGGTAGCAAACGAGAAAGCAGAGGAGGGCTATTTGCAACCGTCGTCCACTCTTGCCGTCGCAGTTGCGATCGTGGGCATGCCTCAGCACTTGTCTACACTGGCTCGCTCGCTCGCTTTTCCCTCCCTCTTCTCGGCCGCCGCTATCTAATCTGACTGCCCGCCAGCCTCAGCTCCCACGTCGTGCTGCAGCAAGGTACAGCATCGACGTGCCAGACAGAGCAAGGCAGGGACATCTTTGGCCGCAAGCTGCTCCTTAGGAGCTGTGGCCTGTGCCGTCCGCTTAGCTTTCAGCGTCATCGTGGTGAGCAACGGGATTTAGCTTAACGAAGGAGGTGGGAGCTCGACATCATTGTGCCACGCGGCGAAGATCAAGTCAAGAGCACCCGGCAATGCAAGCGTGATCATGAGATCCGACTGCCGGGCGCGGGGGAGAAACGAGGCGATGGGATCAGCATTTTGACTTTGCTTCGCAATCTCGTCATCCTCCTTCCGATTGCACCGCACCAGTCTGTCTCCTCCTCATATCCAACAGCTTGTCACCATGGCCCCACCTCCGCAACTTCCCGAACCAGCCGAGGCCTTTGCAGCTCGCGCCGTCCCCTCATCCACGACGTTCAAGCCCAACATCTTGGCAGGCAAAGTCGTCTTCTGCACCGGCGGCGGGTCAGGCATCTGCTACCGAATCGTCGAGGTCCTCCTAGCGCATGGAGCCACGGCTGCCATCATGGGCCGCAAGGCTGATCGTCTGTCTGCAGCGGCCAAGCAGCTCAGCGAGAGCACAAGGAGGAAGTGTATCGCTACTCCGGGCGATGTGAGGAAGTACGACGATGTTGAGAAAGCTGTTGATGCGACGGTCAAGGAGTTTGGGCGACTGGACATGGTTGTGTGCGGGGCTGCGGGCAACTTCCTGGCGCCCATCGAGGGGATCAGTCCCAACGGGTTCAAGACTGTTCAGGAGATCGACCTGCTAGGCACGTACCATACAGTCAAAGCCACGCTGGAGCACCTCAAACGCTCCCATGGCTCGTACGTTCACATCAGTGCCACTCTCCACTACACAGCCATCCCTTGGCAGGCGGCTCCCTCTGCCGCTAAAGCAGGTGTCGACGCCCTCTCCAACTCCATTGCTGTGGAGTTCGGGCCCTTTGGTATTCGCAGCAACTGCATCGCACCAGGGATGATCCAAGGGACAGAGGGGGCGGATCGTCTTACGCCCAAGGGAGCAGAAGATCTCGTCGTCTCCAGAATTCCAACGCAGAGGATGGGACAGAAGGATGACATTGCCAATGCGGCATTGTTCTTGTTCAGTGACGCGGGAAACTACATCAATGGGACGCAGATCGTCGTCGATGGTGGAGCCAAGCATTTCCCGGGGCCGTGGTTGCCTTACCCGGATAGCTCGTTGGACAAGCAGGGTGAGTGGGCGAGAGGCGAAAAGACAGTGGCCAGTATATGCTGACTCTAATCCCCTCGCCATGCGCTCATAGGTGTCAAGGAGCTCGTCATGGGATCGAAGCTTTGAGCGCCGAGGCCAGAGCCAGGGCAGCTTTGTCACAAGGTAGCGGCGGTAGAGCAGATCTGTCAGATGGAAGCAGCAATGAGATGACATCGAGACCAGATCGAAGTCGCCTGACGGAATGAAAATAAAGATACACCCTACTTCTGCCCTGCTCAGAAGAGATCGTCCAGTCCCTTCGTCTTCTTGGCCTTCTTCACCTCGGCCCCCGCTCTCTTGGAAGCAGGTACAATGCCGGCTTTCCCGCCGCCTCGCCCACGACCGCGCCCTCGAACGCTGCGGGCGCGAGGTGAAGTGTTGACGGAGTTGACGGCAGCCTTCTTTGCGCCTGCTCCGCTATCGCTATCAGAGTCGCTGCTGCTGCTCGAGTCAGAGCTGCTCTCCTCTTCTTCCTCTTCAGCGTCGTCGTCACTACCAGCTTCAGCAGCAGCGTGCTGCTGGTTGCCAGGCGGCATGCTTGTCGAGGCATTCGCGCTCGCACTCGCATTGCCAGGCAACTGTCGAGCCAAAGTCCTCGAGCTGCGATTGGATGCAAAGCTGTCATTCGCACTCGCACTCGCACCCTGGCTGCCCTGCCTTCTGAACTGTGGAGCGCCCATCTGACTCAGACGCGGGATCGAAAGGCTTGGCCTACTGGTTTTCGCTGCAGCGGGCTGGGAGAAGGATCCCGAGAAGCTGTTCTGCGCCGCCTCATTCGACCTGCCATATGTCCGCTGCGGCTGCGACGCAGATGGTGAAGCGGTTCCAGCTCCGTTGGCAGGGTCGGTGCGATCCTTTTGGAAGAAGTTGAAGGGGGAGAAGAAGCCGCTGTTACGCCCGGCTGGTTGAGAGGTCGGAGGCGCGGAAGGCATTGGGCTTGCTGAGATTAAAGCTGACGCCGGCCGCTGGCCATTGTCGAGAGTGGTGGCCGGAGTGTCCTTGGAAGGGCCGGCTGCACTCTCCTCCCCCTCGTCGCTGCTGTCGTCGGCATCACTGCCGCTCGCCTCAGCAGCCGACGGACGTGCCTCCTCTGCGGGCTCAGAGGGAGCAGCGGAAGTGGAAGCGTCTGCATCAAGTAATGCGCTGGGCTCCTTCTCAACGCCTTGCTCCTCTTGCTGATTCTTGACGCGTGCATCGTTCCTTCCTCCGTCCTCAATCTCATCCTCTGGCTCTTCTTCACTAGCCCTGCTCTGGTCGGCAGGCTGTGTCGCCTCGATCTCGTCCTGCTCTTCTTCGTCCTGCGTGTGACTACCCTGAGATGCAGCCTCGATATCATCGTGCTCCTCCTCGTCGCTCTTCTCCTCTTCGGCTTCGACATCGTCATCGTCACTATCGTCCGATGTCTCGGACCCTGCATCAGACCCAGCTGATTGACGTGTCAGTGTCTTCCTCGTTGGCGCTTGAGAGGGGGAGATGGCGCCTTGACTGCCGTTGATTCTGCCGGACAAATTCTTGCCTGACGGCGGCGAAGATTGCGCCTGCTCCACTACTGCCTTTTGTGTCGAAGGGACCTCCTCCTCTTTCGATTCTGCTGCTGTAGCTCCGCTCGGCGATGCCTGCGTCTGCGTCATCCCCTGCGTCTGACCTAGAAAAAGGCGGTCCTCCTGGCCAGAGGGAGCGCCACGACGCCGGTCAGTGGGTGGTGAGCCTCCAGCAGCAGGCGAAGAGGCAGCCGCGACCTTGGATTGTGCGTCCGCCCTACTACTCCTCCTCGGTCCCTCGGGCGCAGATTCCTCATCGTCGGCATCCTCGCCTTTGTCTGCCTCCACCGTATGGTCGGGCTCGATGGGCGCCGCTGTTGCGGGAGGAGGGAGAGGGTGCTCAGTCACGTCCGGGTCCTCGTCCTCAAGATTGTCTCCATTGGCGCCGTTCGCATCTGCGTGTGAACTCTGCAGGATGGGGCTAGTCTCGACGTCCATCTCTGAGTGAGCAGGAGAGCGAAGACCGGGGGCCTTAGAGGCGTCGAAGCTCTTGGCCTTTTCCTTGGCCTCCTTTGCCTGCTGCTCCTTCTCTTCAGCGCTACGTATGTACTGGGAAGCCAGCTCATCCTCCGATGACTGTTGGGAGAAGCCCTGAATAGGCCGAGTGTCATGCTGCTGCTGTTGCTGCTGCTGCTGCTGCTGCTGCTGCTGCTGCTGCTGCTGCTGCTGTTGTTGGGCAACCCGCCGTGCCGCCCGGCTGCGCCCTGCAATCGGTCCCTCTGCATCGTTGGTCTCATTCTCCCACTCTGTCTGCAAGCGTCTCGCCTCCTCAATCTCGGGCGCACGCTCAGGAACCGGCAGTCCCTCAGCAGCCGCATAGTCGGACAAGTCGGTCTCAATCTCTTCCAGCTCGCTGCGTAGCTTGACGACCTTTTTCTTGCCGACCGTGAGCTGCGCCTTGCGCAAGGGCTGACCTGTGCGCTCGAGTTCGAGCAAGGCTGCCACCTTGGTTTGAGCAGCGGCACAGTCGTTGCGGATTTTGCGATGGCGGCGCTCCAGCACGGCTCGCTCACGCTTCGTCGCGGCGGACTGCGGCTTGGAGCGCTTCGGGCGGTCTGCGGGAGCTTCCTCGTCGTCTTCGTCGTCTTTCTCAGCAGCGAGAGGGGCGCCAGGCTCCGGCCCAGGAGCATCGCCATTGATGGCAGGCGCTGCGTCTTCAGGCTCATTCGCAGTCGTGTCCACGGCCTCCTCCGCTGTGACAGCCTCCCCGTCCTTTCCAGCAGAGTCATCACCCTCCGACATCTCGACCGGCTCTGTCTGCTCCTCGGCCCGCTTCCCCTTCTGCTGCTTCTTCGACCCTCTCGCCCTCTTCCTCACCTCAGCAGCCTCCGACTTGGCCTCTGCCTCTCTTCGCTCCTTCTCCGCTTCCATAGCCATAGCCTCAGCGATGGTGACGCGACCGCGCTTCCTCTTGGCTGCCGTTCTTGGGGATGTGGCAGGAGAGTGAGGGATCTCAATAACAACGCGATCGTCGCTGATGTTTGCATTTCGCGAGGAAAGGGCTGCAGAGGAGGCTCCAGCTTCGCTTCCCTCTGCAGCGGTGGCGTCAGGAACAGCGGCTGGATCGCTGGCGCGACGAGCCGCACGTAGCGCTCTGGGTGACGCCGCTGTTGGTTGAGCTGTAGTCTCACCTTCGTCGTCATCTTCGTCATCGTCGTGATTCTCCTCCTGCGGCTGCGTATCAACAACGCGCACTACACGTCCACTCCTTCTGCTCGTGTTCGCATCACGCTGCGATCCGGTGGCAGCCTCAGCTTCTGCCTCAGAGACCGTAGCGGCATTTGATTGGCTCGCCTGCTTCTGCGCCAGCTGCTCAGAGCGACGCTCTGCCGCCTTGGCTTGCGCCGCTTTGGACTTGCGACCTCGACGACTTTTGCCGGCCGTCGCGGAGCTCACTTCGCTGGCGGGAGGACCGGGTGGGGACGATTGGCGAGTGTTCTGTTGAGCTGGTGACGCTACTTGGCCGCGCTTCGAAGATGATGATGAAGTGGATTGTGCTTGCTCACCATTCGCAGCAGCCTGAGCCTTAGCCTCCGTCTCCGCTTTTTTGGGTCTGCCCCGCTTCTTTTTCGGCTTCTCGCTGTTGACCGAATCTTTAGTGAGGGCTTTGCTTTTGCGGACCTTAGCTGTGGCTGTGTCATCATTGTTTCCCTCGACAACTGCCTTTTCTTTTCCTTTGGCGGATGGGCCGGCGACAGGGGCAGTCGCGCTCGAGTCCGGAGAGGACGCTGTCTTCGCCAAATGCGCTCTGAGCGTAGGAGGAACGAAGGCACTAGTGTCCGTCGAGCCCGAGGCATACGGTGACAAGGCAAGCGCAGGGACCGAGCCGCTCCCCCCAGTAGTAGCTGATGACGCCCCACTAGCTCTCGTGGCAGCAGCGCTGGTGGATGGACTCTGCGAGACATCGGGTTCCGCCGCAGTCTTTTGCTTCTTCCTTCGCCCAAGCTTGGCAGCAGAAAGCGGCGTCGAAGCAGCGGGGGCGGGCGCCATTTGCGTCGTGGCAGGCAAAGCCATTGGCGAGATCTGCGATTGGTGCGCTGGTAGAGGCGGAGGCGGCATGTTGGAGGAAGAAGCCTGGGTTGGCCCTGGTATCGGTCGTGCTTGCTGCTGCTGGGCAGCGCTTCCCCATACACCAGTAGCGAACGGCATTGCAGGTGACATTACAGGCTCGACGCTAATGACGGTCGACTCGGCATTGGTCCGCAGCGCTCGAGCCTTAAAGGCGCGGAAGTCTGCCTCTTCTTCCAGTACGATGCTTCCTCCGATGGAGCTCTGCGATGTAAGCTTGAAGGCAGCATGTGCAGGGATGCGCATTTTGGCTCTGACGGCGTCTTTAGCTGCAGCGAAAGTGAGAGAGCTGTCTAGGACGCGCTCAAACTGCGTATTCGTTGCCTTGGAGTGGAAGGTGACGACGAGCTCCTGCGAACGGCGATATTTGTGAGGGCGACCATCGTCGTCGGTATCTGAGCTTGAGTCGTAGCTGGATGAAACAGATGAAGCAGACGATGCATCGGACGAATCCTCATCGCTGCTGTCATCCGAGTCATGGCGATGACGCGACTTTGAGCGGCCCCTCGATTTGGATCGACCTCGCGACTTCGATCTGGCCCGACTTTTGCTTCTGCTCCTGCTCATGCTACGGCGGGCAGACTTTGATCTGCGCCGACTACTGTGCTTTTTGAAGCTGACCTTGCTGTTGCGAGAATCGTCTTCATCGGAGCGCTTCCTCTTGCCGCTGGCTGGTGCAGCAGCTGACGCGCTCGACTGAGCGCCGGTCCTTGGCATTGCGCGTTGTGGATGGGTGACGAGGCGAGATGACGAGGGGGAAAGGAGCCGGAGTCGACGAAAGGGAACTGCACGACGAGGAATGGGGCGTCGTAATTTGCCGCTCGTGGTCACGCTTCGTGATTGATTAGGACGTGATGGATGGCGAGGGAGCCAGGGACAAAGGAAGGCGGCCTTGGTCCTTGACAGCGTTATATGAGAGAGATGCCTTGCCCTTCTTGATCGAGGGACAGCAGTCTGTGGCGCCTGTTCTGTGCTGGCGTCCTTTTCCTTCTCCTTCTCCTCGATATCGTCACGCCCTCGATTCGATCGGGGTGATGTCGTAGGGCAAAAAGGCAAGCAAGCTGGTCCCGGCGCCGACGGACAGAGACAAAGTTGCAGCCGCTCTCGTCTCGTCGCGATGCTCGCATGGATGGACGGACGGACGGCCTGACTTGACTTCTTCGATGCAGCACCGCGACGGAACGGATGTCAGGCCAGGCGGGCGGACAGGAGCTCAAAGCGTGAGACTGGACTTGGACGGCGGGGTCTTGTCAGAGAGGGGCTAGCTCGATTCCAAGTGCCGCTCAGCCGCCTGCTCACTCACTTTCCATCCCACCTCACCACCATCTTTTCCCGCCAGATATAGATCAAGGCAGCCGCTGCGACTTGACGTAGGCTCTCGCGACGTCGTTGCGTTTGGGCGACTGGCCCTCTCGACATCTCTTTTCTTTCCCCTCTCTCTTTCGTTATCATCACGCTCTTTGACCCTCTCTGCCTGGCAACCAGACCAACACCTCCGGACCAACACTCGGATCCCGCGCCCAAGCCCCCACCCCTGTCAAACCTCGCGTCACGATGGGCGCCTGCTTCTCTCGCCAACTAGTCACATCAGCAGAAGATGTCCTCTTCTCACTCGGGTCTCTCTACTCCTTCCTCGTCTCACACGTCTCCGCCTTCCTCAATCGCTTCTACTCCCTCCTCCTCTCCCCGCTCTTCCGCGACCACGAGGAGCAGATCCCCTCGACGCTATGTGATGGTGACACTGGCGTCTGCATCAGACCAAAGGAGCGAGTCAAGCAGTCTAGAAAGAAGGTGGAGATGAGAATGCGTCGGGCTGAGCTGGCTGCCAAAGGGTTGGACCCCAATTTGGCGTTGAAGAGGAGGGATAGTCGGGCATCTAACGCTGATACGGGGGTCGTGGCGGGTACGGAGAAGATCATGAAGCGATGGAGTCGAGCAGATTCGGTCGCAGCGGTGGAGTCTGCAAATGCTATGGAGCAGAAGCCCGCTGCAATGCCAGCAACGGCGCCCAACACGCAGCGTCTTCACCTCTCGAGGGAGTCTGCGGAGCTGCTGAGGGGCAAGGCTGGGCAGACGGAAGGGAGGAGGTCAATGGACGCTGCCCTTAAGGCTCCGATGCGCTCAAGGACGGCTCCAATGCCAGGCATGGGCAGTCGACCACCTCCAGCTCGCTCTACACCGGCTCGCGCGGCACCTCCTGCTGCCGTAGCACTGGAGCATGCCTTCTCGCCCCAAGCGCCGCCGCAGGAGACGGCCAAGCTCAAGAGTCGACAGAGGCTGTCACTAACAGCTGAGGCCGACCAATTGGACCTGCGACGCAATATCAAGCCCAGGCCTAGGTCATACGCCGCTCCGGCAACCAGCGGCACCTCAAGGGCGAGTCCATCGCCGCTAGTAGCCGCAGCGCCCACGCCGTACTCAGCAGCCGCCGTAGCTGCTGCGTCCTCTGCTCCCTCCAGCCCTCCAGCCCCAACTCGAACGCGAGTAAGCACAAACATGAGCAGCAATGACGCCACTAGTCGGGCAGACGGCACGGTGCAAGCTGCGGCGGACAGGCTAGCCCTCGCACGCCAGTCAATCGACCATCAGCGATCCGCCGTATCGGATTCCCTGCCTGTTTCCCGCACCACCACTCGCATAGTCGCCGACCCCATATCTCGTACCTCTACGCCTCCTCTCGCCTCAGGAAGCCAGGAGCCCTCCCCTCGAGGCTCCGTCTCTGATCTGGCAGCTGCAGCGTGTAATGCCAGATGCGCGAAGAAGGAGCGCAAGCTGTGGAGGGACGAGGTCGAACGAGCGGCGCAGAGGAGGGTAAGGGCTGCGTGAAGCGCATGGGTGAAGAGAGAGCAGGATGCTCTAAACGAGGGCAATGGCCGGAGAGCGCTGTACAGTGTTTAGTGATGATACCCGGTGTGACGACGAAGGTCACACCACTGAGATGACAACGGCCATGATCAATGACGACTCGCGACGACCTACCTCTTCTTCTTGTCCTTCCTCTGTCAATTTCTCGCCTCGCCCATTGAAGTCTAATATGAGAGTTCTCGATATCATCCATGAGCAAAGGCAAGCGCAAAGGTCGCCGTGTGTGCGCACGAGCGCATGGCGAGGCGGGGCGAAGGTGCACATCATCGAGACTAACGCAGGCAGCTAGACCCCATTCAGATCGAACGACGACGACGACGGACGTGTCCATTTCTCATCATCCACGCCTCCCCACTCGATACGAGAAAGAGGGTGCGTGTGTGCGCTAGTGTTGAGGGACTTAAGGTCTTGAGCCAATCGCACCTGCCCTACCTGCAGCTCCACGCCCAGGCGTCCCTCCATCTTTTGGCCCGCTCTAATGGGCGTCGCGGGGTCCACCAAAGCAAGCGACGACTCGGGGATGCATGAGAAAGAGAAAGCAGTCGACAGTGGGAGTGAGCTGAACAGGCGCGCTGCCGAAGCTGAGTTCGGTCGACTCTCCGTCCTATCGAGACGAGACAGGGCAGGCACAGAGCGAGACGACGACGGACCGAGATAGAGGACACGGACAGAGAGCGCAGAGAGCGCAGAGAGCACAGAGCAGCAGACGAGGGCGTCGAGCAAGCCGAGGGTGCGCTTCGATGCCGTTTTGGCTCCATCGCATCGCAGCCACCCGACTTGGCCGACCAAAGATCTCTCTGTACGACCTCTCTGTCACCCACGCACCCCTACCTCTCTTCCTCGCTCGTTGCAGGCAAGCAAACACGAGAGCCTATCATCGACGCAGCGCTGCGAGAAAGTCACACTCAACGGCGCAACTCAAAGCACAAGCAAAGCAAGAGGAGAGAGAGCAGCGATTGGATTCCTCTGTGCCCTTGCTGCGCATCCACCCATTCGTCCCTCCTCCTCGCTGCACGCGCGCACCCAACCCTAGCTACCTAGATCAGATCAGAGCGCAGGCAGAGCGCAGTAGCCTAATCGCAGCCCATCCTCGTCTTCTTCCTCGCCCTACATCCATTTTCGCCGCCGCAACCAGGTCCTGCTCCATTGCTGCCACTCCCTCGTTCCTCTCTTGTCGTCCCTGGCCGTATCCAAGTCCGGCCGTTCCGAGAGCGGGCCGTTGTTGCCTTGTCTTGTCCTCCGACGCTGAAAGTCGAGGTATCAAGCTCATCGACAAAGCCGAGAGGCGCTGGCTGCCAGTCTAGCCCGTACCTCGTCCTTTGCAACGCACACACACGCACACACACTCCAACGCACACCCAGCTACAACGAGCATGCAACACTACACCGTCTAGCAGCAGCAGCCGAGTGAGCAAAAATGCACGACTGTCAATACCCTCACGCTCAGTCGTCGTCTTCGTCCTCGTCGTTGTCGTCGAACAACGCCGGAATTAACGGCAACGGCGCACCCGGACAAGGGCGAGGAGGCCAAGTCTCTTCGTCGTCGTCGTCGTCCTTGGAGGCAGCCGGTATGGATCCAACCACGCGTCCCCCCCTTGCCTCTGCCTCTGCCTCTTCCTCATCTTCATCCTCTTCATACGGCCGCGGTCACCTCTCTGCAACTGCAGCGGCCGATTCGCCTAGCTCAGCTGCTTCATCTTCTTCGTCGCTCCTCTCACCTCTACCACCCAACGCCACTCTCAACCCGTATACCGACGTCTTTGAGTCATCCGACCACGAGGGAGACGATCAGGACGACATGGCTGCTGCGGCCGCCATGATGTATGCAACAAAGCCGCCCACCTCAGCGGCAGCAGCCGATCAGCAATACGTGGCGGCCATGATGGCAGCTGCGGCTACGTCGGGTCAGCAGCAGCATCAACAGCAACAGCAGCAGCAGCAGCAGCAGCAGCAATCGCCCTACAACCACCATGTCAGTCCACCTCAGTACGGGTATTCGCATCAGCCACAGCAACAGATGTCTTCGGCGCCTGCTGCGAGTGGCGGTGGAGCGCAATGGTACGATCCAGAGGGAGCGGACAGCTATACGCTCGCGCAAGTGTTCATGGCCGCGCAGCAGTACGGTCAGCACGCTCCGCACCAACAGCAGCAGATGATGAGCGCAGGCCCATCCAATTTCCAACAGCAAGACGTTAACGCATATCAGTCCTTTCGGGATGTCAACGGCGGCAGCGACAACGTCGGCCCAAGTCCCTTTGCCAGTCCAGCTACCTCGCATCACCGTGCGAGCTCTTTTGGATCAGAGATCGGCAGCCCTTCGCCGCTCTTCCCTGCAGCTCAGCATCCCTTCCAACACCAGCAACAGCAGCAGGGCTGGAACAATGGCGGCATCAGTACCGAAATCGCTGGCTTCTCCGGCATCAGCCTCGGCGACGAGACCGGCGGCATGGCTGCTATGGCTCCGGCGCCGTCGAGTGGCGGATACCCAGACGGGTCGCTTGAGCAGCTCATCGCCCAGCAGCAGGGTCAAGAGCAGCAACACCACCTCCAAGCACCGCCCATGTCCGCCACATTCTCGGAGCCTCCGCGCCCGGCATCGGTTCCGCAGCTCGCCATCTACGAGAGCGACCCAGCCAACGCGGGCAATCCAATGACGGTGGATGACGTGACGTTTGAGCAGATCCTCAAGCAATTGAGCGCAGGTAGTGACGCCAGTGCTCCTCAGCCTGCGCCGCAACACCAGCAGGAGCGCTCCGCCTCTCCTGCTCAGTGGGCCGGCGCGCAGCAGCAGCCACCAGACACCACCATGGCCCCCACTTCAGCTCCAGCGGGCAACACCGGTGCTGGTGGTCTCTCACCTCGTCCTCCACCACCTCACATCGCCGTCCGCAAGCCTACGCGCGAAGACTCCATCGACAAGCTGCGCAAATTCCTCAAGCTCGATGTGAACATGGCCTACGCGGGACCCTCGGACGATAGCCCTACCACGAGTCAAATGAGGAAGAGGAGCATGTCAGACTCTGGTCCCAAGTCGGGAGCTGCTATTGAGGCCGTCATGGGTGGAGCAGGCGGAGGTAACATTGATTGGGCAAAGTTCGGGATCACCGCGGGCGGCGGGGGAGGAGGCAATCAGAATCTTGACGCGGTTGTCATGGCGGCCACTACCAGCGCAAATGGTGGAGGAGGGAATATGCCGCCGCCTAATTGGGTCAGGCCTGCACAGCCTGCGAGAGACGGACAGCCAGCGGCGATTCAGCAGCAAGGGCAGCATCAGCAGCAACAACCCACCTTCTTGGGATCCATGCCATCGTATGCCCGGCCTCAGTCGAGCCACGCAGCCCTTTCGACAAACAACGATCCCAGCAGCAGTAGTGTGGGGCCAATGCGCAGTCTCGGTCCCTCTGGCGCTGCTCGGGATGTAGGAGCAGGCAGCCCTTATCCGGCCTCGCGGTCAAGCTCGGCTTCATCGCGCAGGGGCAGCTTCCTTTCGCCGCATGATACGCTGCCCGACTGGTCTTTCCCTGGCGGTGTGGGCGGCAGTGCTGCCGGTGGGCCTGGTAGCACGAGGCGATCCCGCAAATCCAGTGCAGCTGGAAGTGCGCATCACCACCAGCGCAACGTGCAGAGCGAGGATTTGTCGTCGATGCGATTCGGTGCGGGCAGCGACTTCGCTAGGCAGATTACCGCGCCGGACGGGACTCTTGTCCCACCTGGAGGAGCGACAGGCCTGTATGAGTCCTTCCAGTATCGCCAGCCCTCCGCTCCTTCCAGTGCGCACCAGCGCCATTCATCCTTCGGCTCAGCCACGAGCGGAGGCAGTGGTGGGGCTCAGCAGCAGATTCAGCCTCAGCCAGGCTTTTCACCGGCGGCTTTCGGTGGCTCACCCAATCCGGCGGGCACGGCTTCCTCGCCTCGCAGTCCGCCGAATAGCGCAGCAGCCACGTATGCGTCCCTCACGGGCGTCCCCTCCCCGGGAGGTGGGCACTGGGCAGGGGCTAGTGATCCGGGCGCGGCATCTCCTAGCTCTTCTACGTCCGCCTACAATCAGACCGCTTTACCAACCTACGGCTCTCTACCAGGCGCACGCAGGCCACGCATCTCCTCGGCCTCAAGCAGCCACTCCTCCTCGACCTCCTCGGCCGCAGCGGCAGCTGCCGCTGGTCTCAGCCCTTCGCAATTGGCCAACCCAGCCATTCCAAATGTCACCACCAGCGCAACGCAACAGGCGAGCGCCTCCCGCCGCAAGTCAAGCGCAACGTTCCACTGCCCTGTCCCCGGGTGCAACTCTCAATTTACTCGGCAGTTTAACCTACGCTCCCACTTGCGCTCACACGCGGACGAGCGACCCTTTAAGTGTCCAGCACCTGGTTGCGGAAAGGCTTTTGCGCGCGCGCATGACGCCAAGAGGCATCACGAAACGCTGCACTTGAGCGTAAGGAAGCATGTTTGTGAGGGATGCGGGAGGCAGTTTGCCCGCTTGGACGCGCTGAATCGTCATTTGAGGCCAGAGGGCGGGATTGGGTGTATGGGAGCTGCGGATGAGAGTGGGGAGGCAGGCCTGGACGGGGAGGGAGGTGATGGGATCGATGATGGAGACGAGGGAAAGCAGGGAGCGACGGGCGTCTCGCCACGCAGTGCTGGAAGTAGAGGGGGAGCTGGCGGGCATGTTTTGTGAATAGCAGGAGGAAGCACGCGATCCGACAGCAACCGCCGCAGGGAGGTGTGCCATACTCCAGACAGGCCCTGATGCGGTTCCAAGCAGCTTGGCCTCCATACCACCGCCACCACCACTACCATCAATATCTTCCTGCTTTCCACGCTCCACGCTATCAGCCAGTCATCGTCTTTTGTGCATAATCCCTCCCCATATCCTTCTCTCTGCCTTCGATGCGATGCAATCCATTGCTCTTCCCATCTCTCGACCGCTACAGTGACGACGAATCCCTTCTACTCCGATGTAGCGCCTTTCATCCGGGCGGCACCGCTACCTCAACAAATCGCCTCCACCTCTCCACCACCTCGGCCACGGCGTGTACCCCTCCCCCTCTTGGGGCTACAAAGATCTCGCGATGCCTCTTCCCGCAGTCTCGACATTGGTGTGAGTCAGAAGGCCGCGGAGCTACTTCTGCCAGTTCAAGATGGACGAGCTTCTCCCAGCGGTGTGAGCCACGCTGCCCCGTCGTTACAGTTGAGCTTGCGCCGATGATCAGATTGCCCGCTGCTGTCGAGGGAGGTGGAGCGCTGCCTTCTGTTGAATCGGAAAGGGCAGGCGGCCCCTGCGGTGAAAGCAGCCGCAGCACGGCTTGTCTGGACTCGCACTGTCTTCTCCACTGAGCTACCCGAGCTAGTGGACGGGAGGAGCGACCGACTTTGACCAGCGTTTGCGCATCGTTCTTTCTTCTTGCCTCTCCTCCTGCGGTACCGATGTCTGCGACGAGTTCATAGACGTAGAGATAGCCGCGCTCTGCCAAGTCTGTAGGAGCGAAGGGCTCGCTCATGGCTACTCTGAGGCGAGCGGCCGTCTGCGCGGAGAGGGTTGGGGGAATGAATTGTGTGAAGGGCAGATACTCTTGCGTTGCAGATAAAGAGCTGCTCGCGACGGGAACGTGGAGGCCAGGCGTCTTGTTGATCTCGCGGGCGTGTTGATGGCAGTATGTCGGCACGGCAGACGGTGACGAGGCCGCTTTGTCGCTCCTTGCCGTGGTACCCTTATTGGGGCTTCCATCGTCGGAGTCGTCATCGCTATCCGAGCCTTCGTCCGACGAGATATAGATCGGCTGTCCTTTAGTAGCAGGAGCTAGCGCCCTCCCATTTTTGCCTAGAGATGGAGGAGCACTGACGTGTCTCGCACCTCGCCGTCGAGCCGGACTGCTTCTGACTTGTCCTTCCTCCTCCGCCGCTTTAACGGTCCGTGTACATCTTGCTCCGTCTCTCTTGATGCCCCAGCATTGCCCCAACGCAGGTGTATCATTTGCTGACGATGTGTATCCGCTTGTGGTGGTCTTGCTCGGTGTTGCTGGGTCATAGGAAGGGGAAGACGAAGGGAAGCGTACCCGCCGCCTCTGTTGAGGCGAGGGCGTGGGGACCGCCGCAGATGAGGCGCGGACGTGGCGCTGAGCGCTGGAAGGGGGAGGGGCAGGAGTGTAGGAAGAGATGACGCGACGTCTTGCCGGATCGTTGGCGGTAGCTGTACGGCTAGTGCCTGATGACGCTATTGGGCGGCTGCCTATCATGGGCGGTGTCGAAGTTGATGAGCTCAGATTGCTTGGAGGCGCGGAAGGTGGACGCCATAGTGGCGCTCGAGAATCAGGTATACGAACTGGGGCGACATTGCGACTTGTATCTGGAGAAAGGGCGCCAGTAGTGGCTGTATGCTGCGTGGGAGCACATTGGCGCGCAGGAGGTGCGGCAGAAGGCGCCGTTGGCGTCGGGTCGAAAAGGGAGTCGTATGCTGGCGGTTCAACAGGACGAGGGCGAGAAGATTCAGGAGCAGTTGGCGTCAAAGTAGCAGTAGGCTGAATTGGAGGAGCAGCGAATGCTGCTGGCGGCATTGACTGCCTGAGTGGCTCGCCCTGCATTGCAAGTCGCGACGGCCCAGCAACAGCAGGTGGGGCCGAGGATAGTCGCATGTGCATCAGAGCTGCAGGCCTATACGGCAGCTGATGCTGTCTCTGATGGCTGATTTGGGATGGCGTCCGAGCTGGGGGTAAGGCAGGCAAAGGCTTCTCTCTCGGTGGTGACCGGAGCGTGGCAGCTGCCATTGCTGTTGTCATGCCGTTGACGTGGTAGTGAGGTTGACCCGAAGGCGAGGCATGGCTGGACATCCGTGGCGGTGTTGAAGGCAGAGCCCGCCGAAAGGCTGACCAGCGTCCTCCATCTTCCAAGGCAGCGGGTGAGTGGTCCACTCGGGTTGGCATTGCCTGAACCCGCAGTGACGATGAGGGGACGAAGCTAGAAAGTCAACATCGCGGAGCTACACTCGAGCGAGGCTGTGTTCTCGAGAGCAACACGCGGAAGCGGCCACGTGGATGGGCCTACAGCTACTCCATGACCTTCAAGCTCTTCGAGATGGACAGGAAGCGCAAGGGTGATGATTCTCGGGTGATTGAGTTCACTCATCTTCTCTGAAAGGCTCAGTCCTCAGGGACCTGTCCGCACCATAATCTGTTTGACTGATGTCCAGGCGACCGACGCCAACGGCGACGGTGACGGCAAGGGAAAGGAAGAAGTCAAGCAGGCGTACATGCAGCGATAAGCGCAGAATACTCCGGGCCCTCATACAGCTATTCATGAGCGGCGATTAGCGGCAACGCTCGTCGACGAGTGAGTCACGATACCGTCTGAATGAGGCTTCCCCCATTTGGTAAGGGGCGGTAGCGAACAGTAGCTGGACAAGGGGCTCCATCACTCTTCTTCAACCTCAACACTGGACGGAGCCATTTTCAGACATTTGCCCTCTCCATGTCACCTATGATCCCAGGCAGACTTCTTCCTCCGCTCGCCATTCGCACGACCCCGTCGTGCTCGCTCTGCTGTTCGTAATGGCCCCTACGAGCAGTGTAGACGCCCGTAGCCACAACCGTGCACATGCATCATCTTGGATGGAATGAGAGCCTTTCATTGTCTACGCCACTCGTCGCATGCTCTCAGGACGAGGGAGGGGTCGATGGACAACGAGAGAAGTAAGAAGTACAAGGCGCGACAGACCAGACATCGTCCTGCTGAAGACGCTTAGACCCTGAGAGGCCTGAAGATCCAAGCGTTCTTGCCCGAAGCGTATCGCTCCTCGAAGAGCTTCTTGATGACCTTCTTGGCGTCCTCACGCTGCGAAGGCTCCTTGAAGGTGTCGTTTGATACGGCGCCCTTGAGGCCCTCGAGCTCCATGGCGTAACGGGTGGGCATGAGGTGGTTGTAGTTGATGACCTGGTGTGCGCAAGAGGAGCATTTGGTGAGTCAGCGGACCTATCAAGTAACAAGAGCTGCCGTCTGGCTGCTCACCTTGATGAAAGGCTTGACCTTGCTGCGCTTAGCAAGCTTCTTGGCACCCATCGACTTGGTGACCTTCAGCGGGTAGCGCTCAATGCCGGCAACGATGGCGTGGGGGTAGGGGCGCTCCTTGGTTCCGTCATCAAGCTGCTTGATGACGACGACCTAAGAGTGGAGAAAGAGCGAAGTGAAATGAACGAGGTCAGTATAATGTCCTGTGGACTTGGATGTCGATGGGACGTCCGCCAGTCCAAGCCAATTGATTTCCACCTCTTCCTGACCCTTTGGCTCGTCTTCTCCATCCTCTGGATAGCATCGCTGCAACAGTGAAGAGGCTGTATGCGGCGAGCAGAGCCATTGCTGCTGCCCCCGCACTGCGATGCTATTCAAGCAGCTACCCATTCTGCTTGACCACCCTCGAGACGTCGATGACGATCCGCGTGCGGCATCATCTGTGATGCCAGCCGTCGCGGTGCGCAGCCTGCTCCATGCGTCATCGTCGAGCGTTGCACCGCGCACGGCAAGCTGGATGTCAAACGCATCGAGGGCAGACGGCAGCGTGACCTTTTGCCTCCCACAGCGTACTCTTGTCCATCCCTCTGCGGTCCCTCGTCTGTGTCCTGCTGAACCGCTTTAAACTGCTGCCACCTGCTCGACCTTGTTGTCCTCCTGGTAGCGATCAAGCTTCGCTGAGTATTCACCTTGTGACCAGCCTGACGGCCCTGCAGCACGACGGCGACCTTTCCCTGCAAACGAAAAAAGGGCACACAATGGGGAGGAGGTAAGCGAATGAGCCGGGTGATGAACGGATGATAAAGTGATGCGTACGGGCTTGTAGACACGAGGCATGCTGCTATTGTCGTGAAAATGGGGTGGGAGGAGGAAGAGGAGGAGGGTGGTGGTAACGAGGAGAGAAGACTACGACGAGGAAGATTCGATGTTGCAGCCTTGCTCTCGTCCCTCTGCCTCGTCTCTCTCTCTCTGCGCCGCCTGCCCGCCCAGCGCTCCGCCCGCTCTCTCTTCCCGCCCGCCCCGCCTGGCGCGAACAGGTTCGGATCCGGACTGTCCCTCTTCTTCCTGGTGCCTGCCGTCCGCCCTGCCTCGTCCTCGCGCGAGCGGAAGACGGAGACGACTGACTGGCTTGGCTCGCTGCGCAGAGAAGACGAAGGCGGACCAACGCTTCCCAGCTTGTCTCCTCACGACCACCTTTGAATCAGAAGTCAATAGTGAGCATCAACCGATGGTCGGACATTTCAAGGCCATGAACTCACCTTGACGATACCTTTCCTTCCGCGCTCAGTGTCCGCCAAGCTCCCCTCTGTCCTCAACGCTACCGAAGACGATGTCTCGAAGCTGCTCGCAGCTGGCACCCACATCGGCGCCAAGAACGTCGAGAAGGCTATGATCCCCTACGTCTACAAGCGCCGTGCTGATGGAATTCACCTCCTCAACCTCGGCAAGACTTGGGAGAAGCTCATCTTCGCCGCCCGCATCATTGCCGCCATCGAGAACCCCGCTGATGTTGTAGTCATCTCTGGCCGCACCTTCGGCCACCGTGCCGTCCTCAAGTTCGCTGCCAATACCGGTGCTACTGCCATTGCTGGTCGCTTCACCCCTGGCTCCTTCACCAACTACATCACGCGTTCGTTCAAGGAGCCCCGCGTCATCGTCGTCACCGACCCCCGTGTCGACCACCAGGCCATCCGCGAGGCCTCGTACGTCAACATCCCCGTCATTGCCCTCTGCGATTCTGACGCTCCCCTCAAGCACGTTGACGTCGCCATCCCCGGCAACAACAAGAGCGTCAAGTCCATCGGTCTCCTCTGGTGGCTCCTCTGCCGTCAGGTCCTCCGCCTGCGCGGTCAGGCCGCCTACGGCCCCGAGGGCTGGGGTGTCATGCCCGACATGTTCTTCTACCGTGACCCCGAAGAGGTCGAGCGCGAGCAGCAGGAGGCCATTGCCGCCAAGGCTGCCGCTGCTGCTGGTGTCGCCGGCCAGGAGGGTGGCGCTACCACCGAGGCCCAGGACAACCTCGACTACGACCCCCAGGCTGCTGGTACTCTCAACCCGGCCATGGCTGCCAACATCCCCACGGAGAACGTCGACTGGGCTGCGGACGACAACGTCCAGAGCTGGGCCGCCGACGCTGGACCTCAGGCCGAGGCTGGCGCCCCCGCTGAGGGTGTTTCGGGCAACGCTCAGCAGCCCAGCTCCAGCTGGGACTAAGCGTGTATGCGCGGCATTAGCGTGCGCGTAGGGCATCTCTAGGGAGATTGCTGGTCATTTCTTGTGCTTCTCTTTTTCATTCGTTCGTCGTCTAGACGTGCTGCCCGTTCGGCTTCCGCTTCCCCAACTTGGTAAGACGGGACGACCTTGCGGTTCGTTCTCGCCTCCATGCGTCGCGGTTGAATGCTCGACCAACCCCCACGAGCATGCGCTGTAGCCATTCCAGTCTATCTTCCCCTCCGAAGTGCTATCCCAAAGCGGGGCCCTTTTTGTTCGCAATCCCAAAATCGAGCATTTCTGCTTGGACTACAGTAGGTCGATCGTGTGAAGGCTGCTGCCTGGGCTCGAGCTTGCGCTTGTCTATCGAGGATCGTCGGCGTCGGACTGCGAGTTGCTGCCGCTCTCCGCTCGCACAAATCTTGCATTTCCTGTCCACCTCGATTCACCTCTCATGGCAATGGGAGCCGCTCCATCCTAGTAGCAGCATCGATCAGCAACACGAACCCATGCTACGTACCAGCAAGCACAGCATATCTACTCTTGCGTCTTCATCTTCTTCATCTTCGCCCCGCCAACTAGCGGCAACCGCTCTTCGGCGCAGCGTTCAGCCATCTTCGTCAATTCGGCGTCACCTCACCGTCCTTGCAACCTCATCGCGGCCTAGCATACATCCATCCTCAGCATTCTTCACCCCTCTGCGACATTCCTCCTCACGAGCCACTACCAGCATGGCATCATCTGCCCTATTGCCCGACTCGCTGCACGTACCGTCCCTCTCACTCCGCCTCCCCCTCGGCATCGATTCATGGTCACGCCCCTCCCCTTCGCAGCCCATCTCCCTAGACATACAAGTCCACACAGATGTGACTGCAGCGGGTGTGTCAGATTATCTGCCGCACAGCATTCACTATGGATTGCTCGTCAAGGACGTAGAGGCGCACTGTGCCGCCGTCGTTGCTGCGAGTGACAAGCAGCAGCAGCCGGTGTACAAGGATCTCGAAAGCCTAGCAGAGGGACTTGCCAAGCTGATCCTCTTCGGAACTGGGGCACCCAAGGTTACGCTGAGGTGCAGAAAGACGAGGGCCTTGCTTCACGCGGAGAGTGTGGCTGTTGAGGTTACGAGGGATCGCGCCGACTACCTGCGTCAGAGCGGGCAGCTAATCGCAGACTCGGAGCTGGTGGGCAAGAACGCTGCCGACCTGGCGAACTTGAAGCTGGTTGCTGGGTCTAGCAACGCAAATCTGGACAAGCTCATCATCAAGAACCTCACGCTCAGCTGCATCCTCGGCGTAAACGCCCCAGAGCGGGTGGACAAGCAGCAAGTCAAGGTCAACCTCACCTTGCAAAGGCCTGCTTCTGCCCTTCACGCCTCCTCCGCCACTTCGCAAGCCTCGCCTCGAAACTATCGCACCCTTGCGACTGCCGTCACAGCATTTGTCGAAGCCTCGACCTACCAGACCGTCGAGTCCCTCGCGCTAGGCGTTGCCGAGGTGGCTTTGCTTCATGATGCTGCGGTGGAGAGCGTCAGGGCAAGAGTAGATAAACCCAGCGCAATCATGTTCGCCGACTCGGCTGGTTGCGAAGTTGTCAGGGGACGAAGATGGCTGAGAGAAATCGGAGAGGGGGAGAGAGGGCCTGTGAATGGCCGCAACGGAGCATCTGCGCCTGCCGTCATGGCTTCAAGGGGCACCGCAGCACCTTTGACGGCGGCCTTCGGACCCTCTGCCTCCTCATCGAGGGCGGGCGTCGGCCTCGCAACGAGCGAGCACCTCGTTGCCCTCTCTCTGGGCAGCAACCTGGGCAATCGCTCAGCGCACATCTCCCGTGCCCTTCAACTACTCGCAGCTCATCCGGCCATCAGCCTGATCGACACATCCTTCCTCTACGCTACCCGTCCCATGTACTACGAGTCCCAACCCACCTTTCTCAACGCGGCCGCCCGCATTTCCACCACATTGAGCCCACTGGACCTCCTCGAGGTAACCCAAGGCGTCGAGCTCAAGGTAGGTCGCGCCCCGAAGACCTCGCCAGACGGAATCTCCACACCTCCCAAAGGGCCGAGGGTGCTCGACGTTGACGTCTTGCTCTACGACGATGAGGTAGTTCTCGAGGGGAAAAAGTTGCAGATCCCACATCGGGGTATGCCAGAAAGAGAATTTGTGCTTCGTCCCCTTGCGGATATTCTGCCCGGGTGGACGCACCCCAAGACTGGCAGGACCGTAAGGGAGATGTTGGACGTACTGACGAAGGCCGTCGATTACCAGGGCGCCGGCGACGTCAAGAGAGTAATGGCCCCTTGCTCCTCCGCTGAGTCCGAGGGCGGCCTCTGGACGTGGAGAGGGGACAGGACCCTCCTCATGGGGATATTGAACGCTACGCCTGACTCCTTCTCAGACGGCGGCGATCATTTGGGTGTAGATGCTGCGCTCAGCTCTGCGAGGCGAATGGTCTCCGAGGGGAACGTGGACGTCCTCGACGTTGGAGGGATGAGCACTGCCCCAGGAGCGGCGAACGTTAGCGAAGAAGAGGAGATCCGTAGGGTGGTGCCAGTCATTAAGGCCCTCAGGCAGGACGAGATCGTCACCGCGAAGGGAAAACGTACCCCCATCTCAATCGACACGTTCCGCTCCAGGGTAGCTCGTGCAGCTCTCGAAGCTGGAGCAGACATTATCAACGACGTTACGGCTGGTCGCGCAGACCCTGCTATCCTCACTCTCGCGGCGGAGTTGGGCTGCCCAATCGTGCTTATGCATTCACGTGGAGATGCAAGCAGTATGAACAAGCTGGCTCAGTATGCACAAGAGGAGGGAGGGGTGGTGAGCGGAGTGAGAAGGGAGCTCGTTGAGAGCGTCCGGGCTGCTTTGAAGGCGGGCGTCAAGAGGTGGAATCTCATCCTCGATCCCGGGATCGGTTTCGCAAAGGATTGCCAGGGCAATCTCGAGCTGCTAGCTGGGCTTGGAGAGCTCACCGCGCCGCGACATGGTCAGGCGGATGGGCAGGAGGATGTAGAAGGTCCCCGTGCCGAGCTGGACAACTTTCCCCTGCTTGTTGGACCGTCCAGAAAGCGATTCGTGGGCACGTTGGTGGGTACCGGGCGCTCCGTGAACGCGGAGGAGACTGTGGCCGTCCCGGCCAAGGAGCGCGCATGGGGCACCGCGGCGGCTGTGAGCGCTTGTGTAGGGAGCGGGGTCGTGGATGTGGTCAGGGTGCATGATGTCGCTGAGATGAGAGATGTGATCAGTGTCGCAGACGGGATATATAGGAGGGCCAGGCGGTCATAGGCAAGGATTCCACTACACGTATTCGCAATGTCATCAGCATCCAGTATCAGTAGAAGCGACCATTCACGCAAGAGGGACAGTGATTGCTGTTCCCTCTGTCTACTCTCGCTGTCCTGTTTGTCTCGCTCGCTGAGAGTACATGTCACTTGACGCATCGATCATTGAAAGACGACATCGAGGTGGTGTGATGTGGTGTGTAGAGTGTGAAGTACAATGGTAGGTCGCTGCGTCTCGAACATCTCCATGCTTTGCTGCTTCGATAGCGCGCAAGCTTAGATGTTGAGCTTGGTGCGACGCCAGTGACGACGCTTGGCGTTGTAGTGGATCTTGTTGTCCGTCTTCATGCGGAACCAGCCGGGGATGGGGCTGAACGAGAGCAGGAAGGACGGGTGGGGTCAGTATGCGATCCGACATTGATGTTGATGTTGTGACGCCCTGCCCTCTCTTCTACGTGCTTCCTCCTGTGCGCCAGTCCCAGCGCCGTCTGCTGCCTCTCTTCATGTCATTTCCCATCCAGTCGTGGGACCTACTCCATCCTTCGCATGTTCCCCACCCTCAAGCTGCAATCGTTCCTGCCCCTTGCCACCTCTGATTTCGCATCTGCTCCACGGTTCTGACACGTACCGGTTCTGCTTCTGGGCCTTGGCCAGCTTTGACTTGGTGCGGAAAGACTTCTGAGAAGGCATCTTTGTCGACTGCGAGATGGGGGGTGGGGCGAGGCGAGGGTGTGAGTTTGACTGTTCGAGGTCGTTGACGAGGAACCAGGTGCAGAAGCCGGGACGATGCGAGGATGATGAGGAGCCGATTCGAGGTTGGCGATCGTCTTCTGTGCGCCTGCTGAGCTTTCGCCGAGCGAAGGGCAGCAAGGCTGCCAATGCTTCGAATCATCGACCTAACGGCAATGCAAGGCGTCTCCATGCCGATGCCTTTGCGCAGCCTGATGTGATAGGGCCGACGAGCAACCAGCGCCATTCCTACAGCTTTTTTTCCTTCTCTTCGCTACCCGCTGACAATCGAGTCAACCCTCCTCGTCGTCGTTGCCTCCTCTCTGAGCTTTTCGCTATTCGAGTCCCGATGGCTGCGACTGATGAAGAAGATGACGATGATGACGAGGGAGACGATGCCATCCGCTGACTTCGAACGGTTTTCGTGCAGCAGTAGTCTCCTGCTCCTAGCCGTCGATGCTTACCTGTTGACCGGGTGAAGACGATGTCGATGAGAAGGAAGCGAAATACGAACGACGAGCCCGAGAGCCACGAGATGGACTTGACCGACGTCCGTCGAGGCCAGGCCAGGCTCAGCAGGCGGGCGGGCGGAGAGGCAGGCAGTCGGCCAGAGGACTGCGCCGCGGCGAGGGAGAGAAATTGCTGCACGTGATCTACGATAGCCAGGGCTCATGATCACTAGCCACGTGGTCAGGGCTAGTCAATTGCACGGCCGTCAGAGCCTACGAGCATGGCTCCATGCAGCGTAGTCGACTTTGGCCAAGAGCTACCAGGAAGTCAAAAGCTCCTCGTTGTTTCGTGGACATGGCATGCTGGATGTGAGACGGAGATCTCCTCCGATGACACCCTGGCAACCTGAGCGAGGAAGGGATTCGACGTGACAGTGTCCCTCGCCCCCAATCGCATACAGGTACGAGGGAACTCTACTGCTCAGCCACTGACAGTGCAAAGCGGTCTTGAGGAGATCTCGGGACGCTCAGTGAAAGTACGATCGCATTGGAAATCTCACTGTCTTGCGGTGCTATGCTGTCGGCGCCGAGGAGATGTGCCCGCTTACAGTTACAGTTGTCACGTCGCGCTTTGATCTCTGCCTGAGCAGAGCCAGAGGCGCCGTAAGCTAGTGAGTCTTCCCCACTGGCGTACATCAGGAGCAGCAGAGCTGGCGCACCGATTTCGTGAACAAACTCGAGTGTCCCGGCATCACCGAGGTTACGAGGCGCAAGGCGCTCCTGCTCTGCTATCGACGGCATGCGTCAGCTTGAACGGAGGACAGGGAAAGAGCTCTTCTCGCGGCTTCGGCCATCATCGAGCCTCGCACGTTCGTGCAAGCTCCCCTCCTCCTTCATCGGGGGTGTTCGTAGAGATGAGTGTGTCACGGTGACGCTTCGTCTGGTCAGCGAAGGCAAGAGAACGAGGCAGCAGGATAAAGGCGAGGTCCTCGTACAAGTGAGGACGGAACAGGTGCAGTGAGAAGGCATTCGACCTTCCCTTGCCCTCGAGTATCGCTGTTGGCGCAACGCCGCGTTGCGCTCTCAGCTTCGGTTGACAAGCTTGTCGTCTCAATCTCATGTGTGTGCTTATCCCTCGCCCGCGAATCTCTGACCAGGCCACTTGCGTCAGAGCCCATCTCAATCAAGACATTGACTTGATGCTATGGTCGCATTGCCATGCTTGCTCGTCAGGGCGTAGGCCAACGCTGATCTTGCGGCGGTAGCAGAAGGTGCAACGCCTCTTTCTAGCCTCGTCCTACCCAGTCAGTAGCGCCGCCGAGGCCCCTCTAAGTCTTTGCCCGCCAATCTACATCACTGCCTGCCCTCATGCGGTGAAGCAGAACAGAGCAGGATGCTGCTGCTTTTTGCATTCTGCGATGTGGTAGTCATATTTGTTGTCATTGCCTTGATCAATCTACTACTCCCTCCACAGGTGAGCCAGCCCGCGCGTTGATATCTACTCGGAGCAGCGCTGAGAGCGCTTAGTGGTGGACACCGTTCTTGTGGTACTCTGATGAGCGAGACGAGAAGCGAGGATAGCGTGGTCAGTGGACTGCGATCATTAGAGGGAGGAGCACGGGCCGTCGGAACTCTACTTACTGAGGTGCATGTGGTAGTCCATGGTGTAGCCGCTGCGAGTCGCAAAAGACAGGCACATCGCCTGTCAGTATCACACGCTGCTACGTCGTCCCCCCCCCCCCCTCTGCTCTCCGTACTCACACCAGGAAGAGAGTGGCGATGCCGATGACCAAGGGCCTGCCGTTACCCGGGTTGGAGAAGGGTCCCTTCTTGAGCTTGACCTCTCCCTTGGGCAGCGCCTTGTAGAAGGAGACGACCTCGTCCATCGATGCCGAGCTACCACCAGGGCCCTTGACGGACTGAGGAGTGGCAAGCTTGGGGGGAATGGGAAGGGAGGATGCCGCCGATGAGGACGACGAGGACGAGGCCATGCGGGCGCCGCGAGGGGCCATGGTGCGGGCGTTGCGGGCGACGAGGTTGAGCATGCTGCGCGTTGAATTGGGGAAGGAGAAGGAGTCAGTCTTGGAATGATGTAGATGAGATGAAGTGTAGGGAGCGTCGCGCGCTATGCTCACGTTGTGTGAGTGGTGGTGACGACGACGGGTTGTGGTAGTGAGATCGTAAAGGTGCGAAGGTCCCAGTCGTCGACTGTCGTGACTGGCTGCCCGCCCTCGTCCGCCCGCCCGCCCGCCCGACAGAGGCCCTCCGCTCGTTCCCGGTCTCGGCGGCCAGCCATGTCATGCCATGCGAGCGCCGGCAGAGCAGCCAGCCATACACGGCGATGAGCTACTCGAGGCGCAAAGAGGGCGACATCATCACGACAGACAGACCAGCATGAGCTATCTCGAAACATCTTCCTTTTGACACGAATTTAGCTTCAGCCACACCTCTGTGACGTGTTCCTTGGACCTCCCACTGGCAGACGACGTGGAGCGTCGTTGCGTGTGCCAGCCAATCGCAGCCAGTCAGTCGCTTGCCCGCCCGCCTCTCGTCTCCCCGCCCTGCCTGCCGCCGCCTGCGTCGTCGTCGAGTGGATTGAGCTTGGGCCCGCTCGACTGGCCGCCTCGTCTCTGCGCGTCGACGTTCTTCCTGACTTGGCTTCACTACCATCACCAACCGACAGCCAACCTCATCCTCCTCATCTCAACCCCCCGCATCGCTCGCCCATCATGTCAAGCGGCGGGTTCAGGTTCCTCAACCTGGTGCGACCCTTCATGTCGGTCCTCCCAGAGGTCGCTGCGCCAGAGAGGAAGGGTACGTGTCAAGCCGCTTTGCAAACCATCATCATCTCTATGACTGTATGCTCACCTATACTCTCCTCCTCCGCCTCCGCAGTTCCCTTTCAGCAGCGCATGGCATGGACCGCCATTGTCCTCGCCATTTTCCTCGTCTCCTCCCAGATCCCCCTCTACGGTATCATGTCCTCGGACTCGTCTGACCCGCTCTTCTGGATGCGTGTCATCCTTGCGTCTAACCGTGGTACGCTCATGGAGCTCGGTATTTCGCCCATCATTACCTCGGGCATGATCATGCAGCTGCTCGCGGGCGCGAATCTCATTGATGTCGACTTCAACTTGAAGGAGGACAGGGCACTCTTCGGTGGAGCGCAGAAGCGTACGTAACGCCTTGCTGGTCGACATAGTCCTTTCCCCCGCTAATGCTGACCTGTATTGATACTCTACGCATGCAGTATTCGCCCTCATCATCGCCCTTGGTCAGGCAACCGTCTACGTCATGACCGGCCTGTACGGCCAACCCTCAGACCTGGGCGCGGGCGTCTGCCTCTTGCTCGTCCTTCAGCTCGTCGTTGCCGGCCTGATCGTCATTCTCCTCGACGAGCTCCTCCAAAAGGGCTACGGGTTGGGTTCGGGTATCTCCCTCTTCATCGCAACCAACATCTGCGAGTCCATCGTCTGGAAGGCCTTCTCCCCGACTACGATCAACACCGGTCGAGGCCCCGAATTCGAAGGCGCTCTGGTTGCCCTTTTCCACCTCTTGTTCACGTGGAACGACAAGACTCGTGCGCTCAAGGAGGCCTTCTACCGCGATCGCCTGCCCAACGTCATGAATCTGCTCGCCACGCTCGTAGTCTTCCTCGTCGTCATCTACCTGCAAGGATTCCGCATCGAGATCCCCGTCAAGTCGAACCGATTCAGAGGCCAACGTGGTACCTACCCTGTCAAGCTCTTCTACACGTCCAACATGCCCATCATGCTCGAGAGCGCTTTGACCAGCAACGTCTTCATCATCAGCCAGATGTTGGCTTCGCGCTTCCCCTCTAACCTGCTTGTCAAGCTACTCGGTGTTTGGGAGCCGATGGAGGACAGCCCGCAGTTGCACGCCGTTTCAGGCATTGCCTACTATATGTGCGTGTGCGCAAAGCAAAGGTGATTGTGCAATGCTGACCTCTCCTTTCCCCTCGTTGCGCAGGTCCCCACCCCGCGCCTGGCGCGAAGTTGTAGGCGACCCGATCCACACGGCCATCTACATCGCCTTCACGCTCACGGTTTGCGCCCTCTTCTCCAAGACCTGGATTGAAGTCTCAGGCTCTGGTCCGCGCGAAGTCGCCAAGCAACTCAAGGACAACGGAATGGTCATGGCTGGTCACCGCGAAGCGTCTATGTACAAGGAGCTCAAGCGTGTTATCCCCACCGCAGCCGCCTTTGGTGGGGCCACGATTGGTGCCCTCTCTGTGGCGGCAGAGCTGATGGGTGCGCTGGGCAGCGGTACCAGTGTGCTGTTGGCTGTCACCATCACCTACAGCTACTTTGAGCAGTTCGCCAAGGAGCAGATGGGTGGCATGGCGGGAATGATGGGCGACATGATTGATTAAGGATGGCGGCAAGGCGATCAGATTGGAGTGGAGGTGAGTAAGAGATTCAAGGGAGGAAAGGCGGCGGCGATGCTGTGAAGGGGCGGCGAAGGAATAGAGAAGGGGAAGAGGAGCCGGTAGGGAGGGAGGGAATCTGGCGGGCCGAGCAGGCGAAACGCAAATCGACAGTGGGATTTGTAGCTGCTGGGCTTCCAAAATTGGTTCAGCTCATCGCAGCATGGGCCAGCAGTCTGTGAGGATGAGCAGCACAGGGCCAAGGTCACTTCACTTCGTCGACGTATCGTAGGCTCTACGCGTCTTCGTAGCGACGATGATCAATTGCATTTTCTCTTTAAAGAAACTAACCGGCCTCTCTGGTGATAATGCTGCGCCATTGCTGGTATTGTTGGGCTATTGCGGTATGCTACATCGCCTCAAGATAGTGCAGACCACCCTTGTCTTGTCAACCGTGCTCCTTTGTCCTCCATCGCGCCCTCCCTTCCACCCTTCGTGCCCCTCTTCCTCCTTAGTTATCTGTTCGTCTTGCCAGAGACGAGGGAGCGATCTGCCAGACGCCATGAGCGTAGTGATTTGAGCAGAAATGGCGGCGGCAACGCGCTGGGACGACGCCGACAAGGCCTGATTGTATGCTCGAAGGGGCCCAGGTCCAGATGCCAGCCACGTAGGACGCTTGCATGGATGTGACGTGGTGCAGGCAGCGCCGCTGTTGATGAGCATGAGAGCTCTGTAGTTGCCTTATACTTGGCAATCAGGTGCCGCGGTGCGTAGAAGTGGTGGCGAGAAGAAGCTATCCTCCCTTTGCTTCGTGAGAGATGCTCTTCACCGAGTCATCTCTTCATCTCATGTCGCTCTCTTGTTTCCTCCACGGTGATAGTCCTCCACCTGAATGAATCCTCTTCTGCCGCTCAGGCCTACCCTCTCTCCCTTGGTTCCCTCTGCCTCCTCGTCGGCATGTCCCTTGCCCTTTCTCGCAGGGCATGGCAGTCCACCCGTAGGAGATGACGACGAGGAAAGGAAGACGGTCACGATAGACCCGACGAAGGTGGCCACAAAGATGGAAGAAGTGACTTGTCGCCTGACGTGAGGGCGGCGAAGCGCTGTTGTCGCCTGACCCAGCATGTTGTTGGCGTGAAATGATTGCGAATAGGGATTGAGAAGTTGTGGCCGGTCTGACTGGCTCGCCAATCAAAGCCTCGAATACGGCAAGCTTGTCCGGCATCGCGTGGCAACGGTGCGACGCCGGCTCTCACCGACGAGCTCGTTGGGCCCACGTGGCTTTGGGGGTAAGTCGGATCGGCTTTAGATAAGGGGGCGGGCAATCAGATGAATTCTTTCCCGTCTTCACTCCTCGACGCCTCTTCAAAGACTCAGTCTGTGCAGGTCACAGCAGCGCAGAGCCGCCCCGCCGTGCCACCGCTCATTGCTCCGGACCTGCCTTGCCAAGAATCAACGCAGACTGATCAGTCGTTGGCTGCAAGCACCGAGGTCGATCTCGACCTTCCTTTTGTCCCAGATTCGCTGCAGCGAGCGGCCCGATCTCTCTTCTCCTTCCCTGGTCCGGCCGCGAAGGTTGGCTACAAGCCCGATCTCATCCAGTTCTTATAAGGAGCGTCAACGACAGCATTAATTCCCGCACATCATCCATCTTACGTCGCCTGGCATGCCTTCCATCCTCCCATCCTCGTCCACCTCTTCGGCACAGTCCGCCACGCCGGCGTACAAGCCCACAAAGACCGTCCTTGTTGTCGGGGCCAGCGTGAGTGGCGTAGGAGCCGACGGTTCATCGTGTGCAAACAGCTGACGCATCCTCGCCTTTTCGCCCGCAGTATGCAGGTTATCGAGCGACCCAGAAGCTCGTCCAACGACTGCCACCAGGATGGCGCGTCGTCTGCCTGGAGCGCAACACGCACATGAACCGTGAGCTCCTTCCTTCTAGAGTGGTCCATCCGGTGCCCGCCAATGCTGACGCATCTGATACCTCTGCCGGCCGCATGCTTGCAGACCTCTACGCCTTCCCACGCGTATCCGTCTTGCCTACACACGAGCAGAAAGTCTTCATCCCCTACACCAACATCTTCACCAGCATTGATGGGGTTGAGCCGCCCGCGCACGCCGCAACAGCCGGCCACGCCTTGATCCATGGCTGCTTGACCAAGCTTGATTTCAAGCCCGCTCCTGCCCGGCCTGGCGCTCTACCCTATGGCAGAGGCGTCGCGACCTACCGCTTGTTGCAGGAAGGTGCGGCTTGCTGTCGCAGTAAGGAGGCACAGAGTGCTGCTGCTAGGGGCGAGGAGCTGACAATTCGCTATGACTACCTGGTCTATGCGCTTGGATGTAATCTGCCGCCACCGATTAATGTCTGGAGTACGGCTAGCAATGCCAAGGATGCCGAGGAGGAGGAGACGACCAAGGGCGCAGAAGAGCCTTCGTTGTCGGCCGAGGTCAACAATGGCAGCGAATCCATCTCCTCCCCTCCCGCAGAGAACATCGCACCCTCCCTACCCTCGACGACGTGCTGCATGTCCTCCCTCTCCCTCTCTTCTTCACCGAGCAGCTCAGCTCCAACTCCTTGCCGCGGGTCCAAAACCGAGGGCGTAGCCTGGTTGCGCACCATGCAATCTCGCATCCGCTCCTCACGCCGCATAGTCGTCATCGGGGCAGGCGCCCTCGGCGTGCAATTCGCGACCGACATCGCCTCCCTCTACGGCACGGCATCCTACACTCCACCGCGGGGGCCTGTGGAGGGAGTAGCACCAAAGGAGGTCACTCTCCTCTGCTCGCGCGATCGCCTCCTCCCTCGCTTCGGCGCCTGGATGCACCGCAAAGCTCACGAAGCCCTTCAGGAGCTCGGTATCGATGTCAGATTCAATGCTCGCGCGGACCTTAATCCCGCAGCCCTTGCATTGGAGGGAAAAGAGGGAACGGAGAAGATTGTGCGCACAACGGGCGAGCACGGCCAGGAGTTTAGAGCGGATCTTGTCCTCTTTTGTACGGGACAGGAGCCGACAACGGCCTATTTGCGGGAGGCTTTGGCACGAGCAGTCGCCGAGGAGGGAGGAGAGGAGGTGGCTGCAGTATGCCCGAGGACGAGGTTGGCGACGGTGAATCGCTACTTGCAATTGAGTCTGCCTCCCCGCGAGGAAGGCGACTCGGAAAACAAGGGGGGCATGCCCGAGTCGGCGGGCCTTTCCTCATCAGGAGATCCGTTCGACCCCACCACAATTGGCATCGCCGCCGCTGCCTCCCGATCGCAGCAACCGCGCACCACTCCCCTGATCGACAATGTCTTTGTCGTTGGCGACTGCTGTGACGCCTTCGGAGCTCTCAATGCTGGGCATACCGCGTGGGGTCAAGCGAACACCGCCACCGAGAACATCGTTCGACTCGTACAAGCTGGCACCCAGGGGCAAGGCGAGGCCCCGAGTCAGGCGGTCGAGCTCGAAGCGTATACCCCTCCTCCTCCAGGTATCAAGGTCTCTCTGGGCTTGGACAAAGGCATCCGTCAGTATCAGGGCTTATTCGAGGAGAAGAAAGGAGCAGAGGATTGCAAGGAAGACTTGAATACCGGGATCATGTGGACTAGTCGCGGTTTCGTCGAGGGCGGAGTCACGGGGGATTGGTCCGAGTAAGAGGCGTAGACCACGCACTCATTCATCCGGTCAAACGAGGAATGCACATCCTTGAATGGCGCTGGATTCGTGTGGAGCCCAAGAGCGCCTGATTGCGTTTTGTACATGAGAAGCCGCGACTTGCCTCATCTCTCTCCACATCTTGCATTGCTCATCTCACTTGCTGCCCTGAGCCGCAGCCTGCTCACCGTTGCCCTCGTTCTTGTCGGCCTCTGCACCACTATTCTCAGCCGCCATTTGTTTAGAAGACGAGGAGAGACCCAGCGAAATCTTCTTTGACCCTCCCGCAGTTCCGCCGCCACCGCTGCCACTGTACGTTTTTAGCGGAGTCGTCGAGCGGATAAAACCCCCCTCCCCTGCGCCAGCCGACCCTTCCTCACCATCGTCATCCTCATCGGTGTGGCGTCGCTTGCTCTTGACGCGCCTGTCAAAGGCGTCTGCGTCGCCTTCAAGGTCGTCATCGTCTGTCGCCCCGCGCTTAGTAGGTGTTGCTGCTGAAGGCGCGGTGATAGGAGCAGACGGAGGTGTGCCGAGGAGGAGTTCTTCCATCGTGGGGACTTGCTCGTGTGATGCGGCGCTCTTGCCTTGGTGTGAAGACGAGTATGTGGACGCACCTGCCGCGTTGCTGCTCTCTTCGTCGCTATCCTCATCGTCGTCCGCATACGGTACAATGCCGCGGATGGTACCGGCTGAGGTGGCTGCGCCGCTGCCGCTGCGTCCGCCCTTGCCTTTCATCGCCTTTGTCTTGTTCATCCGACCCTCCCTCTCCCTCAAGGTACTGCGCATGACGAGCAGGTCCCCTTCAGAGGCGCCACCGGCGGCGGCTGACGCCATGATTCCTGAGATACGGTGATGCTCAGCAGCCTTGGCATTCTCGTCCTCCTCGTTATCCTCTTCATCACTGTCGCTGCCCGGGCCATTGAAGTAGGCATCCTCATCCAGGTCCAGACCCGAGCCCGGCGCACCAAAGCCTCTCGCAGCGCGATCGCGTTCCCTACTCTTGTTGGACGGCCCATCGCCTGGGGATGAGCGATTATCGTCTTCGTCAGGCGACTTCGCTTGACTGCCACCGCCCTCAGGGAAGACTTGAGAGGAAGACGGATCCGCTCCCTCGCCTGCCTCGACACTGCTTCCTCGCGCTCCACTGCCTCCGCTGCCCTCACAATCGATCGCAGTCTGCAAGAGGGCGCTAAACACCTTACCCGTGTATTCTCCATCGGCCAATTCCGCCAAACGGACGCCGTGCTCCTTGAGAAGATGGTCCATCAGCGGCTTCATGCGCTCGCGCGCAATGTGGTCGAACAAGTCCAGGCAAGCCGATAGCACCAAGTTGTCTCGCTTGCTTTCCTGCTCCGTCAAGGTAAGCACAGCGGCGAAGATCTCCTGCTTGATGAAGTGGCGATTGGTAAACTGATTGTTGGACCCAATGCAAGCACGGAAGAAGCGTACGGCAGCGAGCTTAATGTGCTTTTCCCTTGCGAAGAGGAGTGAGCCCACGTGCGCAGCTATGACGCTCGTAATGACAAAGTATTGGGAGCGGAAGGTGTGTTGCGCGACCGAGTAGCAGAGCAGGTCGCAAAGATGCCCGAAAAGGGCAGAGCGCGGCCGTGGAGAGAGGTTGAGGCGTGAGTCGGAGGAGTGTGCCGTCACCTTGGGCAGGGTCTTCAGCGGCGAGAAGAGGTGCTCCACATCCGCCTCGTACAGCCACGTAAGGAAGCGCTCCGGGTCGCCCTTGGTGCGTGCAGCTGCGGCCGCTGCAGCCATGGTAGCATTTGGGGGCCCACTCTCTGCGCCCGTGTCGAACAAAGTACGCAACGACTCGCAGATCTGCGCCTTGAGTCCCAAGTCCTCCTCCTCGTGCAGCAGATCGGACATGATAGCCACAAGCGTCTTGCGCTTTTCGTCCACCTGCTCGAGGACGTGGTTACGCACGCTGTTTGGGTCGTATTCGATGGTCACCATGAGCATCTCGGCAGCGGCGTCTTGCACCTTCTTCTCCTTCTCGACCATGGCGAATTCCAGGACGTTGAGGAGACCAGACTCCGCGAGGGTGCGATACAGGGCGATTCGAGCTGGCAGCTGGATCTGCTTGCCCATTGCGCAGAGGTTTTGGAGGAAGAAGACGCACTAACAGCGGGGAGCGGAGGGGTCAGATGAGCGTGCTGATAGCAAGCGAGCAGCACCGTCTTCGCTACTACTCACGTCGTGCTTCTTCTCGCGCGACTCGGTGCTGTCTGGTGCACAAATTGCAAAGACCTTGGGCAGGAATTTCTCGTCCGATGTACAGAATTGGACGATGTCCTGCGAGGGTGAATGTATGGTTAGATCGTCGGCGACCTTTCAAAAACATGCTCGCTCGAGATGCCTTTTACGCACCACCTGATGGAAGAAGATCCACGAGTTGAGGACAGAGAACATGGCATCGTCAAGGATGCGGGCGAGAATGACGTCCTTCAGGTACTGCAGCCGGTAGACCTGGTGGATCTTGGTGATGACTTTAGGATCCTCAATCTCGACGACCTGCTTGAACGTGGCGGTGTTGCGCAGATAGTCGCGGTAGGATGCCTTGAGCGTGGGGAAGTCCGGATCGTACTCGAACATGCCGACAACGCTGAGAAACACGTCGTCTGACAGGATCATCTCGATGATCATGCTGTCGTTGAGCATGACGATTGTCTGCATGATGCTGCACAGGCAGTGGAGCGCCTCGAGGTTTTCCAAGTCTTCTGCGTCATGAAAGACGGGACAGAGCTTGCGGATGTACTCTCCTCTCACGACCCACTCTGCCATTCTCTCTCTTGCAGTAGGCCCACGTTGTGCTGATCCCTTGATGAACATGTCGATCTCCTCGACGTTGCCCAGAGTAGGGTCAGGCAGTGAAAAGGCTGACGTGTCAAGCATGTTCACGCCGCCCACGCCTAATGCTGACATGCTAAAGTCCTGTGATTGTGGTGAGCCGGGATCTGGCGTGGGTGGATCGGACAGGCTGTCCTGGCCGAGGTTGCTGTTCAGCTGAAAGTGCTTTTGAACTTCGACGATAAATCTGGCCGTGGGGAGAAGGGAAGGGATCGTTTAATGTCTTCGCACTCGCGCTGCTTTTCTCGGTCCCCTTGAACTCACTCCCAGACCTCATGACAGCCGTCAGCCTCTTGGAAGGACAAAGCCATGTCCGTCCCATCAGGCTCCGTCCAGACGACGAGGGTATCTTGCTGCTTCTGATAGACGTCCTCCTTGACAACGCGACTTTTGAGCAATATCTTCTCGCTGTCAAGATTCTCGCTGACGATGAGATAGTAGGGATGGCTTGTCGGCTCTCCTACGCTGGCGGTGGGTACTTGCTGCTGCTCATTGTTACCTCCGTCTGCTGTTGCACCTTGCTGCTGCTGCTGTTGCTGCAGACCTCCAGCTACTTTGAATCGACGAGGGTCAGGCAGAGCACCGTCTATCTTGAGGCACTCAGTCTCTGTGCGCGCAACGAGGAGCGCCTCGTCCTGCCCTTCGTCGTAGACGCCTGCACAGTACCCTGTCCCGCGATCCTGCCACGTCTCGTTGAGAAGCTCGTACACTTTCACCCGCCTCGCCGTGCCACATTGATGGTATGATCCGCGAGGGATGGTGCTGGTGAGCATCAGAGGCGTTGGTACGCGGACGGGTGGTCCTCCATCGGTGATGGCGAGCTCGATCTCGGACGTCTGTCCGTCCAGAGAAGAATTGGCCGAGTCATTGCTGCCGTTGCCACCACCGCTGCTATCTGCCGCGTTGACTTCGTCTATGCGATCTTGAGGTGCGGCTTCAGGCAGGTCTGTGGCAGATGCTGGCGCAGGCGACCCTTGGGATCGCTCTACGACTCGCTCCGAAGCAGAGGTAGGAGCCTTTACAGCTCCACCAATGGCTCGATGAGGGCTCGCTGCATTTGCTGCGCCTTCATCGGCTGTGGCTGCTGAGGCTCTGAACTTGCCTTTGCGTGAGGCTGAGGGAGACTGAAGGGGTGACGTAGCTGACTCGCGCGAAGATGGCGAAGGCTGGCGTCGCTGAGAGGATGATGCTGAGGGGCTTGTGCGTGCGGGACTGGTGCGTGCGGGACTGGTGCGCGCGGGACTGGTGCGAGTGGTGCTGGTGCGATCAGGACTGGCTCGGCAGCTCTCGCCTGTACGAGCCACCTTTGATGGCGAAGGCGAGGTGGGTGAATGCAGTCTCTTGGACGAGGATGGTGTAGACCCTGACGCGACTGTATTCGGCGAAGGTGATCGAGAGCGAGATGAATCTTCTGCCTGCCCCTTGCCTCTCTTCGTCTTTTGCTCTTCTGCAACCTTTGGCGACAGGCTGCGTCTCGTCGACGAGAATGTCGTGGCGCTATAAGATGGAGGCGAGGTCGATGATGACTTTGTCAACTTGGCTGGCGGCGGTGATGCTGCCTTTGCTGCCGCTGCTGCCGCTGCTGCCGTTGATGGGCCTGCTGCAGCGTCCTCAGAAGCAGTGGCGCCTGAATTGGGTGCCATGGTGGTTGAAGCGTGTCGTCGTCTGTAGCGCGTGCGCCCAGAGACGTCGTTGATGACGAAGGAAACAAGAAAGTGAGTTGAGGCCCGTCGACGCCGATCGCGAGTGGAGAATGAGCGTCTCTCTCCTCATCTCCCATCCGCCCACCTCTCCTCTCTCCGTCTCTCGTGCCGCGTGTCGCCTTCCGACGCACCGCCGCCCCAGCCGCTGCCTGCCATCGACGCCACGGTCTTGAGAGGTCACGCTCACACGACACGGTCACAACGATATGACGGCGTGCTCAGCGACGATTCTAAGGCCGAAATGCATCGTAGCATGAGCACATGAGATGACGAGACGGCTAAGCTGTTTTTTCCAAGCTGCCTGAGCTGTGAGCAGAGTCACATGATGGCGAAGGGGTGTCCACTCCTACGTTTTGACCCCGCGATATTTGAGGAATCGACGTGGCAGCCATGGAGTATCATGACCATCGTGCTGTCAAGCCAATTCAAACCAGACATGCGTCCACGCTCAGTTGCCCACCTTCGAAGCCTTCGACTCGACCTCGCAGCTGTTTCAGGGACCCGATTTTCCCATATGGGCACATGGGCCACTCGTCGTTCACCATCCTGTCCGTCTCACGCCTCGATCTGGCGGGAGCATGTTTGTGACCTCGCAATGAACCGAGGCGAGGCGATTTCGAATCAACGACGTTGCTCATCTCACTCGCTTGCGTCTACGTCGACGATCGGTTCAGATGTCCAAGTTTGTCGATGGGTGCGTGACCTCATCGTCGACGATGACACGAGATAAGACCTCGTCTCGGACACGAGGACCAATTTGGCTCCCTGGCGAGGGGAATTGTTGCTCGAGATTCGTTTGACTCCGTACCACATCTAGTCTCCTCTTTGATTAGTGTCTTCTCAGCACTATCTCACAGCGAGGTCAACGTGCCCGGCTGCTTTCGACTGAGAGGGCATGACGGCCATCACCGAGCTCATCGCTCCCAATCACTCACGCTCGGTGTGGTCAAGCGGTGTCAATCGCTCTCTTTTCCTCGGCCAACAACGACGCTAGGGCTGCTCGAATGATCATCACCCCGCCGATGCCGACTCTCAAGACGCTGCTCTCTCTCTCTCTCACGCACTCAACATGATGGCGCAGAGCCCCCACCTCGCACAGTCGCGCCTTCTCCTTATCTTTAATCGACACGGCGGGGTTGCTTTCGACTTCTTTCAAGCAGCCCCGGCAACGAACGAAGATGTACCGCGAGCAGTAGCCGTTGGTGCCAGGCGCTCTGGGGCCACGCTCCAAGTCGCCTGATGCCTACTTGGCCCCCTTCTGCTTTCTTCTTGCAGGCCCAGCAGCTCTAAGGACGGACGCTCGCTCCACGCTTCTTCCTCAGCCATGGTGCCGTCATTGGCCTTGCCCTGGTGCCCCTTGCCCTGGCCCAGTCGATTGATCCAGCCACCACCTCCAACTTTGCCCGGCTGCGTCGACGTCTGCGTCCTTCGTTGGCCGCTCTAGGCTCGCTCTCGGCGTGTGCACAGCGCAACTTGCTGCCTGCCTGCCTGCCTGCCTGCACCCCCACTCGCACTCCGCCGTCTTGCCGCCGCCGCCGCCCATCGCTCGCCGTCGCCGTCGCCGCTTGCCCCGGCCAATCAATCGTCCCGCCCGGCCGCCCTCAGCGTAGACTTGGTGGACCAGGCAGCTCAACGATATCAAATCGGTCCGACCGACGACTCCACGCTTTCACCTACCCTTTCCTTCTTACCAATCCACCAACCCCACACGATACCACCCAACCCCCTTTCTCGTTGAATTGTCACAATGGCCGCCGCACCCCTTCCCTTTACCAACAACCCTGGTGAGTAGAGCGCAGCACAGCACAGCACAGCACAGCCAGCTTTGGCGCGAAGGTTTGCTTGCTCCTTCTTGCATGGCAAATGAGTCACACGAGACCACCCACAAGATCAGACTCTCTCTGACACTCCTTGACTCTCGCTGCCGCTTGACACAGGCCTTTCTGAAAGGTATCAGTCCCTCGACCAGCGCGGCAAGATCCAGGCCGAGTACATCTGGATCGACGGCGATGGAGAGATCCGAGGAAAGACTACGGTGAGCTGCGCCTTGCTGCCATCGACCTCTCCTCTCCTGCAGTCGCACGTAACTCACACTATCGCCTCCCATTCTTCTCGCGCCCTTGAAGACCGTCGACAAGCAGGTCAAGTCGCTCAAGGATCTCAAGGAGTGGAACTTCGACGGCTCGTCGACCAACCAGGCCCCTGGTGACAACTCGGACGTTCACCTTCGCCCCGTCGCCTACTACCCTGACCCTTTCCGTCGTGGAGACAACATCATCGTCCTCTGCGAATGCTACAACAACGATGGCACCCCCAACAAGTCGAACCACCGTCACTGGGCCAACAAGATTATGAGCCAGAAGGAGGTTGCCTCCGAGAAGCCCTGGTTCGGTCTTGAGCAGGAGTACACCCTCTTTGACATCGATGACAAGCCCTACGGCTGGCCCAAGGGTGGTTTCCCTGCTCCTCAGGGCCCTTACTACTGCGGTGTCGGCGCTGGCAAGGTCTTTGCTCGTGACATCGTCGAGTCGCACTACCGCTGCTGCCTCCACGCCGGCATCAACATCTCGGGCATCAACGCCGAGGTCATGCCCGCTCAGTGGGAGTTCCAGGTCGGCCCCACCGAGGGCATTGAGATGGGTGACACCTTCGTCGTTGCCCGCTACCTCTTGCTCCGTGTGGCCGAGGAGTGGGGCGTCAAGGTTTCCTTCCACCCCAAGGCCGTCCCTGGCGACTGGAACGGCGCTGGCTGCCACACTAACTACTCGACTGAGTCTATGCGCAAGGAGGGCGGCATGAAGGCCATCGAGTCGGCCATTGAGAAGCTTTCCAAGCGCCACATGGAGCACATCAAGGTCTACGGCGAGGACAACGACCTTCGTCTCACCGGCCGTCACGAGACGGGCCACATTGGCTCATTCTCAAGTGGTGTCGCCAACCGTGGCGCCTCGATCCGCATTCCTCGCCACGTTGCTGCTCAGGGCTACGGTTACCTCGAGGACCGTCGCCCGGCCTCGAACATCGACCCTTACCTCGTCACGGGCATCCTCTGCGAGTCGACGCTGCTCCTTTAAAGAGATGTGCGCGCAGCTATTCTGCGAGAATAAGAAGAAAGATGATCACCGCTCGCCACCACGTCCCCTGCTACACGCTCTGCCCACATACACTCGTCTCTCTTGCTCCTCTTATCTCGTCGTCCCCACCTTGTCAAGCTCATCCAATGACCATAGCTTCGTTTTGCGTCTCAAAAGGCTTCTTATTCGAGCAGTCGAAGTATCGTGACAGCTAGCCTTGCCAGCTCGTGCTAGCCACCTTTGACGCGAAGGATCCTTGGTGGCCATGACCTGTCCATCGCAATCCTGGACGCTCCATAGCGACTCTTGGATGCGCCATAGCCATCGTGATTGACCCCGGAATTCGTGCGCGTACGCGCACTGAAGATTTGTTGTGCTCGTGGTCGGCGTGCACGAGGACGAAGTGAATGATGTGAATAGGCCATAAGCATCGCCTACGGTACTGAAATCTTATCCGTTCCTAGCCCATTCGCCTTCGAAAGAAACACCCTCCTCACAAATGCACACTCACCCAATCGGCCAGGCATACTGGCAGGCATTGCCAACACGCCACTCGTCGAGCTCACCATCATGCGACCCGCACGCGGTGCCCGTGTCTACATCAAGCTGGAGCCGTGCAACCCCACCGCATCCTACAGGGACTGCATGGCACTGACCATGATCGAAGCAGCAGAAGCAAGGGGGCACCTTCGCCCTTCAACCCGCGGAGAGGCGGCTACAGTGGTCAAGGCCATCTCAGGGAACACTAGCATGTCCTTCGCCATGGTGTGCGCCGCCAAGGGGTGCAACTTCGTCGCTGTGACATCAGATGTATTCGCTCAGGAGAAGCTGCAGTCGATGACCGCCTTTGGAGATCGACTGGACATCATCGAGAGCGAGAGTGGCAAGATCGACAAGGCCTTGAAGGGTTTGCTCATCCAGAGAGCCCGGAGCTAGGCAGCGGAAGTTGGCTCAAGGCACACGAGATCGTCGTCACGGTCTTGTGCGACTCAAGGCTCCAGTACCTCAGCGTGCGTTTTCCAGCACGGCTAGTAAGACAGCCGCACAGAATCGGTGGCCGTTGATGAATTGAGTGGTCGAACGAACACACGGGGCCAACAGCAACACCACTCTGGCCTCGGTCTCTTCTTGCCTTAGCTTTCTCTTGATCCAATGCATCTTCCCTTTAATAGCACAGAGGTAGCCACATCGGGCACTGACCTTCTGGCCGTCTTCAGTAGCCCTCGAGCTACAAATTGATCGTGCTGGCCGCCCTGGTCATCTCTCCGGAAGAGATTCGAGCGTAGCAGATGCCCAATTCGCCAATGGCTAGCGCGGCGTCCGTGCGCAGAAGCTTGACCGTAGCCGCTCTTCTGAAAGATTAACCGTCTCCGTGCCGCCGCATGTGCGTATGTGGCCGACTTGAGACCGCCTTGTCCGCTATTCATCCGTTGGTAATTCTCCGCTTGAACCGCGCCATTGACTCGCACTTGACACCGACATCGACCTCGTGATGGGTAGTGCATCTTCTCGTCGGACACTGTGCTCTCCTTGGGCATATCATCCAATCCTCCCATTTCTGACAGTGACGAGCGCGTTCAAGCTGGACCTCAGCATTGATCCCTGGCTTACCCGGGTTCCCGTGACATCTAGCTCGCGTTGCCGCGACTCGCCGCAAGCATGTCAATGCCGGCAACGCAGTCCTCGTCCGACAATGGATCCGTAGAGAAAGCTGAGCCCACGTCATCGCCGCTAGCGCAGAATGAAGTCGCTCCTTCCCTCCCGCCCAATGGTGGCTTCGTCGCCTGGACCCAAGTCCTGGGCTCCTTTCTCATCATGTTCAACAATTGGGGCCTGGCCAATGGCTTTGGCACCTTCCAATCATACTACGAGTCGCACCGCCTCGACGCCTACTCTCCCTTTCAGATCGCCTGGATCGGCTCCCTACAACTCTTCCTCCTCTTCACCGTCGGCGTCTTCACTGGCCCCCTTTTCGACCGCGGCCATTTCCGCGTACTCAATGCCACAGGGTCCTTCCTCATGGTCTTTGGCATGATGATGACCAGCATCGCCCATACATACTGGCAGACGATCCTCGCTCAGGGAGTCTGCATTGGCGTCGGCATGGGCTTTCTGTGGACGCCCGCTGTGGCCATCTGCGCTCAATACTTTACCACGCGACGCGCCATCGCCATTGGCCTAGCCGCGTGCGGTACGGCTGTGGGTGGTTTACTGTACCCAGTCATTTTCACGCAGCTCATTGACAAGGTCGGCTACGGCTGGTCAGTTCGTATCATGGGTTTCGTCTGCCTTGCGACGCTGATCCCAGTCAACATCATCATGGTGCCCCTCAAGCAGACGACTCGCAGGCGCAGCTTCTTCTCCTTCGGCATGCTCCGTGAGCCGCACTCTTTCTTCATGTGTTGGGGCATATGCATTGGCTTCATGGGCTTGTTCGTCCCGCTCTACTACATTGGCACCTACGCAGAGGCGGTGGCCCACATGCGACACTCCCTGGCCTCATACCTCTTCAGCATCATCAATGGCGCCCTCTCGCTGCGGCTCGTCTTCAATTTCCTTGCAGACCGAGTAGGAGTGGGCAATGTCATTTGGCCAGCCTGCGCTGCCACCTCGATCCTCGCCTACAGCTGGATCGCCATTGACACCGACGGCTCGATCATTGCCTTTTGCGTCCTCTACGGCGTTGCGAGCGGGACTTCCATCTCCCTCGTACCATCCCTCGTACCCTCAATGACCGAAGACATGAGCGAGATCGGGTCGAGACTCGGCGTCGTCTTCCTGTTCGCGGGCTTTGGCGCGTTAGTCGGCAATCCCATCGGCGGTGCTTTGCTAGCCAACCACAATACGCGCTCGCACTTCTTGCGACTACAGCTTTGGTCAGGGTCGACGATGGCTGTTGCAGCAGTCTGTCTGCTTCTTTCCAGCCTCTTTTGGAAGAAACATCTGGCGCGCAAGATCAGCGATATTCAGGCGTAAGCTGTGATGTAGTAGAGCATAGCCACGTGGGGAGCAGAAAATGAGCTCTAATTGACGCGCCGGTGACGTGCCGGCGGCAGGGTGCAGCTTCGCGCGTCCACGAGAGTCAAGAACATCTTGCCTTCTTCGCGTCATCATGATGCCAGCCACAGAAGTCGAGGTAGCTATCATCGGAGGCGGGATCAGCGGGCTCTATGCCGCCAAGCAACTTCAGCGTCGTGGTGTCACCGACCTTGTCATCATCGAAGCGCAGCCTGAACTAGGTGGCAGAGTTCTCAGCACGTCGAGCATCAGAAGCAACGCCGCTTCGCCGACTGCTGTGTCCTGCTCCCTTCCTTCATACGACCTTGGTGGCGCCTGGCATTGGCCTGCGCATCAGGCCAAGATCAAGCAAATCTTTGAGGAGCTCGGCGTCCAGACGTTCGCCGACTCGCACGATGGCGACCTCCTCGTCGAGCAGTCGTCGTACCGCCCACCTACGAGATGGTCAGCGAAGGAGCCCGAGTCCGTCTTTTGGAGGGTGCAGGGCGGCATGACACACGTTGTCAACACGCTCAAGAAGGATGTCGAAGACGCAAAAGTGCTCCTCAGCACGGCCGCGACGGCAATCACAACTCTCGATGGCGTGGACAAGGTGCGCGTCGACTGTTCCACCGGCACAACGATCACCGCCTCGCACGTTCTGCTCGCCATCCCAGCACGCATCGCCGCAGCCAAGATTTCATTTGAGCCTGCGCTCCCGTCCTCCGTCCGCTCAACGTGGGAAAGCACTCCCACCTGGATGGCTGCCCACGCGAAGTACGTCTGCGTCTACTCAACCCCGTTCTGGCGAGACGAGGGCATTCTAGGCCAAGTCCTCAGCACCGCCGGGCCCCTCTCTGAGATACACGACGTCACCGACCTGAACGGCACGCACGGTGGTCTCTTTGGCTTCTTTGCCCTCGATGCGCAAGCTCGCGCAAAGCAATCTGACGAAGAGCTCAAGAGGGCGTGCAGGGGCCAGATGGTGCGCCTCTTTGGTCCGAAGGCGGCCGAGCCGCTCGCAGACTACATCAAGGATTGGTCGCGCGACCCATTCATTGCTACCGAGGCTGATGCCAGGGTGGATGGCGGGCGAGGGCCAGGTCCTTCGTACACGATCGAGGGGTCGTCGTTGGAAGGAAAAGTGCGACTTATCGTCAGCGAGGCGAGCCCGGAATTCACAGGATATCTGGCCGGCGCATTCATGGCGGCTGAGCGAGGGGTCGAAGACATCTGCAAGGCACGACGGTGACGGAGCAGCATCGAAGATTGTTCACAGTAGCATATTGACAGTCCATACCCCTCTCAAGCAATTTGCAAGCAATCGTTCCTGACCAGCAAGGGCAAAGCTCAGCGCAGCTACTGATCTCCTTCGGCGCTCTCTTCGAGATTGTAGACCCAAATGTTATCCCAGCGTGTCCAGTCAACGGCGCAGTAAGGCTGATTCTCGCCAGGGACGCCCAGTGCGGTCTGCCGCGTGTAGTTGGACTCCATCCACATCTTGCCATATCCGCAGAACAGGATGCAGCCGTGAGCGGCGTAGATGAGACCTGAGCCTCCAGCTGTGCCGCTGAAATGGACGGCGGGCTTGTAGTACGGATAGACGAGGACCGTTGCTGCAGGTGCCGTCGAGTGTCAGTCACAGGATTGCTAGTTGTGCGGTGGATCGAGGCACGCACTGTTGTCACCGCGAAGGAAGGCTTGCTGAGGGAAGGGACCGGCATCTCGCCAGACTCCCGACTGCAAGCTGCGGTGAGCGATGAGGTGGTGAGCCCTCACTATTTGCAATTGCCTACGTCTCTCTCTCGGACTCACAAGTAGCAGACGAACTTGACATTCAAGCACAGAGGCGGGACAAAGTCTGCTTCTACGTATTGAAAAGACGGCATCTGCTGGACAGGCTTGCCTGTGAAGTTGTTGGAACCCGCCGTCAGCAGCTCCGATGTCGCCGACGTATTGTCCCGTGGCTCGGTGGAACGAGCGGCAATGAGGAGCGTGTCGTCCCATGGCTGTCCCTCAGGAGTGACTCGGCAGCGCGTTGTCAAGCGACGGTACAGCGAGGACGTCGACCCGCCGGGAAAGCCAAAGTGGGCCGGAGCGTCCAAAGCATCACGCTGCGGGATCCAGGCGGCTGTGATAAGGATTGGAACAGCCGATGCGAGGATGAAGAGGCGTAGCATTGCGTGTATCTTAAAAGCGAGGACCATCAGGTCGTTTCGAATGTAGGCGCAAACCAGGCGGCTACTTGATGAGTTTGCTCTGACTTGTATTCAGAGGAGCAGTGGGAGGACAAAAGGCAAGGGAAAAGCGACAGTGATAGTGATAGGACGACAGCAGGTGACAGCGAAAGATGGAGTGGCAACCGCAATCCAGCGGCAATGAAAGACCCTTCAAGGGTCTCGGGGCTTGAGGGGAGTTGCGGATCGGGATGAGCAATCGCGATACCGAGTCTTAAGGGCGGCTCCGCATGAGAGAGTCGCAACAGATCGATGTGAATGCGGTCGCTGCCCAACTTCGATATAAGGACGACGTTTGCATCTCCTGAATGCTACGCCTCAGCGTCACTGATTATAGATGACGACATCATCGTACAACACCCGGTCGACAGCGCAGTACAGCTGATTGTCGCCTGGATGTCCAACAGCCTTTTGTTGTGTAATCAGTGTACGCGTGGCCATGCCTTGGTGGGCGCACAGGAGAATGCAGCCATGCGCCGCATACACCAGCGCCGAGCCCTTTGAGCCATGGAAGTGCACGCTGCCTTGCCAGTAGCGGTAGACGAGTACGGTGGCTGTGAGGGGAAATTGATCGGCTTGATCAGGCTGACGTCCGGTCACCTGGATGGCTCTCAATCTCGCAGTACTCACTGTTGTCTTTGCGCGAAAAGTTTTGCTGGGGTGGGGGACCTCCATCCTGCGTAATACCGGCCTGCAAGCTGCCGCGACGACCGTCAGCGGTCCAACTAGAAATCTGCCTTCATCCTCATGGGCACACTCACTAGTAGCACACATAGTTTCGGTCGTTGCACAGAGGAGGGACGTAGGCCGGGTCGTCGTGAGGTAGCGTAGTCGGATCTCCAACTCGAGCGCTGAAAGTAGCTACACGCAGGTGGTTCGAAGGTGGCTTCTTGGCCGGAGTAGCCGTGGGGTCCCCCTTGATGGCAGGCTCGGCAGCAAGGACATCGGGGTCATGAGGGTGCCCAGCGCCGTCTACCTGGCAGCTCGTTGTTAGCCTTTGGTACAGGTCGCGGTGGGACTTGATACGGATGGCGATGTGGCTCGTTAATCCGTGCTTGGCCAGACCCGTAGAGCTGGGGTTCGAGCCTGCCACGGCGAGGAGGGCAAAGAGGAAGAAGGAACAGAGGAGGAGACGGTGCATGGTGGCTAGCATCGTAGAGAAGGGCAGCATCGGCTGCGTAAGATAGAAGAGGTAGGCTGATGACCACAGAGTCGCTGGTCTCAAGTCGTCGCTTTATATGAGGCTATCTAGGCTGGTGATGGTGTAGGGTGACAGGTAGAGAAAGGAGCAACAGAAAGCCTCATTATGGTTGCCTTATCATCTCATCGACAGCTGTCTACGAGGATGCGTGTCAATTGTCGATGACGTGAAATTGAGCACTCATTGAGCGTGGGCACCATCGTCCTGGGACACATACGCGATGATACGCCCACGACTCAAGGTGACGACTCGTCCATAATGCCGATCGAGATCTGCGGAACCACGCGAGGAAGACGACCGATTAGCTCATAGCCGCGTGATGGCGATGACTTCTCACAAACGTACCGGTTCGGTGGGACACTGCGATGATTGTCCTATCTCGAAGCAGCGGACAGTTTTTGATAGCCTCGAGTATCTTGGCCTCGCCCCGACATCGAGGCGAGAGTCGGTTTCGTCCAGGAGCATGAAGGGTCGGTCAATCTCGAGGATCGCTCTTGCGAAGGCGAGCAGCTGCAGCTTGCCACAAGAGAATCGCAGACAAGCCTCTGGGCCTTGCGCATCGTCAGCGCCGACCACTTGCGCTTCGATGCCGGCTGCGCTAGCCCGTACGCGCTCGGCCAGGCCAACGATCTCCAGCGCTTCCCAAAGCGTTGCTTCAAGATGATCTTCGCTTCCCACAGTAAGCAGCTCCCTCACGGATGCTTCCCACACGAGAGGCTCCTGGGCTACGTACGAGAAGGATTCGCGCCATTTGTCGGCAGAGACTTCGCTCCAGCTCTGCCCACCAAGCTTGACCTCACCTTCGATGAGCGACTCGTCATCAAAGGCGCGAAGAATAGCAGTGATCAATGTCGACTTGCCCGAGCCCGTACGACCAGTGATCGCTACCCTTTCGCCTTGACGAATGGAAAGGTTGATCTGCTCCAGGACGCCGGGACCGTCGGCGATGCGCTTTGCAGATATGTCACTGAGCTCGAGGGCCACGCAACCCGTTGATGAAAGCAGAAGCTTGCTGTTGGCTTCGGCTACACGCTCCTCCTCTATCGTCACCAGCTCTCGCAAGCGGTTGACCGCAACAGCCGCCGTTTCAAGCATAGCAAAGGACTTGGCGCACCACTCGAGCGTCTGTGCAAGCACAGTGACGCTATTCATCGCTACACCGAGCAAGGTTGGCGAGACCTTGTGCCGCAGCGCAACGGCAAGGGCAGCCATGATGCTGACTGCAATCCAGGTAAGGGCATAGAGGGCAAAAACGAGGAAACGTAGCGTCGTCAAGCGAGTATAGAAGGCGCGCTGCGTCTGATTGACGGCATCATCGCAACGTCGCTGAAAGGACGGCTGGCCCCGGAGAAAGTGGACGACCTCTCTGGCCTCGCTGGCGTCCCGAAAGATGGCAAAGAGGCTCGTCTTGGACTCGAGCTCCATGGACCTGATTTGGCGAGACGCGCGGGTGTAGACGCGCTGCAGCAGCCAGTAGCATGCGCCGATGAAGGGGAGAAAGACGGCCATTAGGGGCACTGCTGCGATGAATGTGGCCACGATGCCACCCAGCGCGATGATGAACGCGAAAGTGGTATGGAAAGCCTTGGGGAAGTCGAGGTCTACGACGGCAATGTCTTGCGTGAAGCGGTTGGTAAGTTGCGAGCCGCTAAAGGCCGTCTTGGCGAAAACGCCGCGGAGGGCTCGCTCGTGGATCTTGCGGCTGAAAGAGGGGAGGATTGCGCTGACATTGATGAAAGACGAGGCACATAGGATGAAGGCGGAGGCTAGCGTCGAGGCACTGAGCATGGCAAGCCAGAAGGGACCGTCTGGCAGCTTGCCGTCCGGAGTGCCTCGACGAACCCATTGCTGAACCACGATCTTGACTATGTAGAAGCCACCCATGCCTATGGCGGCTGTAACAATGCAGAGAGCGAGCCAGGGCAGGTAAGCAGAGGCCAGGTAAAAGCGATACGGTGCCCATCCGAGACGATCGCTGTGAATGTCCTCTGTGGCGCGAGGCTGCTTGACGGCTGCGTGCCAGCGGTTCTGGTTCGGGATTGAACCATCTATACTTGGCAAGTCCTCGTCGACCGTGATCGTGCTCGACTCCCTCTGTCGCAGCGCGTACCCATCCTTCTCTGTCCACACGCATTCGTAGACGGAAGCCGCGCGTCGAGCATCCCAATTGTCCAGGTCGTGCGAGACGAAAATAAGAAGACGCCTCGCCATCAGTCCCACGCCGCTCATCAGATGCTGCCGAATCGTAGACGCCGTGGTCACGTCCAAGGCAGACAATGAGTCGTCCAAGGCCAGGAGCGGACTGTGCGAGTACAAAGCTCGCATGGTGGCCACACGTTGTCGTTGCCCTCCGCTCAGCTGAGAGGCTTGTGTCTCAAGCCCATCTGGCATCCTTGCGAGATCCTCGTCGAAGCAGCAAAATACGAGGCAGGCGTCTAGACGGCCGCTATCGAGAGGGGTACCCGAGCATAAGACGATGTTGTCTCTGACCGATAGCGACTCGTACAGGCTGCCGCCCTGGGGCACGTAGCCTACCATAACGCCCGTGCTTTGCTGGAGGCTGTGCAATGTCTTCCGTAGAGCTGTACTCTTGCCCGTGCCCGCCGAGCCGATCAGACGCAGCACACCAGTGCCCAGCTGTAGCTGGCGCTGTAGCGCTTGGAGTAGAAGCTGAATGCTCTCGTCCGGCTCTACTGACCATGAATCGGTGTGTGCTGCCTGGTGAAGATAAGTCTGTATGCGGCCAAAGCTGGCGGTAGCGGCGAAGAGGGTACCAAGCTTCTGGCCAATAGCTACGATGGGCGCCTCGATGATGGTGATCACGCTGAGTGAGGAGAAGACTACGGCCGGCGAGAGAATGAGGTGTCTACCCGCGTCGTGTTGCGAGAGGGACCAGGCGACGGCGAGGACGACCACAACGGCAAAATTGGTAGTGCTGGTGGCCAGCATCGATACGGCTGTGACGCGCTGCATGAAGGCGACAAGGGCGGAGACCTCCTGACACCGTATCTCTGCGATTGCTGAGGCGAAGTGACTTTGGTAAGAGGACAGGACAATCGTCTTGAGCTGGGCAAAGAGGCGAGAGGTCCGTGTAGCGCGACGCTCAGTAGCTTGAAGGAGCGACTTTTGAAGCGCTGGTAGACCCATACTCAGGAGGACTGCACAACAGACGAGGGTGATGACGGTTCCGAGGCAGGACAAGAAGGCGACGCCCAATCTCTCGTAGAGCATGTACGAGCCAATGGCAATCGTCGGGAAGGCGATCCATATCTCGTGCACCTCCTGCAAAGCCATGGTGATGCGCTCCATGTCGACGCTCATCAGAGTAGCTGCATCTGAGCCTGCTGAGCTGGACGTCACGAGCATTGAGCGAAAGATGGCGGGTACCATAGCGGAGCGAAAGGCGAGAGTGGCTTTGAAGACGAGACCCCAGTAGACGCTGCCAGTCAGAGCGATGCCGAGATACAGGAGAGAGATGCCGCCTACGAGAGACCACCTGTCGGCGTCAGAGACGTCTTGGCGAGATACAAAGTCGACGAGGCGCTCGATTATGATGGGCTGTAGCAGCTGAAGGCACATGAGGATGATACGCGGAATCACGGGCGCTAGCGTGACGGCGGGAAAGGTGGATGTGAAGGCCCAAATCAGCCGAGTGCCTCTATTGTCGATACCGAGGGAAGGCGACTTGAGGAGCGTCGCGCCTTTGAAATGAGCATCGAGATTTGCATCAAGGGCCAAGAGATCGGCCTCTACGAGTGGACGACGGAGGCCAGCGATAAGGAGAGGCGAGGTCCAGGCAAGGAGCGATCCCCAGACGAGGCCGAGGTCTTGCTCTGATTCCGGGTGGAATGCTGATCGCGGGATGATCTCCAGAAGCAGGAGGAGCGCCGTGATGAAGGCGACTGCGATGAGGGCGTAGGCATACGTCCCGGTAGCTCGCAGGCTGCGGATGGTAGCGACAGAGGCAGAGCATTGGAATGCGTAATAGAGGATCAGACGAGTGCGTGGACAGGCCGCCGACTTGTGGCCATGAAGCACCGCAAGAGTAGGGATGAGGAGGAGCGAAGCCGACAATGCGAGGGCAGAGGTGGCGGCGACGGCCGTAGCTGGCCATCTCGAGCCACTAGCATGGTCGAGGACGCCTAGGACACTTAGCCGTGCAGCGAGGAGAGCACAAGCCAGAGCGATCTTAGCATTGAGATTGCGATGTGGAAGTAAGCCAGCAGCCTTCTCGCGAGGGCTGATCAGCCATCGCCAGAGGGTGATGACAGCGGTGAGGATAAAGGCGACGCTGCCAAAGGCCGAGAGGACACTGCGGCAGCGAGTGAGGGCTTGAAGTGAGAGACGCACATCCTGGTCAAAGGTTTTATCTGCAGACTCGCCGCGCTCACATGTGTTGGAAGAGAAGCGTCAAGTCGATGTGGCGGCAGTCACTGATTGGACCCTGTCAAGCAAGCGAGTCAGAAGAGTGGCGGGCGTGCACCTTGGCGTCAAGTCTCACGTCCGTCGACTCACCCACGAGGCGTCATTGGCGCACAAGGGCGATTGCGTGGTAAGTGCCATGACAAAAGACCTTGAAGAGAAACATCAAGGCAGACGTCAAGACGGCTCGCGATGATCCTATGTAGCATTGATAAGCCGACAGCTTCCCTTCTCGCGCATACTCCGCATACCACAGGGGCGGCACCATTTCATCGATGCGGGCCGCTTGACTCGGCGCCGCTTTGCCTGCCCTTCTCTCCATCGTGACATCCACTGCCATGCTTGCCAGCTATCTGTTCTCTATACTCCTATGGGGGATCGCTCTTGCCGCACCTTCCTTGGAAGAGATCCGAGCAGCCCTGGCCACCATGGAAGGTGAACCGGCGCCGGCGCCTACGAGATCATCCTTGACTGACCACCAGCCTCCCCGCTAGATCAAATCATACACTTGGCCCTCACACGTTGCGCTGCTCCCCTCTACGGAGAATCCACGGCGTCTCCCTTGCTGAACAGCCTCTCCCAAGCGGCACAAACGAGCCCCTCCTCCCCATCCGACTCATCTTTTCCCGGACATCCACCTTTTCCACCCTACATCGATGCTACTCCCAGCCATGCGCGATGGGGAGCTGCTCAATCCAACTTGTCGTCACAGTCAATCGTCGACTACTGGTATAAGAACATGCTACCGGCCTCGAGCGCGGCTCACAACCAGACAGGCTACTTCCCTGAAGCCTCCCCAGCCTTAGCCATGAGCAGCGCCGCCTTCTTCGAGACGGTATCGCAGCGCATTGGCTTCGGTGAGGAGGTCGCACAGGCCAAGGTGGCGGCCAATCACTCGGCTTTCGGCGAGCACATCCGACGTCATGACGCTGTAGCGATTCGCAAGCTGCTCACAGACGAAAGGCAAGAGCAGTTGGTCAAGCAACGTGTGGGCAACAAGACGGAGGCGTGGCAGGTGGGGGCAGCCCAGAATGTACCTGCTGCGGTCCTCGTTGATCTCTTCGCGAGGTGAGTGCAAGAGACACTGTCTTGAGCCAATCGCTGAGACCGTCTCGCACCCTCGTTCTCAGCTATATCATCCCCTGGACTACAGATGTCGAGGTTGCCACGCTACTCAGGAGGGGCCAAAAACAGTAGCTGAGTCATCGTTGGCATCGTGCGGTCGTAATTATACATGCTCGAGTATTTACACAAAAGGCAATATCACGGTCCAAGGCGTGAGCATACAATCGTGGGGACGCTCAGCCAAAGAAGCCACCACTGCCCCCTTGCCCACCATGCTGCTGCTGCTGCTGAGGCGGCATCCCATACGGAGTGGGCCCTCCCTGCTGGTCCGCATCAAAGTCACGCTTGCCGAATCCTCCGAATCCATGACCTCCTCCTCCTCCTCCATGATGCCCACCACCGTAGTACCCTCCTCCTCCATTGCCGTGCTTCTTCTTCTCCATGCGGTCGTAGATCATCTTGCCTCCCTGAGCAAGGAGGGCGCCCATGCCTGCGGCTGCGAATCCGCCGCTGTGCCCGCCTGTGAGCTTGTTGCCTGCGTAGCCTGCCAAGCCGCCTGCAGAAGCGCGAACGAGACAAGATGGAACTGTCAATCGAATGCCCAAGAATTCATAACTGGTGCGGCTGCTCAATACTCACCCATCGCCATCGTACCCAGGCCACGCTCCCCGCCCTCGATGGGGTTGCCGTGCTCGTCGTACTGCTGGGGTTGCTGGGGCTGCTGCTGCTGCTGCTGCTGCTGCTGTTGGTAAGGCTGCTGACCTCCCTGACCACCGTAATAAGAGCCAGCCTCGCCGCTACTACCACCACTGGAGTAGCTTTGCTGCTGTTGCGGGTAGGAGGGTTGATGTTGCTGCTGAGGGTAGCCGCTCCCTGGATGGCTGCTCTGTGGCGGAGGAGCATTAAAGCCACCAGCACCACCTCCGTACCCTCCGCCGCCGTAAGGGGGCTGTTGCTGCTGCTGGCTGTGGTCGTACGGGTTTGCTTGCGGGAAGTTCATGGTCGTCGGCAAGAAAGGAGATGCGAGGATGCGGGACGATCGAAAAGGAGCATCCTGCTCAACGTTGCCTCCTTGTACGCTTTGCCGCCAGCACCGCCCCCCCGCCAACAGGGTGCATGTGGAGAGAGCAGCAGCCTGGTGGGCGCACAGACCGATGCCTCTCGACAGAGACGGGGGCGGGCTGTGCGAGCGGGGCGTCACGCCTGCCCATCTCGCCGACCTTGCATCGCCTCGCAGCTTGGCAGTCCGCAAAAGTGGCCGAACGCATCAAGACTTCGGCGCTACGGTCCGATCTCGCAGCTCAGCCACAGCGAAACAACGAATGTGATATGGTATAGAATAGTCAGGCAAAGCAGCGAGCAGCGGGGTCCAAGTTGCGCAGTAAGGTCTACTTTAGGCTGCGCTATGCCAACGAGTCACCCAACTTCTGCCCCTTGCTAGCCTTGAGCTTGCGCATACGCTCTCGACGCTCCTCGCGCTGCTTCTCCATCTGGGCGCGCTTCTCTTCTTTGCTGAGCGGCACGCCGCTGTCAGTCGATGCTGCAGGCATTGCGACTTTTGTTGCAGCGTCGTCATCATAGTCAGGGAAGTCATTCGACCAAGACGGTGCCGCCGCCGGAACCTGCTTCATGGCAGATGTGACTTCCGGCCTAGGAGGGTCCCACGAGGGAACAGGAGTCGCAAAGGCTGCAACGGCTGCTTTGCTCGTCGTCGGTGGCGCTGTTGACCACGAGTCGTCTCCCCATGCTGCATCATCGCCAGCTGCTACCGGTTGGGCCATCTTCAATCGCTCCGCCCCTGTACTGCTCATCTCGCGGGGCGTCGATGAAGCGCCCAGCGCGCTTGTCTTACGGCCAGGCATCCCCTTGCGGACGACGGGAGGCGGCGCTTTCTTTGCGCTGCTGCTGCCGCTCGGCCCGGATGCAAAGGATGTCCAGTCGTCTGCATCGTCGTCCATGTCGATGAGATTGAACGACGAGGGGAGCGCAGCTGCTGCAGCTGCCGTATTGGCCGGGCTGGCAGACTGTGACCGAGACGGGGTCTCTCGCATGGGCGTCGATGCACCGCTGGATGTCGATTGGCCGGTCAAGAGAGTCGGACGCTTCGAGTCGAGGGTACCACCGCCTCCGACTGCCCCGACGGGCGCATCGCCAAAGTAGTTCATAGCCCCACTCATCGCCCAGCCGGCAAGCGTACTCGCCGCTCCACCAGCCGTGCTCGCCAAGCCTCGAGGACCCGATCCCTTTGGCGCCCCACCTTCAAAGCTCGTTGCACCATTCACGTTGCTCGCAAAGCCTCCATCTGCCTCTGCAGTGGGCGGCGGCAGTACGCTCTCCGGCATGGCTTTGACCTCCTCCCTGATCCGCTCCCAGAACATTTCCATCGCTCTCTCTGCTTGGTCACGCACCAGCTTCTCCTTGTCGACCAGAGCAGGGCAGACGGCGGGTAAGACACCTCGTGCCAGGTCGTCCTTGTCATACGACTCGGATGTGGCCATCAATGCCATCAGACCGGCCACGCGAGCGTGAACAAAGGGGTCCTTGAGAGAGCGAGAGAATGCCGGGATTAGGACGCTCTTCCTCGTCGTGATGTTGAGCGAAGGGGCTAGGCGGCCGAGGAGAATCGTCGTATTGGTACGGATCGGTGCCTCGACGTCTACCTGCGTCTTTGCGAGCTGACGCAGCAAGTCGTTGTTGCGAATGCGATCCGTGAGCTTAGGAGCGAGGGGCAGAATAGCCTTGAGCGTACCCTCTCGAATCGCTGCACTCGAGTCTGCAAATCCCGTGATGACGTTGGGCCAGATGGCGTCCGAAACCTTCTTTGCGTCTATGCGGTCGATGTACGTCGTAAGGCTGTCCAATAGCAGGATGCGAACGGAGCGATCTGGTGACTTGTAGGCATTGAGGATCGGTGGCAGGACGGAGATTGTCCATTCGCTTGCCGGCAGCGAAGCGCCTAATTGTAGGACGAGGGGTAAGATGGAGGCTGGGTGTACGGAGTTGGACAGAGTTGAGCCGTTTGGGTTGGTGGAGGGTTGGGAGGAGAGATTGAGGGCGTGAACGAGGGAGGGTAGGATGCGATGCGAGAGGAAGTCGACGGGCAGAGAGGACGAAGATGACTGCAAGGAGCGAATGGCCTCGCTGCGCTCCCTCTCGGTCGCCAGCATGAAATTCTCGAAGCTTTCACTGAGGCGCGTAAGGCGATTCTCCTTCCAAAAGCCACCCTGTGCACTGGCCGATTCGACGAGGGCTGCGATTGGCATCCTGCTCTTTGGGTTGGGGGCCATCATGCGGCGCAATGCTGCAAAGAGGGGCGGTGGGACCGACCCCTGCGGTGGCATCGATGTCCCTGCGCCGGGAACGAGGCCATTGAATGCTGCGAATGCTAGTAGAGAAAAGGAGTAGGAGTCGAGGGCCGATGGCTCTTGATCTCGTAAGACTGTCCAGCCTCCTTGACGGACTTCTGGTGAGACGAAAGCCGAACCGTCTGGCACGAGGCCACCCATGCTCCAGATGACCCCTTCTACATCTGCCTTCGCTGTGAGGAGCTCAAATCCTCCCAGTCTCCACTCGCCCGCCTGGGACAAAAAGACGGTCTCTGGCCTGACGTTTCCGTGGACTGAGCCTGCATCGGCATTGATGAACTTGAGGGCATTTGCTACACGAGATAGGCCCCACGAGATCCACTCTTGTTTGCCCTCATCTGTCCCGCCATTTCTGATCCAGTCGTCAAGGACGGGCTGCAGGTGACGAATGGGCTCGACGGCGATGTAGACTGCCGTGGGCGTCTCTGCTGAGTCGAGGAGCTTGAGGACATCTGGGTGACGCAAAGTACGCAGCTTCTTAAGAGCATTTCGAGCTAAAGTGAGCTTGCTCCTGCCACTGTTATGATCTGAGTTGACGTCGAATACAAAGACGGAGCAGGGCGAACCGTCGTCCTTCTTTGTGCCCGTGTGGAGCTGCCAGATGGTACGAGATGACGAGGATGGCGCCTGGACTGGTGGACCAATGATGTAGTGCTGCAATGGGCTCGTCGACTTTGCAAGGACGGCTGATGCCGCACTGCGGAGGTAGTCCATGGCCGCGACGAAGGGAGAGTAATATTGACTTCCACCTGATCGATCTTCTTGTTCCAAGTTGCCTTGTCACACGCACGCACGCACGCACGCACGCACACGCCTCCGTCTGGTCTGCCTGGTCTGCCTGCAGTCCATCTCGACTGCCGCCCGCTTCGTCTGTCCCGCTCGTCCCGCTCGCCCGCTGCTCGTCATCGGCTTGGCTCCTCATCTCTCCCTTCGACTTCGACATCAAAGGGGGTCATCCTGCTACCCTCGTATGCAGTCAAAGCAGGCCTCGCACCAGCAGGCCAGCTCGGAGCAGTACACCGATACACAGCCGCCGAACAAATTCCTCGCTGCCCCAAACGGCAAGCATCTTCACTCTCACGCAAATGGAGGAAGCACTGCCACCACCTCCCACCCATCATCGTCTTTGGCGCAGACGGCAGTCGTAGCAGTTTCATCGACGTCGTCGGTCATGTCGCCTAGAGCGCAGGCAAAGTCAAAGGCAATCGTGCAAGATCCTCTCCCAGGTTCAGGTCAGCACCTCTCTCATAGCCAACTCTTTCGCACTCCTTCTCCACCTCCCACTTCCATCGATGACCTCAAGGCCGAGCTCAACAATGAAGGGGATGGCGTCATTCCATTGGCAGCCATCATCGAAAGAGTAGCGAGCGAAGCCTATGATGGTCTTCTCAATTTGGGCGAGACGTGAGTATGCGCCGCATACATTGACAATGGATGGCGACCTCACACTCCTCTCCCCACGCTCAGCATGTCGTCTCTTCCTTCATCCGAACGACGAGCCCGCATCTTCGATACTGCCCTGGAGCTGCGCAAACAGATGATCAAGCTCTACGTCGTCATACAGTGGTCTCGTGGAGCCAACCATATGCAGCATCTCAAAAACATCAATGGCTTGATTCACGAGCAGACCTACCAGACCCTTGATGCCAGAGATCACCTCGTAGAGACGAGGAACATCCTGCCCAATGCGAGGCAGCGCAATCACGACATCGCGACAGCTGTCGAGGTGCTTGCAAAGGGAGAGCCAAGCAAGCTGCCTGCCGCCATCGAGAAGGACTCGATACCGCCCAAGCCATTCACGGATTCGCAAGCTCGCGCGATTATCCACGAGCTTGACGAAGCAATTCGAGTCAGACTGGCTTGCGATGAGCCAGTACCGCTGCGCCTCAAGTCATCAGGCTGTGACGTTTCAGACGGGAGAGTGCGTCTCACCGCCCCCTCACTCTTTTCACTCTCCCTCACTCTATCGGGGGCAAAAGAGGACGATCGATGGTATCTCCTCACCATTCAGTTCGATTACAACATTACTGGGCAGGGCAAAGACAGATTCCCGCAGGATCTATGGGAGGCGCAGAGGGAAGGATTCATAGCGACGGCGAATCAGGTCCTCGAGCCGCGAAGTGCTCCGCCAGCAGCAGAGGGGGAGGAGGGAGGCGAAGCTGCAGCTGCAACTGTGAGAGTGGATCGCCCCATCGTCCGCCTCTTCAACTTTCTACAGTCACAAGCGCTCGAGTATCAGCTCGACATCTTGGCATTTCAGGTCACAGAATTGGTCAGGCTGGCGTGGAAGGGAGTGCTGTCGTGGTCTTGGCAGGATAGGACGCTTGTCATCGACTACTGGCTGCGACCGGCAGGGGAGGGCGCGAGATCTGGGCAGACATCGTTGGGACCAGTGAAGGGTGGTCGAGTCAAGCTGGTGGTACAGCCGCGAAAGAAGGAGACTGCGATAGAAGAGTTGGGGCGACAGATTGACGAGGAAGGTGAGGATGCCGTCGCCACGGAGGATGGCGAGAATTGCGAACATCACCTGCAGCTCGCCGTCACCTGGGAGGTAGACGATGCGCCCCTGCCGGATCGCCCAGACGTCTTCGTCGACGCTCAAGACCTCAACGCCGAAGCGCTGCTGCTCAGCGTCGTCACGCGCCATGCTGAGATGGCCATTGCCGTCTTCAGGGACAGGGTCGCTGCCAGTACGCTGCGTCGAACAATCTCCTCTATGTCCTCACCCTCGGAGCTCATCCTCGACCTGCATGCAACCCTCACAGTCTGCCTCAGCATCGATCCCAAAAAGGGCAAGCTGTCTCTCTCACAGCGCTCGGGAGGAGGAGGCAGCGACGCCGATGTCATTGCGCCGACGCTCTCACAATCCTCATCAGCATCTAGACTGCGCGAAGCATCAGACCTCATCAACAGCTCCCCTGCCTCGCTGGTCGACGTCCTCTTTCGCCTGCAGACGGCCGCCATCCGATCAGACCTGGAGCAAAAGGCGGCCTACCTTGGCCTGCGATCACTGCGCTCCCTCAACCTCAACCAGGAAGAGTATACCAAGTTCGAGGTGCAGCCATCGCACATCCACTACCTCCCGCTCGAGCAGTGCCCAACCTACTACCTCGCCTTTGTCATCAAGAATGCCGACGTTAGGGCAAGCCTCGTCTCTGCCATGCCCGCACTTTACGGCGGCGCTAGTACCGCGAACCCGACTGGCAGTGCGATGGAGCTGCATAGCCTCCAATGGCTCGACATTGACAAGATCGCGGGCGCGAAGAAGGACGGCACGTCGCGTGCCGTGTTGTCTTCGCTGGACATCGGCCGACTCCACTCTTACGCCGTCGCCTTGACCATCTCGTCGCAGCTGCAAACACAGCTTCGCATGCGTGGGGTTGCCTTTGTCTTGCTGCCCGCCGTCACGATGTCGCCGCCCGGCTTGCTCGGGTCCACCTGCACTCGCGCAGAGGATGTCATCCCATCGATGAGCGCACGTACGATCGAACTCTTTGGACCGAGCGCTCAAGTCCTGCTGAAGCCCAATGCTCTCGTACGGCTGGGCGACTACTGGAACCCGGCAAGCTGTTACATTGAAGTGGTCATTCGCATGCGCTTCAATGTAAAGCGGGTCAAGGCGGTACGGGATCAGGGGCTCAACAGCAATATGTCCTCCGCTGGCTCGCTGGCAAGCGTTCGCTTCAACGCCAAACGCTCAGAGCTCAGCCTTCGAACACGGAACCTCGGCCAGGCCCTAGACATCTTTGCATTGGACTGGCAGCGCATCGCAAAGATTGCTTCGTTGGCTAGTCAGCTGAGTACGCAGCGATGCGGCGTCAAGGACAAGGGCAAAGGCGAGCAGCAGCGCTTTCATCTCCTCGATTATGACGTGCGATCGGCTCGCTTTGCGTATGGGTCAGAGCATGGGCTCGAGGCGCTGTTGTACTGGGAGGCGGGCAGCGAGGGCGAGATAGGAGCAGCGATGCTTGCCCAACCTCAAGTGATGCCGTCTGGCTATCGATTGGCCTTTACCAGCAGCGATGGCTCGACGAATCCGCACACGCGCATTCAGTCGTATCTCGAAGACCTCCTCAACGGCTCCTCTTCCTCTCCTGACTGGTCGGCCCTCCTCTTCCTCCTCGACTCGACTATACCGATCCTCTCCACGCTCGGCCGCCTACGAGATGCTGCCCTCGATGACGCAGCCAGTCCGGACGTCGAGTGGCTCAATGCTACATGGTATCGCGTCGTCTTTGCAGAGGCGTACCGGCTAGACGTGAGGATTGCCAAAGGCGGCAAGGTGATGGTGGTGCAGGATGCGGCTGCTGGCGGACGAGAGTTGATGGCGAGCAGCAAAGAGGGCAAGAGCAAAGGAGACGACGACGCAGAGATACCGGAACTGAGGCAGGCGATGGAAGCGGCGGCAGCTTCGAGTGGAGCAGGCGGCCCTTCTGCTGGAGTTCTCGTCCTCGGTCAGACGATGCTGTGCGATTTGAGGCGGACGAGGGGCAAAGTGGCTCAGGCTACTCTGACAGCCCTTGTTGAGCTAGTGGGACGCAATGTGGCCGAGATCGAGGGTCTGCTGTAGCCGTCGTGCCAATTGTCAATGTCATCAGAGCTCGAGTTGATGCGCCGAGTGAAGCCGCGGCCCTTGAACCAACACGGAACGACAAGAGCGAGTCGCACGTCCCCGCTCGGCGGCTTTGGATTGGCGTCCCTTCCACGTTCACCACGACGCTGTTCGCCGCCGCCCATCATGGTCCTGATGAACACGTTGACCTCACGCCTATCAGCATGGTCAGGCCTAGTACTCTCAGTCCTCCTCTTCCTCTGCTCCGCCGTCTCCTTTCTCACCTATCCGTCCCCATCAACGCTCAAGTCGCTCAATCCTCGCGCAAACTTGACTGTGACGAGCGTTGAGACGATCCTGGGACGACAACGCTGGTCTCCCAATCGTGAGGAGCAGGAATTCGTCGAGGTTCGCTTCGACTTGGCGACCGACTTGACTGGCGGGCTCGCCGGCCAAGGAGGGCGTGCGTTGTGGACTTGGAACACGAAGCAAGTCTTCCTCAGCCTCGTAGCCTCGTGGGACAGCGTGGATCCTAGAGCTCGCGGCAAAGGAGGCATCAGGAAGAACGAAGCTGTCCTCTGGGATCGCATCGTGCAGAGAAGGGAGGATGCAAGGGTGTTGATCAGCCAGGGCAACAAGTACGCGCTGCGCGAGGTGGGCAAGAGATGGGCGTGAGTTGCGAGGACGGGGTGACATGGCGAGCGAGTTCCTCGATTTCCGACGCTGATCCCCTCTCTCTGTCCTCTTACGCAGCGGAATCGATTCGGCCAACTTTACGCTACACTGGAATGTCATGCCGCACGTCGGCATGCTAGCGTGAGTATAGCTGTATGAGAGCTGCCAGCCTCACCGCTGACCTTCGTGTGTCCTCGCCCGCAGATACGGTCACGAAGCCACGACGGGCGCTATCCCCATCCCCGCTAGAGCACGAAGGGTCAGACAGCTGCCCAATGGGGAGACGGTCGAAGAAGACGAGGAAGTGCGGAGGATGCCCTACTAGATGCGTGCGACGCGTGAGCAATGGTATCTATATTGAGTAATCGGTCGTAGTAGTACAACAAGCGATAGATGAGAGCAGCAGCAGCAGCAGCAGCAGCAGCTTAGACAGATGTGACGCGTGGGGTCCGCTCAGTAGACGTCGCGCACTCTGGGAAAGCCCAGAGTGGGGCCCTTTTGAAACACGACGATGCCCTTTGAGTGGAAGGTGTAGCCCTTGATGTAGCCTTGATCGATGAGCGAGGCCACGATGCATTCGAGGTCGACCAGACTCAACAAAGGTGCAGTATTGACCTCTTGCGTGGAGTGTTGCACGGCCTTGAGGAGGAGAGACATGGCTAGCGTGGGCGGCGCATTGGGATTCGAGGGCGTCTTGGGGAGGGTGAGGGTAAGGCTGCGGGCCAGTGGTGTAAAAGGGGTCAGCAATGCTCGTCTGATCCGGTCTTCGCTGCCTTGTGGCACAAAACCCACCACCTCTTGACGATACCTCGCCACATGCCAATGGCGCTCTTGTCCCGTATCATGAGGTAGACGTTGAGCTTCCTGAGCCTCTCCTTGCGTTGACGCACATTCAAGGTGGCCTCGAATGCGGCAATGTCAGGCTTTGCGTACAAGGCGAAGAGAGGCAGGTAGAGATTGGCTACATCTTGATCCAGGAGCGAGAGGACAAATCGGCTTGGCCGCATGCCGAGGACGAGGGCGCACGGTAGGAGGTGTAGCAAGATGCTCCTGATCTGACGATGACCATGCTGCGCGTGGCAGTAGTGAAGCGCCCAAGAGAGGTCGTGGAAGGCGTCTCGGATCCTACCTTGGGAGATGCGTAGGCGACCGACGTAGTATCGATAGGTGACCTGCTGCGAGAGCGGGTAGATTGACTCGTGCGGGTCATCCGACATGAACGTCGAAGACGACGATTGAGACGAAGGCGGGGCAGTCTCGAGTGTCGAGTTGACATGCTCCCTGTTGCGATTGTTGGCCTCGCGCACGCTCTTGAGTACCGTCTCGCACAGCTTGAGATTGTTGAGCTTGAAATAGCCTCTCAAGCAGTCGTTTCCCAACCACATTGCTGCGCTCCTCTTTGTCTCATGACCAGGCAGCGAGGTACGGTCGGTACCAGCTGCTCGAACCGGACCAGCCAATTTGGAGGTGCATTCGGTCAGGTAGGGCTGACGATGTGAGTGGGATTGAGCAAAGGGTGACGAGAGGCGATCGAGGCGTATGCAGAGGGTGAGGAAGAGCATCGATACGAGCCGGAAGGTAGGGAAGAACCACACGGGCGGCGATGTGGGCGACACGGAGAAGAGAGCAGATGATCGACTGCCAATGCAATGCGACGTGGACCGCTGGCATGAGTGATACTTTTTTGTCTGTACTCAGACGTCGTCGCCGGACACTCACTTGAATACAGTTGCCCACTTTGCCTGAGCCTGTTGCCATGCTGGGAGCGATGCCTTTGCCAGCCATTGATCTCGTCTGCGATCGTTGGTGTCAGTAAGGATGGCGATTGGTGGAGCATCGGCGACGTACTGTAGGGCAGCTTCGATGAGAGAGGCTGTCCTGTCGAGCAAAACGCCAGTCATGGTAGCGTTGCTCCTCGATATGCGTTGCGCGATCATCGACTGATCCACTGATCGATGGGCGGCAAAGTCATCTTTGAGGGCGGCGTGTTGCTGAGCAGTGACTACGATGAGTGAGATGAATGCATGTGACGAGGGGGTAGATGACGATGAGAATGCTGCGTCGATGGATGCTAGATAGGCCTCCATGGCCGACTGGTGGATGAATGCGTGGATCACAGAGTATGAGGCCACGACGGAAAGGGAAGCGCGAGTGACGCACGCATCACAGGACCAGCCGCGCTTCCTCTCGTCTGCGTGCGTTTCCCTCGACTGGCTGCATCGATGCCGACGTCCATTTGCTTTCTCGAATCGTATCAAGAGCCTCGCACGCCCTCTGTCTGCCAGCATGTCATCAGCCTACATCGGCGTCGCAGTCGCCGTCACACAATCCAATGGTACCACCGTCAGCGGCACCATCGTAGCCATCGATGCTCAGCGGAACCTTCTCTTCCTTCAGCCGCAGGGATCCTCTCGCACCACGACGATCAATCGCAACAACATCAAATCAATTACAACACTCGCCAACAACAACAACAACAACGCCGCATCCTCGAGTCAGCCAAAGGCAGTTCCGCCAGATGCAGCCAAACTTCCGACTCCCTCTGCCCCCTCTCAACCACCACCACCACGCGCACCTTCCAAGCAGCGCAACAAGTCCAAAGCAGCAGCAGCAGCAAAAGCTGCCAACGCAGCTGCTTCTCCCGCTCCGACTCCTCCTCCGCCAGCCCCAGAAGCTATGCCGGACTTTGACTTCGAAGGCGCGCTCAAGGGATTCGACAAGGCTCGCATATGGGATGAAATTCGTGCCAACGACCGCATCGACCCGGCGTCGAGGCTCGTAGCCCACAATCGCGTACAAGGCACTCGCGCAAACAACGGCGGCAACGATAATCGTGATGGCAGTACGCCTTCGTCCCCTGCACCGAGAGGCCGGGCTAATGGAGCAGGAGCCTCGAGTGACAAGCAGCGCAAGCTTCGACCGGACGAGAATGTGCTCAGTCCCAGTCCACCCCCGGAAGGTACCCAGGACGTGCCAGCCGTAGCGAGCACGGCGAGTGCGACGGGCGCGACAGGCGCGAGTGCCAATGAAAAGGCAATCGACGGCGAGCAAGCACGGCTACGACGTGAGCTACGCATCGCGCAGCGAAAGCTTGCCGTCCTCGAGTCGATATCGGGTATCAGGCTCGCTCACCGTCGCAATGCTAGTGAGGGCATTCGAGATAGTACGGAAATCGCGGCGGTACTCGATTTCGACTGCTCCATCGCAAGTCCACCTCCAGCTCCTGGTGCTCCAAGCGTTACAGACTCGCAACGCGTGGTCCGCTTTGCGCTCTCGACGACGCTCGACGAGGGCGACGCTAAGTTGCGCTTCAAGCCCGAGGGGACTCCAGACGGGGACCAGGGAGATGCGCCGGCCAGCGTTGCCTTGCCAGAGAAGTACCGCCGAGAAATGGGACTGAGGATGGACAATGGGAGTGCGCGGGTATTCCTCGATAGAGTCAGAGCAGCGACGTTTTCGTGAGATGGCAGGTAGCCCAAGCCCCAGGCGGATCTAGCATTGTGTGTAGCGAATAGGATTGACGTCATGAGAAGGCCAAGAGCCTACGATTCAGAATCTAGCGCCCTCGGACTGGTCCCCCTTGTCTCTCCTGTCACAATCGCGGGCTGGTGCAAGCGAGGGTGGTGATGACCGCATGCTTCGAGCCAGACGTAGTGTTCATTCACTCGCTCACACTCGCACATTGGAATGACGAGACACGGGCGGGGCAGGTCGTGCTGGAATTGGTATCGCTTCGCGTCGCATCGCTCCGTAGGTTTTGCTTTTCTGCTGCGCTGACATGGGTTCAAGGGAACCTTCGAGGCCGCATCGACCTTGTCGTCGTCCTCCTGCCCGCACGGGCATGACACGTCCCTTAGCAACTTGCGGCCATGAAGCGTACTCAGTCCAATGCTACGGTACAGTACGCAAGGCGAAGCAGGGAAGTAGCCTCGACCTGTGCAATTCGCCTTGTCGAATTCCGCGTGTACCCATTCTCTTCTTGGCAGGATCAAGTCGGACCTCACTTGCATCTCACCTTGCGCATCATCCCACGTCGCACAGCATCTCAAGGCGAACGCGAGCGGTATTTGTTTATCCTCAGCCTGCGCATTGGCGCAGTGTTCCCCAAGCTTGCGCAGGTACGACGTTTGACGTGCGGCGAGTGGGCCACTTCGAGAAGCAATGTCACGCCTCGTGTGGCAAAGATAGGGCTGTCCGCAGCAACTTTTGGGTCCAGAAGTGTCCGACTCTGGGTCTTGTCAGTGCTCGCAAAGCTCGGCAAGCGAACAATGATACCGGCGGGCTGCGACGGCCGGCGACTGCTGTGGTAGGGCGAAAAACGACGACAGCGGTCGTCCCAGACACCTCGTTCATCTTCCGTACCGTGGAACACCCTCCCTACCAAGCTGCTCGCTCCGCGGTCGGCGAAGACTTCGATCGACGCATGGAACCATTTCTCAGCAATGAGCAAAGCAGGGCTGGCGCGAAGAATGGCAGCGCGATGAGTGGCAGCGCGACGAACGGCATCTCAGCGAATGCCAGGCTAGCTCATTCCGAAGGTACAAGGAAAACAAGCGGTCGTCGAGAGTCTCGTCAACGTCGTCAACAACCTCGACGACAAGGATACAAAAAGGCCTTGCGATGTCGGCAGACTTTTGGTGATTCCCCAAGCCCCATCCCGCCTCCTGTTCCCTCCCTCTTCTCGTATTCTTGACGCAATGGTGAAGCTGATCCCACTCTCCCTCGCCTTTGTGGTGCTCCTCATCTCGCAGGCTGGCGCAATGCCCCTTGAGCCTCGAGAGAGGCATCCGCACCCTCATCCTCATCCTCACCCGCACCCGCACCCGCACCCGCACCCCCACCCTCGTCCGACACCACCCGCTGAGCAGACTGCCCCGGCCCAGACGATCACCACCACTGGCAGCGACAGCATCGGCAGGACGTACACTCGTGGACCTTCAACACGTCCCACAGTCGTCGTCGAGGTGCCCGTCATTACCAGGACTGGTACCACGGCCACGACGCGCACCGAGGGCTCGTGGGAGTCGCCAACTGTTGTTGTTGAAATCCCTGTTGTCACCAGACAGGGCAAAGGCAGCGCCACCACAACTTTCACCGAAGGAGTGGAGGGATCTCGCACGGTCATCGTAGAGACACCGGCACCGACCTCCCCAGCCAAGTCGTCGGACACCGTTCCCAACAAGGAGCAGCCAGCTACGCCCGAGCAGCCCAAGGTCCCCACCAACGGGCAGTCCCCCGCCACCAAGCCCGAGGATCAGCCCGCTGACAAGCAGCCGGCTACAGGTGGTGACAACACGCCCGCCAATGTACCTACCGACAAGCCGGACAATCCTAACGAGGGCGATACGCCGGCCGACAAGCCGGACAATCCTAACGAGGGCGATACGCCGGCCGACAAGCCCGAGGATGGCACACCGGCGGATGGCAAGACTCCCACCAACGGCGACTCTCCCGCTGACAAGCCCGCTGGCAAGCCCGAGGATGGCACACCGGCGGATGGCAAGACTCCCACCAACGGCGACTCTCCCGCTGACAAGCCCGCTGACAAGCCCGCTGACAAGCCCGCTGACAAGCCCGCTGACAAGCCCGC